GGTACCCCACCAGTGGAGGAGTGCGAAGATCATCCCGCTAAAGAAAGCAGACAAGGGAGACTACACAGTGGCCAAAGCATGGAGACCGATATCGCTGCTGTCGACACTGGGCAAGATACTCGAGGCAGTCGTTGCAGAGCGGATATCCTATGTAGTGGAAAGCTATGGATTGCTGCCCGCAAACCACTTCGGGGCAAGGAAGCGAAGGTCAGCCGAACAAGCACTGGTTCTGCTGCAGGAGCAGATCTATAAGGCATGGAGGGCCGGCAGGGTGCTCAGTCTGATCAGTTTCGACGTCAAAGGCGCTTACAACGGAGTGTTCAAAGAACGACTCCTGGAGAGGCTGAAGGCGAGAGGCATACCTGATGGACTGGTGAGATGGATTGACGCCTTCTGCTCTGGACGAATGGCCACCGTGGTGGTAAATGGACACACGTCGCAGCTACGGGAGCTGCCACAGGCAGGTCTCCCGCAAGGATCACCGCTGTCGCCGGTGTTGTTCCTGTTCTTCAATGCAGATTTGGTGCAGAGAAGAATCAACGCAAAAGGTGGTTCGATGGCATTCGTGGACGACTACTCAGCCTGGGTGGTGGGATCAACAGCGGAGGAGAATCGAGCCGGCATCCAATCAATTATAGACGAAGCACTGGGCTGGGAAAGACGGAGCGGTGCGACGTTCAACGGAGACAAAACGGCCATCGTGCATTTCACTCGAAACGCCGCGCGTACCAGCGACAAACCGTTCATGATCAAAGGAAAAGTAGTCAAGCCCAAGGCGAGCGCCAAGATCCTGGGAGTGGTCGTGGACGCGAAACTGCGGTACAAGGAACACATAGCTAGAGCCGCTGCAAAGGGGCTCTCGGCTGCTATGTGTCTGAGAAGACTGAAGATGCTGTCACCGCGGACGGCGAGACAACTGTTCGTAGCAACAGTAGCTCCCACCATGGACTATGCGTCCAGCGTGTGGGCGCACTCATGTGGCATTAGAGAAGCTGCTTGGCTGGACAAGGCACAGATGATCGGAGCACAGGCGATCACGGGAGCTTTCCGGACCGTCGCAACGGCGGTGGCAGAGGCCGAAGCTAGCATCCAACCGGTGCAAGAACGGCATGCGCAAGCAGCAACAAGGTTCTGGATCAACCTCCGGACCCTTCCCAGGACACACCCGTTGGCGACACTGAAGGTGATGAAAGTGTGTCGCCGATTCGTGTCGCCGATGCAGAGGATTGCTCAAGTACAAGGGGAAACAGCCACTGAACGAATAGAGATCATTCGGGAGTACGCGTTACCGCCATGGAGAGACCGTATCCCGGTGTCGTGCGACCGTGACCGGGAGAGAGCGGTGGAAGAAGCAAAGAGGGTGGATGGCATAGTCATTGCCACCTGCTCCTCGCAGAGAGAGGGCATGGTAGGCATGGGAGGTGTCGTACGAGATACGGCCCTCAACAATGCCGACGAACTAGTGGCCAGCTACTCCATCACTCTTGGGTCGACGGAGGAGCTGAACCTATACATAGCCGAGCTGGGAGCTATAGAGATGGCGCTGAGATGCATGCCACTCGGACTGCGTCGACGGACTATAACCGTCGTGACGAGCAACCGTTCCGCACTAGAAGCCATACGGCGGCCGCGTCAACAATCCGGCCAACAGGCCATTCGGCAAATCTACGACCATGTCGGGCGCCTTGAAGACGAGGGCAACTCTCTCCAGATGATGTGGGTTCCAGCAGGCGAAGAAGACTTCGCACTAGGACCAAAAGCCAAAGCAGCAGCCCGGCGGGCCACTGAAAGAGACTGCAGACCAGATATACCACTGTATCAAGCAAGATCCACGAGGATAAGACTAGTCATAACCAAGCAGCAGCAAACAAGAATGCCGCCAGGAAGAGCTGGGAAATACTCGACGACGATAGACATGGCACTCCCTGGCAAGCATACCCGTACTATATATGACCTGCTGAAGAGGAAAGAAGCAGATGTGCTGATCCAGCTCCGCACCGGAATGGCAAGACTAAACAGCTTTCTGCACAACATCGGCGCAGTAGAATCGGATATGTGCGAATGTGGTCAAGCATCCGAGACAGTTAAACATTTTCTATTCAGATGCACAAAGTGGACAAAGCAACGGGAAGGCATGCTGAAATGCCCACAAGCAAAGATGGGAAACCTCTCGTTCTTCTTGGGAGGAAAGGCAGCGTCTGACGATGACAAATGGGCACCAGACATGCGGGCAGTACGGGCGACGATCAAATTTGCCATTGCAACGGGGAGGCTTGACATGGACCAGAAGCCTCAGGCACACTAACTATTCAGATTGAATCCTACTAACATCATACAGTCTCATTTTGACAGACCGGGCTTCAGCTGCTGAGGATAGGATGCTGAACACTTGGGGAAATTGGCCTTCAAGCAGGCCTGTCACGGCATATACACCAGATTGGACCAGTTAGTAAAAGTGAAATTTTGGGGCTTCGGGTGATTATGGAAGAACTGTACGAAACGAAAATAGCTTAGCGCAAAGGCCCTCTGGGGTGTGTCCCCCCGGGCGAAATAAAATCCTTACCTTACCTTATTCGTTTGGCTGAAGTGGCGTGGGCCGCAAAGGCATCCTGCATTAATCGGTGGCGGAGCTAAAGAATTCAAGTCCGGAGCAAATGAGCCGGTAGACTTTCAACTAGTTGATTCGGGAAGAAAAATGCCCACAACTGGACTTCCATTCCTAAAAAGCCCAAGTCAAGAAACGTGACAACTACGACCATAGGAATAAACGAGTCGCTTTTTGATGCCCAGAACAGCACGACGTACCTCTCTCAGCTTACCTTAGCCAAGTACTGACTATTCACCTTTAAAGCTGCCATAAGAAGGCGAACAAGTCCATAAACGACGATGACGCAACATGGCAGATGACCTCGCCAATAATCACCCCGAATGGGGGCTTGTGGAATGGAGAGGGATACCCATTTAAACCGTAAAGTGTCAATGAATTGACCAAGTCTAGCGCCGTATTTTGTAAGATCTTGTAGCTTGATTAGGCTTAATCGTGGCTCTGATCGAACTTCCATCCAATAGGCTCAGGTAGCTGGTGGCCTGACGCCGCGCTTGGGCAATTCATTAAGACTCTACGATAGTAAAATAAAGTAACCACAAGTTTATACTTCAGGGTAACCATAAATCTACCACAGTTTAATATAGCTATAAGTAAAAAAATGCATTAAATCAAAGCTGGACATACTGGACTATATAGCAGTTCTATAGATGCTGGAGCTGTACTTGTCCTAAAGAGGAATCTTGTACTAAGCATCAGCAAGCACTGATTGTGGTCCTAAACTAGACTTGGTAGTCACGCTGATCCCCGTCTGCAACGATAACGTAACTCATACGGCTGCGGTGAGGAAGACGATGAGGCGACCTGCATGCCTCCCTCGCTCCGCCCCCCGCTCGAAGGCGGTTGCGTCTGCGTCCCCCCTGCGCCCCCCCTGCCGAGTGCCGACCGCCACATTTACCCGAACGCTCTCATCAACTGTATAATTTGTAGCCTTCTGTCTGTGTTGGTGGGGGACGTAAGAAAGCGCATCCTAGCAGGCAGTTGAATGTCCGGTAACTCCTCGCCAAGACATAGCAGGCGGTAGCACGCTCGCCGCAAGTTACAGGCAGCTCACTAGGAGAGAAGATGATTGCCGACGCGGGTGGGCAGCCTGGCAGATCGAGATGGCGAATTTGACTGTGATACACTGCTGGACGTGGTGGCTGGCTGAAGGTAAATCTAGGCTCTTGTGTTCGAACCTGCTGGATGTGATTGCGCGGTCTGGACCATCGCGGTGAATCGAATTGTCATTTATCATTTTCGCCGTGCAGAAACATGTAACCACTAACAAGGGATGGCCCTGCAAGTTGAAATCATGAGCGAGATGAACTTTGCGTCAAATTTGGTACGTTGTGTTTTTATTAGGGCCTGATCGGCCAGAGGATTATAATAATTCGAATTAAATGTAGATAGGCACAGTAAGGCCAATGTACAGTCCTACCGCCTATTCCAGAACTCTGCCTAACTTAGTCTCATGTCCAGGTCATCGTAATCTAGCTTCATGTGGGATTGTCGTGGCTTGGACAATAATAATTCAGGCCCATTTTTCAGCTTGAAACAGGAAGGTTGCCAAGGCGTAAAGAGAGTATTTATTGGTCTAACCCCAAACGATACCTCTGGACGCTCTGAGCCCCAGTGTTTTGGCCATTTAGCGCCGGACTTGGTTTTGCCATTTCGAGTTATTGTAATTTCGCTGATCTGGCTCTCTTGATTTGAATAGTGACGCCGTCATCTTCAGTGCCATTATCGTAGGAGTCAACTATTCCTGATGTTGCTCTGTTCTCCTCTCGCCGTAAGATCCTCGCAAGCCCAGAGGACACCCTCTCAATGATCAGTCGACGACGCGTCCTCACAAAGCGCTGCCTCCGTTTCCCCACCTGTAGGTTTTAATTAGCTTGTTCATCTAGCCCGAAAATGTCCATCAGCTCTCCACGCGCAGGAGGGGTTACCGAACAGGGCGCGTCGGCCCGCAGCGATCGTAAAGCCTAGGCCCAGGGCTAACAACGCCACAATCCAGGAATGTGAGGAATAGAACGTCGCCCAGATGCGCTTGGACCTCTGGGCGGACGAACTATTGAAGGTCTCAGGCGAGGGTCGAGTTCAGCTGCAGCTGGGAACGCCGATAGTGTCTGTTCTGGCCATGGCTGAGCCGAATCACAGCGCCAATCACAGCACCAACCAAGTCGCAACTCAAGGTTCTCTCTCAGCCTGTCGCTGGCAAAGACATGCAGGAAACTATCAACAAATGATTCCGACAAGAGTTTCACTATTGAGTCTGGGCCTGTTGTGTCTCGTGTGCCAGGCAGCCACGTTCAGGCGAAGCCTTGGGGGAAGAGGACATGGACGAGTGCATCGCAAGATATAAAAGACTCACTGTCGTCTCCCAGTCGAGAATTATTTCATCACTCAAACTCAACAACTTCATCTCGCTTCATTCTTCATCTTTCCATCTTTCACTCTATTCTTTCTCCTGACCTTTGTCACTCTACCGCTGCAATGTTTGTCTACCAAGGAAAGCTCAACTGGTACTCCTACGCCAGCGAGGAGACCTTCGCCATCGTCCTGCCCAACGGCCCCGTCCGTGTCGGCGACAGTGTCTACCTCTTTTCCCAGTGGACCAAAGATGGTCAGGGAAGCCAGAAGAAGAACTGGTTCGACACCATCCTCGTCGATTCCATCACCCAAACCCAGGCCACTGATGTGACCTTCTACCTCAAGGGCGCCTACTACAGCTTTGAGGTCACCACCACGGGCTCCTACGATGGCCTCAGTGTCATCATGAAGAACCCCAGCAACGCTGTCAGCAAGCCCATGCCCCTCAAGCGCATCTGGAAGTCGGACAAGGTGCTCACTGGCACGACCCGCATCTGGACCGGCAAGTTCAGCTGGATGCACTTCGCCAAAGACGAGCCGGCCATCTTCATTGTCCCTGATGGCTTCGGCGAGGACAAGCCCATCCTGTCCCTCTGGCAGTATACCAAGGACTCGGCTGGAAAGCTGAAGGACCCGTCTTTCCGCGATGCGGTCCAGAAGTCAGTGTCCGGCATCGACACTGACGTCGTTAAGTTCACCTACCACTCCTACTACGACATCAGCTGCACCTGGGAAGCCAAGACCGACAAGCTTGCCGTTCATGTGAAGGAAGGTGGTCATGGCGAAGATGTTGGGAGCATGATCCGCTCGGCCATCATTGAGCGCAAGCCACACTCCCAGTATGTTTGACCCCGTATTTTCGCATTCGTTGCTAACAAAACTCTTCCCAGTGATTTCGCACCTCCGGAGGTCGCCCCTAAGAAGGCCGAGGTTGAAGTTCGCCTGCCTCAGGCTCAGGCCTCTCTCCCTCGCATCCTCACCGCGCTGCCATTCCCTGGTGGTCTCCTCGAGACTCTGGCACACACGGCGGCCTTTGTCGACCAGGCCGGATATCTCGCCAAGTATGCCCAAGATGTATGTATCTACCTTGACTCGTAACCCTAGACGCCGCTAATAATCCACAGCGCTTTACTACCCTCGATGCCAACTACCACACCCTGCTTCATCAGTTCGAGGGTCTCAAGGCGGACAACACCAATCTCTACAACACCAAGAAGGCCCTGACCCGTGATCGCGACGCTGCGAAAGCTGAGGCGAAGCAGTTGAAGGCTAACCTCGACAAGGTTGTGGCGGGGGCCAAGAAGGCGGAAGAGGATCATCAAAAGCAGATCGACAAGCTCAACGACGAAAAGTATCATGACCAGATCAAGGACGAGAAGGACCGCAACACTTTGCTGAGAACCCGCGGGGAGCGCGATACCTTGAAGAAGGAAGTGAGCGCCCTGAAGCAGAAAGTGTCCGATAAGGATGTCGAGATTGCAAGCCTCAACTCCAACATTGACGCCCTCGAGCAAAAGATCATCAAGCAGGAGATCACAATCGCCCGTCTCAATGTTGAGCTGGGAATCCAGAAGTCAAAGAATGACGCACTGTTCAAGAAGAATGGCGAACTCATTGCTATCCAGCAGAAGCTGGAGGCTTCGGAGAAGGAGCTCCAGGCCCAGCTTGCTATTTCCAATGACAGCGCCGCCCTGCTGCAACAACAGCTCAACGAGGCGAACAAGAGGATTGTGGTGCTGACACAACAGAAGGAAGAGGCAGAGGAGAGAGCTGCGGCAGCTGAGGAGGTGGAGGAGAACATTAGGAAGGCTCTCATCCGTCCGGTGAAGTCGAAGTGAAGTGAGGTGACGCCGACGCCGACGCCGTCGGTGTCACCACCTGCAAAGGCCACGGAGCCGTTGCCAGCACAAGCGTGGTCTCTCCAAGGATTCTCCCAATACATATGGGGAGCTGTCTTCGTAGGATTGGGGTCTTGGATACTTGGAAAGAAAAGGACTTGAGCTGGTGTTTAGTGTTGAAGAAGTAGCAGAGGTAGCTGTTTGCGCAATTAATATGTGGATTTAGGATACTGTCGCTTATGAGCCGTGACCAGTCTTCGTCAATATGAAGTAAGATGTATTGAAGGAGGCTGTATCATAATCCAAAGCTCATTGACAGCTCGGCGACGGAAACGGGAATGAATTTTGGTGTGCTTGAGTTCCGTCTCCGGATAGTGGGAAGCAAATCCGGATGAAGATCACACACAGTCCCGTCCAATAGTTTAAAAGCTTGTGGAATTAATTTGAATTAGATCTTTCATTGCTCTATACGGTGACTAACTTGTCTCATAAGGGACAAGGTTCATATCTGGTCCTTGGGTCCATCGTGGGCCCCTGTTGGTGGTGCATCGGGTGACACGGTTCCATGGCCGATTACACCACTAGTGAGAAAAAAAGGACCCGGGAGTCTAGATTGGCACTTAATGTACGGAAAGGTTATGTTAACAGTTTAAGAAGAGAAAGAAGGTTGAAATCCAGCTACATGAAGACAGTGATCCTTGTCGTAACTTTATTTTTTATTCCCTCAAGTCAGTATTTACATCGTGTGGAAAGACAGAACCTTCCCTACCATGTGCTGAGCCGTCCACCATCCAGATCCTTGGTTATTACGTGTCGATCAGTACGGATAACATACACGGGTGGACATTCAAATCGCCAGCTAGCCTTAAGATTCCAGATGATCCCCACTTCCCCGGATGTTGAGCCCCCGCCTTCGGGTCCTGGCCCGACGGTTCCCCGAGTCTCTGGCTAGACGTGATATTAGCTGGAGACTACCCCTACTAGCGAGTCTTAGTTTGGGTTGGTGTAGTGGATGACTCGTATTACTTCGTAGAATCCAATTAATACGGCGCATCCTACTCACGGTATCCAAGCGGACGAGATCCCGCCAATGGGGTCCCATCCAAATACCCAGGTTAACATGTCATCGGCTCCGCGTCAAGGGGTGCGCGGCTTCTATCTATAAAGCCACTAGCGAACGCGGTTTATCGGACGATCCTGTTTCGCGCTCTCGAACACTAAATCGGTGAATCGTAATGAGGTGGTTTGGCCCCTTGTTGCTGATCTGGCTGTCATGCTACTGCTGCATGAATGTGGCAGCAGGGAATGGACTGCTAGAACTGCTATCCAACTTGCCCCAGTGCCCGGTGCTTCCCCCGTGTTTCGACTTCGTCTTGATGAAAGAAGCTAATTTTGAAGTAGAGGTCTTGCCTCGGTGATAGCGTTTCCAACTGCGTTTCCCAGAACGCCACATGTGTGTGTGCAGATGAGTCGTTCTTGACAGCAATCAAATTGTGCATTTCTCAAAGATGTACAATTAAAGAAGCCTTAAGTAAGTCTACCCATCTCCCATGATTCTGGCTGTTGGTGGAAAGAGCTGACCTGGCTGGGGCAAGCGACGCAAAACGCGACCAACGTTTATTGCGGCGTACCAGTCCGCGATAAGACCCAGCTTATGATCAATGTGACGATCATCCTTAGCATACTTTCTGGGTTCTTCATGCTCCTCCGACTCGGATCAAGACTATTCGTCACCGACTCTAACTTTGGCCTCGACGACACCTTCATCCTACTGACCCTCCTCTGCGCAATCCCAGCAACCGCAATAAATATCCACGGCACCGCCAGCCACGGCGAGGGGAAGGACATCTGGACCCTTGATTTCGATGATATTACCCAATTTGGTGTCTATTTTTATATTTTAAATGTCTTGTATTTTGCCCAAGTTTCTCTTCTCAAGATGTCGTTACTGTTCTTATATTTACGGATCTTCCAAGGACCTATGCAGAAACTGCTCTGGTGTACCGTCACTTCGAATGCAGTGTTTGGCATCGTTTTCATATTCCTGGCGATATTTCAGTGTTCACCAATTAGCTATTCCTGGACAGGTTGGGATGGAGAGCATGAAGGGTCATGGTATGTTGCTTGGCTTGGTTTGGACTTTGAGATCCTAGCTAACCCCTACGCAGCCTTGACATAAATGCTATCGCCTGGGCAAACGCAGCAATTAGTATCGCGTTAGATATATGGATGTTGGCGATCCCGCTGCAGAGGCTGTGGAGTTTGCACATGCACTGGAAGAAAAAGACTGGCGTCACGGCCATGTTAATCGTTGGTACTTTGTAAGAACTCTGCCTCGACGGATTTGAGATTCGAGAAGTGGCTGATTCGCGATAGTGTCATGGTGGTGAGCGTCATTCGGCTACAGTACCTCGTTAACCTGGGATCTTCTAATAGTCCTACGTATGACCACACTGATATCTCTATCTGGTCTACGGTCGAGATCCACGTCGGCATCATTTGTGCATCGATGCCAGCTGTACGCATGTTGCTGGTGAGGCTTTCCCCTATATTTAGCGACTCATCCTATGACTTGAACGACTACCAGAGTAATGGCGATATGTATGGGCGCAAGTCCAGGACAATTAGTCGAGATCACGTCCTTGTGGAACTCCCCTCGCGCGGGGAGTCAATGCCAAGACCAGAGCATGGGGGAATTGAGCTAAAGCGCACCTTCGATGTACAGTATAGTGATGGAGATGAGAGACGTCTTGTGGGTTTGAGCGAATTTGAAAACAAGGGACACGGTGGAAGTATTGGTCGTGGCACAAGCGAGGAATCGCTGTGAAGTAAGATATACCACTGGATATGACATATGACATATATCAGGATATCGGGTTTCTACGGTTCTGACGGCAGTGAAGCTTTCCGTCTATCATCAGAGGCGTGCATCGCCACCTACCTCGTCACCGGCCTCGTCATCAACCTAGCCTTGTCTTGCACACGAAGTATTGTAAACCGAATGCCTTGGCTTAGACTAAGCTAATTTTTCTGAGCTTTGAGTCTTGAATGCATCACAAGTCAATGGAACATATATTCACGACGTTGTTTCGCCAAATTCGGCATCGTGTTGCCAGTCAATCAAGCAACACGACATATCACTTCGTGATGGCAGTGGGCGAGAGTATTCCCGTATACTGGAAAAAAGGAGACAGATAATTTAGCTTACAATGTTCGGTGTCCGCGGGTGTCGTCGTTCTCAGCAGACATTGCGGAAGTTTTCGGACTTCAGGGGTTTGAGGATCTTAAGTTTGTGCTGTGTTTTCAAAACATCAATTACCTGACGAAGGATTGCCCGGAAGCAGCTCTGGTCAAGATAAAACCAAGACGTACATGGTAACCGAAACTTTGTTGGCCAAAATATCTATTACGTGTCACGGTAATGGGTTCCGCAACTAAGGTAGTTACACGAAGTACAAGATAGGGACGGCAGTAAAATGCCGAATAACTCTAAAGGGTGGGGGCTTAGAGATGTGAGGCTATACCGCACTCAAGATCCACCTAAGCTGAAACTTGGATAGGTGCTGACGCAGCTTCCGGCTGCTGGCAGCGGCATTTGGATAAATCTTTTTCTATTTATTCCTGGCGGCCTTCCCCAAAACTTGCTCTATCTGATATGCAGAGCAAGTACACAGCTAAATAAAAATTCTACATCTTAACCATGAAGCTCCTTTTCTTCCTGAGCACTGCCTTTGCCGCAGGGACGTCTGCCGACGTCTAGGTATCTGGCTGATCGATGACTTCGTCCTGCTCCAAAGCCCTAGGCAACTTTACGATCGAGAGGAACCGACTGTACCCCGAAAATCTCGACTTTGATTCCCACCATTGCAAACTTTACCTTGGGTATGTGATTCTGATACACTGATCTCCCGCTGGGAAGAGAAGCTTACGGTCAATGTAGCGCTAATTTTGATGGATATGTCCTGGTATATGACTCGTGGAACGGAACCCAGAAGATTATTGAAATCCCCGGTGTCACGGGAGTTTATCCATATCACATTTCCGGCATTGACTTCGACAATCGTACAGGTATGATGTATTTTGCCGCAAATTCAGGTCTGCCTTTTGAGACTTCGGGGGCCAACCTCACGGGTCCCAACCAGCTCGTTCAGTACGACACCAACACTGAGACCTTGGGATATATTATCAACATGGAGAGCTTCCAGCAGGAGGTCCTTCAGTCCCACAGTCTCTTTGTTACTGGGTTCCAAGACATGGATGAGGACGAGGAGGGCAACGTCTACTTTCTGGCTACGTACGGTGGCGCGGTTGCCAAAGTGTCCCCCTTGGGAACAGTCACGCCATTCTACGTCGCTCAAAACACCAACGAAAGCACATCATGGTCCAATGGAATCTCCATCACAGGAGATAAGGCTTTGCTCTTCGACGAAACGCAGGCGGCACTGATCTCCCTGGACCTCGCGAGAACTTCGCCAGCAGCTGTCAATGTCCCTGTTAGTGGACTGCCAACTGACGAGACCATCGACTGTGACGGCCTTTACATGCCCCCGAAGTACGATGGGAGGGTTCTTCTCTGCTCCAGCGATGGCCTGGGAAAGATCATCGTGTTCAGAACCGAGGATGGTTGGGAAACGGCATCTTTCGCCGGAGGTATCGTCAACACAATTACGGATGGGTGGGCTACCGCAAGTGTTCAGATCAGCAACTCGATTTACATGAACGAAGAATACTTTTTTGACACCGGTGTCTGGGACCAGGCTGGCAATCGCACATTATTCCCGATCGTCGACATTACGTCGCACTTGGAGTCGATCCTGAGCTGAGCTAGGGTCAACGAGTGGTACCGAGGAGCCTCCTCTTGCTCTTTGGCGGAATAAATGCCATGCTTGGCTGACAATGGTCTCGGTTTCCCCATGCTGAAACGGTGAGTAGACCCACGCAAGCATTGATAAGCGAGTGGGGGCGGAAAAGACGGCTATTAAAGGCATCGCCACGACTCTTTGCTGGCTTGGGGGTTTTATTTCTATAACTGATCAGATGTTATTAACATGGAAATTTATCATTAAGTATGCTTTTATATCTATAGATATAGTTCTCAATGTTGATAGGATATTCCTTGCAATTGATTTGTTCATTTTACCAAGATTTCAGTTTAAGCTTAAATAACCACCACGTTACAGTGTGTGAATTTAAATTGTAGATATTACAATTCCATATCGTCTTTCTAGTTTAAGTCGTTCTTTAGATATCCTTTATTGATAACTTGTGTATTGCTGATTGTACTTTGTTATGGTTTTGGACACGGATTGTGACAGCTTGTTGTGGCTGGTGGATATTGTTTCGAGTATATCCTCCCACAAAATCGACATGGTTCCAAGTCCGCAGTGATCCGATCATGAGATACCCAAACGGGTGTTTCGGAGGAGGCATATCCGCACGATGTAACCGTCATGCTCCATTAAGCCATAAATACCCCGACGAGGGTGATCTTATTCGATTTCTTGGGCGCGGACGTGTTGCCCGACATTTTTCCTCCAATGACGCCCCTGATCTCGCCCCCCAACCAGACCAATACTGAAACATGTCCAAGACTTCAGGCTCTCGATTCGGGGAAAAATGTGTCTCCTAATGTAAGAATATCCTGTACCCGAGTAAGGTTAACTGTTTGACTTTAGGACTTACAGGGACTCTAATTTGTATTTAGTTGATGCGAGCACGCCCAATTATCCCAATGTCCAACGCTTGGACATAGGAAGACATTTGCTTTCCATCTCACTTTTCTGAAAACCGGCACCATGAGACTGCCATCTTTCTTCATCTTTGCAACTGGAGCCATTGCGGCTCCTGGCGCTTCTTTGTATGCTAGGGCTGCTGCCACTGATGCGTGCACAGTCGGGTACTGTACACAGAATGGCGGGTACGTTTCATTCCTGTCGTGAATTATTCACTACTCTGGAGTTAACCTATGGCATTTAGAACAACGGGAGGAACAGGCGGTACCCAAGTGACGGTAACGACTCTCAGTCAATTAACCGCGGCTGCTATTGCCGATGGCGCGTCGATTATCTTTGTGCAGGGCAGCATCTCTGGCGCTGCCAAGGTTCAAGTCGGTTCCAACAAGTCGATCATTGGCAAGACAGGCAGTTGTATGTCCAATCTCCCTTACTCTTACCTGGACTGTGCTAACCGCAGTCTGCAGCCCTCACCGGCATTGGCCTTACTATTCTGGGGCAGAAGAACGTCATTGTTCGCAACATGAAGATTTCCAAGGTCGAGCACGATTATGGCGATGCCATCACCATTCAGAAATCAACCAATGTCTGGGTTGACCATTGTGATCTCTCTGCTAGCAGAGACGGCGACAAGGACTTCTATGACGGCCTGGTTGACTTGTCCCATGCGGCGGATTGGGTGACGATCTCGCACACTTATTTCCATGACCATGTAAGTGTTCTCAAGAGCCAAGTGAAGATATTAATCGAGGACCAAATACACTAACCTGTGTGATTACTTCTAGTCCAAGGGATCACTGGTCGGGCACTCGGACAACAACGCAGCTGAAGACACTGGCAAACTCCATGTGACATACGCCAACAACCATTTTTACAACGTTCGAAGCCGCGGCCCTCTTCTCCGATTTGGCACTGCTCATCTCATCAAGTGAGTTCTTCGCTTCCCTTTGTGCTATCATCATTGTTCACACCATTGACTTAATTCCCAGCCAATACTACAATACTATGGACACCGGTCTCAACAGTCGCATGGGTGCACAAGCACTAATTCAGTCCTCTGTTTTTGAGAATGTCGGGAAAAAGGCCATCTTCAGTGAGTCCAGCGATGAGGTCGGCTATGTTGTTGCGGAGGACGTTGTTCTCGGCGGAGAGAGTCAGAACACAGCCTTGACGGGCACTTTGAGCACCAGCAGCATGCCATACAAGTTTACACTTCTCGGTTCCGGTAAGGTTGCCTCGACAGTCCCCGGAGAGGCCGGTCAGATCCTTAGCTTGTGATCATGCAACTGCTTATGGACGAGCAACCGTTGGTAGTATGCTGGTCGGATGGCTAGAATTTGTATTCGACAGTTTTAGGAATCAAGATTTCTTGTCTATAGTTGTACTCGGTTTATGCTTGCTGCTCTAATATCTGTACATTGAGACTCTCCATTCAATGATCCGTATAGGTGTGCTTGCTGAATTTATAGGTCAGGGGAATAAAATTACCAGTGCTGGGCCACCTGCTCTAAATTCACGCGCTAAATTAGACACCAGCGAGGCAGAGAAGCCTTCGAGCGTAGAGACGCATTTCCCTTTAACAGTCCAAAGGACATGCTTCATTTGTAGGTCTCATTATGTTCATTATTATACCTATTATTTCAGTTAGTGTGACAGGCGGTTAGGGACGCTTGGGCTAGCTGGTCGCTAGCGGGGATGTCTCTAGGGTGGCCCGGATAAGGTTAAAAGGGGAGGTCAGTGCCGTCACAGGGGAAAAATCATCGTCTTTTCATTCATCAGAGATTCTTCCTAGAAGTCAGAGAGGCCGGAGGGGCTCGAGGCTGCTAGGAAGTCTATTAATTGATTGCCTTTATTTTTGAGAGATTTATTTGAGTCTATTCTTGCCGTCACTACATTCTCTGTCCAACCTCCGTCTTCAACCTCCCTCAGATATCGGGCTGCCGCAGGCCCCATTGATGCCTTGCCAGCGAACTTTCCTGCGACCGACCCGATATTCTATCTCATGAGATGCTTCCCTATCAGGAGACATAAGCCTCAGATTGGTCCGACCTCATACGCGTAATCTGGTGCAGCTTCGGGCTGACCGGCCAAGACGCCTGTGCGACGACTCTGTGCATTTCCCCTAGGGTAAGTTAATGAGTTGGGTGTTGTTTTCCGTCCCTTCCTGCTGCTAAATTAGTAGCTTTCATAAGCGTCCATGATCCTTGCAATCAATACCCCGCATGTGCTGAGTTGGGTTAGTGCTGACCGCCAGCTTGTGCTGACTTTCGTCTGCTTATCTGGTCAGATGTAAAATATCACCCTCATAGAGTGAGTGGCCTATATGCTTCCACCTTAGATCCGTCCTCCCCTCACTTGTGGTCGCAACACACACAATGACGACAGTACAAGACCGTCACCCGGAGCTCTTCCAGCCCATAAACTATGAGTCCCCACGAGGCAAGGAACGTCGTGTACCAATGCAGGTCCTGTGCTTGGGTTTCAACCGTACCGGCACTGCGAGTAAGTCCATCTGCTAGTTCTCAACTTGCCATGAATGGTTACTAATAAATCTACCGCAGCCATGTCTGCTGCTTTGGAGAAACTAGACATTCCTTGCTGGCACTCTTTTCATCTTCTGACCACCCACTTTGGGGATAATGAGATGTGGCAGGATGCAATTGACCGCAAGTTTTTCGGCAAGGGAACGCCTTTTGCTCGGAACGAGTTTGACCAGCTGATTCACTCGTTTGGAGCCGTCAGCTCAGACACGCCTGCGATAGCCTTCGCCGACGACTTGGTCGCGGCGTATCCTGAGGCCAAAGTCGTCCTCGTCGAGAGGGATATTGAGCAGTGGTATGAAAGCTATATGCATGCTATCATAGGAAACATGTTTGACCCATTCACAAACATTGTGTATCATCTGGACCGAAGCTACATACACCCTATTGGGAAAGTCCAGAAGAGTACCGTGGCTGGATGGGCGGGCATACGGTCCCACAAAGACGCTGAGCTGAAAGCTCGACAAAAGTATCGCGAACACTATGCGTTTGTCAGGAGTATTACACCAAAGGAGCGATTGTTGGAGTTTAAACTTGAAGACGGCTGGGAACCGCTGTGCAAATTCCTCGGAAAAGAGGTACCCACAAGTGAGTTTCCCAGGCTGAATGAGAAGGCTTGGTTTGATGAGAAAGCTTCTCTGTTAGTGAAAGAAGGGTTGAAAAAGGTGGCTATCAAGGTTATTCCGTGGGTTGTTGCAATAGTTGCTACTCGCTGGGCGTGGTCCCATTACATGGCATAGACAGCCCATTTTATGGCTCAGGAAAGAAGGACATGTACCTCCAAGTGGTACGCTAGTTGTGTGAATGCAAAGACGATGCTGCGTGTCAATCTTGAGATGTCGCGGATGCCGCAAAAAGGAGAGCCAGATGCGTTTATAATCCAGTCAATAGTCAGAATTACGGACAAAGCGTTATCATTCTTCAGATCCCTCTAGGAGGCGGGATTGGTATGGAGCTTATTCGACTCCCAACAGCCCAACTATGTCTGGTGCAGTAGAGCTGAAAGGTCGTCGGGTTAAATGGTGCAGGCAGCACTGCCATAGCTCGGCCATTGCCAATAAAGCAAGCAATCAGTCCATCTTCAGACCTCAAATTCCCTCGTTTCAACTGATCGCCCTGAAACCACTGCCATCGAAAGATTCGACGGGGTTCCATTCAGCATCAGTAGCGACGATGGCTCCATCACGCTCGATCTCCCGTGGGATGCTATTTGCTCTACTTGCCATGCCGCGTTTCTTGTACGGCGCGCTGGAGCAGCAATCTCTCGCCGATGATGCTCAAAAAATCGACGACAGCCCTTTGTATCCCAGTCGAGACGCGCTGATGACAACATATCTTGACCCGAAATACCCCTGCGTCCCAGAGGAAACCAACCAGTGGTCCAACTCGACATCCCGGTCAACACTTGCGCGTCGGCGAACTTAACGATAAATAATAACGTGCTTCTGGAGTACGCCGGCCTGTGCGAAGGATGGGTAAGATCTCCATACATGGCGCTGTTTCCCAGCAGCGACTGTACTGGGGAGCATGTGCACCCAGACTGGCGTTTGAGTTGGATGGGTCCAGGCCATTGTCTATCCAAGTCTATTTGGGGCTTGTCTGCGTCGTTGAAGCCGCCCGATGGCTAGTGGTCAATCATGTTTCGCTGTGACGATGACGCATCCATCAGCAGTGCGAAGGACATGATTCCCATCGGTCTCCCACAACCTCCCCTGGTTGTCGAGAAACCTCAGAAACCTGGGCCTACTTCAGCTTCCGTCTCCGACTGGGCCTGCTTCATCGCCGAGCTGGGCATGGCCGGCTCCCCAAAGTTCATATTCCAACGCCCAGAACCCGATATCTGCGTTGAAGTGGCTCCTTGGCACCGGCTCAAGATCTACAGAAACGCGCTATGTCCAAACGGCACGGAAGCCAAGCTTGCGAGGTGGCTGGACAGCGGCTGCGCTGGAGAGCCGATGACAGTGTCATCACTGGACGAAGACTATGATGGTAAAAATGGCGAGTCAAAGTGCATTGAGATGGGGGACGATTATAAAACTCGCTATGCCTTCTGGTGCACTGGCGATGTAAAGAGCGGGACGGTCGACCAGAGCTTGTTCCCGGACGACGATGGAGAACAGATCCATCTGCACTACTCCTTTGGGGATCCTTATCAAGACGCATCTATCGAGTCAAACGCACCAACGAACCGAGCCTGGATGGATGTTTTACTCACGGCACTCCTCTTATGTTGTTTATTCTAGGGTTCTTGAGGGAGATGAATCTGACGATTCCCCACCTCGCACAGATTACCAGCCGAGGCTCGCATGCGGTATCGCATCAAGCCACAGGGATCTAGCGATAGAAGGTGGGATTAGAGCAAATTCCTTTGACAAATATTAAATAACAGGGCGCAGCTAAAACCGTATCGATTCAATTGACTCGGATCATCGAGATATTTAGCGCCCAGGCTAATTACGAAGCCAAACCCTGGGGTGACAGGCATGTACATGGATCCGAAATACGAGGCAAGCAGCCACGCTTGGCATAGAAGCATGGGAAGTTCAGCAATGGATAATCCGGAGAAAAGCAGGCTTTCTAAAACTCAACTGCGAGAGAGTGCACAAGGGGCCAAGCCAAGCGTCTTGACCGGCAATGCGGCCACGAAATTCATCATCAAAAGAGGGGCAGTGCCACAGTGGCGCAAGGTGGGCGTTCGTGGAGTTGTTGATCCGGAATGACGAATGCATAATAATGACCGCTCGTTGATGTCATAGTTTCCACAACAAATATAACATGACGCACTACACTTACAGTGCAACAAACAAATCACACCGCTGTAGATTGAATAAAGGAACAAATGCTAGCACATATGTAGCTCATTTCACCTCCTCAACATCAAGAACCAACGCTCGTCAAACCATCTCGTATCGGCATCCTCCCACAATCAACAATCATGAGCGGACCGGCCTACGTTATGCCAGTCCAGGCCGTGCAGGCCGACGGTGCTCAGCATTTCGAATCAGGTAAGTCTTCGGGGATCGGCCACCAATGCCAATCAATATTCATACTTTTATATTTTAGTCGCTCCAGCAATTCAACAGTCGCTGCCCGAAAAGCCACCACCTGAGAACCATGACCAACAAGAAGACATGGGGCCATTGAGCAAAATCATTGGTATGAATCATGCAAAGCAAAATCAAGGAGCAGCCAGAGCACCGCGCTGACTTGCGTGTCACAGCCAACCAAGACAGCCTTTATAAGTACATCAGCGTAGGTCCCTCATTCAGTCCCATTGATTACAGACCTGATTGCTCATTGCGTCTAGTGGGAGGACCCCGGTCGCACCCTCGGCTCGTACGCCCTCGCTATGAGCATCTTGTGCGCAGCACATTACGTACCTCTTACACGATTGGCCCTAAAGGCTGTAGCGACAAGCCTTGGAGGTATGTAATACCAAGCCTGCAGTAGGCCATTGAAGCTGAGCGCATGTTGACTGTGATTTGTTAGTGATTTCTCTCACGGAGTTCGCCGGTCGATGTTTCGGCCCCAATACCTTTCTCACTCGTCTCCGACCCGCGGAATATTACAAAGTCCAAGAGTCAACCCTCAACGCCACCCTCCAAGACATCCATGACTTTCTCCAATACGCTGTAGTCAAAGCCCAGAAACTCATCTTCGCTGAAAATCTTGATCAAACATTTGCTGTAAGTTGTATCTCGGGATATTCATCGCCCATAATTCGGCATTTAACTAACGGACGTGCAGGCCTTTATCGGCCTTACTTCGCTGTATTGGCTAATCAAGATCGTACCTCCCTTTGGGTTGGCTGTGCTGGGCCTAACCTCGGTCTATATGGCACCCCTTTTCACTTCGCCTCGGGCTCGTGAAGCAGCACATAACACAACAGTGCGTGCTGGAGAGCTGGCGAGCGCGGCTGCTGAGAAGGGAAATTCACTTGCCCAAGATGGCAAGACCCAGGCCGTGGATCTGGCTTCCAAGGCGCAACAAACAGGTATCGACATGAAGCGACGCATTGACGGTTCGACTCAAAACGGAAGGCAAACCGATGCCGACCTATACACCCATACTAGGAGCCCCGACGAGTCAACTCAACGTGCCAGGCAAACTGGCGCCGACCTGTCCTCCCAACCCAGAAGTCTCGACGGCAACAAATTCGAAACTGGTCTCGCAGGGAACATGTCCGAATTCTCGAATACTGGTGACACAGCTGAAAGCATGAAGGATATGGACCCAGCCGGAATTGTCGACACAACTCACTACCGCCATCCTGCCTCGGATCCTCTGCAGAATCCCATGATTCTCACGTGATGACAAGACGAGCTCCATTTCCGCGTGGTTTCAATCATTAGGTGGTAGGAGACATAGTGGCTATGAATGTTGCCATGAATACTAGTTTAGGGCGGAGTGACCAGTGCGTCAGGTGGATGCTGCGGGTGTATCAGTTCAACAAAAAGGTTACAAAAATGAAACGAGAAGTATTGAATTAATAATAAAAGGTTACTCACTTATTATCAAATGGCAGCATGTATGGATCATCTTTCAGTCAGGCATGAACGGGCGAGATGACATAGCTTCATTTGTATTCTAGCTAGCACTGTAGCATTTCCGTCTCGTTCATCGCCGAATTATTTCGGGGTAAGACTTATCATGGCCAAACTTGAAGATCAACGCCTCATTAGATGGATCACATCCAGGTTTAGACAAGTTGGAGATATGTATTGCTAAAGCCCATTCACGACATAGGTGGAATTCCACAAGCTCAATGGTAACGGTGACTAATTATTGGCATGGCTCCGCAAACCTATTCTTTATGTCATCTATACCTCTCACAAGCAGAAAGTCCAGTTTAATGAGATATATCAGTACTTTAATAGCTTCAAACTACCAATTCTGCCTTAACGATCTCGCATAAAGATAATGGCTTCTAACCCAGGCTGCATGACCCACTCCAAGCTACGGAATCTCCCATCCTTATCAGGCTTGAAGGTGAGAAGAAACTGTTCATAGATAACATAATCGACCATACACCCGCTTTCTTGCTCTTCTCGCGATCCTGGCAGAAACCCGAACGTCGACTCCCCAAAATGCTCCAGATAATGCAACTGGGTTTGCATGCCATTAAGCAGAAACTCACCAGCTTTGTCTTTGCGACTAGTCGGGCGGATTTCGAGATACAGCTTTAAGCCTTTATTGCGGTACAATCCGAACTTGTCAGTTAGATTTGCCGTAGACCGTTCGGGGCTGCTGTGGTTCCGGTAGTCATCTGCAAGACGACGATAGATTCCGAGGGATTCCTTGGCCTTCGCTTCAGCCATGCCGTCCAAGTCAAGTGCAGGGCGAAGCTGGAACAACTCCTGCATTATTGCCCGCGCTGTCCAGTCTGAAGCATCACCTAGAGCCTGCGAGTTGCTCAAGACAATGATTGCCGACTGTGTCTCTGGGAAGATGCATAACGTTGTCAGGTAGCCCGTCACTTGACCACCGTGGTAGAGCATTAGGCGGCGCGGGGAATCTTGACCGAGGATTGGACGTTCATTGGCGCCATTCGTTGACATGAACCCATACATGGGGGGGGGGGGGGGGGGGGGCATAGACAGACGTGCCCAACTGTATCCGTAGGTGTTTTCAGACAGACCATGGTGAGCGAGCTGGGTCTGATGGGCTGTGATTGTCCCCATCTCTTTGAGTACGCCAGCGGTCTCAGCGTCACCCTGGGCAGCACGGCGGATATCGATGCTCGTGAGTACTGCTTGCACCCACTTCAGCATGTCGGGCACGGTGGACCACAGGCAACCGGCAGGGCCCATCAAAGTATCGGGGGAGAGGTCCGGTCTCGGAAGCGCACCAGGGGTTCCGTCATCCTTGACGTAGTGTGGCTCTGCAACGTTGTCGTCGGTGAATTCATGGCGGGACAGCCTGATTCGACGCATCTCCAACGGTTCGAGTAGGCGTTGGGTCAGAAACGACGCCCAATCCTTGCACCCGCCTACCTTGTCGATGATGCGTGCCATGATAACATACATGTAGTTGCAGTAACTCCACTCACAATGGAACTCGGCGGCTACAGGTAAATGGGCGACGACATGTAGGAGATCCCGAGGATCCACGAGACTCTTGCCCGAGGCGCCGTACCACGAGAGGTCCAGTTGTGCCAGACCAGTGGTATGAGACAGAGCGTCGTGGACGGTTGCGCGGTGTCCAACCACGGGGTCCGAAAGCGTATGGAACGGGAGGTGATCTGACAGCTTGTCGTTCCAGGACATCTTCCCTTCATGGACCAGCATCCCACAGCACGACGCCATCATGGCTTTCATGGTTGATCCGATGACATAGGCCGTGTCGACGTCGGCGGGGGCTTTCTTGACGGCGTCACGCCATCCATCAGCGGCCTGGAGCACGACCTGACCATTGTGAATGACTCCGAACGAGACAGATGCAGCGCCTGTTGCTTCGCGAAGGCGAGTGATGGTGGGCAAAAGAGCTTGCAATCTTTGCTGAAGATTAGATGTGCGCTGCCTGATGAGGATTTGCAACTCACCTCTCTCGCGCCTGGTGGATGGACGTCTGGGTTGAAACCATGATGCGAATACACACACTTCCGAGGAGCTTGAAGGAGATCCGTAGTTGGTTTGCTGGTGGAAACGAGAAGCTGCTGGTCTCGTCTGGTCTCTACCTATCTAGTAGATATGTGCTCCTGAGGCCACAAGAGTTGCAGAGATTCACCTCCCTCTCCTTTCATGTCGCACTGTCACGTGATTGACTTTCCGCCTCGTTTGAACGCACATCGAAGTGGTCAGGCTCGGCACTTCGTCTATCGTAACACACTCTAGGGGAAGTCTAGTTGCTGTAAGTTCTCACCCTCGTTGTTTCCTTTTCTAATGGAAACGCGCATGTTCGCATTTTTTTCCACATCAATTAGATACCTAGCCAGCGATGCAGTAAGTACTGGTAACAAGTAGATTAGTAGTTAAATGCAAGGCATGGCCTTGTCTTCAAATTATATTTTACTTCATTTTTCATCATCAAAGTTCATAACCCGACACAGCATGGAGCTACTTCCTGGTAGTAGAATGAACTGTCCAACTGATGTCTCATAGTTTGAACCTCTCGAAATCCATTCTCGAGAGAAGCCGTATATTTCCAACAGTCAGACGCCGCGCATATTGGTAGGCAACATCTACATAATACGTTATGTCGACATATAACGGTACATGTTTTATTCACAGCCTCAGCACACTAAACTCTCATCTTCTACAGATCACACGCCAGACAACTGTCAATGGCAGATTGAGATGACTTTGAAGCAGCATGGTTTATTGAGCATTAAACCGCGCCGCATCCAGCTGGTGACGTGAGCTTTTTCAATTACCAATCTGATACCCTGACTTGCGCCAATTACAGAGGCCACTCACAGAGTCTAGAAGCCGCTCACGGAGCGTGTGACTGCATAGCCCATTGCGGTATGTGACGCATCTACGGTGTCACAAGAGGAATGCCATGCCGTTGACCCAATTTTCGCACACAATGCAACCGAGATGTATCACGTCGGGTTCAGCAAGGCGCACAAGTGGTTCTACCTGAACAGACAGACCAATAAAGAGGTCCTGCTAATGTAGATCTACGACAGTAGTACTCCGGATATGCCTGGTGAGTCCCGTCACTCCAAATAGTAGAGCGATTGTTTGCCCTCGAAGACCTGATCATGTACGTAATGTGATCATTCTTTCTCATGCATGTGCACCTTGGAAAACATGAAGATCCAAGAGCACGGTGACTGGACCTTTTGATTTTGCCACGACACAACATTTGGCGGATGGTGCGTTGAACCAGGCTAGTCAAGCGTTTGGAGAAGCACACGAGATTCAAAATGATCCACTGGAAAACACCAAGGCGGAGCTGGCGACGACTTTATGGTACTGGATTTGGCAAAGAACCAACTGGCACAACATGAGAAAGGTCCCGAAATTGGAGAGGAGAGCTATTTGCACCAAAAACAGTTTACCCAATCAGCAAAGGCCTGTCGATGATCATTGGGCAAACGAAGAATTCGATAACCTTGTCGTATTAAAATCGGTAATGAAGCACAAGATCCGATCGATGTTGCTGAGCAAGGCCAGTCGGGCCTCAGCTTCAGCCGGGTCTTTGAAGTACTGGACTCGCTCCGGCACTGATATCAGGTTTCTTTGTCGACTCAGCAGAATCGAATTGGTGGTCGTTCGATCGGTGGCATACTGCAATGCAGCGGGACTCGTAGGGTCGGGCGGGCTGACCACAGTTCTTGTTGTTGGCATGATGACTTCGATTGTGAGATTGATGAGAAGATGATGTGTGAAGGAGGGAAAGAATCAGGGCTCAGCTTCTTGAGCCGACTAAAGCAGCTTATATGTTCATACAGGTTTAACTTTTCCAAGCTAAAAAGCTTGATATTTGGTCATCGTGGCAGTATTGGGTAATAAATGCTTGAATTGTGGATAAAACTGTGATTTTTTGACCTTGTGCCGGCAACTTGCTCATCTTGAGGGAGCAGACAGAAGTTAGATTAGTAATGAAGCACAAGAGCGAAGAACGATAGTGTGGCGACTGTCAAAGGTATTTCCGATTCATGGGATATCAGTCAATCTTTTTTGAAGATCTGTCCCTGTTCCTCCTCCTCGTCCATTCTCCAGCAAAGCGCGGCTTGGGATAGAAACCCAATCTTGTAAAACCAATACGGCCTACACCGCTGGCCACGGTTGACGACTTGGTCAAAGGTCTCATTGAAGACAAAAAAGTCCTCGTGACAATGGCGGAGCGTATATTTCTCGTCTTGTCGGCCTTGCAACGACATGTTTAGTTCCCTTTTGTCGCCCTGTGTGCAGAGTGCCACGACGATGCGAAATTGGCGCGTCTTGTTCCAAAAAGTGCCCGTGTACCGTTCAAGGTTGGTGGGAGGGGCGCTGGGCTTCTTCTCTTTGTCTAGCATTTCCTGCACGCGTTCCATGGCGGAGCGTTGCCTCGAAGCTGCTGCCATGGTGTACTGGTCAAAAGGAGTCCTGATGCTTCCGCATAGAAATGCCTCGGTCAGTGCCTGTGCGGTCAAGTCGGTCGCATCGCAGTGGCCCAGGGCATTTCTGAGCACAACAATGCCACTATTCAGCTCGGGCATCAGGTATACCGTAGATGAGCAACCGGAGCTACTGCCGCCTTGGTGAAAAACCAATGGCGCGTCGCTCGAATCGCCAATGGTTTGATAGGCATCCAGTAAGTCGTAATTGCTGCTGAACAGGCTCATTTGGTTGGGCAACTGGGTTCTCGCCCATCCCATACCGTAGGACTGTTCTCGAAGCGACGTGGGGTCCCGGAAAGGCATGGTTGGTTCGAATATCGTCCGGATATGGATGGAGATGGTGTTGAGGTCTCTAAAGATAGAGTTGGGCATGAGATCGATGAAGTTGCGCAGCAACGCACTGTAGAATGTCATGAGATCACGCAAACAACTTCGGACACAGCCCGAGGCGAAAATGGCCGTATCACTGCAGAGGCTAGGCGGTGGAACCTGGCAAAGCCCCCGGTCGTGATACGTAACGTAGGCTTGTGCAACATTCTGGTCCGACGCTGGAGGAAGTGTCGTGAATGTGCGCTTCATATTCAACGGCTCGAAGATGCGCTTCGCCAGAAAGTCGCCGTAACTCATCGACGACAATTGCTCGATGACACATCCCACAACATGGTAGCCGACATGGTTGTAGATGAACTTCTGGGGAGGATGGCTGGGGCTGAGATGGGCAAAAACATCAGTGCCCTGAGTCTTCTTGAGGAGAAGCCGATTGTCGGACCCAAGAAATAGGGCTTCTGACGTGCATAATCCTGTGCTGTGGCTCAGCAACTCTCGAATAGTGAATTTGCCATTTTCAGTGTCACGCAATTCTACGAGAAACTTGTCGACACGATCATCCCAGTCAAGTTTGCCATCGGAAACGAGACAAGCGACGGCCAGAGTAGTGAAGCCTGTGCTCATGGGCCCGAGGTTGAAGACGGTGTCGATGTCTGGACGTAACTGCTTTCTAACGTCACGGAAGCTGTAGTAGCTGTTGAGCACTTTGCCGTCCCGGTTGAAGATCCCTATTGCAAGGCCTGGAGTTCCAGACTCGCGACAGACGTGATGAATCGTGAACTTGGCCATGTGGAGGACGTCTTCATATGGCCATCCGCAGTTGAGGCGGAGCTTGGCGATTGTCGTTTCCATCATGGAGCAGGGAAGTGGGTTTGTCGCTTTGGTCTTTCGGGTCTTGGTAGCAGATATAAAGATGTCAAGTCGATCAATAACTAGTCGCTTTAATGTAGACGAGGCAGAAGTTGTGGAGAAGAGGTTGAAGAGAGGAGGCGGGGAAGGACGAAGTGGTTGGAAAGAGAGCTTATTGATATGTTGACATGGAACTCTAAGTAGCTAGCTAAGGGGGCGTGACATTTTATATTCTGATATGGATCACGCATCCTGGTGATTGACTTAAAAATTTAGGGGTGAATCAAGACGCCGAGCAAAGACGGCTATGACACGCCCATCAACAGAAGTAAGGATGAGAAAGATTCCGTGACTCGGAGAAGAAAAAGACTAATATACACATATTCGCTGAACACCAACAGTAATCAGCAAGTCAACTACTTCTTGACCTTGTCAAGGGTTTCTCTCCACACCCTTGGCGTGATACCAGTCGCATGGCCGCTGTTATCCAACTTGAACTCGAAGTCGTCGATGCCAATGTCCCCATACTTGACCGCATCAACACCACCCCACGACATACAAAGGTCAGTCCAAGGATCAAGGTCGGTTGATACAGGCTCGACTGCCCTGTTCTCATACACCCCCCTGAATCTGATGGTTCCATTGTTCTCAATACCCGCGGGATAGAGCCTCAGCCCAGCATATCCCATGTTGAAAACGTCCCTAAATGTCTGCAGCATGTCGACGGCACCTCTTGTCCAGTTCTGAACTACCAGACCGCTCAGAGTATCGTCGACTCCGACCACGATTTTGCCATGGGAGTTCTCGTATTTACCGGCGAACCTAGCCTTTGCCGTCTCTCGTGAGGCTTCTTCAAGGGCAGGAATCATTGTCTGAGTGATGAGGCTGGGTACAAGGGATAACAGGTCCGCCCCCGCGATATCACCCGCGAGCGAGATGACGAAACCAAAATCGTGGTCCGGTGAAAGAGCAAGCATGGAGCTGTAGGATCCCAACATGCCGTTTTTGGTGTAAAGATCAACGACACGGGTTTGGTTCGACTTGGGGGAGATGGGAAGTAGCAGACGCCGAATCTCCCACGGCATACCCACGGACGCTTGGAGTTCTGCGGTGTGCGACACAGGCTTAAGCCACGCTCGGGTGACGTGGTCGGGCAGAATAGAGGAGCTAAGAATGGATTGCGCGATAGCCGTGAGATCTGAGGGAGTCGAGAACATGCCGCCGTAGCTGAACAAAACAGTTAGAAAATACGACAGGTAAATAGAATCATAGAAAGGTGACACCTACGGACTAGCATCAGCCATTGTACGATCCCACCACGAGATGGTCTTGTTTCCGGGAATCACGGCGTTGCTGTCATCTTTGGGAGCTTCTAGCGTTGTGTTATTGAGCCCAAGAGGGCCGAGAAGTGCTGAATTGAACGACTCTTCAAACGTCTTGTTGGTCATCGCCTCCAGAGCATATGCCAAGATCTGATATGCCATGTTGGAGTAGATTGGAGTGTTTGAGGTTGAAGTCACCGGGAGAGCTATCTTGGAGGTGATGCCCTTGAAAAACTCTAGAACGGTAGATTAGTACTGGAATACAGGGTGGCTTGGATGTGAGATGAGATGGCGTAAATGGAAGTATCATTTAAATTACTGACCTTTGCGAGTACAGGCTCTTTTGCCAAATGCAGCATCGCATGCAGGGGTGTCTTGCTTTTTAAGGGAGGGCAAACCGAAAGATTCGGGACTGAGCCCTAAGTCTTTCAGCTGTACGGAAAAGTCTCCAAATCCAACTTGAAGAATATTAGCCAAGGTTCCCCGAATCAACCATCTTATGATGACATACAGTTTCGCCCAATACCGGACATGTGACTTCCCAGTTGACCAATGGTCACTTCATCCCATTGAGTGCCTTGAACAGGATCTCTTCGATGCTTGACAGCCTTGGCCAGCTCGGGAACCCACTGGGTGACAGGGTCATTCAACCGTTTGATGCCAACTTCAGCAAGAAGGGTGTAAACAGTGAGGAGCTTTGAGACACTTCCAATGCGGAATACCGTGTTTTCGTTCAAGGAGCCAGATGTCAAAGACTTTTTCGTGGATTCCGGAACGTATTTGTAGTGGAAGAGTTTGTCTGTTCCTGAAAAGGCTTGCACGTAGAAGGTCGTATTTGTGCCAGCCTCCACGACTTCATCCATCAGGCCAGTCAGCTGAACAACTGCATCTTTGATGGCTCTAGAGTCGCCGAGGTTCTTGCGAACAGGCGGGAAGACGGGTCCGAGAAGGGGGCATGTTGGGGTGGTTTGGCTGAGTGCGCTTCTGGCGAGAGTCAGCAGCACCAGTAGGGGACTGGAAATATGCATATTGCAACAAGAAGAGAGCGGGAGTAAGATAATTGTAGCAGCTGAGTGTCGAATGAGTTGTTGCAAGTTTGTTCATGTCTGAGGGCGACTACGGTCGGGCTTTATAGACCAGCAAACCACATGCCATGTCAGACTTGCCGGTGCCTTGTTGAAGTCTTGGCAGCTATGGTAGCGAATCGGAGGAATCAACGACATAGAGATCGTTGTGATTGGTAGGATCGGAAAACTGCAATCTAGAAAGGCCGCAAGATTGAAATAGCGGCGTAAATCTCCTCGTCATCTTACGCCAAGATCCGAGAGGATTTCAATGGATCGCCATGTTGAGGCTTCAATCAAGCTAACCAAGATCTGGGGAGCCAATCAGCTTCAACCAAGACCAAAGACGCCAGATGATTGGCCGGGTCGTACAACAACTGCGCCATAAAGCGGGGGCAAATCTCACCGAAGACTTGGCTCTGGAGACATATCCTTGTGTCTAGACGTCGAAGCGACTTCAGCATCATCTGACTCTGGCAAATCCAGTCACAAGTTGTCATTCATGATCGGTGAAAAGGCAGAGCTCGGCGCGAAGCCCGTGGCAGCACGCAAGAGACGCGCTCACAAGAAGGTCAAGACGGGATGCGCCACCTGCAAGTATGTTCCCTGCGCCGGTCTCAAGCGAGCCACAGGTCAACCCATGCTAATTGCTGGAGTTCAGAATTCGAAAAGTGCGCTGTGATGAAGAGAAACCTGCCTGCAACCGCTGTGTCTCAACTGGGCGCAAGTGTGACGGCTATGCGGTACCCTCCGAGCCGCCCAAGGGAGTCACGACAAGCTTGCATCTCTACCGCCCAGCTGCCGACGCCAAGCTCATCCTCCCCGCAAAGAACCTCAACGAGATCCGAAGCTACCGATTCTTCATGGATGTCACGGCTCCTACTATCGCCACCACGTTCGACGCCGACTTCTGGCGGTTCGAAGTTCCCAGGATATGCCAATCCGACCCCGCTATATGGCACGCCATCGTGAGCTTTGGATCCATCCATGAGAGTTACGTGACTCCAGGACCGTCGCAATACGTCAAAAACTTGTTCGCTATGCAGCAGTTCAGTGCCTCTATTCGATATTTGACTGCTCCAAGCTACACTGATAAATGGAGGGCGCTCGTCATCAGCACCATCTTTACATGTGTATGCCATCTCGAGGGACTTCCAGACCAGGCTCGCATGCATCTCCGAGCTGGCCACAAGCTTCTTGAGGAAATCCTGCTCGAAGAAAGAAGCCGCCACGTCAAGGGACTCGGTCCTCACTTACCACGCTCGCCGTCAAGCATGGCCCCGGTATCGTTATCTTCAATCAGCTCTATCCTCACCGGCTTCCAAATTACAGAGCAAGCGCTAAGTCGAGGCGGCATCTCGGATCTTCCCACGTTGATATCGCACCACGATGGCTTCACCGCGTGGCGCTATTACACGGCACCATCTAAGTCGCCGTACTTGACAGTCGAGAACCTGACAAGGGCTACTCGGGCTGCTGAGTCGCTGTTGAATGGCCTCTGTTTTTTTATGCAGAAACATTCCGAAGAAATCAAGGACCTCCTCCTCGGCAGAGGTGATGCTAGATCGCTGGAGTCTATCGCCTCGGAACAAGGGCTAGAGACGAGGTGCTTCAGAGAAATCTCAAAGACAATTCGTTCTTTGGAGGCAGAACAGACGACTGCTGAAGCATGGAACGATAGCACAGATTATCCGTTGAAGAAAGCCCTCCTCACCCTAAAGCTATATCACGAAACCAACCGTTTCATCATCTTAAAAGATCCAGATGAACCTGACATGGCGAAGAGAATCGCAGCTTTGCCAGCAATTGGTGTGCGAATTGTCGACCTTGCCGAGGAAATCCTCGACCTTCCAAAGACGGGAAACGACAAGTCTTTCGTGCCGAGTCCTGCGACCTCCAACCCACTATTTGTTGTTGCGCACTCTGGGTTTACCCGAGAATCACGACGACGTGCAGTGCAACTGCTCAAGCGTCCCCAAATGGTAGGTCTTTGGGATACTCTGCTCACGGCGAGGATAGCCGAGGCTATTATGGAGAGGGAGGAGATGGTGGCATATCAGGATCAGTTGAGAAAGGTTTCAGAGGGAACACTGGCCCCGGAATCGATGCAGATGAGTGGCGATGTTCCGATGCAGCCTTTGCATCGTATTTTCAGCATGACCGTCTCCGTGACTGGGAGAAGGAAGGCAACTATATCATTGCGGACGTGGCAAGACTGGATACAAGGGGAACGCGGGCAGCAGAGCGTCATCAAATGGTAATAGTGCCATAATAGCGAAGTGCCCAGTGTAGTTTATATCTTAGACCGTGCTGGTTAATAGACAACGCAAGCTTTACGAATGCTGGACTTTCTTGGAGATACTGATTCCTATGGCTAGACTGTAACCTGACGCCGCTGAGGATATAATGCGAAGAAAAGCTAAAGAATCCTCAATCTTGATATACTATCGTAAGAAAACATCACTTTATCCTAGAGAAGCTATATAGTATGTAATATTTAACTAATGACGCAATGCCATAAAGTACCTATAGGGTGAAATACCCTTGTCCATTGCTGTGGAAAAGGAATTCACATTATATCACTCCGAGCGTTGTATCTCTACAACTTTCGTCTATAGCTAAAGAATGTCTCAAACAAACGATCCTGTTGACCAGGAGTAAACTGGTTAGTGCTATAAAAAGAGTAGTTAGCTCTGTCCAACCCGATATAGGTAGGTCCAGCTTCACTGGTCTGCAACTGAGAATCACGAGAAGAAAGAGACATACCAGTTATCATCCGTGTAGCCCATGAAGTTATGAATGGGATCCACGCCTGGGCTATCCGGACAGCTATCCGACCCAATGGGACATCCGTAAATCTCAGTTCTCTGCGCAGGCGTGTCGGCGACAAAGTCACCTGTCGCCGAGCAACCCCCAGCAAAAGTGTGGTTCAGACCAAACCAGTGCCCAGCCTCGTGGACAGCAAGATGGCCCAGGTTCCACTCCTCGAATGCTCCTTGCTCAGCTGTGATTCCCGGCATCGTCATGGCGCTGAGCTGGCATGAGTCCAAGCCAAAGGTGTCGTTGTCGCCTTCCCCGATGGTTGTGGGCCAGTTGCAGTATCCCGTAGCACCTGGCGAATACTTGCTGAAGAAGTACAGGTTCAAGGCATCGTAGCCGCCCTTGCGTGTACTTTTAAAGTATTCCTTTTCTTCTTCTTCGTGGTACACCCAACCCTTATCCGCGCCTTCGTAAATGAGGAACGAGTGGCCCGTGAGGTTGTCTACGACGCGCTCGGTCGAGTTCAGCACGAGGTTGACGCTGTACTTGGCGAATGACTCGTGTAGGACCTTCCACTGCGCGTCGACGATCTTGTCGGTGATGAGATTCTCGTCTTCCTCGGTGCTGGCGATGTGGAAGTTCACATCTACAGTGATGTTGCTGGGAAGGTCCTGGCGGCGGATAGACTTATGAAGATTGGAACGGCGGGTTGCGTCTTGTACGAGACCCTCATCGGAAACGAGACATCCGCGGCCTCGGGGTGCTGCTTGTTTAGCATCGGCTCCAGCTCCAGCTAGGGCCAATAAAGCCAGACTAAAGATCATGTTGAAGGTTGTCCTGTCGCTTATGTGTATGGAATGAAGACAGTTGGGAATCATGCACAAGGGCGAGAAGGGTGCAAACCGTCTTCTAATTGTACTTATCAGTGTCCCCTGTTAGCAATACGAGATCAGTCCGTTCGCTCATTCACCTTCCTCGTATTGTTAGCGTCGTAGCTATTTTAATCTCGGAATACCACCTTGGCAACTTGGCATCTTGGCCGGTGCTCCACCGGCGGGTTTGCGAGCCTATTTGAAGTGTTGTTTCCGACCCCAGTCACCACCTTCAAACTCTGTTCTCGACTATCCTTTCCCTTTTCCACATGAACGAACGTTAGATACAAGCAGGGATTGATGCGGATCCTAAATCTATCTCCACCGCCGCCAACGGTCCTTCGCCGACGGAGCTACTGGACTCAGATCAAAACTACTTTCCGACTCGGCACGTCAGAAACGAAGATGGCTTCAGAACTGTGACCAAGCCGAGACATCTCAGCAGCTACTCCGATCCGTTCATATATTTCGTCCTCATCTCCGGCCTTGTGCTTTCGAACGATCAATCCAGCTTGCCAACCCGCCGACTTCGCCGTAGCGGCCACGATTTCTAGGTAGTGGAAGACTCTGTTGTCGGTATTTTCCTCTTTACAATCTACAGAAACTCCCCAGTCTTCGTCTGAAAGTTGAATATCTGGGTAGAATGGTAATGTTCGGCCGCATTGTCCTTCAATGCTCCAATCGGTTCGAAACGGCGACATTTCATCATCCACGTTGACTTGATGAATAATCCTAACTTCGATCATCCGCGTTGTAAGATGGATTTGACCGGCGGATATCGGATTATAATCCCCGATTGTCTTCGTTGTATCGACATGCGTGCAGTCAACATCCTCAAGTCCGCTCTCAAAGTAGCTCTCCGTAGAGATGGACAGCGCGCCTGTGTCCCTGGCAGTCGGCCAATTTATTCCGCAATCAACCGAAACCCACGACCACGACGGCTTCCTATACTTCCGCGCACAAAGCGTAGTTGATTGGTCGCAGCGCCAGAGGAGGTCATACGGCAAGGCATCCTTCCAAAGCCCAGATATGTACAAGTCAGCGCAGCTTGATCCACGAAGGAGCTCGGCGACACCCGTGATAGCGAATGCTCTATCGCTTGGCACAGTGAGCGAACGTCGAGAAAAGGTTTTGACGCATTCTCGCCACATGGGCCGGACGCGCTCCTGAGATGGATGGTCAACAGTGAGCCAAAACGCCGCGTTCATGTTATTCATCGTCCTGCCAGAACCCATGAAATTTGTCATTTTCCCACATTGGCAGGAGATATTCCCCTTACATTCCCACACTAACTCGGCGGGAGTAAAGTGGACGATGCGGCGGGCGAGCAGACGTTCTTGAAAACCCCATCCCCGGCATAACAGTGGCAGCTCCTTTTGGATGAATTCCTCCCACTGCTTGCGGGGCATCGTTCTGCATGCCCGCATCACGGTGTGAAACATGTCGTCCGACGGTGACGAGTCGTGTGCTTTGGTATGAAGACCTTCTTGAGTACTTCGCGATGCCATTGCAGCAATGACGAGACTGGCATTGGAGTAAATGGCGCCCATCTTTCTGGCCTCGCGTCGCCAGTCTACATCGTCGTCTTGGACAATGCACAACGCATCGACCCAGAGATAGCGGAAGCCAAGAGCTTCCACAATCTCAAAGGTCTGTTTGATGGTAAGAGGCAACGCGTCGGTAGGAATGCTCTCCTTCATCCGGGATAATGTGGCTTTGAGTGTTTGGAGGTTCCCGGTCAATCCCCAACAGTAGCTCAGAGCTACAAACTCCGGGAGGCTGTGCAACGATGCTACGTTGACGAGGCGTGCTCTTCCACTGGTAGCATCGATCTCGATGAGTCGACCCGGGAGCGTGTTGGATCGGCGAGTATTGCATCCAGATGTGTCGTGTTGTGACACGCATGTCGCCATCCAAGACTTGACAGCTTCGATTTCGGCCTTCCGCTCGCCATTTGTGTCGCAAATAGAGCCTTCCATGGTTTTTGCCTGCAACCTGAATGAGCTCGTTTGATCAGGTCGCCCGGGATCGAGAGGAGCGAGGTGGTGAGTGCATGCGATATTTGAACTGGATTGGACGATCGGAAAACTGCAGCGAAGAGCGTTGGTTATGTAGTAAATCGAACTGCAAGGCTGCCTAGGGCGCCGAGGCAGAATCGCAAGGTTGAATGCACTCAATCCACGCATAGGCCTCCAACCACACGAATCGTTTGCATAGCTGGACTTTCTGCGGCACAATATTTACGCCAAGTGTACCTTCACGTTTGACAAATCGGAAATTATACTCAAGGAAGAGATATTTAATTCTCACTCGAAGATCCAAGCCACCGGCAACGACTCGAACTTGCGGTGCTCTAGGCTTACCCCGCATCCTATCATTACAACCCCGGAGATACCGGGTTCTGGCCATACATCTAGGTAAGTTACGAATAAAAGGGACGTATACAACAATGGACAGCAGAAGTACTCTAGCGATGGAAGCATCTGCTACAAAATAATAGGTAGTTACTCGGCTACAGACTGGTCATGGTTCAAGTTCACTTCGGCCTTTGGAAATGACCCATGTAGATCATGGGGCACATTTACAGAGGAGACGACCAAAAAATGGACTCGCTCACGATCGGATAGAGACCCCAACCAACTCATGCACCTATGGTTTGCATTCCAGTCCATCAACTACTTTTGACAGCCCGCGGAGACGGTGAGAAGGAGAATGCGACTGGACCCCCCTGGCTATGTCAAGCCGCCAAGGCCGGCTAGTTCATTGAGCTTTGGTAGGACGTTTTTGCACAAAACATCATGTTACCATCGGTTGGTCTGTTGGTTCACCTGCAGCCAACACCTGGTTCCCAGTGGCCCATTCGTTTCGCTAAACTGCTGACGCGTACAGCGGCAGGGGTTCGTAGGTATTCAAACAATTGCTTCATGAATGAGGGGTAGAAGATTTTGCGTCCTTTTGCAGACTCTGCTGGACTGCTCAGTTGGTCTCACTCCTCCGCCAACACGACTCATTACTTGAGTCATGGCTACAATCAACCCTAACCCCGTTGTGGTGCCCGACGATGAAGTGCTGATACCTGACCCAACGACGCAGTAACATACATTGACTTAGTGTGTGGGTTCCCAGCGATGGGGATTCTTCAATTGGACATGTATGTGCAAATCACTCGCCTCTAAGTATTTTTGCCAACGCTGACCGGATGACAGGACACTGCATCATCAACTCAAAGTGTGTCAAGCTCCATTGTAGACTACAGACGCGAAAACGGCAGGACGTATCACCGATACAAGGATAGAAGTGGGTTCCCAGCTACCCAAAGACACCACCCCAAATCCATCATGGTACTAATATTCCCAACCATTAAAATACAATTTTCCCAACGATGACCAAGAAAGCGATAGGCTAGGTATGGGTGTTAATATTATTTCGAGTGTTCTTGCTAATGAGGTTAAGACTTACAACACCATTTGTTCCTTCTTACCTTCGACAACAAGCTTGGTCTTGCGCCACCAAATCGGCCTGGTGCAAAGGTCGAAACAATTCTCGATGTGGGAACTGGGACAGGTGTCTGGGCTATGGACTACGGCGATGAGCATCCAGAGGCAAAGGTATGATGGCCTGCTTAAGCCCGATGATAGTATCTAGCTTTTGAAGGTCATTGGAATCGATCTTTCCCCCATTCAACCAAACTTGTATGGACCGACCAGGCAGTATCATATTCTTAGTACAGTGTCCCCATAAACGTCGAATTTCTCATTGACGATATTGAGGAGCCGTGGTCTTATCGTCAGCCCTTCGATTAAATCCATAGCAGAATGATGACGTCGAGCATCGCAAAATGGCCAGACTATCTACGAGATGTTTATGAGTAAGCATAGGTGCAGGGTCTGGGTTCTAAAACTGACGCACGTAGAAACCTCTCCCCGGGTGGCTACTTTGAGATGCAAGAGATGGATCTTATGACAAACTCAGATGATGGTACCCTGCGTGATGATCATGCTCTTTTCAAGTGGCTTCGGCTCTTAGGTGAAGCAATGGTAAAGCTTGGCCGACCATTTCAGGACATGATGAGTTTGAAAGAGATCATGGCCGAGGTCGGGTTTGTTGACATTGTCGTGACCTCTTTCAAGTGGCCGACCAATACTTGGCCTCGAGATCAGAAACACAAGGAGCTCGGGGCGTGGAATAACGAGAACATATCCATTGGACTTGAAGGCCTAACTATGGCGCCTTTGACAAGGGCCCACGGCTGGACCCAGAAAGAGGTTCTCGTCTTTCTGGCCGACGTGAGGAAAGACTTGAATGATAAGGCAATCCACGCTTACTGGCCGATGTATGCGCTCTTCTTTCCTGCTTTCAGCACATACTAACATGAGAACAGATATTCGATCTATGGGAAGAAGCCGGAGGCCTAACTTTGCACGCCAACCCATATTAAATTGTCAGGGATTATTTTATTTCCAGGAATCTCGCCGGTTCGCGAGACTTGCTCCGATTTGTGCTGCACAATCTAGGACTATTTCGCGCATTCACTTTGTAGCGGGGATTGTCAATTATCGAACTGTCATGGAAGCGTAGAAAATACACGTCGCTACTTAAAAAATTACCCAATGCTCTGCTCGTGCGATGCCTGCTGCACAAGACTATTTGTACCAGGTTCGCACCATGAAAGGTCGGCCGATTTTCCAAGGCGAGCAAATCAGACATGTTGGTCCGACAGGCGCTTATATACCCGAAACTGTTGGTTGATCAGGCTGGCAAGCGGGGCGGTGTTGGCTTCGCCTCAAAGTGTCGCACCCGAAGAATCCGATGGAAACACAATTCTGTTCTTTTCCACATCCGATAGAGCTCATCTTGCATCCGTTGCTGGATAATACTGATTGTCGAGTCCCTCGTGTTTGAAGCATCTCTCCTGAGTCGCGAGGGCCCACATGGATCCTTTCTCTATCTCAGCTAGCATTGCGGGACTGGTTTCCCTCGCTGATCTGGTGTTCCGAACTGCCACGAAATACGTCAAAGGTGTCCGAGGATCACGTCAGGAAATCACAGATTTGTTGGGCGAGGTGAAAAGCGTCTCCCTCCTGCTGCACAACCTGTCGTTGGTTGCGTTCGAACTAGAAAGCGACTCTGCCACTGGCGAAACCGCCGCCGAACAATCCCACCATGTCAAGCCACACCATCTCCATGGCTGCCAAAAGCTGCTCAAAAGACTCGAAACCGGTCTGACTGATGCAAATACGAATCTGGAGTCCAAGTCTTCGTTCACCAGGATACAACGCCGTCTAAAATGGCCCTTCTCGTCGACCGAAACAAAAGAAATCCTCCAGGAAATTCAGCGTCATAACCAAACCATCAGTCTTGCACTGGCAGCGGATTCCATATCCCAGTTGAGAAAGCTGTTGTCTCGACAAGAGGAAACATCAAATCGCATCAAGAGTCTACAAGTCACGGCCAAGCAGATCCTTGATATCGAGACAAAGATCTTCCTGGATGAAAAGAGACGCCGCGTTCTTCAATTATTCTCAAAGGTCAACCCACGCTCGGAATTTGCGACTGTCAAGAAATTGCGCCATCCCCTTACCGGCCTTTGGCTAACAGAGGGTCCTGAGTTTGGGGAATGGTACCGTACGCCAAACGCCAGGATCTGGATCACTGGTATCCCCGGGGCTGGAAAGTCCGTGATAGCAGGAGCTGTAATCCAAGAGTGTCTTCAGCGAACCAAGACAAACCCTGGAACAGCCGTGGCCTACTTCTTTTGCAACTACAGAGATCCAAAATCCCATGAATCTTCCAGCATACTCGCATCACTAGCCTCTCAGCTGGCTCAGCAAAACGAAACCGCCTACAGATTGCTGGAAGAGTACTACGATGACCTACGACCAGAAGATAATCTCTCAGCAGATCCGACGGCAGAGGAGTTGATTGAAGTCATTTGCGAGATGTCTACCTCCTATAATCAAGTCTATTTGATTGTTGATGGACTCGATGAGTGTGATAAACAAGTGGACGCGACTTTGAGAGATTTGCTAGCTCTTGCCATGACACAAACTCATGACCTCATCAACATTGCTCTACTCAGCCGAGACGAACTCCTGATTCGACACCAAGTAGAAGATCATTTTTATTGTGTCGAAATGGAAGCCCGTACTGAGGACATTCAAATATACGTGGCCTCGGAGCTAGAACACCGCATCAGTTTGGGAAGATTAAGGTTTCGTGACATTGAATTGAAAGATCATATTATGGTCCGGCTAGTGGGTGGAGCTAAAGGAATGTAAGTTATTCGCATCAAGAAAGATTCGTTTGGGGATCAACTCGCTAACACGACACCTAAGGTTTCGGTGGGTGGCTTGCCAGCTGGACCATATTTGCGAGCTTCCAACGGACAGAGCCCGTCGAGAAGCCTTGGAAAAGTTACCGCCGACCTTACCCGGCACCTATGAGCGTATTCTCATGAGGCTTGAAGAGTCCAGTGAAGCTGTGAGAAACCTTGTACGAAGAGCCCTGCAGCTGATTGCGGTTCGTCATGTCGAAAAACTCAGATTTGAAGAGATCTGCGAAGCACTATCGATTTCAGATGACTCAGACACTTTCCATGATGATGAGACTGTGGAAAAGTGCGAAGTTCTTCAATGGTGTGGCAGTCTCATTCGAGCATCCCATCAAGACCATGTCGTTGAATTTGCGCATTATACAGTCCAGGAATTTCTTGAAGACATTTGTCCCACACATCCAAAGCTTAGCACCTATGCCATCTCTGACGAAAAGGCCTACGACTTACTGGGATCGCTCTGCCTCCGCTACCTAACACTGACGAACTATGATCGAGCGCCGGAAGCAACCCAGAGCGAGATTCATCACATCATGAAAAGAAAAGAGCTCCATCCCCTATACGAACATGCCGCCGTGTACTGGCCATATTACATTCAACGCTTTTCAAACGGAAGTCCGACCCCGACACATCTCAATGTGCTGTTCCGGAATGAAAAGACGGCGAACTTTTGCTCATGGACAATAGAAATAATTCACCAATATTTCTCGAAGTGGTCAAAGAATTCTCACATATCATCGCAACACTTTGAAAAGGGCTCTGAAGTCGCGATCGAGATCATTGCTGCTGTTCTCAGACCAGATTTCACTCCCCTCCATATGGCAGCCATATTAGGATTGTCAGATCTTTGCGCTCACCTATTGGAGAAAGGAGCAAATGTGAATCTGAGGAGCAAGTTTGGTACCCCGTTGCAATGTGCGATTGGTTGTTTCACGGTGTTTTCGGATTCCGAGTCTCCCAGCCAATTCGAGTCAATTGTTAAAGTGAAGCGTCGGGCAGATTTCATTTCCGAGACAGCAAGACAGACGACGGCTCAATTATTAGTTCAAGCAGGGGCAAAAGCCGAATTACGATTCACTACACCCTTCAGAAACTCGACAGTCTTATCTCTCGCTCTTATGTCATCTCGGTTAAGACCGGGTTTTGAGATGGTAGTTTACTTTCTCAAGGCCGGAATTGCCGTGGAAGAGGAAGACTTGGAGACTTTCCGGCGCTCCTATGGATACATTTCTCGTGAAACACTGGATGATCTTCAGAGAATGTTTGATGGTGGAAGGGTGTTTTCGGAGTTGCTGTCGGCGCTTGGAGAGTCAGGTACGGCATCGATTGTGCAGTCCCGTCTATACAGCATGACTCTCAGATTCATGAATGAGAAGAAACTGGACACACATGGAATATCTTCGGAGGTGCTTCCCGGACACAACGCATCTGAGGATGAGGTTTGCGCTTTCATCACCTCTGCTATCAAACGAAATGATATACCTACACTGAAGATGTTCCTTGGAAGCAGTCGATCGGAACGGGTGAAACACGGTGGACTTGATGCCTCGGACCCAGATCCCAATTGGACCTCACTTCACATTGCGATCTCGGCGGGATCACTGGATGCGCTCGATCTGCTGCTTCGCTCAGGATGCGACCCAAACAGCCAATCAGAAGATGGTAGAACACCTGTTCATTTCTGTTGCGAAAATGAGCATGAAGACGCTCTTCGAACGCTGCTGCGATTTGACGCCTCCACCATCATACAAGACAAGGATCTACAGACCGTTTGGCACCGAAGCGCCGCAGCAAACTCCACCAGGATTTTGAAGGTTCTCATCGAACTTGATAGAAACGACAAAGCGTTGCAAATGGTGTCTGGCAGACATGAGACGCCGATCGGTACAGCACTCGCCAATGAACACGGAGAGTCCACTCTTTTCCTTCTGAAATATTGCAACTCTGCCGAATTTTGGAAGAGCGGAAGATCTATGTATCGAGCAGCGGCTGCGATAGGTTTCCCGGAAATCATCCGAAAAATGATTGACATTGGAATCGAGGTGGATGGTATAGATGACATCACAGGCAACCCACTCCATTTTTTCCACCGAAACCTGAACCCCGAGTCTATCAAACTTCTCATGGAGCTCTTTCCTCTACATCAACGACGACAAGAGGATTTCAGGACTCCATTTGAGTTGATGTTATCACAAGCCATGTACAGGCCGGATGAAGGACTTCATAAGGATGTCTATGAAATCATCCTCTCGCATGCTTCAACGCATTCAACTCCGCATGAAGTCAGTATTTTGTGGTCATTTATCGGCTCGGATATCATGCCGCGGGTTGTTATTGATCATAATGATTTCATATGGCTTCATGACATTATTTCTACCCTTATCCAGTTGGGAATTCCGAGGTTGTATGAGCAGGAAAAGAAGAGTTCGGCCATCTTACCGTTCATTTTCTGGGCAATCGATGACATCAAACCAAGGGTTTCAGCCTTCACAAGCGGAGTGCCCACCCCCAAGTACATTGTCCAATGGAGATGGATCTCCGAGATCTTACTGCAAATGATCAAAGAAACAACATTCTTGTCCACTGCGGCCAAAGAACCAGCCATGGTTAACCTTCTATTGGCGTGTCTTATCCATCACGATATTGCACTGACGAGTTTGCTGTTGGAGAACGGTGTGGACATTCATTCGAGAGTGGACCAGGTGTCTCCGTTTGAATTTGCCTGCTTTCCTCGAGTGAACCTGGAGGAGCCTATGTTTCAACTTCTCCTGCGGCACTCCAGAGCAGACGAAATGTTCCGAGGGAATGAAACCTTGCAAAGGCGTGGAGTTGTTCACTTCACTGCAGGCTCTGCAGCTATCGGCGGCTCGGTTTCAATTCTAAAGTGCCTACTAAGGACCGGAGTTGATGTGAATTTGCTAATTGCCGAGACTGGTGTATCACCACTTTTGCATCACATTTACTGTAACTCCCTCGACACTGTGGAAGTTCTGTTCAATTTTGGAGCTGATCCATGGGCTACGGGTGGAGAGTCTTTTGACGCACCGCTGACAGCAATCGTGACTGGTCAATCGTCACTGCTGCCAATGATTGCAGCTGTCTGTGAGGACAAAGGTCTCACTCCTCTGTGGGCTCGAACCTGGAAGGCCTCTTGGCATGGAAAGCTATTTTCTGGTGGAAATGCTCTCCATTTGGCTGCTTGCTTTGGCGAACTCGAATGTTTGAAGTTCTACTTGGATGGGGGCCTCTTGAGCAACATTAACGTCACGGATGATGACCTCGAGACCCCCATGCACTACGCAGCTCGATTTGGGAAGGCAGAAGTCATTGAATTCCTCCATGCTCATGGTGGAAATATCAACGCTACCTGTCGCTCTGGACTCACCCCATTGCATTTATCAACTATGCTTCAACAGTTGGATGCCACACAAGCCTTGGTAAAGCTTGGTTCAAATCACATTCCCTGCTCTTCTGGATGCGTCCCTCTCGTGTACGCTTACAGAACTGGTAACCCCGATATCATCAGTGCTCTAGAGTCTTCCGATGAGTCTGCTCGGAACAGCCACTCAATAAGTAATCCCAGAGGTCTTCGAGCTATAGCAGATTTGTTTTCTGCTGCGATTCGAAACAATGACATCACTGCTTGCGAGAACGTGGTTGCCCTTGGGTGTCCGATTGATGTCGAGTTAACCCAGCCCCCAGGCATCCAACCCTTGATGCATGCTATCAGTGAGCACAAGAGCCTCGAGGTGGTGAATTGGCTGCTCCAAAAGGGTGCAACTGTCTCTACAACCTACGAGGAAGGTTTGTTCTCGACCGCCCTTGAGGCTGCTCTGGCGCAACCGATCTACAACTCACTCATACCCACCATGACCACTCAGTATTTTGATGAGGGAGGCAAATTCCTTAACCTGCCGCGCAGCCCCCTGCACACTGCTGCGAATCACGGAAATGTTACCGGACTCCGGGAGCTTTTGAATGCCTTTCGCCAAGTACACCTGCGCAGGGAAACAGCAATGCAAGTCGTTTGCGATGAATTGGGATGAGATTTCCATGCTAACAACAAATCAGTCTACAGGAAAATGAAATACCAATGACCAGCCAACATCTTGAAGAGATTCTTGCCGCGATCGTCAACCAAAGAGATACTAGCAATGGAGGCAATACGCCACTTCATCTGGCAGCGAGAAGGAACGACGTCCATCTGGTCCAGGTCCTCCTCGACAATTTCGCGAATATTGAGGAAATGGATAACTACAACAGCACACCATTGCACACTGCCACTTTAAACGGATCGACAGAGGTTGTTCAATTACTTCTGAGATATGGCGCCTGTCCCGATGTCTTCAATCTCCATGCTAGGACACCGTTGATGCTTGCTTGCGCACATAGCACCTGGGAAACAGTCAAACTTCTATCTGAGAAGAGCGCCCGTGGTGTGGTCTCAGGTTATTTGGATCAAACACCATTGGATTACATGCTTGGTGTCCAGGCAAACCTTCCGGATTGCCACCCTGATGTCCGGATCTTCAATTTCCTACTCGACAAAGGGAATCATTCGCATTTCAGAAATCTTTTGGGGCCCTCCGAGGTCTGCCACCTCCTATCCAATCATTCTCGGGTCCACTTGCGATCTTTACTGGGCACAGATGCTACATCCATCATAACTGGGAAGATTAAATGGCCTCGCCCTCACTTTGGAGGTAATTTACAGCCATCAAGCAACCTGATCGCAGCAACAAGAAATTTTCGTCTTCTTCGTCACTATCTCAGCAAAGATGAACTACACGAAACGTCAGATCTTTCAAGGCCGGGAAATCATAACCTCTTTTGCACAGCTGCTTGTTGGGGGGTGGTCCAAGCAATCCAGAACTTGCTTGCGATCGGAGCTAATATTGATCAACAATGCTGCGAACACGGCACGCCTTTGATGGCCGCAGCTTCATGTCGCAAGTTCGAAACAGTCAAATTCCTCGTCCGTCAAGGAGCTAAGGCAATGTATGAGGACAATGGATTGGGGGTAGGTGGGATCAGGGTTGCAAGTTATGGTTGGCCAATCATGAATTGGCTGCTGGTAACTCGTCATACTGAGCAGCCGAAACTTACGAATACTATTTCTGGTGAACCAACCGGGAATTTCGCCAACTGGTCAGGAGGCTCGACCGTTGAGGTGCCGTTGAAGTGGGAATGGAGGAAAAGGCGAGATGAGACAATGCTGGAATATGCCAGGAGACGGCAGGCAATCGTGTTGAAGCTGAGAGGGAGAGTACTGTTTGTAAACTAAGGAGTCCATGAATTCAAGCTCGCTCGCGCCGGCAGGTTAACACCTTAGATATTTGTCCACCGACGATAGACTAAGAGCACTCCGCATCAGTGACCGAGCCGCTGCTATCCCCGCACCCAAAACTCTTCATGTGGCTTCATGTGGAGTGTGTTCGTGGCAAGGCCGCCATCGGCTTCCCTCGAGACGAGCCGACCCGCGACACGAGCAGACGGCTAATGGATCCACTCATCTAGCAACACTCCAATGCGGGATTCTCAATTACAATGAGAACATGGGGGTGCGTTTTTCGGACCTACGAACGTAATCCCAGTCAGAATAAAACTTGAAGACAAATCTACTGTCCGTCCAAGCAGAACCAACTCCGCAACTCTTCACAAAGCCTTTCACACATCCATCACTTTCTCACCCCAGCCATGACTACCGACGACGATTGGAGGGAGAAGAACCGCACGGTTCGGATTCTAAATGACGCCGAAGAGGGCAAGTACGGTGTTATTGCCGCAATTGCCTACAATCTCGAGCAGATTCTAGGCCTGGTCAGAGCCGCAGAGGAGTCTCGATCCCCGCTCATCATCCAGTTCTTTCCTTGGGCCATCACCTTCTCAGATGGTCTCCTAGTACGCACAGCCGCTGATGCTGCTCGCCGTGCTACCGTCCCCATTTCAATCCACCTCGATCACGCCCAGGATGAGGCCTTGATCATGAGAGCGGCCGACGAGTTGCCATTTGACAGCATCATGGTCGACATGTCGCATTACGAAATGGCTGAAAACTTGGAGAAGACGGCGAAATGGGTTAAATATTGCCATGAGAGACAGATCGCCACAGAAGCCGAGCCGGGTCGTATTGAGGGAGGAGAAGACGGTGTCATGGACACGGCTGGTCTGGAAGCAAGCAAAACCACTCCTGAGGAGGTGGATAACTTCATCGCGACGGGTGTTGAGTCTCTGGCGCCAGCATTCGGAAACGTCCATGGCGAATATGGACCAGAAGGCCCTCAGCTTGACTTTGAGAGGTGAGTACGCGAATTATGCCCAACCCAATTCTTTTTTCCTGACAAAATTTTGCTAGGTTGGCCGAAATCCGTACCCAGGCCAATAAAAGAGTGAGGCTTGTTCTCCACGGAACCAACGGTTTTGCTCCCGACCTGCTGAAGAAATGCATTGCGGCCGGAGTTTCCAAAATTAACGTTAACAGATTAGTGCTAGATGATTACTATATCCACTTGCGTTCCCAGGCACCTCATCTCTCCCATACGACCCTTTTGGAGGAGGGTGTTGAGAAGGTGGTGGCGCAGACCGCTGAGTGGATGGGTATTTGTGGTTCTGCCGGAAAGGCCTAACTGTTTGGTGGAGGGACTAAAGCGGCATGAGTAAATACAAGAGACAGAGCATGCCCATCATTATCACCCTATATCCGTTGATGTTCTGCTTCATTTAATTGCGCTAAAAGTTGCGTAGAATCCACACGACACGGCTAGGTGACTGCGCAACCTCCGGATATAATTGCAACTTCACTCCAATCCTTTGTCAAACCTCTGCCAAATAACGGACAATTCGTCCCCGAGAGATTTCACCGGCCACCCAGTTCGTCCTCTGCAGTCGTCCAGAAGCCGTAGTACCTCGGCACGCTGTCCGATATCCTCAACTGACATGCCGGCTGACCAACGAAGTCAATATCTCATGGGAGCTCCAGTGCCACTTAGGAGATAGACTTACCAATAAAGACACATTGCGAGGACATGACTCCGGACGCAAAATCCGTCAAGGTTGATGCAATCCCACACACCATCATAACTCCTTGCTTCAGCATTCCTTTTTGTTCGAGGTACACATCAATTCCACCGGCCCGTGGACGATGAAGAGATATCAAGATGAGAGCGCAGTAGTAAAGTTGTAACGCCACGCCTACGCTGAGTTAGTTGAACTACACAGGCCCATCAGCGTGAATAAATCTTACCAAATGCAGGTGGGTGGACCCATATAGGCGGAAACACGTCTTTAGAATCCGTGGAAACGGGCAGTGCCTCAAATTCAACCGTCAAGTGTTTTCTCCAATCGTTCCATTTCTCCACCAAAACATCGGCCTTCGATACCCGAGTAGCAAAATCATTATGACCCTCTTCTCTCTCCTCTCTAGAGCAGAAGCTCACTACCTGGGCGAAGAGATAGACCGATCTAGCGGCAAGCTCACAAGGATCCAAGTCATCGAACGACCTTGTCGGCCACCAAAAAGTGAATGGTTTTCGTTCCTCTCGGAATGCGGCCCATATATCCTGACAAAGCCATGCCCACCAAACTCCCTGTCTTAGGCCCCCAGAGTCACCATGAATGACTTGCGACCGTTGAATCCAAAAGACACCCTTCAGGTGTCTCTCCCAATCGGTGTTTGATCCATCAAGCATCTCGTACGTGGAAATAATGATAGATATGGCTAGGAGCTCAAGACTGACCTTGTAAGTGTCATATCGCATTGCTTCCTGACTGTAATGCAGAGTTTTATAGTAATATCTGACTGCATCATTCGCATCAGGGAGACTGAACTCTGGCTTTCCGGGCGGGTCGCTGCTGTTGAGGGAGAGATGCCGAGCGGATAGAGCCAGAATGGCATTCATAAGGCCAAAATTATGCATCTGGAGGTAGTGATCAATGATCTGCGCAAATGGAGGTCCATCATCTAAACTCACGGCAAGATGCGGCACAAAGGTCCCGAATGGCTTTTTGGGCTCGAAGAGATCGATCTATCTTAGAATGTTAGAAAGAGTATAAGGATTCTCTAGCTAGTATTGCACTCGGTGGAGAATCTAAGCACATTTTAGACTTACCCATTGACTGACGTGCTGCACGAAGTGATGAAATAGTCTGCATTCTTGCGGCGATAGCTTGATTGCCTCTATTGAATACCAAGCTTGCTTCTCTGAAACTTGGTCGCTCCCTAATTGTGGCAAGCGCTCTTGCAGAGATACATGCAATGTTCTAGACGTGACTGAGCTTGAGTCGACTTCGGTCCGGAATAGAGGCGTCCGCTGGTCCTCGGCTGCTGTAGATGCCGGGGTTTGGACGAGGGAATTACCAAACATACTGAGAGCACTGTACTCGAGGTCGATCTCAGGTAGGGTTCCATTATCAAGGACCGCGTCCCCTATGAGGAGCTCTAGCCATCTGGCAGTTGGAGTCTCAACAGTGTGGCTAATTGAGGAAATAGAGCCAGCAGCAAAACCCGGCATAGCGGTGTATACTGTGTTTTGAGATGGCGACAGTACATTGTGGCTGTCTGTCCGGTAGCACTGATGTTCTCTTGCCGAGTCGGTGGCCCGGTGGGATACGCTTCGGTTGCCTCCAATAGACTGTCCTGGCCTGGGAGATGAGAGGATTGGAGGCGCCAATTCATTGACGGTGGTGTTGACCTCGGAAACAATCGGGGCCATGTCGCTTCTTGCCTTGTCGACATCAGACTGAGAAAATTGGATGTGAGACCCCAGGTCCCCAGAGATGGGCTGCTGGTATTCCGAGAGTGGTGTTGTGAGATTTATTGGAGGAACGCTTACAGCGCTTGGTACAACGACGTCCTCGCCACAATTAAGTCCAGAAGCGTCATGAATTATGCCGCTTTCGTCCCCAACTCCCTCTTCATCTGAACAGCTGGTAGCAGTGATTGTGTTTGTAGCTGTGGTTGTGGGAGTGGGCAAAATTGGGGTTGGGGTTGGAGTTTCGGGGACTGGCTGATCTTGCTGTGTCTCATACACACAATCGGCTTTCCTCCTGGCGCAGCCTGCGCAGACGGGTTTGGCCTCATTGCATCGAACATGGCGACGTCGACAGGTCAGGCTGAAGCCAGACGTAGTCAGTACATTTATATCAAGAGATAAATGAGGGTCGGGCTGCTCACCACCCAGTCTTTTTGCGCAAGCCCTTGCCACGCGTTGGTCGATTACGAGTGAAGCGCCGCTCCTCCTCCTGGGGCTCTTTTTGAGGCGTTGAACTGCCGGCCATTGGGGGCGCTAAGATTCCAGGACAATGTTGCTTTACCAGACGTGGCGGCGGTTTCTTTCAGTCGGTATGGGTAATAAGCAACGTAATCAAACAGCTTTAGAACAAAAATTCGATAAAATTCAATTGACAGTCAATTGATTGAATGGAGAAGCGAAAATCCGGGGGCGAGCACTGGGTCAGGACCAGGGATTTGGGCGGCCCCTCAGCTCATCTACTCATCTGCTCATCTTAGCTCCTTTAGCTGCCCCTCGTCTCACAGCCATGGCTTCAAAGCTCCGGGGCCATCAAAAGCCCGGGGTTTCTTCTCCACTTCCCTGCCTAACTTTCCCGAATGGTCCAGGGTAGTTTCTTGGCCACTCAGCTGAACTTGAGCATCCGAGTCCCAAGAGCTGCAGTCATTCATTAAAAACATTGCGGGAGGTAATTGAGATGCTTAAATGCCATCAATAGGAGTAACCAATTTAGATATACCAGAGTTACCTTAAGGGGGAGCTTCAGGTTTGAGTGCGCAGAATACGATCTGCCTGTACTCGAGAAGTATGATGTGCCAATATTTCCACCTCGGCCTCTAGAAAATGTTGCCAGATCGAATCTTGACAAATAATTAGCTACAATAGGTGCTTTCCCCTCACGGGGCTCGTTTCCGCCACGTCAAATGCATGATGGCAATAAGTCATTGGCTCCCCGTGGATGTAAGCGATGCCCTCGCCTCGAGGGACGCCAAAATGACCGCGTCTCGGGGCACTAGAGTGGAAGTGGATCTTGTAGTATCCACCGATCCGCGACACGGGTCTTCGCCCGCTGTCAGCCTATTGTTGTGGAAGACTGATGTGAGTCGCCCGTCTATTTTGTGAGTAGTATTCTGGTCACTGCTGGTTGAATTTAAAACATCATGTTTCGCTGCTCTTCCTTATTTCATCCTCATTATCTTTCATTTGGTACTATTTCTGAGACGTCTTGTTCAGCTCCCTCTTATCAATTACGACCTCTCCCTCAACCGAAAGTACATAACCACGTCGCCCAAGATGAGCCCCTCCGCTGCCCCAGCTGCCGCACCCGCCACCGAGGTTCAGGTACAGACCCAAGTCACCCTAGGCGGAAAGGTCATTGCCAGTACGTCATCCGGTTGTAACTTACACTTTGCATATTTTCTGACACTGGCGTAGTCACTGGAGCCAACCGAGGAATTGGTCTGGGTGTCGCTGAGTGCTGTCTTGACAATGGCGCTGCCGTGGTTTACTCTATTGATCTTGCTGAGCCTGGTGATGAGTTCGCCGAGGTCGAGAAGAAGTACCCTGGCCGCATCAAGGCTCTCCAGGCCGATTCTACCAAGGAGGCCAGCATCACTGCCGCCGTTGAGAAGATTGTCGAGCAGGAGGGTGCAATCCACGGCATGGTCGTCAACGCTGGCCGCACCAACCACAAGGCCGCGCTTGACTTCACTGAGGAGGAGATCCACAACCTCTTCGCCATTAACGTATGTTCGACTCGCAAGCCTTGGGCGCAGGATAGATACTGACGTTGATGCAATTGACAGCTGTTTGGTGCTTTCTATTCCGCCCGAGCTGCCGCTCGGGCTTTTATCAAGCTGGGCATCAAGGGATCCATCGTCTTCACTGCCTCCATGGCTTCCTACCGACCTAACAAGGTAGGAGAGCCCCGAGAAGCCAAACACATCAGAGAGACATACTGATTAGTTTATAGCGCGTGCCTTCTGCCCCTTACGGTGCATCCAAGGCCGGCGTTCGCAACATGACACACACGCTTGCTATGGAGTGGGCCCAGTACGGTATTCGAGTCAACTCCGTCTCGCCCGGCCTGGTTGAGACTGCCATGACCTACTGGGTCCCTCAGCAGCCCGATTGGGAGCAACAGCTCAAGTACTACGGTGGAATGCCCCGTCTCGCCAAGGTTGGCGAGTTGGGTGGTGCCTATGTCTACCTCCTCAGCGAGGCTGCTAGCTACACCACATCTATCGATATCCCCGTCAATGGTGTTATTGGAAGTAAGTACGGAAATATTTATTCGCAAAGTATCGGGCTAACTGTTTTTCTTTCAGTCTGTTAATGATGGAATTTCTGAATAAAATAAGTTGAAATGAGCAAATAGATTATGATATTTCAATAAAGTTACATACACTGTGTTTTCAAAATCGAGCCCGATAGTACTACCGCGTTAGCCCTTAAATAACATCCTTCTAGTATCCTCTAATGCTTTCGCTTTCAGGTTGAAAGGCTTGATATTTGGTCATTGTGGTAGCATTGGGTAGGAAATGCTTGAATTGTGGATAAATCTGTGTTTTTTTTACCTTGTCCCAGCGACTTGCTCACCTTGAGGGAGCAGACAGAAGTTAGATTAGAGATTGTTTTTTTTATGACAATTTGAAATCAGAATGTCATTACATTCAGAATTAGCCCCATAAAAGTAGACTTAGACCCAGAAACGTCTCCTACGAGTTGCGTGGCAATCTCCTTCCCACGAAAAACAATAAAAGTGAGATCAATATTTCCTCAAACGATAATATCAAACGTCTACGGGAGAGTAAACCCGCCATCTATAATAACATTGGACCCAGTCATGTAGCAAGAGGCATCACTGGCGAGGAAGACGTAAACCTGTGCACGAAATTAGCCTTGTAGCCTCAGTTGAAACATGAAGTGGCACATACTCCTTTTAGCTCCTCGGGCTTGCAAACTCGCCCGGCTGGGATCATATCTAACCATTTATCCAGGAGCTCCTTCGGTTGCCGTGTCATCACTATGCTGATATTAGGCATGCTAAACGGAATAGTGACAATATCAACAACGTACTTTCAGTGTAAATGTATCCGGGCGAAACGCAGTTCACTCGGGCAAAGTCGGTCCACTCCACAGCAAGACTTTTCGCAAGCTGCAACACTCCAGCCTTGGACGAGTTGTATGCTGCCTGAGTCTGAGGAACGTTGACAAGCCCTGCGCTGACGGATGCGGTAATGACTAGGTTTCCTCTTCCTTGCTTCTTGAAGATTTTGCCCGCTGCAAGCGCCGTCCACATGACACCGTCATAGTTGACACTGTTCATATATTGCCAAGTGCTCTCGGTGTATTCGAGAGATGGGACATTCTGACACACTCCTGCGTTTGCTACCATGATATCCAGTCGACCATGGCCAAATTCTTCAACAATCTGGTTCACCGTTCGCTCGAGTTCTTCTCTGTGTGTCACATCACATTGATAGGCGGCAATTTGTGCTCCTGTTTTCGTTGAAACCTTCGCCGCAGTCTCCTCGGTATCCGTGCTGGATTTGTATATGAAAGCGACGTCGGCTCCAGCCTCAGCCAGGCCTGTGACGACCTGAAGGCCAATGCCTCGGGAACCACCAGTAACAATGGCAATCTTGCCCTTGAGGCTAAATTGTGACAACACAGGCGTGTCCACGTTGGCGGGCTGATACAGAGGCATGGTGTGATTCCTAGGGAGTGTTATGGACTGGGGAATGACTTTTGCAACACCAAGAGGAACCGCGAGAGAACCGAACTTATAGATTTTGGATTCACGATTTATGATTCCAGTAGCTTCTAATCTTTTTTTAATTTCGTAACGAGGGCACGGGAAATGACCCTCTGGGCCATATCTCGTGAGGAACTGGTCTTTCAAAATGGCACAGTTCGCTAAAACAAGACGAATTCGGCTTCCAATGTTGGCGTGGGCTGATCGGAATGAATAGGTCTTGGACCCACAATTGCTCGTAGGTTCATGGATTCCCTCGAGGCGAGGTCGGCCCGACACGGGGAGTCTGCAGGATCACTAACGTAGCGTCCCCCAATTCAACCCGCAATACACCCCATGATTACCCCAGACTCCAGCCCATCCAATCCTCGGGACACATGATGCTTCTTGCTGTAAATAGGTCTTTCTGAATCCCGCAGCCATGATCCCAGATAACCCCACTAGTCTCCGAAACGGGGCTTCTCTCGCCGTTGCGTCGTGCGCTGCATTCCTCACATCGAGGGAAATGTGGGGTATAGTCTGTTCCTTTGGGGTGACATAATAGCATCAGTTCACTTCTTGAACGCGTATTGGTGCTGCGTGAGGGATGGTTTTGATATTGGGCTACGTAATGAATAAGACGAGCGGTACGTCCAATTACATACGTGTTGTTCGATTTTGTTAACTACCTGGATTTGTTTGATACATTGAGTGCGAGAACAAATCCTGCGTTTACTTCATGCCCTCACTATTCTGGTATGCCCTAACTTGAGCTATCGTCCACTATTGTTAGAGCATGGCATTGGTCTTGATTAACCAAGACACCACACACCTGAGCGGGGATTCAATCCTGCAGGCTTGAGGCGTGCAAACGTACACCTGGATACAAAATATGAACTTTCGAGCGGGCTCCCTCGGCCGGTTGTATATTCAAACTGAGAACTAGGGGCTCTACATAGGAGATGGTAATCTTGGCGAGATTTATCGTGCATCCTCAACACATAATGCTTACCTAGGACCAAGCAGTGCCAAGATGAGGTCCTCGTAATCTCCACTCAGCTTATCTTTAACAGTTGTGTGTAGTGCTTCTCCATATCGTTTCTTATACGCAGCCTTGGCCGCGTGGAGCCTATTCCGATCCCAATATAAGCTCACGACGCGATTGATGAAAAGGCGATCCTTGCGGAAAGTCTTGTCCAGCGGCGCCCTCAGTCTGGCTGCATCGCTATCTGCCCGGCTTACGCCCTGGAGAAGCATTCGGAGCAGCGCATCCTCCATATCTCCACGGAATTCCTTCTCGACGACGTCCTGCAAGCTTCTGTGGTACTTTCGATCGTATGCCTCAGCAAGAGCATGCAACTGTGAGTCATTGCTGCTTGTAAAGATCTGCGCAACACTAATGGCATTTGCGCCAATGACACCCTCCGTGGCACGGTGAAGCTCCGACACCTTGTGATCAATCTCAGCTGGATAGACGGCAGCAGCATCTTCTGCGCGCTCAGCTTTGAGGACCATCTGGTACATTCGGAAAAGTGTTTCGTCTACATCCTTTTTTACGACCTCCAGCAGGATCTTGTCGTCGACGTGATGGGCTCGGATGCGCCTGAACTCGGCGGTAATAGCACGAATGTCGGCGTTAGAGCGACAGAGGAGGACGTCGTTGAGGGCATCCTCGTCAGTGCCCGCGCCAATAAGGGCCTTCTCGAGTGTCCTCGCGTCGTTCTCAAGAGGACCGCGGATCAAGGCAAGGAGAGCAGTCTCAAAGTCACCCCGTGTTTCGCCTTCGATATCCTCGGCTAGGTTGCGCATGAAACGCTTTTGATAGTCGTGCACGAGCTTGGCCATTGCCCACGGGTTGCTGTACTTGGGGCCCGTGAGGACGCGGATCAAGGCGCGCTCATCACAGCCCATGCCCTTCATGGCTTTGCGCAAGGCCTCAACATCGGATGCCGTATCTACCTGAGCCACCGAGGGGTCTGGGGGAGGGCCGTAACCAGGCGAGGCCGGAGTCGGGGGAACTCCATATTGCGGTTGCTGTTGCCATTGCTGGGGAGCGCCATAGCCTTGTTGGGGCTGACCATGAGGAGGCTGACCATGAGGAGGCTGACCATGGGGAGGCTGACCATGGGGAGGCTGACCGTGGGGAGGCTGATTGTATTGTTGACCTGGTGGGCCTTGGTTGTACCCTTGGGGAGCACCGTATCCCTGAGGAGCCCCGTACGGAGCTTGGTATTGTCCCTGAGGAGGGGCTCCGTAAGGTGCTTGCCCGTGTTGACCCTGGGGAGGCTGATTGTACCCTTGGCCTTGTGGGGGATACTGACCCTGCGGAGGCTGATTATACCCCTGAGGCGGCTGTCCTTGCGGGGGATACTGGCCACCATGAGGAGGCTGGTGCGGCTGGTTCTGTCCGTAGGGAGGCTGCTGATAAGGCGGCTGGCCCCCTTGCGGTGGCTGTCCGGGGGGGACCTGATACCCCTGGTTTTGTGCATAGCTCTGCTGGTTCTGCTGCTGGTACGACTGCTGTTGACCGTAGGGCTGCTGGCCGTACGGAGGCTGACCGGGCTGTCCCGGAGCTCCCTGATAGTACGGGGCGCCGCCCGGACCGGAAGGCGGAGGCTGACCCGCCGGATAGCCCTGTGGGGCACCTCCGGCCGGAGGATTGGCCTGTCCGTAGTAGGGCTGCTGCGGGTTCATGATCTCCGGTCTGAGGATGTCTTGGAGATTGAGGATGAGAAAGGGAGTGAGACAAAATGGCGCGACGAAAGAGGGGTTCTTGATGGTCAGACGGCTTGAAATAGCACCGCTCCTGACCCCGCTGATCCAGAGGCCTCCTCTTGGTGTAGGATTGCTAGCTTACGCCACCTGTCGTGGCCAATAAGATTGGGGCATCGCGAAGTAGTACTACCCGCAGAGGCCTCTTGCGAGAGCCTTGGATATTTAGGCTGTGAGGCGGATTTTGTGGCACAGTAATCCGTGGTACTGGAAAATTACTCTATCGTCCCAATCATTCCAGACCCCCCGTAAGGCAGAATTGCACCTTCTGCGATAACGTCATTAGTGCAGGAGATACAGGGCTGGGGTTGTAGATCACGCCAATTGTCCACCTTGAACCTGTCATCCATGACCCACATGCTGGTTGATCCCTACGGAAGCCCTGAATTATTGGCCTGTGGCTTTATCCGGTCATCCGGGGCTAGGTACGCCTTAGGAACTATCGTCAATTGCGAGGAATGTTGCAGAGTCATGCCAGAAGTCACAATTTGCCGAGGCACAGAACCGGTCTCTGTCGTCTCAGATCGAAATAATGATGCATTTGTAATAGCCTCTGATATCTTCAATCCTTCTTCAATACCCCTGACGGTAGAATGCTTGTTTTTAACGCTCCACTATCGAACGATCTCCGCCTCAGCCACGCATGTCGTGCATCCCTGTCGGCGCTGCCTGTTCCTGCAACCATCATGTCACAGAGCGCTTGATATTGGCCCGCGATTGGTGCACTAGAACAGCTTGTACATCAGTCGCTGCCACATTGGCAAGCTGGCGACATGTTCGCGATGAGCTCGAATCTCGTCCCAGTCCAGTTTGCGTCTTCCCGTGTCCACGTCCATCTCCGAGGTCCTCAGCCAGCCCTCTTTCTTCCAGAAAAACCCGCAAACCCAGAAGACCAGGATAATTGGCAGTGCTAGGCACAACTTGAAGAACCCCTCGGCATCGTTCAGGCCCTCCTTGCCAGCGGGTGCGATCGCCGTAAACAGCTCATGATATCAACGTTAGCACATTGACAGGTTCAATTGAGAGGAGCAACGTACCTGCGCTGCGAGCACGATAAAGGCGAGAAAAAGACCAAGCCAAGACCCATACACTCCACCAAAAGCCTTGAACGGAATTTCATCCAAACTGTGACCGTGATATGCCCATGCCTTCGAAACCGGATGTGGGCGAAGCAAATAGAACCCCAGGTGAAAATTGTAGCCAGCCCAGTCAGCGCAAGCAGCCAGTTAAACACAACCGGGCCTGATGCACTCAAGTTGACGTATGCTAGAGGGCCGCAGCATATTACTGCAATAACCGATGCCAAAGGACGACCAGATCGGTCGATATAGGTGAAGATCTTTGGCGCGTAGCCTTGCTGCGCGAGCGCTGTAAGCGTCCGCGAGCCTCCGTAAACGGCCGACACACCAACCGATAGGACCGAAATGAGAATGACAGCATTGAGATAATTGTCGAGACCCTTCAGACCGGAATATAATCCGACAAGCACGAAAGGCGACGCATTAACATCCGTGTAGGCGCTGTCTGAAATCAAGTTGGGGTCGTCGCTGCGAATGAGGAACCCAACCAGCGTGAGGCCGACGACGTAGAACAGCGTGATGCGCCAAAAGACCTGTTTGATGGCGCTCGGAAGTGCCTTCACCGGGTTCTTGCTCTCCGCTGCCGCCAACCCGACAAGTTCCGATCCGTTGAAAGAGACGGCGGCTGTGACGAAGACGGAACAGAAGCCCCTGAATCCGTGTCTAAAAGCACCAGGGTCGCTCCAGAGCTTTGTGCCGCTGTATTCGTCGTACTTGCCATCTGAAGGTCCGCCACCGAGTATCATAACCAGACAGATGACCATGAAGATGCTGATGGTGATTATTTTGAGGATGGCAGCCCAGAACTCCTCTTCGGCGTAGCCGAGGCTGCCGAAAACATTAATCAAGATAATGAGGATCCACATGGCGGTAATCCAAACGCCAACGCTTGTAGATGTATCCCAGTATCCAACCACGATACCACATACTGTCAACTCGAGGGGCAGGGTAAATACCCACGAAAAAAGGTAGTTGTAGCCCATGGCAAAACCCCACGAGGGGTCGATGAATCGAGTCGAATATGTGTAGAAGCCGCCGGAGATGGGGAACAGGACGGCTAATTCGCCAAGTGCAAACACTGTGAGGCATCAGTCTGCACGTATTTACAGGGAGATGCGTAGTGTTAAAAACATACCAACGTTGAACCCCGGTAATACAGAAACAAATGAGGACGGAGGCCGGACCCTAAACATCACAGTGTTAGTCAGTCGGTTTACGCACTCCACTTAAACGGCAGGCCGAAGTTGGTGAGGTAAAAAGAGATGGGCATTCACTCACACCCGAAGAGAAAGCTTTACCGGACCCAACAAAGAAGCCGGCCCCGATAGCACCGCCAATCGCAATCATGTTGAGATGACGAGGCTTCATCGGCCTATCCAACTCCACAATACCACGCCCATAATGTCGTTTCTTGAAGGATGTGAGATTCAAGCCATGGCGAGTCAAAAAGCTTTCCTCCTGAACCGTGGCGGCACCACCAGCAGAGACGGAGTGCACAGAGCCGCTCCGTTCCGGGATGGATTTGTCCTCCACCATGGTCGGCGGAGTGGAATCTCCTTTCTCAGTGGTCATTCTTTGACCGAATATGGTAATGATGGAAGTGTTGTTTGGTTGTTGGAGTGAGTGGATGAGAACCGATCCAGATACTTGCATGCCATCCCGTATTTATATGACATCAAGATCAATACCTACAGCGATATAGTGGTCTCAAACTTGTCAATAACGCCCTTCCCCACGATATCCAACCCACTAGCCTAAGTCTCTACGATACAGTTCTATCAAAATCATGGGGTAGAGATGATCTCCGTCCTTGGGATGACCAACCAAGCCCCTGGCGCTATATCTTGAGGGGACCAGCAGCTCCGCTAAGATACTAGCTAACGGATTAAGTCAAGCGTCAAGGCTTGTAGAATTAAGTACCCTTTATTACGTCCACCGGACCGAGGTTCAGTCCTCAAAGCTAATGTTCCGTTCGTCCTAGACCAAGGCGATGACAAATTTAGCCACAGGAGACACCGCCCATAGTCAGTGTTCTTTTCGCCCTTCGTGTTCTTGCTGACCAATTTAAGCCTTGGGCTAAGTCCTACGGACAGTGTATATCCCTTTTAATTTGCCCTTTGGACACTATGTACGTATATTGAAGCCACGTTTTGTCACGTAACTTGAGTCCCGCCATGGTCGGAATTATCTGCTCTGAGGTGGCCTGGAGAAGCGTATCCGTATCGTCATGATGGTTATATATCAGTGCATAGAAGTCATTGACGTATGAAGGTTGGCCAAGCTGGGTACGGATACAAACTCCCATCTCATTGCCAGGAGTAGTTGCAAGGGCGCGCCCTCGACATGCCTAAATTTGTCATCAGGGAGGGGGTGGAGAAACTACTCGCGATCACTTCGAGTCATTTGAGCAACCCCTCACGCTTGCTCCATTTGCTCTAGTCCCCTAACGCAATACCCGAGGATGGGAGTTGTTTGGACATCCGGGATGACAACTTCCCTAAATTTGTCATCTGGCGGAGTATTTTGTGCTTGATGTGATTGGAAGAGGTGAAGGAAGAGCGAAAGTGGTTCAGAACGTGGGAGAGTACTGGCTACAATACAGGCATAAGTAGCCCCCACACAGTCAATTTCTGTATGAGAGTTAAGCATAAACAAACTCTAGCAAGTGACGGTGGCTTCGATTCCTCCACACAAACCCCCATGGTAGAAAATTGCTCCAACATGACCGATCTCGGCCTCCGCGATATATGGGACATTCCTTTGGCTACCCACTCCTCCAAGCATCGTCTTACACGACGCTTACTATTGGCCAACGATGAGTGCACTAAGATAGTTTACCCCTCACTTGAAATTGGTAAACTAATTTCATCCCAATCTGATCTGTCACGATGCAAGTAAGTGCAAGCCTTGGAAGAGTATAGGGTGCACCTGGGAATGGAATAGCTGGAAACATTAAGCGATCCAGAACCAGACCCTCTCAAGTGTATTTCTTGGCTTCCTCTCCTCCCACAATTCGTCTTGGGCATCGATTTCATCCTTGCCCGTCATAATATCAGCCTCCTGTGAAGTTTTCCATTTCGACTTCTTCACAACTTTCCAGGCGATATAAAGACCTAGGAATATTGGTATGTTGATGTATGCAGCGAAAAAGTCTATGCGCAGTATGGGTTAGCCAGGCAATATTGCTTCATCTAGTGGAAAAGACCTTACTGCTTATGTTCCAGTGGCCGTTGATGAACACTCTAAACCCGTTGAAGAGAATCACAATACAGAAGAAGACTAAAGCAACCCATGTAATGTACGGCTGAAAAGGACTCTTCAAAACAAGAGTGTCACGATCGATACCCTTGGCTTTGAGGGCGGCGTGAAAGCGCAGATACGCCACGCACACCGATGCCCAAGTGAACAGTGAGGAGATGGTGACCAGGTTCTGGAACCACTGGAAAGCCTGCGCTGCACCGCCATTCTTATTGACCAAGAGGTAGGTAAGAAGGCCCATGGAGGCAGTGGTTAGGACGGCAATGTATGGAACACCATGCTTGCTGCATTTTAGCATACAGGCAGGAGCCTGTCCATTTTGAGCCAGCGCATACATGTACCGAGATCCTGTGTATACGAATGCGTTGGCTGCGGAGGAGGCGGATGTAAGGATGACGGCATTGATGATGGATGGAAGGACTTTGATGCCGACATTTTGGATACCAATGACCCAGGGCGACTGAGCTGCGCCAGCCGCATTGCTCTGCTGTGCCGACAGCAAGTGTTCGTCATTGGAGGCCACGAGGACACCAACGGCCAGGGAACCAAGGACGTAGAATAGAACTATTCGCCAAAAGACGCGGCGTACGGCCTTGGGGATGTTCCTGCGTGGATTCTCAGCCTCACCAGCGGCTACAGCGACCATTTCCACGCCCCCGAAGGAGAAAGCGGCATTAACAAGGGTGCTGAAAAATCCTAGGAATCTGCCGAGATCTCCTTCAGCCAGATATTCCTTCATCGGTCCAGGGTTCTTCCAGTACGTAAAGCCAATGGCATGGCGCTGCGGGTTGCCGCCGACAGCTATGATGAATGCCATGATCAAAAGTCCAACGATAGTGATGATTTTGATGGAGGCGAAGCAGAACTCAGCCTCTCCATAAATAGAGACGACGAAGATGTTGAGAGCAATGACGAGGACGAGAAGAATGCTGATCCATACGGCCACATTGATATCGGCAGCGCCTTCCCAGTAGCCAATAATGATGGACGCTGCAGACAACTCAGCGCAGAGAGTTATGGCAGACGAGTACCAAGTATTCCATCCGACGGCAAACCCGAGCGCATCGTCGACGTATCGCGCACAGAACTGGGGGATGGCACCAGGCAAAGGCAGCCACGTCGCCATTTCGCCGAGAGCCTGAAGCATGGCGTATATTGCGACACTGGTAATACTGTAACCCAGGAGGAGTGACAAAGGTCCGGCGTTGGTGAGGGCAGAACCTATACCGAGAAAGAGGCCGGTGCCGATGGAGCCTCCGATGGCGATAAACTGCACATGGCGGGATTTGAGTCTGGTGCGATCGTTCCGTTAGCGTCTGCCATGTACCTAATTTGGGATATGATGGTTTTGTCGGAAGTCACCCCCATCTTACCCTCGTCTCAGTCCATGAGCTTCCAGAACCTCTGTTGCCTCTGGGTTACTCTTTGTTTCCCGGAGTGAATCCGCCACACCGGTGTGTCCGGCGTGCCGTAACTGAGCTTCGTAATCCCCTTTGGTGGACATGGTCGGCGTTTGATTTGAAGTGGTCGATGTGAAGATTGCAGTTGGGTCGGGATTCTGTGGGCTTATATACTTTGACACCGTCTCATGGCCAGGCCGGCAAGGACGGGAGGCTTCAGGCCGCTTGCTCCCACCACATCATTAAATCAGGTCCATCTCCCAACACTACAACAACATCCACATCAAATCGGGCAAGTGTTCAGGTGGGTTGAGACAGATTGCGGGGTTATCCGAAGGCATGTTCCCGCGGAAAACTCATCACAAATCTTAGCTCTAGCTTCGGGTTTGCCTAGGCTCCGCCTTCGAGCTTGGATTCTCTTCAGCGTAGTACCAGTTCCCCATGATACTCGGAAGAGGGGTGATAATAAGGGACGTATTGGCACTTCATTGCTTTCAGGTTGCTTGTTCGTTAAGCTTTTTATCGCAGTCAACCGTGCCTTGGCTGGAAGACGTTACGTATTATATGCATATATCTTTTCAGCAGATAATCGATCGATCGAACGGGTTTTCTCGTTATCAAGTCAAGCCTACGCCTGAAACTTCTGACGTAATGGCGTTTGCCAGTAGCAATTTAACATAGTCCCTGAGTTCAGATTGTCCCGATTTGTCGACTAACTTGACAGCCGCTCTGGCGCAGCCGTAAGAGCACCAAAAGCCTGCACCCCCACGACGGTAGCCCCGAGTCGACTAGATTGCGTTGAAAATATCTTTCCCATTTTGGAACGTCCAAATCATGCCGACCGTGGCTTAAATCGTGTGAGATGTAAACACATCAGTTCGTCACTTGGGTGACATGACGCAGCTTATCTACTCCCGCGGGTCTGGAACGTTCCGGGATTGGCGTAGCTCACCAATTCAATGCTAAAATACCCGTTATCTGCCCATTGAGATTCGCCAAATCGTGGGGTAGATAAGAATGGCGCTGTTTGAAGGTCCGATGAAGTCCTCGCCGCCGTTGCCCGCGGGGAACACCGGCTCCGCGGAAGCGTTGGTCTCCGTTATCTATCCATCCCGGATCCGGGCCAGCATCTAAAAGCCTGCAGGAGTTATTACTTCATGAAAAATCCGTTGTCTTAGGGGGGAGGCTGCGGGCGTCGCTGAAGATACGGATGCATCCTAATGTTATCAACCCCCTTAAACTCGGCGTTGTTCTCCCTTATCATAATGCACATAATGAATACATCTCATCGTTGGGTGGAAGGACCTTGCGTGAGGTGTGTTTATTTATCCAGCTACCGCGGAATTTACGACTGCTACCGTATTGTGATATCACTCATGTGGTTCATGGAGGTCGGACTTTAAAGCATCAACGTCCATGCTCCCTGGCTCCTGGATTGAAGCCTTCTGGGGGTCACCACTAACAAAGACCGCCTTTTGGCGACCTAGAAGGCCACAGCCCCGAGTTCATATTCTTCCTCTTCAACAAGGCCATCAAGGTCCCAAAGATTTGGAGTCACGCGTCCTGCAAGAGCTGAGAGAGCCAAAATTCCTGGTCAATAGTCTTGCGCACGATGCGAAGAGTTTGGGGCACTGTCATAGTTGCAATATGGATAGTGTTGTAGGAACAAAAGTGAACGCAAGGTCAATTATCCTCGATGCAGTCCTTCCTAAAAAGATCACGCTCGGCATAATACCAAGGGGGTCAAGATGGAAGGATTGCAAGTCCATCGCAGATAGCCTGCTAAATGAGCTTCCTGGCTACAGTGGGGTTGTTTAGCAAAACCAACAATATGCTTGGCAACTGGTGTTAGATTATGATACTAGCGATAGATTCCCCTCCAGGTATGAACGAGTCAGCTAATACCGACAGGTGCACATCGGGACAGCGTCATTGACAAGTGTACATGGTATATCGAGGCAACAGTGTAGGACAAGAGGAGAAGCTGGACTACAACAGCGGGGTTGGGGTATTCCTCTATCTTGCCTTGTGTGGCTGCTTCGTGCGGCTGAAATCGTGTCGTCGGTTATATTTATTTCCGAGCACATAGACAAATAAATTATCACACTCACTCTAGTCTACAATGAGCGTCCCAGACATGCCGTGTTCGAACTTGCTTACGTCGATGGTATATAATAGACACACATGTTTGCAAGGCGGACGCTAAACATCGCGTTCATTATGGAACTCGATGCTCTGCTTTAATATACAAGTGGTTCTATTTTTAGTTTTACGAATCATTGGTGGGTAATCCAGAATGATATCTGCGTCCTAGGGACCCAGAGTAGATATTGTTAATCCCTTGCTCTGGTGTTTACGTGCTGCTGTTATGGCCGACAGCCAGACATTGAAGCGTTGGCGCTGACCTATACCTCTTTGGGGTAACGAGTGCTGAATGGAGGCGTGCCAACATTATTCCTTTCAAAAAACCAGACAAAGGATAATATTCAATTGCGATGGCATAGAGACCTCCGTCACTTTTGTCTACGATGGGTAATGTAATAGGGTAGGTCCACATAAAGGATCTCACATGCCGTCGAGACGTGTAGACTGTTGCCAACAAACCATTGGAGCTCGTAAATGGCGATCCGTTGAGCAAGCGCTGATCCTGCTGCGAGAGCAATTAGCCTCGTGAGTTTCCATGTCAAAGGAGCATACGATAGAGCGTGTCAGGATTCATCCAACCCGTCATGGTCCGGTGAGACGTTGAGAGCGTCTATCACGGCATCGTGATGCCGATGGCTGGCCACTGGATCCGGTGAAACTCACCAATCGCAGCAGCCCTACAGCGCCTGACAGGGGCAGTGCCGGCTATAGCGGTCCGCTAATGCAGTCCCCAGTTGCCGGCGACCCATTCAGTGACAGCCCCTAAACTTCCAGGGCCTCCGCTCCAGCGCTTAAGCGGGCCGAGAGGTACGGATACAGGGCATTGATTGGTTGGCGGGGGCATCAGTGGGTACGACTTCGCTGGTGCAGTAATATTTTTCGTCTTGTTCTTGTCTCCGTGACTGAGCTGGACCGCGTCCGAATATTTCAGTTCATGGGATGGAGCATCTGGATGATATGGTTGGGCGTAAAGATGTGCTGGGATCTGGTCAATATATCCGTCCGTATCCCACTCTACCTACCTTGCGTTGATTCCATCTACGTTCAAAGATGACATACCTCCCCGTCTCTGCCATTGTCACCAACATTCGACACCGATAAATTGACCATTTCTTCTACGAAGCCAATAGCAAACCCGTCTTGCTCCCATTGTACTGCAGCTTCATCACCACCTACCTACGCCATCGCCATGGTGGCACTCCACGAGTATGAGCGATACTACATCGCCCATGACGTCCTCATGGTCCTGACCTTTATTCCCTGCCTCGTCATCTTCTTATGCGCACTCTGCCTTGCTCGCCGTCGCAAGGATCCCGCTCGATCGGCCTTTACATATCTCAAAGTAGCATTTGCCTTCTTCACCCTGTGAGTCTTGGTCCCACCCTGTTGTCCTGGAGCAGAGCACAATCATGCACTACATCTCAAAGATGAAGCTGTTCTAGCGCTAACCATACATTGCAGCCTCATTTTCCTAGACTTCTGTAGCTATGCTCTCGCCCTCGCTTCCGCCCTCGTCCACTATGACGTGATTGATGAAGCCTCCTCCAACATCTTGAGAGGCACCGCCCACGCCCAGTACAATATATTCACCGTTGCCCAAACCTTTGAGGCCATCGCCGATATCCTTACCTTTATCATGCTCCTCCGTCTCGGCACTGGAATTCTTTTTATCCAGACGGGCAAGCCAGGAAAGCTCGACAAGATTTTCAAGCTCGGCTCGTATAGCATTGCCTCGGTGCTTGCGATTATTGCCATTGTCCAGTTTGGCCTCCGCATTCACTTCTATAATAACATCTTCGCCAATACCCAATTGTCAACAAAGTCGGTCACTGACCAATTTAACTCCTCTCGTCAACTTGACTTCTCTTTCCGCGTCCTGGTATTTGTCTTAGCTATTGCCATCGTCGCGCAATCTGTTATAGTTAAGACAAAGATGACGTCTGAACTGCAAGTGTCTTCGGTGGGTTTGCCAAACGTATCTTATGCCCCACGACAATGCTAACTCTCCAACTAGGCCGTTAATATCCTGGTTGCATGTGCAGGGCTATGGCTCCTGAGGACAGTGTATGGAGTGGCCTCCAGGGCATCAGCATTGAATCGAAGCGATATCCGATACGACCCATTCTATAAGGGCTACTTTAGCATACTCGACATTATCTTCGGTATCTGGCCCCTATTCATTCTCCTTTGCCTTGTATTTAGGCTTGGCTCTAAGAAGAAGAACGGGCTCTGGTCTACCGAGCAGCCTTTCATGGCGGATACCCAGAGCGGCGACGCCATGACGCCATGGGGTTACAGTTACGATTCCCAAACCATGGCCCCACCCGTGGCTCATCAGCAACAACAGCCGCCTCCGGTGGTGCAAGTCCCTCCGCCATACTACGAAAAGGCATAAGAGCTGATGAATTTGCGGAGAAAATATGATTGGAGTTGATAATGGCTGGTCTGATTAAAAAATTTGGGAAGAATAGGACAGTTGTACGCGCAGTACATATTCTCTATATTGAACCTCGGCTTGTTCGTAATTGAATCGCTGATCTGATGATGATAAAATATCTACCCATGAAATGATTCTGAAATATTTGGAGTATTGACAATAATAAGGTCAATTTTTATGGCATTCTGTATGTCTGGTTTATATATTTGGTTTGTTTTTTCTAGCTCTACTTAATATCATCACATAGATCAAAGCCGTACAGTATTTTCAAATAGTAGAGATAAATAATAAGTCCTACACCCAGCACCAGAAGAAACAGTTGCTAAACAACAAGGTTGTTACATACTGGTCTCTGCCTGAAGCTTTAATTTAACCCCTCTGACTTCAACCCTGCTATCTATAGATAATAGGGTCAGCTAACGACCCTATTGTCTGCAGTCAACGACCTGTCTGGTTTATATATACCAAAGCAATCTCGACACAATTAGTTGCAAATATGCCTTGCCATCTCGGCATCGCAGGCTGAGAGGGAATTTGAATTTGAACTACAAAGCACGAACCCATCTCGACACGCGCGTTCATTTAGCGTCATCTTACAATGACGAGCGGCCTGGTCATGCCCACCAGCAGTCAGTTTCAGAAGGATGATATTTTACGTAACCCTTCTTAAGATTGAAGTGGTCGACTGTACAGACAAGAATGCCATGATCTCGCATTGACTGAGCCAATATACCCTGCTTTCAATAGTGCCATCCGCTTCCGACCTATTTAAGCATGCATCGAGGGATTTACAGTTTACTGGATGACCCGGAATTGTCAATTTGTTTCAATATTTTTATTGGCTTAGACCATGGCGAACGCGTGTCCTAGCAGCCAGCACATCCTAGAGCCAGCGCATCCCAGGTGGATTAACTAAGGAAACCTCGGCATTCAACGCGGGTTTAGTCCGCACTGAGCTTCCCCATGCACAGGCCATCAAAACGTCAAGGTGTGCAAAAGGGACCCAGAGTCGCCCTGAAAATGGGTTTGTGTCAATGTCACTCATTCACACACCTGTGCAGTTCATTTTCGCGGCATCGGCCAATTACTTCCATGTCCACTTCTCTTTCCTTTCTTGGCAGTTATCCGAGCCCAGAATCTGGACACGAATTAATCTGTGTCACAGACAGACAGATGATGAACTTTAATTGCTTCACCGCAAAGCTCTGCTAGAAGAGAAAGCCCTGTGATCTGCTACGCTTCTTTTACTATTTATATCAAGATGCCGCCCATAGCTCCTGTTTTCTACCACTACCATACTGCACAATAACTCGTCTCCAATTCATTCTTCGGTCTCGACCCAACTATCTTCAATCTTCCATCATGTCTCATTTCGAGGGTTTCAACATCATCAACAAGATCTACAAAGAGGTGCAAGGGCATCAAATCGACTTGGACATTATCTACTCAACGAAGTTGACTGTTCCTCATTCTGAAGAATCGCCATGTCCAATTCTTCTCCGATTCCATGGAGGCGGTCTTGTCGGCGGATCTAGCCTCTACGCTCCGTTCTTCGCCCCTTGGCTGCTCCAACTCATCGAACGCCACTCTGCAATCATCGTCTCTCCAAATTATCGATTGATCCCTGAGGGTACCGTCCAGGACGCACTTGATGATGTAGAAGACGCGTGGCAGTGGATACACCATTCCTTGGCGGAAATAATGCTGGACGAAACTGGCATTCACGTTGATGTGAATCGCATCATGACCGCTGGAGATAGCGCAGGAGGATACCTCAGCCTTCATGTTGGACTCAATCACCCAGGCGATATACGAGCTGTCACTGCTGCCTATCCAGCAGTAGACGTAGGAAGCCCTCACTTCACTGGCCAGTACGAGAAACGGGTGTTTGGCATGCCGCCGATGCCTCGCAGTACTCTGGTGGAGCACATGAAGAGTATTGAGGATAGTGGCAGAACCATTGTCACTGCTGATGATGTTGGGGAACGCGGGACCCTTATGTGGTCTGTAGTCCAACACGGATTATTTGGTCAATTCTACCCCCCTCAGCAGACAGGTTTGTTCCCACTTCTTCGCCTGGATAGTGGCGATCGATTCCCTCGAGGGGGAGTCCTCGTCTGGCACGGCAAAGACGACACAGTGGTTCCAGTGGAAGGCAGTCTCAAGTTGAAGCAAAAGATTGAGAGTGTGGATCCTGAGCTGAATTTTAAACTGGTGATTCGGGATGGGGAGCATGGATTCGATCATGCTGTGAATTTGCAGGAGGACTGGGCCCTGCAGGCAATGCAGGATTGTGTGAACTCGTGGCTGCGATAAAGTGGCGAGGCTTCCTGTAGCACATAGGTCATGACCAACGAGGGTGGAGACAACAAGGTCAATTATTATGGTGTTATATACGCCTGAGCTACTAGTCAAGGCCCTGGATCCCGATACAATTTGTCGGTAATATTTTTTAGTTGAGGAGAAACTGTCTCATTTGGCCGCCCACAAAGTCCACTCCTTGCCAGCATGCTGTACATGTTCCACCATGTTGTCTTCACCCCAGCCTCATAGAGCTGAGTCGGTTATTCTGGATGCTCAGTTGATGCCAACAACAACGAGACCAGCCATGGCAGCGGCAGCAATGGCCATGCCAGTCTGCTGCGGTGCAGCATTGCCAGAGTTGGTTCCAGTCGCGCTGTCGCCCGAAGCATCACTCGAGTTACTGTCGCTGGAGGCACTGCCCGTCTCACTTGCCCACGTCAGTTTGTCGCAAAGAGTGACCTGGTCGGGAATATTGGAGTCGAGCTGGCTTTTGACCTCGGGGACGTCGGTGCAAGCCTCAAGGAGGCTCGAAATGTCTGCCGTGTGCGAAGAGTACCAGGTCACAAGTTCGGAGACCCACGAGGAGTACTCATCGGCCATGGAACCAGTGACTGCCGGAAACACGCAGGGGTCCGTGGCGGTCGCGAATTGGGTCTGTCCGGCGATGAAGTTGAGGAGGGAGGAATCGGCGGTGGGGACGTTGACAAGACTGGGGAGCAGGTTGATGGCCACAGAAGAGCACTCCTGGAGGTCGCGCTCGTCGACGGCATTCGGAGCTGGGCTGCGCTCGAAGAGAGTAGGAGCAGCGGCTTGGTCGGCGGCGAGGACAGACGCGACCGCGACGCCGCTGAGGAGAATGATCTGCTGTGTTCGCATTTTGACGTAGCTGCGAATGTGGCTAATTAGAAACAATGGTCACAACGAGACAGGATTTGATGAACAAACCTGAGTGACACAGAGGTTAGACTGGGTATTTCAGTTGGAGGGAGGAGAGTTCAAAAAGGTTGGAGATCCAGAGTTTGGCAAAACACCTGGAGGGCTCTCACTTATGCTTATCTACCGCACTGGCCTAATCACAAAAGGTCCGAAGCGAACTGAAGGATCAGGGGTTAGTGGAGGCTTCAAAGTGGGACAACCGCCTTATACCCCAGTCTGTCGTGGAGTCGTCGTGAAAATCATTGCACTGCCCAGTCGGAACCATTGCTTGCCAAGGGCCCAGTGATCTTGGCCTGCATCTTAGTGCTTTCTCGGGATGCGACCAATACGAACGCTTCCTTCGAAGGCTAGCCGAATGCAAAGAAATTGAACAAGGCCTTTTTTGACCGTGATTAAAGTTTCATCTCGTTTGAGGCCCTGTATCAGTACCCGAGTATTGGTAAGCACCTGTGCAATGCTGGTCAGTTTCATCATGATATCGGGTAATCCAATGTGCGGTTTTCGGCTGGTCGACTCACCGTCCATTGTGGAGTCGAAGCCGAGCCGTTTCATTATCATTCCGTTAGCTCGAATCATGCTCCCCTTAAGCTCCTTGTCGTTCGCTTAGCTCCCCACTTGGCTGGGCGATTAGTCTGGAATTGTTAATTACGCACTCGTATAGATGCACGGAGGCGATATTTAAGGTTCCGATGACGTTAAAGAATTGATAGATCATGGGGCTGAAGCATGATGGATTTTCCTTTCCTTCCTCAGGGTTTGGAGCTCTTTGTCGCCATCAAGACCTCGGATATCACCTCTGCCTTCACAATGAACAGAATGTCCGTCGTCAAACAAAGGAAAATGGCTAAAGAGTGAATTAAGGGCAAGATCAGGGGCAAATAAGTTGATAAGGAGGCAGTGCATGGTATCGAATGCCAGTTGAGGGTCTTGGCGAGTTCGCCGCTCTAAGGATGGGCCTGGGCCTTGGGCGTCATGGGGGGGGGGATAAGAAGCACTTCGAGATCACTTGCGGAAAGTTTCTGCCCTAACTTGATGAGTAGTGTTCGAATGTGCGGTGCTGCCGAGTTATACCAGGGATCTGTATTGAATCTAAGTTATAAATTGGGACAGTACATGCCATTCCAGTGCACACTTCGGAATTACAGACAACCTCTCGGTACGTGTATATTCCAGCACACTACGTATCTATTGCCATATATCTAGTCCATACAAGCCTACCAAATAATCATAATATCTCTCACATACTATTCCACTGAAGCCTCTTTCCCTTCCTCCCCTGGGATCACTGGTATCGGCGTCGCGCAGCCTCGAGAACACCAATAGCACAACACGCGATACGTTTCTGCCATTCGTTTGCATCCCCCCTCACATTTAGCACAGATGCATTTACGGTAAGGCCCAATTGTAGGTCTAGCCGCAGGGATCGTCTTAGTGTTGGGAGGAGACATCCTTGCACCGCTTGTTCGTGTTTGTTAAGTCCGACAGTTTGAGAAGAGATTTGTATAATATAGTACATTGCAGAAAGAAGAGACAAGGAAGTTTGCGACGAGAACCGACTTTATAGAGATTGCATGTGCGTGAATTGATACATAATTACCGGATGACATTTTATCGGCGGTGAGTAACAGCGTCTCAGGTTGTGATTATTCTTCATACATTTGCTCCCATTTTGCCGTGCATCACAACGGCAAGATGCAGAAACCAACGACCCTCGAATCGATAAGATTTTATTGACTCAAATTTGGAATACTGGAAACTAAGGATAAAAAACCCGGAGCGGAAGTCTCCCTACTGGGGTGATATTTGAGGTCGACGAACTGATAGTGTGCGTGATACTGTTGAATCTCCCGGACCGATAAGCAAACAGAATATGGGCAAAAAAAAGGCAGCCTAGATCGTTTAGTTTGAAGGTAAATAACAGGGCATATGTAACCCATTTTCCATTATAATGACGCGTTCTATATCTACCTCTCGTGGTTTCTAATCCCATCTCAGAAGCTAACCCTAACTCCTTCACTATCGTACTTGACACCCTTTATCAATACACATTATTAGGTGCGATAGTGACGTTGGATTTTAGTTTGACTGGGGAAGGGCATTCTTGATCCTCTCGGCCAGTTCCGGATCGACACGCGCAAACATAGCTTCATGGCAAATATTAGCATGATAAGTCTGTGATTAGGAGAAAGATGAGCGTACCGAGTGCATCCTTGTGCATGATGGGATCGGCAGACCCGAGATGCCCGGCGACGTTGTTAACCAGATGCTCCTGCTGGCCTTCCTGCTTCGCCAGTAAGTTCCAGAAGGCTCGCGGCTGTGCAAAATCATCGTCTGTCAACTCAGAGGTGTAGCTGCTGATGGCACCTGCAACCCATTGTTGATGGCCGCCTGCCGCGTTGCCGTTTGCTCCAACAGTTCCCTCGAATTTAATGGGCTTGAGCGAAGATCTCACGTAGTTGGGATCGGCCCCGTAGTTCTCCGTAGCATTCATGAATCCATCGCGCTGATACGGGTTGTAGACTGGGCAGACGGGGCGGTTGCAGGGGAGGTGCTGGTAGTTGACACCGAGGCGATACCGGGCTGCGTCGGGATAGGCAAACATGCGAGCTTGAAGGACTTTTCGCCTCAATTAGGGACAGGAATTGGAAAGGGGAAGGGATTCAGGGTCATACCTGGGTCCGCAGAGGGTGCGATACCGGGTACCATGGTCGAGGGTGAAAAGGCAGCTTGTTCAATGTCGGCAAAGTAATTACCGGGCTAGTAGTAGTATTTTCAGCATGTGTTTCACTAATAATTTAGACGAGGACTCTCACGTTTCTTGACAGAGTGAGTTTGCCAAACGGCATCAAGGGAAATTCACTATGAGGCCAAATCTTGGTCATGTCAAAGATGTTCCAGCGGAACGTCTCGGCTTGTTCCGGGGTCATGACCTGGAGGTAGGCAGTCCAAGTGGGGAAGTTTCCAGACTCGATGGCGTTCCAGAGGTCTGCGGTGTGGTTGTCTGGGTCTTGACCGGCAAGTCGAGTGGCCTCGGCGTCGGTGACGGTGTCGTTGCCCTGGTTCGACTTGAAGTGAATCTTGACGTAGGAGAAAGACCCGTCCTTTTTAGTGAGCTTGTAAGTGTGGCCGCTGTATCCGTTCACGTATCGGACCGATTTGGGGGTGCCGCGGTCGGAAAAGAGCATCATGAGGGCGTGGATGCCTTCTTGGTTGTTGTTGTGGAAGCTAGCACCAGGTTAGCGTCTACGTTGACGATTTGGATGAGGGTGGCATACTCCCAGAACTATTATCATTTGTCAGTAATTGCTGTCTAGTATCCTGGGGTTATCACATACCATGGTGCTATCGGTCATGTTGGTGGCAGGATGCCTCTTGTGGGACCTGTTGAGGCTCGGAAACTTGATTGGGTCTCGGACAAAAAAGACAGGCTGGTTGGGATCAGCAACTGAATGGGGAAAATTGGGAACCCGACAGCACATACAATATCGTTAAAGACAAAGTCCTGATTGCCCTCTTCGGTGAAGAGCTTCAGCGCCCATCCTCGCACATCACGCAGAGTGTCAGCTGATCCAGAACCAGGACCAACGGTGGACACCCTGATGAGAGCCTTGCTCTTGGTGCCGATGCCATTCAAGAATTGAGCGTCAGTCAAATGTGAAATGTCGTGGGTCAATTCGAACTCTCCCCAAGCACCGACTGCGTGGGCGTGGACGACGCGCTCAGGTATTCTCTCTCGGTTGAAGTGTGCGAGTGTCTCGATCAGTTGGGTGTCCTGAAGGAGCATCAGGCCCTTGACGGGACTCCCATCACTGAAGCGTTGGGCAGTGGTTGGGTCCGCATAGGGGCATCCTGTATAAGATTAGATGAGACATGGAAATTGGTGCCCAAGGTGAATTTGAACTGACCTTCGGCAAGAGTGTAGGTCGGGGTTGTGCTGTTGGTACGAGCCATGATTGTGATTGTGGGTTGTCAAATTAGGAGACGTTTGGTGTTGGTTTATGAGACAAGATGTGAGATGTGATGAATGTAAATCAATTCACTGCATTCATTATTCCCTATTATCTTTATATTTGAGGATTACTTGATCGATTAGAACTATCTCGGGAGACGGCCGGAAGAAAGGCATCCTCATCGGCGCCACCGGCACATCGGGAATCCCGGCAGTCGAAACTTTTGGAAGACAGACGGTCGCACAGCATTGACGGGTCTGTCTTGCCGGTGCACCATGATCCATCATTGCAATTCCTTCGCAGAATGCATCAATAATAGACTATACGTCATTTTCATAACCGTCAATCTGGAAAACAAGCGTGGCCAAGGCGGAAAGTCGGCTTCCAGGCCTGTCGCGGAAAGCTCGGCGTCTCGGCGAGTTGCAGAAGCGCCGCTGACGCCAGTTGAGCGCTGCAAATGCCGTCTTCCGCGATGATGACGCTGCAGCAGGGCAGTAAATCTTTGCACGAATCGCATTGGACGGATTACAGCGCATCACTTCTGGGTTTTGACTTAGACGGCTCGTGCATGGAAGTGACATTCTTCGACCAGTCATGGAAACCAAGGTCAACACTGAATCGCACTCACTCGTCCGCGAATGGCAATTGAGCGCCCAAATGTTTGATTCTTTATCAAGGCCATGTCCCACAATAACTTCTTTCTGCACGTCTTTTCAACTCTCCTTCTTTCGTCGTGCCGCTATGATCCGACCCACCGTTCCAGCCACAGGAGGTGCGAAGTTGGTGTAATGTGCACTAACATATGCATGCTAGCAGTTCTGCGAGAAGAGCACACAGGATGTTCCCCGTTATTCTCCTCATTTATCTTCACTCCAGCCGCCAGCCCATATCTGCGCGAAACATCATAAAACTTCATTTGCCGCCTACACTTCTCTCCGCCACTACTTGCAGTTGATTTTATCGGCCATCATCACCCTCGGCTCTGTCCAGCCCATCCAGACCGAATCCACCAGTATGGTCTCGTTCCTAACAGATTTGAAAGGCAGTTTTAACCGGTCTGGCTAGACTAAGCTGAGGCATTGATTGATAAAGAGCTACCCTTAATTTAAGTAAACTCCGGCAGTCTTCGCTGCTCGTATTTATTAAGAGCTAAGCAAGTGACGACTCAAAGTAATACCTCCCTTATTCAAGGTGATGTCCAGCAAGACTAGGCACTCATTGGGTAATGGGATGATTCTATCTCTACATTGGGCTAGGGGCTGGTATGTTTGGCAACGGGGAACCTGGTCAGCAATATTGGAGATGTTGCAATAACTAGAGGAGGAAGCCAGCCACTTTTGACTCAAATAAAGAATATCTACAAAGACGGTTAGGATGGGGCTTGTATTGACCCTGTTCGGACGTCTGAAGGTCGAGTGTCTGGGAAACCAAGGAATCGAACTGGTAACAGCACCAGATAGAGCTATAAGCACCGAATTTAATACCCATTCAACAGCTTCCGAGACCTACAAAGCTACGAGAATGGGGAATTGAAACTATTTATCAATACGGTGCCCGTTGGGTAGCACAAGAAGGTCTGCAAATGAACATTCAAAGAATCCGTGGGTATCTCTGTGAGAAACTAGTTTGTTGATATCAAGTTACCTTGGTTTTCTTGTGCTTTCTTTCCGTTTCATCTTAGGTATATCCAGTATGGGGGAGAAGAGACATACAATGACCAGGTCGCTGTCTGGTCCTTCAGACTGAATCCAAGACCAGAGATTACGTGCTATGTCAAATTTCACACATCTAACATTGATATACTAGATAGAAAGCCTGAAAACCTTTAACTTCTACCCTCCTCCGCCGTAGATAGTTATTTACACTCACTCAACCTCAGCACATGGGCCTGCGATTCCTCTACCCTACCCTGTGACTCTCGAGTCCCTATCTTGGTCAGGAACTCAACAACGGCTGAGTTTCCGCTCGAATTGGCAGCCTTAAGAGCACTAGAGTAGAATCCAGTTAATAAACGAAGATTAACTTCAGCCCCCTTATCAACTAGAAACTTCACAGTCTCTATATATCCTCCAGAGGCAGCAGCAGCAAGAGCACTACCGCAGGATCCACTGGATAGTAGGAGGTTTACTTCAGCTCCTTTATCCACTAGAAACTGAACAGTCTCTATTTCTCCTCTATAGGCAGCAGCACCAAGAGCACTACCAACCCCCCCACAGGATAGTCGGAGATTTACTTCAGCCCCCTTGTCAACTAGAAACTGAACAATCTCTTTATATCCTTCAGAGGCAGCAGCAGCAAGAGCACTACCAAAATTCCCACTGGATAGTAGGAGGTTTACTTCAGCCCCCTTATCCACTAGAAACTTAACAGTCTCTATATTTCGTCTCTGGGAGGCAGCAGCAGCAAGAGCACTACCAAAATTCCCACTGGATAGTAGGAGGTTTACTTCAGCCCCCTTATCCACTAGAAACTTAACAGTCTCTATATTTCCTCTCCAGGAGGCAGCAGCAGCAAGAGCACTACCGTAGGATCCACTGGATAGTAGGAGGTTTACTTTAGCCCCCTTATCCACTAGAAACTTAACAGTCTCTATTTCTCCTCCATTGGCAGCAGCAGCAAGAGCACTACCGTAGGATCCACTGGATAGTAGGAGGTTTACTTCAGCCCCCTTATCCACTAGAAACTTAATAGTCTCTATGTTTCCTCTCCAGGAGGCAGCAGCAGCAAGAGCACTACCGTAGGATCCACTGGATAGTAGGAGGTTTACTTCAGCCCCCTTATCCACTAGAAACTGAACAGTCTCTATATATCCTCTATAGGCAGCAGCAGCAAGAGCACTACCGTAGGATCCACTGGATAGTAGGAGGTTTACTTTAGCCCCCTTATCCACTAGAAACTTAACAGTCTCTATTTCTCCTCCATTGGCAGCAGCAGCAAGAGCACTACCGTAGGATCCACTGGATAGTAGGAGGGTTACTTCAGCCCCCTTATCCACTAGAAACTTAATAGTCTCTATGTTTCCTCTCCAGGAGGCAGCAGCAGCAAGAGCACTACCGTAGGATCCACTGGATAGTAGGAGGTTTACTTCAGCCCCCTTATCCACTAGAAACTTAACAGTCTCTATTTCTCCTCCGTGGGCAGCAGCAGCAAGAGCACTACCAAACCTCCCACTGGATAGTAGGAGGTTAATTTGTATTCCTTGTTTTAAAAGGACCTCACATATTGGTTTGCATCTTCCCAGAACAGCAAGTGTTAGCAGGTTGTGACCTTGACTGTTCACTTGCGAAACTGCCATTTCTGCGTCGTCCCACCAGTCTCGAAGTACCGCATAAAATGAGAAGCGGCACATTGCGAAAAGAGTGACATCGGCTGGGAATATATCTTCAATGACCATATATGTCATTATGGATGACGAGGGCCGCTGCCGGTCCGCCTGGCAGATTTGGCGGTACCAGTGACGATATTGAGTACTGCTCTCTCCGGGAGAACCAAGGAACGTTTTCAAGAGACATTTCAAATTAAGGTCTGCCTCTTGTCCCTCTTTCACCATTTGTTCGTCATAGGTTCTGACATGGATTACCCAATGATGTAGTAGATACCGTTGCAGAGGGTTGAACATGTCCTGCGGTTCCACGTTGTGCGCGCTATCTGAAGTCTCGGCTTCGCTTTCGTCGGGTAGGCTTTCGTGTGTGTTAATCAGAAGCTTAAGACACACTTTAGCAGCGTTACAATGAGCCTGCCAAAAGTCGAAGTGGTTTCCTTCAAAATATTCCCGAACGGAGAGATGTGAGAACCTCCAGACCAGTCTCTGGGAGTCGAGGACAAGCAGATTCTCGCACACATCCAAGAGCTCGGATTCGGTGAAATCGGCAGGTAAGTCGATAGTATCGAGGCGGGGATCGACTTGGATCGCGGACAGAAGCTCAGAACTGCTAAGCGGTGTGCAGGCGCTCATCACCCACATGCAAGCGCGATCAAGAAATATCTTTGCATGCTGGTGTTCCGCATTTCGAGCGTAAATCTCATCGTACGTCGTCTTGAGTCCAACTGGGAGTTTCCCAAGCCGGCTTTCGATATCTGCTTCAGTCCGCAGTTTGAGCACCTGGTTGATCTGCAATGATGCCCACTGGAACCTGCCTTTGCGTCAGCTACACTCTGGAGACCTCTCACACAAGTAAAAACTCACATTCCATGGCTGCTTTCGAGGATGACATTGACGATCTTCTCCCGGAGTCGTGGGGATATCCGACGCTGTCGTCCACCTTTATTGATTTCCTCAATCACGAATTTCTCGATATCGACCTGATTGTCTCTGGCTTGGATTTCGATGTTTGGCTGAGAAGTGAAGAGGTCTCGCGTTTCGGCGTCAGGCCGACTCGCGATGAAGATCTTGAGTGGTTTTTTGGCCCTCGACATTAGGCGTTCCATCGCGCTGACGAGATCCCAGCGCGATTCCTGCTCGCATTCGTCCAGGGCATCGAGTATGAGGGTAGTCTTGGAGTAGCCGTTGATCGATTCTAGCAACTCATCTTCGCATGAGCCGAAGTTCAGAACCGATCCCTTTTGTCTCGTTTCAAGGCAGAGTTTCTTGAGTTGTGTCCGCATGTGTGCCGGTCTCCTCTGGGGAGCTGCCAATTGACGAACATAGCTTTGGAAGATTGAAAGTGGCTGCCGACGCTCTTCTTCATTGCGGTTGCAGTAGAAGTATGCAACGCCTTCTTGATCGTGTGCCAAATCTTCAATGCGGCCAATAACTCGAGAGCTGAGGAAGGTCTTGCCGGTACCAGCTAGAAAATTTAGTCTCGTATAACTCGGAACCTAGGGTTTCACTTACCAGAGCCCTGAAGCCACAGAATTGCCGATGAATCCTTAGACTCCCATTCACGGAATTTCATGTGGCTAAGCAACCATTCACCTGTGCCATCGGTTCGAGCGGACTTGACCGTCTCATGATGCTTTCCATATGGCGCGCGTGAGATCCATTCGAGAATTTCGATGTGGTCTTTCTCGCCCATTCGTGTGAGAATCGATGCACTACAGATAAAGTCAGTATTATTCCTCACGGTTATGCTCAGTACGTACACCTGGTCCTGGATAAAACCATGAAACTCTGCCGCTAGCTTGAGCAGTTCTTCAATGTTAGCTCGACTGGAAAGCTCGCAGTATCTTCCACAGTCATCTCCAGCTCGCAATAGCTGGTCTTCGCCTTCCAAAAGCCCATCTACGCAGTGCTTCATGGGTTCAAGCTTGAATACAGCAGTTGCTCCTTTGGTCTTGCTCTCCTTGCATTTTATAGCAAAGCTAAGAAACAACTGAGCTTTAGTATAAGCTTGGACGATGGATTCCTTCAGTCTGTTCAAAGGGCCATGTTGAGGGCGGAGGGCGAGCTCTGGAGCCATATATAGTTGCTGGTACGTGTCGCATTGTACGAGGATCGACGCAACCATGGCAAATCCAGTGACGAGTTGATCCCATAGCTCTTTGTGTGCGATCAAAATCTATAGACGCTGGTCAGTGGCTAAAATGAGCAAAGATTCCACGAGTTCCATTTTTAGCGGACCCGATATCGTAGCAAGGCTCCTTACCGTAATGAGAGACCGGATAACGGCCCATGGTGGAGCAGCATGAAGCGGATCAATGCTGACAGCAACATCGCCAACAGACGCAAATTTACTCAAGACGGACACGGAATTGTCGATGATACGGCGTGCCGTGCTGTCGTGCTGCGGGACCTTTAAGGCTTCGGCGATTTTCTGCTGGATATTCGCCACCGAATCCTGTCTCTGCGCAGAGTCCGATTCACCAGCGAACGTCCCCACCTTCAACCTATCCGACTCTTCCAGCGATTCTAAAGCTTCGTTCCACAGGTCGTAATCATTCGCATGTGGCTTCGGTGGTTTCTGGTCGTCGCAGACTGTTTCTTCCTCTTGACGTTGCGGCGGCACTTGGGCGGGTGAAACGCCAGAGGTGTCGGCATGGTTGGAGGACACCGGAGGGTTTTCTGCAGGGGCTTCGGGAGCAATCAAGAGTGCGGTTTGAGGCGGGACTTGTCCTTTGACTACAGTGCATCAGTTATGTGACAGGATCACGACCTCACATGGCGCTGAAGTATCGTACCAGTTGAGAGCCCCACGCCAGAACCTGTTGGGTCCTTGTCCTGCTGAGCACCGTTCCCGTCATGGTTTCGGCGCCAAAGACCACAGCATAGAATTGGAGACATCGCCTGACAGGTGATACAATGGTAAAGCGCAAAAGGCGCGGAGATGGTCCGGCGTAATTGATACTGTGGAGTAAATGAACGTATTGAGTGTTTTCCTGACGATCTATGTCAGCTATTGCTGCCTAACGCCAAACTTTACGAATAAAAACATTCAAGGAGATGACTAAGGAAACAGGGAGGCATGGGCTTCATCCAATCACCTATGAACAAGCCTTGCCCTGTCCTTGATATGCGCGCGCTTGCCCTTGTGTCGCATCAGCTGAGAACGTCGTGCATATCACCACCAATAGCAAGCCTGGCCGCTCACCGTGTACCCACCTCGACAAATGCCGCTCGCCTCATATTCCCCTGCCTGCATAATAGTTTGTTGGTGGGAGATGCACTTAGTGCGGACAGGGCCGGCGACACCGAGAGTCTGTGATACCCTATATTTCGGTTGAAGGGAGGTCCTGCAGCTAAGACCAGGTGAGGGATTTTGGCAAGAAGGGAAGGGAAGGTACCTGATCAAGTGCTTCTGAAGAGAATAAGACAGAAAAGAGCGGCAATGAAATGAAAAGAGCGCCTGCGACAGCTGGTCAGTTGGCAAATCAACAATAAACATTGTCTCGAAAAGTTCAAATTGAAAAAGAGAAAAAATATACCCTTCCTACTAGAGGCTGAGTTGTTTCTCTAAGTAGTATCTAGTCCAGCAGGCTAGTCCTACTGTCATTAAACTCCAAAGTGCCGGTCAGCACCATCACAACAGTTATTCGTAATAACTTAGCGTGGTTCTCCTCCATACCGGAGCACTCGAGAGAAGCTCCATTTGAAGTGGCAGTCGGTGATCAGTACCGTCTGGGATCAGGAGTGAACACATACCCTACAATTGCAACGCAAGCAACACCAGCAACACTTTGCTACAGACCAAGAACAACTCGTTATGGATTCTGCTATGTTTCCAATTGAACAAATGTGACAGTCGGCACTTGAGACACACGATTTGAAGCGGAATGACCCCGATGCCCGCGAAATGGTGGACAAAGTCATGCAGCACTGGGGAAGCCCCGCCGCAAACGCCGACAACCACGACAGCCTGGTAGATGACCTTGAAGCGGAGGTAAAACAAATTCAAGGAGTTCCGCAGCCCCAAAAAGACCAGCTGGAAATCAATTTTCCTTTTTTTTTTTTTTGCTCAAAAGACCCTCCTGCTCCTCTGCCCGACAAGACTACTGTTAACATCCGGAAGAAGAAGCCAAGATCGCACTGACCTGCCAATACTTGAACGGAACAGCCCAGGGAGGGGATATCGTGTGTTAATCAGAAGTTTAAGACACACTTTAGCAACGTTGCAATGAGCCTGACGTCCTTGCCGTATAATACAATTTAGTTCCTTCTGGCTTCTGCTGGCCCGGCTCTTATAGGCTGATTGACCCCGGGCATCGGCATTGAGTTCTTTATTCCAAAGTAGATTAGCCTTGGCAGGTCGAAACTGATGTAGGCACGAGGGGATGTCATGGTGAAGATGCCAAGCCGGATATAATAACCTGGCTATATAGCGAGCCTAAAGAGGTGGGCAGTCTTTGGGACTGAGGCACCTACCCCGGCCACGGAACCTTTGCACAGTTTAGCAACGCTCGACACCAGTTTTGACCAATCTTTTTCTTTGTGAGGGCCGAATTGGATCGAGTTTCAAGTGGGAGAAGGTTGGACCATCAGCGATCGACGTGTGCAAGTGCACCATTTTACCAATCGGAAGCGGATGTGGCAGGTAAGTAGACAATTCTAACCAAGGCATGTCTCCACTACCAAAGTCAATTAATCTCGCCTTTCGGAATATCAGTTGACCGAAAGCGATGCGCAAGGGCGGTGACAAATCCGCAAGACTTGAGATGATGGGCCTGGAAAGAGTTTTGCTCCGGGCTCTGCCAAGTGGCATCAAACGTTCTTCAGATTTAAGAAGACGGGTCGGGTCTAAGAGTGACACCCGACTCGTCATCGTCTCCGTCTCTCTGTCCAGAATAGATTCGAAAGTAAAATATCCCGCATGAAATCCTAGGGGCGGGGGAGCAAGACGCATATTTCCCTATTCTACCATTTACCAATTTACAGCTCTACCGATTTCGTCGCAGCAGCCTACATAGTAGACCCTTAATTCATATTAAGGCCAATTCAAGGTGCCAGAGGAGGTTTAGAAGTGCGCTGCCCTTAATATAAAAAAATAAACCTATCGGCGTCGTCGGGGTACTTCTCGAGATAGGCACGGGGAAGGGTCATCGAGTTCACTTCGGGGGTACCGTAGAACTCTCTTCCATTCCAGTAGGTCGTGTTATTAGCAAGAGCGGCTCGCATGGCAGCAAACACCTGGTCGTGCGCGGCAGGGTGAGGCCTCCAGGTGAAGCCATAAGGCCAAGGCCATGGGGCCCGACTTCCTTGTTGTTAAGCTTCGGCATGGCTTTGTGGGTATGCTTTATGGTGCTATTTGTAGGTGATGCCGAAGCAGGGCGGAGAAAGCTAAAGTGAGCTGCAGCCTTGAAGTTCCAGGAGGTGGCTACAGTCTTCTTATATACGAGTGCAAAGGTCCCTTCCAGGTAAAATGGCTATGCCAATAAGTCTGCGTTTGGCACGATCTGCCGAAGCATTTGCTTTGCTTTGCACTGTGCCGGCTGGCTGAACCAGACCTGGATACCATGCCACGGAAATACGCAACTTCTCAACGCCACGTGAGGAAGAATGTCGCACACAAGGAGAGGGAACAAGGTACTTTTCGAGGAATTACAACACCCTCCTGGCGGCGTAAACCCCCGTCCAAGCCATGCTCCATAATGAATTCCCAGCACAAGCCATAAGGAAGATGCAGACGGAGCCGCCCTGGGCATCGGCGACACCAATGACCGCGATAGGAGACATGTTGCGTATGCTGATCCTCGCTGGCTAATACTTAACAGAAATGCTTTCAGTTGTAGGGTACCTAGTTTATAAGGTTGTTTTTCGTCCATTCGTGTCGAAGGCCACACCTAGATGGAGAAACCACAACACCACCCAGGAGTAAACCGCTGCTCGGAACAAACTCCAAGCTTATCAAGCAAACTCGAACGGCACTTCTTTTGCATATACACAGGGGCTGAGCGCGGATCCCTTTTCCGTTGCATCACGGGCATGGTGCGCGTCGGGGTAATCACGAAGCCGAAGGCCGAGAGGAGATTAAGCTTAATGAAGCTTAATTGATCCTTCACCGTCGTCGACCCGGACCACCCACTCCTTCTGAGCATCGATGATCTCTCCATGCGCGATTGCATTACACAATATCGCAGCCGACCTAAAGTTGACTGTCCTCCATGCCTTTCCAATCCGTTCTATTAGTTCATACCAGTACCACTACGCCCAGTGATGACCAATCAGTGTCGTCGAGGGCCGGAGACTCTTGATTGCCGAGGTTTAAAAATATCATGTAACCTAGTTGCGATACCCCTGAGTTCATACCAGCATTACGCCGAATTTCAGTATAAAAGATGCTCATTGGTTTGAAGTCACCAAGTTGCGTCACTGATTGTGCTACAATCATATTAAGTTGTATTTTATTTCACATCCAAGCGTGTTCATATCGCTTGTCACCATGATCTGGACAGGTTGCCTCATCCTTGGCGGGGCGATAATATCTGCTCTCGCTCACCCGGCAGCTAGTCCAAGCTGTATCGCTTCAAACGACACCAGTGAAGGGACCTCTGGTATCTCCGTACGACTAAACGAGGCTTTTGGGAGTGCCGTTCGCGAGAAATGGGTACCGGGGATTGCTGCCATCGCGCTTAACAGGAACGGCAGCGTCATCTTTCAGAATGCATGGGGCACAGTTGACATGAATGACCCGTCCTCGGCTCCCATCACGTCATCCACCAAGATGAATATCGCTTCGCTGACCAAGGCAGTCACCGTCGCCGCTGCTCTCCAGCTGGTCGAGCAGGGCAGATTAAACGTCGATGACCTAGTCGAGGACTATCTTCCAGTATTTGGGGACCTCGACGTTCTGGAGGGCTTCACCGACGACGAAAAACCAATCCTCCGCAACGTCAAGGCCAATGCCACCATCCTTCAAATCATGCATAATCGGGCCGTTCATTTATTCGTCGGTATCGCGGAGTTCTGCGAAAGTCCGGATCAACACTTGGCGGTGAGGGGAACATAACATCCAGCTGGCTTGGCGGAAATTACTTCCGACGTACACGGACCAAAGGTCTCCTCGATAATGTGGCTCATCCACAAGACTTGGTAAATATGTCGTCCAGCTTGTTTGCTCAACTTTCAAATCCATACTGCGTCCCTGACAGAAGCGGTGAATATTTACCCCTGCCAATCCGAATGTGGGAGTCATGATTACCGTGTGGAAATTGATGATGTGGATTTTTTGATGCAGAGGAGTTCAAAATTTAAGATGGGTAAACCCAATTTGTACTCTTTCCCGCTAGCCAAGTGACCGAAGAGGCGCTTCTGGAGCTTGCTGGAAATGAGTGGGAGCTGGTCGCCTCACTAGCAAGCCACCCACTAAGCTGGCCACTTTTCTTCCGAGATTTAACTGTAATATGTATAAAATAGTATATAGCATTAATATATTAGTAATATTAGGCTATGTTAAAAGAAAAAAACAAAGATAAATAAGAATAAGTTCATGTCTTTCTTGTTTCGTGTCTTATTTCAGTTAATCTTGGTTCAAGTTCAGCGGATGGATGGTTGCGGCATTACCTCCAAATCTGGGGCATCCGCTCCGTCTTTCCGGGGACTTATTATTCGCATTATAGCGAATAATTTGCAATTGATGACGCCACAGAGTGCGAATTGTATGTCTTTTTTTTGTGCAAAGGACACTAATGGGCCGCATGGGGAGAAGGGACAGACTCTTGAAGAGTGCTCATGATGCCGGTTGCCAATTTAGACATGTCTTCCTCGGTGAGAGAAATATTGAGTGACGATAACAGAGATGGCAGCTTCGCTTGTAATTCTTTGTTAAAAGATCCACTCAGAACTGCAAGCGGTTCAGCAATGCCTTCTTTCATTTCAGGGAACTCGGGCCGCGGGTGGCCGGGGAAGAGCTGGTCCCACAGCCAATTCCACTTGGACGAATCGTCGCCACGCGGTATGTTCGGAAGATGCGCGACGAGCAGGCCTTTTGGCGCTGGTGCTTTTTGGCACGAGTTGCTGCGGATATGCTCGTCGTAGAGTTGCTTCGACTTGAATGTTGTCCAGCAGTTCGAGCAAGAATGCGGGGACTTGATGGCGTGCCAGCGCTCGAGGTGTTGCTTGACATCGGGAACGCGTCTGAATTCATAGCGCCCGCAGTGGTAATGGCTGATAGAGTCGAATTTATAGAAAGGACAGGCCCAGCGTCGTGGCTCTCCCGGGGCGAGGTCATTGTCGGCGTGAATGTGTTCGCAATCCTGGGTTTCGTTTCGCCTTCTCTCCCCTGCGTTATTGTTTTTGGAGTGACTGGTGCGATAGACCTGTGTTCTCTTCCTCTTCTTCTGCCTCTTTCTTGCCTCGCCGTCATCCGCCCCCTCTGGACCCTCTGGCGGCTCACTAGCTGGATTGCGATATCCTGGGTCCGGGGGGGAGCCGGGAGGGCTATGGCGATGTGAATCCTCAATATGAGCACATACCCCTGATAGTGACCAAGAACCAATATTGGTTGATGAGGGGGCATGACCAACGTGTGTAGCCGGAGGACTCGGGTATTGTTGAGGATTTTGGAGGTTTATTGGTGCTGAATTCTTCTCTCTTTCCAACTGCAGTGATGCCGGCTCGACAACTGCCGCCCCGCGGGGCTGAGCCGACTTGTTTGCAGGCAACGCTGTTGCTACTTGTTTAGTAGGAGGGGGTTGGGTTAGCACAAGGTGCAAGTCTTCAGGGACGGCGACGGAAGAGAGCTGCTCAGCTTCAGTCGGCGATTTGGCTTCACGGCCCTTCCTAAAAGGACCCGTGCTAGTCAAATCTGAACATGGAAATCCCTTTTTTGCACACCGTTTACACTTTCCCTTGTCCCCTACGTTCTTCTCCTCGCACTTGAATAGATTAGTATGGGGTTGAACTGTGGTGGAAAGGCAGTTAGTATCCTACCTTCTTCTTGTCTCTCCGACAATATGCACACTTGAGGAAGTTAAGTTTGGCTTTGCCATGTCCATTTGCTCTGCCGCTTAAGGAGCCAACCTGAAATCCTAATGACACCCCTGGGTATGTAAAAGCGTGATTTGAAGATTGGGGCTTTGTCGAGCAAGTGTCATCAGCAAGGAAATGCCCGGATACGGCGGGGGGAAGGGAGGAGAGCGCGCGTACCGCATGGATTGGACATGGGCTGGCGGAAGAGGGCGATGGATGAGAGGCAGATGGCATATTAGCTTCGTCCACTCTTGAGGTTGGAGGGATGTCGTCGATATCGCGTGTATCTCGGCTTCTTGTTTTATCGCCTGCTGGTTGGAACTGGTGCGCCGCACAATTGTGTGCCGGGGCATCGCGACAGGTCATTAAATCACGAATGTGTAACCTTGTTAGTAATTAAACCACGTGATATACTTGGCTGCCGCGTATTGGTCCAAGTCTGGTGCAAGGCTACCTTTGACTACCTTACCTGTGGCCTGGCCCACGGAATAATAGGCGGCCCGACATAGCCTGACGGAGGCCATACTAAGCCGGACCGGGCCGCTTATTATTCCGTGCTCAACTTCGATGCCTCAGGGCTCCGGCTCCGCTTGGAAACCAGATGGCTGAACTTCTCGTACTTGGCGACATACAGAAAATCATGGCAGTGACTCTTCACAAACAGGCATCCGTCGCACCGGCCCACAAAGCCATCGATGGACTTGACGGCCGCAGTGCTCAGGCAGCAACGTGAAGAAGGAGCAAAAATAGCTGCGACTACAGGGGGCTGTCGCACTAGGATCACGGTGCGACCACTCACCACACTGCGACGATCTTCTCTCCACTCACACTCACTGAACTGCTAACTAATTTAGGCGTCACCCCATCTGTCGCACTCTTGTTGGCTGTCGCACTCGGTCGGGCAGCGTCATCCTCGTTCAGCGTCGCACTCGCTTTGCGCCGGGAGGTGCTCGGGCGGAGCGACATGTCCGAAGGCCATCATCAAGGGTAGCCCTTCTTGTTGGTTCGCAGTCGCAACAGCAGCTGGTACCAGGAGGAGAGAACAGAAGACAGCACGATGGGATGACACGACAGAGATCGGGAGAGGAGAGATCGAGAGAGGAGAGAGCAGCGAAAGTTGAGTCGAGGGAGGGACAAAAGAGAGCGCAGCCCATGTCGCAGTGGCTTGCATATACGAGTGGCGATACCATCATTCGCTGTCGCAGTCCCACGCTGAGAGGCTTCGACGTCATCATCGTCCGCCCTACATTACACCACTGGCGCTCGTCGCACTCCTCGTCGCACTTCTTGTCGCACAGCTTTCCGTATTGGGTGTCGCACTATTCGTCGCACTCCGCAATGCGACAAGCTGAGGCATTTCGTGGCACCACACATCGCACACCGATACGAAATAATGCCCCCACACCACCTCATGGCTGATGTCTATAAAGAACGGCCTGCACATCCGTGTGCGACGCTTCTGTTTCGCATCCCTCACATCTGTGTGCTTGCAACCTGCTCCCTGTCGCACTCTCGTCATGGCTCATTCGTGGCGCACTGACAGCGACCGCATCATGCGCGTCCTGGACGACATTTCCAACAGTGTAAGTCATCATCACACTGCCTACTCTGCTTGCAAGATCATCGGAAACTCATCATCAAATGTCTTAGCCTGTAGACACCTTCTACTATAGTCGCTGGGTTCACTCTGACGTTGTCAATGCCTCCAACGACGGCCAAGTCATCCGCGAGCTGGCATTCTTGTCGGAACCTTCGTACCAGCGCTTGCCGCCGTACACAACAAGCCCCCATTGCACTAAGCATCTCGGCAACTGGACTGTTGTCCATCTGCACATCCCAAGGGATCGCTATACCTTTGACTCACCATCTACCAACGCCTTTTCCGACAAGTGGCCTGTGGGTGTCACTGGTGTCACTGTCTTCCAAACCCGCTCCATCTATCGCCCTAAGCCTTTCCCTCTCAGCGACAGTTGCCGGAACGACTGCCCGAATGACTGCCCGAATGACTGCCCGAATGACTGCCACGTCAACTGTCCGACCAATTGCCACACCGATCGCGACGCCGGTTGTCAAGCTGGTCGGCATGCTCATTGGCAAGTCACGAACTTGTATGTTTCCTTCTCTCTGCCGACTTCACATTTGATCATACATAATTCTTCCCTCGCCCTTGGATGCATTTCAAAAATGCTAATGGCATCAAGGTACAAAATCCCTCGGTGCAAAGCCGTTGTGTGTCGTTGGGATGAAAGACATCGGTGGTATCCCGGTTCAGCCCAGGCGCCCAAGGAGCACGGCACTCATAGGCCTGCGCGTTATTATGAGTCGCTGGATAAATTTGTAAGTACTACTTCCGCCATCTCTCCTGAGATATAGATTACATCTATCTTAAACTGCCCAACATACTAACGTGAATATCCATAGGGTCGATGGCTTTGTAGGGAGCATGTTTTCAGTACACAAAACTTGATGGATATTTGGCCAAGCCTTGGCGAATACGACTTACCGGCTAGTGGCTGGAAAGGTACAACTCCGCGTGGTGATTGGATTTATGACCCGAAGCCCAATGTATTTAATACGAATCGTCTACGGGATGGGTCCGAAGCCCCAGACTTAGCCAGGCTCAATTGCTCTACTACACCAAGTATGGGCATGTCAGACAAATAGGCCCGAGAGATCATCGGCTATCGGAGGCGTCATCGGATCAAGGGGATTTGGATCAGTGATCCCTAGGTATAAATAACTAGCTTCCTTCCTTCCCAGACCGAAAGACAAAAAATATCCATCGTCGCCAAGCTGTCCCCACGAATCCACCCTTTTGCCTAATAGATGAAAATGCCTACTTACGTATTTCCGAAAAGCACATCAATTCGTTCACAGAAGGATTTTCTCGATTACCCGCCATCTCCTAAGATACTGATATTTATTACTGTCGATTGAACTTATTTACCCTAAGGTACATATTGTATCTCCATCAATGAATTTTTTTCTCAACAGGTTAGTATAGGGTAAACGAGATACTTGGGGTGAAGGGTACGGTTAGCGGATTCTAGCAGACTCTTGTGGTGCTAAAACAATACAATCAAATCGTACGACACGATTCTAGTCGACAGGCGGGTTAAACTAAGCGGCTAGGTAAACGGTGACGGTGACCATTTGGTGCGATTATGTTCGACTCGGTCCCTTGAATCGATCTGGAGTGCAGGGGTTGTTGTCGCTAATTGTAGGAGGGTCTCGACTAAATTAGCCGAACACGCGTTTATTAGCTCGGACTGATACTCAATAGAGCTCTAAATGAAAAATTCGGGTCGATAAGAGTGAACACGAAGTAAACCAAGTACCAAAAAAGGTCAGGCGACATGGATTGGATCCCGGCGTGTCCTTCGAGGCTAGGTTTAAGGACCTTGACCTCTCGAGGGAGATGGATTTGCTTACTCAAATCAATCCCAGTGGCAAATTTGAGGCTCCATTTCGAAATAGTAAGCTCGTTGGGGTGGGACGATAAACCGGCTTTGATGTGGTTACTTTTCGAGTTCATTGATGCGGTAAATATGGACGGGGGGATAGGGCATTCTCCCATAGAAAATAAGAAGAAGTCGTGCGATCAAGTCGGCACGACAGTAAGGCAACTGCATAACACTGGCATCATATGGAGAGATGCGAAGCCTAACGTCATCGTCAACGCAGACGGAGACGTACGTAGTGGTGGTGGATTTCGGCGGCGGTTGCAAGTCTGAGTCCACCCCAAAAGAGCATCATCAGACAACCCATGGAGATTTGGCGGGATTGATCTGTATGAGAGCTGAAATGTGAGGAGAGTCGCCACAAGAAACGAGACCAAGCCGCTGACTCAATTATTCCCCAACGTTCGGATCATACCGACGGAATCGATTTAAGCTTACGGATACGCGCATTGAGCTGAGCCATCAATACACATGGAAATAGAACCCGGTAAGTTACCTGAAACTTTTAAGCTTACTGATGGGGCAATAAAATCACAACAAAATGTCACCGCACGCCTTCTACCTGGCGCACCTGCTACAAATGCGACGTTGCTGTTGGAATATTAACCAAACGTGCATCTTTTTCCCCTGCAGATTAATTTCCTACGGCGGGCCAAGGACCTTGCGTCGTTTCGTCTCAGGTTGCGAGTGTAGTGATGCTTCTCCGTAGCATTACCCGATTTGGAATCCCAGCATTGTTTACTGGCGGAAAATCGACGTTTTGAAACCAGGTCGACAAACAGGAGAGCATCCCGGCATTCACCATGCCATTCGTCTGCCCATTAGCACAGTACTAGGCCTGTCATTGAAACGCCATGGGAGAATGGTGTCAAGAAGCATAAAACAACTCTTCTTCTGTCCCGTCATCGACATGCTTGACCATTGATCATTCACGCGGCACTTTCGTTTCGTAGCTTTTCTTTGTTCAACCCTTTACATTCTTTCCCTACGTCTGGTTACGTTCTTTTAAACATGTATACTTCTCTCTTTCTCTTGTCGTCCCTGGTGATCGGAGCCTTTGGGGCTGCGCGGACGACAGCACCCTCTGGCGCGATTGTTGTTGCCGAGTCTGGTGGCGACTTCACTTCCATTCAGAAAGCTGTCGACTCCGTTTCATCCTCCGACGCTGTCATCTTTGTGCAGCCCGGAACATACGAGGAGCAGGTCCTCATTCCGGATACGGTCGGCGCCCTCACCATCTACGGCTACACCGAAGACGACCAAGACTACAGCAAGAACCAAGTCATCCTCACCCACAGCCTCGGCGCCGATGAGGCCGGCAATAACGACTCCTCGGGCACCCTCCGTGCGAAGAACGACGGCCTCAAGGTCTATAACATCAACGTGGTCAACTCCCGTGGCAAAGGCGTGCAGGCTATTGCGCTGAGCGCGTACGGCTCTGAGCAGGGCTACTACGGCTGCCAGTTCTCCGGATACCAGGACACCATCCTGTCCAACAAAGGCTATCACTACTTCCACGGCAGCTACATCGAGGGTGCCACCGACTTCATCTTCGGCCAGGAGGCTATTGCCTGGTTTGATAGCTGCACAATCGGCATCAGCGGCAGCGGTTACATCACGGCGAGTGGCCGTGACAGCGAGGACAACCCGTCCTGGTACGTCATCAACAAGTCCACTATCGAGGCTCTCTCCGGAGTTGACGAGGGCGCCACCTACCTCGGCCGCCCGTGGCGCACGTATGCTCGCGTCGTCTTCCAGAACAGCGAGTTGGGCTCTGTTGTCAACGCTGCTGGCTGGAAGGCTTGGGGTGATAACCCAACCGACAATGTCTACTACGGAGAGTTTGGAAACACCGGTGACGGTGCTAGTGGCGATCGCGCGAGCTTCTCACAAGAGCTCAGCAGCGCCGTTTCCATCGAGGACATCCTGGGCTCGACTTCGTGGCTCGATTCCGACTACATCGGCGGCACCAGCTCACCTGAAGAACCCACCACGCCCATCGCCGTTACACAGACCGAGCAGGGCGGCAGCACAACTACCCCTGAGGCTGCTCCTGTCTCCGAGGTCGTTGAAACCCCCACCACTGTCGCTTTCAACACCATTGTCTCGTCCGAGCCCGCTGAAGTCATTGTCCCTTCCACCGAGGCTGCTCCTGAGACAACTCCCGCTGCAGCGACTTCTGCTAAGCCCTGCCGTCCTCGGACGAGGACTTCCACACCCGTTGTTGCTAGCACCCTCCAGACTGTTGTTCGATCATCCGCAGTCCAAAGTTCGGCAGTTATCGAAAGCGCCGTCGAAAGTGCTGTTGATTTGACTGCTATTCCCAGCTCGACCGTTCTTCTTGCCGTCACCCCGACTTCTGCCGCTTCGGTCGAGACTCCTGGATCGTCTACTGATGACTGCAGTGGCACACCTGACGGCTTCGCATCCTTGAACGGAGGAACTACCGGTGGAAGCGGTGGCGAGATTGTCGTCGTGTCGACTCAGGAGGATCTTGAGACATACGCAGCCATGGAGGGCAAATACGTCATCAAGGTTTCTGGAGTCATCACCATCACTCCCAAGGGCAAGGAGGTCGAGGTTGTCTCCGACAAGACCATTGTCGGCATCGGTGCGGATGCCGAGATCAACGAGGGTGGCTTCAACCTGCAGAACGTGGGCAATGTCATTTTCCGTAACATCAAGATCGGTAAGTGCATGCAAGAAACAACTTTGATGACAGGGGACTAACACATCCCTTAGGCAACACGTATGTCGAAGGAGATGAAGAGGGCAAGACTCAAGATTGGGACGGCATTCAAATGGTACGACATCTAACTCATATTACTGTCGATTGTACTAACTCAGTCTCAGGATAACTGCACCAACATCTGGATCGATCACGTCCACCTGGAGCACGGAGGTGATGGTCTCATTGACAGCCGAAAGGACACGACGTTCCTCACTGTGTCCTGGACCATCCTACGTAACCACAATAAGGCTTTCGGCATTGGTATATTCCACGTACCTCACAACTTGTCTACAAGCTAACAGAGCCTCTAGGTTGGACTGACAATGTCGTCAGCCAGATGACAATTCACCACAACTACTTCGACGAGACGACCCAACGCAACCCGTCTGTCGACAACGTCAAGTACGCCCACTTGTACAACAACTACCTCGTCGGCCAGACGTCTTACGGTCACTACGCTCGCGGCTCAACCGAGATGCGCCTCGAGAACTGCTACTTTGAGAATGTCCACAACCCCATAACCATGGACGACACGGCCAAGTTGGACGCCAGTGGTAATGTCTTTGACGGCACGAGCGGTAGCACTGCGAAGAATTCCGGAGATGTCTTTGATCCTGCCGACTTCTACGAGTATACTCTGGACGCTGCTAAGGACGTGCCCACAGTGGTTGCTGAAGGTGCTGGCCGTCAAGCGAGCATCTGCCCTGCTTAATATGCGAGCACATCACCTGTACCTGTAAATAAGGCAGCGGGAACAATGGTTTCATGAGCGTTGTGACCGCTGCAATCTTCTGTTCGTGATGTACATTTATAGGCTTAGAGGTTGTATCTGAAAGACTTGTTCTCCCTATCGGTCAAATCTTCCAACCCGTGACTCAATTCCGGTGCACCGTACTCCCTATCGCGGGAGGCGTTTTCCTTTGCTAATTTCCATCGGAGACCTAGAGCAACGAAAATGCAGATAACAAAGCAAATCATAATTCCCATGAAACTTTCGTCATATCGAGGAGCGTATTTACTAATTTTTTATCAGCGTCACTCATGCCCATTTCGTATCCTGTACTTACCCATCAAACATCAACGGACCAATGATGTTTCCAAGAGAGTATCCGATGAAGGTGCCGGCGGCATACACAGCCTTCTTCGTATATCCGGCGACATTGGAGGTACCCAGACCAATACACTGGACCCAAGCTGAGGAAAAGAAGTTGAGAAGATAGAAGCCCGTGATACGACCTCCTGTCATAGAATCCGGAAGTTTCCATCTACATGAAGTTAGTTATTGTTAAAAGCTGAAGCAGTGAGTACTTACAATAGAGCGCAACCTAGGATCACCGGGAGACAAGATCCAGCGACAATGTAAAGACGTGAACCCGGAACAGTCCGGCCTAGCATACCGGAACCCAGCACACAAATCAGGGCCATCGCTCCGATAGGCATGTTGAGTAGAAGAGAGTTGTAAACACTGAATCCCATGCCATTGAAGACGATGGAGCCAAATGAGCTGATCGCGCCAGAGCCGGTAGTCGAGACAGTGGACATGATGAGAATGCACCACAGCTGATAGTCGAGCAACGCTTCCCGGACCTGATACATCTTGACATTTTTGTTCTCCATACCAGAGTTGTTTTGTCTTACTCGCTCCAGTAGTAATTGGTGATCCTCCTCGCTGAAGCCCTTTGCGTGCTGGGGGCTATCCGGGAAGAGCCACCAGAGCGACACTCCCCAGATTAGCGTTACTCCGCCGGCGAAAAGGTACATGTACTGCCAGGAATTCATAGAGCCGCCTGAGATGTTTCCAAGGCCGTAGTTGATCGGAGGGCTGGACAGAACGAAATGAGTTGGTTAAAGCATCAAATATCGCAGTGCATTCACTACTCACCTGATCAGGAGTGACCCTCCGCTGAACGAGTACCACCAACTTGAGCGGGAGACCTGCTCCGAGTGGGTATACCATAGCCCAACCACAAGCATAAAGATTGGAGATACACCAGCTTCGATGAGGCCCAGCGCAAATCGATTTGCCAATAGGCCGCCAAAGGACGTGCAGGCAGCCGTGCAGAGGGTGACGATGGCCCACAGGACACAGATCACCGTACACACAATTCTGGGGGGATATTTTTGGGCAAGGAGAGAAATGGGATAGGTGCCGACAATATAGCCAATGGAGAAGATGAGAGTCGCCCAGGAGTACTTGAGACCATCTTGCAGGCCGAGATCCGTCCTGAGTCCGAAGATGGCTGCCTGGCTCATGGTGGCCTTGTCATAGTACTGGAGCGCATATGTAAAGCACAGCTAGGATTAAATCTGTCAGTGGTGTGAACTCTTCAAAGGAACAAGCCTACTTACGACTGGCATCAGTTTCCAGTCAATCTTCCTCAATAGTCGCTTGTTGGTTGCCTCGTCCAAAGTGATGAGATTGCTCGTCTTCGAGATGTCATCGATAACGACCACGGCCGGCTTGTCATCGGCGACACCCGCGAAGTTTGCTTTCTGGGCTTCCGGGGACGACATTTTGATGGAAATTAGTCGTTAATCGCGTACAGGACCAGGATCAGGGGACAAGATCTGGGGATTGCAGAGATTCTGCAGATTCCGAGTTCGTTTTCCTAGCGGCACAGCCCTAATTATACTCCCAACATGTTATCAAACATACCCTGATCACTCAGATGAATGGTACGGGGGATCGTCTGTACCCCAGATTCCCCCGCATTCTAGCCGCCTGTCGACGTGGAGGAGATCGGCCCATCTCCGACATCACCCCAACGACCGATTCCGAGAGTCCGAGGGACTTGGGGTTGAGTTCCGACATTCCGCCCAAGCGACCTGAGGTCCGAGGCACATTAGAAGATGGATTCTCAAATTTGCGCGTATTTCTATCAGCCGCTACACACCATCAATCGCTACTAGCCGTTGCGTATCTATTTTAGCGGGTGATCATCGCGAACCGCTTGAAGCTAAGCGCCGGTGGCTCTCATCATCATGTCTAAATCAGCGTTTTTCACTACCGAATGCCTATAAGGCTAGATGGTGCCTCTTCACAGACAAGATATGCCTCAAGTATTGGTGACAGAATGTTCAGCTTACAGTAATCACGCCCGTAGACTTTCGAGCATCCATTTGGCCGGTCGTCACACCCACATGGTGACATCCAACCATGTAACCTCGGCCTCGGAATATATTCCGTGATAGTGATAGAGGGATATCCGTCCTGTTGCAGGCTGAACTGTGTCCCCAACCTCGGCTGCAGTCAGTCCTGGGGAACAAACGAGATAAATACCGTGACTAAATGATAACAAACAGTTCATAATTGGGGGATCGTCACGCAATCCACCAAACCACTCCTTCAGGTGGAGACGCTAAAGCTGCATCCCCATCCGACATGACTCTCAAATGAGAACATGGTTTGCGGAGGTGTTCCGAATACTACCGTACCTCTTGAGCCAAGCCACGAACGGATCCCGCCCATGCAGGCACATCAAGAGTTCCTCAATGACTGGATCAATGTACGGCACTTCGGATATTGTCTTCCTTCCGCTAGTTACAGTTACATGGGTTGGGTGATACCATCCACGATTAAAATCGCGATCATTTCGGCCTATCAAGCGTTCCGAAGCTGATTTGGATCCAGCCATTGCCAGAGTTTCCACTGTCATCCAATATTTACCTCAAACCCTGATAAGACTATGATTAGGAAGCAGGGAGTTGTCCATCTGTACCTCCCGGTGTTCAATCATAGGCTTGCAGGCTATCATGAAGATGGCTTAGGTCTTGCCCACTTGCCAAATCATCTACAGTGATGAGGCCAACGCCCCCCACCTGAACGGCATCTTCTAAGAAGCAGATCGGTCCTTCAGCACTGAGATTCCATTGCCAAAATAGTGCATGTGAAGTCAAGTAAAAGACATCAAAGACAAGCCGGTGGTCTCGCCAATAACCTACCTACCTAGTGTAGATACTTCTGTGGTGGAGGAACTAGATAATTTCATATGGAGAATGCCAATGACTCTCCAAACTCTATCGACGAAAGCATAATTTGGTTGATTGATTGATTGACGATCCGCGGCCATATGGAGAGGGCGGGGGGACTAAATTGAACGAGCCGAGCCGAATGTGCCAACCGTGGCATGCAAGTCACTGTCATTGAAAAGTATCCTGACTCCAACAGCTAAGGAGGCATTTGCATTTTTTTTCCCCTTGAGTAATACCATTATTCTGACACATTGCAGATATTCTCGACATCTTCTTCAATGCAGGCCGCATCATCAAGGCCTGGGATGGCGGCAAGGTGGGCAAGAAATCCACGAGACGGTTGCAACAAAACCCGAGCTATGGAAGTCCACAAGTATGATGGCAAGTACGTCACCGAGGTCGACTGGGCAAGGAGCGAATTTGAACACGACATTATCTACGCAGGCCACCGAGGAAAGCTGCACTCTATTATCTTGGCCCATGCCAAGAGTCTAGTCCCAGACATTCGCATCGGCGTTGGTGTCACTAAATACCTAGAAAACGAGACCCAACCCGTTGTGGTTCTCTCGACCGGTGAGGTAGCAGCTTTTTATTCTTCTAATATTTACTCTATGTTACCTCAGAGAAATACCTGCATAGATATGAGCGCCTTGGTTGGGAACGTTTACATGTGGACTTGAGCTAGTTGGAAGTCTAGATCAAACCAAAACTCCACAATAAGCATGTCCAACTCATCTTCAGAGTTAAGATCAAGAGTACGGGGAATAGCGTCACGCCGCCGACACAGGCGCAGGCTGGCTAAAGTATGCATCCCTACTGGCAACAAAAAAGTTGACCAAGACTAGAGAAGGCAGAAATCTAATTCTATCGGGTTTCAGTACGTGGTAGCGTACATAAGTCACAGTGATGGATGCATAAGAGCCAGAGGCTATGCTTATGCATTGTGGGGGCAGCGACCACCCCAGGTTGACGTGCATGTAGATTATGAGGCCATATCCTCCCTCCCATTACTCCATGGGTCTTCTGCAGGTCGGAGAATTACGTATTAATTAAATGGGAAAAGCCGGTCCCGGTATTTGAGGCCCCCTACACATAGCAGTCATCGAGATTTGTTGGTGCTGCGCTCCAGATCGCCCTTGGTCACTGCCACGCCTCCAGGCCAGTGACTTTCCGAAAGGCCATCTCTTGCATCCTCTATCGTTTGCTACCGGTAGCTGTGAAAAATATTTGCTCAAACAATTCAATCAAGATGCCTTGAATGCGAAATGGCGGACGCTTATAAGCGATATTCGACTATGGATCTCACCGACCAAAAGGACAGGTTATTGGCTATCATGAGATTGGCAATCGAGTTCTAAGGTCAGCTAACAATGGACATCTAGGTATCTTTTACACTACAGGCCGTCTTATTACCCGTGATCGGGTACTTACTCGCCTACTCGCTATCCCTATACTAGTAAATGGATGTAGCAAGCCCACCAAAGTCACAGTGAAACATTTCTTGCAACAAATTGCCAAACACAGTGGACTGCGTGCTTTCACAGTCATCTCACTTCCCGAGCCTATCGTTCCAGCTGTTCGATGAAAATTGAGTCATGCACCCCAAGAATATACAAAAATCATGGCATAGGAATTTTATAGTCTCGTTGACTGCGAGAGTTCATTTCAAGATGCCATTTTATTCTTCAGATTTCTATATCCTCGACGACCTACACCGCTCCGAGACGGGACAGTAGTTTTATGGTTCATCGATTTTCTTGTTCTCTCGCTTCGTCAATAGAAAGGAGGAAGTGGACCGTATGCATCCTCTGGCGGACGCAATTGCCCCATCCCATACCCTAGTATCGACTCTACAAGCTACATTACATCATCGTCATGTAAGGGCCTGAGCTCCTCTCAATCCTTTAACGCCGAATTGAAATAGGCTATGTTCTACAGACCGGGGGGCATTGCGGCGTATTGCGGGCAGGTACCATCCGTGTTCTCAATCCATCACCATACATGAAACATGCTCCTTGAAGTCTCCGGAGCAGAGGAAAACCCCACCTGTTCCGCTTGAATCGCGCTGGATATCCCTCCTATTTACGACTCTCTCGTGATATAGCACAAGGATCTAACGCAACTAGGAAATCATTCCGCTTAAATACACTCACCGGATCTGCCCAGCTTTGTTCAAATGAGTACAAAATTTGACGGAGCTGCTCGGAAATGGGCGGATCGACGGATGGATCGCTCCGTCCATGGGTGTGTCTCCAGTTTTCAGTTTCTTAATTGCCCACGAATAAAGGGCGACTCAAACAGCTCGCGCTTACGCCAATTTGGGTTACAGTTCGCAGTAGACAAGCGAATACGCGAGCCCGTCGAATGAGAATGAGTCCACATCTCCTATTAGGCGTTGGCGTCTCGGTTCTTATGCTAAATCCAGCATCACCCCTGTCGGGAGTTTAGGAGTTTAAATGTCCATCATATAATTCTCCGTCGAGTTTAAATACAGAGGCCATCGCCATCATTCTCCTTGGATCTGCGCGCTACCTGCAGAGACCTATCAGCTCTCCGTTGACATCCGGCACCATGAAGCTCATTCACCTCGTCTCCCTGCTCGCGGCGGCTCCGTCCGTTTACGCCCAGGTCAAAGGCAAAGCCTTCGGGTTTGCAGCCGGTACTACGGGCGGTGGCAGTGCGACTCCTGTCTACCCAAAGACCAACGCCGAGTAAGTGCATTCCAGCAGCTCTCCCCTTGCAACCTGGGTAATTTCATAGCATATCCACTGACTAAATCTTCCCGGCGGACAGACTTGTATCGTACCTCAGCGACAGCAGTGCACGTGTTATCATGATCGATCACACTTTTGACTTCCTCCAAACCGAGGGAAGCACTACCACAAATTGCTGCAGCGACGACCGTACTACCAAGTGCCCTGGCGGAACCTCCAAAGGCCAACTATGGATCCAGACCACATGCACCAGTGGCACGTGGGAGTCTTGCACGTACTGGAATGCCCCAAAGACGGCCCTGAAAGTGGGCAGCAACAAGTCTATCGTGGGTGTTGGATCCAAGGGAGTTATTCGCGGAAAGGGTCTTCGCCTCATCAGTGGTGTCAGCAACGTCATCATCCAGAACATCCACTTTACGGTAAGTAATATGGCTATGGCTTATCTTGAAAACCCATATCCTACTCGAGACCGCAATCTGAACACGTGGCTGATTGCGTTCTCATTACAGGAACTGAACCCCCAATTTGTTTGGGGTGGCGACGCCATCACTCTGGATGGCTGTGACAAGGTTTGGATTGATCACAACAAATTCTCCCTCATCGGTAGGCAGATGATTGTGTCTGGCTGGGGCGTTGCAGGCCATGTCACCATCTCCGATAACGAATTTGATGGCAAGTCGACGTGGTCAGCCGGCTGCAATGGCAAGCATTACTGGACCATGTTGCTTCTTGGTGAGAAGGATTTCTACACTATTGCTGGTAATTGGTTCCACGATGTGTCTGGCCGTACACCCCACATTGGCACCGACTATACCTCTTCTAAGATTGTTGTCCATGCTGTCAACAACTACTTCCAGGTAAGTCTTCCCATGCTGGATTTTAAGGAGCAACGCAATCAACGCCTCTCGTGATGGATCAATGTTAACTAAGAGACCATAGAACGTCGGTGGCCACTGCTTCGATATCGACACCAACACGAACCTGCTGATCGAGGGCAACTACTTTGACACCGTCACTACCCCCATCACTACTGGGTCTTACACTGCTGGCGGCCAGGTTTACTTTATCCAGACCGTTGCCGACGCATCTAATGCTCAAAGCGCTCTGGGCTACATTCCTGAATGGAACCGTGCCGTCAACTCGGGCGCTTCAAACAGCATTGTTTCGAAGACCGCGCTCAGCACCCTCGGCCAATACAAGAGCAACATCCAATGGTCGCACTGGAAGGTTGAGAACGTGCCAACCAATGTTAAGGCTGGTGCTGGTATTGGCAAGATCTAAGCCAGTTCACGCATATTGTAGCTGTCGTGACAAACAATGTATCAATAAAACAAGTGCAAGCGGAGCAAAAGATTTCAAGCCTCCCCTTAAGATTTTCAGTCCCAAGCCGCCTTTTCGTCTTCCTGTCTTCTATACCGCCCAGTAAAGTATCCAGTCGTTCATAGGGCCCTGAGTACGTAGAGGCAGAATAGATATCCCCTATCAAGCACAACACATGGCGCTTTGCCAACGCTAATCGGAACCGAAAATATCATTCCTAAGCACTGATCTTGCGAGGCATTGCTTTCTAATCTTCCTTGACATTGACCTTTCCCTCGAGCCATCTGGCAAATTTCACGGCCGGGATGTCAACAGCCCGCCAGAAAATATCAGCGATGAACACGACGCATGGCAGTGAGAAACAAGCCCCCAGGGCGAAACCGACGGTGTACCAATGGCCCTCGACGCCTGTTATGCTCCAAGCCAAGCCTTCTATGTGATAGCCTATAAGGCGAGTTGTCGGTCCGTGGACGATGTAGAAAGAGTATGAAATCTTTCCCAAGTACTGGATGGGGCCCGAATTGAAGACTCTCAACCAAAATGCCGAGTAACTGACAGAGAGGATGAAGAGGACTGAACCAAGACCTTGCCAGTAACGATACGGCTTGTCCCACCACTCCGGGATTATCGACGTAAGAAAAATCCAACCAGGGGTCTCTTCGCCGCCAACATCAGGTTGGCTCAAGAAATACAATGCCAAGATGCTAATCAAGTTCCATAAAATCGGCTTCAATCGCTGTCGAGCGGAACCAGATTGTTTTTCATCCACCGGTAGAGTGGGCGATGTAGTATGAGCCCCGCGGATCTGGTCCCACTCAGCAAGGCCCATGCCGCAGAGGAACATGAGAAAGTCCCATCTGACGGACCGATATACTACATAGATGGCAAAGGCAAGGGTGAGAAGCCGGTACTTGGTCTGGAGACGAGCTGTGCCAACAAGCATGGCAGATAGATACAGCGAGCAGCGGTATTCGATCGGAATAGTCCATAAGAAAAGGTCAAACTCTGCATGGCCATATTAATACAACACCGAGCTAGGGGTAGGGAATTGCCAAGTACCTGTGAGTGCCGAACGGTCGATAAAGTCAAAGAGTTTGAAGCCGCGAATTATATGCCTAACCCATTGCATGAAATGTGCAGTTACAGAGTCAGGTCGATTTGGAACGTGGAGTACCACGTGTCTGAAGTAGGCCTTGTTGCTGACTAGTTCACGAGTCAACTCGAAGGCACCCAACCGAATCATGCAGAAAAAGATAAATGTTGAAATGGCGGTCGGGAGAAATAGTCGGATTCCACGGCGAAAGACCATGGAGGTCATGTTGATGGAAAAGTCCTGGGTTTTGTGGCTTCGCATAAGCTTGAGGGGTTTGTAGGAGAGAGCGTAGCCGGATATCACGAAGAAGATGGAGACAGCGGGCGGTCCGCAATACCACAAACGCACGAAGGGCAGTCGCCAGAAGCCATATAATGTCCCCTGCCAGCCCCAGCCTCTGTTGATGACGAAGCCCTGGACGGTGTAGTGGCAGAAGTAGACGAAGAGGGCGGCCACGCCTCGCATGCCATCGAGATAGGCTGTGGGATGGACCTTGGCGGGACGGATCTTTTCGCGCATATGGCGGCCCTGTAGGAAGCTGGGGACGCAGAACCATGCAATATCAGATATCGCGGATCCCCAGTGAATCGCGCCAACTGCTTCCACGAGGGAGATGAGGTAGCTGGTCCATGTTGGCCTAGAAAACCGTCGATCCAGTTCGAAGATGACATTTCTGGGCTCCGCATCGTTGTCAGATGATAGTCGTTCTTCAAGGAGACCCGTGTTCTCTTCCAGAGAGTTGGGTACACTGCCAAGGGCGTAGCTGTTCATTGCCGTTCGAGCAGCAGCAACGGCTGCGAGGTGGTGGAAGGGGTAATACACGTAAGAACAGTGTGGGAATAGAATGTTGATAAGAAGAGAAGTAATATGCTAAGGAGACGCTCAGTATATGGGAGTGAGGAACGACAGGGAGCGCAGAACAGCGAAGGTAGCGACTAGGTCTGGTGGCGCTCAGTCGCCCTTAAATGTCTCCGAATGCTCGACAGACCCGCTGACTATGAATGAGGCGTAAAAAGAGGGTTTTAACTTCTCCGGGCGTGATAAGGGGCACAATTACATTCGCTCCCTTCAGTACTAGCACAGCCTTGATATCAAGCTTATTGCTTATTAGCACCCACCGTGTTTCTCCTCACTTCGTCGACAAGATGGTGGTCAAGTTCATTGGAACAAAGCCCGCAAAAGAACGAGGCGTCTACCATCCATATCGCAATGTGTTGAACGGTGCGGGCGGTCCCTCATGGTCGGGACCTCTCCGAGCTTGTCTCATAGGGCCACTCTGAGAAGTGGAGTATATCCGCTTCAGCCCAGCCGTTGGCTCGAGAGTTAAGCAGGGAGAAACGGAATGGGGTAGTGCAAAGAATGCGTTCTGAGCGATGTGCTTCGTATTGCACGCACCATCAAATGACAATGATGTGTGCCGCCCTTGCATGCCAGGCACAGGCGACGGAAAATAGCACGAAGCCGATGATCTCACCCTGCCTCCAGTCACCGTGGACATCTCAGTCCACTTTATTAGCTTGGTCACACGCTGTGTCTCCTCTTGGCACAAGCTCAATATCACAACGCCGAGCTTCGCGACTTCACACCAGAGTCCTCGGTAGTGTGGTGCTGCTAGACGTCGGAGCCGCAAATCAGACTCCGTCGAGATCCTTCCTTGCCGCCATGGGCGCCACCTCGTATTTGTGTTTCACACTCTGGAGAGATGGGGAGATGATTGTCATGTCAAGCGGGTACTTAAAAAGCAATAGAGCTCTTGTGGAGTCGTGATGCTTAGTTATGCTCAATCGCGATGTCCCTGCCACAGGTCTAAGACGGTCCAGACTACCACGCACTCCACATAGAGGTAGGTTGTCTTTGCCACCAAGGGGAAGCAATCCAGGGATTTGTGCGCTATTCCGTTAGTCTGCGGCGAGGCCCATCCAACAAGCAATTTTTGGCGCCTCGCTGGAATCTAGATCATGCCACAACGGGTCCTAGTCATCGGGATATTAGGGGGTAACCCCCTTGAGTTATGTACTCCATTTAGGCTAAACAAAGGCGAATGGCACAAGGCGACCTGCTGAACCAAGGACCCATCAATATTGCTTCTTCTGTTAGTCAGGCGTGCGCGAGGGCACTTATGGATGCTAGCTTAACTACCCTACACGAGTAAAATGGGGCCAAATAAAAGAGTCACTCGGAGCTGCGGCGTTTAGCAGAAATAATGGTTCTAGATTTACGGGGTCCGACATTTAAAATCATAAAGAAGCCTAATGAGGCAAGCGGCGGCCTTGGTTGCATTTTATTCGCGTTAATAGGAGGTATTTCTTTCTTCTGTAGTATTAGACGGTTGGAGTTTCATACATATATACGAAGAAGACAGAAGCAGATTCCTTGTTGCCCAGATTGTAGTGGCAAAGAATAATGCTGAGCTCGAGTCAGAGCGAACACCAGTATCCTGTCTGACTGTGAAACACGGACAAGCGGTAAAAAAGCAACAACTTGAGCTCCACAGCGCAGCCAACCAGAACTTCAGGCGGAGCGACTATCATGCCGGTCTTACTCACACTGTCTCACCGGATAAGCCCAAGGATAACAAAATTGTGTGTGGGCTGCATACCAGAACCTTTGGCAGTAAAACAGCATATGAAGCCCTGTCATACACTTGGGAGACCAAACCAGCGAAAAAGACGATCTCGCTTAATGGAGGACCCCTTCTCGTTCGCAAGAATATATACAATGCACTTTAGTACCTATGAATAGAGTACTACAATTGAGAGCTGAAAGATGACTCGGATTCGGGTGGGAATTTTTGCACAGGGGCTAATGTACAGCAAGTGAACGCTGCCACCCCCGCTCAGCCTCCACGAAATGTGAAAGATCGGTCTAATGATTGACCGCACTACCACGTAGTAGAGCGCACAAGAAAGCCCCTGTAAAATACATAAACTCAGCATTTCATTGCACAAAGATTGGGGAATGACAGGTCAATCCACACCATGACGCGTATCGCCCTGACCGCAGAGAAGACCTTGATAAATTCTTGTTTTGTAACTGGTAATTGACTATCCAAGACCAAGCTTTTGGGATAGGTGGCCATCAATCAAGGTAGCCTGTGAGACATTGATACCTCATTGACCCAGTTAATTTACCTACGCCAAGGTGTCACGTTGTCATCAAGATCGCTGGTAGATGGTGAAATGTTCTCGACGGTGATTTGCGTGGTGCGTGTCACATGAACACTTTTCTTGGCGTCGCGGACGTAGCGAGAGTCACGAAGTCGTTCCTGAGATTCCGACCTGTTGAGATTGGACATGGGCGTGGCATTCTCCTCGATATTGTAGTACGAGTCTGAAGTAATGCCAGTCTTTGATAGTTGGCGAGACCCAGAACGCTGCCCATATTTGAAATTGGTGTGCGAGGCGCTGTTGGATTTGAAGCTGATGCCAAGGGCGTCCTTGAGCTTCCTTGGGAGCCCGGACTCGGCAATAATCTTGGGGAGGCATGGCATGCTGAGGATGAAGAATCCACATGTCATCTCGGCGCACGCCCAGAAGAGGAGAGGGCCAATGAAGTACATGCTGTCGGTCGTCTTGGCAAAGGTAACGGTGTGAGCTAAACGGAAGCACGCTGCAACTAAGGCACTGTTTGAGGTTAGATATGTGGGAGAGTAGAAATGAATGATTTTACTGACACTATACCGACTCCAAAGATAACGGATACACCCATTTTCTTCTGCCAGTTCATGTGCAGACCCCAGATGATCTTTTGCGGCAGAAGCACAATGACAAAGTCAGTAACCACCTGCACGCTTGCCGATGACAGCATGACCTTCGGCAGGTTGTAGCATTTGCTCGGGACGTAGAATTCCCAGATGGCTTTGTGCGGGACGCATTGCATGTTTAACAAGACGATGCAGACGACTCCCCAGACGCACTGAATCGCGATGACGACCATGCAACCCCACCAAAAGACACTCTTGTATCTGTCAACAGAAACAAAGACTCGACACCAGTCGAGAAGGATGGCCGTCTTGATGAGTGGAAGGACTGCGGTGTAGCAGCAGCCATATACGAGAATGAGCTGGCCATGGTCAGCTGCATTGTTCTAGGAGCGCTCCGAGGGAAGTCGAGGACAGCAGGCTCACATAAAGCGGCTGAATTAAGTCCTCGTTATGGAGATTCCATGTATGAACATAATAACCAGGTGACCATATCAATGCATACGCGGCGTAAGCTGTGCCCCAGTAAGCTCCCTAGGGATTGTGAGTTTGGTCTATTCGATTCGTAAGGGCGGTTGCAAGATGGAACGGGTGGAAGCGAAAGGGACCACTGACATATGCTAATATCATCAAGACTGATCACCGTTAGTAAAATTGCTGGCAAACATGGGCATTATTTCGGAGTAATAAGACTTCACCTTCTTCGGCGCACATTTTCCTCGCAAGCCACAGACGGGCGTAGGCGCGAAGACAGAGACATAGTGTCGCAACCACCATGCAGACAGTTGTAACCACCCAGGCCAGTCCGTTTCTGTTTGAAGGATTGTCGAAGTTGGCTGTGACGCCTTCGGGCGGTTCGAGGGCTGGTGCAGCCAGCAGGGCCTTAAGAGCTTCAGAAGACATTGCCATGGTAAGAGAGGATCGTGAGCCACCTAACCACAACCCGGTTAATTCATGATCGAAGATTCGTCGTGTCAAACGGTGGGATCTAATTCGAAGTGAAGGACAAAAGTTATGCAGAAACGTCGGAGACGAGCACCAGGTAGCTCACAACGACACATATCAATTGCCGAAAACTCTTCCAAAACAACTGAGAGGAGAGAGCAGTCACCTCTTTAAGCGAGTCAATCAAGCTAGCATTCATCGCAGGTGTCAATGGCCACGTGGACCAAGCCCGGGCGAGCCGTCAAGCCCGGACCAAATGTTGTAGCAATCCGGTCAGCATTATTTTGATCTTCATCACCCCTTTTCGCCCCAGAAAAGGTTAACGATAAGTGACGGACCCATATGACGACCAAGCGGCTGGGCCCAAAACCCGCCAGTGCCGATGATCGGTGATAAAGGTCAAAGTCAGCCTGTAGAAACCCGCCATACCTGGGGATTCGTACGAGTATCGGCCACAGTGGCGGAGACAAGTACACTACCTAACGAATCCGATTTTGGTCGGACGAGAACGGCCCACTCGGAAAGGTTTGAGACTCCTTCTAATCCCTTGGGTAGCAGTGACGATGCGACAAGAGTCGCAAAACCTCTAGGGCCCGCGTCCTACAGAGCACGAACCCCTATGGATCAGCGATTTTGCGGGATGCCGTTGGTCTAACCTGCGCTTCCGTCCCCACTGAGGTTGCAAGCTGCTGTCAGCTTCACACTAAACATGTGGGCGGGCGGGATGTGGCCGTTGCAATGGTTACTCGGGAAGTGGGACGCGTTGCGCTAATTTGTACGCGGAGGACCCCAGACTGCGCGGATCTTTTCCCCGGTGGGAGCATACACGATGGTAGAGATGAGGATGGCATGTTGAAGGTTGGGCTTCTATCGTCCATGAGGGATTATGCTTCTTGGCCTCTAGAAGGTGCAAACACAGGCGCAATAGCACTTACACCGGATCATTGGCGTTTCTAGGTATTACGATTAACATCTCCCAGATAATAACCCATCCCGTATCCTCATTCCGGATCTCATCGCTAACCGCGCTTAGTGACGTACCCTAGTCTAATGCTACAGATTTGTTTCCAGTGCTAAATGATCAGACCACGTCGGAAACACAGTTTGCCTCACACGGAATGGTACCGCAGCCCCTGGTGCGCTGATCTCGAGCAGGGACAGGCATGAATCCCTGTTCCGCAAGGTGTTGACATGTCGGCAGCGCCCGTTTACTCTGTGCCGACACCGGTACTCGTTATGGCTGCTTCATATATGTACCCTAATACCGTGTGTCCATGCAGTGTAGATCCGAGAGCTCGCATTCTCACGTCGCTACAGCGTAGTCCCCACTCACTCACTTTGCATCATCGACACCTGAAGAATGACTGCCAGTAAGCCCCCAGTTGTAGCGAACCCAACTTAATCTCGAGTAAACTGACGCATGGGAGCAGGCGCCAACACGCGCTCGTCGCAGGATGAGTATCCTCCGCGGGCTAACCTACGAAAGATGCTGGACCAGCAGCCCCTGCCAGTAATTACCCCGGGAACAGTAGATGTTGATGCTATGGTCGGTGATGAGCCGACCAAGCAGGCAACCGCTGTGTTGAGCGCATTCAACGCCGCTCTGGCCGCCAACAATGCTGCCGCGTTAGAGGATTGTTTCCTTGCGAGCCAAGCGTACTGGAAAGATCAGCTGGCACTGACCTACCACATGCGTACCTTTTACACACCTAGTGTCATCGCTGCTAGCTTCTTGGAGACCAAGTCACTTCGAGGCATCTCTGGAGAGCTTAAGCTGCAGGGCCCGGTCGGGTTCCTCCCGGCTACTCCGACTCTCGTAAGCGATTGATCCACATCCTCAACCAGAAGTGCAAAAGAAGACGTGACTGACGTCTTGCGCAACGCAGCAATTTATTGACTTTGGCTTTGTGTTCACGACTACTTCTCCCGCTGCCTCTTGCAGCGGGAGGATGTTGCTCCTGCCCACCAAGACTACCGAAAACGGCAATGAGCTTCTGCAGTGGAAAATCTGGATCTTGAGCACCAAGCTCGACAACCTGGACCTCCACGCAGAGGATGAGGGCTTGCTCAAGTCTCCTGCCAAAGCGTTGGAGGGACTCGAGACAATTGAGACAGACGTCTTTATTCTTGGAGGAGGAAACGCGTAAGTCATGACGAAAATGTCGGATGCGATGCTTCATGATACCGTTGGCTGACCTTTGACACTTTCGCTCTGCAGTGCTGTCGCCCTTGCCGCACGCCTCAAGACATTGGGCGTGGAGAGCGTCATGGCGGAGCGAAATCCCAAGGTCGGCGACAACTGGGCTCTCCGCTATGACTGTATGAGGTTTCACATCCCCACGTCGTTCTGTGAGTTGCCTTATATGAGTAAGTGTATTTCAGATTCAAACGCCATGCATCTATCAATACCATATGAACAATGCCGCTACATCTTAACCACCCGCTAATCCAAGTCCTCCCATAGCTTACAACAAAGAGCTTCAATCTCCACACCTCCTATCCCGAGACGAACTGGCTGAGCAAGTACGGAAATATGTATCGACGTTCAACCTCAACATTATCACCTCGGTGAAGATCCAATCGACGACGTATGATCAGTCAGCCAAGCAGTGGGTCGTGAAGTTCGAGACACCCGCTGGACAACGTATGGCTGTTTCAAAGCACCTCGTCCAGGCAACTGGCATTGGATCGCAACAGGCTTACCTTCCCCCCATGGAAGACACTGAACAATACAAGGGGATCAGTCTTCACTCTGTGCAATATACCAATGCGAAGAAGTTGACAGAGCAGGGAGCCAAGGTGAGTCATGGTCCCCGAGCCTGCAGTTACGCCACTCGAGGGTGCTAAGATGTAAACTAATAAGATGGTTATTTTAGTCCGTTCTCATCATCGGCTCGGCTAATACAGCATTTGATGTTCTCGAGGACTGCCATGCTGCCGGACTCCAGTCGACAATGGTTGTTCGGTCACCGACATATATTGTTCCGGTTGAATATGTTTGTGACAAGTTCAGCCTGGGGGCCTATGACTTTGGTGTCGAGGCAGCTGATAGACTCTTTCTGACCCTGCCGTCATGTGTGGACAGTCAGTTGGGCCGGGGCCTGTTTGGACTATTCGCATCCAAGGAACCAGACCGCTACGCCGCTCTCGCCGCCAAGGGTTTCCCCGTAGTTGACAGCAGCCACCCTGACTCAGTCTTGATGCACAACCTGCTCGAGCGGGCCGGAGGTCACTATGTGGATATAGGTGGTACTAACCTGCTCACGGAAGGCAAGGCGGACTTCAAGGCTGGTGTTGAGCCCGTCGCGTACACGGCCATGGGCCTTCGGTTCTCTGACGGTACCACCGCTGATGCGGATGCTATAGTGTGGTGCACAGGATTCGCCGACAAGGACGTCCGGGACTCAGTGGCCAGCATGCTTGGGGATGAGACTGATACCGGAAAGAGCGTCTTCGGAGAGGCTGAGAAGAACTTGCTCGGCCCTCGCGATATCGCAGCCCGCATCGATGCTACCTGGGGTATTGACGAGGAGGGTGAGATTCGCGGTATGTGGAAGCGCCATTTGCGTCTCGACAACTACTGGGTTATGGGCGGCTACACGCAACAGCACCGGTGGCATTCTCGAACCTTGGCGCTACAAATCAAGGCCGCGGTTGAGGGTATTTTGCCTCCAGCCTACCGAGATGTCCCGAGGAAGAAGTAAGGATCTCGGAGCAGCAAGGGCTGCGTGAAAGCTGGTTACAAGATGTAGTTTAGGGATAGATGAAACCAGAAAGACACCACTGTCATTCTTATGGCGGCTGCTACTCTTTTGAGTCCGTGGTAAATGAAAAGTTGCTGTCCTATGCTGACCGGTTCAGGTTAGTAAATTCCAAGACATTCACGTCATGATTTACGATTCATCAACCTGGATATCCTTTTGACCGCTGGCTGATTTCTCTTTCTCCGCTCTGTCCTCATGCGCGTCTCGGGAAAAATGGACCTACCCTATAACCGTCGGGAGCAACGCGGGGCAAAGTGGGGCCCCCTTTATCGGCAAATGTGGATCCCACTGCCGGTGTGACCGGTATGTCGGAGGAATGACTGGCTGCATCATCTTGTGCAAAGCAGTACTGTGACAAGGAGTAAACATAAATGATATAATCACTCCTTGCCTCGGTCCTAGTTCCGGCATTGTGGAAAGCTGGGGTGCATGCCACAGCCAACCCCGCATTGTTCGGCGATGCCACCTACACCTTGACGACTCGAGTGTGATTTCATGCAGGTATTAACTTGAGCGAAATACCTCTGCTATTTGGGTATATCTATCGATCCTTTACCCCGATATTTCTACTATTCTAACTCGCCAATGCAAAATACCAACATGAACATGATCGTCTCAAACTTGGCCCTGACACACAATTCCATCAATGCCACAGCATTTCTTGCCGGCGTTTTCTTACATGTCTTTGTGTTCCGCTTGGGAGAATGGGACGCCGCGGCGACCGGCATAATAGCATGTTTCAGTGCACTCTACGTGACCTCGGCCGTTGGCGGCATCGCTTACCTGCCCGTGGAAAGTCATGACTCGTGGATGGCGCTCAAGTTAATATCTACAATTTTCGTGATCCTACTAGCCGGATTGTCTACCAGCATATTTATATACCGCGCTTTATTCCACCCTCTACGTCGGTTTCCTGGTCCTTTTCTGGCGCGACTATCCAGCGCCTATCCAACTTCACTGGCCTTAAAGAGACTCCATTTCTTTGAAGAAGCTCAGAAGCTACATGCGATTTATGGCGACTACTTAAGAATTGGTAGGAGAAAATTCACCTGCTTGAAAATTTCCAAGGAGAGAATAAATTGCTAACCTGTTGTTCTCAAGGTCCAAACGAATTGTCTATAGTGGACCCTGAAGCAGTTCAGGCCATTCACTCGAACGCTTCCCAGTGCTCCAAGGGACCATGGTACATTTCACAACTGCCTGCTGTGTCACTTCATTCTACACGAAACCGTGCGGAGCATGCGCGTAGACGCAAGGCGTGGGATCGGGGATTCTCTTCGAAAGGTTTGTACTCTGCTTGAACCTATTCTGGAAAATATCATTGAGACATATCAGCGCTCCGAGACTACGAACCTCGAGTAATTTACTACACAAATCAACTGTTGACTCAGATTCGGATCACGGAAGGACGACCAATCAACATTTCCAAAGAGTTTAACTTGTACAGCTTCGACATTATGGGCAATCTCGCATTTGGTAAAGATTTCAACATGGTGAAAACACAAGAAATGCATCCTGCGATGAATCTGCTTCACTCGACTACCAAGCTTGTCGGGATATTCAGTCACCTCTCGTGGATATTCTTGATTGCGAAGAAGATTCCGGGCTTGACAGCTGAGTATCATAGGTTCGAAAAGTGGCTGGACCAGCAGGTACTTGAACGTATGGAAGTACGCGTTTCCGTTTCACAGCTAATTATACCTGCCCTAACATTGATATTAGAACGAACCTGAAATACCGGACGTGTTTTCGTGGATCTTGAAAGAATACAGATCAATATCCAATCCCACAAGACAGGACAAGCTAGACCTCCGAGGAGATGCAATGCTCATAGTCGTAGCTGGCAGGTAAGACAAGACTCAATTCAAGAAAGAAACCGACTAACAAACCAAGTGATACCACCGCTGCGACACTGACCTGTTTGTTTTTAGAACTTGCTGTCCATCCGGAAAAGTACAAAAAGCTACAGGACGAGGTGGACAAGTACTTTTCAGACAGGGATGCCCCTGATCATGCATCCTTGGCTAAGCTCCCTTATTTGCAAGCGTGTATTGACGAGTCCCTCCGCATGCATCCGGCAGTTCCCTCAGGCGTGCAGAGAAAAACGCCTGCAGAAGGCCTTCAGATCGGACAGACGTACATTCCCGGGAATGCACTTGTTCAGATCCCGTTACACACTCTCTATCGGGGTAGGGAATGACCACCCGAAATACCTCATGTTGTTGTAGTCCACTGACGTCCGCTAGATGAGCGAGTGTTTCCACATCCTAATGAGTATATTCCCGAGCGCTGGACGTCAAGGCCGGAACTGGTCAGAGACAATTCTGTCTTTGCTCCTTTTTTGATCGGTATGCTATTGACATCCACCTTTCAATTTGAGGAGTACTGAAATGCCAATACCAGGTCGGTATTCATGTGTGGGAAAGCAGCTCGGTTTGATGGAAATTCGCAACGTCACTAGCCAAATCGCTCGTCGTTACAACATTTGTCTGGCTGATGATCAAAAGCCAAAGGATTTCTTTGACAAAGTAGTAGACGGGTTCACTTTGACTTGCCCGAGCTTGGAACTGGTATTTACGCCAAGAAAGGGTTGAATGAAGGCATACTTCGAATATTTGAACCAAATCGAACCTTGGAATGTCATCCACAGATTGAGTTATGAATGTTTATTATCAACCGTTAGCTTCTCTCATAAAAGCTACTGATAATAAAGTTTATATAGGTGCTAATCTGGTAAATGCAGTCTGGAGGAAAATAAATCCTATTCAAAGCGACGTTAAAGGATTGAGTTTTCATAATTACCACATTACAAAATGCTACCCACTATTGTTGATACTATTGTTGGGTTTTTTTTTTTACTGTTGAGCTTCTAGCCCCTCCCTGGGCCCTAACCTCTCGATTACACCTGAGCTCGTTAAAAAAAAAGCCTTGTCTCATTTATACACAAGGTTGACTAAATACCTCTGTGTGGCGTCCAAGGCGGCCTTTGACATGGCGTGACCTTCATTTTGCCTTGTACATTTCCGTTTAGCCTACATGCCGTCGGCCCAATTGTTACTGCCAGCGGACTATTCCTTGAAGGCTGCGCCTCAGTCTTGTCTCAGCCCCCACCGCCGAGGCACAGCTTCCAGGCATGCAACACACCATTTCAATCTGCATGGAAGAAACAGAATGGTCGTCTTGCCAAGTAGGGCTCCCTATTGGACCAGTTGTATTTTTCCCATGCGTCATGCTGGAGAACCTGTCAAATGGTAAGGGGACACGCTTTGGTGTATGCACTTAAGTAAGCCCAGGTAAATCCGAAAGCGGCTGTGCAAATACGCTCCAGCCGCACTGCACGCCTACCTGGGTTAATTTGATTTGTGTCATCTTTCCCCCCAGATCAGAGGATTCAAATCCGCACCTCAACTCTCTGGTTTACGACGCCTGCAGCGTCAGCTATTGTGAAATGGCTGACCCTCTCTCTATTGCTGCTAGTATCGCTGGCGTCGTCCAACTTTCCGGAACAGTCTTCAAACTCATTACCAAGTTCGTCAGGGATGCCAAGGATGGTCCATCAAAAGTTCGGGATCTTGAGGTCCAGACAAGGAATCTGGCCGGCATCCTCGAGAATCTTAAGCTACTCGCCTCTTCGCTGGACGACGAGAACTCGAAATGCGCTCTAAAGGCGCAACATCTCAACTCGTGTCGCCACACACTGCTTACGATTGAGAGAAAGCTCCAAAAAGCGAAAGATGACTTTGAGAGTGAAAAACCCCTCAAAGTTATCTCACGACGCCTGAAATGGCCTTTTGCATTGTCCGAAACCGAGGAACTGTCGGCAGAGCTTCTCAGTCACTGCTCGACCATACAGCTTGCGCTTTCTGCAGACAGTATGGATGCTTTATTGAAGTGCCTTTCAAAGCAGGGTGAGCTGAACAAGATGGTTGAAAGGAAACTGAACATCGATATGCGGGTGCAATTGAATCAGAAACGCAAAGAGGTCATTGACTTCTTCTTGCGCGTGAACCCACAAGACAACTTTCAGATGAGTCTCGAGCTGCGTCATCCGATGACGGGGCTATGGCTCACTGAGAGTGATCCCAATTTCCAGCGTTGGAAGGAGGCTGGGAACGCGAAGCTTTGGCTCAGTGGCATCCCCGGTAAGTTTATAAATTTCCAAGGAAGTTCGTGATCCAGGTTCGAGTTCTAATGTCGGCTTAGGAGGTGGAAAAACTGTACTCTGTGGCTCGGTCATCGAGATAGTTCTGCAAGAAACCGACAGCTGCACAGCCGTGTGCTATGCCTTTTGCGACTACAAAGATGCCAAGACACACCAGTCTGATAATATTCTTGCTGCTCTAGCCGTCCAGCTTGGGCAGCAGAAAAAGGAGGCCTTTAATCTCCTCGAGGAGTACTTTGATGAGCTAAATCCCCAAGATCAGCTCCCAAAGCAACCAAGAAGAGAGCAACTCCTCATCCTTCTCAAGGATATGGCCTGTATGTTTGACAAAGTCTATCTTGTGATAGATGGACTGGATGAATGCGGTGACAACATCGTCGGCATGACTCAAAGCTTAAAGTCACTGGCGGACAGCTCGCAAACCATCAGTGCTGCATTCTTCAGTCGCAAAGAGGAAGACATTCGAGAGGAATTGGAGGATGACTATGACCAGATTGAGATTGAAGCTCATACTGAAGACTTGGAGGCCTACACTTTGGCTCAGATCAGCCAAAGAAAGTCCCTCAAGAAGCTCGAGGTCGCAAATCCGAGTTTGCATGAGGAGATTTTCCGCACCCTTGTTCAGGGCTCTCGCGGCATGTGAGTTTTACGCCATAGTATTTGCTTTTTATGCATGTATTGACCTCTTTGGAATAGGTTTCGCTGGGTGGCTTGTCAAATTGATCATATCAGTGACCTGCCCACCAATAAGGCTCGGAGAAACGCCTTAAAGGAACTCCCTCCGACCCTGTTCGGCACATATGACAGGGTCCTGGATAAAGTCAGGAAATCTGCTCCTGAAACCCAGGAGTTTGTCCGCAAGGCTCTTCATTGGGTCAGTCTTGGGCATCACTGGATAAGCATCCCTGAATTGTGTGAGGCAATATCTATCGACGATGAACTCGACGAAATCGACGAGGACGACAGAATCGATGATATCGAAATCTCCCGCCGCTGTGGCTGCCTTCTTCGCAAGTCGGTGGACGGGAGGTACTTTGAGCTTTCTCACTTCACCGTCATGGAGTATCTTCGCGGTAGCAACTCCGTTGGCGAATTCCACTATTCCGAGATAGAGGCTTTCCGGTCATTAGCGAAGACGGCTTTGAGGTTTCTGATGTTTCCCAGCTTTGATCGAAAACCGACGACTCTCGCGAAGATGGAACTTGCACAAAGATTAGAACGAAACCAGTCCCATCCCTTCTACCCTTTTGCGGCCCTTCTTCTCGATCGAGAATACGTCCCCTCAGCCCTTTTCGTGACTTGGAGGTTGGCGTTTGGAGAAGAGCCGGTGCTGTTCTGGTGCAAACAACTGTTCAATCCGACCAAACCGGGTTCTTTCATGGCTTGGTGCCTGGAGTTAGCGACCCGGCCTTTCGACAAACCAAGATACGTACTCAGGCCCGCAGATCGTGACCCAGCTATCGCCGATGAGGAGTTTGGTAGGATTTTAGGCGATGTTCTGAATCCTGCTACCACTCCACTGCACATGGTCGTAAAACTGGCCATTCCGAAGATTTGCGAGTTTCTACTCCAAAAAGATGTTGACGTCAATTTGATCAGCCCTTTTGGAGTCCCATTGCACACCGTGTCATATTTCCTATATAGGTCTTCCAGCAATTATGATCAAGATCACACCGAAATCTTGTCAATGCTACTGGACCATGGTGCAGATACCTCTATTCGCTTTCGGTACGAACCCTACTTGTATAAGGGAAATTACACCGGGAAAAGCGTCCTCGCTCTGACGTTGAGCGGCCCGATGCATGGAAAGAGTTTGGCCCTCGCCCGCGCGTCAACTGCAGTCCTAGAGGATGCCGTAAAGGAATTTTCTGAATATCTAGGGCCTGGACCCAGACCCCCCTTGAGCATCGACTTTCTGCAAGCCGTTTTGAAAATATCCACCGGTAGAGATGCTCCTTCTCAGTGGCGACCCTTGGCATCGCCTGCGTTGATCATGGCAAAAAAGCAACGCTTGTCAATACCCGATGCGCCCGATAATGTTCTTTACGACCAATTAAGTGACGACGATTTCATTGAGGCCATGAGGATTGCGATCATGCATGGCCTAGTGGAAGATCTATCCGCACTGATTGCAAACAACCGTTTCCTCGCTGTTCTCCCACAACGAGAGCCTAGTATTCGCAGGTTGTTGCGACTTGTGGCGGAGAGTAACGCTACCCATGGTGGAAAAATCATGGGTCTTCTCCTTGATTCAGGACTAGACTCTGATATTCTCAACTCAGAGACCCAAAACTGCTTTTACATCAGTTGCAAGTCAGCCAACGCCGAAGTCGCTCAGCTCCTGCTCACTAGAGGAGTTGATGTTTACGGCCGAAACCTCGAAGGCGAAACAGCTTGGCACATTTCTGCCTCGACAGGTAATCCAAGTCTGCTAAAAGCGTTGCTCAATGCAGATCCAGATGTGCTCAGAAGCTTGTCCACCCTATCCGATGAGGGGATGACACCATTGTCTTTGGCTATTAGATCAAGCCATGTTGAAGCGTCCGTTCTTCTGTTGGAACATTGCCCCGCAGATCCAGCCTTTTTCCAATCAAAAGAATTGCTTCTGCATTTGGCGGCCAAGGTCGGATCTCCAGAACTGTTCACTGCACTACGTGCAAAGGGGGTTGACCTTGAAGCTGAGGGTCCCGATGGCTCAACTCCATTGCATCACCTCGGAGGCTCATGCACACACGAAATGGTTCATTATCTCACGTCTCTGTATGACCCATTTCAGCTGGACAATAATTTTCGGTCTCCCTTTGAGCGGCTTTTCGAGCAATGTCTTCAACATCACTCCCGACTCAGCCCAATGAGTAAAGGTTCTTTGGATGTGCAGAGGTTAGAGCTGCTCATCCCACCAAGTCTCACCTTTTCCCGTGGAAGGGATCACACCAATGAATCACATCTATGGACAATAATCTGCACTGTCATTCGTGGGAATCCGATTTGCCGTTGTGAGAGTTTTCCGCCAATGTCGAGCCCTCCCCCGATACCTTCAGGGATGCCTGCTCCGGGACCTCCCCCAATAACTCCCCGGAGTTATCTATGTGATGGTTTCTGCTTGTTGGTCTTGCGGACCCTCATTGATCGTGGGTCACTTTCCTCGTTTGAAAAGAACCAGAAAGGTACACCGGTCCAACCAGGGGTTATATCCCTTCTCACAGCCTTGTTGAAGCGGCCAAGAACCCAATCAGTGTGCTCATTCACCATCTCATCCCTCATCGAATGCACTATTGAGGGTTCGGCTCTCTCGCCAAGTTTGAAGGATATTAGTGCTAGCTATGAGCTCCTTCAGAGGTCCATACTCATGCATGACGGGGCTCTCACACAGTCACTACTCCGTTTTGGTCTAGACGTTCATCGGCGCGGGTCTGTGCCTGGGGGTCTACCATTGTCCCCTATTGAGACAGCCTGCTCGGAGGCGGATTTTTCAACTCTCGAACCCGTATTAGCTGCCGCCGATCTCTCTCGTTTAAACAACCCAAAGCCATCCGATCCCAACCTCATCGACCTAGTACTTGGTGGATCTAGCACAAACCAAATACCGATGGTCCAAGCCCTTTTTGATAAGGGAGTCAGACTGAAGGCAGGGAGTGAGTCGCAGGCCACCGTCGACGCTGCGGGGAAAGATAAATGGGATGTGGTCAAATGGCTTGTCACCCTCGGCGGCAATCCGTTTTTCCAAGACGAAGAGGGCTGGGCAGCCGTTCATTTTGCTGTTAGAGGGCAGACTATTGACATGATCAAGTGGCTGGAGGGGTCAACTTCAGCCAAGCCATCCTGGGAAGCTACTTGTCGATCAGTGTCAATAGTGACTAAACATGTTGATGATGGCTTGAGCTTGTTGCATCTGGCGGCTACTAACGGCAAAGATGACATGATCACATATTTTCTGGATCAGGGACTTCTCAAAAACATCAACATTCCTACCAAATCTGGAGAAACTCCACTTCATTCCGCGGCAGGAAACGGCTGCCTTTCGACGTGTGAATTACTTATTAGCCGTGAAGCAAAACTCGACATGCCAACCAAGGATGGGAGCTTTCCAATTAACTATGCCCTCCGAGGGGGTCACATGGGGGTAGCCGAATGCTTACTCAAGGCTGGATCCCCATCGATGGCTGAATGGGCCGACGAGGCAATCATGAGTCTTACACCCGACCAAGAAGCACTCTGTCGATCCGCCGAGTCTACCAAAATCAGCAAGCGCATGCGAGATATATGGTTTGAGAAAGCGATTCTTAGTGGGGACCTGGCAGCGTGCCAGAATGCCATCAACCACGGTTGTTCTCTCCACCAGCCTCTCCCTAGCTGTCACAACTGCACCCCGTTGTTTGCTGCAATTCGTGCTGGCAAAGAAGATGTGATTGAGTGGCTGTTGACGAAAGGTGCCGGTCTAGCAGCTGTTTCCTGCTATCACAACACGTATTGTGACCTACCTCAACATGTCATGGAAAGTTTCATCTCAACCGATTGTATGAGCAAAGTCCTCTCTGCTTCTCTTCAGCAGAGAATCTTCTGGTACCCTGGGTCCATTAGTCCAATCTACATTGCCGTTGAAGAAGACCATGAATTTGGTCTCGAGGCCATACTCACCCACATTCAAAGTAACATATCAGATTACCGGTAATTATCTCAAAGCTCTCTTTTAGGAAGGAATTTCTAACCAATTATTTAGAACTTTGTTGGAGCCTCATCTCATGACTGAGTCCCGATTAATGTCCGACAGGGAGGTTTTGTCACTGTTGGTCAACCAAACCAATAACCTCGAAGATAATGACACCGCACTTCATAAAGCAGTTTACGAGGGCAATCTCAGTGCGGTAGAGTTACTCATCGACCATGGAGCTAACGTAAACGCACAAAGTGAAGATCAACCAACGCCACTGATCATTGCGTCTCGGTCAGATGACGTTGAGATCACACAAAAGCTACTTAATTCTGGTGCTGTGGTTAATTCCACGAATTGCCAAGGCTATACCGCAATGGCGGAAGCTGTCAAAAGGGGCAACCTGGATATTGTGAAGCTCCTGGCCGCGGAAAGCTCATCTAGCTTGGATTATATTTCTCCTGCTGGGGAAAATTTGGTATCGCTTTCAACGCAAGCAGAGTCACCCCTGGAGACATTCCAGTACCTCATCTCTCTTGGAGTAAGCGTACTACACAAAGACCTATTTGGCAGCTGCGGACTTCACAAAGCCATGTGGGACCCTGATCTCTTCGACTACATCATCAAATCCGGGTTGTTATCCCAGATGCCAACCGGGCCTGTCAATCCATTTACTGTTGCAATCGAATGCGCTGTCTCACTGAAGCAAGTATTCAAATGTTTGCCACCAGTGATCTCAAAAGGATTCATTGACCTGGGGACGCCGGGATGGCTAAGCCCCCTTTGCGAGACAGCCTACCGAAACCTACCTCAGGCTGCGGCTCAATTACTTGATTTCCAAGCCGACATCGAGCATGAGGGCTCGCCATTGGGTACACCTTTGATGGTTGCCGCCGCGTTCGGTAAACTTGATGTCGTCAAATTGCTTGTTCGGAGAGGGGCCAAACTAGGGTACGTCGACAAGAACGAGACGTATAGGAGCGCGTTCATTTCCAGTCTTCTGCATACGGAGGTTACCGCGTGGCTACTCGTTGGTCGCTTCCGAGACCAGCAGAAGCTAGCTGATTGTCCATTCTGGGAAAATGCTACGGTCAAAACTTGGAGTGGTACAAGGGCAGCACAGATCGAGCTGAAACCATATCAGCAGTTGCTTCGGGGAGAGTCGATGTTGGATTACGGCAAACGGATTTTGTGGATTAGGAAGAATTTGGTAGGCCAGCGAGTTGTTGGGAAGTTGGTCTAATTGTTTTGTCCGAAGTAGCGTGTTCCTTGGCCCCAAATCTTAGCCAGAGCACCCCTTCTCTCTTTTCCAAATCTGAGCACACCCTCTGTCATATACTAATTCATTGCTCCGGATTTCACAGCAGCTCAAACAGTAGCTAAATGGTATTACTACCCTCTCTGCCACGGATGATTACTTCCATCACGCAGATGCAACAGTTATGAGCCCGGTTCTGGATTATGACAGTCCACAGTTTCCAGTTTTTCAGCATAACCTCACCTGATTTCTCCTTCCGTACGTTACTGCCGGCGATAATTTCTTCTGTTTCTTGGCTATTGTCGACACCCAGTGCGTCTCTCACCAAAAAGAACATTTATTTCGAGTGTAATTCCCATGAAAGACTCGGAATTGTCGATTGTAGGTACGGTCATAGGTTAATTTGGGAACTTTGTCTGGCTCGTAACGTTGGTCCTTCCAACTTCCAAGTAAATATCCAGGTTCGCGTGACAATCTGAGACCAAGCAAACTTCAATCCTCCAACCTAGTCCAACCTAGTCAGGGAAACACCGTTAAAATTTATCAACCCCCGCCCTGACATCGGTTAGGGTGATGAAGCGATATGCAGTCACACCAATCACAAGGAAAGCCGCAGACCGTGACGGCCTCATGCACTTGGACCCACATCTACCTCGGTATGAAGCTGGTCCTGTTCCAGGAAGGGGCATGTAGTGGTACACGCAGGCACATATCATTGTATAACGCCCAAGAAACCGGCATACGCTAGCCAGGTGCATCCAGTTATCGCTGTATCTTGGTTTAAGGGGTCGACATCAATCACCGAACTTAACTTCATGATCAGCTGTTGTTACTAAAAGAGGCGACGTAACATTTTATCCCAAAGTGGCTAGATTCAGCTTTATCGTACTATCAATCGAAGATGGTGTTGGAAGCACCCAGCGAAACCACCTGGAAACAAAAGTGGGCTGGGTTGCAAACGAGACGACAATGTTATAAGGCCTTGAATGTTGGCGGAAGATGACCAGGTGCCCGCTCTGCTGCTCGTGGATAATGAGGAATATTTCTACTTGGGGTAAGCCATCAACGATCTTCAGGGAACCAATAAAAATGAGACTAAGCGGACCAAGTTTTTTGGCCTCGCCTACAAATTCATGATGGTAGTTTACGGCTACCAGAAACCCACAATTGCTGCTGCGAAGATTTCTGTTTACCGGGGACTCCATCTCGGCGTAGGAAGCCTCTCAGGTTGGCCTGTTCGACGAGCCCAATGAAGAATTAGAAAACATGAAGGCAAAAATAAACAGGGCTTCGGAAAAGCTATAAGTCGAATCTCACGCGTGCTACAAGTCTACATACGATAGCAGTCAGAAAACAAACTGCCAGGCAATTTTGTGGTTCTCTTTTGCGATAAAGAGCATCTGGCGGATCAACTGCCCAAGGCACTAGCATCTGCGCTTGTCCATCTACCCCAGTCAGTACCTCAATTACCCGTTCGAACCCAAAAACGCAATTGCCTCGGCTGAAAAATGGCCTTCGCGAGGTACAAATAGTGCAGTCGTTCCATCTTTGATCTCTACGACAGTTGGTTGAGGAAAGTTGACCCTCTAAAATAATCATCCAGCGTGTTCCTCAAAATGACGGAGCAAACATTCCGATATTTCACAATCGCCACACCGCAAGAATGGGTCGCCCACGTTCAAATTAACCGGCCCGAAAAGCTGAATGCCTTCATAGAGCCGTACGTGAACCATTTTCCAACGTCTTTTATCACTCTAACGAATCATTTCGATCCGGCAGAATGTGGCATGAACTGAAGAAAGTATTCGACGGCCTCTCGGACGACCCCTCGATACGTGCTATAGTCTTGTCAGGGGCGGGCGAGAAATCTTTCTCTGCTGGCCTTGACATCCAAAGCGCATCCAAGGAGGGGTCAATGTTCAACCCGAGACGCGAGGACGTGTCGGATCCGGCTCGACACGCATTCAAAGTTAGGAAGTGGGCGCTACAGTTTCAAGAATGTGTTTCCAGCATCGAGCGATGTGAAAAACGTAAGTCCGGAAATACCGTTATGCTTGGTGCGCTCTGACTGACGGATATGGCTGGGAGCAGCCGTTATCTGCGTCCTTCATGGAGTCTGCTTCGGTCTTGCTATCGACATTGCGACGTGCGCAGACCTGAGAATATGCACATCAGATGCAGCATTCAGCGTCAAGGAAGTTGACGTTGGACTGGCCAGTGATGTTGGAACGTTGGCACGTCTACCCAAGGTGGTGGGCTCTTATGCCTGGGTCAAGGATGTATGCCTGACCGCGAGGACCTTTGGCGCTCAAGAGGCATTGCGCGTCGGGTTCGTGACTGATATACTGCCTGCAAAGGCAGAAGCAGTGCTGAAGGCCCTGGAAACCGCAGAGACATTGGCGAGTAAGAGTCCCATGGCAGTCCAAGGAACCAAGAACTTTTTGGACTGGTGTCGAGACCATGACGTTTCTTCAGGCGAGTAACCTTCAGACAATATCCCCGTGATGAGTATTTGAAACTAATGGAAATGGAAATCTAGGCCTCCAGTACATGGCTGTTTGGAATGGCGGTGCATTGAATACTAAGGATGTTCCACTGTCCCTCGAGTCAATCCGAGGAAAGACGGGGAGCTCTCCAAGATTCGAGAAACTGTAAGAAGTGGTGGTGACAAGTGCTGCATTCTTATTTTCAAGAACTAGATAATATGAAATACAATCGCTGAGAATGCGCCGGGCTGTCACATCGTGATTAGGTATAATCGATTCCTTGACACCTGCTGATACAGTGATACGCGCGCTTGAAGGTGCGGTAGAAAAGTCTCATCCTCAAAGTCAATATTTAATTTCAAAACCACAGGCAATCTCCAGAAGTGCTGCAGTTCCCGCTCTGAACGACTCCTCGTAGACTTGGATGTTGCCAGATGTTCCAATTCGGAGGCCTTACGGGAGCCCTTCATTTCAGTACACGTGAATTGCCGCTTCGTAATCGGAAGATTTAAAGGCGCTGTTTGAGTATCTGGGTCGTTTTATCCAAGAACACTGGTCCTAGCTGCGCAGCTTGGCGATTCCCTCGCGGAATCACCCTGGCTCAGTGATATTGATAGCTAGCTATGCGGAATATTATGATAGTTTGACGTTCCGCAATGCATCTCGACTGTGATTATTTGGCAATTAGGTCATTTGAACATCCGAATCAGGCTTACGTCCGTAGACATATCGCAAGAACATGTACCCATGAATATGCCGATTTCTGAGGGCTTTTCGCATGTTCATGAGAAAGATTTGATAGTCGTCCGCTGGCCATTCCAGCTTGTGCCATAGCATCAGAGTATAGCCTGTAGAGAATTAGCATAATTCAAGAGTAACGAAGAGAAGCTTGAAGCACATGACGCAGGAACACATGCGTCCTCGGGTCTACTGCGTGAATGCGACCTACCTTGCAAGTCGTTCTCCATTGTCAACTTGAGATACTGTCCAACCTCGCGAATTTGCGGATCTTTCGTCCAGGGCCCAACTGGAACCTAATAAATGTCAGAAACTTCGTGAGCATAAAGACAACCCACGCATGAAGCTATACCTTGTGGTCAACCTGCCTGATATCCACGAACCCCGCCTCATGCATGGCCTCGAATTGCAGATTTTCTTTAACAACGGAAAAGCTGTTGCCAAGTTTCTTCCCGCCTTCCAGAAATAAGGCGTTCCATGTCTCTATCGCGCTGTTCCCTTCGATAGTGCCGTCATCGCTCTCAAAACAAGGATCAATTTCGCAGGACTGTATCCAGCCACCGGGCCGAGTGCAGCGGTGCGCCTCTCTGAAGAGGGCAGTCCAGTCGGTAATTGCGCCGAAGAGGTATCGGAGGTGAATAAAATCGAACGTATTCTGTGGCCAAGTCCACTCGTCTGTTGCGTCGTCCAGTTCAAATTTGACGTTTGGAGGAACCCAGGCCGGCTGGATGGGTGACAGGTCAGTTCCAGTGACTTCGGCATTGGGAAACTCGTCGGCAAAGTCACTGTGAGAGTCTGTGAGTGATCCAGTCACACTCTTTTAAGATGAGGGTAGCTACATTGCCCATGCCCCTACCACATGTTAGTAAGTCTTACACTTGTCGGTGTAGGCGACTTGCCTGTGCCCGTGCCTATGTCAAGGACTGCCTGTAATGAATTAGAGGCAGAATGAATCACGAGACGATGGAGCTCACCTCGACATCGTCTCCGATTGGCGCTACGAATAGCTTTCCTCCCAGGAGGAGTGTCAGGTAATGGTGTCTATTTGGCGTTATCCGCCGTGGTCAATTTTGGTTGCTTGGCTGCGTCCGGAATCCTTACGTGATATCAACAGACTCACTCTGCTGTTCGTCATTTGGGGTAAAATACTCAGTGTTGTACCTGCCGCTGTGATAAGTACGTCCTTGAATGGTTCGATACTCCAGTATGCTTGTTGTAATGGACGCTGTTGCATTCACCCTAGTACGGCGTGTGAGTGGGTGCATCAAAAAGGTGACAGGAGCACTTACGGCTGGATCCCAACCCCGGAATCTTCATCACTTTTGATGCTTTGGTTCTACATCTATTAAACAGGATGATCTCGTGTCGGGTGCATGGTTATCAACCTACCGCTGAGGCAGAGGCAGGAATCAGCTCTACATTAAAGTGAGGGGTAGGCGCAGGCCTCTGCCGCGCGGCTCCTGTGCTCTGGCTATGGCTTCCACTGGCCGATGGTGATTCAGGCGAGTCCGTCATGCCTATCGCTAGGCCTGCTGAAGTGAACAAAGACTCGCTGCTTGACTAGATGCCAAGAAAGGGTGGTTATGTCGAGGTTTGAATCTCGTGACCAGCTGAGCCCAGGGAGGAAGATGCAATGGTCCGTTGGATGATCCGATCACGTGGAGATGATACAGCGGGGAAGGTTATCAAATGGGCGGGGCATCTGATGGATTGGGAAGCGACTTGACAATCTCCAATCCCTGTTCGGTGCATCATGCATGCTTGATAATCCACCCCGGAGCAAATGCAGCGGATATCAAATGTCGGTGAGAATTGGGACCAATGAGACGGTTTGAGAAGACGCACATGAAAAAGTCAAATTATTTTTTGCGAAAATCCATGGTTTGTATAGAGATAATGCAGTCATCTGGAGTCGAGCCCGGACTACAAACAAACCCAGTGGCTCATCACGGGCAACAGGTCTCACTGAATCCAGGTTGAAGAACGTGAAGAGTGTTCAATGAGGCCGGAAAATACAAGAGACGGTGGTAGGCATCACCGCCGTCAATTCTAATGGAGGAGTATACAGTCAAGAGTATTTAAAGGGAATTGCATTAGTTCCATACATAGGTGCCAGGGCTGAAATACACAATAAGAGTGAAGAAAGAGGGCAGGCAAGCTACTAGGTACCAGCTATAAGGTAGTGATGAGGTTGTGACCGTATTGATCGTTGACCTTCTTGCCATCTGACGGCCGTTCCTAGCTATTGATGCTTCCTCATCGCTTATCGGGGCGGCTACTGTCTAGGCCTCCCTCAGTGTAGCCACAACTATGTCGCTGTAGAAATGGAATGCAGATGACTAGTCCTGCCGGATCCGGCGTTCAGGGATGCCCAGGCTTGGCGTTTGCATCCCCCGCCCGTAATTGCATTCCGGCACATGACAAGGACAAAGCAGATGGAGAGGACAACGAAAGGATAGCCAGGTCCATTCTATAATTTAGGTCACACTCGACTAGAGACCTTCCAAATAAACTCGTTTATGATAAGCACCAGTGGGCTCAAGAGCCACCTTCCTGCTGACATTTCTGCAAGACTCTATCTATCCAATTTAGAGATAGAAACGAAGTAGCGATGATGGGACTTCCACTCTTTGCTGACTAGATCTAGCCATACAGTATGTCATTCATCGCTACTCCTCGCCGAAATTGTGTCAATGAGAGGCGAGGGTTTGTCTCTGTTGAAGTCGTGGGCCTGCATTTGATCCAGGGTTCAATTCTTCCAGGTTCCCTTCGCCTGCCACCGCCGTTACTGTTGACACGAGGCCCAAAAGGTGATATTAAATTAAGATCTAAGAGTAGAGTTTCCCTAACGATACAAATACAGTGCGGAGATGGTCTAAGTAATACAAATTCATAATACAAGTGCTAGTCCTACAATTCAGTTAAAAAGGCTTCTTCCCTTGAGAGTAATTTGCAAACGTTGATAGGACACGTGGATTAATTCGCTTTGTTCTCTCGTTCCGTCGTAAAGTCAGCCCTGGGGATACCATTGTTGAGCCCGTATGATAGCGTCCTGTGCCATCTTGGCCGCGCGTTTGACACATCATCTCAACACCCGGTCTCACCCAAACATGACGAGTCGTGGGGGTCCGTGGACTAGGAGCTTGCAGTGCAAAAGCTTCATCAGCGCCGATTATCCGCTCTTCGATGATGTTCTGGCCGTTTGTAGCTTTGGCGACGACTTCCCCGGCGAGGATGGCCAGGACGGGAAGCCCTCGCATCAAAGGAGGGAGACCTCCTTGAACGTTGGATAGTTTGGCAAGTTTTGAGAGCTCGGTTTGGAGAGAGGGTGATTTTCCGCTCGAAAACATGCCGAGCTGCGCTTTGATGGATATTATTGAAGTTTTGGCGTTTCTTAATGTGTCATTCTGAGTACAAGTTTTTGATGAGGTGAATGAAAAGAAGAAGCTGACAGAAACGGTTGGATGACGGACAAAGGTGCGGGGTGCGCAATGGAGGCCTGAGGCAGAACATAATTGGTGTAAATGCCTGCCGACATGCTTCTTCCAGCCTCTTCTCAGATGTAGCGTCTTTGAAATGAGGATACACCTTTAGATCTTGGCATTATCATTTGAGTCAATATGGATCTCACTCAGGTGCTACGTTGGTTGTAAATGAAGCCTGGTAAATACACTAGTATACATCCGCTCCGTCATCGCCCTATTTCTTGATCCTCAACGCTTAGTCCGTTGTAGCGTCGAAGGAGAGGAAGGTCGAAGCTTGACCGGCAGCCTCCTCATCTTGAGAAATATTGTTTTGAAGCTTTTTGTTCTCCGCCTCGAGTTTATCAGCCACGTCCTCTCCCTGGGCCTGCTGGGCCTGGAGCTTCAAGATGGTGGCCGTCAGCTTCAATACCTTGTTCTTGATCTTGCCGATCTGCCCAACTATTAGCTTCCCTTTTCTCGATGTATGCGGGTTTAGAGTAGACTTACCTGCAGGGAAACCGCCTCATCGCCAGACGCGGCGTCAATGGCGGGGTTGAAAGCCTCATCCTCAGCATCGTTCGCAATAGAGTTAACGCTGTTCAGGAAATCCAAGTCGGCTTTCTCGACAGTCGATAGGTCGCTGGGCAAGCCGCTCAGCTTTGCAAGGGCCTCCTGCTGGGCGTTGCCAGCGACGCCGCCGCTGATGGACAGATCGTTGTATGAAGTAGTGCTGAAAACGGCGCGTTTGCTGTGAGGAGCAGCCAGGGCAGTAAGAGCGAAGCCGAGAGTGAACAGAGAGAACTTCATCTTGACGGTGAGGCTAAGGTTTGTTGATTGAAAGTTGGTGGAGATGTTGTGATTGGTCGCAGACCTTAATTAAGAAAGAATTGATGAAGATCGAACTGGACAGCGCAGCTGTGTAGAGAATCGAAGGTGAGTGGATGAAGATGGGATGATTGTGAGAGTAAATATTGACTTGTGTTGAGCATAGGCGCGTCTTTAATAGTTCAAGGTCAAGGCCAAATAAGTCCCCTCTTACCAGCGATGCAACTTCACCTAGACTTTGCGACGAGTAAGACCCAGGCCTCACTCCTGGCGGCTAATGCCCCCCGCCAACAGGCTCCTATGACACTGCTGAGGGTCGTTGCCACTATTCACGGTATCACGGGGTAGCGCGAATGCTCAATTGGGCGAGTTACCGGGCCTTTCGGTTCTAAGCGAATTGATGCTGCCGCCAGGCTAGCACGTCAAACCTGGGATCTCGGTGACCAGGTCGCTTAAGAGAGCCGAGATGTGTCGTACCCCTGTTCAAACCACGACGCTGTTTTCTCAAACAAGGAGGTGACGCTTTCCGTCGCATCTTGTGAACCCATGTTAATCACGACGCTCGAACTGTCTAGCGCCTACTTTGAAGGTAACCTTAAAATAGACTGTTTTTATGAAGACTGAACCGCTTTCAGCTGCGTCGATCAGTTTAGGGTAAGTGCGCCAACACTTCGGTTTTATTGAGGTAAGTCGAGACGACAGTTAATATGGGGCATGAAGATGAGGCCTAAGAAGTTTTAGAAATCTCACACAATCGAATCTAGGACTGGTTTCAATAGGATCATTCTGAAGGGGAACCTCAGTTCGTCGCCATGTGGCATCACTCCCCTGCCGCATACCTGTGCGGTCGATCTCAGCATACAATACTCTGTACGAGGAGAGCGGAAATGTGATTGGTGGAAAATGTAAGAACTTAAGATTGATTCTTGCCCCATTGGGGTCTAGCTATTGGTGCGTCTATATTTGGAGGCAGTCGACAGGAGTGGTGAAAAGAATCAACATGTTTCGCTTGTGATTTCCCATTTTCTAACGCCCAACCGTCCGTTCTGGGGCCCTTGGTCGTAATCCGGCTCCTAATGGTTTTCTCTGGAACCTGAGTCGAGAGGTAGGTTCTGGTGGTCGTAGCAATCATCCGAGATGGATGCTTCGAGAGCGGACAGGCAGGATGGTCTCAAAGTGTTATGACTGTTGGCCCACCATAAGGCTCTACGCGAGATATGCTTAACCAGCTCCTGTGGACTCTGTATTTAGTGGAGGATTTATTAATTAGTGGAAGCTATAATCCAAAACCCAGCTCCTCCATCTTCTGCACGACCCTTACGTCACATCCACGGCCTCAAGTCATCCATCAGCACTGCGACAATGGACTCTACAGCAATCATGTCGAAAAGGTACCCCGCCCTGTCGGAGGAAAGGGTTGCGTTGCTACATCAAAAACATAGGGAGATTGTCCGCAACGAAGACAAAAGACGGCGCGGAGGAACGCCAAACTCATCATCCCCCACCTCGAGCGTCTATCAGCCGAAGAGCTTGCGCAGATGGAGTGGAGGAGGACCAAGGTGACGCCATCAAGGCAATCTGGAAACAGATTGCTCCCCCGCCTCCCGCTTGGATCCAGAAGATTGTCGATGCACAACAACCCTGGGGCTTCGTCTTCTACGAAAGCAGAGTGGCCGAGCAGGGATTTGGCCACGATTGGGAAGACGTGTGGAGCGAAATCAAACAGTGTACAGGCCGGATGCCAGTGGCTGTCAATGGAGAACGCGACCATGAGTACACACTGTTGAGTTCTATTCATACCGGAGGGAACCAAGGTAATATGAAGGACCTGTGGATCACCGACTGGGCCGCTGGGCCCATTGACCCAGACTTACCAGAAGACGATGCTCTGAGACGGTAAGACGCTCGCCCTGGCCTCCTGCTACCCGCCAATGCCGGATTGACAGCCTGCTCATCGATTTACAGACACTTCAAAGAGTATAGAGAGTCGCTCTCATACCCGGGCATCTTGCGGAACACGTTCATTATGGTTGACGACCAATGCATACCCGCGGACCTTTGGAAATATACCGGACGTGCTGTAGATACCTTTTGGGTTTGGGCATACGATGCCGACTGGGAGCCCTCCTCAGACGTTACTGTGTCGAATGGAGAGGAGTACCGAGGCCGTGTCAGGGTGCCGCTCCATAGCCTGGATGCGTGGATCTACGGCGCGCGTGCCGAGGGTGAAGTCAGTCTCAAGGATATGTGGCTCAAGGCGCAAACTCATGACGAAAAGTTGTGGATCTGCTACTCGAAACGGATGGAAAACTGGCATCACGAGTCTTATATCTGATCTAGGTCTAAGTCTCAAGGCAGTCAGGCAGGATGAATCAAGAAGCTGCCAGCCAATCCAAGCTCGGCGCCGTCGTTCTTCTTCTATTAAAGGTATCCTAGTGACGGTGGAAATAAAAAAAAGGTTCTACCGCCTGCAGAGGGCATCACGGCCATGCGCGGTACACGTTCCCAGCAGTCTCTCCGCCGCACCATGCCTCGGGATCCCCAGCGCAAGGAACGTTGCAGTCAGCCTTGCTAGCAACCGGTCCAAGAAGGTCGTCGGCTAAAGACAGCGCGCAGTTGCACCTGTCGCCTCCGTCAACAGAGAAGACGACCTCGCTCCCCTCGAACCGGCGAGTGCACTCAGAGGCACACCGCTCGATGGTGAGGTCCCTAACGGCCGTCGAGTCTTGGGCAGCGCCCCAGCTAGTACGACCTGGATGGCGTGAGTAACAGCCGACGAGGCTATACGAGAGAGGTCGACTGCGGGCTCCGCTGGCGCCGAAGACGTTGAGGAGGCTCTCACCACCGCAGGCCTGCGTGCCATTACCAACGCAAGGAGCGGAACAGTCAGTCGCAGGCCGTCCCTCAGTTCCAACGTCCAGTCGTGAGCCACAGCGACAGGTGGTGCCCTCCAGGCCAAACAGCGGCTGGCCCTGCGCGAGGAGACAGTACTCGGCGCAGTACTCGATGGTCATGCCGAGTCCGGCTTCCGTCAGCGAGTGGGAGAGCCCGAGAACGCCTGACTTTGCAGTGCTGTAGCATCCAATGTGCTCGTACGCGGGAAGAGGAGCCGTCTCTCTGGTAGTGCTCTTTGTCCCGTCAGATTTGGTGCGGAAGATCTCAACGCGTCCCTTGCCGCCGCAGGTGTATCCGAGACCGTTGCCGCATCCAACATTGCACTCAGTCATCGGGGCGCTCTTGGGAGACGCCGCCAGCTCTGAGCCACACGTACACACCGTCCCCTCACCGAGCGAGAAGAAACCGTAGCCGGCCGTGGTGCATATGCTGCCGCATTGGTACACCCACATGGTCTTCTCGTCGACCGTCTTCCCGCCCAAGACGAGGCGCTGCGAGGCGGCTTGCACGAAGCATCCGAGACTGACCGACTCGACGAGCAGCACGGGGTCGAGCCCGTACACCTCGACGGCTCCGGTGCCTCCGCAAGAGTCGGAGCTGTTCCCGTTGCACTTGGTCTGGCACTTGGTGTCGGCCAGGAGCTGGCTGTCCATCCGCAGCCGCGTGTCGCACAGGCAGGTGTCGCCGCCCTGGAGGCCAAAGACGTTGAAGTTCTGCGAGCGACAGTACACTTTGCACGCGAGCAGCGTCATCAGACTCTCGTGGCTGATCTCGGCCTGTCGCAGCACTGGTTCCAGAGCCGTCGTCGCGTTGCGGGCGTAGCATCCGAAGCGCCAGTGCTTTGGAATCTCGGCCCCGGTTGCGAGGAAGTTCGCCGTCGGGTTGGCGCAGTACGTGAGCCCTATGGCGAGGTCGCTCGTACAGTTGTCTCGTGAGACTGATGGGTTGGCGAGCAGGAACGTGTCGAGACTGACGTGATAGCGAGCCAGCACCTGGGCACAGTCTTCCCCCTTGCTCACCTTGTGCCACTTCCCACACTTCGTAGTCGTGCCGTCGGCGAGGACAGCGCCGCTCGGAGGCTTGACGGCTTCCGCTGCGAACTCAGGGTACGCCGGGTTGGCATCGTCCTTGGTTCCCTCTTGCTCGTAGTTTCCGCCGGGAGGTGAGATACAAATGACGCCGCCGACAGTCTGCGAGGCGGACTGGAGGTTCCCGCAGCCCACGTCGATCCAGGGGTTGAGATTGAGGATCATCTCACGACTTACACCTGTAGTGGCCGCGATGCCCAGGCAGTCGTCGGTGGCCGCGATCTTATATGTCTTGCACTGAAGAGGCATACAGATGGAAACGCCCGCAACCACGTCGTAACAGTCTAGGATGTCCGGGTTGCCGCTGAAGATGGCTGCCGACGAGACGCCATACTTGACAGCCAACGAGTCGCAAGTGTCGTCGGACTGCGTTGTGTATTTCACATTCGAGAGACAAAGACCGGCTTCTTTGGTGATTTCCGGAAAGGGAGAGCCCTTCGTCGTAGTGGGTTGCGAACTCAAGGAACACCCCGACACCGCGGCTTTGAGGGCTTCCTGGTAGTATGGCTGCTTCCAGTAGATGGAGTAGGGGCTGGCCTGCATCATCTTGAGTCGGTTGACATAACAATCGGAGCAGAGCTCGCTGGTGGGCATATCCTTGATGCTCTCTACGTCACTAAACGAGGCAATGATATCTGGTCAACGTTAGAAGGCCACCGACAATGAATCAGACGAATGCGGGTGGCTCACCATTGCAGTACTTGCCGCTCTTCTTGTCAGTCTGACATGTTTCGTTGATGCCGTACGAGATGAACGAACCCAAAATACCAGGGCTTGTGCCGTCCTCCCACGTCAAGCCAGTACAGTACGTATCAACGGCCTTTAACCAGTCCGAGATGGATTGAGCACAGCCGGCGTCGCAGACTGAGGCGACGTCAACTTCTTTGGGCATGATGCCATGATATTCGGCGCGTTTCCACTCCCGCGTGTTATTATCGCATCGCACGAGAGCTGTGAGGGCATTCCTGCAAGCCTCCGGAAAGACGCTCAAGCCTATCGTGTCGTCGGCGTGGACCTTGTAGCCCACAAAGTTCCGCTTGCCGGTGACCTGTTTTGCGCCGCCGAGCCAGGCAAGAATGGAGGAAGCGAAGCCGTTTCTGTTCGGCTTGCCCAGCGTGGGGTCGCCGTTGAGGGGACTGATCATCTCAATACTGCCGAGAGTAACGAGATTATAGACCCATACGTCGAAGCTCTGCTCCGTGTAAAAGATCTTGTCCTGGCAGTCGTGGCGGCCCGAGTTTATACACGCCTGGTCGTAGCGAGAGAAGAACGAGTACAGACCGGCACTGAGGACGTGGATCGCCGAGGAATCGATGATGCGAACTGCCCACGAGACGCCGCATGTTTTGGATTTCGAGGAGCAATCTTGGAACGCAGGATCGTCGGGGAACGCGCCTGGCTTGAAGGGGGCGGGGGCCGTTGGAACGGATTGGAAGTAAGGGGACTCGGTCTGGATGAGGCCCATGACGATGTTCTCGGCACCGGTCAGTTGATACTGATACAGCACGCAGTGCTCGACCGAAGTGCCCCAGAGCCACGTCGGGCCCTTGCTCTCGACGAGCATGCCTCTACCGACGTAAACGTCCATCTGGGCTTGGTCCGGCGTATCAAAGTCGTGGTCAGCCGTCCACATCCACACGTTTTCGAGATATGCCGAGGACTGGGCGGTCAAGTGCAGCATCAGGGATGCGGCAATGCATTTCTCGTTGACCTTGCCCGTCAGTTTGGGGCAGTCCTTGACGGTGAGGTCGGTGCCAGCCGCGCCGCCGACACGGAAATGGGCGTCTGGGAAGAGTATATACATGTCAGTTTGTTACGGCTGAAATTCTGGACAAGTCATCTTGGACAAGTCATCTTGGACAAGTGAAGTTGGCGAACTTACCCCATAGACCCGCCGAACCCTGAATCGTTTCGTGTACATTCCACTCCATCATAACGGCACCGGCTGTGGCGCCTTTGACGGTGAACATGACGGACTGGACCTCGATGACGCCAGCTTGCCCAGGCCGACCGACGCGCACCGCGACGCGAGGCTTGAGTGCATTTTCAAACTTGGGCCCCGTGGCCATGATCTGAGGCCAGGCCTGTCCGATGATGCGAGACCCAACGGGTATCTCGATCGTGTCCTTGATCAGATAGACTCCAAACGGCAGGTAGACGACGGCCGACATGTTGGCGGCGGCGGAAAAGATGTAGTTGAGGACGGCCGTGTCGTCAGTCTTGCCGTCACCACGAGCTCCTTTGGCCTTGGCATCTATGATCTCACTGCGCCCAAGATCATCATACTTGGGACGGCGTCTCGTGAAGAACTGCTTGCGGCCTCCGGTGACGAGGGAAGAGTCCCGAACTGGTGCGTCGAGCGCTGCGCCGTTGAGGAACTTTGTCGTGCCGTCGGCGTAGGTGACTCTGCCGAAGCCCCAGGAGGCAACGTCCTTTGTTCCGGTACCGCCAGCGATCAACACCTTGTTCTGGGTCGTATCCTTCACGATGGTGTCGACGTTGTAGAAGCCGGAGTTGCTCAGCAGGAGAGCCGTCGAGTTGTCCGACATCACGGACGTCGAGATGGCCAGCTTGACATAGTGCATGCGCAGATCCGTCAAGAGGAGCGAGCCGATGCCCTGGCCGGTGCTCATGGGCTGTCGTGTTTGTTAGCATTGTGTTCCTTTAGCATCAAGTTCGAAACAAGGTTGTGTCGAGTCTTACACCGCCAGCGCCGCCGACAATGGTGAAGCCGACGTCACAATTGTCCACGACAATGTCCTGCATGGTCCATCCCCAGTCCCAGTGGATCTGGATGGCCGTCTGGGCGTCTTGGAAAAAGAGACCGCTGGCCGTGAACTGTTGGTTACCCATGTATGCGCTGCCCAATTCAGTCGTCAGTCAGTCGTGCTCCGTGATGCGTTTAATCCAAGACTTAAAGGTCAGCGGCAACTCACCCAAATTTACCGCCGACAAAATACAAGTCGGACAGGAAACCGCCGCTGCCATTCTCCATGTAGATTCCCTGAATTAAAGACGCCGAGTCAGAGAAAAGCAACCTCGGCTTTTGTGAAGCATGTCATCCTCACCTGCTGAGTAGTGGAAGGGTCGTCCTTGGGCTTGACCATGTAAAAGTGGACGTTTTCGAGAGACGTTCCTTGAGCGACCTGCCAATGAATGCCACAAACCTGAGCTGCCGCAGGAGTTGGACGAATATCGACAATCATGTTGCGGACGCTGCGGAGGAAGTTGTTTTGGTTGAGATACCTGGACTGCATTAGCACTGGTGGCTCGAGGCACACAATGGTGAGTGTGTTTTAAAATCCGCCTTTACCATTGCGAGGTTTCACCCGTGTATACCTAGAAAACCGGTCAACATGCCGGATCTAAGGGTCCCAGATGCCGGGTCTTACTCACGTTGGAACTGATGACACCCAGGCCGACGAAACTTGGAGCCGCGATAATCGTAGGAAGGTCAAGGGGCTGTTGCAAGAGGCGTTAGAGATCATGCTAAGCTGCAGACTCGAGGATTCCTTACGTTGCCGATGATTTCCGTGTTATAGTACTGGATAATGGACGAGCTGACTTTGTACGTTCCTGGGGGGAAGTACACTGTTGCTGGGTAGATGGTGCTGCCTGTACAAGTGCCACCGCCACATCGTCCACCGCTCGAGATGGCTTTGTTAATGGCATCAGTGTCGTCGGCTTTGCCATCACCTAGGCGATAAAAGGTCAGCTGGTGATTTGGGAGTAATATGACTTGGCAGTATTATGATTTCGAGTCACTTACCCTTGGCGCCAAAGTCCTTGACGTTTCTCCAGACTTCGTAGCCGGAGGGCGCAAAGGGGCTGAACCCTCTCTGGTCCATGGACGACATCCACCAGTCACTTGCAGCTCTCTTCTGCGGGCCTTGACCGCTCTGGTCCTTGTGCGTAGGCTCTACGAGGTCAGATGAGTTGTCGGAATAGCGGAAGGCCGAGGGCGGCTCTTCGACGGGGGCCATGAGACCCGAGCCGTACTGGAGCATAGGAGGCATCATGTTGGTGTCGTTGACCTTGATTTTGAACCTGGTCTGAAGATCGACAACGGCGGCAGCAGCGTCATAACCCATGTCCTCGTCGAACGGGCTCCAGTTCTCGGAGAGAAGGCGGGCGGCCTCGATGAGCTCGTCTGGCACTGTGTAGCGCATGTCTTCCTCAGTCCCGTTGCCGCTGGCGCCATCACCACGTCTGAATTTTAGCGAAGAGGCCGTAGCGTTGCTACTGTAATCAAGCAGCGGCGGCGGCTTCCGAGCCCTGGACAGCTCAGTAGAGTTCAGCACCTCGAGGCGGTTAGGCCGGGGGTTAGAGACAATGGCATGGTTTGCGCGGGCCATGGCAGCTTGGCCTCGGGCCAGTAGCTCTCGCGCTTCTTCAAGGGAGCCATGGTCGCTCCGTTTGTGAGAACCGTGGAGGTGGGAGTGTTTGGAATGATCGTGGTGGTGAGTGGAAGCAGAGGCCAACAAGGGCGTAGAAAACACGAGAAGAAAGAGTGAGAGAAGCATCTTGGCGGCAAGATGCGACGGTCTTCAAACAAGGACTAGCATGAGAGCCATGTAAATAAATCAGGATGGCTCAGGACGGTCCAGGTTGTAGCTTCACAAAGTGTAGCTTCACAGAACCAAGCAAGCAGTTGGGAACGATAGGACATAAAAGGATGGCGATGGTCTACCTGGGAAAACCTCGCGGGCCACCAAAGAATGATAGCGGAGCGTTGGAAAAGTCCAATTCTCCCGAGAGAACCTGTTGGACGACAGCCTAGACAGGGCTGAGTTACTAGGCGTTACTGGGGGTTCGGAGTTTCGATTTTTGTTCGGAGCTTCGTTCCTGTTCGGGTATCTGGATGACTCGCCGAAATCGAACCAACAACCTAAGACTCGTTGGTCCCCACCTCGTTCTGGCGTGACCCGATGACCAGTTTATGAGATCTTCATCTTAATTTTCATTCCCCGCCACCGCAAAGACGTTTGAGGAACTTTTGTTTTCGTATTAGTTGAAGAGTTCCTGGGATTGGTGGTATCCGACTGATGCTGAGTTGAGAAAAGGCACTCTGCTGTATTGTCGATTCAGTAAACTCGGCCAACTCATGTCTCCATATTTCGTGCTTATTTCGACCATTACCCGCAAAAAATGCCAAAAAGTCCGTTTGTAATTGGTGGCATGTGTGTTTTGCAGGGGCCTTGAGCCTGGGGGCTGGGGTTACAGTACAGGACAGTACAAGCAAGCAAGCTTAAAATTTAAATTACCGACTTTTTGGATTGACCCTGGCATGAGGCTCGGATAAGAACAACATAGCCGAAAAAGCCTCACACGAAAGGAGGGTCAAGAAGAACAAGGAACATCAGCAGACATCAATACCATTATCTTTCGTACCCGTATCATATGAATCCGTATGACCCGAATCGAATTGACCGTATCGGATCCAACTTCTGCATTCGGCTCCAAGTTAGCCGAGACTGTTACATTTTCATGTGGGGGCGGCTGAAGCAGTTGGCAAGGATATCATATCCCTGACAACTCCTACTCCGTCGGACTTGATTATTGCCTAGTTCGGGCCGATCCGAGCCGCCGGAGCTTCGTTCCGGTTTCTTTCTTAGTTGAAGAATTGACAATCGGTCTCTACTAGTACGTAGAAGCCTTGGACTCTTCTTTCTCTCTGCCCGTAGCAGTGATTTGCAAGTGATTGAGGGTTGTGAGCGATAATTACCCAGCTGGCTACTTGCAAACTGCCGTAACAAACCTCCCACAGACCATGTCATTGCAAGTTATGCCTGTATCTATGCATGGGCAGACATGAGCACGGCCACAGCGGCGCAGCCTGCAGCAAATCTCTCCACACAATCTCCCCACCGAAATCTCTCGCAGTGCAGCCGAGAACCGAGTCGATTTTTCATCGTGAAGCTATTTTACATGCCAAGACGCGCGCAAACTGACTATGGAGCGATTCTCGGCACGCGGCAGCCCTTCTGAGCAGGGGAGGCAGTGCATCGTCTAGATATTAACAGTGCCTGGTTTCACTGCCTCACCCCCCACGGCTAACTCAGCGAGAAGCGAGATTACATGAGGGCATTCCCGCGGGACTCGAGCCGGCTCGTGTTGGTGTTGGTTCGACACAGCTGAAGGTCCAGGCTTGTCCAAAACACGCATGATGCCGTCGACGATCCTTGATTGACTCCGCACGCTACCGGACATGATCCAATGTGCGCCAACGTCCGACCGGGGCACATTGAAAGTGAGCCCGAAGCCGTCGTGTGTGCTGCCGCAGTTTCTGTATAGGCAGCACGTCTGTTAATTGTCGACTTATTGCCCCCCCTCCTCCTCCCGTTCCCGATGGCCTTTGGAGAACTCCCATCTCTTCAAGATATCTTTGTCTTCTTCAGGCTGCCCGCTCACTCAGCCCTGTTCCTCTGCTGGAACCATGGCGACAACTAATCGCCTAACGGCACTCCTTCTTTCACTATTCCTCATTCTCCAACTTCTTTCACTCACTGTCAGCGCCGCGGACTGTAGCAAAACCAAGCTCTGCGCCACTGGCTGCTGCAGCAAGGACGGCTTCTGCGGTACCACCTCAGCTCACTGCGGTACGGGTTGCCTGAGTACCTGTGACTGGAAGCCAGCGCCTACTGAGTGCTCTGCGATGAAGCTCTGCGCCACTGGCTGCTGTAGCAAGGATGGCTTCTGCGGCACCACTTCAGCCCACTGCGGCAGCGGATGCCAGAGCACATGCGACTTTAAACTCGGCTGTGACAAGAGCAACCCTTGCAAGGACGGAAGCTGCTGTTCCAAGTTTGGCTTCTGCGGCTTCGGTCCGGACTGTAAATCTCCCAGCTGCGCCGAGCTCACCCCCGATGCAATATACTGATGGCTGCTAGTCTGCAGCAAAGACACCTGCGTTACGGGATGCGACGCCAAAACCTATTGTGACCCCGGAGGCTACGGTTCTGAGTATGCTGAGCACACCAAATGTCCACTCAACGTTTGCTGTTCTAAATGGGGGTGAGTATTCGTCGTTGCGAGTTCAGTCCCTCCATACCCTTTGGCTCCGAAGACTGACGAGGCGGCACCAGCTATTGCGGCTTGACCGAGGAGTTCTGCGGTAAGAAAAAGGTCAAAAGACCGTCCTGTTCCGCAAAGGGTCTGCCCATGAAAAGAGTGGTGGGATACTACGAAGGCTGGGCACCCGGCCGAGTTTGCGATAAATTCAAGCCGTCAGACATTCCCGATGGCGTCTACACTCACCTTAACTTTGCCTTTGCAAGCATTGATCCGAAAACCTTCCAGGTTGTCCCGGCAGCAAAGGGCGACACGGAGCTGTACCGCCAGTTGACGCAGAAGAAGCGAGCTGATGCCAACCTTAAGGTGTTCCTCGCCATTGGCGGCTGGGCATTCAACGATCCCGGTCCCACGGTAACGACTTTCTCAGATATTGCCCGGTCCGAGGCAAACCAGAGGGCCTTTATCACGTCACTCGTTTCCCTGCTGAACACGTACAACTTTGACGGTGTCGACATTGACTGGGAGTATCCTGAAGCCCCTGACCGACAAGGCCGTGGCGAAGACTTTGCCAACCTACCCAAGTTCCTGCGCAATATCAAGAGCTCCCTGACGCAGAACGGTGATAAGAATGGCCTGAGCATTGCGGTCCCAGCCTCTTACTGGTACTTACAGCATTTCGACATTGTCAACATTGCCAAGCACGTTGACTTCTTCAATGTGATGACCTATGATCTCCATGGTAAGAATCTCATCAGCGAGGTCTGTTTTGATGCCGGAAGAGACGGTGCTAACCCCCTTGTGCATGTGTAGGCTCCTGGGATACCCCTGAATCGTGGCTGGGCAGCCATCTCAACTCCCACACCAATCTCACCGAGATTGAAGATGCCCTGGACCTGCTCTGGCGTAACCAGATCGACCCCGACCAGGTGAACTTGGGTCTCGCGTTCTACTCGCGTACCTTTACGGCGTCGAATGCCGGCTGCATGTCCCCCGGTTGTTTGTTCACGTCTGGTGCTCCCAAGGGACCATGCTCTGACGCCGTTGGCGTGCTGTCCAATGCCGAGATCGATCGCAAAGTGTCCTCGACCGGAGCGAGTGTCACTCTCGACAAGAAAGCAGCCGCCAAGATCCTCAAGAGCGGCCGCGATTGGATGACGTACGACGACGCAGATACCTGGAAGATCAAGCTTGACTTTGCCCGTAGCCAGTGCCTCGGCGGCGCCATGGTATGGGCCATCAGCCAGGACACATTAGACGGCAAGTATTCCAAGCAGCTGCAGTCGGTCACGGGCTACAAGTCCCGAGCGTTGTCGAGCATCACGACCAACGTCAACGTCGGCATCCCCGGCACCGTCCTCAAGGAGATGGAGATTAGCGAATCCAGCACCGATGTCACCAAGAAACAGTGTCGATGGAGCAACTGCGGCCAGGGGTGCCCGAGCGGCTGGAAGCCTGTGCCTCGGAGAGACCCGTATAGAGACGACTTCAGGGAGCTCATGTACGACGACACGGGGTGTGACGGCAAAGCCACGCGTGTTTTCTGCTGCCCGCCAGGAGACCAGCCATGGTGCCAATGGCTATTCTTCAATGGAGGAAAATGTAACCCTGGATGTCCCGCAGGCAGCGGCATAGAAGTCGCCTCGACGAAGGCCGGATGCAACAATGGCAAGGCACAGGTGGCATGCTGCAAGGACGGCGGTTCGTCCATGGACATCTATCGTCAGTGCCAGTGGTACGGCAAGGAACACGACTGCGCCGTGGACATAGGAACCAAGTCGTGCGGCTGGAGCTCCACGTATAACATGCCGCTGTTTTCGAGCGGTGATGGCAGCGGCGCCCAGGTCTGTCGAGATAGCAGCGGTACCCGCCGCTCGAGGCCTTACTGCTGCGATGAGTCGGACTCCAGCAATGCGCACTGGAAGAACTGCCAATGGTACGACAACTTTGCGCTGGGATTGACGCCGTATGCCGGGGAGAAGACGTGCAACGCCAACTGCCCGGCTGGCAAGATCAAGATCGCCCTGGACCACTACGAGTCGCTGTGTGGTGACGGCACGTCGGCGTATTGCTGCGATGCCGAGGTGACAATCTCGGCCGACGAGAAGAAGAAGAACCTCAAGGAGACGCTCATCGCCTGGGCCAAGGCGCCGACGTGCCCGAACGTAGACCGCAGTCTCTCGTCCCGCTCCGTGTCAGAGGCTCAGGGGAATGAGACTCAAGCAGATGAGGACCCAACTGTCGTCAAGCGCGCTGTTCCGCAGGTCAGTGCCGCCGCGGTCAACTCGGCGCTGCAAGACATCCTCGACCACCCTCCCAACTCCAAGCTCACCAAGGAGACCCGCGAGTTGTGGGACGACGCCATGGGTACCAGATGGGGGCACCTCAGCGGCGCAAGCCTGTCATCGCTATGGTACCCGGTCAAGGACACTATCGGCTCGACCGAACTGATCGCCGCCTCGACTCTTTGTAACATGAACGGGTGGAACGCGGCGCTCGAGTCGACAGACAGCCAGACGAGTGTCATCCAATGTCCCATGCCGCGGCTTGGACTTCTCGAACCGTCACTCCTCGAGAATCCGGACGATTCGCTGGTCGATCCGCCCAGCACGACACGAGGCACGCTCGCCGACCAGTTGGGCTGGATAATTTGGCCATTTACTATTTTCGGAGATCGCGGACTCTCCTCGAGAATCGGCGGAGTGCGCGACTTCAAAGTCACTTGTCCAGACCAATCCACGTTCCAGGTGTTCTCGGAGCAGTATCCCAACGGCGACAAGGGCGAGAATCTGGCAACCGCCAACGGCGACAAGGACCGGTATTACGTGAACAATGCTGGAGGCAACTGCTTCTCTTCTGGCATTGCCGATGATGGCGACAAGGACGACAAGGATATGAACTGGGTTTGTAAGTGACGAGCGAATCGTCCGAGAGACAACAAGGCTGACAGTGACTCCAGCCGAGCACATCCTGGAGCTTCAGATGTTCCGTGACTTTATCGAATACAGCACGAGTGGTAAGCTCGATCCAAAGCCCGGAAGCAGATATGGCACTCCCCTCAAAGCTGAGATTTTCACGGGGGATGACCGTCATGAATTGTCCAGCTGTAACATGTGGAAGGTCGGGTTCGTCGACGGCTTTCCGGCGTGGACCAAGGCAGGGCACACGCAGACGCCGATGAAGACCTTGTATAACATATTGGGCTCTGTGTCTAATCCCTCTGAAATGGTCAACTGCGAGGCCAAGTTGAACAACATCAAGACACAAGTAAGTCCACGACCCATCCCCGTCCAATATTGGGTTCAGAACGCGGTACAAGTGGTAGACCGGGCTGACATATACCGTCCATCCCTAGACCTGGGGCCTCAGTGATCCCATGTCGGTGGATAAGTGGAACAAGAGATGCAAGCCGACGACCAAACTGGCCGCCGAAACTGCCATTACCACGTTGCAGATGGTGAGACGCTCCCAGAAGCTTCCCAACGCCGACGGCACCGTTTAGCCCCATGTTTACCAACTAACCGCGCACTCAGGTCTTTGGTGTTTGGCAGTACCAAAACGACGATAGCATTCAGGCCAAGCTCCTCGCAACCCACGTGGCTGTGGCCGATTTCCTGGCCGAGTTCGAGAAGCTCTACCGGAAGGAGTACCCAAAAACACCCCCCATGGGCCTTGAGGACATCCACTGGCGTGAGTACATGACGAAACACGTCACTAGGATGGTGAATTTGAGCAATGCCTGGGCTGCGGGACGTATCAAGTCCCTCATATCTGACTGGACCGCTCATGGGCAAAACCTGCTCAAGAAGATGACTGGTGGCATGTCACAAGCGGCGTCAAAGGCCCTCGCCGAGGAAATCAACATCATGAGGCAAAACCTCGTCGCCTTCAGACAGCTTCAACGCAGCCTCGACTCTACCATTAAGTTCGACGAGATGATCTTCCTACAAAATTAGGTGTTGGAGAGTTCGCTAGGTTGAGTCTAGAAAGAACGCCAGTGGATTCTCAGGCACTGGGCTGTAACGAGTATTAGTATACTGCGAATATTGAAAGGGATGATAATAAGAATGATTCTGCAGAGCGTTATGGATATAAAGGGACTACCTGCTATTCTTGTTTATCTTACCTATTCAAACTGAATCGTATCAGGATGAATGGATACTGCTGCAGTCCCCAAAGGGCCCAGCGGGTGCATCGTTGTTCCCAGGCTCGTCATTGGAGCCGTAAGGCCGGTTTTGGGACTTTGACAGAATCCAAAAACATGTCTGGACTTTAGACTGGGTGTGTAGTTTTCAGAGCGGTTACCTGCAACACAATGGTTTCGGGCAGTTGGTGTTTTCTCCAGTTGTGTAGAGAGGGTCAATACGAATGTCGGAAAAATGGGCAATCTTGAGGAATTTGGTGGTGGATCGAGGCGACTCTTATATGACAGGGCTGCTGGCCGGAAGTGGGATCTTGTACGGTGACACAGGAGGAAACCTGCAAAGCCCGTGAGACTTGCGCATGGCATCTGGGATTCACGGGATCCGGGCTGTATCTGACGCAGGCTGTCTGCGCGTGGGCTTTCGAGAGCGATGGCTTCATCGCAGATATCACCGTCTTCGGTCTATCAGTACTTAGAGTCGTCAATGCTATTTTCATATACAAGTTGCCGAGGCTGCAACGTCGTAATGAAACCGTATTAGAATCTGCATCCCATCTAAATCGAATCGGTTTCCGCTTCGAGACCAGACACGACATGTGGCCAGGTATCTTCGACCATTCCGCGCTCCTCTAGGGTTATACGACGGCCACTAAGCCCATTTCCCCTTTAATCAATGGAGAGTCAAAAACGATTCGCATCTCCATTAACCATAGAAGGCAGCTCGATGGAAGAGTGGCAGCAGTGGAAATTACGAGTAGCCCGTACTCGAACGGCGCTCTAGCTTCTCGTAGGTGATCAAAGATGCAAGTTTGACATGTACACCAGCCAAAATTTGTTCCTTCTATTGTTTCAGTAGAATTTGTGATAATGTAACGGTAGTCGTAGAGTCTTTGGTGATTGTTGTGGCTGGTTTCAGCAATTCTTCTCCACGAGGGAACATCCTATTCTCATTGTAGCTTCACGGCTGCTGCAACCGATAAAGGGAGAGGGTATTTTGACCAATACAAAATAATCTCAAGGCAAATAAAGAATGCATGGAGCGTAGTCTTTTCTAGACAGTGCGGGAGTCTCCAACAAAGCAACATCTTATGTAGAGCGCAGAGAGAACTCGTCGACCCTATGGCAAGACTTTGGATTCTTTCCCCTTCCTCGGTCGACCTTCAAGCTGAAATCGGCCTCCGGCCAACGGCCCTGGAAACAAGGCCCCGGGTGATACACCGTGAGGCATATGCATGCTGCAAGGATCATTGTTCCATCGAGTACCAAGAAGGCCGGCTCGCTCTTCGCAATTTTGCTGTCAAAACCTTGACCCAATTCCCCAACTCTAAAGGCGGTTCGGATGAGTATAGCAAGTGTCGCAGCTCCCAGTGCTGTAGCCACAGATGTTAGACAAAATTGATAGCCGAGTCGGGTCAGGAAGTATCTCGCGTACCGTAGCAGAAGGATTTAAATCGTGTGGAGAATTGTAGTTTAGCAAAGTCGCCTCGCCACTTGCCGCGAGCTCGAAAGACCCTTAGAGCAAAGTCGCCGCAGAGAACGGCGTAAATAACAATGCCCACGAGATGGATGGATAGTCCGGCTTGAAGGAGAGAGAGGCCAGTATCCCACATAGAAGGGTCATCCCCTCCGACGAGGGCACCGCCGCCTGATTGCAGCAACAACGCAAAGAAGTCGAGCAGTATGAAGACGGCCGTATATACCAAGGGTCTAAAGAGGGCGAGGTGATGCCCGTAAACAGCGATGATACGAGCGAGGCAGAGGTAGACTGCGGCGCTGAAGAAAGCGGGACCGATGGTCAGGGTGACAAGGTACCTATAGCTAGCAGTAAGGATTGGTCCAGTCACCCATTATATGTGCCTGACTCACATCAAGAACAGATCCACGTCTTTACTTAGCGCTACTCGGGCGGTATAACCGAGAATCTCGAGTATCAGACCGCAGACCATACCAACAAGAAACCCCCAAGTCCGATATCGAATGCCGAAAAAGACCTGGAACGGTAGAAGAAGCGTGAATGCCGCCAAAAAGAAGGCATTTGCCCCCAAATTAGATACATGTCGCATCTTGAGAAGTTGAAAATCTCCCGTGGCAGGTGTATCTTGAGGAGACCCGAGAGAAGGGATAAATTTAGTCCATCAGAAAGAGGCCAGGTGATGGGTTGAAATAGACGTGTGTAGACGGAAATCCAGGCGAAAAAACACAGCCTCGATGGCCCCATGCCCCTGTGAAGGGATGTGAATCCGAGGAATCCGAGGAGTTCCCACGTCATGCAGAAAGTGGAAGAATGACGATACGAAAGACTGACTACGATGATGGGGAACCAAAGGGCCAAGGCGCTAAAACGTGCGCCTGGTTTTAGGACAAATAGTGCTAACCGGAACCAGGAACTCTTTCGAGGGCTCCAGTGGAGCTCAAGTCATGGCATTGAGAGACCTCGAAAGGATTACTAGATTGGGGAGGGCACGCCACAGGGTTCAGACAACTGGGGCTTCGCCATGGGTCTTAGGCAAAGGGAAAGTGAGTCTTTCTTTTCTTTTCTATGCCCCAATTTGCCATTTCTTCGCAGAGGAGACATATCTTTTGACAATTTACCCCTTGGCTGCTAGCCACCATGACCGGCGACTTTGATACGAGGCGCGGGATTGCCGCCGCCCAAATCCCCATCTTCAGCGTCTTCCTTGGCTTCGGCGTCTTCTTCAGACTCCAACGCAAGAATGGCTGGTTCAGCATCTCCCTTTTCTCTACGATCCGGCTCGTAGGTGCAAGCTGCATGCTGGCAACATTAACCACCGACGCTCGCGGAGTCTGGGCCGCCGTGTTCGTGTGCGAGTCCCTCGGCCTCGTCCTCTTGACTTTTGTCCTGCTAAACCTGCTGAAGAGCGCGTGAGTTTCTCCTACCATCCTTCACCCGCGAACCTCTATCCACGCGCTGACCCGATGCCCTTGGAAATAGCAACGAATGCCTAAATGTCTGGACCAGTTGGCATTTCCGAATACCCGAACTTATTTGCTGGGCGGGAATCGGTGTCTCTGTCGCCGACTTTGTTGGTGCCAGCAATCGAGAGAACGCAATGGCGCCGAGCGTCCTGACGCGTGTCAGTGTCGGTCTCTTTGTCGCGCTCTTTGCATGGACAGTCCTATTATTCGTCTACATATTCCAGTCACGGCATCAACTGCCAGCCACTCAGAAGCATGGTGTCGTCGGCGTTGGCATCGCGATCCCTTTCATGACGATCCGCACGCTACAAACGTTGATATATACCGCCACCGCCGCGGCGCGCTTCAGTGCTGTAACTGGAAGCGCCATGATATACCTTTTTATGACGATGCTGCCAGAGGTAGGTGTGTTGTCCTCTATCGTCTGGGCCATCATGGGCTCGCTACCAACGTCTAAGAAGGTGCGAGTGCCGAGTGAGGATGGTGGCGAGTTCAGCGACCTCACAGCTGAAGGGAGGAGAACGTAAATAACATTTCTTTTGATGTATTTGTTGGATAATCACTCCGTCTTTAATGGCCCCAAGGCGCCTTGATTAATTTAGATATGTATTGTTTGACTAGAATCCTGATATTGCCTAGAATTCTTGTAGCATTGATATAATTCCATTTTCAGCCGCCGTTTGCAAGCGCCTATTTTAGTTACACGCAAAGTAGACACGGAATTTCGGCTTCTCCCTAAATTGGGAATTACTTTAATTCTGATATCTCAAACTCCTTTCTATATTTTACTAAATTTATAGTCGTTTGTAAGATTCTTTTTATGAATTGGTTTCTACCTAACTGTGAAACTATGAAGAGGAGCATAGATACCCACACTGGGGCAAAATGACACTGGTGAGTTTGCAATTCCGGACCTCCTCTAGAACCCCCCTAGCGCCCTTTTCATCTGGGTCCTAAGCTCCTTGAACATCTGAACGAACGCATCTTCAACGCCAACCACATAGCATTTCCTCCAATTGCTCATGGCGCTTCAAGGCATGTTCAAAGTCAGGATAGGCGGTACTGTCTCCACGGGCGAACGCCTCGTACAGCCCAGCAACACCTCTGGTCGCGGCCGGGAGTTCCGCCTGCCATGGCTCCCAGCTCCAGCCAACCTCTTCAACGTGATCTGTAGCAAAGTCGTGCAGTAGGATCTTAATGGGTCTCGAGGCCAAGGTTCGTGGGGTCGTCCCGCCTTCTGCTGTTAACTTGATCTCGCCCTTTTCTCCATTGATGGTCCAGACCAAACGGGGTTCGCCAGGGAATGGCTGACCCTGGCGGTACCTGACGAGGAGAGAAGCCCTGTCTTGGACGTGTACGTTATCTCCCAACTGGGCAGTGACGAAAACAAGGTCTGGCACGTCCGACTTAACAGTCTCCACGACCGTGCCAGTCTTTGAAGAGGTGAGCCCGACTTCAGGGCGCTGCAGCTGAAGTCGGCTACCAATGTCTTGAGCATCCCCGAGCACAAATTGGAGGAAATCCCACACTGAGAAGAATCAGTACAGCGAGCATGGACACCCAACGAACCTAAGAGAAGCAGCTTACAGTGACTGAAACCAACCATGACCATGTTACCTCCCGTCTCCAGCTGGGTAAAGTATTTCAGGGACTGGGGGATCACGTCGCGAGCACCGGCACCTCCACTCGCTTTCACCTCCGAGCTGAGAACCTTGCCAATGCGACCCTGCTCCAGAATTTCTTGTACCGCATCGATTGGAGCGGTGACGCGCCCTTGCAGGCCGATGAGAGACCTGATTCCCTGTTCCCTAGCCAGGCCAGCTAGCTCGCGCACCTGCGAGATGTTAGATGCAAGCGGCCATTCTACAAAGACTGCCTTGCCGGCAACGATGCTGGGCTCGATGGTCTCGTAATGTTTGTCGACGCGGGTGCTACACACTACGAAGTCGACGTCAGCATCTCGAGCGAGGTCGTTAGGGCTGCCGTATGCCCGAGTTTCTGGGGGGAGTTGGAACATATCAATGGCCAGGCGTGCGGACTCTACGCTTGAGTTGCAGAGGGCGACAATCCTGTAATGAGCCTTGCCGCGAGGAGAGAGGAGGTAGGGCAGGTGAGCAACGCTAGCCCAGCTACCGACGTTTGTGGCAGACAGGCCAATGATTCCGAGCCGGATTGGAGCCATGCTTTGTTGTCGCAGAGACGGAGGAGGCGAAAGTTAGAATTAAGATTATTCCAACATCTCTCTTGCGGAAGGGCAGTTGATCGATTCTCTGTAGTAAGGTTCCTTATGTACCTAGTCTCTTTGCCCCCATTCTCGATCGGTCTTGAGCAGCGTCATCGGAGGTCACTGGCACTCGTATCCTCTGTAGAAACAACAATCCGATGATGGAGCAATCAGAGACAGAAGCGGCGTTAGGCCAAACCTCGGTGGCATACTTCAACTCTAGGGTGAGAGAATGCACAAGATTAAGCCCGCTCTCCCCACCCCTTCTCTAGCGCGTCAGTAGGTTGCATTAGCTTCGTGACGGAATAATCGTGGATACCTCATTGGGCAGAGCGAAGCTTAACAGAGAGGCTGGTAATAGAGTACCTCGGTACAATCTATTTTAAACAGTAAATTTATTAAAAGAATTTAAGAGATATTATTATTTAGTTTTTTATTTGAAGTTAAAAATACTTACCAACTTTAATTAGTTTTTTTTTTACCTTCGCTCAGCAAGGAGGGAGGAGATAGCAGCGGCGAATCTGAGGAATCCCGTCCCTTATTTAGCTCAAGGCCCACAAAACCAGGGTAGGGGCTTCTTGTTACCTTCATAATTATGGAAAATCCCAGGACAATAACTGGCCGTGTCGTAATGAGATAATTCCACAGGTATAACCCGCACCTCGAATAGGTTTCCTGAATGGGAAAGACATTAACAGACCCCGGTCATGGGTGGTGACCCATTTGCCGCTTTGGGATATCCATTCGAACATGGGGCGAAGGCACGTAAAATCTCGTTCGCCTCTTGACGCGAGACACTGGGTCAGAAGGTCAGATAGTTCTAGTAAGTGTACTGCTAGAATTGGTAGTTTGTAAGCAGTGGACGTATGGACGAACAACCGCTACCAATGCAGCAGATCCCACTGTGGTGTCATGCTGATCCAGTAAAACCTTTTAGACGGACCCTGGAACGCTACTCATCAGAGCCCGTCCGTTCATCTCTTACCGCTCTCCAATAATTTGTGGACTCTAGAAGCTTATGACAGTCCTTGACCACCCACGGCCATTTGGATGCAAATGCTTCGGTAACCTCCCACCCTCGAGAGTCCCATGGATCTCCCCATGCAATTATGCCCCCACAGCCACCAGCAACTGCCTGAAACCCCCTCAGATCGCGACATAGCTCCTTCTTGCAATAAGAGTTCTCGTCATGGCGCAGTAGATTGTCCCGAATTTCTGGAAACGGCAGGATGTCAATCCAAGGGTGATGGCTTATGGTGAGCTGAAGATGGGTAGGTCTCAGGCTCAGCGGTAGAGAGTTATGCGCTGCGATGTCGACATCCTCGGAGGGAAGCTGGGACCGTGATCCAGGAACCATGATACCCTGCGTGATCCCCATGAGTCTTGCATTAATCACTAGAGCCCGCGTCGTGTTAAATTGGACCAGGCTGAGCAGCATATCTACGCGCGGTGAACCATGCAAGAACGTCTGATGAGCATCGGTGGTGAACTGAAGGATGAACCATTCAGTGCGCTCAGAGTCGGGCTCACAGGCTGTAAATAAACTGAGATCCAAGGGCCCGACGGCATTTCCAGCAGAGAGATAGGTGGTGAGTTGATACTCGTTGAAAGAGCCGCAGGGGGGCCGCCGTGTTTCTACCGAGACGGGTGGAATGTGACAGTCTCCCTCTACTGAACGGGATGCAAGGCTGGTCTTTGCTTTCTTGCGCTGCCCTTTTCCTCGGGCGCAATGTCGCAGTTAGTGCAGGGCCATTTATCAACGGGGCTGAAGGGTAAACAAACGGCTGATCCTCTGGTGGATCCGATCTTGAATTTTCTTCCTTTCTTTTGGGTTGCTGATACCGGTCCAATCATCTCCTGGACCTGCAAGTGCCTGCTGCGGCATATATTGGAGCGGGATTAGGTTGGGGGGGACTGTTGTCTGACCGATTGGCGCAGAGGGATTGTTCGCTTGACGTGGTGGTGTTGACATCTTATCCCCTTGTTTTGTGACTATGGATTTCCCTTTGTCTTTTGATGTGATATCTCAAGCAATGGGCGAAGATGATACGAATGGTAATGTTGATTGATAACCTGACGTCGTGATGAGGAGTTGTCTTAATTACCTAGCTTGAAGTCACGACTCATGTCATGACCAGGCGGTCACAACCGGCAGTAATATAGCCCATTTTTCTTTCACCAATCGGACTGAATCATCCCGGCTCACCCAGTGGACTTGGTATAATTCTGGTACAGGGTGAGAGCCTGGATGGTTGGACTCGGGCTGGCGGTCTCCAGGCGCTAGCTCTCCTCTCGGCCAATTTGCCCTGGGAGCCGGAATATCTTCTTTACTAATTCAGAAAAGTCGAATCCTTATTTTGGTCTTGTACTATGGATGCCGTATTTAAACCTTGCTGGTTCCTGCCATCAGCTCCAAATTCCACTCTTTGTCTTTTGCATGTACAGTTTCCCAGAGAAGAAACCAATCTCTTCAACACCCAACACCATGGTTCAAAACGAAGCTGCTTGGATTACTTCGCCTTCGGAGTATCCCTTCACCGTCAAGGAAGGTCCCAACCCTACTGCGGGTGCGGGAGAAATTGTCATCAAGAATGCCGCCGTGTCCATCGTCAGTTCCCCAATCTTAATGCCGTCCCGAAGCTTGTTTCATGTCTGACTGTCCTGCTAGAACCCCGTCGACTGGAAGATACAGTATGTCCTCGACCCTCGCTCGACCCTACGCCGCTGCCTTGATAAATCTAATACCTTACAGGACTCACGGGAGTTATCTATCACGATACCCCTTCATCCTGGGCGAGGATGCCGCTGGCTTCGTGGAGGAGGTCGGCGCCGGTGTCACCCGGTTCAAGAAGGGCGACAGAGTCGTTGCGTTAGTCCACCTCGCATGATATAACCTCTTCTCCGGAATCAATTGCTCACTTCTGTCGAAACAGGCACTGCCATGGCCTGATGACGAGAAACCCTGCCAACTCGGCTTTCCAAACCCACCCGGTAGCCACCAGTCTCTTGGCGTCCCCCATCCCTGAGTCGATGAGCTTCGAGCAGGCTGTTGTTCTCCCCCTTGCCATCTCGACGGCCAGCGCCGGCCTGTACCCCAGGGACCGTCTCAACCTCCCGCTGCCCTCGGCCACGAAGCCTGAGAAGAATGGTAAGACCGTCTTGATCTGGGGCGGCGCATCCTCCGTCGGCGCCACCGCCATCCAGCTCGCGGCGGCCTCGGGTGCGACTGTCATCACTACGGCTTCCCCGGCCAACCACAAGTTTGTGGAGTCGCTTGGTGCCGACATGGTCTTCGACTACAGGTCTTCCACCGTGGTGGAGGACATTTCTAGCGTTCTCAGCAAGACCGACTTCGTCGGCGTGTACGATGCTATTGGCGAGGACCCTAGCTTCGATGCCGTGTCTGCTATTCTTGACCGACTCAACAAGAAGGTCCCTGTTGCCAGCGTCCTCCCCTGCAACAACAGCACTGAGCTATTCGCTCCTGTGTACGGTGAGCATTAGCCGGGCCACTACATTTGCGTATGCAAGAGTCGCTAATATTATTGCACAGTTGTTGCCTTTGCCATTATTCAGGAGCCCAACCAGCACATTGGTGAATGGATCTGGGAGAAATTCCTCCCCGAGGCCTTGGCCAATGACTCGTTCCAGGCTAAGCCTGATCCCGCCGTGACTGGCCACGGTCTGAAGGATATTCAGAACGCTCTTGATGTGCAGCGTAAGGGCGTCTCGGCGAAGAAGATTGTTGTCATTCTTTGAAGTAGCGTAGTGTAATAAGAATTGCTCCACCTCGTACAAGACTCCACTCCAAGCTCAGGTTTCCACAAATGCTACTCTCGTTGGTGAATTTAACGGCTCGTTTACCTTGCAAAATTGAACCATGGCATGTTGCATGATGCGCTGTTCCGTAGATGCCGATCTGGGTCAACGCTATTATGGCGTTGTGGCTCGACCTAATGCATGCTACTGACTTTGCTTTCCGCTACTGTAGTGTCCCATCCAGGGCTGAAAATAGACGCTAATGCAAGTCCCTGACAGTCCCCACAGGATATGCCGTTTAGGGGCAGCCTTGAGTTGGGCCGAGATCTCATGCTTATGTTAGATCCACCACAACGAGAGCGGATTATACGGCTGGGACCAGTCAAGAATCTCCTCGAGAGACCCATTCGTATTCCTTCAAGTCGGAATATATTAGGTCTCGACACAGCGATTTTGTATGCCGACGATCCAAATTCTCCCATCTTGCACCGCTTCGTATCAACCACCTCGGCGTGTCAACGACTCGATTCGTCAACATGAGCTCTATCGGAACTATCTGGACCTACCCGTTCAACCCCCGCGCCATGAAGGTATGATAACATTTGTCCTATACATTTAACCAGTACCCTCTCATCATCATCATCATCTCCCGCTGACTCCCGACGCAGGTTCAGGCCGTGGCGGCAGTGAACGGCTTGACGGTCCAAATTGCCCCCGACTTCGCCATGGGCAAGACGAACAAGACTCCCCAGTTCCTTGCCGACTTCCCAATGGGCAGGGTTCCGACTTTCAAGTCCGCCACTGGCCTCGCCCTCTTCGAGTCTGACGCCATCACCCAGTACATCGCCGAGAGTGGCCCCGCAAGTGCCCAGCTGCTGGGTACCACTGTCGAGGAACGTGCCACCATTCGGCAGTGGATTGGCTTCGCCGACCACGAGCTGTTTGAACCCCTGACGACCCTCATTCTCTGGCGGTATGGAATGGCCCCCTTCAACGAAGAGGCCGAGAAAGCCGCGTTGCTGCGTCTGGACGTATCCCTTACCGTGCTGGAGAAGCAGCTGCAGGGGCGTCGGCACATCGCTTCAGAGCAGCTGAGCCTGGCAGACATCTCCGTTGCCGCAAGTTTGTATTGGGGCTTTGCCCAAGTCCTGGACGTGGAGCTCAGGGCCAAGTTTAGCCAGACTGTGGAGTGGTACCTGCGAGTGATTCAGGATGAGCGAGTCAAGTCTGCCTTTGGCGAGAAGAACTTCATTGAGGCCAGGAAGACTAGCCCCTCACAGTAACTGCGAAGCGAAACGGCCGAGCCGCTGACTTCATCGGTACGAGATAGGATTGAAACGGATAATTATAATGTCGTCCCGGATCGAAGACTGCTGACATATGCCTGCTGCACTAAGTTGATCTCCTTTGGTGATGTAAATTGCTCCAATGCAATTTGACATGTTTCATAATGTGCGCCCCTTTAAAATTCTTCCAAAAAGACGGCGTTTTGTAGGATGTCCTGGCTCCATGTGGGAAGGTCAGGCAAAGGCCCGCAACTCATGGCATGGCATCTTAAAACCCCACGGTAGCTGATATATCCAATCTACAGCGAGTCATTTATTAGTGGCCCGGAGGTTCCGAGGATCGCTCGCTGTATATAGTCGCCTCAGGAAGCTCTGGATTCCCATCCTCGATTTTGACACCACTCTGCTGTCTTCTTCAACTCGCTGTCTTTTGCTACATCCACTGCACATCCGCTGTTGGTTTCTTTTCTCCATCCAACATGTCGACCGTTGTCGGTATCGCTGGTCTCACCGGCAAGTTTGCCCAGTGCGTGGCGAAAGAACTGCAAGCATATCCTAATGTCACCATCAAGGGCTTCTGCCGAAGCCCACAGAAGCTGCCACAGGCGGTTCCGGAAAAATACAACATCAGGGTCATTCAGGGGGGGTTTGACGACGAAGCGGCCGTCCAAGAGTTTGTCCGAGGAACCGACGTCGTCATCTGCTGCTACTTTGGCGACACCGATGTCATGAATCGGGGCCAGAAGATCTTGATCGACGCCTGCGCCAAGGAGGGCGTCCCGCGATACCTCCCCAGTGACTATGCCGTCGACTACACCAAGATTCCGGAGGGCGAGCTGTTCCCCAAGGAGTCGGCCAAGATTGTCATGAACTATCTTGTGGGGAAGAAGGTCGCTGGAGTGCACGTTTTGGTCGGTGGTCTGATTGAGACCTTCTGGAGTGAATACTTCCGCATCTTTGATGCTAACACCCAGACGATTACGTACTGGGGCACGGGTGATGAGAAGTGGGATCTGACGACATATGAGACTGTTGCCGCCTACACCGCCGCTCTGGCAGTCGATAAGAACGCCTCTGGCGTCTTCCGCTGTAAGTTGACAGATCTAGCACCGCCTGCTGGGATAGAGTCAGCTAACAGGACCAGTCCGAGGGGACTGCAAGAGCGTCTCCGAAATCAAGGAAATTTATGAGAACATCTACCAATCCAGTCTCCACCTCAAGCGCCTCGGGTCTCTTGATGAGCTTTACAGCACTGTCAAGGACGAGTTCAAGAAGGACCCCAACAACGTCATGGCCTGGGCTCCCGGGTAGAACTGTCCTACTCCTTATAGATTCGTCCGAGCATGCACTAACGGTCAACTTTAGATGCTTTACCTACTGGTGCACGAACGGTGTTGCACATCTTGGTGATAACCTCGACAACACGAAGTACCCTGACATCGTCCCAGTCGACATGGAGGGGTTCTTAAGAGCCCGCAAGAAGGAGGATGTCGCCATTGCCGATCAGCAGCTTGGTTTCTAGTTCATTAACCCTGCGGGGTGGTACGCAGTCCCAGCATTGAAGGAACCACAGAGAGAGGCGACTTACCGAAAGACAAAGAGCTACGTGTAGTCAGCAATATTCGTAATAAATCTTAGATTTACTGGATAGGCATTCTCATGATTGTAGCATATTTCATCGGTCAGTCTTAGCTAGCTAGCTTGGAAATACTCCTTAGTTGTCAAGCACATGACGGTATCTCGCCTTTCCGTTACCCAACCATGCCATTACCTAGTAACGAGTTTCTTCTCTACCTCTGCCGTAGTCTAGCAACCGCTGCGTTGGCATTTGGCGCTACTGCAACCCACTGACGCGCCAAGGAAGGGCCGCAGAAAGTGGTAGGTGAAGCATGCGCCGTTGAATTTTAGCCTGAAGCCGCTTGCCTTGGATATTGCTCTCATCAGCCAGTCGTTGCAGTACACTGCGACATAATTAACTTCCTGGAGTTACTAGGACTCTCTGGGTGCATACAAGCAAGGGCTGGTAAGTAAGTGGATAGAGCCATGGATCTAAACTATCACGAATGCAGGCATCTAACCGGCGTATACCCACACACCGCTTTTCTTGAAGATTCAATTCTGTCGTCATCAAGCGGAGTACTCACTTGCGGCCGAAGAATCTTCCCCCTTATGACGGTTTCATCACGCGTCGCGACTCAACCCAGCGCTACCTGTCAAGTGGCCAACACCATCATTGCGTATCGAAGATGAGCAGACGGAAAGAATCACGGGATCCACTACGAGCGAGGACTTCACGCATCAAAAAGCACACCGGCCAGCAGAAACAGAAGCGCAACTATCCAGCATGGTACATTCGGCTTCTACGTTTGACTATTACAGGGGATAGAGATGTGGAAGAGTACGACTTCGACGAGGACATTTCTGAGTTGGAAGAGGACCCAGATGATGGCCCCGCAGAGGAACGCTTCTGTGACTGTGATGGCGAGGAGGACCCCGAGTGTGTCTGCCAGATTGAAGACCGAGAATCCGAGAGATCACACGATGATTCCGGGGCCGAGTATTATTACGAGCTGAAAGACCAGCGCGAGGAGAGGAAGAAGGATTTATTCAGGCTAAAGAAACAGGAAGAAAAAGGAAAAGGCAGAGTTGCGAGAATACGACAGAACGAAGCAAGATGAGGTTCGTGCTGCTTACCAGTCACTGAAGGATAAGCGGCTGGTTCCCCAACAAAATCCTGTTGAATCTCTCGCTACAGGCTGGTTCGACTTGTTCAGCACCGATCTCATCGATTTTTGCTACATCACGGCAGCCAGCACCAAGCGCCGGTTTGACATTGGATATCCCATACAGGAGGACGGGAAAATTGCCTCTGAGAGGCCGAAAGATTGGGATGGAATCATATACTGCAGCATCTATATCCAAGACGACGAGTTATGCGAATTTGAATTCCCAGCCCCGAAATACGCGAGCTTGGAACCTATCACGCTGCGCTCTCACTATGGAGGACATAAAGTGTCCGTCATCTTCATAGGCAACGGCTACATGAAAATTACGCTCTCGCGGAAATCCGTGTTCATGGCCAGTCATCGTCCAGTCTCGCCTGGTGCTCAGGAATTTTTTGAGTTCTTCGGCATCATACGGGATGAGGAAAAGGCTCGCGCGGAAGGGCTGGCAGCAGAAGAGAAGCGTGCGAGGGAACAGCCTCCGTCACCGCGTGAGACTTTCTTCGAGATGTACCATCCCATGGGGTCGTGGAATCAGTCAAGGTGGCTGTGACAGGGATGCCAGGAGAAGCCATAATTTGATTGGGGAGTTGGTATTTGGGGTAGCAACGGAACGCTCGGAGATGGTGCAAAACGATGTTGGAGGCGGATTGTTAGTCTTTTCTGATTTGATCTCCGAGAACACTGTCGTGTAATTGCTTTCTTTGTCAAAGTCACAAGCCGGGATATTATCTTGTTCGATTTCACTGCGAAATATTTATAATAGCTCTACCCCTTCAGTTCCCTGTGTCCATGACCAAGACCCCTTTCCAGGTTGACCTGTTCCCTGGCAACGCAAGATGCAATAAAGTTGGTTGGTAGCGGCTGCAATCTTTTATCTTTAGGGCTAAGAATCTCCTCAGACTTTGCCAGATAGCTGTCTCGGAAGGCGCACCAAAGCTTCTCATCGGCCCTATTCTCCATCAAAGGGAGCGGGTAGTAGGGGTCGTTCTCGAAGAAGGCAATGACGAGTTGATTAATCAAAGCTTCTGGCTCTTCCCAGCCAATGGCTTCCTCCCAACGGGAACAAAGGTTGAAATCCAGGAGCCAGATGCGAATGATTTTGTTCTTCAAGTCGAATGCGGTGTCCAGGGCGGAATCTGTCGATTTGTTTTGAAGAGACCCGTCGGCCCTGGGCGGAGCATTGGCCGCCTCGCTTCCAAGAACAAACTCGACATCGTACCCATCGACGTTGGCGTCCCAGTGCATGATTGCAAGTGCATCTCCTATAGCCCTGGCGTAATTCTCCACAGGTAGCTTTAGGCCTAACATCTGATCGAGATGGAGATTGAAGTTGCGCAACGAAAAGTTTCGCTGGGGGGGAGTATTGGGCCGAAGACGCTTTCCGAGATAGATTCGAGCCAGACAATCTCGGTTTAGGTGGTTGATGAGTGCATCGGCCTGCATAGACCTTTCGCAGAACCGTGAAATCAAGGCGGTTCGTACAATCTTGGGCAACGGTAAGATTCGCTCTGACATTAACGCAGAAGATGGAAATGGAAAGTCGCCGTGCCGCTCAGTGAATAACGGGCCCCGCTGCTCCCACCAATGCGAATCGTGAGACGGAATGTGTTTGATGACTTTGGGAACTCGACATTCGACGATTGTGATTTGACGGGAAAACGCAGCGTAAACTGCTTGATGAACTTGATAGTCGACCATGAGTGCATCTTTAAACCCTTGCTTTGCGACTTTGACAACGTATTCACGACCTGGTCGTTCAAAAATCAGACCACATTGTCCAAAGCCGATCTTCCGAAATCCGGAAATGGAATTGGCGGAAGGTATGATTTGCTGATAATGAATCACAGAAGACCCGAAAATTAGTCTTCTCAGCTTCTTGTCGCGCTGGTTGTCGAGCTGCTCCGAGAGGGCATTTGTTGCTGCTGCAATATGGGCCCCGAGGCCGACGGAGAGATGTGAGGCAGTCGATTCCTCATCGCAATTACGCCCAGAAGACATTGTGAAGGCGGTGCGCCGGAATGATGTGACGAGACGATCCGGGGGAAATAATTACTAAACCATCACTTTTAGGAAAATAAGAAAAATCTTTAGTCTGGTACCTAAATACTAAATAACAAGTGCCTTGAGAGCTCGAGGGTCACAAAGGTTGTTGCCTGGGTCATAGTCATGCGGCTGTCTTACTTTTAAGTGCTACGCAACCAGAATCATCCAGGTCAGGCCCTCACTCCTACTAGGGCGCCGAATATTCTAATTGTCGTGTAGATTTCCTTGAGAGACATCTGTCGAGAGTGGGTATATTGGACGATACAGGTCTTTGGTATTCATCAGCGCCCGACTGCCTTTGCGACACCTCACGACGTGGCGAAGTAATTGTGCGACGACAGTTTCTTCCCAGTGTCGCATGGGTGCACCCAGAGACGTCGGAAGCTTCTGCGTCTTACGTGATCGAGATTACGGCAGTAAACTCGTCTATGTTGAGCCCATTCCGTGGTGCAAGGGTCACCCGACGAAGCATCGTTTCATCTCAAATGGAGTCTGAGCGAGTGAGCCATTAAACGCAATGTGGGCGCTACAGCACCTAATCACGCGTCATCTTCACACTCATGCTCGTATAGTCTTGATGATACTAACTCATCTGCAGGGTACACAGCATCGACATAGCATATCTCAATGGCTTCGGGGCGCCTTACAGCAACCACATATTTTCCCTTGTTGATCCCCGCACCAAGTAAATCATGCACAGTCAGCTGAAGGAATGACCCCGCTTCTCAGGATCACAGCCAATCTCTCCGCTTAGCAAGCAGTTTTCCTTCATCAACGAAGCTCAAATCTCTCAAAATGGAGAATGTGTCATCAGAGAGCCTGATCGCAGCAAGGGACCGACCGCCGTTGACCATTGAAAAGCTTCCTGGTGACGTGCTCTTCGACATTGCCACCAACATTGGCCATCTGTCGACATTTCAATCCCTAATCAGCGCCTCTCCAACCATCAGACGGGCGTTCAAAGAGCACGAACACTTGGTGGCCGCGCGCCTCATACAGCGTTATATCCACCCAAGCGTTTTACCCGAGGCTGTTGTCTGCCACGAGGTCAATGTTCTCGGCAAAGACTATGGCTCGGAGGAGTACAAATCGCAATGGCTTACTCTTCTCGGGCATCTAGCCACAGATCGAAATGCTTCTCATTTCAAGTTTGATTTGAGAGCCGTTTACCAGCTCGTCAACTTCCACAAGGTGATTGAGTTGTTGACCCAGAGGCTCTGGGACTGTGCGATAGACCCATGGCGGCCAGATTCTTGGCCGGCCAAGGCCATGACTCGATCCGAGCAGCTTCGGACATCCAGGGCAATGTATCGCTTGCAAATCTTCTTCCTTGGGCCGCTTGATGCAGATATTGCAAAGAACTTCTCGAAACTGTTCTGTGCCTGGGAAGTAGATCAAATGATCGCCGTTCAGTACTGGCTCACACGAACGGTAGCCAAAGGTGAGTTTGTCTATTGTCATTCCATCACCATACTTTACCTAATTTCGGTACAACCATAGCATTCAAGTACTGTGCATCCATGGATATTGAGTTCGCCCTTGAGAACACAGCTTACTGGCTACCGAATCGCGAACGTGAGCACTTGATGCTTACCAAGGTTTTGCAAAAGAGTGGCGCTACTATGCGAGATCTGTTCTTCCTAGATTTGCAGCGCAAATTCGACGCCATCAAAGGCCCCATTCCCCAGCAGCATGAGAACTGGACTCTAGACGATTTTACTCTCAGATCAACAGCAATACGTCTTTTGTCAAAGCCACTTTATGATTTGCGAGAAGAACTCTCTTCAGTGATACAGGGTGGGGACGAAGGACTCTTGAGAATGATAGAACGGCAGCCCGTACATGACGACCTTGATTCAAGCAAGGTATGGCGCGCGGCATATCATCACGGCCTTGACTTCCGCAAGTGGAGTCATCAGGTGAAAGCACTCTGCATCCTCTGTGACAAGGACAGACTCGATCAACTTGGTTTCCCCGACGGCGAGATTCCCTCCATTGACTCAGCATTCATCGACATGGAAGACTGGCGAGAGGAGTCAGACCATGAGTCTTCCATGACAGCGAAGCGGACGCTGTACGATTCTGGACACCGGGGCTTCTTCGACTTTAACAAGTTTCGGGGAAACTGGAGCGCCCCAATCTTGGATGACGTGGGTCGTCTTTTGCGCTTTCACTTCGACTCCTCCTGTCCGCTTTGTAAGCCTGGTATTGAGGACAATGATATCAGCTTCCTATGGCTCTTATAATACACGGCTCAACCCGTTCCGATGCTTGGTCAACAATGGCTACATGCGCTGCAAGGTTGATACAGGGCTTTGACTGCTGAATATGAATTATCATTGTTCCAACATGTCTCTATTTTTAATTATTACCCTCTGGCAGAGCCGTGAAGAAGGGGGCTGCCATCACCAACAAAAGTACTCTCTCGCGATACCCCATAAACGACAAGTTCGTCATCGAACCTCTGTAACAAACTCAACCATGGCATCCAGGCGACGAGGTACCTGATAAATATCGACCGCTTTTCCTGTTGCTTGTCTAAACCGCTACTAGTGCGCGATGGACTTTGGGCAGTGCCCGACATCGCGCCTATTATTAACGCCTTTTCAGACTGTTCTATTGCCTCGGGGAAGAATTTCTCCCTCGCGAGCGTGTAGAGAGTCCCGGTGAAGCCAAATAGGCCGACGAGGAAAGGTAATAGCTGGCCTGGGTTTGATAGGGCATTCCCATCACGTCCACCGAGGACGCCCGCGATGTTGTTGAAGTTGAGTGTAAATTCAACCATGACAATCGAGTAAATAAGCCAGACGAGGTTGGCTACGCGAAGGACCCTGTGCATTATGACGAGTCTTCTCACACTTGATTAGCACCGTCTTGAAAGAAGCTCAAAGACATGTAGGGCATACTCATTAGTCTTTAGGCCTGTCACGTAACGAGGACGAGACCATGCGTCAGCTCGCGCTGTATTGGCCCAATTCTTCGCAAAGGAGCCCCGGAGGTTCTCCAGACAGAACCATCCAGCAAGACCAGACACCAGCATCATGGCGCCGAACCAGGCTGTGCAGCACGCGCTGACAACTAAGTAGTAGTAGCGGATGCCCCCCGTGATGGGCAACTTTGCAAAGAAGAAGGTGAAAGTCTCGGAACATTCCGAGGGATTAGGAGGCTTCAAGCCTTGCAAGTCCGTCATGGAGTCAAGCTTGCCTGTCACGCCCCAGCCCCAGAACCAGATTCCGTAAGTGCTAACAGCGAGACAGATGAGCAAGCGGATATGAGTGCCGTAGCCGCCGAATAAACGGACGGCGGCGGGCCCATTGTCCTTGTATAGACGGGTCCGGTAGCCCCAGAGGGAGAGGGTGCCAAACACAGTGCCGCCACAGAGGTGCATGAGAACCAGACCGTCGGCCTGGCTCAATGTGGCGTTGACGGAGTCGTTGAGCATGGCGATGAGGAGGGTGAGGAGGAAAATGGTGTTGGTGTCGGCGGCCGAGGGAATGGCCGAGGCCAGCAACGTGTTGGCGAGGTATGCTTGGAGCCAGGCGAAGTAGATGCCGAGACGGACGCCGAGACCATAGTAGTCAGAAGCAACAGCGGTTTGGCATTCGATGCCACCCGCACGGGGGAAGATCATGACGGCGATCTAGAAGACAAGAGACGGCTTGAAATGGAAGAAAGAAAGAGAGAGACGGCAAATCATCAACGCAGTGGGCGTATTTGAATTGAAACAGCCAAGGAACCGTGTGAGCTAAATAAATCCGCCCCCAACTTGGCGAGAGTCCATTTCAAAACTCTAGTCCCAAGCTAGAGACGCCACCATCACAATGCCCTTGCAAAATACCTCAGCCTCACCTGGAGAAGACGCTAGATGATGCTAACCGCGCCATCGCTAGAATCCTCAATGATGAAGGGGGATACTAAAAACTAGGCTGGGGCTTGGAAATGCTGCGATATACAACAGACGCTAACGGCCTAATTAACTGCGAGTCCATGATGGATTTTTTGCAAGAAAGAATAACGTGCAGTTTCTGTGTTGAGTACATTTTGCAAATACGCACGGTGGATGCCTAACTTACGCCCGTATACAAAAGGGACTTTGGTGAGCTAAATCTCACGCTCGATGGGCGTTGCCAAGGTCAATGCTCTCAGAAAGGGAAGGCTGGCCGCATCCTCTACCAAAAGGAACATAGCCCAAGTTAGTGGCCTTAAAAGGCAGCCGTACTCCGTAGGAGCAGCTAGTTGTGACCAGGGCCCCTGGGTATTCGGTAGAGTCAACCCAATCACTGGCTTGCTCATGCTTCATAACCCCGTTTGATTTATCTAGATTGGTTGCATCGGGATCCACCAAAGATTAGAACTTTGCCAAAGTTCTGACCAGTACGGCCCGCAGCTTTAGCCAGATGATGGTCAAACGGAGGCTTCAGCCTTCAGCTGTCTAGTCAGGGCTCCCGCGGAATTTTAAATTCGCAGGTCCTGCGTGTCACAGCCCGTATCGTGGCTACAGTCGGTAGCCAGCCCTATTTATTTTCACCAATTAGGTATACAAGGAGCGCCGCGACCCTCTGCGCTCCAACGCTTGAGACTCATAACAACACCACAAGAAGCGCCAGGGTTCTCCAGTAAACCACCTCACAAGACACAGTGTATATATATTCACTTAGCACTTGAACTACAATCCTTGAACTCCTTAGCTATTAATACAACTTGGTTACTTAGCTTACTGTACTAGCTAAACATTACTAGACGCGGCACTCTCACCCTACTATTTTACCCCGTTTGCAGTAACCACACTACGATCTATGTACTTGGGTACTGACGTCCAGATCCCCACTAGTACCCGAAACCCACGATTGTTGGAGTAGGGTTTGGTCAAGCCAGCCCTACAGCTAGGGTACTGTATTTGGCAGGGGATACCACCTAATCCTCTGGAATAAAAAAACCGATCCTTAGAGAGACTTCAACAACGATCAATGACTACCCTATACTGACAGTCTAGAATAAGCACGGCCGTCACATCAGATCATAAGAGGGGAAACGGGATCAGATCCACTAAAAGCTCCCCGCATGGCTGCTATATCTCACTGTCGATCGACAAGGCGGCATGTAACGTAACATCCCCGCCCACCTCGTGTTTTCTGGCAGAAGGAATGTGATACGCTCAAACGCCTGATAAAAGTGATGGGAAAAGCTTTAGACACCGGGACAATTCATGGCAATCTGAGGAATAAGTATAATTAAAAGCTCAATATTGCTCTATGACCACACCCAAATTCTTAACTCACCCCACTCAAACAAAGCGGACGTGACCAAAATATTTGCTGATATGGAAACTAGCCTTGTTTGGGGGGCTCCAGGCACCCAACTCCTGGTCTGGATACGTGGATGGGCTGGTGATGGTTCGGAAAAAGTTCATTCTCCAGTCGGTGCCCTTGGCAGTGCCGTCGTCAACGTTGAAGAGGCCCAGTGGAATCTTGACTTTGCTGACCCAACGCTCAGCGGGCTTGTCCAGCGTCGTAGTAGCAGAGAAGCCATCCGCAGCAGGATCCGAGACGAACAAGTGATCGAAAGGCGCGCCATCGGCCCTGTCTTTGGACGGGTTGTAGACAAACGCTTGATACGTCACGTTGTTTGGATTGATCTCGAACTCCAAGTAGGTCTGGGGATCTTTGGTGCCCTTGTATATGAAGGCTTCCATGACTTCGTACGCCCATATGTCGTCATTGGTGCCTTGCTCAGGGTCGAAGTAGAAGTTGGTTTCGTCGTACGCGGTAAAGGTCAAGACGAGGGAGCTCCGCGTGTAGCAAAGGTCCACCTGCGTGAGAGGGAAGTCGGTCTTGTCAGGGACCGACTTAGAGTACTTGATGGTGCCGACCTTGGGGCAAGCTGGAACGTTGACATGGGGGAGTTTGATGGCGTCGGTCAGGTGTGAAAGAGCGAGGACAGCAGCAACGGTGAGAAGACGCATCGTGATAGTCGTGATTTGGTAGCTGTGGAATAAGTCTGAGATGAGTAGTGCGGAGTTGGAAGACGAGAAACACAATACACCTCTGGTCTCAAAGGCGTCGATTCCTTTGCTTAAAGTAGGAAAAAGCCCTGCTGACTGCTTGCATCCTTCGTGTAAGACGGCTGCTCAGCTAGGCCTAGGCGTGATCCACGGTGCAACCTCGTGCAACCCGCATTGTCGATACAACGAAACGTTGGCTGGCGATGCAATGCAATGTAGCATTTCGTATTTCGTGTCGCGTGGTCAGCACTAGGCGCAGTTCATCCACCCTTCACTCCGGCCCTCAGTTTACTCGACGCTGCAATGCTCCCGGGAATACCAGCATGGTCTAGCAATTGCACTCTCGCTCTAATGCCAAGTGAATCCAGTTCAGGCAACTGAAATGTTGAATGAAGCCGTCGTCTGCCCGGCCTAGCGAAATATGTTCTCCCCACAGCATTTGCGGCTCCCACACCAGCCTTGGTTGCCGATTCAACCCCTCATGGAACCATGCTTGACGACGTCATGATCGAGTCCGCAACGTATCGGTGGCGCCAGCCACAGAGAAGATCAAGAGCCTGTTCAAATCTTGATGATCGGAGACAGCAGGACACCTATTGCCGTGTTTGAACGAACCCGCAATCAACGCGCGATCAGCAAAGAGCCATTCCCGCATAGAATAGCTCACCTATTCTCGTTTCAACTGACAAGACTCGCCCTCTTGGGCTAACATTACAACCGTGGTCGAGTGCAATGGCAAGCCATTGCGTTGAAATAATTTAGGAGACCAAAGTCGCCCCGGCCCCTTCAAGGACTATCTCGGGTTGACATGCAGCTGCGCCAAGGTGAAAGATCTCGGAAGGGGAATCACTGACTGCATGACTCAAAGGCGCTTGAAACGAACAACACCCATGTAAAAACGGAACGCATCTATAAGATCGAAAATCAGGTCAGCCGAGAATTGAATCACATGATTCACTCTGTGTTCGGCTGATCGTGAAGGCGACTTTTTGTCTCGGGATATAAGTTGCGAACAAGTGATATGGACGGCGACGGTAAAATTTGAAAGAATACTGCGCTAATGTGTACCGTAACAAAGACCCATAGTGTATGTGACAGGGGAACATAAAAGGCGTTCACTCACCAAAAAATGAACACAATAACATGGAAGTGGTGAGGTCTGAACAATGCCTTTCAAACTTTGTTCGGAACAAAGACATTGTCGAGCTGTTACTAGAGAAAACTAAGATAAAAACGATGGTTACCTCTCCAAGTCTTTCCAGCTTCAACACGATCAGCTTGAGATCTAACCCTCCTTCTATCCTTCTAACCTCCCAAAACTATCCAATCTAGTGTCTTGCCTTTATCAAGAATCTCTTCGATAATGTCGACCATGAATGGCGGTAAAATTCTTGATCCCAGGCTGGCGGATCAGCTAGACGAGCGGGGAAAGGCATCTCAACAGCGTCGGCAGGAAGCTGTTGAGAGACGCAGGAAGGAAGAAGAGATGAAGAAATTGACGCAGGATTCCGGCACAGTATCTCAGCATCGTCGCGGTGTGGGCTTTTTTTGAGCCGTCTCAGGCAGGTTCAGAGTGCACAATATAGCGTTAGCATCTGAGCTGGCGGGAATCTCTATTTATCTTAAGACAATTTTTGCAAATTATGAAAGACAAACTATTTCCCTCAACATGTTACCGGCGAATCTTGCTCCTTGCCTAGTATTCTAAAACTGTAATTTGGGGACCTTTCTCATCTAGCCCAACAAAGACTACAAGCCTACGACGTTGAAGGCGATATCATTTTCTCAAGGGTTTATATTCCCACAAAAATCAATGAGCGCCTTATAACCCTTGCAATTTGCCCAACCTCAGGATGTTCATTTTGTGCATGCTGGTAGATATCGTGTCTCGTATGAACTCGACTTGGTGAATGGTTCTTGGCTTCGATGTAAGAATCAGCACATAAATACGGTGTACCAGTCAGAAACTAACGAGCTTATGCAGATCGCCAAGTCAATCTTCTGTTGCATCTAGCAGATGGATAGGATCATATGTGTGAGAAGCTCTTGCTATTCTTCCTATCTAATTGAGGTCTGCTAGGTCAGTCTTATAGATGAAGATAACCTCGGATGACCTCGGACGGCCGAGAGGCTCCGGATGGTCCGGAGTCTTTGGCTTCAGCTAGCTATAGGAAAAATTAAGGAAAAGCTAGGACTATCATGAGATCGGTGACGAGGCCGATGACGAAGCAGGTGGCGATGGACGCCTATGATGAAAGAAGAAAGCTTCAATAGTATGATACATCCGGAATCCGATATCCCGATATATGTGACATCTTCAGACCGGATATCGGGGTATTTCCGGCGCTTACGTACTCCGGGCAAGGAAACCCAGTAATTGCCAGTGGTGTGGAACAAAACTGGATCGATTTCTCTCACACTCTCTCCTCTTAATCTTACCTTTCTTATTGAGCATACAGCGCACTACATGCCGGAAAAGGCGGGCTTGTCAATATGCCTGATACAACAAGTACCGCTTCTCCACGCATTAAAGTCCTCCTCCTCACCAAATCCCGCGGTTTCCGACACGACTGTATCCCGGCACTCATCTCAGCGCTGCAATCCCTGCCTTTCGCCGTCTACGCCACGGAAGACTCCGAACATCTTCTTAACTGTTCACGCTATGATGTCGTCGTACTGGGACACAACACTGGAGGATATCTCACTTCACTGGAGGTCCAGTCTCTGAGGACGTATGCTGAGAATGGCGGTGGTGTAGTTGGTGTTCACGCTGCGACGTCGGGGATGGCTACCGATGAACAATACAGTGGGATTCTTGGTGAGGTTTTCAATGGGCACCCCGAGCCGCAATGGGGAAGGATCACCATTGAGGCCCAGAATCACTATATCATGGATTCCGGCTATCTACCCGTGAAAGACTCGGCACCAGAACTCCCACCGCCTTGTCCACATGCTCTGAGAGCTGAGTCGCAGGTGTCTTTTCCCTGGTACGATGAGTTGTACACTTTCAAGTCGCACCCCCGAATCAAAGACACGCGAACGATCCTTCTTTCTGTCAACAAATTTTCGTACAGAGAGGATGTGCTGAATGACTATCCGCTCGCATGGTGTCAAAACTTGTGTAGAGGCCGAAGCTTTTATACTGCTCTAGGGCACTTCGATGAAGCATACCGGGATAAGTGGTTTATGGAAACTTTACACCGAGGGATAATTTGGGCAGCACAACAAGATACATGATCTTTGAACGTCGTCATTGGCATTGGTGATTGGATGGAGGCTTCTCCCCTGTCACTGTAGTGGCTCCTGTTTCGCCAATCTTTTTAACGAGGCAGGGTCTATTTACGTCAGAGATGTAGCAGAGAATTCTGACAAGCTATGTATAGTACATTATCTCGATGCGTGAATGTTTAATGGACGAGGGGTTACCCTATAGCTTGCGTCCCAATGTCAAGTGCCGATGAATTTTACACCTGCGTGACCATGGGTCATGCCTGGCCGACGTCTTGGTTATAAGTACTGAAATTCTCCTGGACTGCCATTACCATTCTATACCATCGCCTGTGGAGATCAGATCGTCCCCGGGGAATATGGAAGTTGCGATTATCCAAGATGGGACAGGGTGGCTGCGTGTTACCGGGTTTTGTCGCTGGAGAGCACTGGTACAAAATAAGTCGGGAATTTATCCATATTATAAAATTTTACTCCACGAACCCGTCTTGAGTATGTTGACGAAGAATTGAGAATATAAGGCCAATGGGGCTGTTTGACAAATTTCTCTCGGCCCTGTTACATATCAGACTTCTTTCTGAGAATCGAGAATGTCTTCAATTACCCGTTTGGGAAGTCTGCGTTATGAGTCATTCTGACTCAAACTGTATACGTTGCAACTCATCCACGCTAACGTCCGTGTCTTGCGTGGGAACTTAGGAACACGAATACGTCCTAAGCCTCTGATTTCACGCGGCTAATTCCTGGCAAAAAAGCCCTGCACCTTTCGGTGTTAAAGCCCTTGGACAAGCAAAAGCACGCAAGATGGCGCACGTATCAGCGGGTTCAGGGACAAGGCCCGGCGTCCCCATAACGACCCGGGAAATATTAAATCTGTATTGCCATGACTCATAATGAGCCAAAGTAGATCGAATATGACTCGTTTTGGCGCTGCCTTTGAACGGTCCGCGAGAGCGAGGTGACAAATAAAACCACTGGATTTCAAGAAGTAGGAGGGCTGTAGGAAGCTTGGTTCAATGCACTCTTATAATCAACAAAGCCCGACAATGACCAATCTATTTCTAGCAAGAATCGATACGAAAATGACAGAAACTTCGTAAGTCTCCAATCATTTCTCTTTCGTACAATTCTCAACCATGATTGAATAATATTTTGCCGATCTGAGGTTTACTATATCCCTGAAGACCTGTACATCTAACATTGTCTGACAATTGATTTTATATTCTCTTGGTCTTGGATCATTTGGAAATAAGTATCGCTAACTTATGAATAGCTCTTCAACTGCACTATGTAAACCTGAGTCGTTTGGAGTCTCAGGACGCTAGATAAGGCGGGTAAATTAGCACCTGGCCTTCTCCAGCAGGCGTTGTGACATGAAAATGCGCATTTTTAACTTCAAGACTGTCATATTGGCGACAACTCATTTTGAGCTGATTTTGATGCTCCCATGGATCAAAATACTCATCCATTACTCTGAACTCAGCCCTATCCGCCTAGTATGGCATCTTGACCAGCGGAGTAGGTTGGTTATTCATCCCCGTTGACAAGATATACCTACTCACCAGTAGAGACTCCCTGAGCCCTCTGCTACTAGTAATATAACCGATTGACAAAGTTCTCGAAGACGCCAAGCACAATGATTATATAAGCTCAGTCTCCCTGTTCGGCCACCTTTCAACTCGTTCAACCGTTCAACCCACCCCCCTCAGAATGCCTCGAAACCCAGTCGCAAGGCTGCTACGCATCAACTATCTCTTAACGTGACGTCTACTCCTTAAGATTTCCATTCCTAAATCTTTAACAGACAGAAAATGCCGGTAGTAGCTGCAGCCCGCCTTGTTCATCAACAAGATGACGTTTCAACTGCAATTTGAATGGACCCCTTATCGAGGTCAGCCATATGCCAAGAGGCCACGGTTTTGAGAAGGATCTCTTGCATCTCGTCAGAGCCTTGATCGGATAAGGCTTCAAACCCTGGTGGACATCGGGCACCCCAAGCCACCAGCTCTCGCCCACTGGCAATACAACCATACATTTGACCATAACGTGGGCATCTGCACGCTAGTCTGTGATGTCGGCTTGCCTGGAGGGACGCGCATGGTCATAGATTACCGGGATGCGCATCCGGCCCTGGTCGTGGCGCATGATGGTTATCAGCTACAAACAACACCAACATGAAGGCGTAGCACCAAAGAAGATGAATTAGGATATGTATTGAGCCCAGTCTACATTATTCGGGCCTTTTCCTGATCAGAAGCCCTCACGCTCTCGCAATCCCACGTCTGGTACTTTGAACAAGAAGTAACCGAAATTAAAAACAGGTAGCGATGGTTCCCTTAGAGGTTTCGGAGCTCTTTTGGAATATCCTCCAAAGCAGCGTGAAAGATAATCTGGATTAAATCAGGGTGCCTGTCTTCACTGCCGGTCCTCCGATAAAATGGCAGAGCTTCAACATATTGCTCTGGCGTATTAACCCTGTAATCGATTGCACCTCCCTTGATACTCTCAAGCACAGTTTGGTCAGTGGCTAGTTGGGTAGTGGGGAAATTTCAGCACAGCCTTCGGAATGGTTACCTCTCCGGTCAGCGCAGAAGATGACAGGTGTTCAGATGGAACGAGTCACGTTTGTAAACTCCACTTAATCGGGAGGATTCAACCGCGCTTTGAAATCAATAATATTCCGTATCACGTCCAGCTCACCGCAATGAGTACATATGTCACTATAAGTACTTCTCTTAATCATTTATCTTATTTGAGTATACTGAGCGAGACCCCCACATCTTTAACCTTTTCTTGATTTATCATTCAAGAACTTCCTCGACTATCATCAATGCCGAACTTGACACTCTACCTAGCCAACGGCTCGTGCGCCTTTGTGCCTCACGCCGTTCTCCTCCACTTTGGCATCCCACACACCATCGTACCCATGAAATTCGGGCCCGAGGGAATCGAATCCGTGGATGGAACCATCTCCCACGCTGATTATTTAAAAATCCATCACTGGGGAAGCGTCCCCGCTTTAGATGTCGATGGAGAGATCATTACGGAAGGGGTAGCCATCGTCAACTACATCTCATCTCTTGTACCTGAAGCAAATCTATTCACGAATGATGAGGGCATAGGCCGTGCGAGAGTAGCTGAATGGCTCAATTGGCTCTCTGGCACGTTGCACGGAGCTGGCTTCGGTATGATGGTTCGCCCTCGTCGGTTCACAGACGACCCGGCCGCCGTCGAACTTGTCCAAGGGAAGGGCGAGGATCTTGTCGGGAAATGCTTCACGAGGATTGACACGCGACTCAAGGATAGGGATTTTGCAGTCGGAGATGCATTGACAGTTGCGGACTTTTACCTCTACATATTCTCCCGTTGGGGTAAAGAGCTCGGATTTGACATGGAGGCTGACTACCCAAATTATGTTAGGCTTGTCTGTCGCTTGGAGTCTGAAGAAGGGATCAGTAAGGCAATCAAGGCGGAGAACCTTGAGTTTCTCTATTTGTGATATGATTACAGCATAAGATGTCTACACTTAATTGTAGTGAGCCATTATTTTGTAAATACACCTTACTAGAAGAAAGATACGTGAATTCCAACGAGGCTTCATAAGTTTTAATATCAAATACTTTCATTTTGTAACATAAATATGTCTAGTCATAATGTTTGTTATTTAGCCTTTTTTTTTTTTTTTTTTTTTTTTTTTTTGGAAATAACAGCAGTAATGGAATTAAGCTCTCACAGCAGTCCGCTTAGCAGCTAGGATTTCCGATAAGAAGTCCTGGCTGTAATGAGGAGAGAAAAAGAGTAAAGGGGACTGACTAATAGAATAGCATCTTTGTAATGACACCCGAAGTCGAAATGAGAAGATCTTAAACCATTGCCTCCTCTTTCTAATGAGTCAATATTGAAGTCTCTATTAAGAATATCTGTTATTGCACTAAATCGTTGGCAATGTTGTGGTTTATTTCATCATTTCTAGGGTGGCGTGCTTAACTACAACGCCAGAGAACCAATATTCATCCCACTTGGCAACTGGCGTTATTCATGATTCCATGTAATCGACGATCTACCTCCCAGTGAGCCACATGAGCCAACTTCCAACGCCAAACGCAACCCGAAGAAGCCCGAACTTGAGACCGCTAGAATGAGCCACGGCAATTCTCCGATGCGACGACTCGACCGTCTTTACCGCGCGGGGAAACGCGAGCTTGTCGTATGCAGCGACAGCCGCCTCCAACGTCTTGCTCTCACACAACTGCGCCGCGAGATCCCAGCCGTCCTTCAGTGCGAGGTTTGCGCCGTTTCCTGCAAACGGACTGACTGCGTGGTTGCTGTCGCCGATGAGAACAACACCCTTGGGCATCGTCTCATGAGTAAAAGGCATCTTGTCTCGTGTCGGGAGGACAAAAGCTGAGCTCGGTTCCGTAGCGGCAAGCATGGCTGGGAATGGTCCTTGGAGCATGTGGCCTATCTGTCGAGCCTCAGCCATCAAAGTTCCAGCTTCATCTGGCGAGCCACTGTTAAATACGGGCCGAGGCTGTTCCTCATTGCGACTCAATCCCCACACAGCGCTTGTCTTGTCAACAGGCGACATGAAGCAAGCTACCCCTTGGCCAGAGACGGCAATTCCCCAGCTCTCGTCAATGGGTTTCGGGAGACCATGTGGAAACTTGGCCACACCGCCCATTTGCATCGCTCCACGGTAGATGAGAGTATCATCTGGCCGGAAGACGGCTCGGATTTTGCTGTTGGCTCCGTCGGCTGCAATCAACATATCACACTCTTCAGTTTCATTTTTGCTGGGGTTGTCGCTCCGAGATAGATGAACACGGATTCGACCATTTTCCAGAACCTCGGCCGAGGTGCAGATGGTCCCCCAGGTGATGTTATTGTCGCTCTCGCCCACCTTGGTCAAAATATTGCGGAGGTCTCTGCGGGCGATGCGAATGCCGGCTGTGGGTAGTCCATCGTACGGCTTGAAGCTCAGTTCCATCAGCGAGTTCCAATCCTTGTCCCACATCCGAAAGGATTTGACGCTATCGGGCCCAGTGACGGCATGCTTGAGGATCTCATCTAGAAGACCGAGATGGCGGATAGCCACGAGGCCACTGTCCTTGTCCGTGCCGTTGAGCGACAGGGAATAGCCCTCCCTTTTTTGAGTGACTTCGCGATTGTCTCGGTCGTAGATGACAATGTCGGGCGGTTTGAACGCGGGGTTCCATTGCTTGCGCAAGGCGACGACAAAGGATAGTCCTGCAATGCCAGAGCCTGCGATGATGATTTTTTTGCCCTCCAGGAAGTGAGCGCTTTCTGCCGCCATGATGAATGGATGACGGATTATGCTGGGTAAAACGGTTGTCGTGGAGTCATGGCGTGGCGCTCTTGACTTGGCTTGGAGCTATCCTGCTTTATATCCATCTTCAGCTCGTGACCGCTACATTTGACTTGTTAGAGACGAGGTTACGCTAGCAGAATACGCGCGTTGTTCAAACGCGTCTCATCTCCCAATTCCGACATGGTTGCAACCTGGAATCGGCCAAGATGAGTTTTGTCGGCGCCGAAGCGGGACTAGAGTGGGTCATTCCGGCTCTCCGAATCGCCTCGGTCCCGGTGATGCCGCTCAGTATAGTGCGAGACCTGTTACTAGCGCACGGCAATATCATTTAATATGTCCCCGTCTTACCAGCCGAAGCTTCATGTGACGCGTAAGCGATTGCATCTAGTGCAACAGCAGCTTCGGAATACCACACCTAGTTAAATTAGCAAGCGCCTCAACTCTGCTGCCTGGCATACGGCGTCGCCACTGGTAATTTAGTGGTTACAAGCTTCTGGCTCATGACGCGTTCGCATCGAGGCCTATGAATCCCTTTTGCGCTCCCTATTGGGTACCCAACCGGTCACTGAACAGCCCCTACGAAGCATGGGCGCCGACCAAAGTTCAGCCTTTCTCTCATAAGTGCTAGCAGCCATGCCCTGCGCCGCCACAGCAAAGACTTTGCTAATTATTCTTGGGTGCTTAACTTCCCCTCGATCTCTATTGGGTCGTCATTGAACAACCCCTACGGAGCATAGGTACTAGCGAGGCTGCAGGTGATGAGATGGGGTTCTGGTCGAATATGATGTGTCACTAAATGGATAGGATCACGATGATGATAATGAAAGCTGTTTATTTCTAGCTAAAGCACCGGCTTACAGCCCGTCTTTTATACGTGATGAAGACGACTGCTGCCGGAGGCGACAGTCCGTCACCGCCACCAGGGTCGGATCGTGGTCATAGGGCCGGCTATGTGGTCTGAGACGGAAAGGAAAGTTGCGTTGTCTAGGAAGACCGGAAATCAGGTTATTATACATTTTAGGATGACCCCGAAATGTGACATGATATCTGCGAACGAACGGTTAGGTTAAGATGAGGTCAAGTAAGTGCAACCTTTTGCAAGGAAATGATGCTAATGACTGGACACTTAGCTATAATTTATATGAAGTTACAATTGAAACAGTAATTCTTTTTAAAAGAGAAACTATGTTAGATTTACTTCTGAAGAGGAAAATAAATAAAAGACTTAATGAATAAATTTAAATATACATACATATTAGTAAATAGCTACCAGGCGAACTTCTACACTTTCCCTCGGAGGGCCTTGAGATAGAGGATTAAGTACAGCAGTGTGAAAAGCACCTATATATCGTATTGGAAAGTTAGTAGTGATATTTCACAGATATATTAGACTCCTGAAAGATAGTCTCAGATGGATGTCTTTCTTTCCACTTACGTGCTTTTTCTCCATGCGAGTCGGCGTTGCGGAAGACCAGCAAATCATCAACTCCTTGGTCTTTCATGTAGTACCACTTATGGTCTTTGTTGTAGTGCAAGGAGCTGATTTCCTCGACACGATCCCGGCGTATCGCATCTTCGAGCAGGATATCATTCTCTGTGTCGACAGTGGTATAGTCGCAAACAGCGAGTGGCCAGTCGTCGGTCGGCTGCCTTAGGGGGCGCCATACACTAGAAGCGCGAGCAGAATCAGCGTTTGTGTGATAGGAGGGGCTTCCAGAATATAGGAGAATGCGAGATCAGGGTTACGTACTTGAGCATGTCGAACCTCTTTCCTTCCTAGTAGCTGTCGTTACCAGGAAAGCACCACTGAAGAACCTCAAGAGATCCGTCCTTAGACCAATCGCAATGGACTACCGGTGACGGCTGCTCATGCTCATCGCGATAGACCCTCACGACTTCCGGGAAGTCGGGATCGCGCTTTCTTACCTGGGGCGATAATTCAACCAAGTGTCGGAAGTTAACAAAGATTAGGGTTCAAAATCACTTACTGTCATATCAAAGCATTCAACCCTCGAGTACTGTGGAAACCTCTCATGTAGAATGGCCTCAATCTCATACCAGTAGGCCTCCTCCACCGAAGCTTTGTCCTTGCAGGCCTTCTCAGGATCAAGATGAGTCTGATAGCCACGTATAAAACAGAAGCCGTGCACGTCAAGCTTGTACTTGGCTGGGTCATCAACCGCGGCCACGAATACCTGACGATGATCGGGCACGGTATTCTGTCGGACAGCGCCTTCTACATGGTCCACCGGAAAGTCCGTGACGAAGGCCTTCTCTGTCTCCAAGTTCGGGGTCCTAGCAATGTAGTGTATTGAGGTCTGCATTGCTTATGTCAATAGGACAACATACACCGGACGTGTTCGGGGGCCAATGTATGGTCAAGATGGCTGGTGTGTGCAGGAAACAGACAAAGCCAAAGTAGAAGACCATTGTTATTGATTCATGTCTTACGATGCGTCTTGATGGTTCACAAGGTGCGCGAGATGATTCTGTGCTTCGCTCTGGGCGGTCAGCAAGTATTTTGCTCAATGTCTCATTCATACGTCATCGAATTCCCTAATTGGAGTGTACTATCTGTTCGCAGGGCCTCATCTTCATTTTCTCGCTTCGCCTCGGGTAGTCTCAAACATCACTTGACCGGAAATGCGCAGTTTCGGAATGCGCAGCCTCCGTTGCGTTACACGTCACTTTCCGGCGACGAATGCCATGTGTGCGACAAGCGACAACAAATCGATGGCTTATGCGATGTAACTACTGCTCTGACGTGTCAATGATGTGATGAAGAAAATATCACGCGCCTGGCTGATTTGGTATACTAAGGGGCCTCAAAAGTGGCCCCCGTAGTACGGCTAAGGATCCTGAGGTTGAACAACGGCCTGCTTCGGTGAGCACTTGGTCACAAGACTAGGATACGTAGTACATAGAAGAGCAGGCATCCATCACGCCTTCTACCATGCGTGTGATAGGCAGCCGTACGCCACGAATGCGGCCTTGGGCCACTTTTTGGCTCAAAGGGTGTACAGTAGAGTTGATCCTCAAGCGCAATCCCCGCCGATTTCGGTGTTGGCCGCTTCCCCGACGTCCACATGAAGGGATCAGCGCTTATGCTGCGTGTGTTTATAAAGTCTGACCAACTCGGACCATCCCTGTGATGGATTGCATGCCATTTCTCGAGAGCCTGCACTCCAACGAGCGTCATTAGTAGACCAGCCAGATCCTATTCATCCCGCAACGCATAAGATGCCTTCAGAAGCCCAGCAACGTAATGCGAATCTCGAGCAGCCATGGAAGCGGTGGTATGCGGAACTGAAGCTGATGAGCCGTGTTGATGTGCGGGATGGCACACTACTCCTCGAGAACAATGACGACGACAGCAGTGGCAATCAGGGGACAAGTGCTGTGGGAAAGAGGGAGGTGGATCTTTCAGCCGCGAAAGAAAAGCCAATCGTCAAGGTAAGTTACAGCATGAGCCGAACGAGCCAGTTGATAGATTTACACGATCTGTAGGGCTAACTCAGGTTCCAGGGGCAACGGCCCAGTGATTGAGGTTGCTGCGGTGTCAAGGGGTGTGTGCAGGAAGGAACGGGACAAGCTGATGACAGCCGGATGGATGCATTCATACCTAAAGTACATAGCGTGTCGGATGCCCAAAAAACAGTGTATTTGCGACCATTTTTCTGCACCCCGCCGCGATCATGGCTGGTGATGTTACAGCTGAGCGCTCCTCGTAAGCGACCGGATTTCGCGGTAGTACCTGGGTGCCTTCGGTATGTACCTGATAGGGGTTTGGTTGGTTAGGAAATCGTCGGGCAAGAGATACTGCAAGCTACACAAAGCTACATCATAATCTGCGCAGCCTGATCTTGAATCTGACGGTCGAGCCCGTTCAGCCAGCCTGTTGAGGCTGTACCTAAAGGCTGCCGGCCTATTGGGACGCTCCTCGTCACCACAAGCCCTGTATGCCGCTCTGCTAGCAATATCAGGAGCGCCATGAATGGCTGTGCAAGGTAGAGGTCCTCGTTGTACCTTGAAGTCACGAAAGTCATCTTTAAACAGAGTGGGACAGGGGCGCGAATGGCGTCAGATGGGCATCAAGGACATGGAAATCTCCTGCCTGAAGACTTAACCTTAGCTTCTAGGTTGCGTGCCTTACTGTCTAGCTTTGTAAATTAAACACACATATTTTCCGGCAGTCACTGGATATTTGAATCTTCTGCCATGTTGGAGGAGTCCCCAACTGCCCCTGACTTGGAACAGCAGGTGGACGACCAAGGCAGCCCAACACACCCAAAGCGTTCATGGTGGCGATGGCGCCGTGCTAGCTCGTCTAAGAACCGCTCGGCCTTGGTGTCGTTGACAAACAAGAAGACCAAACATGAACTGAACAGCTCGGTAATTATTAAAGCCTAGTACTGCCAGCTCAACGTCTCTACTATTCTAACCAGAGTCTTTTCTCAATCAGTTGACCACAGCTCACATGAATCTACGCCACAGAGCCCTTCACTCTCTTTTCGGATTATCACCAGCCCATTTGACAGAATGGGACGGTTTACTCGACTTCTTCCAGCATGTGGAAGCCTACTTCCAAGAACTGCTAGATCCTCGCTTTGCATTCATATGGAAGCTTTTGGATCAGGAACAACCCTCCGACTCAATTCACGTATGGGATTGGTGCTTGCTCGTAATCAATGCTTGTAACACTTCGAAAGACCCGGATCCAAGCATTGATAGAATTTACCAGAATATGTTGAAAACAGCAAAAGAGCCAATGAGTCGAAGGGGTGTCAAATGCACGCCGGATGATGACGAGAAGAAGCATGTGTTGCAAGCTATATTCGCTGTACTCTGCTGGATGTCAGCGACACTGAAGCCCATAATGGCAAGTCAAGTTTATCACCAGGCCTAAAGATCCCTGGCGGTATGTGATCTGGCTGTAGAAAAGAGATTATCCCAAGGAGAGAAGAGCTGTTCACGTCAAGTGACTCAAACGCGAACTGCCAAGCTCTGATAATCCATCCACGGTATGGGCTGATTGAGAGTTCTTGATGAACATCGTTGTGAACTCTTTGATGGACAATTCGCCGTCATGTATCAGACCAGCCATCTGCGATAGGGCTAGGGCATGCCCACTCAGCTGTTCTGACAGCGTGCGGGCCGAAATGCTCTCCGAGTTTAGATCTCGCCCAATGCTATTCTTCAATAGGAAGAGCAGGAATTCCGCTCCAGTATCTGCATCCCATGAAGTGATTTCAAGACCCGATTGCGCTGGGTCGAATGCTAGCGAGTGGTTCCGCGTTGTAATGATGGCTCTACCCTGGTTCGTAGCCCGTGGCCAGTATGGGGCAAGAGTATCAGCCGACTCGACGTTGTCGTATACAACAAGCCATTTACAGTCTGCGCCAGGGGATAATATGTTTGGTTAAATATTACTCCATGTCAATACTCCGCAGAAGTGGTAACATACCTGTACTCTGGAACCAGTCATGGACGAGGATGCAATTCTCTTCATGAGCCTGCGTTTGTGCTCCTGGCAGCTTTAATCGCAGGGCAATGTCGGTAAAGCTTTGCCTCAAGCAAGCGTCCTTCTCGCTGTGTACCCACAACACCACATCGTAAGTCTGCTGGCAGTACTTCTTCCCGGCGTACAATGATGCTATGCTGCTCTTACCCACGCCCCCAAGACCATGCAAAGCGACGGACTGGAGTGAGAATTCTCCTGCATCTGCAGTGAGAAGCTCTTCAAGCTGCACAAAGATGTCAAGTCGGCCAAAAAGCCGGCTAGTCTTTGCTGGTGGCATCAGTATACAGCGCCGTTTGGGCTTCGACCGGATGACCATGTTGGCTGTTGGACCGTCGTTGGTCGTTCCAACAGCATCGAGTTTATTCAGCCGTGAAAGAGCCTCGCCGAGTTCCACTGATGCTTCTTCGTAGGACCGCTTAATGATCTGCGGTGCTCCCGAACTGCCGTTGGTAGCCACCACTCCTCGCTCCTTTGATTCTGTTCACGAGTATCAGTCGTCTGCCTACAAGATTACCTGCTCTGAAGGACATTGTCTCACCTGCTGTGCGTATCGCCTTGATAGAGGTTGTGAAAAATTCTACGAATTGAAACTGCACTTCGAAACAGACTTCTTTGGTAGAACTGGTCATGGCGGGGTTTCTTGTACAATAGTAATTCAAAGCCTCGACTTTGAGAGCAAGTGATTTGATCATGCGAGGAACTTGCTCCAATGCGTTCAGATTCTCGGATACGAGCTAGACAAAGCACGAACCATCTCGAATATCAGTATGGGGGAACAAACTCGGACTAGCGAATGACTAACCCGTAGCAAACAAGCCAACGAGCCCCAAAGGTATGATGCATCCAGGTTTTGATCAATGTTTGCGTGGAAGAAACTGGCGAATGCGAGTAGGTGGCCTAGAGCTGGTCGTGGCCCAAAGGCCTCCGTAGAAACGTTCCCTAGTGACTTCAGTTGGTCTGAATGGTCTAGACTTTACTGATTGTAGACCTGCTTACAATTCTTGATCTTCCATTTTGTGAAGATAGACTGTGACCCATCCAGCTACAGAGAGATAAAAGAGCCGTTGAAGGCACCACAATGGGGGCAGTTGACGGGTGACAGTGCAATCGGGGCTTCTTCCAAGCGAAGTCGATATTTACGACATAGCTTAGAGATGGCAGGTAGACGTGAACCACCTGTTGGATTCGATACTAGTCATTCAATCAAGGGATAAGAGTTGAATCGGGTGTGGATCTGGTCCGATAATTGATTGCTCTGGAATGCCTCTGACCCCTCTTTTCATCGGGAGGGGTTTTTCACCTCTGATCACCAATGATCACAATCACCACAATTACCACAATCACCCAGTGATCACCTCTAATCACCAGTAATCATGATCACCGTATAAGTAATTATATCTGATCATATTAGTATATAGACGATCGAGTAAGTGCATATTCACTATGGGCAGCTACTCAGCTATCAATACAACTTGGTTACCTTAATTACCTTGACTCGCTACGTATTACTGTGCTTGACTATTACCAGATGTAATACTTACCAGTAAGTTGACGCCCTAACCGCTCTGCTAATATAAACCTACGGTTTATCCACTAGCACCCAATTACTCGGCTACCCAATACCACGTATACGGCAGCCTAGTGAGCACGACCGCTATATTATACACGTTACTAAAGTTTATATATAATATAATAAAGCTAACAGTCTATTTACAGTTTAATATAATATAGAAAGTTTATTACTAGCTTAAGCAGCTTTTAGTTAACGTCTGCTTTAAAAATAAAATAATATACTTTTTTCCATTTTTAATTAATATAATATCTTTAATCTTAATATATTTATTCCGAAGGGATGCCCCCCTGTACTAATACAGACTCAAAGTCAGCAATAAGCTCTTAAGGTAGCAGAGCGAAACCGCAGCAAGGTTTTCATCCTATAGCCAGCCGGCTAAAAGGTTTTTACTCTCTGAATTAGCTGCAGGAGTTCTATAGGCCTAGATATAGGTAAAAAAGTATATACTAAATAAATAAATAAAAAATATTTATTCTATTATAGCTATTATAGCAGCTTATAATAATATTTTTCTTTTTCTTCTTCTAAAAGAGATTTAAAAGCAATGAATTAATTACTTCTTATATCTATTACCTCTAGAAGACTGCTTTTCTGCCCTCTTTCTTTATCCCTTGTCACTCTCTAGCCCCTACCCTGACGGGTGTGGTCTGCACCAAAGTCCTCTCCCACCAACAAATTAAATATCACTGATTCAGTCCCTCGCTAATCAGACTGTCTCCACACCTGTCTATCCTGCTTCCTTTTGCCTTACTCCTCATCTGCAAGGCGTCTACACAGCGTGCATAACTGAGGCAACGCCCAGACCTTTTGTTTCAATAAGCCTCAATACGCCGAGCCCCATAACCAATGGGATTGCCCATCACCTGCTTCACATAGTGGGGTGGATCGTGGGCCGAAGATTACCGCCCTCCTGCAACAGAACACTTGCAGCCGGTGTGCTGCAAGAAGCATCCATCTGCTCCAATCGCATCCGGGACAATCACAGGACTGTGCACGTGCAACGCCACGTCATTTCTCACCTAAGATTCACCTTCGGTCTGATTGATTTGGCCCGCGTGCTCCTCCGCTACCTCATCACTTGACTGATCTACTCGCTAGGCGCTTCGGAGGTCCTAAATCACAGCGCAAGTTCCACAGCAAGTTCCACAGCAATCGCGATCCGGACTCTACGAAATGCCAGACTCAGGTAACCACGGAGAAGGCGAGGCCACACTCAGGCTAGAGTTTCGAGCAGTTTTTGAGAGCTTCGGCGACGAGTCACAAACGGGTAAAAACCACCAAGCCTATGCTCATCACCTGGCTCGGGCTTGCTGGCACGGCAGCCGAATCGTGCTCCGTCAGACGTCGCAGGAGGCTGAAGCCATCTTCGACGTCATTATTGCGCTTCACCGGGCATGCAAAGGACAATGGAGCGTTCTCCAAGACCACGGCTTGACGGAAAATGAAGTGGATGTCTGGCTCGAGTTTTCTGCCATGTTCCTGTCCAGCCTTGGCAACTACTTTGTAGGTGCTCACTGTAACTTACAAGCGTTATTACCATGATCCGACTGACCCATGTTTTTGCCACAGGACGACGGCGACCGCAAGGTCGTTCCACAGATTTCCAAAGACGCCCTCTACAAAATGGCAGCGATACTGCTTAAGCTAAGTACAAATCTGTGAGACACCATTGAACTCATGACAGCCCATCAACCAGCAAGCATGGGGCATCCCACAGAGGAAAGCCAGTCGGGCTACTACCCTGGGTCTGAGGAGATTGCAGAGGAGGAGATTGAGGCTGTGAAGAAGTTGATGGAAGCCAAAAAGATAGCGCCAGAGAACACACGCCTGCGGAAGAATTCCCATGAAGGAGTGTTCGAGATCATGCAGGCTTCTGTGGAGACAGACAACGAGCCCAGGTTCATTGGCCGGATTGTGCTTGGAGACCAGCCCCCCTTCAGAGTCATATTCCGTCGCGGTGACCACTCTGAAGAAATGACCAAGATTTGTGCTGAACTCACTCAGGCCCTTGAACTTGCTACAACAGAGTAGTAGCGAGTTGCGCTTTCTCAACTCACCGAGAGCTTTCGTACGGGCAACTACGAGGCTTTCCGCGCCGCACACAAGACGTGGGTCAAAGACAAGGCTCCCCGAGTCGAACATTGCATGGGCTTCCTTTTCGGATATCGAGACCCTGAGGGCGTTAGAGCTGAGTGGCAAGCGGCCGCCGGCATCGCCGACTTGAAGGAAACGACAGAAATGAGCCGGCTTGTCAATAAGTCTACAGATCTCATTCGCACGCTCCCGTGGGCTGTACCCGATGAAAACGACGGGAAAGGACCGTTTGAGCCAAGTGAAATAGACACACCCGATTTTTCGATCATCCATTGTGAGTACAACAATGACTTAAAGCCAACTATGAGCGGGGACCACGGTGTTGACAGAAGTCCAGTGCTCGCCTCGGTATCCAGCACTGTCTGGGAGGCTACCAACATCAGCATTGTAAGTTGTTGGTGATCTTCCCATTCCCTTAACGCTTCCCTTGAAGAATATTACCAGTATTTAACAGAGACATAGGATGATGATGGGAAGAGGCATGGCGTCAAAAACATGGTTTACGGCAACCGCGTAAGCTTAAACAACAGCCCTGGTCGTCCATGCTACTATGTTCACCCCTCGGAAGCAGATGCATACATGAGCTGCGCTCATACCGTGCGCTTCGTCCAAACCGCCATCCACGAACTGATCGGCCATGGGACGGGGAAGCTGCTCTCCGAGACAACGCCGGGACAGTTCAACTTCGACCAGGACAATCCTCCAATCAGCCCTATCACTGGCAACCCCGTACGTACTTGGTACAAGCCGGGAGAGACTCTGAACACTGTTTTTGGAAAACTGGCGCCAACCGTGGAGGAGTGCAGAGCCTATCTCGTCGCAGACTATCTGGCCGATAACAGGGACATTCTTGCCATGTTTGGGTATGACGACAATAGCACCCCAACTGCGGATGATTGTAAGTGCCCCTACATAATGATGTGATCACTGACGAGCCTTTAATAACTAGCTACAAATAGTTATCTACTACACCTACCTTCAAATTGGAGTTGAAGGCCTTCAAGCACTTCGGAGTTTCAACGAGTCAGACAAGACTTGGGGTGATGATCACAAGCAGGTGAGTTCACAAACACTGTTGAAGTTGTAACATTTTCGCTGAAGCTGACAACATCCGCTCAAGGCTCTATTCGCTATATTCAAGCACGTACTTCAGGACGGCGAAGGTGTCCTGTCGATAGAGCATGAACCAATCGCCAGGACTCTCTTCGTCCGTGTTGATCGCTCTAAAATCGTCTCTTGCGGGACGCCTTCGATCGGACGTATGCTCTGTAAGATTCACATTTGTCACTGCACCGCCGATGTGGATGCTTGCCGGGATTCCTACGAGGCCCTGAGCCTTGTCGATGGCGATTACGAGGCCTGGAGACAACTTGTAGTCTCCAACCCGGAGCCGAAGTGGAAGTTTCTGCAGCCCAACACCTTCCTGGAAGACGGGGGCGCGATCACGCTAAGGGAGTATGAGGCCAGCAATGCGGGAATCATCCAATCTTTCTTAGAACGAGATCTTTGACGGATTTTCCCCTTGCTTCCTGTTAAATATGCTAGTATAGTGCTGTAGGGTCATCTGTGGTTCCGACTGCTCATGGCCCTGACTCCAGTCGCAGCTTTAGTTGTGGCTCAATCGGTCTCTAGTAGCTTTTAGCAGCATATATTTGCGCAAATGCAACAAAACACATTGATACCTTGAAGGAAGACCAATCTAGCTTTTGTGGGCGCCGAAGCGGGACCAGAGTGCATCATTCCGGGGTTCCTAATCCCTTCGGCGCCGGCGATGCAGTTCAGCATATTGTGAGCAGTGCTGCTATTTGCGCGGTACCATCTTGCTATCCAGTGTGTAAAAATCACGTTTCCCCGTCTTTCATATTTTACACCAAAATTACAAGCGGTCAGTGGCTCGAATCTGGTTAATGGATCTGGCAGATAATTATATTTTCCCCATACAAACCCCAGATTGAAGTAAGGAGGAGACTCCGACAAGACCCCACATAGGCTCCCTTTGAGGGGAGCTAGGCAGAGCTACTCCATCGTCATGGTGCATTTTTATCCGTCCCTCGGAGTTTCCTACTTGGCAACCGAGCTCGGGCGGTTCCAATTGCGGAATTGTCTTCCATCTGTCGGCATATTGGCCGAGTGATGCTTGGCGCACTCCAGCCATGGCAGCTCTCATCTTTTCAACATCAATCAACTGCCGAGATTCAACAAGTGGGTTATTTCCCCATGCGTGGCAGTGTTTGTCAGTGGTAAATATGTGTATATACATAATGGATCTCGTCGTAGCTCTGTTGGAGTTTTGACAGGCACGTTTGAAACAACATCCTGCACGACCAACTTGGCAATCATGGCAACCGCAACCACGACTACTTTGACCGCACAAGATGTCGTCACCACCGTGCCGATCATCCCCAAAGGAACTCACAGGTCCACAGCTGGCATTCAGCGACGTCGTGTCGACGACACCTTCATGGACGGTCTATCGACTCTGAATGGAGAGGGTGCCACCATCGGCCGAGGCGCTCCACTCCAAGGAATCCCGACGTTCTCAGATCCTCATCAAGAACGCAAGTGGGTATTGGAGCGCATGGCAGGTGCTTTTCGTGTCATTGCTCGCAAGGGATACCTTGAAGGCTCTGCAGGGCACATTTCGGTCCGCGACCCCGTCGATCCAGATACGTTTTGGATCAACCCGTGAGTGAAGCCGCCCTCAAAATGACGAATTGGGGTTAAAAAAAGGATAGACTAGGAAGACATTTTGCCATGATGAAGGTGAGTGACCTGGTGCAGGTTAATATGCAGGGAGACATCATTGGTGGCAATCGGGTATGTTCTTTACTTCGTACTTTACTGGCGAATTTCCATCCTGACAGATAAAGGCGTGTATCAACAACGCGGGCTTCAACATTCACTCCGCCATTCATCACGCCCGTCCAGATGTGAACGCTGCCTGCCATTTCCACAGAATACATGGAAAAGCTTGGTCATGCTTCGACCTCCCCCTCGACATGTTGAACCAAGACGCATGCACTTTCTACAACGATCACGCCGTCCACAACATGTTTGGTGGAATTGTCTTTGAAGCCTCCGAGGGCGGGAGAATTGCCAAAGCCCTGGGCAACAAGCGATGTGCGATTCTTCAAAACCACGGACTTCTTACCACCGGTGGCACTGTCGACGAAGCAACGGCCCTCTTTACCCTGATGGAAAATACCTGCCACGCACAGTTGTTGGCCGAAGCGGCGACGGCGTCTGGGATTCAGAAGCAGATATGTCCTCATGAGGAAGCCGAGTACACCTACAGACTCACAACCCCAGAGGCAATGTGGCTGGAATTCCAACCTGACTATGAATATGAGCTGGAGGTATCTAACGGGAGATTTCTCTTATAGCTAAGGACTAAGTATGGAAGCAAATGATAACAGTAACAAGAAATTAATATCTGCATATAACTTTCTTTTATGAGCTGCCTCGATGTCAGCCTGAGTGTTAAACTACATGTTGAGATTAGCATGATGATATTTGGATCAACCTCACGGGAAGTCTCACAATTCAGTATTAGCTTTAACCGGCCTCTTTTATTGACTTACAATTCGGTTATTTTTCTTCATCTCCTTTTTGGCCCCCCCTGGATGAGCTGTGTCGTTGTCAAGTATGTCAACGCCAACGGCTTCTCGGCGACATCTTCTTTCTGAAAAGCTTAGACTGAGGCGGCATGCATACTGTTGAGGTTTCTTGGGTTAGCGTGCCAACACCACGTATGTATTTCCGGGCCCTCCGCTTCCCATCAGTGTCGTCACGGAGTTCACTGCGTATGTTGTCCCCAACTAAAGCTCGTAGACTATGGGAAAGAATGGTATTGCTTCTCCGGCCCGCACTAGACGTTATTCTAACCACTACTCCGCTTTGCAGCATTTCTCCAATGACAGTATGCGATTGCTTGACTACAAACGCACCTCGTCCATAGATAGATCAACCAGAGCCTGAGTAGCGCCTCGCTTACCGCTTCGTAGTGCTCCCTCCATGTACCCGCGCCACTCGTTCGTCAGCTCTGTGCCTACAAAATAGACACCACCAAACTTCTCTCCAATCATCTCTCCGTCGGCACCTTCGCCGATGACCGTACTGGGAGGCGTAGTGGCAAGAGGACAACCCCATCCGGCCCACCTATCCTGCATCCACTCGGAAGTGATGGAATCCAAGAACTCAGACTTGACAGCTTCGTATCCCACGCCAAACAAGGAACCCAGCTGTTTCAGAATGGCCTCGCGGCGGTGGTCATCATCAAGGCCCGCCCACTTTCGTCCCGGGCCTGCGGTGAGGAAGCATGCCAATGCATAGTTTCCTTGGTCATCAACTGAAGTATCACGACAATGGTTGATGGGACCTCGGAAGCTCTGTGCGAGCCCGCAAGAACCCTGCCGCCTCCAGAAAGGCGTCTTGAACAAGCAAATGAACTTGATGTAGCACCCGTAGCGCACAGCTTTGGTGTACATGTCTCTCTGGCGTGGGAGCGGCGGGTTGAAGGTGACGTTCTTGTACTCGGGCCCGGGGATGCTGACAATGACCTTTCGTGCCTTGAACTTTTGACCGCCTGCCGTAGTCACGGTACAGAGCTTCGAAGTGTCTTGCGTGATAGAACTGACGGGAGAGTTGAATTTGACAGTCCCAGTGGGCAGCAAACCCGACATGCCAATGGAAATGGACTGGGTGCCCTCCTGGAGACGGAGATGTTGGGCTCCATCTTTGCCGTCGTATCGCAGATTCACAATCCCCAACCCACCGCGGGCAATCTCCAGAAAGGAGAGTGCCGAAACATCGCTAGGATCTTGACCCAGCGTGCCACGACACCAGAGCCGCGCAGTGTGCAGAGCTCGTGTTCCAGCCCCGGCATCTCTGCACCATTGTTCGAATGTCATGCTGTCGAGTTCGCCACGCTTAGGCTGTTGGAAATTCTCCGGATCGAGTGATGCCGCTTCGACCATGTCTCGCATGGCGGTGATGTTATCCACCTCGGCTTGCCCAAACTGCAGATATGTTAACCAGCAAGACTTCAGCGACGATGAGTATGGATATCACGTACCTTGGGCATTTCGCCAAAGGGAAACATGTGGCAATCGCCGTTGGCATCTTCACTGGCCACCAAACCCACGACGTTCTGTACGACCGGCGTCAGGCCAAATTTCTGGCAATAGCTCCAGACATGCGACTGGTTGGTATCGTTCAGCCACGCCGCACCCATCTCCTGAACGCCTTTGCCATCGAGGCGCTGCACCGAGTTGGTCTTTCCCCCAACACGATCGCGAGCCTCAAGTATCGTGATAGATCGGCCAGCTTCGTGCAGGTCCAATGCTGCCTGGAGGCCGCTCAGCCCGGCGCCGATGATAACTGCGTCAACAATGTCTGCCATTCCGTGGAGGTTATGGTGTAATGATAGGTGTAGAATATGGTGTGGTTGTCGAATGCTACCAAGATAAGGCTGTGGTGATGGCAAAGCTGCAGGATAATTATAGTGGATGTTGCTCTCTTCTCTGGTGAACCCCGCCCGAGATCGGTTCGTCTCGTCACAGCGTTTACGCTAAGTTGAAGCTGTTGGGGACCGGCCCGGTCGACCAAGAATACTTAGCATACCAGGATATCGGAGAATCATCATTCTACTCGACGAACATCTTCTAGCCGATAATGCTCGGATCGCTGCCAATAATGCTTCGACACTTGGAGCTTATCGTGGGGAATATGGGGCTCTCGGTCGGGCGTGTCCAGACCGAGAGATCTCAGAGGCCGGCATTGCAAAGGGAAGCGTCTCCGAGCTAATCATGATGCGGGGGCAATCATTAGCCAAGCCACTAGCTGCTATTTACGCCCTTCACAACAACCCGTCATACATGAAACGGTTAGCAAGGGCCTCTCAAGACGCAGCCGAGCTGGCCGGCAATTGATCCGTAAGGTCAGCGGACGACGAACGGCCCCACTTGATGATGAACATCTCGGAGTCGACTTCCCTGCGAACCGGAAGACACGATATGATCCCGGGGCCGGCATCTCGTAATGGCGTTGGAGAGCGAGTCGAAAGAAAAAGCCCGCTTCCGGTCGTGATATTCAGGAAACACACTCCGTACATCGGCTTACCTTGTACACTTGGGACACTCCAATGTTCCAGCCATCAAGAGACCACCGGCCAACGAAGAGTCATTCATGATTCATTTGCGATATCGCTCGTCGATTCACTCATGCATATTTATCCAGTACGGCTACTATTGCTTGAGAAGGATGGGGCAAGAATATGGAAAACGTCCGACAATATTGTGGAGCTCTCAGTCCAGGACTTTCCAAGCAGCCCAGAATCAAGGCGCCGACTTCATCGTCTTGATACACTATCTTACACTATTACATTACTCAAGAAGTACAGTAACCTCATCCGGGGAGTTTGGCTTTTGGGATTATGCCTGAGGCTAAGGTTTTGTCATAACAAACGACCGTGTTGTGTGATGGTTGATCTTGCATTCACGAGGTAATAGGCCCATGATCATAGGTAAGCGCTTGATTGCGGGCACTGGGGTGTGTTTATAACCGAACTCATGAGTTACGCCGTAGCTGAGAAATGCCCTTTCACAAAGTATTTGCCGTTTGTGTTGTCCATGAGAGTTACTTAACTAGCTAAAAGGCACCTTTTAAAACCCCTCAGATGAAGGGAGACTCAAAATACATTGCCGATCGACTGTGCCAAACATTTCCCACTTATATATATCACTGAGGCCCTTTGGCTGTAATATCCGCAACTTTCTCCGGTCAACTAGTCTCTCAGATTCCTCACTAGAAGATCACAGATAAAACCAGAGGATAATCAAAAGAGGAGCTTATCAGTAGTATTACTCAAATGTGACAACTCCAGCATCTGCAGTTAATTTCTTGATTGATATTATGAAACATGATATGGAGTAAAGTTAAAAAAAAACTAGACCTCCGGCTCCAGTATTGATGTGAACCGTAACATCCCTTGGCTAGGGACGTGGCTATGACCATCCCGGTCTGTGCTAAGACTTACAGCCTCCCCGTCATCTGCAAGTTTGCACTGTTCTTTGCACTTTTGCCGAATCACAGCTAGTGAATCGCTCCCGAGGATAACTCGTACCTCCCATGGTTGCTCAGCAAAAAGCCCTTTGCGCTGTACGCAATCCACGACACGCTCCGCCAATTTGTCGACGTCCCCGGGCATGTTCGGCCCAATGTCTGTGGCGAAGACGTTCATCATATCGTCAAACAGAGGATTGTAGTCCGCTATCGCTGGTTTGTATTTTCCGAACCCATCATTAGACCCCTCGCGAGGCATCCCAAGCTGCGATACAAAACCACCGGGCTCAAAGATGACGCAGCGGATGTTGAATGGCTGGACCTCGGTTGCAAGTCCCTCAACGAAAATGTCAAGAGCAGCTTTTGAGGCGGCGTAGTGCGAGAGGAAGGGAATGGCTCCCCACCCTACACCAGCACCAGTAAATGCAATAGTGCCGCTTCTCTGGGCTCGGAAATAGGGCAGGATTGCCTGTGTGATGCGCAAAGTGCCGAAGAGGTTGACGTTGAAGATGTTGTCAACGAAATCATCACTGTAATGCTTTGTTAGACTGTCCTAGTACATGATAATTTCTGGGGAACTCACTCAGCTTCCTCAAAGCTCTTTGGTGCCGAAATACCGGCATTGTTCATCAGGACGTCGATACGCCCCCAAACTTCCCAGGCCTGTTTCACTCGAGCGTTGATTTCAGACCGAGGTGCAGTGACGTCAAGGTTGATGACGGCTACATTTTCCGACTTCAAATGCTCGAGCCGTGTTTCTGCGTTCCGACCTGTGGCAATCACCTTGTCGCCTCTTGCGACCAGTTGCTCGACGAGGGCAGCTCCAAGCCCGGAGGTGGTCGCTGTGACGAGCCAGATGAGTTGTGTCATGATTGATGCGACAGGTTGCTAACGATGTGTGGTTATTGAAGTGGTATTCAGAAAGCAGAGGAGGTCTATATGATATACTGTGGCGGACAAGGTGGATATTCTTGGGTATATCGGCTTTAAGGTGGATGACATCGCCAAAACGTGCTTAAGAATTAAGACCGTTCGAGCTGATGCAAAATACCCGCTAATAGAGACCCGCAAGGCACAGCCTCTTGCCTAATATAGTTAATTCCGCGTCTACCAAAACTGATATGAAGGCTGACTTCTGCAGTCATCAATAAGCGCCGGGTTTCCAAACTCCAAATGCCATTCTGGAGCAGCATCCAGCCAACCAGAGACGAGAATGCTGTCATTTTCCTGCTAAATTGCATTTAATGGGGTTAGCAGCAACCCGGAACTCCGAAATCCGAGACCTGAAGCAATGCACCATCGTGCAATTCCGTCACAAAGATCCGAGTGCGAAAAAAGAACTCAGCTCATCTACGCGAGACAGCGAAGAATCAATGGGAAGCTGCCTACAGCGCTGTGCTGACTAGTGCCGGGGCATCCAATGGCCTCTAATTCTGGCTCACTTGTTTGCCACCGCTGTGTTCAGCGTTTCAAGCATCGTAAGTCTCCTCCATTCCAGCCATGACGTATCAGTGCCAACATCGCTCAGAATCATCTCTCGTGAGACACTCCAAACGTTGTGTTCAAAATCTAAAAGCACCATCCAGGCAGAAAGCCTGCCGACAATGCTCAAATTCCAAAGTACGCTGTGACTGGCAACATCCAGCCTGTGGTAGATGTCAAGCTCGCTCCCTGGCGTGTGAATTTGCCTCTCAAGATTGCACAGCATCACGCTCCACTTTGCAAGGCAGCCGTCAGATCTTAGCTCCGGCCATATCGCAGTCGCTTGGAGATGGAGATGCATTGGTGGATGCACGCGAGCATCAAGAACCCATTTCTCCACCAAGCGTACATCACGGTTTCTCAGTTGGTCAAGACGCATCGAATGATGTCACCTCACCGGCGACTATGCCCGAAATCATCCCCCATGCGTCTACGCGAAGCCTTCCCTCCATTGTGCAAGAAATCAATCCGAAATTAGCAATATCCGCTAGCCGACGACAAGCCCTTCTTGGGACTGCACCCGAAACTCCGAGCTCCGATGGCGTTGTCAGACACACGATGCACTTCGTTATCCGGGTTCTCAAGTCATGGCCAAGACTAATGGCCATGCATAATACTGCTCATTTGCCACTGATGATACATAGATTTCAGTTACTTGGCGGCATACCAACCCCATTGGCTAATTGCTATGCCCTTGTAAAGATGTGGGCTGGGCATACGCCTGGTAGTCGCGTGCTGGTCCAGAATACCATCCTTCAAGAGGTTCATAGGTTGCTCCACGAGGTATGTGACAGACCATGATAATGCATTAGTAACTGTACCCATTAAACAACCGCTATGGTGCTGCAGTTTCGTTCATACGAGGAGAGAGACCTTCTCGCTGCTTCGCAATCTCTTCTTATCCTCCTCATAACTCTCTTCTTTTGCTGTGGAGAAGAGTCGGGTGTTAGGCACCCTTTCGACGCACAACTCCTTGTCGAAATGTGGGATGTAAAGCATCGCCTCGCGGCGACTGGGCTCTTTTTGGAGCAGGAGCTCACCCACACGATCCCACCATGGGAGAAATGGGCAATGGTCTCTGCGAAGCGAAGAACAATACTGGGTCTCCATCACCTCGAATGGGCATGGTCACTTCTACATGGCTATCCGATACTCACCTGCTTTGAACTTGGGCCGCTACCAGCCCCTGCACCGGGATACCTTTGGCGAGAAACCGATAAAGCAAAGTGGGAGCATCTCTATAGCGAATGGCTTCGGCAGTGGAAAGATGGAAGTTACAAAACGGGAGAGTTATTCGATATTGATCCTGGAGGCAGTCTTGACGACAGGACTGAAATGTGGCTTGCAGAAGCAGACGAATATGGCGTCATGTTGATGGCGGAAGGTAACATTCACACAAATGCCTAAGCCAACGTTTACGAGCTAACTTGGAAAGTGAATGCAATAGATGATCAGAAATAACTCCTTCCATTGTATTCTGGCCCTGAGAGAATTGTTGAGTACACTACCCAAGTTAGCATCGAATCGCAACTTGGTGACAAAATACCTCTTCATCCTGTGTCAAGAGCATCACACATTCCGTTGAACTTCCACTATGCTGTGTCTTCCCAGTCCTCAATGACCTCCCTGTCAACCTCTGCATCATCTCCATCTTCCTCTCGCAGAATATACTCCACTGCTTCTGCGTCCCGAATTGCCCAAAAGTCTCGACAGGCTTCCACAAATGACCGTGACTTAGCTTCCAACAAACTCTCTTCGACAGCCGCGAAGCAGAAACGAAGAAACACGAAACCACCGTCATCTTTAACAGCTTCATTGGCAGCGAAGTCTTGGCCAGGGACCGTCAAGATTCGATAGGGATGCTGCGTGCAGGAAATCCACAACGCCAGCATTAGACGCTTTGGGTCGATAGACGAAGCCAATGGGTGGCTGAAGATGCTGACGCGGACCCAAAGAAACATTCCGCCCATGGGCCATTGGAAGGAAAACATCTCTGTTCGGCCGCCCTCGGATGTCAGAAACCTATTCTCCTCCAGGATTGTCGCCATTGTTATCATCCGACGCTCGTTGGTGACGCGGAGGCCTTCAAGCCACTGAATCCAACCCTTTATTCCCCAAAGAGTTGACTGATCGCTCTTGTTGACACCCTTCTGGTCAGCAGAGCCAAAGTCTCCAAGCAACTTCGACACTATAGCCTGCACAAAACCAGAAGGCGGCTGAGTAGTACTGTCTGTGATCCGAAACAGTTGTTCACACACGCTCGGTTGAGCTGTGATCCATCCAAGCCTGCAGCCGGGTGCAATGGTCTTCGAGAAGGAATCCAGCCGAATAACACGACCATCTGTGTCGATACTCAAAAAGCTCGGGACGAGTTCGTCGAGAAACCGATAACCTGTTGATTTGCCCCCAAGAGATTGAGTGGAATAATTGTGGTTTGGGCTGGTCGGGAAGTTTTTCGAAATCGAAGTTCCTCGATACTTCACCGAGATCGATTGTGCAGAGGGGTAGTACAGGTTCCAATATGGGTCATCCTCGATGAGAACGAGGTCGAATTGCGAGCAGATCTGGTAAATTTCCTTCCGTCGCGAGAAAGAGAGCACTCCAGATGTTGGGTTCTGACCAGTACTAGTTCTCGTTAGTTGATGGCTGCACTCGTGCGGCATTGGTAAAGCTTACGGAATAATGTAGACAACATGTGGTCTCTTGCCGCGGGTATAGTCCCAATTTTGCAGAACGTCCTGGAGGCCGCCAGTTCCGTGTGCCAACATCCCCTCGGCGTCCATTTTCACCGGCACAATGTTGACATCTCTTGGTTTGATCTGCGCGATCGGCGGCCCATAGACGAACTCTTCAACGATCAAACCCTCTCGATCTTGAATCTTGTTGAGATCCTTGTCCCAATGGTTGAAAAGAAGTTCATATATCTTCCACAGCCCATCCGCTGACCCACCATTGATCATGACATCTGCTCCACCATCATATGGTAGGTTTGGATGGTATACTGTGTTTGCTAGTTTTTTGAGCCAAGCGTAAAGAGCTGGATAGCCCTGGGAGCCGCTGTACTGGAGGGCAGTGTCCAAGTCAACCTTGCGTACAGAATTAGTCCCTTGGCTGCGTCGCTGAATTGAAATGTCCAATGTTGAATCACTTCCTGATTCAAGGCCTGATCCACGGGGGTGGAAGAGACTGCCCGAGTCAACAAGTGAAAGGTTGAGGCTGTTGAAGGGGAAATTTGCTGGGAAAGGCAAGCCTAGGTGCCGATTTAGCGACTGACTCGGGCGATCAACTTGTGAAATGGAGATGAAACATACCGCCAGCCAGGTTGCCCATTTCTGGGATGCGCAAGAATTTGTAATATTCCTTGAGAACATTTGGGACTCTCTTTTTCGAAGAATTTGAGAAATGATGAGCAAGGTCGAGTGGCTTTGGCATTTCGTGAGACATGGTGGAAGTTGTTTATTGTTGACTGAAAATATTTCGGAAGGAATAAAATAGAAGGCGACTCGATGTGTGCAGTCTCAACGTTTATATGTTCATGGTCAAAGAAGTCTAGACCTTTGGAGGTCTAGCTCTAGGCGTGATGCAGTTGCACTTATTGGTAGTGATTAGACAGCCAAAGGCCCTGAAAGTTATACCATATTAGGCAGTGGAGACATGAATAGCAGGTTCCTCCATCTGCCTACGACTTGCATCTCATAAATTTATATCTTAAAATAATACCTTCCTTGCCAATCAAAGCTGACAGTTCAGACGATCAACTCCTCATTGACCCAAATGACTCATGACACGTACTCATCAATGACAACAGCTTGTCATCTCCAGTATGTGCTTAGGTCCTTCTGACGCTAAACCTGCGGTCGCACTGGAAGGCGTAAACGGACAGGGTTGGATACGACGACTACGCTAACCATGAAGGGCTTATCTTCCCAGATTCACTAAGGGAAAGAGTCTCCGAGTCGTCTGCATATGATGACTCAGACGGACTCACTCTCGACAATTGACTATCGGAGCTCGCCGTTGGATTGAATGTGGGTTTTGCCCGCATTATCACGAGACAACCATAGATAACGAGCGATGCCCGTGAAATATGTGTGTGAGTTACCAGCCATCTTATAAGTAGCACTGCGTGAACCCACTTCTTCATACAGGGAAGATATGCGTCCCCAAATCACCCAGAACGGCTGTCCAATCTCTGGTCCCGAAACCCTTCTGCTGCATTTCATCCTCTCGTTCCCACGCTCGCTGCACCATGTCCCACTGCGTCTGGATGTTTGCGATTCCGTAGTGTTGTATTCTTTCCCACCACGCCCGACACGCGTCCCTCTGAGACTCGGCGGCATTCAAGGAAGCAATAAATACCGGCCATGTGATTGGAGCCATGATGTTCGTACTGTTGGATTTTAATGTGACCTTGGCGTCCTCCGCGGCGTGTGCGTGATCGGTCACCAGCTTGATTTCCTGCACCAGATCTGAAGTGTCGTAGCGCTGAATCCGGCGGTAATAATATACCAGCGCTGCATAATGCCATGCACTTGCTTGGTGTTTGAAGATTGTCAACATCACGCCGTCATTAGCTGGGATGGATGCCATCTTCTCGGATTCCAGCGTCCAAGACAGAAGTCTGTCACCCAGACCTTCACAAGCCGCGAGAAGATCGTCTGGTATGGAGGCCTCTTCCTGGTTGTCGAATTGTGCCAGAAATTCCGCTAACCGGCATGTCTCTTGGATCGCAGCTGCAGTGTTTGACGTGATTCCGTACATGAATTCAAAGCAACTGCCGGATTTGATGACGGCGTCCTCCGTGTATGAAAGTTCGTGATAATTACCAATCCAAGGCGATGGAGAGACCACAAAGCAAGTCGTTCGAGCCATCAAGGCCAAGAACGCGCTGATTTGATTGAGTTGCCGAGTCTCCCCGCTGACGATTCTCCATCGTCTGCGCGAATCCCGCAATTGCTTTATGCCACCGAGGTGCACCATAATGTCACGGTCATCCCCAGACATAACCTATACGCAAGTTAGCAGGTGATTCCTTGACTCTGCCACGAGTTCGCGAACACTTGCCCCTATGCTCACAAGAGACAGCATTGCCATCAGGAGAATTTGATGGTCTGACCCTGGCGTTGGAGAGTTGACTGCAGCCTGCAAGGAATGGAGTGCTCGGTATCTGTGTTCAGCACCCATCTCTTGGTACTTTCTTTGCGCTTTATCACAGTTCCAAAGATGGTATGCTGCCGATGCCAATAGTGCGTGATAAAGCGCCGAGTGAGGTTTGGCATTGGTCATTTTGTGATCTGATGCGCGGATGCATGCCCCCTCGAGCGCGGTCGGGACATATATGCGGCGATATGGGTTTTGGGTATGCAGGATTGGTTGAAGAACATCTGCAACATGAATCATGTAGTGATGCATTAATAGATCGGCCTCGGTATCTCCAAAGAGGCTACTCCGAATGTGTTGTATTGGAAGGCTGATGGATTCTGGCAGAGGCGAAGGGGACATTGGTACTACGGCCATTGAATGGTCTCGTGCATTGTACCCATAGGATACAGATGGACTCGATTCTGTCAAGTTGTCATTGTCTGATGCTGCAATTGGCGAGGTGTTTGGTCGATCCGCGCACCCTTCCACATCCGCTGTATTGTTGGTTTGAATAACGGCAGAATCAAAATCCTGGCTTGTGATGGCCGACCAATCAGGTGTATTGATGATCAGAGGGAGAGCCGAATTCGGGCTCAGGGCTTGCAGTTGCATCCCGGGGGTATGGTGATCCAGGTCGACCTCGTCACATTCCCAATCATGCGGGCTTTCTACCGAGCGGTTGGAGACACTGGTGTGCTTTTGATGTGGCTTTTGAGAGGTCTCTGTGAGGTCTTGACACCCAGGTTTAGTTGGAAATGTTGAGAATGGGCCTTTTCTGGACGATAACATGGACTCGGCGTCCTTGTCGATAGTAGAAAGGAACTCGTTAATCTCCTGCATCCGGAATCGACGACCACTTGATTTATCTGGTCTCTCGTTAGCTTATGTTCTCCTTTTCAACATACGGCTTGAGTTATCTCTACCAAGCATGATTCTTCTCCGCCCTTGGCTGCTAGATGCAGCGGGCGTGCTCGGCTGCGCGAAGGGATCAGACATCCACTGCAGTCGGATATCGTAGCCGCCACATGAAATGCCTCGCTTCTCGCAATTTCCACAAGCTAGTGGCCTTTCGTCACATCGAACCTTCCGTGCTTTGCATGTCCAGCAACTGATTGCCCGTCAGCGATCGATTCAGTCATCTCGGAGTTGGTTCGGCATACCCTGTGAACCTCATCCCACGCTGTCGGGAGGGCCGGACGCTCATAGTGAATGCATCCACCGTAGTGTATCTGTCACAAGTATGGGGAATTCAACTGTGGTATATTTGATTCAATGATTTATTGAGAGGTACCGCAGTCGAGATGAATGAGTTGATTTGACTCTTTAGCGCACATGATAAGAGAATTGGCTTTCAGTCTGGTGACGAGTCAGATCCCCGCTAGTTCTTTTCACGTGACTCTGCTAATACGGCTGCATCGCCGCTTTTAGCCGTTTCCATTGTTGAATCAGTAGTAGAGGCCTTGACAGATCCTTCAATTTAGTAGCTGTATATTATATGCATATCGAATGGAGTACAAATAGAGGAGATACTTCCAACAATAGGGTAGAAACTCGGTGATGTATCTGAAGCAGTGAAACACTTCCCTGCTGAAATACGGATCGAGAGCCAGTGTTCTATTTCGGCAAGAAGGCCGGAATCGGGGAATGAGGATGGTACGTAAATAATATAAATACATTAAGGCTCAACGGTAGATGAGAGCATCGGGTCGTTTGCACTTTGTTTCACACTCGATTCGCTGAAGAGACTCGAGCCACGACTGACTTTTGGTTAGCGGAAGGCTATCCCTAGCAGGACTACATATTGAACAGGAACCATGCAAATAACCGCGCGCGATCTTGTCTACTAAACGATAACTTCGACACCAAGTTGAATTTGTCAGCGCAATGACGTGATGTCGCGCGCGGGCGCATTTCAAATCCACGATACCCCACCCAGCGTTACGATCAAAGTCCGAAGGCCGAGATGGCGACAGTCGGGGGACGGATAGCTGGGAAGTTAAATAAATAATTAACGGGACTTCCACATTTATAGAAGTTTTTCGTAAATTCTCTCCTAGCTCTCTCTTCTACTATGCCACCTAGCAAACAAATACTACGCGCCGTCATGAGTTTAAATCTGGGACCAGTAATTCACCTTTCTACACTTCAGTAGGCTGCATACTAACTGAATATGCAGTCAGTCCACAAGGGTGGAAACTTTGCCCGACCTCAAAGCACCTTCCGTAATGTTGTTTCTCGGGATCCGAATTCCAAGTTTGCAGCGGAGAAGGGCCGTTATGCGCTTTATGTTTCCCCTGCTTGCCCATGGGTGGGTTTTGCCCATTTGTGCGATTAATACCAAAGGCTGACCTGAAGAAGGCCCATAGAACCCTGATCGTCCGCTTGCTTAAAGGGCTTGAGGATGTAATTGATGTGTATCAGGTGCACCTCACATTAGGGCCAGACGGGTGGTTCTTCAGTGGGGAAGGAGATTCATTACCCGAGGACCCGTTGCATGGGTTCAAAAAGCTCAAGGAGCTCTATCTGCATGCTGATCCAAACTATGTTGGACGATACACGGTTCCGGTCTTGTGGGACAAAAAGACTGACACCCTTGTTAACAATGAATCGTCCGAAATTATCCGCATGCTCTACAGCGAGTTTGATGCCTTCATTCCGGAGCATTTGAGGGAAGAGAACAAACCCGGCGGCGGGCTATATCCTCCTCACCTCCGGGAACAAATCGACAGCATCAATGAGTGGGTCTACAACACAATCAACAACGGTGTGTACAAGGTTGGCTTCGCCATGTCACAAGAGGCCTATGACAAAGAAATCGATCCACTCTTCGACTCCCTGGACAGAGTGGAGGCCTTGTTAGCCCATGGGAAGCCATACATCTTGGGTGACTTTATCACTGAGGCTGATATCCGACTCTACACCACCATTGCGCGATTCGACGTCGCTTATTATCCGGTGTTCATGTGTAACCAGAAATCTATCCGCCACGACTATCCTCGGCTTTATCTGTGGTTGCGCCGCCTATACTGGGATCAGGAGAAGAATGGGCAAGCTCGAGGCGCCTTTTACAAGACCACTGCGCCTTACCTCGGCCTCTACTCTCGTGGGTATGCTGATGGAAGAAACAAAATAGTAATGGGGGGAAATGCGCCGCTCATTGTGCCGTCCGGCCCGAAGGTTCTCATTGACGCGCTTCCCTGATGGCCTGCTATCTGACATCATGGTCGTATTCATGTCTCATTTTTGTATAGCTCATGAAATTGTATACTATTTACATTGATGACTCTTTCACACCTAACTTCATGGCTTGGTAGATAGGCAGAGATCTGACTAAGGGCCAGGAGCACCGCGGCTGTAAAGTCTTGCAGTGCAATCTGGTCGGTGTCTAGGTCGGAATTACCCTTCCTTTCATCAGTGTTCGGGTCACCATTAATGTGGAACGTGGCAAGAGCACTATTATGGTGCATATTAGCTGAAGCAGTAATACCGTTGAATATATAAAAATAATTTGTACAGAAATAGAGAAAAGGGATAAAGCAATGGGAAACCGTCTGTAGATATGTGTTTCCCAGCGCGCTGGTAATGAACATCTAAGGTGCTATTCTGTGTCTCATCCCAGAGGGTAAGCTTCACATAGTTGGCTAATAACGGCCGATGCATCAGGTATGTTGACGTGCAGATTCGTACATAATTATTTGGCTTTCTTTCCTTAGAATTATTAGATATAGCCAAGGGTTACAGTATTGAATGAGTGCGTATATGAAACTCGTCAGCACGACAAGCATTTTCTGCAAACTCCTGCGTGTCAACAATTTGAACCCCACCCCCCCGGCTGGTAATCAGTGTCGAAGAAGACAACCAGCTCATATACGTTCGCGGTATCACCTGAGAAGCTCTAAAAAGACATGTATCAATAGGAACCGCCTACGTTTTGGTTATAAAACTGGGATATACTACCTGCAGGTTCATCTATCCCAGTTGCTGAACATTGCAGCGCCGAGCCAGACGTGTGCTTCCTGTTCGGATTTGAGCACAGAAGCGCACCGTTTGTAGAGGTTCAGGTAGAGAAACGGGCTGGGCGAATCGTTGCGCCGTAGTATCTGCCGGGCAGAAAAGCCTGTGCACCCGGAATCGTGTTATTAGATGCTAGCGGGCCCGTGATGAGGTTCAGGTTGAAAAGTCTGTAGTTCGTGTCAGTTGAGTCGAATATCCTCTAGACAACGGACGTGCTGCCGCCGGAGACATGAATGCCCAGTCTTAATTTTGCCTGGTGTGATGACCTTGCGGCAGAAGCCAAGAATGGATGCAACAGCCCCAGGGGCTTCTGAGGTTGCAGTCGATTCCAGGGGCGTGCTGACTATTTGTTCAGCGCAATACTCAATAGGTGCAGCTGGTGAAACACCCATCGCTTAGGTCGGAGTGGTGAGCATCGGTTTGTCCAGTCTTGACATTTTTCTCCTTGTTTTGAGTTCTTCAAACTGACGGCCCAAATGATTTAGCTGTAGCTGGAGCACTGAATCTATTCAATGTAGCCCGTCGCTTTGAAAATGCTGACTGTTTAGGATTGTGTCATATGCCTCCGCTTAGGTATGGAGGTCAATAGCTACTCTAACGAGCACACGAGATCGACTTGAATCTATGAAGCTATGAAAGCGACTGGCAGACGCATATTGTTTCTGCAGTACAAACTAAGACGATCCGTGTTGTTTGGAGTAAGCGCTTCTCTGTTACGTTGCCAGCGGAATTAGTACTTGGGCGAGCTATGGTCTACCAGTTCAAAACTCCGGAGTACTCGTCAGCACTATCGCGGGACGGAACGCTCCCGCGATAAGGGACAAGTTTAATTGTCCGTGTATGAATGAAGATATACTGAACGTAGTGCGCCAATATAGCAAAAAAAAAATACGTGCTCTGCATCCAGACCGCAATGCTCAATCCGATATTCCCTTCGTACCTATATAGTAGCTGGCTGCAATGAGACGCGCGTGCAAATTAAGCCAACGGGAGACAACGAGGATTTAATGACATGAGGCTAAGATGAAAGGGGCATTTAGGGGGTAATCCGGCGATAGGGCGGTGTTAAGAGTGGGACAAGCTCTTGACGGGCCGGGGTATTGCGCTGTAGATGGGCCGAGAACTACGCAGCTGTTGTACATAATCTGTACTTCGTATCAAGTCAACATGACGCTGCGTTCGCGGATTGGGCCGGGGGTGGGCCTGTTTCAGAGGTCAATCGCGTGTTGTTGCTATATATAAACCTGGCAGCTTTGTGCCGAGCCAGCCATACGGATGTCTTGTCTCTAGACGAGGTACGAGGTGGTACGAAGCACGGTACGTCTACGTCGCATCTGCGGCCGACGTTGTCGCCTGTGATTCCTCTTCCTTCATCACACACCACGCAACCAGCCGGCGCGAGAGCTTCACGACGCCCGCCAGCGACATCACCGCCTCACAGCATTCACCGCGCGATATGGCAGCCAAGCGCTCGTCGGGAGACGCAGACCGGAGGCTGGAGAGCGGCACGGCTGCTGCTCCCAGTAAATCAGACGGCAGGCTGCATCCCGCATTCTTCATTGCGTGCGCCGGCCCTTCTCAGCTACTCAAGCGAAGCCATGCTCACGCGCGGATAGATTATGGATTTTCTTGAGCTCAAGCGTCATCCTCTTTAACAAATGGGTTCTCGCAACCGCCAAGTTTGGTGAGCTCCGTCCCTGCAGTCCAAGTACATTGTCTTGAGTCCCTCAGCTAACCCACGCTTGACGCCAGACTTCCGTGAGTCGCATTCGATCCCTCGCCGAGCCCCGCCGAGCACGCACTGATATCAACCCTCCAGCATTATTCTTGACCACATGGCACATGGTGTTTGCCACGATCACGACTCAGATAATGGCCCGATTCACCAAGACGCTGGACTCGCGGCACAAGGTGCCCATGACCCCGACCATATACGGGTAAGCAGTCACCGTGACGGGCGGAACGGCCTGCTAGCCCGGCAAAATACTCGTGTGGGTGCTGAATTGCTGATGGGTCGCTATTCGCACAGGCAGTCCATTGTACCAATTGGTATTCTCTTCAGCTTCAGCCTGATTTGCGGTAACATGGCATACCTCTACCTAAGTGTGTCATTTATCCAGATGCTCAAGGTGCGTGTCAATGACGTTCCAGGCTCCAACCACGAACGCAAATCCATTTTACTTACCCTCCCAAGGCGACAAATGCTGTCGCGACCTTGCTAGCAACGTGGGCGTTCCGGATCGTCCCTCCCAACTTCCGAGTGCTTGGGAATGTGTCCGTCATTGTCGTGGGCATCGTCATCGCCTCATTCGGAGAGATCAAGTTTGATCTTACTGGTTTTATTTGTATGTTGACACCAATCCCGTTGCGTCTGGCCATCCCACCTAACGCACGCTTGCAGACCAAGTCAGCGGTATCATCTTTGAGGCACTGCGCCTTGTCATGGTGCAGCGGCTACTCAGCTCCGCCGAGTTCAAGATGGATCCTTTGGTGTCACTTTATTATTACGCTCCGGCATGCGCTGTAACCAACGGCATCTTTACCTTGTTCATCGAGATCCCAAGGATTACCATGGGCGATATCTACGGGCTAGGTATCTCGACCCTTGTAGCTAACGCAATTGTGGCTTTCCTACTGAATGTGTCGGTTGTGCTTCTTGTACGTCATTCTCCACGCCTCATCTAGCCAACGTCGCTGACCACTGCGTAGATTGGCCAGACATCAGCCGTCGTTTTGACCATGTCGGGCGTTCTGAAGGACATCTTGCTTGTTGTCGCTTCCATGGTTATTTTCCGTGACCCAGTCACTGGCCAGCAGTTTTTCGGTTACTCCATCGCCTTGGCCGGACTGGTGTACTACAGGCTTGGAGCCGAGAAGATGCAGTCTCTTGCGAAGGACGTACGCCTACAACTAGGCAACTTCCGTCACCAAAATCCCGCGAGAACCAAGATCCTTGCCAATGTCGCCATTCTGGCCATGGTTGTCTTCGGGTTGTGGATGTGGGGACCGTACTTTCTAGGACAAGGCGAAGCCTCTCAGAAGTTGTAGGTGATACTTGACGCTCATCTCACCTGCATTCCTGCCTCAGCTTCTTGCAAATTCAGAGATATCACGCCCATTGTATTATAATCCGTCTCTATTTTAATGCGTCTAGAGAGAGTGAGTAGGTGCTATTCTTACGAAGGTTGGTGCGAAGATTACTTGTGCATATTTCATAGAGATCTATTCGCAGCACTCGGTTCATGCCACTGGGACCAAGATGGATGGAAGTGGCAAATAAATCATAAAATATCCGATGCACAATATTTTGAAGGATTCCTAAGTCGCCCATCCCGGAAGTCACCATTGTGGCCAAATACCGAGATTATTTCCACGGCCCATTCTTAAGAAGTGACATCTGTGCGACACATCTGGATCGTCCATTACTCGAACCCCCGAGTCCGACATATACATGATTTCCGGGGTTTCAGAATCATACTTCGGCCACAAAGGAGCTGATATGGCATCGACCGTCAACGCGTTGGGGTCTTGGTGGATGGTGAAGGATATAAAGGAATTGCGCAATAATGTTGCCAAAGTAGCGTTGCCCGGGATTAATGCGCCCCTGGCTTCACGGGACCCATCGGCTAAATAGTCAAGATCGAATCAGCCAGCTTTACCACTGAAATTCATGTTGAAATATGTCAACTTACCATTCGTGTAGTTGCTATATATGAAGTACCCCGTTGCTGAATGAAATTGATATCCAGAGTTAAATACTAGTTTGTAGGCAGGCATCCCAGCATCGGCTACTGCCTGAGCGATGTAGGTGGTCGGGCAACTGACCATCGCGTCTCCGAAGAGAGCTGACCGTCTGATAAAGTAGTTAGTAATGGTATCTGTTATCCCACCCGCTTTTTTCATAAGCTGGTAGGCGGGCAGATCGTCAAGATGCGAGGTATTGTAGATTGATTCGGGGTAGAGTCCCCACGCAATGTCCGCAAAATGGCCATTGTTATCGTGCCACAGGGCTGCAAAATCTGACAAAACCTCTTCCTCTCTGGTGGCAGAGGTGTTTGAGAAGATGTATCCTTCGTCGAAGTTTCGATCTACCAGAACAGGAATCTTGGTGAAATGGCCGTCACGGAACTCTCCTTCAGGATTTGCTCGGATAATGTTCCCGTCAATCACAGGGCCCCAGTAATAGGTACCATGGGCATACTGCTTGGTAAGATATGCAGCAACGGTAGATGCGCGAGTCGCAACCTGGATGTCTGCTGCAGGTAGTTTTCGTAGGCAAAGAAGAGAAGTACAATTTGCAGCTTCCAGGAAGCCAGCATACTGCTTATTCACCCAGTCGCTGTCGTAAATTGGGGTCCACCATGGGAACTCTGGATGAAATTAGCAATGGAATTGAGGCAACATTGGTGCTATAATCCACTTCATACCTGGAATGGCCGCGTGAAACGGAGGGTGTTCAACGCCACCGTACATAATCATCTGCATCGTCACAGAGCTCCCTCCCGCACTACTTCCGGTGATGGTAATCTTGGAAGGGTCGCCACCAAAATAACGAATGTTAGAGCGAACCCATTCTAGAGCTGCGCGTTGGTCAAGAAGACCAACATTTGATGTCCCGTCTTGATCGATGTCGTCTCCAGCGAGGAACCCAAGCGCCCCGAGGCGATACTGGACGGAAACATAGATCATGGACCCGTTCGCCTGGTGTACGAGGCTGTCGCCTGAAGTAAATTGCGTGCTGCCAGCCACGTAGCCTAGATTCAGTAAGCTCCTGCTTCACAGGAATGTTCAACATTTTAATCTGAGGAAAAAAGAATGGGCATACCTCCACCATGTATAAGCACCAAAACAGGCAGCTTATCCGATGTTGGGTTACTTGGTGTCTGGATGTCAAGCAGCAGACAGTCCTCATCCTGGATGAGCGCAAAACTTGTATCAACGCGCCAACCCGGTGTGCTTTGGTAGCATGCTGGACCTGGCAAGGTAGCTTTGATGACTGTCTTTTTTGAAGCTCTTTTGTACGTCACGGGCACAGGCGCTTTCCATCGCAAGTTCCCGACGGGAGCTTGAGCATATCTGATGCCTCTAAAGGAATTGACTCTGTGCGTAGACTCCAGGTTAGTTAATCTAATTAATTCGTGTTGGTAATATGTAACTTACCCCGAGGTTTTGTTTTGAGTACCCAGGTACTGAACACCGTTGCCAGAAACACTCAGGGCATGGGCAGACGAGACTAGAAACAAAACCCAAAATATCCAGTTTTGGCGAACCACAAAGAGGTCCATTATGAAGTCAGACCAATGGCAAGGTTTGCCGAAGGGATGAAACCTATGGGATTGTTCTATTTGCGTAAGGGTTGAGAGGGCAGGGCAGCGCCTCAGCCGTAAGGTTCAACACCACGACCTTTATAGCTTCCATACCCTCAACGACGGTTCATGCCTCATTTCGGCAAACCCTTCTCGGTAAATGCGGGGTAAAATGGGCCGTGGTAGCATCAGTCAAACCCTGGCGGACGTGCGGGTGAAGAGAGAATGCGGTTTAGGCTTTTGCCAAGCAAAGTGGGAATCACCCTCCTGCTCTCTCTCGTTGAACCTGTTGCAGCTGGATTGCAAGGATGGAATGCACCAAAGAGAGTGAATTGGGTGAGTGGCTGGGATCTCTAAGGCCTAGGACCTACCTGGCTTTATGTACTTATATGTGCTCTACTTACTGGGTCGAAATGGGTGTAGGATGCAGAGCCCTCAGGAATGCGTATGGGAATGTGTCTGGGTTGACTGAAGGGATAAGCTTATAGTCGAGAGCCTCGACCTCAGAGGCGCTGTACCCAAATTCCTCTCATGGAACCACTTTTGGATGCTCATATTCTTCGGGATATCTGGAGAATTTGCAGGCCACATCTCGGTCTCTCATTGCCCGAGAAGCCGACTCAGGGATCGTCATTTATCCGCGCCAGTCACTTGCCACGCTTGCCTAGCACTCCCGACCCTGCAAGAGGTGGAAAAATTAGACCGGGTGGCAATACAAACTCGACGCATACTGTAGTGCACGGGTTTACGCCTTATTCAATCTCGGAACGCAGCGGTGAGGGAAACTGACGCGTTTTGCCTCCATAATGACAAGCTGTTCCGTGTGAATCTCCAACCGCAGATCGTCGCCTGTCATGTTCAATTGGACTACCCAATACTCGGACAAAACCCTTGATGGGCCACTAATCCCGGAGTGAAACAGGGCTAGGAGGATTAGGCACGCGTTATTGGTTCCCAGCAGCAAACAATCGCCTCTTTCTGTAGGAACTAGAATATGAAATATGTCGCCCGTTATACCAACTACCCTATATCTACCAATGGAGACGTGTTCTAGATAGCCAGGCCCCTACCCCCTCCCCCTTCTTGCCACAGAGGCTTCCTATATTAGTGGCAAACGCTGTCAGATGTTCAATAGGTGCCGGGATGGATTTGACTTTCATGAGTTGGAGCCGCTAAACTGATCGTGACATGGATTCGAATAGACAATGCAGTTTTCTTTTGACAATTCGCAAGTTGTGTTGGCTTCGAAGCGTGTTTGCGAATAGCTTTTCTCCGCCATGTCACTGTGATTGCGTCAATTTATGGGCTGCTTACGTTTCTGTTTGTGCAGCTCCGTCTATCTATCCCTGCCAGCCATCCGACTCATCCGCGCTTGTAAAGTGAATGATGCCATGAACGCGTTGCAAGGCTTTCAAATACTTCGTGGTGAACCTCGGCGACAAGTAACACCATGTCCCTTTCGCAAACTCATCTCTCATCCAGTCTTGCGCCACCTATTGCATTCTTGATAGAGCTAAAGAAAGTTTGGCAAACACCTGGTACTTACAATTCTGCTCACAGAGATCTTACTTTATATATCTCTAGGTAACAAGCTGATAACCGATGTCTTTGTAACTTCAATGTTTTAAGGGGGGGCTCCTGTCGTGCTCTCCGTCGGAGGTCTAATGGTGACAAGATGAGAGTTTCTAGACGGCGTATTGTTGTCACCGAATGCACACACCATACCAGAACCAGGAGAGCTAAACGAGCTTCAAGATAGAACGTATGGGCCTTCAATGTCCAAATGAATCGTGTTACACTTGTTGACCGACCCTTCATGAATAGCTTCTCGCTTGTCTAGTGGAATGGTTGGATCGAACCTGACCGAGGAAAGGACATAAAGCGGGATAGTGCAAATGACGCCTTTTGCCTTCTGGACTCAGCCGTCCCTGGTCGTTATAGTGACGAGACCGCCGGGGTGTTGGATCTGGGTTGTTGCGGCATCGAAGCGACATGCGAGACGATCAGTCGAAACATCATCATCAAAAATACGACGATGGAGTTCGCTGTTCCCGCTTCCTGGGCGAGTATGATGGGCAATGTCGTTGAGGCCTGTTGGCCGATGGGACCCGAGAGACCGCCATCGCAAGGCATCCAGAAGACGAGTTGATCTTGGGAGTTGCCACCCATTTGAATCAGCGCTGCTTCAAGCATGCTGATCTCTTCTGGGCTTAACCGATCTCGAATCTGATCAAGTCTGTCCATTCGAGAAAGTCCTATAATACAAAGCTAGAAAACACCTGCTCTCTTGGCCACCTCAGTAACTCCATCAAGTCCCGGTCGTCGATCAGGTGATGCTCAATCTCAGTAAGGAGTTGCGGACCCCAGCCTTGTAAGAACCAAAAGTGGCTACCCATGATAGAGAGAAATACAGAATAATATGACATCAAGAGCAGTGCGACGCGGTCGAACGCCTTTATCTGTGCAATAACCTTGTCTGATATAACGTAGGGCCAGAACAAGACCATGCCGCATTCGGGATGCACACCCGCATGTGCCAACAACCTTGCAACCTTCTGAAGCTCCTCGACGGCCGTCAGGTAGTCGTCACGGTCCTCGGGGGTTGCATGACTCCTAATAAAGTCCTTGAGACGACATAACGCGTCGAATACGCTGGCTGGGAGACATGAATGGGCGAGGGAAGGATTACTGAGAAAGATCAGAGAACAGTCATGGTTCATTGAGATTGCAGGCTTACACATCAAATGATTCATCCATTGAGACCACCCAGTCTTGGAGATTTAGGGGCGCAAGGTTGCCGCGGGAAATGCCACCCAAATATGGCCCAATCGCCTGAATCCCACGGATAAAAGCAAAAAGCTCCATGATTGAAGCAATAGGCCTTTCAATCTTTCGACTTTCGGATCGTGCGGGAAGCAGACAGGCGTAAAGAATCACCGAGCTTGCAAAAAAGAAAAACGGCTTCCAACTGTCTTTGTCCACGTTTTGCATAACAGTCCTGAAGGCCTCAAGCCCAACCGATTGGTAGTATGTCCCGAGGTTCAAATAAGTCTGTCGCGAACTAGGAACGAGTTGGGCCTTGTGTACTGCCGCCACTGCCAATATCCCGTGTAAAACAAAAGGGTTGTCGTATCCTTCTTGGGGGACGACAACGCGCCAGACGTATCGCAGGTCTTCTCGCAACGCTAATGAATTGCTCGTGTTGATAGAGTAGTGGTGCATGAGTTCTAGCTCTCGCATGTTACTAGAACTGAACGGTGATGCAGGGATTTCAATTTGGATATGCTCGTCGTACAGAGGAATAGAATCAGCTGGACGCGTAGCTGGGAGGCTTGGTGTCGCCGAGCGTCTTGAACCAGCCGAGACTGACGTAACATTGCGACTCTCTTGCTCCCTGTCACTCAAACTGCAGCGAATATTCTGACGCGAGCAATGAAAGCACGAGGGATATACTTCATCGCACTAGCATCTGGTGAGATCTTGTGACGCGGTTGAGAGATGCGGGGTCGAATACCTTGACTTTCCTTCGTTTACAGTCTTTGCACCCATTTCTGGACTTTTTGTGGGATCTTCGCATGGTCGAATGGCAATGGACGCTCTCTGAAGGAACTGACATGGCGAGAAGGTGGTTTGCATCCCGCGGATTCGTATTCTCGGGGACGGAGAGCGACGCAAGGTAAATGTATATCGTGCCTTTAAGCTGGGGCAAAGGCAGCAGGAATGAAGTCAAGAGTTAATTAATGGTTTCTGTCTGTGTTGCATGAGGCGGTGCAATCAATGGTCTGTGCTATGATGCTCATTTCCAATCGCAGGGTTGATTGAGGCGGAGCAGACCAGCCAAACAAATGCCGCCCTGTACGAGGTACGCGCCGTGATGGTTGTTAAAATTTGAGCGTCATAGGCAACGCTAAAATGAGTCTGAGCGCTGGGATTTCAGGACAAGGGGGGGGAATTTAGAATGGAAGAAAAGTGTAGTGGAATTAATGCTGGTACCGATCAACAAATACTGGTATCCCAACTACTCTTCTCATCCACGACGAAATGGAGATTGTCAGCCATGCGAGTCATTTCATTCCATACCGTTAGTGAGATGGGTCCAGCTTGCATCCGAAGGCTAGGGGAGATAGCACTCGTAAACGGAAACAGTATCATTAGTGCATTGAATCTCGGCAAGTCTCGTTCTGTATACGTAAACGAACTCGAGTGCTCGGGTTTGCTCGTTCACGGGCCAGTTCGCCAAGCCAAACTTGGCGGATCCAGGCAGATAAGAGACAAGGCGTGTGCTTCGCCACCACGCAAGGCAGCTAGTGACCGTAAATGAAACGTCGATAAACGGTTACTTGGGTGGCGTGATAGTAGCAACTTTCTCGACGTGCCTATTTATGAGCGCTAATTTGGGATAATTACGGACTTGGTCAAATAGGTTCCGAGACGAAGACTTTGGGGTTGGCGGAAGAGTATCTGCGAAGCCCCGTGGTGGCGCATCCAATGTAATCATGCCAACCGTGTAGTGAGGTGTACTTATCTCAACGAAATCGTTCAACTAAAGGGAATCCCTGCGTTACTTAGTGTTAATCTTGAGTTTATTTTTATTTTTTAGGCTTACTCGATATCATTAGATAGATCGAAGTCATTTAGTAATAGACCCAGTACTAGGTTCAAAGAGGGCCAGAAAACACGACGATTGTGGGGAGGTTCTTTTGCGCCCTTTCACATCATTTCGAGCATATATGTGAGATTTTGTAAAATAAACAACGGCTCACTAACCCAAATTCTCTCCCATTTATCATACTGTAGGCTCCCAGTACTAAACAATAAAGTCGTACACAAACCGAACCTCCACGCGCTTGTCAACCTTGGTTACGGAAATGTGTCGGCAGTACCGTCTCTCACCGTCAACCATCTCAAACCCCCAAATCTGGGTGGCAATCCAGCCACTTTCTTTGCTCTGGACGACGATCTTGAGAAATTTGCCCTCACCTTCGACTAACCAGCCGTTCTTGAGGAAGTCGTCATCAATCTCATCATGGCTGATCCACATAGTCTTGCCGATGACAGCACCGAACAGTGAAGTCGAGTGCTCGCGCAAGTTGTTGTCCACGCAACGACGCTCTTGGCCATCTTTACCAGAGGGACTCTGCGTGATGTCGATGTGTGTGACGGCGTCCGTGGACATGTTCGGGGGAGCAGGCAGCGCCGTGTACTGGTTCAAGTCGAGGGTGATGCTGGCCATGTTGATGCCTTTGCGAGCAAGAAAGCCGATACCTTGGAGTGCGAGGACGGGGTCCGAACTGTCGGAAAGCTTCTTGTTCTGTTTTGATAGATCAGCTTTATCCAAACAACTGGTTGAGACGAACTGGTAGCAATGAAGGAAGCCATGACGCGCAGCACATAGAGTGATACCCCAGGAGGTAAATATGTGAAATTTCAGGTATAATATGTTAAAGAAAGGGGCCCTTTACCAGAATCCATCGGCCGGTGAGGTTATCGATTGTCTTGGATGCAGGGGCCGCCATTTTTAGTTCTTCAGTATAATCGGAAGAGTGTTGTTGAGGGTGGATATGACCGAGGCGAAATGTGTTGCGATGTCTTCGAACGCTTTTTTCTCGCTATGAAATCAAGCCAACTTTTTCGATAAACGGGGAGTCGACAGGCAGAGGCGAGAAAAGAAAACGCGAGTGAAGTGCAGAATAACCAGACAAGACGATTGCCACTGGAACTCAAGGAGCTATTTGAATATTTCCCTTGACTCTAACATGAATACTAACAAGCCAAAAGCGATTCGACCCGACATTCAAGACCGGCATCAAAAGCTCCGACGCCGATGGGGGCGGTTCACATTCGTCGGCCTGGAGGGTTTCCATACGCATCCCATGAGATGTGGCGCTCATCCTACGGCGTAGACGCGAGGGATTCTGCCGATCTTCTGTGGCTATGATTGATGCGGTGACACGAACATAGCCAGCTCGTGGCAGGGCAGGATTGAGGTGAGACTCGATGTCTGGCCAATCCTGGTGAACAAATCTGAATAGGAAATGGACACTGACGCAGCTTACGCGGCCCAAAAGTGGAGATTCCGGGGGTGAGACACGCCAAACTAGCTGGGATTTAGCTGGGATTTAGCTGGGATTTAGCAGGCCAAATCATGGCAGTGAGAATGGGCATTTCCAAACTGAGTAAGTCATTCGAGGTGGCGATTAGAAAACACGGACAAGTAACGCCCGTCTTCCGACTAGATTGAAATGGGGATTCAGGTCTTCAGTCTCGGTACCCTAGACAACCCAGGTGCTCGTCTCCGTCATTCTTCTCACTGAAGACTGTATTAATTGCGTGAATTTGATGTTTCCGTACCAAGATAGACTCTCCCTCCTTGAACGTGCACGGCGTCCCTCGCAAAATAAATCCCAATGCAGCATGCATGGCAGCAGATCCCTCAAGTCGCAACTTCCTACCCCGATGCCGATATTAACTTACCTGCTCATTGAACTCAAATCCACAAAGCCACCCGTCTACAGCTGGGTATTCCTATTACCCCTGCAGCTTACATTTGCCAGATGTCGAATGGGAAGACAGACTGACGCCTCCTCTCCTCCGCAGAGAGGGGCTTAGGTGCCGGTACTAACTAGCCGGGTAGGGCTGATCCGCCAATCCATCCACCTAATCTCTACTAAACGCTCCAGGATCTTCAAGGCGTCAGCCTTACCATTGACGAATGAATTCATGTAAATCACCTAGTCTGATGGAGGGTTAGCAGATCATACATGGGATAACCCACTGCTGTCAGCCGGTTGTACGGCACGGTAAGCTCGAAGGGTTACAATACACCGTCCCAGCTGATCCCAGGAATCCATCATGGGCCTCTCAGAACTCAGCCTTGCCGAAGGAAAAGTATTCTCCGCTCTGATGGACAGTTAGCAAGTAGTACATGACGCAAATCTCTGCTGTCAGACGCTTATACGGCACAGTAAGCGCGAGAGGTCCCATTTCATTGTCACAGCTAAGCCTCGAATCCCTGCCATTCGAGATGCAGTTCCCTGCCATTCGAGGTGCAGTATCCATGTTCTCGCGTAAATCGGCCAATGAAACGAGTCAAACATGTGTGCGCAACCTAGATATGCTGAAGGCATGCTGAAGGCCAGGACATAAAAGATCCTCTCAAGTCCAGTCCTTTGTTGATGCTCAAAGGTCTGCGTTGGTTTAACAGCATCCTCTAACTCTACCGTCCTCCGAAGGCGCGAGATCGTACAAGCCACAGTCTCTCATCCATCTTGGCTGTTTTCTTCACCATGGGTGCGCACCACTCAAAGACGGCGAAGGACCATACCTGTCCAGTCCATTCTCTTTCCGAAGGTATGTCTCCCCCAAATAAGGTGCTTCGCAAATAACGCAAGGAATCTTTGCCAAAACCAACGTTTATGAGGAACGATGGTTGACGAGTACGCCGCTTGCGGCATCTTATTAGATGCGAAAAAGCCACTATTTGGCGACACTTCATTCTACACATTCAACAAGATTCTATCTGGCAGCTGTGCTGCGTTTGCCTGTCTGGTCATCTTCTTTTGCATTTTCATGCATGCAACACACTACAGCAAGCCTCATGAACAGTCAAAGTATGCCTCTTCCTTTCCTGATACTCGACGAGTCACGAAAGAAGTCATCGACACTGTCCTCTCCATAAGGCCTTGGTCAGGTTGGGTTCGAGTATCCGTGAGCTAATGACACGGTGAACAGGATCCTAAAAGTGTCACTCTTGATTCCGTTCTACGCAATCATATGCTTCTTGTCTATTGCATTTCCGGAAGCATTTGTTTACCTCGATCCATGGCTAGAGTTTGTCCAGTCGATATCTCTTGGGGCGTACTTCCTCCTCATGTGTCAGTTTGTGTCACCCAGTGACACTCAGCGAGACGTTTTCTTCGCTTCGCTGGTTATTGAGGATAAAAAATCCCCTTCTGGTCAAAAAGATGGGCTCGTTTGGTTCAGGGTAGGTGCATGTCCAAGTGAAGCTCTCCGTGTTGGGAAGAATGAAAGCACTGATTCCAATTTCGTGTAGCGCCGATGGTCGCTGATTTTCCAATATCCAGTCGTTTCATTAATCGCCGCAATCGCAACGGATGTTACGCAGGTGGCGGGGATCTACTGCGAATACGTCACTAAGCCATACTTTGCAAAGCTATATGTGAGTGATTCAGTCCATCTGCTACATTGGAATCCAACATTTCCTATTATCATCGTCCAGACTCCAGCTTGAAAACAGACTAACGGAATGGAAATCGCCCAATTAGATCAGTATAATACTAAATATTTCACTGACACTTGCCGTCCTGTCTGTGCTCAGATTCTACAAGGCCCTCAGACCCTACACCGAGAAGCACAAACCTTTAGCCAAGCTGGTTTCCTTCAAAGCAGTAGTTGGGCTAGGGTTTCTGCAGAGAGTAAGGCAACCCCAATCTTGCTGAGCACTTGTCGAGAGGATTGATTTGTTAACTTCTTTTTTCCCAACTAACCAGATCATCTTTTGGATCCTTTCAGATGTCAACGCGCTCAACCCAACCGACACACTCACGTATGCGGACCTTAACATCGGGATTCCAAATATGCTCACGTGCCTGGAGATGGTCCCTTTGTCGCTATTCTTCCTATACGCATATTCCTGGAATCCATATCTTCTCCACAACGTCCAAATCGAGACTCAAGATCAATCGTGCCGTTACCACGGTGGCTTCCTAGGAGTACGTGCTTGGGTGAGCATATTAAACCCCAAAGAAATTTTCGATGCGATCGTATTCGCTTTTACAATGAGCTCGAGGGAAAGCCGACTGGCAAAGACACGAGCTGCCGATAATACCCTGTCTCCCGAGTATAGTCTATTGGAGGATCAGTACCAAAGGAGAGGCGCATAGTTCGGTGTGTTGTCTTCGCTACCAACTTATTTGCCGAGGGACAAATTCCTGTTATTTTCATTGTGCTGTACTTTATTGCGGTCTACTCATATGCAGATGAGGGTCAGATATGAAAAGCAGTGAACAGCACATAGAAAATCAACAGCTAAAATCTGCAATAAGCTATAGATTAAATCTCATTGTGCATAATAAGAGGGACATGTGCGGTCAAGGTTTCCAAATTTAACATTGCATCGTATATAAAAAGAGTTAAAACAAATACACACCCGCAGCCTCTATATCGAATGACCTCTATGTTGATACCCAAATGCAGCGAAATATCCCAGAAAAAGACTAATGTAACTATCAGATCCCATCCTCATGTCCATCTCAGTGATCCTTCTTGTTCTTCTTGTGCCTGCAAGGTATGTTAACAACGTGTGTCGACGAATCGGGAGGACCAAGAAATAGAATGGATCCATCAAAGTACTCACTTCTTCAGCTTGCTCTCCAAGACGTTTGCGCCAATGGCACCAGCAGCGGCGCCTGCGAGGCTTCCAAAGAAGCCTCCTCCGGCCTTGCGTGTAACCCAACCGGCGGCACCGCCTCCAACAATTGTTGCACCGAGGCCGCGCTCGCCATCGGGGCCCAGTTGGCCCTGGGAATCGGCGGGATGTTGTGCACTAGTATTGTTCCCACCATATTGTTGCTGCTGCTGGGGGTAGGGAGAGACACCACGATTGTCGTAGGTGGGCTGCTGAGGAGCGTATTGCGGCTGGTCGATTGGAGTTAGAAAAATATCAAATGAGCGGCTCCTGAGAGTTGACAAACCTGCTGAGGGTAGGCCTGCTGGGCGGCGTAGTTGTTACCGTAGTAATCGCGGGCAGACATGATTGAGGATGGAGGTGATGGAAGTGTAAGTGGTGGTGTTTGTTTGGTGATTGGTAGAGTCTGGATTGGTTCAGGTGGATGGATGAGAAGATGTGAGTTGATGGAATGATGATAAAACTGCGATGAGACAGGAAATCATGGTGTATTAATACAGCAACATGGCCATCATGGTCATGAGAACGCCTTGCTACTGCACATGGATGCGCATCTTGGCGTTGGACATTGTAGCGGAAGAATGCAGCTGAAATTGACGTGTTTAGCGTCCGAGTAGCGGCGCAGTCACTGCGCCAGGCGAGCTTCGGCCACTGGACGCGTACGTAGAGAGCTTGGCAGGGCTCGTGATGGCGATCTATTCCCTGGTTCGGAGAGGCTCTCCACTGCGCCAGCCAATGAAGAGGTTCGAGATGGTGGCTCGTGGCTCGGTCTCGGTCTCGAATGGCGGAGCGCGAAGACGTCACCTCGGTATATCTCTGTGTGGCTGAGGATTGCTATTCACGGAGTCAGAGACTGGGGAATTGAACCGGCAGTTGAATTCGCAGCGTGACTATAGTCATGAACATGATGCTTTATTATTCTGTCTCGGTCGACTCCGCCATGTCCGGGCTTTGCTCTGTGTACGTGGCTCACTCTGCTGCGCGACAACATTAATGCGCAATCCATCTACATGTCTTGCACCATTTGCCATCCTATCCTGTAACTAGCACATTCGCCTGGGCTGTTACTATGCATCTATTTATAACAAGGTTAAACGTTATGGGTATTTGGATCTCAAGACGTATCGACGAGTCTGATGTGTTGGATCCGCAGCAAGACTCTAGCGGGGTGACCCCCACCGCAAACCCCCGTAAATCAGGGCTCGTTGGGCACTCTGCGAACTCTCTTCAAAAGTTCATTGAGGGGGTTGATTCATCTTACAAAGCCATCTTCACTCAACATCAATATTATAATTCTGCATGTGTATTGCACCCTGCCTCAATCACCGAGGATTCAAACAACATGGCCCTTGACCTGCTTAATGCCAATAATCTGGATGTCTCGCCACATCAGCGTACCCACAAAGCCGAGAATCCAGATAGCAGTGCCAGCAATCAACATCATCTTCTGCCCCTCAGCATATGCATTTTGGATGGCAATACGCGCAGGTGATCCCACGGGGTACGACAGCTGCACAGTGAGATCGGCATAGATCGCGACAAGATTAGGGAGTTCTGATTCAGGAAGGTATTCCGCGAGCTTCACAGGGAAGACACCCTGCCAGATGGCCGCAGCAACGCTGAGGCCAATTGCACCGCCAATTTGAGAAAACATAGACAGCACGGCAATAACAACGGCAATATGTTGGTGCGTAGCGGCTGCCATGGCGGCGATTGGATCGCAGATGATGATGGTGCCGCCGGCAACAGAGACGAAAATCTGACACATGATGATGTAGCCGATATTGACGTCGGGTTTGCGGAAGTTGATCATCAGAGCCAAACCGAAGATACTTAGAGGAACAGCCATGTAGAGAGTTACAGGCTTGACTCGACCAGTGTACCGTACGAGCACACCTACAGCGATGGCCGTCAAGGAGGAGCCCATACTGTAAGTCTGAGCGACATAGCTGGCCTTGGTGACGTCAAGGTTATTGACAACCTGCAGGAAAGAGGTAAAGTAGCTCATCCAGCAATAGTAACTGATAAAGAGCGTGGCGCCGAGAATACAGGCGCCAAAGACGGTGCGATCCAGGAGGAGAGAATAGGGAATAAAAGTAATGGGGGCGAAGAATTTCTCCCACAGAGCAAATGCAATAATGACAACAAAGCCAACAACAAGTAGGGCGATAATAATAGGGGCACGCCATCCTTCATTTTGGAAGTAGTAGATGTTGAAGGGCAGGAGAAATAGAGCGAGACCAGCAGATAGCAAAAAGAGACCAATAGCATCAAACTCGCGGCAGTAGTAGATGAAAGACTCCCACGCTGTCCTTTGACTGTTGGACTCGGGGATAAGGCCCTGATTCTTGGCCTTCTTGAAATTGTATACAAAAAGGCCGTAGAGCGGGAGGGTGAATAAGGGCACAAGGATGCAGAAGGTTCCAAAGCCCCAACGCCAGCCCGGTCCATTGAGAAAGGCTTCAGAGATCGGTCCAGCCAACCAGATGGTTATAAGATTAGGCGAAGCGGAAAAGGCGGTCATCATAGCTCGGTTTCGCAGTGAAGATGTATCGGCGACGAAGACGCTGACACAATATAGAATGGCGTTGTTCCCGACGGTGTAAAAGACTTGGGCGGCAGCGTACGTCTCAACATTGTTGCAGGCAGCCATCATGATCAGGCCGATAGTCGCAAAGAAGACTGAGAGCAGATATCCCTGCGGCCGCCCGAATACGTCGAGGATCTTGGCGAGGCTGAGTTGGAAGACGCCGCCAATGATGTTGCTGAAGATGCTGACGGTCGGAGTGAGCGAGTGCGCGGCGAAGGCAGACGTGACATAGGGGGTGATGGATCCCATGGCACCTTGTTGCATGGTCTCGACGAAGTAGATGATGAATATCATGGCGTAGGCGGCGATAAGGGAGCGGGTTGTCCATACTGAGGTAACGGCCTCGATGTTCTGGACACCGGCCTGGGCATCTCGGTCGATGGTATCATCGCCATCGGAGCTTGGGCTGTCCTTGACGACGACGCCAGCCTCCTTTTCAGCGTCGGCGTTGGCGTCGGCGTGCGGCGTCGCAGGCTGCTGTTGGACCTCGCTCATTGTGCTTGACGGCTTGGGATAGGTGAATATGGAGAGAACAACACGGGAGCGGCTGAACAGGGCGAGAACGAATGCGCAGAGAGTTGAGACGGTCGGTGGGAAACTGACTTAATTATACGCACCTCGCTCAAGTGAATGTGGGCCGACCAACAACCAACAGACAAACAACAGATAACCAATAGATCTAAATCGACCTCCCTAAAACCAGCTCAACTCTGGCCCCCATGGGTTCGCATTGGATAATGTGCGAACTTGTGGACCGCAGGGGCGTCGAGCTGGCCCACATGGTTTTGATGCGCTGGATCGCACGCCGGCTGCGTGAGAAGACAAAAACGGGCACGCCTTGGTCGGGATTAGAGCTAATTACCACCGAAGAGGTAAAGGGGTCAACCGTATGTGGTAAACCTGGGTCAAAGTCGTTGAGATCAAGGTGGGAGTCGATAATAGGGCAGCCTTGTTCGTCGGCGATTCCAGCTAATGTTATCTCCAACTAGCCCAGGACGGAAGGTCTTTCAGCTACAATTGTCGTTCAAGGCCAAAGAATCTTCCCATACGAATAAAAGACGAATAACGTTACGAAAATTTACTTTGGTTGAACTGCGCGCGTTGGATTGCGTGCACGGGGTCGGCTCGCAAATGCGGGTTGGAAACCTGACCAATGGTAACGGCCTCAAACCTTCTCATCCATCGGGGGCTCGCACTCCCGTGGGCAATACGCGGGCGCCAGGGGCCAGTCTTATATCCCGATTGAGCCATCGTAATCTAGACGAGCTGTCAAACCAACAGGTTGCCATGCAGGTGATACGATTTTGACACGATGGTCTGCCATCCAAACCTGACTTGGGGAGCTACATCGCTCATGTATTATGTGTAGCTAGCGAGAGCCACAGGACAAGGCTTTTGAGGCCCATCTAATCCGCTTTCACGAGTATCGCTAGGCGTTACATGTAGAAGAGCAAAGAAGTATGGAAGTACTCTCAGCTGTATACTTAGTGTAGAGTATACTATGGTGGTGCCGGGAAGATAAAGGGATTTCGATAACGCTTCGGACTCCTTTTTTAGATGGCACTGAGGTGAACCACGCTTTAATTGACGCTTACTATTACGAAACTATTCTCTCGCACATCCGCTCCCAAAATAAGGCAACTATGTCAGCCGAGTAATTCACTTAATGGACGTCAAGTCTATGTTCTGCTAGAATTTGGAAAGTGCACATAACCCTTCCCAACAACATACGTCGCAAACCACGGAATTTCCGGCGTCTCCTCCGCAAGCTTCCAGTAGAAATCGCCTGCGTATTCACCGGAGAGCACATCTATCGGCACTCCCCGCCCCTCAACATCACGTTCATCGGCGAACCAAAATCTGCAACAATTAGCAACATATTCAAGATACAAGGTCCAAGCAGCACTCACTTGTAGCCCTTTTCTTTGTAAAACGCAGAGGCCGAGCCGACCCAGTAACTCGCCGCACTCTTACCCGTGCCCAGGCCAACCAGGAGTGGCAGAGGGCTTGTGGCGCCAGCGAGGCCGTTGCCAGTGTAGATGAAAGCCTTGGGGAGTCCCGCCGCCGTGGCTTCGAATCCGGCCACGGCCTCCCTGGCCGCGACGTAGGCGCTGGTATTGAGAACCGAAAGATCTCGCTCGAGTGCCTCAATCGGAACAGTAAACGGATTCTGGGGATCCGTCGGCGGAGTCAGAGCCGCCGCGTTGTACACGACAACGTTTGGAGGGCCGCCGAGTATCTCCTTGACCGCCGTGAAGATGGATGGCACCGACGATGGGTTGCTCAGGTCTGCTCGAAGGGTTGTGTCGCCCTCAGAAGTCGTCCCTCGATCCTCTGCGCTTCGAGACACGAGTGCGACACGATAGCCGGCAGATCTGAATTTCTGGGCGACACCTTGACCGATATTTTTTCCGGCACCAAGGACGAGGACGATTTTGGTTTGAGAAGCCATGGTGAAGAAGGAGTGATAGAGTACAGCTCTAATGAGGCTATTGAGAACAGATGGAACAAGTGGTGCTCAAGCACAGTATATAATTTTGATGATAGCACGCAATCTACATGGCGCGAAAGACGAGCGAGGTTGCGAATATTGGCTCATGGCAATTGCGGATGACAAATCGGACAATCGACTGACTGTTTGTTGGGAGTGCTCGGACATTCCGGAAACCCGAAGAGGCCGATAGGTTAAGACGGATTAGGAGCAACGACCCCAACAATTCAAGTCGATTGTGCCGCAATTCAAGCCAAGATGACTGTGACTTGTAACGTTGAATTGGATTATGTAATTCTGTTGGTGTAGTGTTAGACGGAAGGGGTCCGGTCCGCCCGGTCTGGCCGGATGACGAAGGAAACCGGGGTCTTGGAGACTGTAGATGAGGGAAATCCGTCATCGGTCAAGATGATTGCAAATACAGTCAATCAATTGGCCCTTGGAATATTAACTGGCGAATATGAGAATTGGCGCTAACAAAATGTGGCTGTGGGATATTCCCATGCATCGATTTTCAAGCTCATCAAGACAGTGAAGTGAGCCAGATAGGTAGACAGACTATTATCGTCGAGGAAGCCGGCCTTATTAACCCACTCGCAATGGTTGCCAAAGGGCTCCGGCGCCGGGTCGGAGTAGCAGTACGACCTCAATTTCCCTTCGGGACACTGCTTGATGCATCCTGAACTAATTTCGGTCTGTCGGAGCATCTCTTCCTCATACTTTGTTTCTTTACACTTTACAAAATGGGCCATCCGATCAGCGAATACAAACACTTTTCTTGGACCTAACTCTTACATTCCACGCTTCTATGCTTTGAAAAGATCATGACGCCACTGTTGCCTAGACTTCAGTGTCCCAAGCATCCTCATAACTAATACTGAGAGGTGTGTGTCCCACGGTTACTTTTACGGTAAATCCAGTCCGACAGTAAATGATCGAGAACATTTTTCATTTACACTATCCCTCTTCGCAAGTATGGCTTGAGTCTGGTTGGGGTATGTGAGTAAGGGATAGTTGAGGACACGACGGACAACCACCACGAGAACGACTTACTCGTATCATCAACATTACTTTCTTCTGTCTTGACGTCTACTCTCTGCACCAATGCTTAAGAAGAAACTGTATCCCTCGATTTGAGCCACTTTATTACAATTCGTCAAATACACTGTCGAATGCATCGCCTTCTTCTGTTACGTCTACACGAGACTGCACCGTATCCGATGAGGCATGGTGAACCTGTGTAAATTTGACATTAATCACCGATAAACCAGATTCAGTAGCATATAAATTCTGTGAATAATAAGGAACGGGATACACATGGCCTTCCCTACTATCTAGTCTTAAAGCTCATACTTTCCGATTAATACGCGGTCCCCGATAATTCTTCCTCCCATCCACAGCCTATTGATTTCGGGCACCTGGAAGCTCTGTCTCTGTATGAGTAGAAATTCAAGGTTGCAGACCGCCTTGAGATGAGTAGCCTTTAAGACGTACGCTTCATAGATTACGTGCTTGCGTTGAATATTCCATCTATCCAAAGATATCCGCTCGATGATATAGAGAAGTCTCTTGCAGCCACTGGCCTCCGGTTCATTGCTGCAAATCTCGGACTGCCAATCTAGAGTGGGTTGAACTAGCAGGTCTGGATTTGAATGTTTTCACTATAGGCTGACATTGTTTATCCACGTCGCATTAATCTGCTATCAATTTTCAATGAGGACCACTTATCCAGAGGACAAAGTCTAAGCAATCCGAAATCCATTTCTGTGTAAGGTTTCTGTGTAAAGCCTGAGGTCTTGCATCTCATATCATGGGTATTACCTGTCTCCAAATCCCTGAGGCCAACATAGGCGCAGTATCCATGGCTGTGAAGAACAGAATGGCCATAAGTGTAGCCCTCCATGCCAGAACATGAGTCAGAAGTTCATCAGACTCTTTATTGTCGATATTGCCGTCCTGTGAGCCTCTCAGTGTGTGTCTTTGTGTGTCTTGTATTCTGGGCACGTTACATCAGCCCCACTGGCCACTCCTCTGCGGTTGTTTAATGTGTCAATGAAGAATGGGACGGCCGGGCTCTCCTCTTGCTCAACCTCCCAAGCATATCTCCTGCCCCTAATGATTACGTCGGCCCCTCTACCGAATATGAGCATTGGTTGGTTCGCGGCTTCGTTACGAGCGTCCACCAATGACTTCACATTCTCAAGCATCGGCTGCGTAACAGCCTCAAACTCGGCAAACGTCTCCTGACTCGCAAAACGGCCGGTGGGTTCTTTCAGCTTTTCGTTTCTTTCATATTTATGCGGCGAGTCTGGGGTCTCATACGCCTGAAAGAAACCTGTCAAGAGCTGGGTTGGTGTTTCTTTGTTGCCAGGCAGGGTTTCGCCGAGAATATCCAATACTTGATGTAGACTTAGTGTGTTGACAAGCAAGCGGAATGAGAGAATAACGATGTGAGAGCTTGTGCTCCGCTTGTATAACCAGAAGTCTATCGCTGTAAGTAGAACCAAGACGTCCTGTCGAAGTTGTGGGAGTTTCTCTGTCGGGTAGAGGGCAAGCCAAGATGTGAAGTCGCCAAACCCTAGCCGAATGCTTGCGCAAGCGGCAACAACATTGTGACATGGGCAGTGGCCAGTCTGGTCAGAAGTTTCCTCCGCAAAGAGGCAGTCAGCGTACTTGCTCCGGAGTATTAGCTCGAAGATGTGAGCTTGTCGGGGCATCTGCTCCGTGGTGCTAGAAGCATCGTATTGCTCCTCGGTTGTCATGTTGCAGCTAATGGAAAGGTGCGTAAATAAATTCCCAACTGGTAAAGTGCTCCATGGGAACGTGGGGGGGCAGCGTCTAGGTGCCTTGGCGACAACAAGGCCGAAGAAAATGGTCGAGTAGGTAGGACGTTTGCTTAATGAAGCGAACTTGGGTAGCAGGCTCCACCACTCGTATCTTACAGGGATTGAACGAAGGGCTAACCAACGCGTGAATGTGCGAGGGGCGGTGATATTGATCTTTTTACTGAGGCCTGAAAATCTAAACACGGTCTTGGAGTCTCCCGAGGTAAATCTATTCGATATGAGAAGAACACCATCTGCATGTTTTGCGGCCAGGTTGAGGTCGTCTGTGGATAGCTTGCCTAGATCAAAGCTCATTGTCTTATAAGAGGAGAAGGCTCCGATCAATCCCATATTCGCGTGTTGCCGCAGTTCGAACTGAAACGCCGGGCTAGTCAAACTAGGACACCGTGATCCAGGTTCAAGTAGCCACAATGGTTTCTGAGACAAGGCTATGAGAAGGAAGACAAGTCGCACTTCAACTGCAGCGGAAACAGCCACGAGATCGCTAGGCAAGTAATCGGCCACCGTAGTTACAATGGCCTTATCGCCTAGGTCCAGATCGGCGAGTCCGGCCATTTCCAGAAAGGTGAGCCATGACGCCCCTGTTCCTTTGTGATTTTGGATGCGCTGGTCATTTTCGTTTTCGGTCTCGTTTTCGGCCGCTACCGGAGTCTGATATTCTCTAGGGGTTGTTCTCTGATATTCTCTAGGTCTTGTTCTCCGATGTGATGTCCTTGCTTCTCTTATCTCAAGATATGCCGCAATATTCTCGACGGAGAGGATCGGGGTTTGTGCGACGTAGAGATAGCCAAAATCCCGCCACTTCCACTGCGGCTCTGTCATTTTAGCCCATTTTCCAATAGCTTCGGGGTTCGACTTTCGACGGGCTGGACCCGCCGCTAGCACAGCTTGGATAATTGTGATCAATGCGAACCCAGCGGCAGCAAGAGAGATGGCGACTGTGAAGCCAAAAGTGATTGGGTCCCATTCGTATTTACCATCATCCTTTCGGCGCGCGTCCTCCAGAAAGTCGAGCAAGGTGCGAAGGAGGCAATCTGTCGAGTTGGCCTCCTCAGTACACTTGGAGGCCAGCGAGTTCATTGAGACTTCAAGGAGGACCTGCGTCGATTGAGTAGCTTGTTGGATATTGACGCTAGAAGAGTAGAACAAGAAGAAAATTAAATACCTCAGTCGGATTATGTTATGTCACGCAACTCGCTCCAGGTTGACTCTAGGCTGACGCAATGGTTGGGCAGCTTTGCAGACGCCACATCCAGTTAATTGCAATAAGGCGCATTCAATGTATTAATCTGCTGGATTGACCCTCACATGGCGGAATAAGGCCCGGATGAAAACAACCCCTTGATATTAAATCCATTATAGTGAAATGATTCATATATCAGAAGATAACTCCATATTATAGAACCTCTAATAGATTAACAATTTAACCTTAGAAGAGAGGTCAGTCATAATTCTTTTTAGCTAGTTTAATAGTTGTGCTCCTCTTGAGCTCAGTCGGCACTGGCTGCTTGTTCGTAGGCCCAACTGCTCCACATTTGGCCCAGCTTTGAGGCCGTGATTGATGGTACGTGGGTTGTACTCAGCCACAAGACTCTAAGGTGGTTCCAGTGCTACTTTATCCGGGATTTACAGGTTCCGCTCCATCCTGGTCTGTCAATCTGGGCCTCATTGCGACGATCAGGCTGTGGCTGACAACTACTTCAAGATGGAATTTGCTAACCGATGGTGGTTTACGCTTGTAGCCTAAGAGGCTCATGCTGGTCCTATTTCGGTCTTTGGGAGCATCTCTTTCTCACATTTGGTTTCTTCACACTTTACAAAATGACCCCTCCGATCAGCGCGTACAAATGCTTTTCTTGGACCTGACTCTTGTATTCCACGCTTCTACGCTTTGAAGAGCCATCACGCCACTCCTGCATATGCTTCAGTGTCCCCAGCATCCCTCGATTATAACCACCTTATTCCGAATGATCAAATGCACTGTCGCGTGCATCGCCTTCTTTCACGGCGTCTACGCGAGACTGCAGTATGTCCGGTGGGAAATGGAGAACCTCAGCTTGACATTAATCGCCGATGAACCAGACCCAGTGGTGCATAGATATTCTATAAATAATGAAGAAAAGGGGTACAGGTGGCCTGTTCTACTTTTTAGTCTTGAAGCTCGTGCTCCCCAATTGTGATACGCGGTCCCCGATAGTTCTTCCTTCCATCTACAACCCATTGAATAAGCGAAATAACAATAATGATGGCAAATGCCACAATACAGTAATTCATCGTTGTCCCAGTTACCGGCAACGCTGGTGGGAACAAGAAAAGTACGCTCGTGACAATCGTGTAGACAAGGCCAATGAGGTTGGTAGTCCAGCCCAGCCATGCAGGCATTGAAAACTCTCGCTCTGGCAGCCGAGTTCGTCCGTATGCAACGTGTAAGGCGATGGGGATGCCATAACTCAATCCGAGAGCCACGACAGAAGATGCGACAATGGCATTGAACGCAGCCGTCGATCCGAGGAAGATGCAGCCAAAGATGATGACAATCGCAATATTCAGGTAGATTGCATTCAACGGTACACCAAGCGTAGGGTGAACCTTCCACCAAACCGCAGATGCTGGAAGTCCGCCATCTCGAGCAAAGGCAAAGACCATTCGAGAAGAAGTCGTGAGAACGGCAGTGCCGGCCAGTACCAGACAAACCAGTGGGAACATGAGAAGACACACGGCACCCACTTTGTTGTTTGTCGCCAGGTAAAAGATCTCAAGTAACGGGCCTGCAGAAGACTCGATGATTGTCGAAGTATTCTTCAGGCCTCCCGAAACGAAGAGAACGACGGTCAAGAACAGGAAGCCAGTCCCAATGCCAATGTATTGGCAGTACAGCATTATCTTCGGTCCTTCGATCGCTGCATTGGGGATTTCCTCAATCATGTGTGCCACCGCGTCAAATCCAGTCAGGCCTAAACCTCCCTGAAGGAGACCCAGAAGCCAGGCAATTCCATCTGGCCAACCCGTCGTGTTGATAAAGTGCGTAAACACGTAGTCTCCCGTTGCGTAATCGGGTGCTGCACAGGCCAGTAGGGTGATGGAAAGGATGAAGAATCCGGCGATGCTCCACACCAGAGCAAACCCGTTGACGTGTGGAAGTAGTTTGTGTAGAAAGGCGTTGACAAAGAAGGCAATAAAAGTAATGCCCAAGTATATGAGAAATTGATGCCACCTGTAGAACTGATAGGTTGGGTGTATCAGGGAGATGATGTTGATAATCAGGGTGCTGGCAAGCGAGCTGTTTGTCGCCACAAGAGCAACCCACCCTGACATATTGATCCACCCCGTCACCCAAGAAAGAGGCGCTTTGAGTGACTCCGGCGCAATCATGGCTACCCAGTGGTACTGGCCACCAGCCGTGGGATAAGCGGAGAGGAACTCTGCGAGGCTTGCTGCAAGCGAGAGATTGCAAACTCCCGCGGTTACGAGCCCCCAAATGATGCCAACTGGGCCGCCGGAGGGGAGAGCCAGGGAGAGCGAGGATGCAAGAGCAGTCCATGAGTTGAGAATAGCGAATGCCAATCCTAGCATAGACCAGCGACTGAATTGTCGCTTGAATGACTGCGCATGTCCCAGCTGAGCCAACTGAATGTCGTCATTGTTGATGTCCTTCATGATGTCGTTGTACAAAGGAGTCAACAGCGAATGGCCATGCAGGTCGACTTCTGTCTGAAATAAAGACCAAGTGACAAGAAATGTGAGCTTAGCCAGTCCAGTGAGTTGTGTAATCTGGAGTTGGCTGGCTTACTGGGACAGAAAACATCCAAGTAGACAGAAAGTCTTGCTTTAAATGTGATGCTTGCTTCCTCAATATGTACTACATAGGTATCATGCATCGGTAGCCAACGCGGGGAACGATGTCGGATACTAAGAGAGCTACCGGTCTCTTATTACCTTCCTTAAAGGGCAGCACAAATGAATCTGCACACGGGAGTGGGGATTAACTGAACCGCCGGTGCTGCTTCATCCTAGCGTGCACAATCGATGCTGATCCCGGTGGAGGCTACCAAGGGCCCGGACAGGGTTCACAATAACCATGGTCAACGATAGCAAGATAACGTATCAGGGCATGACCTTCATATTAGAGATAACGTGCAGTAACGAGAGATGTTGAGTCAGTCCGGCCGAAGTACACGTGGAGATTGGATGTATTGCGTGCGGGGTCTGGAGAAAAGTCCCCGATGAAGAGCAAAATGTGGAGAATTATTGCTCATTTATTCATTAGAGCGTTGCTCTCCTCAGATTGTTATTGTACCGTTGCAATCTTTTGCCTTAACTGGGTAAGTCAGTTTACCCACTTCCTCCGCTGCTAGTAGAATGCTAGTTAACTTCCAAAATCGGCCTGTGGGTCTGATCATGATTGTCATACACCACAAATACCTTGCTTTGGATGTGCGACAATGAGGTATCGGTGGCCGTGCGCAGCTACATCAATAGTATGGCCGTAAGCAGATGTATTATAAATATGAGCGTCCGCTTTAATGAAAATTCCAGCCGCTAGCCCTTTTACTTCCTTATTTCCGCGAAATTCCGTAGCCTGGAAACCTGTCTGTCCTGCACTTCCCGTTGACATCCGGGTCCAAACGCTGCTCTCAGTAATTGTGACACGGGGAACAAAGACACAGTGGATGCAACCAATGGATTTTCTCATCGAGGTCAATAGATTATATAGTGTACATTAAAACTAAGCAATCTCTGAGTTATAACTAGTCAATTGCCAGTGAGTGTTACTATCTTCAATTTTCAAGCCAAAGCATGTCAGAAATAGGAAGCGAGGTTCATTGTCTTGGAGCCAGTGCAACTCTTAGACTTTGACATCAGAATGATACGAGTGCGGATACCCCTAGACACGGCTGGGAGAGGCTGAAGCATCAACGTGAATGATGTTGTCATTGCTGTCAACTTCGTAGACCTTCCTCTGCTTGGATGCCTTGACGGGGCTTGCCGAAGAAAAGATGTGGTCAAGTTCCTCGAGCTGTAAAAAGCATGTTAGATACGATGCGTTGAAAAGACGTCAGGGTTTTAAACCCGGGTAGCTTACAGTTCGGTTCTTCGTCTCGGGGACGAGGAAGTACAGAATACCCGACTGGATGAAGCACCAGACACAGAAGACGATGTAGGTCTTCCAGGCAATGTTCTTCAGCGCCACAGGAATACCAAACTGCATAACAAGCATAGCTATGTGGTAGAGTATGTTAGCGCCACGGCCCTCGCTAGTTTATGCTAGAGCATTTCGTACCTGCTGAAGTGAAAAGGGAGCTGAAAGCCATCCCCTTGGCTCGAATCTCATAGCTGAGGACTTCAACCGGGTAGAGAGCCTGGAGGGGCGTCCATCCAACGGAATAGCAGATCTGGAAAATGTAGACCCAAGCCAGAACAGCCTTGCTAACTGAAGGGGAGACGGCATCGAGCTGTGACTTATCATCAACATCCGTGATGTTTCCGATCGAAGCAGGAACAGTGACACCGATCCAGCAGAGGCCGCAGACGATATTGACGATGACTAGCATGGGACGACGGCCCACAGTGTCGGTGATGCTGGCACCAAGTGCAGCGAAGACTATCTGGATGGCATTCATACCGACGGCGATGTTTGTCTGCTTAATGGAGTCGGTGATTCCAGCCGTATCGAGGAAGGCGCTGAGATAGTACGAGACAATGCCTGTTCGCACAAGTTAGCTGTCAGTGTTCTGATTGGGGAATTACAGAAAAGGACCGTACTGTTGCCCGCCCACTGTCCGAAGAGAGATACAAGACAGTTACACGTGAGGCGGTAGATAGAAGCACGGGAAGAGAACAGGGCGCGGTAATCCCACCACCTCTTGTCTGTGCCGTCCAACTCAAGATGCTGCTCATACTCGTTGAGCTGGAGCTTGACCCATTCGCTCTCGGGGTTGCCGTGGCCGTGGAACCGCACCAAGTTCTCGGTAGCCAACTGAATCTTGCCGTGAGTGTACAACCAACGTGGAGACTCGGGGAGCCACATGGCACCAAAGCCAATGACGCAAGGGAACAACAACTGAAGACCGACTGGAATCATCCACGACGTGTTGCCTCCGACGTCGAGCCCACCTCGGGCAGCACAGCTAGCAACCAGGGCGCCGACGGGCCACATGACGTTGTAAAGACCGGTGATGACACCACGGTGGGCAGGGTGGGAGACTTCGACGACGTAGACGGGTCCGGCAGCGGCAGCGATACTGACACCGAAGCCGAGGAAGAAGCGTCCGGCCATGAACTGGTCGACACTGGCGTTGAGGTAGGTGGTGAGCTGGATGATGATGCCGATGATGATAACCCAGGCGCCAATTGTCATGCCAACTCGTCGACCCCATGTGTCGATGAAGGGACCGACAAAGGGAATGGCGACGACGGATCCGATCTGGTACATAGAGGTGACAATACCTAGAAAAATCACAAGTATCAGTTGCTGGGAGCTTCAAGGGAGACTCGGCTTCAGTAACGCACCAGCTTCGATGCCGGCATTTTCCACTCCGAAAAAGCTTTTGAAGTTTTTGTTGGATAGAAGCGTTCCAAAGAGAGAGCCATCGTAACCATTGGCCGTCGAGCAGCAGAAGGCAACAAGACTGGAAATGATCAGGATGGGAGCCGCCAGCTTGGGCGGTGGCTCCTTGATCATGGCCTGCTGGAAGGCTTCATCTCCGATCGCCGTCTTGGTGGCAGCCACCTTGGGAGCGAAGTCGGGCTGCAGCAGCGTGTTAGCAATGGACAGAGTGTCGAGATGGACGCGTGGAACCTACATCGTGCTTCTCGTCGTTGATGGAGGACCCCATGGTGAGTGTTGCCGGTGGCTCTAGTAGTTGTGCTAGATGTTGTTCACTGGATGTGGTGGAGAATGTTTCGATGCTTGGTCTTCATGTTGAGAGGGAACGAAGCAGTATATATAACTAGGTTGCGATTATAGACGCCCAGTCTGGTGGTAGTGTGGTGGTGCTGTCGGGGCCGCGATTCCATGCCCTGCGCGCCTAGAACGCGACCTGCAGATCTGGTTCAACACCTAGATCTCAGAGGGCTGACAATTTTCAGCCCACCAAACACCCTCTTGCTCGTCAACAATGGCTCCTGAGACGGATCGACGGACGAGCCTCCGGCGCGCGTAGGCCGTTGGCGACATCAGGTGGCTGTCGCGGTTCGGGGCTAGACTCGCTCGCAGCCCTTGTCCCCAGTCCCGTGGAATTTGAAGGAGCAATGGATTCGATGGCAGAGCCGGTACACGACGATGCAGTCCCGACTGAGGAGGGATCTCTGCTATGAACTGATGGATGGGCGGACCAGGTAGGACCGACTGGAGAAGGCTGCGCGGACTGATTGGCCGCTGTTACGACTGCCCAGCTGAAGACGCAGAGCCACAGCGCTCCGTCTGCCGCCGCGAGGCCACGGTCAGACGCTTAATCTAGGCTCGTCGGCCTCGTGGCCCGCCAAGCGTGTAGGGGGCAGACGAACGGGTGGCTTGTCGAGCGTGTCGACCGACTGCGCAGCCGGGCCGAGCTGCGTGGAACGATTCCGGTTGTCCCAGCCGCCGACCTTGGCGGGACGGAAATTCTCTCTCCCCTCGTGACTTTCTCGTATGAAAGCAAGGGGGCTCGCTCGCCAAATCCGGACACAGGTTGGCCGGCCCGTCGTGCCGCACTTCCTTTTGATGGCGAACCCCTGCGTGTCTCGGCGGCGGACAAGGGTTCCGGGAGATGCCACGGGGTAGGAGAGTCACTTGTCGACATGAGAAGAGCAAGAAAGGTTTTGAATACAGATTAACGATGAAGGTATTCGGATACACCACTTTCTCTACGTGATCGACAGGTGTAAACATTCCGCCATCTAACCGCTTCAAGACCGCCAAAGGCTACACGAGAGCCAACACGACGAGCCTTGCCACGCTTAATTTTAGCTCCTTTCCCCGCAATAGATTCCACTCTTCCCCAAAGGACTTTTCCCACTAACGGAGCAATCCCCCGCATCTCCGTCGCTGCCCACGGGGTTCTGATCGAGCCAAATGCCACCACGAGGCGTAGCCGTTCCTTCGGTAAATTCGGGAATGATGGCTGCGAATAAACTCGTCCTCGGCTTGAGGAGCCTTTTAATCCGGGGTATGAAGATGCACTGGGCCAGGCTTGGACGGGCCTGACGCCCAAATGCCTTTAATGCTAGCGTCTTGCTCTGGCTCCGCTGCGACCCGGTTCTGTCAGTACTCACACCTACGACCACCACGCGAAAAGTGGGAAAACAATACTTTACGTTTTCAAATCTCACATTTGTAAGGCCACTGGCTGGTTTTAATCACTCGTTCTTCCTCTACCTCTACCTCCTCGGAACCCAGTGACTGAGCAGACATCTTTTCTGAAAACACCTCACGCACACCTCCGAAGCGACTCGTCCGTCTTCTTCCTGGGCTTGTCGCTGGGTTTGGTTGCATTCACTCACAATTTCTCGTCGACTTTCACCGCGACCATGCGATACTCAGTGCCCTCAAAGGAGAGCGTCGCCCCATCTGCACCTTGAAGTTGCCACAGACGAAGAGGAGGTCCAGGCTGTAGATGATGCCTTCGCAGTCCAGCCCAAGGAAGTTCGGTCACGACGCCGATAAATGCGATACAAAAATCCGACTCTGTCACACAACCGCCGCAGTATCTGCAACAAAGATCAAGGCTACATCCACGTTGAGCTCCAGCTGCAAACCACGTGTCCCTGACTCGGGACGACCAATCCACCACTACGGCCGGTGAGGTTCTTGACTCGTTTCCTCAGGTCCGTCCTGCCTCTGTCCATGTGAAAGAGGGGAAAGTCTTTACCCTTTGGTCACCTGAGCTTGATGTGCTGTAGACTTACGTGATGGTGGCAAACTCGACTCTAACCACGGGGCCTCCACCTTGACCAAGATCAAGCGGCCCGAGCATCGTCGGCATTAATGAACTTCCCAACATGGCCTGCACCGCCGAGGCTCCAGTTCCACAGTTCATCCTATCTGCTTTCTAGTGAGGTGAAGACTCGCAACCTGGCTATTGAGTATGTTGCGCTCGTTCCCACTCATCATACCTGGAGTGACATGCAAGCAGTCTATTGTATTTTTGAATGCCAGTCGGTTCTTCCAATTGACGCACCTCAACAGCATCGCTGGCCCACGCTGCAGGACCTTGGACGGAGTTCGCTTTCCTCCAAACCAAGACAGACAACATATCCGTCGCATTATTCCCCAGTCCGGTCGCTTGTCGCAAATATTCCAACACATTGAGGCGCATCCCATAAAGCTCTGGTCTCGTAACTGGTGGTGTCTTTGTGGCGGACTGCCAGTCAGCGAATGCTCGCAGGCATACTCATGCCCTTCCAGTCGGGGCGGCCTTGAGTGTCCCGCCGCCGAGAGACTTCACCAGAGCGGACGTTCAGGGCCCTTTTCGTCTGTAGTAGTAAGTCCAAAAGTTTCACAATAAAGCCTGCAAAAGATGATTGCGTCAGAAGCAACCACCAAGGTTCCACATACGGTAATGTTAGTGAAGATCACTCCTATCCGTTTGGCCTTGAAAGGATCAGCAGGATCGGCAATTCGGTTAATTTGAGCGACAATGGGTGGCCACACAGTTATCCACCTCTATCCTTCCTGGCAATAACCCCAACTCAGATGAACACATGCAACTCTTCCTACGCAATAGAAGATGGTAAGAACACCCGGAAAACTTTTGGAACCAGGCCGCTTTAGATTGAACTGTGACTTTCATCCATAATTAGATCGTCAACCTCCTGTCAAAACATCCTCAGACATTGAATGGAACATATCGGTGGGTCGAGATGATTGTGTCTTGGCTTCTGCTCTCAAAATTCCTCTTCTGCCAGGTGGAGGGACTTATGAGGCCAGACTAGACCTCCCAAACTACTCAGACGAGCTATGCATTACATGGCAGATGCTGAGACTCACTAACTCCTCGTATCTAGAGTCTTCAGGATTCGAAACGCAACCAGGTGCAATCCCCTTGTGACATCTGACTAGGTAGCCATCTTGGCGAGTTATCCATCGCATGCCGAAATCCGAGTCGCTCCCAGGTCCCTGGACCATAGCAGTCTGAAAAGTGTTAATCGACAGGATCGCCTCGTTACTATTCCATTCATGCTCTAGATCACACATTCAAAGGATTCTTGGAGCTGGTTTAGGTTAGATTGTAGGTAACAGACGAAGCGCGCATACTCATCTGCGTACACCGTGGATCCCCAAAAGTTCGAGTATCTTGAAGCGCTCAAGGTGAGAGCCTCTTTGGTCATGTCCAATAAGATGTACAATGACGTCACAGAATTCGCTGAATAATGAAGCTTCTACCACTCCATATTCGTACTATATAAACAACAACAGCTACCGAGTAAGGAAGATTGGTCTCTACAATCAGACATCTTTTTTCTACCAGTCAAATCAACACTACATTTAACTCACCTCACCAATTCCTCCTCAACCATGATGCAATTATCCATTTTCGTAATTTCCAGCGCCAATACCCTTTTTCTGGACACGCAGCAGCTGGTTTCGGAGTCTAGAGAATCCAGGAAAGTCTCGTCGGCTCTGGCGTTTTCGAACATCCTCTTTTGACGGGAGGGGAGGAGACGTCCAGGGCGGCGCCGACGTTTACAACTACTGGGCAGACCATTCACACTGGCATGATCTTCGTTGTGACTGCTGTGGTCAGGGAGACTCGGTCCATCAAATGGCGACATGCGTTACGACGGGGAAAGCTACAAGCACGAGGGATACCCCCTCAAATTCGAGTCGATTCCCCCCGGGGCAGCCAAGGACGCCTGCTCTCAGTTGCTGGGGATTACACGCGATTACCTCATCCTGAGAAATGGCGAAGAAGAAGTGGGCGGGTGTGAATACGGGGGCCACTCGTTGTCGTTCACAGAGAACAAGAACACCATGGGAGTGCTTGCCCATATTGACGGCTTCCTCCATTTGTGGTGTAGCTCTCAACAGGTTTCTTTCTAAGCCTATCACGTTTGAATGAGACATTAGGCTAATCTTGATCCCAGCTGTACTCGCCTTCTCCAAGATCCCGTGCAAAGAAATTAGCTGGAGGAGATCGTCAACCCAAGTAGCATCCCCATAAGGGTCACTGCACATGGACGCTCACGGGGCCATTATTTCTTAGTAAATCAAGTTCTTTATCGCGCAGTCCTAATTCCTCGTGTGCATATTCCTAATCCAACCAGTACGAATCCAGGTCCATCAAAAAGTCCAAGTCGACATTGACGAAGCTCTTCCAAGGATCGACCTCTCTCATCCACGGCTTCGTCTGCATGGCAAACGTCACGGCCGTACAGTACTTGAACAGCTCCTGTTCGTCCGCCCCCATGATGAGAATCAAGTCCGCGCGATTAACCACGTTCTCCTTGAACTGCGCCTGCAGTATCTTCAGCCTGGAGGAGGTGACATTGTGCACACTACACTCGCTGCCCGGCAAATCCTTGGGCACACACTTCCACTCCCAAGAGCGGGAGGCGCTGTCGAGGAAACTGAAGGCCTTGCGGCGATCCAGTCTTAGCATGTACGGGTAGTAGTGCGGCGCCGACCACAGCCGGAGGAGGCTGAAGCGAGCTTTCGGATGCTTGGCTGCGAAGGACTGGACGCAAGGCAGTAGCTCAGGCCATTGATCCGGGGGCACTAAGTCGGACACCAAGTCCGCGGGGGTGATGCCGTGTGTGTCCTCGTAGCTGATGAAGAGATCCAGTTTTCCGGGACGATGAGGCTCTGTGTTGGCGGTGACGATTCCAGACAAGTATTTCACATCACTCTGTATATAACATGGTGCAATGAGGCCATTCACATACACTATTTGGCGTTGTTAGTAACTCTTTCTGAATGTGTGATACAACTAAGGGAAGACTGACGATGAGCGATGATAGGGCACATGGCAACACTCCAGTCCATGGGGTAAACATCTGCAGAAAATTCAGGGCCCTTCAACTTGTTCCATTCATTCCAGAACGCTTTATCGCGGAACTTGTAGCTCGTCCGGCCTCGTCGATCAGGCCGTGTCTTGCAGCGTTCCTGGGGGTTGAAGAGCAGCGAGTTTCTGAAACCCTCGCACTGGCTCGACTGAAGGAACTTGGTCATGGGAGCGGTAGCCTTCAGCTCTGGAAAGAACATGGCCATATGTGCAAAGGCCTGGACCAAGTCTTGGACGATGTAGTTATGAGACCACGGTGAATCCGGGTCTTCGACGTCCGTATCGTATTTTACCTGAAGTCCAAGCCATTTCAGAATGCCGACGAGGAACCAGATCCAGTCAGTTGGACCAGAGTAGGCATAGTCGAGCATGAGGGTTATCTTTGCCTGAACCTCGCGAAAGTTGGCAGTAGCCCCTGGCTCGAGATCTCCATCGTGGAAGGATTCCTTGTAGCCTGCGTTTCCCATTAGTTCATCGATCGTCAATGAGAGTGTTTTCACAAGCAAGCAACTCACCGATAGCCTTGTCGCGCTCCGACACTAGCAGGTCAGTCAAGTTTGGCTTTTTCGGCATCTTACCCAGGTTTGTGCCCCTGAGCAACAAACGCTGTTCTGCCGACATGTCCTTTTTGAGTAGCTGCTTGAGCGCCGTTTTGAAAATCCTAGGCAGAGCCCACGGCCCAGCCTCACCACTGGCATTGATAGAGGCATGGGCCTTCAGGGGACCATTGTTCCCGGTGAGCTTCTCGACGCTCTGGGCCATAGCCTTCGTGCCGCTGAGCATAGGGATCGTCTCGAAGCGGCTGATGATACTTTTGATCTCGCGGAAAGCCACGTCCCCATTCTTGCGCGTCAACTCGTCAGGAAACAAAACCTGGTCCTCGGCTGCGTTGGCCGCGCTGTAGCACGCGTATCCCACATCGCCGAGGCCTATGGCGGCATTGTATTGCGCCACAGACTCCCGGAGCGGGATGCTTTCGTTTATCAAATATTCCCCGAGATTCACGACGACTTCGCCTGGCTTGATCTGCCTCGTTCGCATTCTGTTGATATCGAGAGTGAGGGTCTGTAGGACCGGTTTCATGTTTACGTATAAATCGCGAGGTTGGGTGATGCGCCAGGCCCTGCGTAGTTCCTACAGCATCTGTCAGTTTGGCGGGTTGAGGTGTTTCGGCAAAACTTACCGACATAACGAGGTTGAACAGGCCCTTGCGGCACTTGTTAGGAGTCAAGTCCCAGATGACGACATCGTAGTAGTCGGTGAAGCCGAACTGCCATTGGCGCAGGTAATCGGTCAGTCTGAAGAACTGAGGGCCCACCTTCAGTACATCGTTCCATTCATAAAGGCCAGGTTTCCCAATGAGTTTCATCCTTCGATATGTCCACAGGTACTCGTCTGGAGGTGCCGTAATAACACGGCCAGTCTTTCCATCTCGAACCAGGATCGACACCTCGCCGGTTCGCATCTTGAGATATTGCAGAAATCGTCGAGTAACCGGGTCGTTTCGCTTCATATGAGCGGCTATGACATTCTTCGACTCGATATAGCCATAGAGACCCGGGTTCATCGACATGTATGACCTGGTTAAGTCCGCCTCAAGGTCCACGAAATATGGAAACAGCTTCATCTCTTGCAGCTGTTCTACGAGTCTGTCGCCACCCCAGGGCTTCCAGATCGAAGCATGGAAATACTTCCATTTGGCCAGGAGGTTCAGTTCATAGAACTCGTTCCAGTTGCGGCACAGCTGAATCGCATGCCCAAAGTCGCAGTCCTTGGCCATGACGGAGAATTGAAACCATCCATCTCGTGACATTGATTTCTCGCTAGAGTGGTTCCAAATGCTCTTTCCACATATAGTGACCTTTATCTTTCTCTTCTTCTTCTTCTTGGGTGGCTCGCCTCTCAACTTCTTAAAGACATTGTCAAAGAGCCAGTCTTGAGATTGAAGATGGTAATATCGTGAATCGTCCAAGATCAGATCTTCAAAGGACTCGTCTTCGTATTCTTCATCCGTCTCTTCCTCGTCGTCGTCGTCATCTACGTCGTCGCCTCGAGCAAAGTCGGCACAGGCATCCCGGATTTCCTGGAGACTTGGCTTCTCCACCTTGAGACAGAGATCTCGTAGGTCTGACTCGGTGATCCCGGAGTCTTGGAGGAATTCCCGCACATTGGTCGCTCGTAGGGCAGCCGGTAGCATGGATGCTTGGGCAAGCAGTAAACGACAGAACAAGAGCACCTTGATCTCGGTTATCTCCTTGACAACGGATTCGATCTCGTCATCGTCCATGGGGACCGTCTTGGCATCAGTTTGGTGGGAATTTTTCAGCGAGCAGCAAAATTGCCAGCCCCATGACTTTGTAGGGTCCTTTCCGACGCTCTCTTTCAGGCGCTTCCGCATCTCTTCTTTCGTCTCAATGTTGCTCTTGTCGGGCTCTTGTAAGTCGGCGGCCGCACCATCTTGCTTGTTTTGCTCTATTGATAGAAGCCAATGTTGACGGCTGGGGTTGCTGTTGGTTGTTGCATCCATCGAAGTGCTACTACCACTGCTTGTCTTGTTGTCAGTTCCGTTTGTCTTGTTGTCAGTTCCGCTTGTCTCGTTGGCAGCTCCGTTCGATTCGTTGGCAGCTCCGTTCGATTCGTTGGCAGCTCCGTTTGTTTCGTTGGCAGCTCCGCTTGTCTCGTTGGCTGCTTCGCCTGTCTCATTGGCAGCTCCGCCTTTTGCCTTGGACTTCTTCTTCTTCTTCTTCTTCTTCTTGGCTTTCTTTGGAGACTTCCCCTCTGGCTTTCCCTCTGGCTTTCCCTCTGGGTCAGTTGGAGGAGCATCTTCCTCGACCTCCAAGGCCCCCATCCAGAGGAAATGCTTAATCAAATCGACATAGCGGTTGCGGTCGTCCTGGGCCATGTCTTCAATGGGATCCCAGGTCTCATCGTCCTTCAATCCATCTGCCGACATGGCCATGCGTTCCCGAAAGGCGTCTTCGAGGTACGCATCTTGGCGCTTCTTCTCGTCTTTCTGGCGCTTCAGCTGCAGTCTCGCTTGCAGCTGCTTCCAGTGACGCTTGAACAAGGCAGCTTCCAGCTTGACCTTCTTTTGTTCCTTCTCGCCAATAGCTTCCTCCTCTTCTTGGATCTTGCGAACCCACGAGAACCACTGCTCCTTCTGGTACAGTACCTGAGCAGTGCGCTTCTCTACCCTGCCCAGGGCCTGAAGGACAATTTGGTGCTGGTTGCCCAGCATGTCGAGGTATGCTTGGTGGCCATAGTCCATATCAAGCGAGTAGAAATGCTTTTGATGCAGCCTGCGCGCATCGATGACCTTTCCAAGCAGAACGTACTTGTCAAACAAGTAGACGTGAATCTCTCGGAGCGTCTTCTCGTCCTTGATGCCCTCGAAGGTTTCTTTTGCAAGAGGGACCCGCGAGTTCTTCAAAGAGCGAGGAGCCTCACCATCCATAGCATCCAGCCTCCCATTGCGTCGTTTGTAGCCCTTGTATAGACCATGGGCCTGGTTTGCGTGGAATCTGCAGAAGAGACCGTTGGCGTGGGTTGCCTCGTTCGTGCATCTCTCGCTGTCAGAGAGCTGCAAAGCCTGTGCACGAAACGCGTCAGTGGAGTCCAGATTGTATATTAGAAGACGCTCAACTCACCCGACACTGCGCCGCTGATGGCACCATGATAGCCGCGATACCCCAGTGATGGAATTAGCTTTGCCGGACGATCGCTCGCCTTACAGCCTAAAGTTAGGCTTTGTCGGGATGGCGATTAGGCTCATCGTGGGGTAGGTAGATCGGGGCTAACATTGGGCTTCGGGTGGGACTTTATTTAACCCGGTGCTCTGTTATTGGAGCGGATAGAGCGGATGTTCTAGCCGGATAAAAGTCTGTCCCCACCGATGCATTAACCCTGTCTTCAGTCTAGGGTAAGTGAATATGGGGGTTCGACTGTCTACAGCCAGTTTACTGGCGAGTGTTAAATATTACAGTTGCGATATGCTGGTAGAGGCTTAAAGAAGACCGTCAGTAATGGCTTTCTTAATATAGTGAGACTTCTAAGACGAATCATTAATTCCTGATACTGCCTAACAAGTGACAACCCCACAGCACCCACCCTCAATCCCACTTTAAGCTCCTCTGATCTCCGCTTCCATACCAGGGAAACACGTGTGTTTTGCATAGGGCCCATGTAAACAATGCAATCTGAGCCAGGAGATAAGACTAACCAGCGTGAATACACAATACGAGATGCACGTATTATAGAAATACGAGCATAAAAATTATGATGGGATCCATTACAAGAAATGAAATTCCTGTTGATGCCTTAGCGTCGGGAGATAGATCCCTTGATTCCAGGGACGACCTTGAATTTTGTTCATCATATCCTAGAACCAGTGTAATCACTGTTATTAAGTGTATTTGGCGGGCTCGGCGTTGTCGGGCTCGGGCTCTTGTAGCAATCCGTGGGCCTCAGTTTATAAGATCCATCATGAACTTTACTTGATGAGGTTTACCATCCATGCACAGTTTACTCTAGCGTTCCTAGACCCTTGTTGAGATCTCATTTAACGCCCGTTAAAAGAGCAAATTGTCTAAAAACCTCGACCAACAGCCATGCCAGAGATGATCACCATTTTTAGACATAAGGACGTGCTGCGATAGTTAAGGAAGAATCAAAAGGCAACATAGCCCAAGTATCAAAAGTCAAAATCCAAGAAGAAATCAAGCATGCCCTTTTATTGACTTGGAAGGTGCAGCCAGGCTAACTCTGCTGTCATTAAACCCCAGCGCGTCTGTCAAGACTATCACAATATCCAGCAAGTGGTTACTTTAAATATTACTCCACTTCTGAATTTAAACATCCCTCACTAAGGAAAACATCCATGTCTTCAAGAATATTTAGCCCTACATTTATTGAGTAAGGTGTCTCCTCACTGAAGTCCGTTTCTATATTGTCCAGGGCTGGGGATTGTAATTCTGGCTTGTGAGCAAGTGTGTCTGTATGCATAGCGGAGGAACTCACCCGTGTTGCGTTCAGGATCATCCTTGGAATAATCAGTATTGCGAAACCTCTTCAAAGCTCTCTCCAGACTAAATCGCAGCGCCAATGACGATGCTTGTGACTCATCGCACCGTTTCTGCACTTCCTCCAGATGCTGAAATATTTCGGCATGAGATATAGTGCTCGGCTTTGGCTCATAAAGAGAAAGGATGAGCACCGAATACGCAATGCAGAGCTTATAAAATTCGGGCAAATCGTCGCAACTAGACTTCGGAGTGGAAACGAATATTACAATGACTTGTAGTGCGGATTCGGACACAAGCGCTTGCATTGCCTTTATTAAGTTTGGGCAGTCTCTATCGTCGGTGTTATGTCGAACAGACTCATGGTCCTTATCTCGAGTAGTATGGTCGAGCGATTGTCGCGCCAGGATAAGATGGGCGATTCGGTGACTGATTTTGAGTCTCCAAGATGTCGAAAGGTCTGAGAAGAAGAATAATTAGCTGGATTCAGCGCATAGCCTGCTCCGGCGAAAGTTGGGCGTAGCTGACCGAGCAAATAACTCCATTTCTGTCTCCATTCCTCAAACCCGCCATGGCTCCCATCAAGTTTCATATACGACTTCCGAGAACATCTTTGTTCGAGCATGGAGTAGAGCGCAATCTCGGCGAAAAGCATTCCGTCTCGCATTGTAGCCTGCTCGAAGTTGAGCAAAATGCGACACTGGCGCAAATACGAAGGCGGTAAAATGGATGGTCTCCCCGTTGTTGCCGACCAGCTGTAGATGGCTCATGTTCAGAAACGATCAGCACATAAAACTTCTATTGGAATAGACCTACTGTAGGTTGGCCAGGCAGATGTTAGCCCAGAGTCGAACGGACTTTTGATCTGCTGTTGTCGATGTGCTGAGACTTAGTCTCGTCATTATCTCCGAGAAACTGATGCTCAACATGGCCTGTTGCGCGCAATGCCCGCTTAACAGCCAACTGTCCAGGTATTCAGGTCCATTCTAGCTCATTAGAACTCAAATCCTTGACTTGGAAGAATGCTTGAAACCCTACTGCATCGGAATTGGTAGCTTACCGAGGGAGAAAAAGCAAAGATAGCCATGATTAGAATGCCTGTGATTTCTTCGATACGCAACGGACTTGCTAGCATGACTTGACCAAGCATTTGCCGAACATGCTCGTATACTAGCCTGTGTTTCACTGGATCTCCTTCCGCCAGGGGACTTTGTCGCATCTCAAGAAGGCAGCATACCGAAAATAGGAACGGAGAGTCGTTTCGGAGATTGCCGGTCGAGGACAAGTCGCCTTCGCTGTCGATGAGGAGAACGTGACGCCGACGGCTAATAAAGCTGCGTTGAATTAGAGAGAGACACCTTTGGACGTCCCGTGGAAGATACGTACGATGTGACCAGATAACTGGCTGTGGCTACGTCGAGCAACTCCAATGATACGACGTCGTCGTAGATGTCAACCGTCCTTCGATACCCCATGCTCAGCTGTCTTGCGACCTTTCTCATGACTTCTGCGGGGGAGGCATTCACATGTTGATCAACCGGCTCGACATCGTCTATATCCGGATCTTCTTCTGTACTCGGTTGCTCAACTTGTACAGGGCTGTTGTCAGTCATTGTCTCACCGGGCTGCTCTCGCTCTGAGCGCAAGGTCTCCAGAGTTGATTTGATGCTGAGCACAGATGATTCCAGCTGGAGCAGCCTTCAATTGCTTAGCTTGTATCAAATGAGGAGGTAAAGAACGGGAAATACCGCGTAGAAAACTCGGCTGGTGCATGTCCGTCATTCTGCGTAGCTGGCTGGTCATGGTCATCGCTTTTCACGCAGGGGATGCTGGATCAAAGGTCAATTCAACCCAGTTCGTGGTCTTGTTCAATCGTATTTACCGAAGAGCGCGACATCTTGCGCATGTGTCTGATCCCTCTCCCAAGTCACAGCGACATTTGAGCCGTCTACAGGCATCGCAGGACAATATCCGACGTTTCCGTTTCCTTGCGGGGGCATTCCTAGCAGGCGTACCTAAAACTGCACAAGTTGAGGATGCCTCGCCAACGCATCGATCGATTGAGGACATGTTTTCGGCTACGGTCAAATGGTATGATATCTCCTCCTGTGGTGACTTCTCACAGGGGCGGTCAACGGATGGTGAGAAAAGAAATGGAATCTGGAGATCGTCGGAGATCACCGGAGACCACCGGAGACCACCGGAGATAGCTGGAGACCACCGGAGATCAACGGATTTTACTGGAGAGCGATTCCCCTGTTAGCTCCGGCTTATCGCAACTCAGTGAGACTGCCTTCCGCGCAAATCATTGGCGATTGTCTCATCAGTAGTGAAGATGGCTGACGACAAAATGTCAAGACAATTAGCACAAAAGCCCCTACTATCAAGCTTGAAAATATCCGCTGCGAATCCATTGGCATTTCAGCACAAACATTGCCACCATGAGTCCAACCATAACAGCCGAGACAATTGTGCCAGTCGGCATGGCCAAGCTGGTGCTTAGAAGCTACGAAGGAGTTTCTTACAGACTGGTGTCCACCAAGCCAGCTCGAGATTGTACTCCGGCCGAAATTCCCATCATCGACCTCGAAGGAATCCACGATAGTGTCGAAGCGCGCAAGGAAATTGCCCAGAAACTTCTTCACTCTGCCGAAACGATTGGGTTCTTTTACATCAAGAACCATGGGATTTCGGACGAAACCATTGCTAACACAGTCAACAAAAGCAAAGAGTATGTCATGCTGCGGATCTGGCACCTGGATGACTGATTAACAAAATCTCAGGTTTTTCAGTCTGCCAGTGGAAGAAAAGCGCCGGGCAGCAACAGACATCTCGTCATATGGCTACAAAGGGTTGCGTGAACGACAAGTAAACCCATCCAACTCGAAGGGTATTCCTCCATATTGCCCTATTTACCAATCCATGGCTAAATTCTACTCTAAGACAGGAAAGAAAACTTCAATTTTCACTACAAACCCGAGTTTGATCCTACGCACCAAGGCCGTCTCTCGCAAGTGCCCCAAAAAGTCCAGGATCACATCCCCAAGGATGATATAATCTGGAAAGGATTGTCTGTTCCCGGGTTTCAAGATGCACTTATCGCTCACTGGACTTCTTGTCTCACACTCGCCCGCGGCCTCATCCGCGTCGTGGCCCTTGCCCTTGATCTCCCCGAGAGCTATTTCGACAAGTTCACTACCTACCCTGGGGGCGATTTTTCTGTTAACTTTTACCCTGGTCATGGCGATGCGCCTATTGAAGACCCTGATGAAGTTGGAATCGGCGCGCATACAGACCTTCAGATCTTGACGCTGTTGTGGCAGGACGAGCACAAAGGCCTGCAGGTTCTCGACAACAACAATGAGTGGATGTGTGCGCCACCCATCCCGGGGACTCTGGTGGTTAACATTGGCGACTTTCTCATGCGCTTAACCAATGATCGTCTTAAGTCTACGGTGCACCGTGTGATTCAGCATGGCAAGGAAGATAGATTCTCAATTCCATTCTTCTTTGGTAAGTCCGGTGGTATTGGCTTGGATTCCCTGTTAACTGTGACCAGGTTTCAATTTCGACGAACGATTGGGCGTGATTCCCACTTGTACTGATGAGAAAAATCCGCCCAAGTATCAACCTTCCACCTGTGGCGAGGTGAGTGCTGCCATATGTGAATATGAAGTAATGGAACTGACCTAATCATCCAGCTGATCTCCAAGCGCTTGGCTCTTGGGAACAGAAAGCAACAAGCGAACTAATTGGGTGTCGCGAACTGGAGGATCTTGATCTTTCGCGTTATATCCTCGTGATGCAGAGGCTCGTACAACACGATGCATGATCGGTTAGCTAGTGTGCGGAATGGAATTCGAGAATTTGGCATATATTGGCGTTCATCGGCTCAAGCAGGCACTAATAGCCCCAGTGATCCGCATCTTTCCTTAGAAGCCTCCTCGAACCTCCGACTACTTGAAATGTCCCTTCAGTCGTTCTACATATGGCTATTTCACGTAATCTCATTCACTAAATGATGGTCTATCTCCACCCTCTCGCCACTCCTGTCATCTTCACATGTCAACGGTCTCGTCGGGATAAAACCTCATATTGGTACGGGCTATAAAACACACACCCGTGAACTGTTCACTACAGCTAGTCAAACTTCACTCTTCAATGATATGGTCAAACAAGCAAAGAATTGTACGGTATTTGGAGATCTCAATTGAATGATGGAGCTTATTTTAGTTGCGAAGAGTCGAGAAGCATTGCCGTCGGGAATGTCACATCGAGGAATTGGGATCTAGTGATTGAAGTTCTTGATTTCTAACTAACAAGGGCCTACCGCAACTCTCAGCTAATATGGTGTTTGCATTCAAGACTTCCTATGCTAGCTACCGCAACTCTTGGACACGTTGGTCCAGGCAGGGCCGATTATAACCAGTCCCTCAGACAGTCGGGTCCCAGACAGTAGGTTCCGACGGTCTGAGACCGGCAGTTGTAGATGCCCTGACGATGACGTCGTAATTTGTTGATTTTAGTCATGGCTTTGTTGTAGACAAGCCTACGCGGAAGCGACAATTGGTGCTATGAAGGAGCCAAGCTTCAGGCAATGCAGTAGATTGACTTTGGTTTCTCTGCCATCCTGAGTGAACGCCAATTTGGTCAATTGCCCTTGGCTTCGATCAGGAGGTTTAAATGATCACTCAATGAATTGTGATTGATGTGTTGAGTATCAACTCACCTGGATGATTAGCAAATTGTAGATCTAGGGAAGCGCTAGCCAAACAACGTAATGAGCAGTGGCTGTTGCTGGAATACAGATAACGACTAGGCGTGCATCACGGCAAGAATCTCCAATCTCCGCCGGAGAAAGCAGGCTTTAGCCGGCGGAAGTGTTATCTCGGTGTGCAATTCTTTTCAGATAACGGCGGTGTTTCTTATCCAGCCAGATAAGAAGCCAGCAAGCGCATCTATGGGGAGGCTAGTCTCAATTTGTGATCAGTGGGGAGTGCTCATCATGAGAACTTTGACAATTACGGTCAACCCTTGGAAGAGAAATTTGAAAGTTGGGCATTACTTAAGATATATAGCCTCAAGTTGTTATTTTCAAACAGGCCACTTCAAATTCTGAACAACGCTACAGAGACATCACAAAAACTTCATGATCAAAATGGAAAGTCAGGAAAAAACACTCGAGACACCTCAGCCTGAGCGCTCTGAAAGCGAACTCGGCGGGGTGGGCCCAATCACGCCTGTAATTGACTGGACGGAAGAAGAGGAAAAGCGACTTGTGAGAAAGTAGGTTTACCACTTCAAGTGCCTCAAAGCGGAGCTGACATTCAACAGGGTTGACTTTCTCGTTATGCCGGCGCTGATCCTCGGTTTCGCCGCCCTTCAACTTGACAGAGGAAACATTGGCTTCGCTCTTACGGATTTTTTCTTCGGAGATGTGGGCATCACTCAAGATCAATTCAACATCGGACAGCAACTACTCTCCGCAGGTATTGTGCTACTCGAAGTCCCCAGCAATCTGATCCTCTACCGCTTGGGACCTCGAATCTGGGTGACCGGGTTGATAATTTCCTGGGGTCTTGTGTCTACATTCCAAGCCTTCCAGAAGGGTTTGGCATCATACCTCGCTACCAGACTTCTCTTGGGACTGACTGTGGGAGGATATATCCCAGCCGGACTGTACTGCATTAATTTGTGGTACAAACAGTCCGAGACCAGCCTTCGTTTCTCCTTATTCTTCATGGGAAACTCGTTCTCTCAGGCTGCTAGTGGACTTATATCCTTCGGAGTTCTGCATATGCGCGGAGTCGCTGGTCTGGCTGGATGGCAGTGGTTGTTTATTTTCGACGGCATCTTCACCATTCTAGTTGGCATTGCATTTGCAGCTATCTTCCCGGGAGCACCGAGCGAGGGTGTCAGCCTCCTTGGCATCAAGTATTTCACCGAGCGAGAGAGGACGATTCTGCATCAGCGCATTCTGCTAGATGATCCCACGAAGGAGAAGCGCCGCAAGAACGTCAGTCCACGGGAGATGCTAGATGCAGTCGCCAATTGGAGGATCTATCCACATCTTGTCATGGCACTCCTCGGTCTTGCACCCGGAAACGCTCTCGGATCCTACTCTCCTACTATTGTCAACAGCTATGGATTTGGAAGGCTTGAGTCCAATGCATTCGCTTCAATTGGCAGATGGGTGCAGTTGCTGCTCAACCCTATCTGGGGATACATGGCGTGAGTAGCAATGCCATTGATGATTTGGATATCAATTGCTGACTTAGGAAGCGATCGAACCGGGCGCCGCGGATACGTTGTTTTGGCTGGCTTGACCCTCTGGTGGACATTCACAGTTAGTCCTACATCCCAAGTTCGATGCTTGATGACTCACATAGCTTGCCGTAGCTCACCAGTCGCCTTCTCATCTTTTCGAACGACAGGGACGCTAAATTTGGTGTCCTGAGTGTCGCTCTTGCCGTCGTGGCTATTTGGCGTAGGTCTCTTCTGTCCTCGGTTTTCCAGGCGTTAACACTCTATAGACCCTATTAACGGCTCCTGGCTGTCACTCAACTGCCGGTCAGCGGGAGAACGTAATGTCACCATGGCTCTGTATATTATGTCCAGCAACCTCGCCGGCATTATTGGTGGGCAAATCTTTCGAGAAAAGGACAGTCCAGTTTACCTCGCCGGGTGGACTGTTTCAGTGAGTTTAATCTCAGTTGCAGTAATTTGCTGCTTAATTGCAATGGCACAGTACAAGATTTTGAATATGCGTATCAAGAGGAATTCGAAACTGGTAGATGGAGCTGGACCAGCATACATACTGGAAGCAGGTGAACAGAGAGACATCAAACGAGTCAGATTATATCAAGGTTAATAAAATATGGACGCTTGAATTAGTAGAAAACAGTATAGTTCGTTACCTAGCCAATAGTTCAGGAAGTGCACCGTTGCGACTGCTGCCCAAGACGCGACAAGCCTCACGGGAATCTACCGCCAAGTGGCTCACCAGGCAGCCTTCTTCTTCTCGATGTGACGCAACTTGGGGTTGCCGCTTCTAATTCGACATTGTTGCCTCAACGAAACAGCTATTGGTTGCAGAGAATTTGAGTGCACTGAAATTTAAAGATCTAGCTTCGATCCTCAAGGCTCTTCTCGACAAACCGCCCTAACGAAGGGCCCGGAACAAGTCTGAGAGCTCGTTATCGGCAGTGGTCGAAACGACATCATTATTTGCCAAGACACAATGTTGCAGGATATGAGTTTTAACCTTGAATGGGATTATATTAAACTTGTCTTGTATTAAATAATATTTGCATAGAGATATTTATCTATATTTACACATAATGAAATGCTAGCAATTAAAAGATAGCTAAATATATGAATATACTCTTGAATAACTTGAAGCTTATACAATTTGAAATAGTTGCAGATTTTCAAGATTCTTTTTTGATTTTAGTTTTACTTGGAGATCCATTCTTCAGGAAACCTCAAAGTCGCATTCACTGGTGGCCTCGTTCTCCGTCTCATGTCAACAACAAGCCTTCGCCGGACGCATCCAAGATTTGCGTCCAGTCGGCGTTTGCCCCGTGACGAGTCTTGCGCAGATCCCAGAGATCCTCCAGGACCTCCCGGGCATGCGAAAGATTCCGAAACTGTCGTTTTTTCGCCATCAGTTGCAGCCGTGTACGGATCGGATCAATTTCATCTTGCTGTAGAGCCTCTCCGCCGACAATAAAGACCGGGAATAAAAGTGCTGACTCTGGTGGTGTTCCGACCGGAATTTGGGAAATGTATCCAAGGGTATCAACGACTTGCGCCTGAATCTTGGCCTCTATAACGGTGATGGCATCTATCCCTGGATCATTTTCGAGGATCAGAAGATGGTCAGTCCTAAGGCGGCGACGCATAAGCCGGTAGAGCATGATTAGCGCGGCATTTCGATAGGCAAAAGCCAACGCTTCAAGCCCAAGGCTGACCTCGGTGTGGCAACGCCAACTAAGTAACTCCTGCTCGAGCTGCGTGTATGTACTTCGGAAGTACTGTTGTCTTGCGTTGGCTTGATCATCTAGTAGAGGGCCCAGGGATTCTGTCTCTTGTTCAAGGCAGCTTATTCGGGCGATGATGTGCAGCAATCCAGCAGCGACACCTAGACAACTATCCACGACGTCGGTAATGCCAACAAGGTAGTCGCTGTTTAGTAACGGCTTCTTCCGCAATGTAATGCTTCCAATGATGTCGTGATAAGCAAAGTTGCGTAGGACCCACTGGCCTTCGATGCTGTTCTTGAGGGCTTCTGGGCCGCCGACTTGCTTTCCACCGGAATATTCTGATGCCGATACGATGACGTGATGGGTGCCCTTGAGATGAGTATACCAGGCTCTACAATCGCCTACACCAGCCTCGTATATCAAGAAAGCCAGGCAGGCTGCGGCGTTTGTCTCGTGGCAAGCGAACCGATCGGATGGATTGTTGAGAGCCGCAGCAAGGTTGCGTATGGCAGTGGACCTCGTCTCGAGCGCGGCCACCTTGTAGGTTTCATCGCTAAGGGACATGTGACCCAAAGTTAGAGTGAGAAGTGAGTTAAAAAAGGCCACAGACTCCATAGCCATTGGGAGAAAGGCTGATACGAGGCAGAAGACGTATCAGCACGCAGCCATGCCACAGAGGGGTAGACAGAGAGGGGAAGTAGGTAAGTACCAGTTAGAAACGAATTGAACTCTTGGCTCACAGTGAGGTGAGTTGCCAAGACGGAAATATAGTACCGCATAGCCTGCCGCTTCTGCGGAGAGTTGACGCAGCCGCCTCCGATCCCGGGCAGGGAGAGACTCGTAGCTGGCGAGGATGGCGATGAAGGCGTAGCATCGTTGCTTGTGCCCTTCCGCGTTGCCCAAACCTCCGGAACAACGTCCTTGGCTGGCTGGCGAATGCATTCCAGGTTGAGTCGCGAGCATGTCCCACAGATGGGAAACCGGTTGTCAGCGCATTTCTTCCGTCTTGTCAGGCCGATACGTCAGCAAGGATCAGCGGATCAAATTGAGCCTAAAGGGCAAATAATGTACCTGTAGCGACACGTCAGGCACCCCGTCTTATCGTGCTTGGAGCCCTTTCGCGTTCTGATGTTGCCGCTCATAGCTGAAGACATGGCTAGCAGGCAGCTCGCTTGGACGTGGAAGTGATGACGGGGAGGCCGGAACTCTAGAAGAAGGCGGCGTGTTGGGCGTATTTGAGCGGGACTGGGATGACGGCTAACCTGGTCAAGAACGTGGCATCGCGCCCTACTCGTCTCTGCTCAGTAATTGGCCTTCTTCTTATCACGAAGCTTCCCCGCTCCATACAGCCAGTCAAGTTGTGTTCTTGAAAAGTCCCGCAATTACGAAGCGGGGAGACTGATTGCGGGGAGCTTCCACATTAGAGGGGAGTCTAACATATAGGGCACATGAATGAATAATGCGAATCAAGTTTGAGATGACGACAAGTTGATTGAAATATTAATAATGAAAATTACATGACTGTACACATATCAGCCTCATCCATGACTGGCTTGCTCCGAGTAGTAGGCTCTGAACCAGAAAGCTCCAAATCCTCCCAGTATATGTGGCTCATGAAACCAGTGCGAGACTCGTCGAAAATTTCTGCCATCACTCTCATGCACTCTTCGTCCTCTACCTGCATAACAAAAGAGACCAGTGCAGAGCGCTTTTGACTCCCCCACGGACCGGGGCTGTTGTATGCTCGAAGATAAAGCGGGTTCTGCAGCTCCTTCAAGCGATCCTCTATCGTCATAAACAGCATGAAGAAATAGCAAGTCACCCAGATATAGTTCAGACTCGAAACCGGCATCGTCCCGGACACGTCGTTTCTAATATCCACTTGAATGGCCGACAAAAGATCGCGACCCGCAAGCCTCATATCTGCAGGGTTAGACGACCCTCCAGCCATTTTGGGGAGCTCTCCAGCTAGCACACCCTTGAAACCGCCAGGCGTAACAGACTTCAAGAAAGACGGCGGGAGTGTGCCCATCTCCGGGGAAAGTCCTTTCGAAAATGCTTCGCGCAAGTTGAGAATCTCCTTGTCATCCATGCCTTTGGCTTTCGCCTCGCGGACGAGAACTGTGTCTTCAAACCGCGTCTCTTTGGTCGCTGGGTCGACGACGCGTTTTGCTTGGAAAATACGCTGGAAGAACAAGAATGTCCCGAAAGCGACGTCTTTGTCAGGAATTCGATCAGGGTTCCAATCCGCGGCACGGTAGACCATCAGATTCGACTTTCTCTGGAAGAAGCGGTTTGCGTCCAGGTTCAGCATATCATGTATGTCGTTCCCCGCGGCCGCCCTCTTCCTCGTGGCAGATCTCTGGCGGTGGAGGAACTGAGAACCTGTCTCGCCCATTTTGGCCATAAGAGCATTGTAGAAGTTCGATGTCGGCACTTCGCCATTGACAAAGAAAGAATCCTTGAAAATATCTTCGAGCGTGAGATATAGCCCGACAGGCTTGGATATGAACCCCTTCCGCACGAGCATGTTATGAAGATGGATCAGTAACATGGGTTCGGGCATGCTATCCCAAAGTTCCATACTGAACCCATAGGCCAATTCCAGCCCCTCCATCAAACCAGTGCCGCAGAGGAAGGGTGAGTACTCGTACAGGCCATTGGCGTTGTGATTCGAGAAACGCGATGGGGGAATCGTATTGAGCCCGTGCATGTACTTGGTCTCTCCAAGCCAGTCAATGAAGTCCAATTGGATTATTTCCAGGACTTCGAAGTGGGAACTAAGGCGGTTGGGATCGCCTTGCTTAAGGCCATCTTTCTGGAAGATCTGCTTGATGACAGAAACGGCCTGGAGGAACCCGTGTCCAGATCGCTGGGTCTCACGATCAAGAAAGAGGTCCACGTCCCGTCTAGGTCGAAACTGCTTGGCCGGGGCCTCCAAGACGTGCCCTCGAAGGGTGCTCAAGGACCAGCCTCGGGAAACTGTGAAGGCGTCGACAATACACTGAAGCTGGAAAACGTGATGCGGGAGAATCGACTTTTTGACGTTCGTCCCAGGCTTCTTCATCGCCAGCGAAGTAATGGCGCCAGCAAACTCGTTGAGACCAAAGAGTCTCCGATGGCAGTTCCAAGGGCCTGTAATAGACCAGTCGACTGTCTCATAGGCATGTTTTTCGCCTTTGAGAGTGTTGCGTTGCACCACGATGGAGGAAAAGACATTGACCAGATCATACAGCCAGTTGATGGTATATGCACGACGCCAATCCAGTCTTTGCTGCTTGGTAGCTGTCTTCAAGTTGAATTTCGGATCCCAGTTGGCGAGTTTGGCGCTCATTGCCTTGGTGGGCTTTCCACTGCGTGTTGCCTGGAAGTCGGTAACGAAGTCCAACAGATCCTGGTAGGCGTAGATCAGAAACTGCTCCTTGACGTCGACGGCGTTGTCAACCACGGTCTCTGCGATGTTATTCTGTGAGTCGAGTTTGTGCAAGGCCATGTGGAAGTTTCCTTGAGCCCTGTCTGGGTTACCACGAGTAATGGTGTTCATGATGGTTTCGTAGTCGTCATGCCCGGGGTAGTCGACAAAGATGGTGGATCCGGCCTGTTTGATCATATTGATGGCCACGTTGGAGACAGCTCCGGCCACAGCTCCATTGAGACCTTCATAGGCGACTTCTTTCCAAACACCCTGAACGAAGGCTCTGAGGCTGACCCATTCCTTGACAGCTGAGTACACGGCCATCAAGTAATCGGTGACCAGTGCACCTGGACTCTCGATGATCTTGATGCTCTCCAATGGCACATCGTCCAAGCTGGCTTCCTTGACATTGGCAGTGGCTTTTCCCTTCTTGCTTTTCTTAGCTTTCTTGCTCTTCTTGCCCTTTTTGCCTTTTGCTGAAGACTTCTTTGCCACCGCCCGTTGAGGAGCTGATGCTTGTTCCGAGACTTGGAAACCATCGTCCTCGGCACTTGAGTAGCCCTCTTGATCATCGATCTTCAAGGCACTGAACCTGTTCCCAAAGATGATCTGTTCAAGGTCCAGTTCTTCCTGTCCAGGTTCCTGAGCTCCAGCGTTTCCTCCAGACTGCCACGTCTCACCACCCAAGATGTTGAAAGCCTTCATAAGCGTGTCGATGAAATGCTTGTGGCTCGCATTGTTCCGCTGCACTTCTGGGTCCGATTTTGAGCCGAGCAGCTGTTGGAATGCGTTGTACACGGTAGATCTAGCAGATATGATGGACAGAAAGAGGCGGTAAATGAACGAAGGAACTGGTTCGGAATACTGCGCGATGAGCTCCGAGATGGAGAGTATACCAGAGACGGTGACTTGGCCCGAAGTATTGAGACCCTGCGGAGTTTCATCTTTCTCTGCTGCCGAGGACTTGATGAGGCGATTCGAAGTATCGATCAGCCAGTAAACTAGGTATCTGGTATCCTTTTTGTACAGCGCGTAGATATTGTGAGTAGGTGCCATGGTGTCTCGAATCGCAGTAGCTATTGTCGAGATGGAAGTTTGGGATAAAATGTTTGAGTCGGGAGGTGGGTGGTATTTCCGTGTCGGTATAGAACAAGACTGCTACGACCATCCGCGATAATTCTGGGACTAGGAAAAAATGCACTCAGCCCTAGATACGAGATCTAGAGACTCCCAATGCCTTAGAGGGTCGTGGCTCTTGACGATGGATTATACATGGAACAAGAATGATGAAAATGTGCGGGGTGCAGGATACGTAATTTGACACCCAAAGACTTAGTCAGCCGATGATGCCTTGACGCCTGATAAAAAAAAGCAATTCACTCATTTGATCAATACACTGAATGTAATTTGTAGCTGCTTTTTAATCTGCCAATATTCTGCCTGTCTGGCTAAAACGGCCTCGGTTTGGCAATCAAGCTGATCTAGATTTGACCAGTTTTCCGTGCATGTCATCACGGTCCTCGAGCATACTTCAGTCGATTTTCATCGCACTTGAGTCTCAAATAGTCACCCTCAAAACCCCCATGTCAAAGCTTGTAAAACAAATATAGTTGACCACCCCCCCCTACATCTCAATACCTTCAGATACCTGACTCTACACTGTTACTGCAATGGCGTTATCTCTTTAGCAAACCGGGCAGTACAGGGAAATCAATCTGGTTCTCTATACAGAGACTGAACTGACCGTACTGGTACCCATTTACAAAGAGTAGAGAGCTATGATGGTTTATATAAGTCAATTTGCCGCTATTCTTCGACCCAGCGCCAGGATACTAGCTAATGCAGAGTTTGTCAAGTTCTTTTCGATGAATTAAATATATCGCCTCTATATAGTAACCCCTATTATCAAAGTAGCAGACCTACCTGTCAGAGCCTTATAGCACTGAGATCATCAAAGCCTTTAGTACCAAAAGCCCGCTGCTGCCCTTGGCAGATTGGATTGACAGCGCCCCTAGCTGCCGTCGTGGATGTGGTGTGTAAATTGAATAGCGACCTGCGATTTACTACGGCTAGTCACTGTGATGATGGTCTGCCATAAACTCGTGAGCGATGTCAGTTTACATAATGGTTGAGTTTATAGACCTAAGCAGTGACGTATCAGAAGATAAAATCAGGACTCGAATAATTGTGGCCATACTCTTACTGGGAGAATCGGTGCATGTATCAGACAGGATTGATTGTTGACGATAGAAGATCTTGTCTGCTTCCTTGCCTAACAGGGAGGAAGGCTAGCTGTTTCATCCCTCGGGATCCTGCTGATCCGGATGTCAGATTAAGTTGGCTAGTGAGTGAGGGAGTGAGCAGAGGACACTAAGAACACACAACCCACCCAGAGGCAGAGCTGTGATGACTGCGATAGTGTTGTGTCGGAAAGGTCGGATAGGGTCAGGTTTGGGGTCCGGATAAATCGGACAGCCGGGCAAAATAGATAGTTTTTCAGCTGATACCGTTTGATCAAATGGACCTTCAATAGGTCACCAAGGGATAGGTCAAAAGACTGTCAATTGAAAAAAATGATGAGATGCTTAAAGGATGATGCTTGTGTTCTGTCCAGAAGGTCCTGTCCGAGACCTTCCCAATTTATGGCCCCAGTAGGTCTGGCTACCGGTCCTACCCGATGCAGCACTTCCTGTTGAAGGAACCCACCAATCCTAGCCCTAGCGGCTGCAAGCATCCGATCAGATGACCTTTAACCCCAAAGACCGGAAAGCCCCGACTCACTAGGCTAGGTCTTAGGCTTGAAGGGACGCATTCCTAGGCTTGTGGATACATTCCTAGTCTTGTGGGTCCATTTCCTAGTCTAGGTTCCCAAGGAACTGTCTAGAACTGAATCCACATTCCTGTTCGGATATAGGGTTTCCTTGCATACCTGTTCCGTCTGACAGCATCTTTGGCATGCGCTCTCTTCCATCTTGGTGAAGCCGGTGGTGGTAGCGTCAAGTGCGGTTATGTGTTGCACACCGCATCGATCGCTCACATACACCAGCACCAGTACCCTGGGGCCATGTCGATGAGCAACGGAAGCGAGTCTAAGGAGGACGACGATTCGCACGATGGAACTAGTAGATCCGCGCCAATGGAACCCCGCATAATTGGGCTTCGTAGGGCGGCTCGCAGTGTCCAGCGTGACTTTAAAAGAGACATAAAAGAAGATTCTTTGCGATCAGCACTTGGACAAACTCAAGATCGACAGGCTCGAGCCGCGAGGGTGGGTCTAGGCAGAGGCTTGAGTCGAAGGGTTCTAGCCCAAGTATTGAGAGGATTAGGTTTGTTGGGCCTCTAGGCAAACGGCATAGCATGGACCAGGCGACCGGGAGATGGGATGATTGGCGGCCACACGTATGCCACCCTCGTAGCTCGAGTTAGGGGATGAAAGTATGGGACGGCGGGGAGCCGGAAAGTTACTGCAGAACTGGAAATGCCATGTCAAACGTGTTCGCCCTTTGCCGACGCTCAGACATTTCGCGGGTGGGGACTGACCACGGCGGTTTCAGCTATGGTGAGGTGGTAATGAGATGGCTTAAGAGGCAATGGGCACGAGACTAGATGGTGACGAATTTGGCAGTGGCGTCAGATTGAATCCGCGCTAGGAATCCTGCGAGGGCTCAGGGATATATGATAATTGTTAAGGCTACGTTAGGCTACTTGTTAAGAACCTGTGGTGACTTCGGCCGCCGCCGTCGCGTTGGACCGCATAAAATCATGCATTCTCTTATATAGATATATGGGACCTGGTTTTATCAGTATTCTCCTTATGCCTTAGTATTCTCTTAAAGGCTGTTTATAAAGGACAGATCCGCTCACCCTCCCTAGGTTTTATCAAGTCACTGTTGAGTACATTCACTCTGACAAGGTCTAAGACCCTTGTCAATACTGCTTACGCCTTGACGCATATGCTGCGTGATAGGCTGAAGGAGGCTGAAGGTCAAAGCGTCGGCGATCATCAGGGGCTAATCAGGAAAATTCTGCCATTTTTTACATGTGCACTCCATTTTCGCCCATCATTTGAGTTAACCTGCGCCTCTGGGCAACATTCTTTTCGTAGTATCCATATCTTGATGTCATTTAGGCAAACGAAGAGCCTTGCCTCATTGGACGACACTTGGCATTTATATCACGTGTGTAATAATGTTGCGAATAAACGTGAACCGCCTTGTCTCGGTAGCTTCCGCCATACAGGGCTGATGGCTAGACAACCGGGTTTGGACATTTCGGCTGGTCTCGATCCGGGAACGCCCTAACCACGGTCTGTATGTGATGGCGCTAACAGTTGTTGGCTGGGTCTGGGCTGTTCCTGGCTGTCTCTGGCTGTTCCTGGACCCCATGCAACCGAGTGAATCAAGGGGCGCTCGTCAGTTATATAATATATATCCCGATACCGCTGCCCAGACTGCGGGGATCCTCTACTGTCCCGTGATTCCCCGCGACCAGAAAGAATCGACGCACCAAGATGGCTGACCCAGGACCGAATCATGCCCTCGACTCCGAGTCCCGGGTTGCCAGCATCATTGCCTTGTCCGCTGCTACCTGCGCTATTGCCGTAGCGTCAGTGGCAATGCGCCTCTACTCGCGGGCTTGTATCAGCAAGTGGGTGGGGATCGATGACTGGTGCATTCTCGCGGCTGGGGTAATGGTCCTCCCGTTGTAGTAAAACTGATGCTTTTTCTAACTGGGCCGAAAGTTTTTCGTCATAGGGACCTCTTTTACAGTACCGTATCGTCAGTATTTCCCTTGCCTATCGTTGCAAGATGTATCATACCTGCTAATGTGACCTCCAGGAACGCGATATGGTCTTGGTAGGCATACTTGGATGGCGGAAGATTGGATGACGGTTCCTCACATGAAGGTATTCCGCTCCCCACGCTCGGTACAAATCTGCCGTGAGTCCTCAATTTTAACCATCATTCTCTCGCCTCATAGGTCTTCTATGCCAGCATCATCCTCTACAACGGTGCCTTGATCTCCGTCAAGATTTCCTTCCTCTTTTTCTACCGCCGCGTCTTTCCCAACCCAGGACTATACAGACTCTGCTTTTGGTTTCTCATCGGCATGGGCATTTGGGGTGCTACCGCAATAGCGCTGAACATCGTACCTTGTATACCTATCAACGGATTCTGGGACTTTTCGGTGCACGCTTCATGCATCCCGAGCATAGTGGACTGGTATCTTCAGTCCCTGCTGATGATTGTGACGGATTTTGCAATACTCGCTCTGCCTCTACCGGCCGTCTGGAAGCTCAATGCCCCCCGTCGACAGAAGATTGTCATGCTTGGCTGTTTTTCTGTGGGATTTTTGTAAGTTGGGCACTTTACACCCCCCTTGTTTACCCTTGGGATATATGTCAGTTGTGGTCTGGGCTAACGCATGTGGGTTTATCATCAGGACCTGCCTGATCTCTATCCTCCGCTTGTACAGCCTCAAAATTGCCGCAAACACGACGGATCCAAACTGGGATTACGTCGATGCTGCCATGTGGTCAGTGGCAGAGGTCAATGTAGCAGTCTTTTGCGCCTGCCTTCCGACCTTGAAGCCGCTGCTCAGTGGATGTTCCCGGCGTTTCACGAATTACTCCAAAGGATGGCGCAGCCACGCTGACATGACGCGCGATCATAGCAACGATACCGATGAAATACGTGTTATTGGTGATGAAGGATCAAGAGATGTGCTGGGTACCTTCGAACTCCATGCGAAAGACTAGAATACCAATACAGAGCTTTGTGTATCTTTGCCTTGTTCAGGGAAATGCTCAGATATTCTACCAGGGCTATTGACTCCCGTGCTACACCTTCACTTTTGCTCTTCTTTCCTCTTATGTATTCTATCCCACAAAATATTTCACGCTTGCAACAGTAGCAGCAGTAAGCTTCTTTCCAGCCTTATACCAGCAGAAGCCTGATGGGAATAAGCAGCTTTATTAATTATTTGACAATTTAACTAACTCAACTATTAACTACAATTAGGTTTCTAGTAAGACTTATGGCAATGTACTTTCGGGGAGTATATGGTCTGTATTGTTCATACTACTGTTGGTGTGTTTTTTACTGTTCAGCTTCTGGTCTCCCCTATATGTATGTGTGTGCTAGGGCACCCTAACCTCTTGGTACTTTCAGAGAGAATAGCCATGTAGCGATTTATCCACTTCCACGTTATAAATACTGTCTAGCCAAGAGTCGCCTGCACCCAACCCAACACATCCTGACCAAACTCAACTGGGTTCTCGAGGAGTGCCCAATGACCCCCTTCCCTTATCACGCTCTTGCAATTCGGCAACAAGCCTGCATCAACGCTCGGCTGCAGCAATGCGGGCTTGCACACAACATCTTGCTCTCCACCCCAGAACAAAACCGGCACATCGATCGTCTTCGCATCCTCGGCCACCAAGTTTTCTGCCTCATTTTGCACACCGAGCGTCCACGCCTTGTACCAACAACTTGGTGCTTTAAAACCACCATCTTTTCCAAATCGCTCCATGAAATCCGCCCTGTGTTCAGGCGTGGCGTACGGCATAGTCGGCAGCGTCCGTCTCTCGCTGACAAACTTACGCATGCCGCCGGGGGTACACCAGTTCTCAAGCCAGGTTTGGGGTTCGGTAAATGCTACGCTATACACGGACTCGAGGCTCTGATTCATGATGTCCGCGCCGTCGTCTGCGGTGAAGAAGTGCCAGTATTCGTAGCTACTGGAGCCAAATGCTTCTTTGGCTATGCTGTTCGCCATATCAAGGTCGAATTGACCGGTTGGGGGGATATAGGCGACGTTCACCATGACAACTCCGCATATACGCGAGGGGTAGAAGTTATATAGTCGCTGACACATGGCACTGCCGCAGTCGTGGCCGAGGGAGATGACGCTGTTCAGCTTTTCGGAGTCGAGAATTTCGACAGCATCAGCCGCCAGATGGTGCCAGGCATACGAGCCAGGCTCGGTAGGCTTGGAGGTCCCGCCGTAGCCCAGGCAGTCTAGGGCGACAACACCATAGCCATTCGGGACGAGATAGTCGTTGATGAGACCGGCCCAGAGCGACGCACTGTCGGGCCAGCCGTGAAATAGGATGACAGTTTGCTTAGAATCCCGGGCAGGGGAGGTGTAGTAGGTGTAGGTGAATCCGCGGGAGACCTGGAGGGTCTTTTTGGTGAGCTTCGAGAGATCCATGGTAGGTAATGGGGCGAGTTGCTTAAAGAACCGGAGTTTGCCAACAGAGTTTGTAAGTTGAGATGGGAGAGAAATCCGCTCTACATATATATAACACGGTTCTCAACCCCAGATCTGCGGGGTAGAGTATCTGGCCGTCCCGTACTACTTGATGACCTCGGAATGACCTATTACCCGTGGCTAATGTGGATCCCCCACCTTACCTAGCCAACGGCTACTCAAGCTAAGGAACTTAAGCCCAACACCCAAGAAGTTCTAGCCATTTGTGTCCATAGCCTGCCTACCTGTCGTTCAATACTTCGGGGTCAGGTACTGGGGCTATAAAGAGGATCGCTGCAGAATCATTGTTGCCCCGTGTTATAGTTCGACCGGCCGGGGCTGCAGGTTGGGCCCAGAGGATACAGATGAGAACTATGTAATTGCGGGAGATAAAATATATAGTTGAGATAAATTACCTCACTATAAATGTCTGTAGATATCTTAGCTGGATTAATAAACATTTATATTTAATCACATCATCCGACTCGTAACATACAGTAACATACCATAATACCTTGACTGGCGATGAATGTTTTCTCATGTCAGCTGCCTAGCAACCGAGCTGATCAATTTGGTTAGCGCAGCACTATCCTCTATTAATATGCCACGTGACTCGACCACATGGCGCCACATGGCGATCCTGCTAGCAAATTTCCCTATCGAAGACTTTCCAAAGGGTGATAACGACAATCTCTTTGCGGATATTTGACATGAGGGTTTCCAATACTGAGTTCAACCTCTTCTTTTCATAAAACCCTTCCCGCTCGGTCGGGGACCATGTCATACTTGACTCAGGAGCAAGAGCTGCCACCGCATTCTACTACATCACGCCGACCCTACCGCTCAAAAAGAAACCGTCCATGCTCGCTCTGCCGTGCTCGAAAGACATCGTGCCGTCGAGTTGATAATGAGGTATCATGTATTTCATGTCGCAAGAGGGGCCAGCACTGCAGCTTCTTGGATGATCCTACGCATGGGCGAGGCCCCCCCACTGCAACTGGGGCGAGCCCAAGTGACGCAAGGGGGCTGAATGACACGGAATCGTCTGCCAGCGATGCATTTATGCTGGATTCTACCGAAGGCTTCAAGGCATTCACTGCAGAAGACACCGTCGACAAGGACTCAGGCGACGGGTATCTCCAGCATAATTTGAGTCACGACGACTTTATTAACCCCGATAACATGGAACTTTCTACAATACTCGAAGGACTTACAGATTCAAGAGTATGGTCCGATCCTGTCGGAATGGTCTCGCCCACTCCTCAGCAAATGCCTACTGGACTCGACACCGTGGGTTTCGACCTTGAAGGTATTGCGTCAAATGTCATGCAACCTATTTATCAGAGAGTATTTGACATAGACGACCCGATGGGCTCAAGCCCGGTGGAGTCCCAGAATTCTGGCCCAGTCTCGAATACATCTAGTCCCATGCAAACCGCTGAAGTAGGACACCGTCTTAGCACCATCATCCCTGTTGCTTCTCCCAAACACGCGAACCATGGATCGAACAGTATCGACCAGAGAGCCAATTTTCAAAGCACATATTTCGGCTTATCTGGAGAATCGGACCCGTATTTGCTACGCCATTACCTATACAATGAGGCAGACGAATTTCCATTTCTTCAGGTTATATACCGGAGAACTCAAACTGACTGTCATGGTTCTGAAGGGCTGCATCAACAAAGCTCCGCCACTCAAAATGAACAAACCTCTCATGTTCCTGTCCAGTTTTTATTGACTTCGAACGAACTAGGAGAGGAGCTCAAAAAGATTGGCCCAGTTAGTCAGCCGTACAACCAGGAGTCAGTGAAGTCTGAGCTTGATGCACTGGTAAATGATGAGCATGGACGAAGACTTGTATTACTGTAGGTCTGAATTCCCTCGTCAAGATAATGAAACTGACGTCGCAGCTTTGTGCAATATATTTATCCAGCACTTCCAGTCATTTCCCGATCGCAGCTAGCCCGAAGCCTTGTTGGCCGTCATTCATCCACGTCACCAATCTCGGACCCAATACCACCATATCTCCTGGCTGCAATTTATGCGTCTGCACTGCAGTTCAGCTCATACGACGACGTCTTGTGTGTTTCAAGTATTTATAAAAAGCCATCTTCAGAAGAATTGTGGCAGATTGTTTACAAGGGAATCCAATCAGAGCTGCACACTCCACGCTTGGCCACAATATCTGCAGCGGTCCTCTTTCTCAACAAGCCTCGGGTTGGTGTGCAACACGTCTCTGCAGACACATCATTCACGTGGTCCTTCACAACATCTACTGTAGGCCTCGTCACAAGCCTAGGTCTTCACTTAGAGTGCAAATCGTGGTCCATTCCCGCTTGGGAGAAGCGTTTAAGACGCCGATTGTGGTGGATGGTGTTTTCTGAAGAGACTTGGCGAAGCCTTCTGCTTGGGCGGCCGTCTGTCATTGCCAAAGATCAATGGAGCGTCTCTGGCCTGACAAGCTCTGACTTTGACATTGATGAAATCATTCCACGTGATGGCATGTCTGTTGAAGTTGTGAACTTCCTCAAAACTCTGCAGGCTTCAGCCCCAGTAGGCGGATCCGACGAACGGGTGATTTCGCAACATGTCGCGACATTGGCGTGTATTGCGGATAACGTATACAGCGCGCTTTAGTAAGACTCCCTTCACTCACTAGCCGCCCTGGAACTAAGTTACCATCACAGCACAATACGAGCGACCCAATATTTAGCTGATAATCTTGACGCATCCATCAAGACGATACGGCCGCTCCGAGAAGAGCTAGCGATGTGGTATGCAAAACTACCGGCTTCCTTAAAATCGCCCAGAAAGTCGGACCCCGAACGGACTGCTCCCATAGCACCAAGTTCAGCTGCATGCTTACGATTTGCGTACCTCACTCTTGAAATATTACTTTACCGCGCTCTGCTCCGACCGCTCGGAGGTGCCGACTTTGGCGACGACGTACCTGACGCTCAGAACAGGGAGCAGGCTGTGTACGAGTCTAGCGCACCAACTCTGCTTGATACCCAATTGCTCCCCAGAGATCTAGAACGGTTGACTGGCAAGAGGAAAGAACCACATTCAAGCTTTAGAGACCAAGCAGAGCCGATCATTTCCGCCGCCGAAAAGTGCGCAGCTCTCGTGACCAACTTCACTGTCGAGTTGATGTCGTGGGATTTTGCGGGCTTTTGGTATTCCTGTATGTCATACCCTCCTGAGTTCTGCTACTTTCCAGAGCCTTACTAAAACGCGATATCCTATAGGGTCTCGGATAGGATGGGCAACAACCTCGAGCTTCTTTGCGTTGCTTCTTGTCCAATCGCCTAGTGTAGAGCATGCCATTACGTGCAAAGGCCTGATAGACAGATGGCGACAAATCTTGAGACACCAATCGCAAAGTTTTCAAGACATGAGTTTGGGGATATTGAGGTTGGATGCAATGTATTGGTCTGATATGAACAAGATATTCAGGGTAAATAGGCACCTGGCGGAAGTGATACATGGATCAAAGTGAGCTTTAGTTCACAAATTGACAATTGGCCACATATGACTGTCCATAAGATCTGATTCACGTTTTGATATTGATAAAAGAGCCTGTAATTTTCCATTGACGAAAGCGATGTGTTATTGTCAACCTGGCACAGTGATCATCCCGGCACCTTGCATAGCTGACTCTACCATGACGCTGAAGAAGGTTCAGTCTGAATCATCAGTGGATTGTGAGAAAACTAATCTTAGTGTAGGGGCCGCTCGAATCAGAAGAATCACTACGGATGAACGCGTTGTGCAATCTTCTGGAGATGCTCTATTTTTTGATGATTTACAGTAATAACCCTGGACCATTGCCTTGCTAACCATCTCACGAGCTCATCTTCATCGACCTTAACTGATCATATCGCAGTACAGCATTCAATAGAACCTGTGCTCCATTCCCACAATCCTCCTCTGTACAGTATTCTGCGGGGTTATGTGTGAGACCCTCCCGACACGGCACGAAAATCATGGCTGTGGGCACTCTCGTAGAGGTATGTACGCTGTCATGTCCAGCACCGCTGTACATCCTTCTTGTCAGCGACGCAGCTGCCTGTCCAAACAAGGCCTCTGATCCCTTTTCTATACACTCGATGCACTCTTCATCGAACTTGGCGACTTTGGCGTCGGAATCAACTTGCCACGACACTGTACAGCCACGGCCACGGGTGCAGCCCGCGTTTATAGCACCAACCTCCTCGTCTTTGGCGATCTTTTCGAAATCCTCCTGAAGCATCTTCTCCATCAGGTCGATATTTTTGTCGTTACTGGAGCGCAAGTCCAGGGAGAACGTCACAACTCCAGGGACAGTATTTGTGCTTCCCGGCTTTAGATTCAATAGACCGGTGGAAGCGAGCGAGGAAAACTGCGTGGCGACTTGATGCGATCGGAGAATCATTTTCGCACTCGCTAGCAAGGCATCGGATCGGTTCTCAAAGTTGGTTGCTCCCGTGTGGCTCTCGCGACCTGTCACGGTAATGGTAAACCACTTGCTTGCTTGAACGCCCTGGACGGCGCCGATGCGCTGGTGGGAAGCCTCTAGAATCGGTCCTTGTTCTGTGAATAAAAGTTAGCGGCATGCTACAGTGACTTGATAGACAACGGGAGTTGATACCGATGTGTAACTCGAAATGTGCTGCGAGTGGTGTGGCTGTCCAGTGCGCCTTTGTCGATCCCAAATACCCAATTCGTTGCAGTTCTGATTTGACAGTAGCATTGGCATCGTCGATATCAGCTATCTGATGGACCTTGGCCACATCCGTAACTCCGGCCCATACTCCAGAAGCCATCATGCATTGTGGGAATCTAGCACCCTCTTCACTGTCATCGTGTGAGCAACTTATACCTCGTCGAGAGAAGAGGCTGAGATTTACTTGGTCCAGTCAACAACGCCCACGGGATATTCAGTTTCGACTTCTCCCTCATGGAGAGCTCTCAGAGCAGCAACTCCGGCAAGGACGCCGAGAATGCCATCGTATCTTCCACCCGCTGGTTGGGTGTCGAGGTGAGATCCCATGACGGTGGGCAAGCCTTCCTTCTTGCCAGGTCGAATAGCAAAAATATTGCCCATCTCGTCCACGTGCACCTTACAGCCAAACGATTTGACGGTTTCGATAAACCAGTCTCGTACAAGTTTATCGGAATCACTCAACGCCAAGCGGGCCATACCAATATCAGTGGGTGATCTATCTCGATGGTGAGTATGTTTATCTGAGGTATTGCATTTCTGTCGACTTACTCGCCCCATCTCTCGCCCATACCGAATTTTGCGGTAAAGTGTATGTCATCCATCAACTGGTCCCTGTTTATAGATACAGTCGGGATCTTCAGCGTTGACAGCTGGCTTTGAAGCGTCATCTTCGGCTGTGGTGAGGTAGCTATTTCGCTACGAGATTCCGAATTTATTGTCATTGTCGTTTTGAGTTATCCTTGATTGGAATCGGAAGGGGAAACTATGGACAGAACTAAATACACGTCTTACGAGGAATGTTGTGGATATTCGAACTCCGACTTGACAAAGGATGTCATGTGAGGCACATCCAAATCAGTCGAGGTATCCACAGTTCCATAATCCGGCGAGGCATTTCGGCGAAATTATTAGCGCATTTCGGCGAATTTTAGCGTTATTCTTTGATCTAGATAGAGACTAGACCTTATCAACACCGGAAATGATAAACAGCGTTAGGAACTGCGTAATCTTATCGCAACTTGTCCCGTATCTCCGCCTATCTACCACTATCGGATTGGACTTAAGTCTCTGCACATGGCATCTTGAACAGACCGTGAATATAATTGGCATCAATTCGCAGACTGAGTGGAATAAGGCATCACTTTGGCCAAACACAGAAATCTCAACTGCGCTGCTGCACCAGTCACGACGATGAGCGATCTCAAGGAACGCGTCAGTGATTCTATCTCTGCTCAAGGAAGCAATGGCGACTCTCCCGACTCAGGCACAGGCGTCAGCAACGTCGTCATCGACCCTATTGTTGAAAAGCGCACTATATCCAAATTTGACAAGTTCATGATGCCACAGATGGCGATACTCATGCTCATTGCATACCTGGACCGCTCCAATATTGGTTTGTGGCCCATCCTTAACTCTCCAACACCAATGTAATGGGAACTGACTGTTTGACAGGAAACGCGAGAGTGTTTGGTTTCGAAGAAGGCATTGGCCTTGTTGGCACTCAGTTCAACAATTTGTCCACTCTGTTCTACCCAACCTACGTCGTCTTTGAAATACCCTGGGTCATGGCCGTTAAGAAATGGGGCGCCAACACCATCCTCGCGGTTGCCATGGTAGGCTGGAGTGTTATCACTCTCGGCACCGGATTCATCAAGAACTACCATCAAGCAATTGCCATGCGACTTCTCTTGGGAATTTTCGAATCTGCGCTGTTCCCTTGCCTTGCCTTCATCATTTCCACAGTTTATTCTCGCGAACAGCAAGCAAAGCGTATTGCAGTTCTCTACGGAGCCATTGCTCTTTCTGGGGCTTTTGGTGGCCTCATTGCCTATGGTATCCAGCTCATGGGCGAAAGAGCTGGTCTTGCTGCATGGCGGTGGTTGTTCATCATCGAGGGATGCATCTCGATTGTCATTGGGCTGGCACTTTGGGTCACCCTTCCCTTTAGCTCCGAAAAGGCTTGGTTTCTCAATGCAGAGGAGAGCGCTGTCATGAGCTTGCGGATCCAAAGAGACGCTGCATACAAGGGTGAGGGGGAATTCTCCTGGAAATACGTCCGCATGGCCTTCACCGAGCCCATCATTTATGTCGCCGCCTTGGGACTATTCTGTTCCTCTATTCCTCTCTTTGGCTTTGCAACATTCTTGCCCACCATCATGGTTGGCCTCGGGTAGGCTATCTCTCCCACCATCGAACTACAACTTGTGCTGACTGTCCTAGCTATACCTCTTTGCAGGCGAATTATCTTTCGATCCCGGTTTACGTCTTCGGCTGTCTTGTTCTTTGCTTCATCGCCTGGATCTCCGATAAGCTTAACAAGCGTGGACTCATTGTAATGATGGTCCCTATCCCTGTTCTGATCGGATATGCCATTATCATTGGCACCGCTCAGCACGGTGTCGGTCTGTTTGCCATGTTCCTGATTGCTGCCGGTAAGTTGATATAATCCACCGCAATGGCTTCCGTCTAACTTGGTATAGGTGTCTATCCATATAATACCCTCATTGTAACCTGGGTGACCAACAACTTGCAAAACGAGCATGTTCGCTCCGTTGGAATCCCGCTACTAATTTCAATTGCTAATGCATCTGGAATTGCATCGTCACAAATATACCCAGCGAGAGACTCGCCAAGATATGTCATGGGTAATTCTATTTCGCTGGGCATGGAGGTGGTGGCATTGGCCGCTGTTGGTCTACTCTATCTTGTTATTCGCAGGAGAAATATGAAGCGGGCTACTGGGGCAGATGCTGAGACGGGCTTTACTTATACAATTTAGTTGAAGACATTGCTCTGCTTAGAGCGTTCGAACTATTTTTTATTTTTATTGTCCTCTATTGTTCTTATTGAGGTGCAAGATTGGTACGCTTTCAAAGAGTTTTTGCAGCTGTTCGCTTGTATGATACCAGGCCGGCAGTCGGAGGCTGCCATTGTCGCCAGACAGAGACCGAGGGCCGTAGCCACGGTCATAAAACCTGACGCTTTGTAAGAGATCCGCCAGAAAAAGCAAAGAAATTCGATCTTATCTCGTCAGAAACACAACTGAGGATAATGCCTCAATGTGGCACCTTCAGCCTGCCCAAGAGAGCTTCCAGCGCCATAGATACACATCCACCATTGTCGCAAAGTCATTTTAACTGTCTTTTTCTTTCTCTTTTTCCTTTTGGAAGGGGATGCTCCACATAGGAGGCTTCATTGTATAAATCAGAGGGGAGCCGAGTTGGCTTATCGAAAAGAGCATAGTCTGATTTAAGATACCCTGTCATCACAGCCCGTGACCGATTGTGATTTCAAATTACAATTTACCCCGCAGTTCCGCATGTCGCGATGGTGGCCGGCATTTACCTGCAGAGTGTAACACAACAGATCAACATAAAGCAAAGATTTACTCACCGGCTCTGGATTCTATTTATGGATGAAACATACCGATATCTGAGTTCCCATAGGCTCTGGGACTCTACCAACCCAAAGAAAAGTCAGTCTGTCGAGGTGATTGAGATATGGCATAGCCACTCATCAGCAGGGCTCCATATACAACACAGTCATATTGCCCTTCAAGAGACGTCACAATGGTTGGCCCAACCCTTGACAAAGCTAGGGAAGGATGGAGGAGCTTACTCGCTATTGGTTCGATTGGTCTTTGCCGCCTACAACCCATCTGACAACGGCCTGGACCACTTGCTGGACCATTTTGGCCTAAGAGATGCTCGAGCCTACGCCATCAGCTGCATCGCAGGCATCGATGCTCTCCCTCAAGCTGAAGCAACTCGGCGCACTTTCACGCTGACCTATCATCCAAAGCTAGCTGTTGTCTGGTCTCACTCGAGCCCAGCTGCCTCGACTGCGCAAAACCCCCCTACATCATCCAGCACAGCATTTACTCAAGGCATTATCTTCGCGAGCTCAGAGCAACGCGCCGCCTTAAGTAACTTACTCCAGCGCCAGTGGGACTTGCATCTCGTATCTCACGCCATGTTCCCCGTTTTTATATGTGGCTTGATGATGGATCATGAGGTGGACCTCACGCAAAACAAGATCAAAGTTGAGGTGCGTACAGTGGAAGTGCGGACTGGCCATCACCGCTTCGCAAGCCGCAAAGAGAACGCGGCAGCGGGTCAGATGGGCGAGCTATCTGCTTCGATGAGTGGGCTGTGCACCAAGCTGGCAAGCACAGCTAGAAAGATTCAAGTCGCACGAGAGTTTCAAGATTTTATGAATGCCCAAGTTCAGGCAAGGTTGGAACGGAATGGTAGCGCTCCAGTCGATAACTTGAAGAAGCGCGACGAATCCATTGGGGAAGACCTCCTTGATCAAAACATCAAATTGATGAAGAAGAGGCTCGAAATGAAGCTGCTAGACAACCAGTATATACTCGAGAGAGTAAGAATTCAGTTAGCTGCTGTGAGTTCCATGCTCCTTGCGGTCGTCGAACATCACTAACCCTTTCCATTAGGTGTTCAACCTCATCGCTCAGCAGGACAGTTTAATTGGTCTGCGAACAGCTCATGCTTCACAGTTAGCGGCTATGTCGAGTATGCGTGACTCCTCCTCTATGAAGACACTTGCTTTGGTTGCCTTGGCATTCTTACCAGGTAGTTTCGTTGCCGCCGTTTTTTCTGCTCCGTTATTCAACTGGGACGCTGCCGCCACGTCTGGGACTCATTCAATTGCAGTGGATACGAAACCCCAATTCAAGCTTTTTTGGTCTATTGTCCTCCCGCTTACAGCTCTTACCTTTACACTCTATGTTGGGATGCTGCTCTCAAAGCGGAAGCAAATGAAGAAATTATCCGCGTTATCTGAAGAGGACTTGGAAAGGATATTAGTATAATTTGGGTATTTCCAGAGGTTAAATTTGCGAATTCGTACTCGAGGATAGGGCAGGAAGGGACTAGTTGTTCTAATATTGGAGGATCACGGTATCGAGACGAAAGCGCGAGCAATCTAGAGTGGGCCAGTGGCCTTAGTTGTAGTCGAGAACTTTGATAGCACAGAAGGCGTTGGGAATTGGGAGAGGCAACTGGCTGAGCAGTAGAATATAATTGCAAATTGACTTCCTGAAATTCGAATCCGTATATCTTTGCATATCCAAGGTAGAACGAACGTCCGTTATGATGCTCCATTGTCGCAAATATCCGGTCCACGTTGTCGAGCGCCTCCACCAGAGCCACCACGTCTCCAGTGAACTGCTTGTCTGCAAGGATGAGAGCCTTGAGCATCAGCAGGGCTAGGACGGCCAATTTAGCTGAGCCGAGAATTTGGCGGATGTGAGCTGAGACGGCGATGTACTCCAAGACGCAGCCCAGAGTGCAGGATGTACCGGAGGGTCGGTCCGCGGTTGTCCGTCGATGGCGATGTTGAAGACGGACATCAGGTCTCCTTCCAGCGTCTCAAAGGGATTTTGGACCGCCATCACAGTCCTCCACAAGAGAGTAGACAGGGCGTCATTGGTGGAGACCCAACTCTGGTCTGGAATCTTAGACGCATTATTCGGCGAGGCCTCAGCCTTGAGTACCTTGAGAGACTCGGGAGAGAGGTAGAAAACTTGTCCGCGGTGGTCTGACGACATCATCCTAGGCGGGGCGCCCTTCGGCACGAAAGAGGCCAAAGGGAACAGGAGGTAATGGTTAGCGCACCCTAGCAATTCTTCGGCCCCCCTTCGATTCAAGCTTCAACTAACGGAGTGGCATGGAGCCTGTAGCCAGACCTCCCGAGTTTTATAACTTTTGGGGGACCGTAACCGTGATAGCAGAGGTGATTCCAGCATCAACCGGAAGGACAATCCCTGTGATCCAGCTGTTCAAATCCAAAGTCAGCTTATGTACCTAACCCTAGCAGGGCAAATAAATATACTTACCGAGCCTCATCACCAGCTAGGAACCTGACCGCAGCTCCGATATCCCACCCATAGCCTTCTGTCTTCAGTAACGACTGATTTTTCCGAGACTCTCGCATTTCGTCACTCATACCACCGCCGGCGAAAACAATAGGTGTATACACCATCCCAGGGCAGACACAATTGACTCTAATACCTTGTGCCGCGTGGTGTTCTGCCATTGCTCTTGTCATATTGATGATGGCACCTTTTGATGTTGCGTACATCAAGTCTGGTGAACCACCCCTCATGTCAGCGATTGAGGACAGGTTGATGATGGAACCCCGGTACTGACCACGCTCATTTTTTTCCATGTATGGAATAGCATACTTGGTCATCATAACCATGGAGTTGACGTTTATCCGCATTCCTACATCCCAATGGCTCATATTGACAGTCGCTGCTGTTCCCCTTGCCCCGATTATGCTAACATTGTTGACCAAAATATCAAGGCGGCGATATTTGGAAATAGTTTCCTGAACAACACGGTTGCATTCCTCTTCCTTCGCCACGTCAGCCACAATGGATATTGCTTCCCGATCTCCTCCGTCGTTCTGAATCATCTGGACTGTTCGCTCTGCATCTGTTTGCGAGAGATCAACACAGACAACGCGAGCGCCTGATTCGGCAAGCAGGATGGCTGCTGCTCGTCCATTGCCAATTCCTTCCCCCTTGCAACCAGCGCCGACCACAATAGCAACACGTCCGGCGAGAGAAGGGGTAGGTCGTTTCGGAGCCTCCATGATGAGTGTTAAATGAGGTTTTTAGATTTTATTTCGGTGACTTTGGAAATTCTGGTAAAGAGTGAGGGGGAAGTATCTTAGTAACCTGTTGACGTGGGATGCAGAGTACTTATACATTACCCATTGCCGAAATTCCAGGCGCCAACACAGGAGCTTTGGAGGTTAAAGTCGAGCAACTGACGCCGCAACCTTCATTGGTGGACAGCCGATGAGCTCATAAAATTTAGCTGTTACGTTATAGCTTCTGGGAGTGCTACCTAGTTCTCTGCGCTGAATCGAGGTGATGTAGAAGCAGAGGTAATCCGGTCCAATCGGATGCAGGCGCGTTACGTGCGGGGTACAGAGTGAGGAGCTGCCGGCTTGAAGTCCAGTACGGAGTTTCGAAAATAAGAGAGAAGAATGCAACCTAGCCCAAGCATTACAACACCACAAGAATCACTTTCCATTCGTCCGGTCACTAACCCACACTCTGCGGAGAGAGCTATACTCCATGTAGAAATTGGGACGGGACCCTTCCCATTTTAGAAGGACGGGTATCCGTACCTGTCTGCCTCTTGACGGCCGACCGCCATACAATCTTGCTAACACCAACCTGTCGTTCTGCCAGAACAACACCCGGACTGGCGACCAGCCTTTCAGGTTATAAAAGCTGCTGGAAGTACTTGAAATCCCGGCCGGGTTTTCTATCTAGGTGTTACCGATCACACCCTGATGAGGTTGTTGCCATACTGCGGCACGTAGACGCTCAGGCTCAGTATTGACTCGATCTGAAGATGCTACCACCAACAAACTCGCCAAGTGGGATGACCCCTCATTGATTGTATGTTATCAGAGGACCTGCCAAGAACATCATAAACGCGAGTTCTGCTAATGCTTTGGAGGAGCTTAACGAGTAAGTAGAGATCTTGCTGCTTCGGGATAAGACGCGAGGTCTCCATATATTAGCGTCCTTAGTTGGCGTGTATGTAACACAAGATACTCTACTAAAGATACTCTGCCAATATACCTCGGGTCTTTGTCGCTCAGTAATCAAGAGATTGTGGTAGTAGTGGAGCGTCGCCCTTGAATTGCGGGGTTAATAAATCTAGACTACTTGACTTGCCGCTTTGGGATGAGTCGCGAGCTCTCCATATTTTAGCATCCCTCCAAGTTCTATCCCCAAGTTCGAGAGCCGGCCGGTCTATTTCCGAGGACTCTCTTCTTTACGGTATGAAGTACTAACCTAACTTCTGTCCGCTCCCTCAAGGTGAGCAAGTTGCGGGCACAAGATCAAAAAAAAAACATAGTTCTATCCATAATTCAAGTATTTCTTACCCAATGCTACCACGATAACCAAATATCAAGCTTTTTAACTTGAAAAGGTGAAAACCTATATGAATATATAGGTAGTTGGTTCAAGAAGCTGAGCCCCGACTCCTTCCCTCCCTCATATATCACCTTTCGTATTTGGTACAACTCGAACTTGAATATCGCCGCAAACTAGCGGCACGTACATAAAATGGAAAAAGACGGCATCGATTACTTCCATATTTGGTCTGAACTTTCTTGATACCTAGTTTCAATGTTGCATCCCAAACCGACCCCCTCCTGACTTGATACGTTGTTCATGTTTCAATACAAAAAGTGCCCTAACAGTGTACTCTTACATCTGCGGATCCCGTGTTATCCGTTCCGTACTCTCTGTTGCAGTAAGAATATTCTCGAAACTTGAAGCTGAGTCATTGCGTATCGCTCTATTAGTCGGAATAGTCACGATGCCTTGACCCGTCTGTGTCTTGTTTACTTGAGGTCCAGTGCTACCACTCGGGCCTGAGACCCTAAAATTGAACAGAAGCTCGCGCCATTGCCTGCGAGAACCCTCGTTCATTCCGTATATAACTGCATCAACAAGTCCTTGAATGACGATACAGCTCTACAATACCGAAGTTAGTCCAGTCGAGTTTAATTCACACTGGGCATTCACCTTATCAATTGTCTGCAGTGCGAATGGAGCTGGACGACCGCGTGTAGCTTGGTAGATTCGAATGATTGTAGGAAGTAGCCAAATAAGCATGTATGCGACGGGATACATAAGCATCAGTCGAGCTGTCTAAAGCACGGTTAATTTCGCCTTCAATAAGGAAGTAAGGTGCATAGAAACAACCATCTTGAGTCTTCTGATCGTCTTTTCCGATCCATAACGCCCTTGTGCAGCATGGTTGGCGCCCTCGGCTAACCCTCTCGCTGCACCACGCATTTCTACAGCTCCATCAATGGTACGACAAGAACCATGAGGCTCGGATGACGAATCTCCAAAGGAGAGGAAACTTCTGTGAGCACGGTGGAGAAAGAAGTAGAGCCGAGAGTACATGGCAAGAATTGCAACGATGATGATCCAGCGTGGCACGAAGTTGACCAGCAGACGGACTTTATCCGAGGTAAACCAGCACCCTATTGTCATTGTTATAAAAATACCAAGCAAACTATCTCGGGGTTGTGACTTACAGGCTCCGATATCTCCATATCCCGCCAGCCACAGGCCTAGCCCAGCCCAAAGCAGGCTTAACATCCATGGAATGAGAAAGAGGACTTTTTCATGATCTTGCACCCAAGAAGTCAAATGCTTGTGGTCGGCAAGAATGAGGTATGTGCAGATCGATATGGTCAAAACCCAGTAATCTGTCTGAACAACGAAGACTTGAGTCATGAAGCCGTTGAAATTGCAGAACGCGGCTTGCTCGGGAGCTTGAATGTAACGTTTGCTGATATTCATGGATGTAGAGAGCAAAAAGTTGAGTGCCATTATAAAATCACTAATGGCAAGACCGCTACATCCTGTTAGTAACTTATTCCAAATGAAATACAACCAAACTCACAGAATAAGCTGATGACGGAAAGATCTTAGGTTCTTGAAGCACTGATGGAAAAATGATGTGTGAGCTTTCAGTTGCGAATAGACGGATAGAGTTAACATACAAAAAAGTTAAGTATGATCCAACCAGCCCCAAGAATGGAACATATTGAGACAATCAAGATGACGACGCTTTGGATGCGTATCTGTGAAACATCGGTGGGTGCTGCTAGCGCTTCTCGCGATGAGATTTCCAAGGGGAGCCTCATTCTCGAGCCGTCGCGCGTCTAGAGTGGTGGTGGACTGCACTCGTCAGGAGTTTCCACTCAGACACGCATGAATTCAAGAAGGGGCCACACTCTTAATAAAAGGGATGTGCCGCCGTCATTATTGAATGCATCATCTGCCACGGTCTTATCTTTCTAGCAGCTCTAAACGACGTGTCGCAAAACGAGACCCTCCAGCCGCAATGGCAAAGGCGACAATCTTTGAGTGCTGGAACGAGATCTCAAGCAGATACGGATCACATTAAGGGGGAAGATAATCATGCACTCCAGTTTCTTCCGAGGAGAAACAAGAATATCCGCCACCATTTTCTTATCTTTGGTCCTCTTGCTCGGAACCCGAGGAGCCTCCTGTTCGGGAAGGCGTACTGCTGGAAGCGACGCAAATTGGCTAGAGGCCAATACAAAAGATAAGAACGTGACAGGGAGTCTCAGTGCATGATTTCCGAAGAGTATAGAGGTGGCAGATATTGTACTGAAGGTTCCTTTATGGCCCGACAATTGAGAATACTTCCCCTGGCCAAGGAGATATTGTAGATTGCATTGTGGGGCTGCGCGTGGGGTGAAATAAGCATCTCCGGTCAGCCTCACTTGCAGGAGCAGAAGGGTTCAAGCGTGTTTCAAATGAGGAAAGGATTGTGCCCCTTATCATGAGATAAGAATTGTGGCGTCTTTCGACATGCTCAGGATTCAGCTCGTCTAATCAACTGCAGATTGCGGACATCAGGCCTGTTGTAGAGGCAATTGAAAGGATAAATATTGAGTGTGCACCCAAAGGCAAATCCAATTACTAGAAGTATGCCACCCCTTCTGCTGGTAGCTGCATGAATAGCCGGGCTGGCATGGACAGACAGAGGAGCATTGAGCCCTTAACTGTGCTGCTAACCAACTCATCTCAGACCTGTTTTCATCCACATCTATGTACGGGGTGTCAAATTACTACCAGTAGGCTTTTCGGTCACCATCTCCGTCCTGACCATCGGGGTGCTTCCAGAAGCAGGCTCATGCAGCCAGCTTGGAAGACCTTGATTAGATTTTGCACGCGCCATGCGACAACCCATGGAAGGAATGAATGATTGGTCGCTGGGTCTCAGGAATCTCGCAATGAAGGTCCTACTATAGGCAACATTTGTTAGAGGAAGTCTCAAACCGAAGAGCTCCACCAAGCCTCCATGACAACATTGGGCTAGGTTAGACAGGACGAAATTAATATTCACAAAATCTAAGACATCATCTGGGTTTGCGCCGGACTAATACCACGATAAACTGCTATCATTTTTGCTGGGTTGCAACGCGGTGTCCAAGATGCGGAGCTAAGTTCTAACCCGAGCAACGATTCGGCTAGTTCTCGAGGGCGATTTAGTGGATACCAATGTTAAAGACGGATTTAGAATACTGCAGTAAATACGGTCGCTGTAGCGTAAGGGGTTTCTGGGTACTGCATCAGGTGCTTACTGAAGCAAGCAGGGCCATCCCTACGTAGAGCAAGCACAGGGTAAGATATACACTAAAGGCCCTGTATTAAGTACAGATTAAGCTTTCTTAGATTAGTACTTGCATCAATATATAAGCTACTGTATTTTATTGTGCTGGATATAGTGCGAACTATGTGCGCCTATGGTTTGCAACTACTTTGTTAGTAGGAGGTGCACCGGAAAAGGCGAGAGTCTGGAATCATATAGTATTCAGAAGGGAATCTGCTAAGACTAGCTAAGAGAGAAGGCCGAATCAATGATTGAGCAGCGAGTAAAGCAAAAAGGAAAGATTCTGAATAAAACCTACTCTAAAAGCGATTCGTCTTCGATTACCTATTAAAACCCTTAAACTCTAGTATATATTTTGTGTGTAAATTGCAAGGAGAAGGCAATGGGCACACCAGGAGGATGTATATGCTTTTCAATTTGTTTTGTAAAAATAAACTATGGAATGGGAATGGAAGGCTGAAGTAGTTAACAAGGAAAACCATCCCCATACAATCGGTGGTATTACAATTAACTACTACCGGGTTCAAAAATACACTTGGCCGGTTCCATATGCCGATACAACAATTACAAAGTATTTGCAAACAGAACCAACCCGACCCAACGTGTCAGTGACAATCGCGGTTCTCAACAAACTTGGTGTACCTGGCTGCAGTCTTGCGCCGAGCAGTCTTGCCCCAGTACTGCATAGGGGCAGTTGTCATAAAGAAGACAAAAGATAAGACACCAATGGCAATGAAGACTTGAGAGAGAGTCTGTGTGTCCATCCAGATACCAGTGCAGAAGGTGAAGAGCAGGGCGATGCTGTTATTAATCACAGCCACACCTACCATTCCCTCCAAGATCATATCCGGATAACAGTCGGCAAGATAACTCATCCCTGTGTATTTCAGTCAGCATGCGTTTTGAAAGAAAAGATGAGAGTCATCACTTACCGATATCTCCTGCACATCCCCAGCCAAATCCAATGAAGCCAAGCCCGACATAAGCGCCCCATAGCTTGGGGAAAAGCCAGCCGTCACCAGAGCCCACACCAAAGAGAATCAAGCCAGCAGGGTTAATAATGGCGGCCGGATACATGAGCCACAAGCGGTCTTCAGCTTCGCTTATACCACCGCGCCGCCGCGCCTTCCATTCGACGAACTTGTCTGAAAACCAGCCACCATAGAAGCAGCCAATTATGGCGCCAATGAGAGTAGGAATGTTCATCAGGGCCACAGACGCATCACCATAGTCCCACGGGTCGTCGTAGTAGTTATCTTCTTGCACGGTCAGATAAAAGGTCAACCACGCATCTTGGGCCCCCCATTGCAGCCCAGCATAAAGGACAGCAGGGAAGCCGAAGACACGCAACGTCTGAAAGAGTATCGAGAAGTAATTTTTGAAGCCGCTACCCACGAGCAGATGCGATGGTGTTATGATCGCAATGCGCTGCCAGTATGTTTTGGGCTCGTCCTGGACGATGGTTGCTGTTTCGGCCGCTTGCAGTTCGCTGCTGTTTCTGGACCAGGACTCTTTTGTCTTGGGCGTTGCAGGGTTGGCATTCAGCCGAACACCTTCAAGGATGGCTCTGCGATCGAAGGTTGTCTCCTCGAAACCAAATAAGAAGACGATCAGAGTGCCAACGCTGATTATGGCAGCAAACCAGCCGATCCAAGTCCAGCCGAAGCGATCATTGTCGGTAATGAAGCCGGCAAATAATGGGCCTAGAAAGGTTCCCACACTGGTTGCCAAGATGTAGAGGCCCAAAACCGAGCCACGTTGGTGGCTATAGAACAGCTCAGAGAGCGACAACTGCGCCGCAGCCTCGGCACACGACTCAGACGCCCCGACGAAGAGCTGGCTCCAAATAGCATCAGTGCTACGCTTTGTATTGGCGAACCAGACACTCCCAGCAATGGAGGATAGGAGACAAATGAGGTAGGTGCTGCGACGGCCATACAAGGCGGGCAGCGGAGATAGGAAGAAGGTCGTGTAGCCGATGCCAGCAAACAGGACACCGGCGCCAATATTTTCAATATTATAACTGATGCCCTTGGCGAGCAGGGCATCAGAAGCACTGCCGGCCGAGTTGCTGGTGGCAGCCGTGAGTCCCACGATAAAGAGAACTAGGAACGCATGCCAGTACTTCCGCCATGGAGACCAGTTCAAAGGATCATTGGGAGAGTTTGTTGGGTGCGGGATGAGCGTGGCCTCGTGTCCCTCTGACTTGATGATGCGCTCAGTTCCCGCGAGATGTTCCTCCTCGGTGTCGGAGCCGAAGGTGCCCTGATGGGCCATTGTCTTCGTCTTGGTCGTGTACTTGTCGTCGCTGACGGTAGTGGTGACTGAGATGACAGCGGCGACCTTGCGATCAGCTCGGCGATGGAGTCAAAATCCAGGGGGGATAGAGTTCATCTTGAGATGTCGACGCCGTCACACGGACGCCTCTTTACCTACTTTGGACCATGATGGTATCTTATCGTTATCATTACGGCGCAATTAGAGATCTGGGGGGAATGCACAACAATGACCGTCTCCGGTTAGTGTGAAACCGAGATATTGCGTAGATCCGAAGATAGTGTGCCAAGAAAATGCCTCATGCTTCACGAGACCCGACGCCCATTGGCAAGCACTTGATCACGAAGAGCGATGAAACCCTGCATCTTGGGCATCTCCCGGCACTTCGGCATCGGAGCCTCCCCAGATTAGACGGCTTGGTCGTATCACTTTCCCGAAGCGTGCTAGGTAACCCCAGATTGTTCTCATATGACTAGCTATGTATAGATTAGCCTTATCAGTCACAAGATACGCTTTAAGCTGCGGGCAGCATGACGTGGCTGCAACCGAGCCGGAGCTCCATCGTCATGACGTTCCCGTTGCCCATTCTCGGAGTGATTTAAGGAGGCTTTGCCTGTCTCGCAGTCTTGCTGATTCCTCACCAAACAAAGACGCACATACACGGAACTGCCCCGGAACTCAACCCACACAAACCAGCCGCATGTCCACTTGCCAGAGAATGCTTTCCAACCAGTACAGCATGGCTTCCCGTATGCCGGGTAGTCCGGAAAAACCGAGTAATTGTTACTCCGGCCTGGGGGGCCTCCTCGGCTCTGTCGCTGCCGCCGTCGCTGATGCCGACGCCGGACTACGACTGCCGAGCGAGATCTCTCCTCCAGGACCGGAGCTCCCTAAGAAGGTGATTGTGGTGGGCGCTGGCATCTCTGGACTGAGAGCTGCCTCGGTGCTTCGCCGCCACGGCCTCGACGTTGTTATTCTCGAGGCCCGCGGCCGTATTGGCGGCCGTATCTGCGCCAGTAGCCAGCCTGGCAAGACGCGTGATCTAGGTACGTGCCAGACTGTGAAAACCCGTGGTTGATACTGAACTACAGACCTTGCGTTTGGGCTGTGTCGCCGTCTATCGCATTTGCACGGCTTCTTCGTGCAGGTGTGGGTATGCCCAACACATGCGTTCCTTCCAGGGGTAAAACATGTTTTTATCGCTCTGGAGTGTGTTGACATTTTCTTTCTCTGCTTCAAGGCGCCGCTTGGATGCACGAGACGTCGCAAAACAGGCTGGTCAAGCTGATTCCCAAACTCGGCGTCGAGTACTATTACGACGACGGCGCTCCCCTGTACTACACACCTCACGGCAAAGCCGGCGCTCAATTCAAGGCCAAGAAAGTCGCCGACGAGTTCGCCGACTACTGTGAGTGGTACTATAAAAACGACCCCGACGCCCCGGATAGGAGCGTCGATGAATTTGTTCGAGATTTTGTGAAGAATCACGAGCTGATCACGGAAGATGAACGCCTCTGGGCTCCGCAGGCGACCAGAGAGGTCAGTAATTTGCTGTTTACGGACCTTTCTTTGACACGGTCATCACTTATAGAGTCGACATATCCTGACCATCATACAGATAGAACTCTGGATCGGCACCAGCACGGCTTTGGCATCTGCTAAGCACCTCAGCTACTTTGTCACGGAGCGTAACCTCTACGTCCTCCGCGGAGGTTATCAGAAAATTGTCAACTGGACAGCCGAGTCGGTCCTCGATGCAGTCCAACTCCATCGCCACGTCAAGAACGTCGAATGGAGCGAAGACGGGGCTTCGCCTGCTGTCGTCGTTTGTGAGGATGCTCAAGGCAACGAACAGCACTTCACGGCCGACGCTGTCGTCATGACGACGCCATTAGGCGTCCTTCGCCACAAGCTGGTGGACTTCTCCCCTCCCCTCCCAGAAGACATACGTGAGGGCATAGACCGGTTCAGCTATGCCGCTCTCGGAAAGGTCTTCTTCGAGTTTACCGAAGTCTTCTGGAGCAAGGATAACGACCAGTTCATGTACTATCCCGCCCCTCCCGATGAGCAGGAAGCAGGGCCTGCTGCGGACAACATCCTGGCCCATCCCACCGTCACTGTGAACACGTGGCTGATGTCGGGCAATAAGGAACTGTGTGTCCAGATTGCTGAGCCTCTAACCCAGCGGGTTGAGGCTATGGCTAAAGACGAGCTGTATGATTTCTTCAAGCCGCTCTTTAACCTCCTCCGTACCGAGCCTTACAAGGCGCTTCCTAAACTGGTTGGCGTTGAATGCACGGAATGGACCCGCGACCCCTTGGCTGGGTTTGGCACTTACTCGGCTGATAAAGTCGGGGACGATCCCGCCCTGTTTACTGGAGCGCTTGAGACACACAAGCATAGCCGTCTCCAATTCGCCGGTGAGCATTGCACTCTCATTGCTAATGGCTGTGTACACGGCGCGTTTGCTACCGGTGAAACGGCTGCCACGAACCTACTCGAAGCCTTTGGGATTAGCTATGACGGAGGTGACCTCATGAGTCTCCCCCGTGGTCTGAAGTAGGCGGTGTAGCTCCAGCGGGGTTTAGACACGTCTCACGCCCTCAAACAGGCCCTACCTCTAGGGATTGGCTTTTAGCTCTTTAAACTCATTCTTGAGATGTTGTATTTCTGCAAGAGATTTATCCTAATAAATCCTGAGCGGTGATACATAATTTATAGAGTATTAATAGGCTAATAAAGTTATATTACCCTGCTTTCAATCTGAAACCTGCGCATGTGAAACTATATGCGTGTAAAAGTCTGGTCGAGAAAAGTAAACCGGATGTATTCAAGCATTCTACTTGTAGGTAATCTCCAGCCCTACCATATCTCCCTTTTCTCTCCATTCTTCAATAGCCTTGGCGTATGACAAGAGTCCCCCAACCATATTAGCGCCCCTGGCGACATGCAGCTTCTGTTCCTCTGTTCCTTCAAAAACCCTTACCGCCCCCTCTTTGTTGTTAATGCCTGGCGTACAATCAGCCATAAGCGTGATGAACCTCGCGTCACAGGCGATTCTCATGGACCATTCTTCTTCCCCCTGCTGGGTCGGCTGGAGGATAACCTTCTTTCCATCGTTCTTGCTGGATGCTGCAGATATAACTGATGCAACGTGAGTCGCAATCGTGTCTAGGGTATGCACAACATTGATGGTAACTCCTCCCTGACCTCCACTCCCTGGGAGAATGAGATTGGGGAAGTCTCTCGTGAGTATGCCATGCAGAGTGCCGACAGCTCTCCCCCACTTCTGGTCGAATGTCAGACCGTTGCAACCTGTGATGCTCATTTCAGCCCGTGAAGCTGCAGTGCCGTCGCGGAATGGCTGGTAGCCTGTGCTGAAGATGAAGATATCGACAGGGTATTCGGCTCCGCTCGCCACGAAGCCAGCTTTTGTCATGCGTTGTATCCCCGCACCGGCGGTGTCAATGAGCTCAACGTTGGGGTTGTTGAAGGCGGCGAGGTAGTCATCGTGGAAGCCCGGGCGCTTGCACCACCCAGCATACCAGGCTTTGAGGCTCTCAGCAGTGGCTTCGTCCTTGACTACTTGGGAAACTCGCTCGCGGACGCGGTTGGAACGAGGAAGATCCAGAGTATGGAGGGAAGCAATATAGGATGGTAGCGTCTGTTCGGACAGTCCGCTGGCGTTTGGTCCGCCGACAAGTGCAGAGAATGACGGGAATGTTGTCCAGCCGTCTTGGACCATGTCTCGTTCCATGGGGATGTTACTGACATGAGCCGTCATGTTTTCGCGTCGCCGCTTCTGCCAGCCGGGCTCATGCGAGATCTTGGAGCGGAATTCTTCCTCGTTTACAGGTCTCTGACCACGGAAGTCGACACTTGCAGGTGTCCGCTGTACGACGTAGAGCTTCTTTGCCCATTTGGCGACTTCAGGAACAACCTGGACAGCGGTGGCACCCGTGCCCAAAACGGCAACTCTCTTGTCCTTGAGTTTTGACAAGGCCAGATCGGTTGGAGAGCCACCCGTCACGTCGTAGTTCCAACGGGAAGTGTGGAAAGACTCGCCCTGAAAGTCGCTCAATCCCGGCACCTTGGGCATTTTTGGACGTGTGAAAAGACCAGCAGTAAGCACGAAGAAGTCGGAATGGATCTTGAATGTCCGTTGAGCTTGGCCGTTGATTGCCCTCTGCGTGACAGTGGACGTCCATTGGCTAGTCTCGGCGTCCCACGATGCATCCGTGACGCGAGCAGCAAAGATAGCCCTATTATCGAGCTTCCATTTTGATGCTACCAGCTCGGCATATTGCCGCAGTTCCGAACCGTATGAATATCGGTGCTTGGGGACGTATCCTGTCTCCTCCAGCAACGGCATGTAGCAAGCGCTCTCGACGTCGCACATAAGACCAGGGTATTGGTTCCAGTACCAGGTCCCTCCAAAACCGCCGGCATTGTCGACGAGGATGATTTCCTCCGGTTTGAATCCGGCAATCTCGATCAATCGAACAGCAAAAAGGAGTGCACCATAGCCAGCGCCAATGAGGACAGCCTTGGCCGTTGTGCCATCCTCGGCTGGCAATGAGTTCGGGACGTGGCCATCAGTTATCCAGGGATCCTCGGCGTAGTGCTGCAGTGTTTCGGATTTCTCAATGTCGACGTATTGGCCGAGCCCATCGGATCGGAGACGCTTTTGCCGCTCTTGATCATACTTGAGCAGAGTATCGTGCGTCGTGTTGACGGTTTTGGTGATTGTTGTCGAGCTCATGATGGCAACTGAAAAACACGGGCCTCAGGGATTTGTGGGCGATAGGTGGGGATGGTATTTTTGGAATTTTCGTAAACGACAGATGACAATTTTGACTTGTCCGTTCATAATCAATTATTATCAAGGGTTTTATAAGTTTCCTTCCATGGATATTTGCAGAGCGGAACTCGGGCCCCGAATGCGAATTGTCGCGATCGTCTTGGCGCTTGATCGGTCACCGTAAGCTGACGAACATTGGCTGTACATGTAAGTAGAGATTGGTGCGTAATAAGCGGGTAGGCATCTACTCCAATTCGCCTGGAGATAAGAGCCTCATTCTGGCTCACCTTCTCGGGATGCATTATCGCTCTCGACGCCTTACCCGGACCCGTCTCTCACGGTGAAGTTGTTTGCATCCAATGGTGTCATCGTCTCGCTTCCCGACGTGGACGAGAATTCGGTTATCGATTCCCCGCTCGACTCGCCGCATGACGCTAAGGAACCCGGGGATAGCTTCATTCCGAGTCCGTCTAGTCATTGGTCGACTTGACATGTGATTATTTATGCTTAAGTCGCCGGTATAGGGTAGACAAGATGGCGTGTTGTGTACTCATCTTTACTGCGATTAGAATGTGAATAATGAACACCAGTCTATAAACTCTAAAGCGTGGGAGACAATATGCTTAAGTTTGCGATCCCTGCACCTTCACGGAAGATCAATTGGAGCAGATCAGCTGGCTGCAAACACGCGTCCTCCCTGTCTCAGCCTCGCTGCCGAGATGTATATTTCTTGTGACCTATAGAATTTGAATACGAGATGTGCCGGAAGACTGAAATAATCCCAAAGCCAAGGCTCGGGAGGACTGATGGCGAAATCAGACATGGACGATAGCAGATGTATGCATCTTAAGGCGGTCAGTATGAGGCAAGCAGGGCTACTTTGTAGGATTACGATATTAAATAAGTAGTTGGTGGCGATAAGCTGTCACATGTAAATTTGAATTTAATAATTACTCTCGCAAAGTAATTGATATTACACACAAACAATACTCCTCGAAACGTTGAGGGTACACTGATATAGCCTGTTGCCTTACATTTAAGGCGTAAATCTAATTGCTGCTTAAACACACCCATGTTGCTGAGTCATCATGGTTACGAGGCCTCGAAACATTTCTACAATCGCCGCCTCCGTACTTTGTCACCTTAAGCCTGTGTTGCACTTTATCCCTTATAGTGTAAGCGGATATACTCTCTCCGCCTGGCTTCGATATATTGAGAAAATGATACGGAACATCCGGCCTCACAGTAAGTCGAGGAAAGGATGTCTCAACTGCAAGGTTAGACGTGTCAAGGTACCTCGTTGCAACTCCGCGAAGGCAAGAGGGATGAAGCTGAACAGATAACAGTGCGACGAATCGAAACCCATGTGCTCGGCTTGCGCTCGACGAAGCGATGAATGCGTCTACTCATCACGGATGCATCGGACATCAAGCACAGAGGGTTCCGATCAAATGACATTCCCTTCCCGCACTATCCCCCTCATAAGGGCCAGTGAACTTGCCTTCGACATTCACCACCACGGACCTCGACTTTTCGACTACGGCAGCAAGCACTTGATGCAGCTCCGTCTCATGCATCATTACGGCACCACTACTGTGAAATCCTTTGCTGTGGCTTTCCAGCTTCAGGAACGGCTGGTCCAGACCCTGCAGATAGACATCCCTTCCTTCGCCTTCAAGCATTCGTTCCTCTTGGACACAGTATTCCTCGTGGCTATGATTCACATGGCAAGCATAGAACCTCAGTCAGTCAACGTGCTCGATGTGGCCAGGTATCGAGATCAAGCTATCTGCGCCGTTCGCGCGGCACTCGCTAGCATCTCAGACGAGAATATGCGCGCCATCCGTATGTCGTCCCTATTACTAGGAGTCACATCCTTTGCCGCCGACCGGGCTATGGGCTACTCGGGAATATGGCTCACCAATTACTTGGCTCTGAACATCGGCTCACGCACGTTTATGCCACACGAGACCGGTGATCAAGCCGACACGCATGCCGGTGATATGCAGCTTGGCGACCCAACGTGCAATTTTGGAAATTTCCAGACCCTTTCATCAATTCCACTGGGCCTCCAAATGGCTCTTCAAATTAATGAACAAGAAGATGATTGGGCATATTACGATGACCTCTATCGGGCAGCATCCGGCATTGGAAAACTGTTTGATTCACTACACCGACCGCATACAAGATTGTCGATGGCATTCGAGATCAAATCTTGGCCATTCTTATACATCTCGGAAGGCTTCGTCCAGCTAGCCCGTCAAAAACGGCCAAGGGCGCTGATAATTATGGCCTATTATCTCGTGTTTCTTCAATACTTTCCATCTGTCTGGCTGTATAAAGATGCCGTTGGGAAAGACATGGAGAAAATTGCCGAATCACTGGGTCCCGCATGGCACGAATACTTATCCTTCCCAATGGCGGCTGTGCTGATTGAAGGGGAATCTTCACTGACCGAGTTTCTTCTTACGCAAGTGCCAAAAGAGCCGAGAACTAGTTTAACATTGGCTGGCGTTTGTGATGCTGCATATATGCCATCATGAATGTAACTATAGGGTTTTCGTCATTTGCAATCTGTTTCAGAATGTGGATAGATGCGAGGCCCTTAATTAGCGGATGTAGAATTAAGCGGGTCAGCTGTCAATCGAGGTATCTCAAAGGTCGGTCGACAAGAAGTAAAAACGAACATGCAATTAGCCATCAAATTAAATACGCCACAAGGGAATGTGCTACTCGCTTCGGTAGGGAGTTTGGATAGTTGAGGCCATAGAGAGACTACCTCACATCTGTTGAGATCTTGATTAATACTAAAGGAACTTGGTACACAGAGCTTAAACCCCTGATCGGGTCGACGTGGGATTCGTCCTTGACGTGCCAGTGCAGGTGAGGTTGTTCTCTATTTGCCATGAAACACATAATTAGTTCTAGCCCGAAACATACAACTGATAAAAGAAAGAGCAACTAAATACCATCCGACCCGGTTGATGAACCAATCCAGCCCTGCTAAGACTCTATCTCCAAATCTTGGAGACGTATGATGGCCTTTTTGGTCGGGACATAATTGGATGAAGAATGGCGATGATAGCCACGGCCCCTAGCATCAATACCGAATCCAGCATGTAGAAATAAGCCTCGTGACTCCCCAACGGTCCATCTCGATCAGTGGTGTATTCGACGAGTCTGTAGAGGGAACGGACCAAGACGAGGCCACTCGACACATACAAAACCACCATGACACCTCGCCACCCCTTGAAGAATTTTCCGCTATCCTCCACGGGGAGTAATTGGAGTGGGCGATCGATTATTCGAAGGTGAAATACGACGGCTGCCAAAGTGAAGAGGCCAAACAAAACAATCTGCGCGGCGAGGCCAATCAGGATGACCATCTTTCCCGTGTCGAATGATTTCTGTTTTGAAAGGAGACCCCCTCCTATATACTGTATCAGGAATGAAATGACATCGCCGGCGACGAAAATTTTGGTCATCCTAGTAGGCTTGATGGGGGAGAGGGATGAAGCGTGGAGGAAGAGTATTAGGCGTCCAAACACCATGTATATGGAGGCAGCGACGAGGGCAGGCGCTACTAGCAAGCATAAGCTCTGTATCATGAAAGGCGTTATGCTTGTAGGGTTGTATGAATTGAGGAAGCGGCCGACGTAACCGAGGGACTCAACTGTTGAATAGCATATTAGTGACGCCATCTTGACAAGTAGCTGGATTATTGGATGCTCACGGATACAACCACAGAGCAGAGGGGTAAAATACCACGCTCGCCGGCTGAGAATGATATATAGATGCCAAAGAGTCGCCAGGCCAAATGCAAGCAGGAAGATCATAGCCGCTGCTGATGACGGCTTGTAGTTGTAAAAGTTGAACTCGTCGTCGGACATGGCGGATTGCTAAAGGTCGAGAAATGCGTGAGAGGGAGCGCCTGAAAAAAATATGGAGAAGTACACAGAAGTAGGTAAATCTTTTGAAGCTGAATTCAAAATTACAAGAGCGTATGGACTATTCAATTATATATGTTTGTAATTGCATTTAACGGCCTTCTTCCCTCGAGCTCTGGGGCAACAACGAGGCCTCGCACGCGGCTCCACATCTCGCATTTCGCATTCCGGTTCGTACTTTAGCTACTTGCAGTAAGGCTCCGTAAAAATATCCCCACTTCCTTTGTCTCAGCCTCTCTAACAATTATTATTGTGTGGCGCTTGCTTCATGAATATTTCTGACCGTAAATGGAGCGTCCAGTGCTACCCTTGCGATGGCTTCTGTAAGCCTCAACAAAGCAGCCAATGAGGCGCAGATATTGCTGAAGTGGCGATAAAAGGGGAAGGAAAACAGGGGGAGTTGAAGCTTTTCACATTTTATGGAAGGGGTCCACAGCCGACTGTCTCCTTTGGGATATCTCGCTTTGGCTAGAGCTATTGGTTCAGCCCGAAGAGCCAGTCTTGTGGTCTTTAAAGGGGGATTTTGGGTCATCAGGTTGATCGTCCCGGAATCATCATAGGTAACATCAGCAGATTGTTCAATTGATAGTATTTTGGCCCGTTAAAAATAGGCATAACGAATTGTGAAGAAAAGAATAGAATTACCAGTTATGGATAAATAGCTCACATAGTCTAAAACTAAGGGAGCACTTATGAGATCTTGAAACTGATGCCTCCCTCGTAGCTTGCAGTCAGAAGATAGAATTCGCATATACCCCTACTACCGTGCTGGTCCAAGATTTGGTCATATTATTCCAAGGGGTATCTCGGTCCAATACACTAAGCTTATCAAACTAGCCTTGTAATTACCAAAACCCCAATGTGCCAGATAACATCATTCCACTACATTGAGTAGCTTAGTGGTAGGCCCTTCGATTCTTGATTCCACGGCGCTTCAAGGACGAGCATCCTGGGCCTGCCTTAAGAGTGGAAGTGCTGGAGGCTACAGCGGTGGCGCGAGTGGCAGTAGTGAATGTGCTGGTAGAGGAGGAAGCTGCGGCGGCCGGTTCAGAGTCTGCGACCTCGCCAAAGATATCTGTCTGCGCATCTGAAATGGTTTATCCTTGTTAGAAATGACTTCTCAATGCCAATCAATAGTATCTAGTCAGAACGTACCCTTCATATAGCCCATGCGGGACGAGTAGGTGGGAACCTGCTCTCCTTGGGTCCACTCGACATTGTTTCCGGACCTCTGGAAAGCCCCAATCATCTGCTTGGGGCCGACAACGCCAGGGCCGGGGACAAGGCTAGGAATCTTGGGAGTCTTGCCACCATTGGCATTGACAATGCGGCACTTGTGGGCGGCCATGTACATGTTCTGCATGCCGAATCCGTCGGGCACCCATCTGCATTGCAGTTAGTCAACTGAGGCGAGATCGAGGTACAGCAAAGCAGCTTGGCATCTCCAACACTAACCCTGTGACGCAGATGCACGATTCGCAAGCCGCCAGGTCGGGGATTTCATAGTTGGCAATACGCTCAAAGGGAGTCTCTCCGGCAATGGACATAACAACCAGGTTCTCCATGGTGACATCCCAGATGCTGTCGACGTAGGCGATAGCAATCGAGGTTCCAGCAGCGGTGGACTTGTTCGCGGCGTGCAAGTTGGGCGAGTTGAGCCCGAGCGAGGAACTCACCAACCCCTGGGCCACAACCTCGGGGTTGGTGACGGAGTACGGGATAGGGCGCTCAGTCTCCTCCTTGCCATCGGCGTAGAAGCCGGTTGAGTCCTGCCAGTTGGCCCAGGGAACAGAGATCTGGGAGTTGGCCTGGATCTCCCAAACGCCAGTAGGTTCAGCGAGATGGCAGTTGCGGCCCTTGGATAGAAACCTGTGGAACTCGGTTTTAGCGAGACATTTTATGCGGCGAGAAATAAGTGGATAGATCCATGCGCATACCAGCTATCAAATTCAAGGTCGTGGAGAGGATCGAAAACGACGAGGCTACCATCGGTGAAGTTTGTTAAGGGTCCCTTGTAGGAGTTCTATCCAGCTGTTAGTTTCCAGCGCGCTACATGCCATAATCGAAAGGCAAGAAAAGACAAGGCTTGCCTCGGGACAGAACATGCCATCGGTATAGGCGGCAAGATGGGCAGATGCCAGAGGCAGTGCGAAAGCAACGGCTGTCAACAGCTTGTCCATGGAGTATTGACGCATGTTGGAATAAAAGAGTGGATGTAGATCAACTACAAGGTAAAGAGTGTAAAATATGGAAATACCACGTGAAACAAGAAAGAGAGAATGATGGTTGTCAATTCGAAAGAAGCAGGTGTGGCCTACCTCAAGGTATCTTAAATACTACAGAGGATTCATGCTCTAACATCATTCACACTATGAGACCCCCTCTGCAGCCTGAGCAGGCGCAGTTTAAGCTACTATACGGTATTTAATTACTTTACGGGATGTTTGAAACCGGGCGGCTGAGATGTTTGAAACCGAAGCCTGGCTGGTGGATCCTAGCTGATGAGCCCCAGGATTGAGGGATTTGGCCCCGCTGATCTGCCCAAGAGAATGCTTAGCTGTACGGCCGATGCCTGTCGGATTCCAACTTTCTTTTCTTTGTCTGGGACTTTTCCTTTAATGAGAACACTTGGCACGCGACGCTGTGCCCGCGTACCGTCTCTTGCGGGGGCCGGTTCAACACCGTTGTCGGATTTTATCAATACTGACTGCCAAACCCACGGCCCGGGAAGCTATTGATCACGGATGAGGGCCAGCGCATCATTAGACTACCGGTACGCGCGGATTGTCACTGCAGGCAACTTTGTAAGTTCCTCGTGGTTCTTCTCCACACAATGAGAACAGTAGCCGCCAAGAACCTATACGAAGGGTGCATCGATTAGGGGGGTATTATATGAGCCTCCACGTCAGAGTGTATACTGCTGAGCTTCGCGGGCTCTGTGCGGTAATTAGGGAACGGTCCAGGGTCTGGTGATGACAGAAGGATCTAGTGGTGATACAGGCCCCTGAACGGCGGCCGCCACGACTCTAGCGTCACAACCTTGGCTGTCCCGGATCTCCAAGCGGCCTTAGCACGGAGTAAGGAGAACGAATTACAAGCTAAATGAATAAACGACGATTATCTTCGACGCGTACCTTCCTAACCAATAACACACCAGCCCGCCTGCCATCTAACTCTTCAGTCCGGCAATATCTGCCGCTAAACACCAGGCCACTCTGCACCCGCTGGGAGGCTTTGACAAGGAGGGATCCCTGAGAACCGCTAGAATTAACGCTGCCTCTTCTTTTCCCCTTTTTAGCCATAAGGCATCTTAGTCAAGCTTAGGTCAGCCACTATACCACCTCGTCTCGGGAGCAATTATGTTCACTGGCTGAACCCCAAGACCACGTCGAAGTATGCCAATCATTTTGGTCTATTCTTATGTCGTCAATCCGGACGCCTTTAGGTGGGCTCCTGTACGACAGCAGGGAGTTAGGAACAATGAAGCTCAGTAATTAACCGAGACAACCAGACTGGCATGTCGACTACGATGTCAACCCCGATGTTGTTGGAATACGGCACCTCAATATGTGATATATATCTTCTCCGTTATACTGTCAACCTTTCCCCTCCCCAAGTTTAAACCTTGAATCGCCAAGAATGATACTCTCGTACATGATGACAGGAGCCTAGCTTTTCTCTGCTTCCGTATTAGGTTCCATTGCCCTCAATAATGCTCCTGCTTGAGTGTGCCGCGATTCCCAATGGATTGCAAACCTGCTACCCTGAATCTTACGATGCCAAGGGTCGGGGACTGGGGCGGACCCATCGGAAGACAGTGGGGAACATCTCATCTCATCAGGGACTCTTAGGCATCAAATAGGAGGGAGCATAGGTAAACTACGTACATGAGGCTTTTCAGTGCTTACAAATCGAAAAGGAAAATTGGCTATTATGCGCAGGATTTGAATACGAACTGCCAAATTTGGCTTTCGTCCATCGAGTAGGCAGCGCTCAAGCACAACGGGCCATGAGTTTTGTGCGACGGATGGACCATAAAGGGGTCCTTCGTCAATTCGATGCCAGCATGGCATCTTACGATGCAAAACTTGTATTAAACAAGAGAAGCTTTTGATGATCCAGACTCTCGGCTAGCGATCTGACCAGGTGGCCGGACAGATCAATATATTGACACCGCTGGCCCTCCTCCCTTCAAACGTCAAATACAAGCAAAAAGGCTACTGAAGATGGAGTCCACGGGTGCGTTCGCAAGTTGCGTACCATGTGTGTGGTCCTTGAAGGCTGCGACTTTGCAGGCGCCCATACACATAATGGTACAAGCGCTGAAAAACATTGAGGCTGAAAACTGGGGCTCATAGCGCAAATAGGCTCATAGCGCTTGAAAAGATTTGATGACCACCCCATCCCACGATCAGGCACGAAGCCCTATGATGAGGTCCGGTCGATCCTCTCCCCATAGTTGCCATGGCCGTGGATGGTGAGGGTTGGAACAGCCGGAGCCGGAAGAAAGCGCAAAATTTGAGCTCTTCTCATAGTTGAATTCGGAAGATGCCGGTTTTCCAGTATTGTAAAGTGTTTAAGAACTGGCTTGCTCTTCCAGCTATTTATGCTGTTTAGTATATAGCCACTATATAAAATTCTTAATAAAATCTGTCATTATTTATAAAAGAAGATTATAGGGGATACAGTCTGGAGATCTTTGGAATGGAACTAATGCAGTAGTAAAAATGAAATGTGATTCCACTGTACATCCTGGAGTAGGTGCCTTTTTTCCTCGTTTATCTAATACCCCTCAAAGTTCCATCTGTAATACGGTATTCCAACTACACATCCCAGGTACAGTTGAGCTAGTTTCAACATCAGTTGAATCCTCCTCTGTCCAGTCCTTACTCATACCACTCATCCGAAGGCGGTCTGAGGTAATAAATGTCAGAAACACTCGACTTGTTGTGTTGATATCGACTTGATCACCAATCTGAATGCCGTAAGTTGAGTTACTTAGGCTTCGATCATCCTCATATGTATGGACTTTCCTCAATAGCATAGCGAGCAAATTTCGTCGATGTGAATTGTCAGGTCCCCAAAGGTTAGGTTGTAGGCCATAGCAGAACCGGAATAATCTGCCAGTCGTTGAAGAAGTCTTAGTCGCCAGAAAGATCACACAACCCTCTTTACCTTCCTGCCCCAATCTAAGAAGTGCTCCAGTAATCTTAGAACTGGAAGATCGAGGACGTGGAAGCGTAAGCACACTTTTGAGAGTGTCTAATAAGTTTGGGGGATAAGACTCAGCCCCGATCAGGTATTTTGTCCTCTCCATCAAACACACGCCGTCGAACGACTTGAGGGACTTCGAAGATTGAAGACTGCGATCTAGGAGTTTCTCCGTATCGTCTAGGACCAATATGAATCCTACTTCAAACTGGCTCACAGGGGTAGAGGCAGCCTCTTCAGTTGTTGGATCCTTCGTCTCTGGCCTTGATCGAATAAACAGTGGTGGCTCGCAAAGCTTCCATGAAGGATCGACAAACATTGGCATTGGCGGAAAGGAAATCCTCTCCATGACAAAATTGTCCTCGCTTAATGTATTGTCAAGGTATCCTCCAATCGGCACACAGGCATGCCGTCCAGGGTGGTGGCTTTCGTGCTTTGCATTGAGGATCGCGAAGTAATATGACCAAGTCTGAATGAGGGGAAGGGCAATTGAAAGACCAGAATTTGTCATGGAGAATGTCCTTGTGTTTCCGGCGCTCAACTTCGTCTGGATAAACTTGCCAGAATGCTCGAATGCTAACGGGCAGGGAGCTAGTAGGCTAACCCAGTCAGAGGGGATTGAATGTATCCATGTCCAGCAAAAGATTGTGTGATCGTTTGATGTCTTGATGATTTCTTCTTGCAGTCTGATAAACGCCTTCGATCCCTCGCCATACAGTAAGGGCATATTAATATCAAATATACCGAGCATACAATAGGCAAGGTCCTCAGGTCTGCTTGTAATTCTGCGGGACAGCCAAGACATTTTTTTGGCAATACTTGCGTGTGATAGTGGCCGAGTCCCAGTCAAGAATTCTGCGCTAATTCGAGTCGCGGCAAAGATTTCGGTAGAGAGTGTTGATCGAGTAGAAATCTTGGACCAGTCTTGAGCAAAAAAGATCAGCTGGCGAGGGGCTAGCAACTCCTGAAGAGTCCATCCACGGGTAAACCATCGACTCTTTCTGAAGTGCTTCATGCTTTCCCCAGTTGAGACTGGGGGGACGTCGGCGAGATAGGCGTAACAAATGAATGCATCGCGATACCACGCGAACATTGAATTGATTGCCTCGCTTAACTCGGCAGAGCTTGATTTGTCGATGCAATTGGTGTCCACCCATAAATAATCCAGTTCATTCCTCACAGCCTGTTCACAAGCAGCTTTGATTTTGAAGAATCCTTTCTTTTTAGATGCAATTCTAAAATCTTGCCAATCTTGGAACGTGACTTCGTCTTTCTCCCATGTGTGGGATAGAATTGCGTATCTTTCTGGAATTGGATGGTAGGAAAAGTCCTCGAGCTGTAGAGTTCGCGTATTGATGAGTCGCATATTGAAACGATGCGTTTCTCCGCTCAATTCAGGTCGTTATTGGAAAATTGATGACGAGTAGCTGTTTTGTACAAACTATGGGGATAAAAACAGATTCCAACTTTTTTTCCTTCGTTTCTTGAGAATCACGTTGGCATCATTTTCCAGGTTTGACCGGCGGATCCCACGGTTTATATCAAATCAGCCTCAACTCGAGAGTGATGGAATTGCAGCGGTGTTGCAGCTTGAAAGTGGCTGTGATATGGCTATGTTAGTGGCTGTGATTATGGCTGTGTCGGTGTGCATATTACCCGGCATGTGTAATTGGGAGCCTGGTCCAGACGTGACGCTTGTAATAGTGGCTGAGCTGAGAGGTGGTGGTGTAAGCAGAGACAGTATTAACAAGGCATTTTTCAGCCGAGAATTATTGTAACATTTTATCGCTTAACTAAAGAGCCTAACCAAGCTGCTAGTTATATGACAGTTACTTTGAAAATTCGGGTTGATTGTTATAATAATATATTTAATAATAAAATTAACAACTGTAAATACTCTAAATATAATATCTTTAATAAAATATTCAACAGTTAAATACTCTAAAATAGCAAATCTACAACATGCCTTTCCAAACCTTGATCCTTTTGTGGCTGCTGTTTCAAAAAACTCGTTCTCGCTGGTGATGATGTCCCCAGCCGATGGACACTTGGTACCTTTCCTCACGCTGTTATTAGTCTCCCGTCCCCCGGCGCCCGTCTTCGCCAACACCACGCATCAAGGAAAGACGTACCCGTGGGGTACATTCAGACGGGGACGTTGTCGTGATGGATGATGAGAAACAGTTTTGGCCTCGACGCCGAGGCGATGTATGATTGAACACTAGAAGGCAGGGAGAAGGCACTTGGACATGACCACACATCGATTCAGGCTTCTGCGCGCGTGAGAAAGGACACATTTCACTGGAGCGGGAGCCTCCATAGATATAGTCAAAATACAATCAACCTGTTGCCGCTAACCACGCCCTGGTTTCTGTACTGCACTTTGTCAATCCGTGTGCAGCCGCACGACTCGCTTTCGAGGTGATTGACAATCCCAGCCAAGGCCGTGAACTCCTTCCGGCAACCCCGGTTCGGACAGTGGTACAGATTCTCCTGAGGGTTAGGAATCGTACTCAATGAAGGTCGATTAATGCTGATGATGATTTAAGGGAGCCCGAGGAACGAGCACATGGTTTCCGCCATGCGAGCCTGGCTCTTGCTATAGCTGTTTGGGTCCGGACCTCTGGAGAGGATCAACCCCTTTCCGGCAGCAGATTCTGCCTGGCTTTTATAGACAGAGTCCGGAATAGGTTTCCCCATCTACGGATACCGCTTCTCATAAGCAAATGCCTTCATTTCCTGTCGAACAAGGCCAGGAGTACCTACCCAGCAAAAATCGCAGGTGCACGGCGTGCTTCCGGTTCCATGCTGATCACATCCAAATTGCAGATCTCCTTCGTTTCCGCAACAGGTCCACCGGAAAGCATGTGGCCAGTACTCGTACAACTTCTCCTCGTTGGAGTTGAATTCCTTCTCAAATTTTTCTTTCAGTCGGTCTGATTCGGCAGCGAAGGTATTGCCCCATCCCATGCGGTCCCCATCGGCCGAGGTGGATGTCCAGGTGATCAATTCAAGCTCTCCTTCATGCGAATATCCATCATCACATTTGCGGTAACGGTCGTACCACTGACCCGACGCGGACATGGCGGCAGTCGAAGAGGGTGTTAGTGTTTGAACTTTGCCGTTTTTCTTCGGAATGAAAAGGACCGACCAGAAATGAGCAAATAGAGAAAAAAGAAAAAAGAAAGAAGGACAGGGGAGGACGCAGTCTTTAATTTATTCGGTCAAGGAACGCCTAGAATATTTATCCGTTCTGCCCCATGGCCACCGTCTCCAGACTTGCCACTTTTTCTTCCGGGCAATTGATACCTAGTTCCCGATGGCTTGGTGTTGCTTTGTTGGATTTAGGAACCGCCTATGCAAACCAAAGGCCGACATAAACCTGAGCAGAAGTTTAAGCACCAGTTGGGTCCTCGGGTTTCCGCCCATACACCAAAGTCCTATTCCCGAGTTAGTGAGTATGTGGAAACGCAAGAATCCGAGCTGCAGACAGTACAACACAAAACACTTACACCTCGTAGTAAGGATTCAGCTTCTTATTCCTCAGAGCCTGCCTCATCTCCGCAATGAAGACCTGGCACTCCTCGTATTTCCAGTTCATAACTTGTGTCAAGAGGTACAGCCCGAACCCCTCTAGTCCGCCGTCCACGAACATCTGCACAAATTGCCCGATCTCCTTCAACTTGGGTTCGAGGCACCAGGCGCTCATGGGGAGTCGAAACTTTTGTTCAGTGACGTCGACAAAGCCCGTTTCTTCCATGAGATCCCGCATGCGCGAGCCAATGGCGATCTTAAACGTCTTGCCCATCTTCTCGCCGGCCTCTTGGAAGACGCGATTCCAGCGGTTGTAGATGTGCTCGGGGTCGGTGACGACGTCGGAGTGAGCGCGGATGTCGAGCTCGAGGTCCTCGAACCAGCCGCCGGGCTTGAGGTGGCGATAGGCCTTCTTGTAGAGGGCAGACCAGTCGTCGATGCTACCGTAGAGGTCACGAATGTGGATGTAGTCGAAGTGGTCGGGCGGCCAGGTCCACTCGAGCTGAGCGTCGTCTATGCAGAACTCGCAGTTGGGCGGCACCCACGCTGGCTGGATAGGGGAGATGTCGGTGCCGATGACTTTGGCAGAGGGGAACTCATCGGCAAAGTCTCTGGTGGACGGAAAGGTCAGCGTGTCACGGATTCCAAGCGGGCTCTATCAACGAACTCACATTGCCCATACGCCGGTGCCAGTTCCTACATCCAACGCTCTCTGATGGAAGAAGTACCATGTTAGGTACACAACGTTGGTGTGAAGATGGGGAAAGGAGCATTAGCAAGCGGCAGCGCACCTGTGGGTTCTTGCTGATAGGCGCTTGGAAAAGTTTGTTATCGAAGTAGAGAAGTATGTAGTGGTGCCTGTAAAGGTCGTTGAGTGGGAAGTGTCATACTGGGGCAGATTGCCAGCCACAGGACAAAGACGCTGGCGGATTATTGACCAAACTCACGTAATATCTAGGCCTTCATTTTGCCGCTCGTCGTTGGGGGCCCTGGGACACAAGATAAAAATGTCAGTTCCACTGGCCTAACACCAAGCCAGGCCATCGCCTTTAGCCCGTGTAATCGCGGGTCGAGGCCCACCAGTACTCCGTAGTCTTGGAATTCCCATAGGTACGGCCGTGGATATGACGGAAGTCTCGGATGCTGTCGGTCAAAGAAGCTGTCGACTCGAATTCCTCGCTGGTGAGGCCGGGGTAGCATGTCAGCACGCACTGAGGGTGGTTAGAGGTGGAGGTCGTGGGAGGACGGTACCTCAATTCCGAGGATGTATCATCGTGCTCGCCTCCGTTCTCAAATTGGGGATCCTGTGGTCGCGCGAGCGCACAAGGTTAGCGGGAACGCGAGCGGAGATGTCAAAGCAGTGCGGGCTTTAGAACCCAGCTTCTGGACATTGAGCGGGGAAAACGTACTGCCGTAATAGGAAGTGATGTCACGCCAGTATTCGACTTGGGACTGGAGGCCGGAGAGGCCTGTTTAGACTTGGGGCTGCTCATGGCGCCGTGGTCTCAAACTGGAGCCGAGACTTTGTTCGACGGAGATCGATTGTCAAGGAATGCAATATGAAACGTATTAGGTCCTGAGGGCTCTTGGAAATACGTATGATGGCCTGACCTCGAAAGCAGGTGACTAACGAGTCAATTGTGACAAGACAAGGGACGGGCCGCCCCCACGCTTAACCCTTGCTCCTCGGGTATAAATGCCCTCAAGTACAAGGATCATTCTCTTTGAGTGGTTCACTGGTTCGGCAACTGTTGGTTCAAATTGTGACCAGGCTCAAAAATGTGACAAGATACTCAACGCGCTTCGCGTGTGTGGGCATCCCGCAAGAACCTCCCGACTGTTCCGGCGAATCAAGGATAATAGATCCTGCAGACGCTTATCTGCTGACCATGTGAAATCCGTTTTTGGGCAGTCCATCTCGTAGTGTGAAAGATGAGACGAGTAAGATCACATTCCCCCAGTCGGTAAATCCGGTGAGGCGTGATGTGCTGCAAGGATCCCTGCAGTGGTGATAATGGCCACAGGTATTAATTACGCCCAACTGAGTAGAGCCTGCATCAGGTCCATCCTGAATCCGCATGGCTTGCTGGCTGCGCCTCGGGTCGCGAATCAGCGAGGAGAACGTGGCGAGGTTGGCAGCAACGCACTGCGGAGAGCCAGGGGCAACGAACCGATACACCCGTGAAGTGCCGAGCTCTTTCACAACAGCGCCTGGTCGGTTAGTGCGGGTATTATAGGGAAACCTGGGTTATAGTCGTACTCGCGACGGGCTTGCGGGGCAAATTGGCGAAACCATTCGAAAAAGAAGCCGGAAATGCAATTTTCCCATGTTGACCGGGATGAGGATGGACAGTTCACCAAATGGAGAAAACGGAGCTGTGCCCTTGTACAATGGTTATCCCTAGCAAACAGCTAGCATGCATTCTATGAATACCTGGCCCTCTCATAGCTGCATCCTTGTCGTTCCTCGCTGGTGCGCCCTTGAATCTTTGATGCGACAGAAGTGGCTTCTGGTGAATGCAGAACAAAGCACTGAGGGCACAAATCTTGACAGTAAGCGAGTGATGTAGATGAGCAGGGGCCACACGGACAAATGGATCATTAATCCTCCAACAAAAAGAGAGAGGTAGAGAGAGGCCAATAATCGCTCATTCCTGTTTCACCTATATACATATGCTGAAAGAATATACTTAGAAACCGTGGTGGTGGCGGTGCTGATGGAGGTGGCTTTCGAACTGGGCTTCCCGCCTGACAGATCCCACAACGCTACCCCGTTGATAAGGCGTGCGTAGGGAAAAGGTCGAGTTGATCTCTCCAATTCTGATGTTGCTGAAAGTCACCTCCGGATTCGGCTCTATTTTGACAATTGAAGTAGGACTGCCCTCGGTAGCATTGCATGGCCCACTGTTGCCTTGATCAAGCCAGGCCATGTTGCCGCCCTGATCCCACCAGATGCTCATCACCAGCACCATGCCGCGACTCATGGCCTCACCCATGCCCTTCATGCCGCCTAGTCTCATGAATTCATCGGCGCCCGTCGCCTCGCAATATTCGGCATTCATGAAATTAATGTTTGGGGGTCCCGCGATGTTGACAACAGCGCTCGAGATAAGCTCGTTGTCCTGGATGTAATGCCGGTGCAGTTCAGTGAGATGGCCAGACTTATCAGCAACGAACTGAGAGGTGACGGTAAACTTCCGGGTAGTGTCAACCTTGAACGTGTCGCCGCGTCCGTAGTAGTTGGTGGCGTTGAGACGGCTGGGGTTCCATGAACAACCGGACTTGTCGCAGACACCCTGCGAGCCGCATTCAGAACCAACGCACTCGTAGAGACCGGTTTGATTGCATGTATGAGGTGCAATATGCGTAGCTCGAGAGTTTGCTTCCCAGATGTCAAGCTCGTTACAACAGGAACCTCGCCCGTCGACGTTGCCCTTTGGTGCAAGTCAGTCACGATCGCCCTGGTAAATCACTACACCAATATTCCACTTACCACTCCATTGATGAACGGGGTAACGAAACACTGGGCATCGCAATACCCGGTGCCGTAGAATGGACCAGCTTTGTTATTGGAGCTAAGACTTTTGCCGCCATCCTCAAGCATCTCGGAAAGATAGAGCGCGCTGTTCATGCCGCAGGGCAGCTTTGACATTTCGACATCGAAAGTAAACTCGGCACCAGTAAGATGCAAAAGATCGTATTTTTCTTGGCTTTCGTCCAAGAAGTAGACCCGGGGAGAGACTGTAGTGTTGCGATACACTTGTTGGAGACGAAGCTCGGTGCCAGATGTGCTGACTCCTCTGGTCGTGTAGTCAGGAATTCCCTCAATAATGCAATTCTTGGCACAGGATGCGGCATCCGGACAAGCCGTAGCATTCGGTGTGTTACCAAAAGAGCCACAGTCGAAGGAGTTAGTAGCCTGGTGAATGGGATGCTGACTCGAGTCGACAACGAGGTAGTTGGTGTGCTTCTTACACCCGCCGCGCACCGTGCACCGGAATGTGTCCAGCTTAGGGTGAACTTCTGTAAGGTTGCCGGGGGTTTGCCCTGCTGCGAGCTGAGCAGCTAAGCTGAGGACGAGGAGAGTAAGAACGGCCATGTTGAGTCGCCGAAGGCTTACGCATTAACTCGACAAGTTCCAGTAGTTCGAATGAAGAGCCAACAAGATCCAGAGTGGTCTCATTGTGAAGACGGTGAGGTTATATATGTACGGCTTCTCGCTTCGACGATGGAGAGTGCAGGCAATACGGACGAGACACTCATTATCAGGCTAAAACGGAAACTAGTTTATCTGCGAAGCGACCTAATCCAGGGGCCTCCTGACGATCTGGGCACGGAAAAGTTTATTAAAATTTTCCCGCATTAAATAGGACCACATATGCATCTGGCCGTTTCGTAACCCTGTTAAGCTTTTCTTGGAAAAATTGACAGGACCGTGACCAGAAGAGAGGTAGAACCCCAAGTAGACCAACCAGAGCCTGCATGGCTCCGGCTCCTGTGTCGTCGTTTAACGACCAAGGTTGCAGTGGGCGCGGAGGGATATGCCCATTGGGAATTTGCCGTCCAGGGGCAGGATTAATTTCTCCGACCCTGGAGTGATGAACGGTCCGAAGTTCCGAGCGCATGGTCCGGAACAAAGCTATTACGGAGGTCCAACTCTAAATAGAGTTCCATATCAATTACGATTCATTCCGTTGCGCCCTGTTGTGGATATATTACTACTCCGAAGGAGCCGGGCCACACGCTACGTCGCGTAGAGAGAACCATTACTGTTGACAAGGACAGAACCCTCTCTTTTCGAGAAGGTGGGGATGGGCTTTTTCCCTAGCTTAATCTTCTGCATGCCGCACCGCTCCGAGTAAATGCAGTGGGGATCCTTGGCTTTATGCGACGCCCTTGCTTAGCGATCTCCTCGTCTAATGCTGCATATTGTCGCACATATCCCATCAGATACTTGAGTCTCCAACATCAAGTGACACTCGCCCGCGGGTGCAGCAACCCATGCACATATCAAAAGCCCAATAAGAAAGTAAAACAATGGAGGGGAATTGAATTGAAGCGAAAAGAATGACTCTGCAAAACCCATCTGGCAAAAAGATGTCTTCGCACAGACCTTCACTTTGACGCGTCTACGAAGCGTCTTTTGGAGACGGTATTTAAAATGGGCAGAGGAGTTAATGCAACTAAACACAATCCAGAACAGTCAAGTCTCGAGGCGTCAGTTCATCGGGGAAGTCTCGTTGTATCCACTATTGAATTGTCGTTGATGTTCTCTTTGAGTCCTCAAAACACCTGTTCGAAACCTTTCTGACTTCCGCAGCCAAGCCTTAAACCCCTATCCAGCCACCCTATACCTCTCCCTCCGGCGTATTCGTAAACTTAGTTTCATCATGCTCGCCGCTTCAATAAAGATCCGTTCCTAGCGCAAACTGGTAGACTGACGCTAAGCCAATGGGGGTAAACTGAGGAGACCGTCGGAGTTTGTGCCATCATCACCGGTATTGCCGTGCTAGAAACCTCGGCGAATGATTCATCAGTCTCGGGACTTGGTGGGCGGGGATAAGAGGGGTCAAAAGAGGGGGTTTCGCGATAAGTGAAGAAAGGCATTAATCAGCATTCACTACAAGAGAGCCCTTTTCACAATTCAGTACACATATATACTCGTGCATTTTCTCTTCTGCACTGCAATCCCCCGACCGCAAGCATCGAGATATTGAAGCTGCTGCACCTAACAAACCATTCACAATGCCGGTCGTCAAATCCATGTACGACCCCAAGGATATGGAGTTCCGCCACCTGGGCCCCACTGGGCTCAAAGTGAGCGTATTCTCCCTGGGAGGATGGCTGACTTACGGAGGCACTCAAAAGGGCAGCATCGTCAAAGATTGCATGCAAGCCGCCTGGGATCACGGGATCAATACCTTTGATACCGCCGAGACCTATGCCAACGGTGAAAGCGAGATCGAGATGGGACAGGCACTGAAGGAGCTCGACTGGCCTCGAGACGAATACGTTCTCACCACCAAGATTTTCTTTGGCACTGGCCGCAAGGAGCCCAACACCCGGGGCCTGAGCCGCAAGCACGTCGTCGAAGGCCTGAAGAGCTCGTTGCAGCGTCTCGACCAACCTTACGTCGACATCGTTTTCGCCCACCGCCCAGACTACGCCACTCCCATGAAGGAAATCGTCGAGGGCTTCACTCAGGTGATTCGCAACCTCAATCTCGCCTACTACTGGGGCACTTCAGAGTGGAGCGCTGCCCAAATCACCGAGGCCACCCAGATAGCCGAGCGATACAACCTCATTGCCCCTGTCGCGGAGCAGCCCCAATACAATGCTTTCCATCGTGAGCGATTCGAGGTTGAATTCGCTCCGCTCTACGAGAAATTCGGATACGGCACAACCACGTGGTCACCTCTTGCATCAGGGCTCTTGACTGGCAAATACAACGACGGCATCCCGGAGAACTCTCGCTTCGCCACCAACAAAGAATTCTTCGGGGATAGCGCCAAGAGGCTGGAAAGCGAGGAAGGAAAGGCAAAGATTGAAAAGGTCAAGAAGCTCACATCAATTGCAGAGCGTCTGGGTGGAACCACGGCGCAACTTGCTTTGGCTTGGTGCATCAAGAACCCTAATGTCAGCACCGTGATTTTGGGAGCTACTAAAGTCGAGCAAATTGTGGATAACTGCAAGGCATTGGGCATTGCCAAGAAGATCACCCCGGAGATTTTGCAGGAGATTGAGGCCATCCTAGACAATGCGCCTGCCCAGCCGCCTAACTATGGCCGTGAGAGATGAATGGAAATATGGGGCACTTTAGGATGATAAATCTCTAGGTTTAAAATGGAGGTCCAGAATCATTTTAGTCTCATCATATTTATGCTCTGTGCCGAAGAAATTGATCCTAAATGTGCCATTTATTCCGTCTTTCATCTGCTTAAGCGCTCAGATCGAATGTTGCCCCTGGGCCGCCATCGGACCACACGAGAGGTGACAAACAGCCTCGTTGTAGGACGCTACGGTCGAAACTAAATGGGCAAAATGCACGACAGCACCGATGTAGAATGGAAGCAGAAGTAGGCTCAAAAAGTATCATAGCAATGAGATTTAAAAGGCAGACTAGAGTAATGTATCAAAATTGCCAAAAGAAATTACCCCCAGATACCCTCATGTAGACCAATTGACCCAACCACCGGCTTGCCCATGAAAGAATTGCACAGAGCAGGTCGGCAATCCCCAGCAGAAGCAGCCAAGGCCGTAATTTCGAAGTAACATGAAGTCTCCAACTCACAGACACTGTATGTACAATGCGGGTCATATCCTTACAGCAGTCGACTCCTGGACAGACGAGTGATTTCATGGTAGAATGATGTGATCAAGCTCACTAGGATAGGTTGGGGAGCTTGAAAACGCTGTCGGTAACCCAGTTGTTGCCACCCAGATATCCGGCGCTCATGACGTACAGCCAGTCAGGGTTATCCATGACCATGGCCTGTCTGGAATAAGCTCCAGGCTGGGGAATAGTGTAGTAGGTCCATGAGTTAGGATCGCCCAGCTTTGTGTTGATGTAAATTCCGCCATCACTGTTTGCGGTAACAACGAGAGTGCCGTTGGTGCCTCCAGATGAAGACCACGTGAGATAGGGCGAGGAACTGGGGTAACGAGTGCCGGCGACCAGGATCTGATTCGCAGCCGAGTCGAAGGTAAGCGGAGAGCTGGAGATGCGGTAGTAAATAGGGAACGATGCGCCGCTAGGGCTGGTTCCGCCGCCGTACTCGAATGTCATCATCCACTTGCCATTGGGAAGGCTAGTAACTGTTGTCATACCGGGACGCTGGGAATAGGCCGTTCCTCTTACATCGTTGACGACCGATCCCCAGGTGAGACCGTTGGAAGAAGTTTGATGCACAAGCTTTTGACCATAGGCTGAATCACGCTGGTCAGAGTAGTAGCAGACCAACTGGTTATTGTAGACCATGAGGAAAGGTTCCCAGATTGGGGTCTCGCCGTTGTTGGGCACGGCCTTGCCTCCGCTAGCGACGCTGGAGACGAAGGACCAAGTCTTTCCACTATCCGTCGAAGCGTAAATATCGATCTTGGTCTTGCTCAGATCAGTAGGAATGCTGTTTCCGGCCAACAGAATTGTTCCTTTTGCGAGATTGCCGATTTGTTGCGGGAGCACGTAGAGGAAGGGCTGATAGCGAAGACCCCAGCCATTTTGGGTGTCGTTCACCGTAGAGAAAGCTGACCAGGTGGCTCCCTTGTCAGTGCTGCGGTAGATGGGAAAATAAACCATCGGTGGCTCGGGGCTGTAATTTTCCCTATTTTGTGTTAGTTGGGTTACTCAACGCGTTGTCCTACGTGTAGGAACGAACATACCAAGTAGCCAGAAGAGTGCCGTCAGCAAGTTGAACTGTACGCCCGTACAGTGTCTTTGGGGTATTGTAATTCGAGGGAGGATAGTAAATTGGCTGAAAAGTGACGGCGTGGTCTGCAACAGCCCGCTCCTGGATGACTCTACAAGACGCGGGGCTGAATAATGCCAGGCACGAAAGCAGCAAGGATGCCTTGATGCCAAGCATGATGGGCAAGTCTAGGGGATCTCAGGGTATGAATGATGACTGAATGAGAAAGGTTGTTGTTTGCATGGGTTATCTTCCCAATGAGGGATTGATGTGACTTTATGGACAACCGAAAGGCTATGACTTCTCTTTGTGGCTCCTGTCATAAATTTTGAATTTGAACTATTTTGCGAAAGGTCAGATATCCGACTGGTGCGCCAATGATTGACAAACCTCATGACCTTAATCGTGGTTGATTTAGTCTCGTTTCGGTCTCTCTAGAAGACTTTTCGATAGTCTGATGCGAAGCGGCCAAGGTTCCGCGCCAATAATGCACATGTTGTGCCGCGTGAGCTTCGTACCCCAGAGATTTGGTGCGCTATTCGAAATTCGTGTTAACCGGGCTCGGGATAATCTTTGCAAGGGAAGATGTAGCGCGCCAATGAGCAAGGCACGCGGTGAACAGACCAAGGAGAGATGATCCGTTTCCTGACATCATGACAATTACCCCAGTCAATTAGATGCGGGGTACCCTGCATTCTCCGCCTTTTGATCTTGAAAGAGGGTTTATGGACGCTGATGCACGCGGGAAGTACGGACTACTTGGAACTTCCACGAAAAGCTTGTCCAGTCTGGGTCATCATGATATGCATACTCGAGGCTCGCTGCTACATTGACGAGTCTTGAACGTGTGTTTATCTGATTTTGCACGTCAGATCCGATTCAAAGTCGACAGTGCATTAGCTGTTTGGGTCAGTCAAATGGGAACTCCTCGATTGCCTGAATTCACAAAGGATATAACGGCACACCTAACCCCAGAATAGTCGATTGCCCGTGAAAGAACCTCGGCGTCTTAACCGACGTATCCACTGCAGGAATAATTCTCATTCGTGCGCTTACAACACGGTCCCAAACTAAGTGGGCTAGTAACATTTGGGCCTCTGTCTAGACTCAAATATCCTAGCTATGCTTCTTAGCGAGCTCTACCCCAGGCCAAAGCGTAGCTGGGGTTGTCGCCATTGGGCAAGGACGAGAACATGATAGTTCCCCGCAACCTCAGCTGCCATACATCTGAGATCGACTTGACTCTAATCACGACTGTTTATTCTAATCGTCCCCCGCAATGTGCCTTGATATCATAACGATCAGGCTCCCGTAAATTTGGGGTGAATATACTAGCCTGTTGAAAATGAGTATTTCGAACTCGCTTAAGATCTCATTGGGATAATACCTGATCACTTAAAGGAAGTGAACCTGACTGGCGGATGACCAATGTCGAATCAATGTTAGGCTAACATCTCATCGACTTTGCGTGGCTGATGCTGGGAATGGTGTCCGAACAACGGACTTCGCCATCTTGTACCCTGTTGGCCTATACTTAGGGGCCAGGTATGTGCAAAAGTCAACACGGCGAATGCAATCACAATAACAAGATCGATATAGCTGGAACAGATAGCTGGCTTTTAAAATAGGGCTGGCCAAGAGAGGCTAGTATGAGCTTAGAGGTTACATCATGTGTGGACTGACGATCGATCTACTTGGGTGTCGTCCTTGGCGGCGGAAAATAAGAAACCTTTTCCATCCACCTCTATCTCACCGGCATTATGATATATTAAACGCAGATTGGCTTGCAGGGGGGCGGGGTAATTTCAAATACCAAGGTGAGTCGCAAAATGCTTGGTTCGTTTGCGGACCTTGGCACATTTCGACCACTACATCGAAAACGAAGCAAGAGACGAACCGCAATGCAACATGTAAATTTGAACCTATGTCATCTAATATTGATGATAAGAGCATACATGAGAACTTTACTTATGGTATGTGTGAAGTACGCTCACGCTCCCTCCTTTGCGCTGCGGTGGCGGCCTTGGAGGCCGTTCCAAGATGCCGTCAAGGTTCAGCCGACGTCTTGTGTTTGTAACCATGAATCAAAAGCTCCAACAGCTGTTCAAACAGAAAAGCTCCCACCAGTCTGTTGAAAGAGGAGCTCGGCTTCCAAAGTGTTGCCCCGCCTGAATATGTCGCACAACACGCTGAAGTAGTCACTGCCTTAGGAAGCATGGATATGACAATGCCAAGTGGAAACCCCAGCGTGATGGAAATATCCCTGAAGCAGTGAGGGGTGAGTCAGTTACTGAATCTCGAGTCACGGATATGACCACGAGGGATAATCATGTCATGCATCAGATGGGTTACGTCAAGGACTTCCTCTGACTGGTGCGGATATGCCCCCGAACATCATTGAAGCTCACCAGATAGTTGATGCCAGAAACACCTTGTCTCGGTCTTTTTTTTTCTCTTTTTCTTTTGATGGTGCCGCAGGCCGGCACGGTTTTGTTAAGAATACCAAGGCCGTGCTCCGCTTTAAGACTGCCCGCTTGCTGTTTCATAAATACGTAATACCATGGAAGATGGCAGATAAACACGACGTCGTTGCGTTAAGCGCTCTCACAGTCCTCACCTCTTGCCACCGCTTTATGGTTTCCTCGTGTGTGTTTGGTTGGGTGATGAGTGTGCGTCTCCGGTGATCCAGGTGGCCTGACGGCGACTATCCTAATTCAGACTATTGCCTTATGCTCTCTATCACCTGAATTGTGCAGCGCAACACGAACTTTGAAAGCTCACATACGAAAGATCACTTTGCTGATGTCATATAATACGAATGTTACAGGGTTGTTGCTGACGGTCCCCCGCTGTTCTAGATGGTGAGAATAGACGCCAAAGCAATATCTGACCAACAACAGTACAGTTCCATCCCTGCGTATTGCTTTACCGCTCACGCACATGCAATTGATTCCCTCTGTATAGGGCAACTCAGGCCTCAACTGCTTCAGTTGCCTCGTTGGGCTTTACTTTTGTGAAAACTTACATAAAGAACGTGACTCTCAGTCCGTAACAGGCAGGTCATTGATCCATGCTTACTTCTGAAGTTGTGCGGTGCAGACCTGTGTTTTTTGACCTTGTGACGGCGACTTGCTCACCTTGAGGGAGCAGACAGAAGTTAAATTAGTACGGTGCAGACGCCTCAATATCGAGAGTCAGTTTTTACACCCCTGTCAAGTCTCTTTTCCTCCAAGTCTCCTCATTTCCAGGCTCCGTACTTCGAGAGTTGATTGGCAGAAATACGCGTGAGGATAGGGTACCTAGAGATCGCAAGGAGCTCCGGCTCGAAAAGGTACTTATGAGACAAAAGTGTCCGAACTTATCCCTACAGCTCGTAATCACGCAGCGCACTTTTGATATCTTACTCCTAGGGCTCTGCGTGTTATGGCGTGTCAGGAGGACGCTGACGGGCACATGGGCGAGTATGTCTACATACATATTGTCTCTATCTACAAACTCATATATAAAGCCTCAAGCTCTCTCTCCTTTCTTTGGTGTTAAGCCAGTACATGTCATAAAGCCTCGAGCTCCAGCTTCTCGTCTTGATCTTCCAACCCTCCAACACTCTTTCGACTTCTTCTATCAAATCTTTGGTTCATTCAACCTTTACTATGGTTTCTATCAAGAAGATTGTTTTCCTGGCTATGGCCGCTTCTGTCCAGGCCTCTCCCCTCGCTTCTGGGCCATCTACTCCCGAATGCCCCGTGCTCGATGAGAGAACGGCAGAGAACTTGCCTAAGCGCTGGACTCCCCCTGCCACGCCCAAAGGTGCTACCGACATCAGTAACAATACGGCCCTGATTAATGAGCTGAAGAGAGAAAACGGAGTGGAGGTATATGATGGGGAGACTTCTTCGAGCCCCGCGAAGGAGGGCGATGTGGTGGTGATGTCCGGGCCTTGTGATCAGGGTACATGCCCAGACTACGACAAAGGTTTCGACATGATCTACACCTGGACTATGATCACGACGCCGGGGACTGGAGGCGCCCCCGATACTACCATAGTCTGGAACGACTTCGATATCCGCGTCAACGATTGCGGCCAATGCTACCGTAAAAGAGTCGGCTCGATCGGTGGCGGATGCTACGACTTTACTGCGTGTGGTCGCCCACAGTCAATCTGTGTTGATAGTGGCAAGTCGCGCGCCCATCGCATCTGGAAGGATGCGAACGTCAAAAAATGCTACAGGATGAGCCAAATTGTCATGGGAGACTGTGGTTTTATCCAAGCCCGTGTCATTTATTGCCCTGACCAGGAGGTTGCCTGTGACTGGTGAGAAAAGCCGTCGTGACCGGTGGCCGTCGAGGAGAGATGGAGGCAAGGGGACGGCGAACATTCGAGGAGGAAGGCAATTCTTTAGAGATGATCGGTTGGGTTGAAGTATGTCTTTGTATCTTATATTATCGGCCATGCCGGGATTGACGTGTCTGAACATACTTGTCACTTACACCATTGCACCGTCACATAAGCTTCTGTGGCTTGTCTTCGCGTTTTGATCAGCTGGGAAAGGTTTGAAATTAGAGAATAGATACTTTTTGCGCGAATCAGTAGATCATGGGCGATTGTAGAAGGCCGCGACACTGAAGGTGCCACCTTTTGGACCCCTTCTGCTTTGTTTTGGTGGCTCGCGCCAGGCCTGTATGGTGCTGAACGATTCCATGGGAAGAACGGGACCAGAGAGACCGGCGCGGGGATTCCAGATGTCAGGATCACCGAAGAACCGCCGTTACCCTGGGACGCCAAGACGCCAACTTCCTTGCAGGAGTCGACGGAGCGGAGCAGCCCAGACCCGTATCACAGGTAACCGGCGGGCCACTCTCATGAATATAGGCTCGATTGCCAGGCCATCTGAGTGAAGGGAACGAGGCCAGGTAGACAGAAAATCCTTAGGGTCTTGCTGCCGGCGGATTGGAGCATACAGGAGCCGAAGCCACAACTTCTCGAGGATTTGTAAGCACCAAGCTCTGGGATAACGTCAGCTGGCAAATAAATATTAGAAATCATCTGGTAAGCAAGCGGGGTCGTGATTCGGGCGCCCTGGCTGGGTAGGCGAGCGCGAACTGGGACTGGGGTTGGATTTCTGTAAACGCCACGGTTTCATAGTCTACTTCTGTTCCATCCCGTTTGATGCCACGCTTGATTTGAGCTACAAGCCGTTCTTTGACAAAAGTCACCCGTATCCCTATGCGTTACTTCTCCAAAATGAAGACATCTACACTGCTGATCAGACAGGCGAGTGATGCTATTATCACCGTTGCTAACATAGGGCTTTGTGAATAGTTCAAGGACAATTGGACATTGCTAAAGCCAGATTTAAAGAAGTATCTGTCACCGTTAAAATACACCTGGCACATTCTCGTAGACTCGGATATGAAGTTACTTCGTAGAAATCCTCGTTTGGAATCTTGCCGTAGCCGAACTTTGAGTCTTGTGATTGTGGACTACATCTAACAAGACATCTTGTGATGGAAATTGCATAAAAAACGCTCACCCAATTCCCTCAACCTGCAGTCTTGCTTTGCACTTCCACAATGGAGTCCTTTCCGTTCCAGAAGCGTAATTCCTCAGTAGCTCGTGTTCGAGCGATTTGAAGCAGCAGCAACCTCCTCGTCTGGCCGCAGAATATATGGAATAGGGCCCACGGGCACAATGCTCTGACAGAATGATCAGCATCTCATCTCTTGCTACAGAAATACCATTTACGCACAAGAGGATTAATCATCACATGGCTTTCCAAATAGTGCCTCTTGATGTGATTGAAATTAGTCGTCGACTTGAACGCGTCGTGGTTCCAGTACAAATATCTCAGCCACTTGTGAATTGCTGGATATCCGCTACGGATATCTCTGATGTTGCATTTGAAGTGCTGCACGTATACCGGATCGAACCGAACAATTGTAACGAAGAGTCGGATATCCGTCTCAGTCAGCTGTTCGCAGAAATAATATGGCCCATCTTGAGAAGCGAGATGGAGTTCGGCACGGTCGAGGTGGATGAAAAGGGCATTCACGGCTTTCTCGTATGCGACTTGAGATCTAGAAAAGTTGAGTTGGTGTCACACGGCTGACGACTGGGAGGTTTCCCGGTAGGATATGGTGTAAATGGGGACATACTTTGCGAATCCAGATTTGCTAGTAGCGGCTATCAGTAATGCAAAAAATCCTCGTTCGCAAATCCACAGGGCACTTACTAGACACCATTGTTTATGTTATCGTAGTGCCAGTCGTTGTGCTCGTCGATCCTCGAATGGAACGGTTCTGGATATAAATTGAGGGCCGTTCCACGGTCCGTTGGGTCAAGCAGCTCATCAAATGCCGTATTCAATATCCGGATGATCTCGCTGCTTTCGTTGTTGACAATTTGGTCCGTCTTCTTGTCCCACAGGACTGGCACCGTCCATCGGCCATCATAGCCGGGGCTGGACTTCTCGTAAAGCTCCGCTAGTCTTGTCACGTCCTTGTGAAGGGGATCGGGGACGAAACTTTCCTCAGATACTGCTTCCTCTACGGTTGGGAAACGCCAGCCCGTCTCGATGGGCCATCTGACTCGCCGCACCCATTTCAGTCGCTGGTCGCCAAGTTCCTGAAGCGGGCATTTAATTGAATGAAGCAGACGTACCTGTAATGAACTACGCTAAATGAAATCAGATTCTCCAAGCCCTTTAACTTCCGCACAATCAAAGTCCGGTGCGCCAGAGGTGAATCAGCCTTTCTTGTCCTAAGCTGCGTATTTCTTGAACAACCCACCCCAGGGACAAGCATATGATACATAGAGGTGGTATCTCCCAGCTTCTGGCTGAAATTTGGATCCGTGCTCTGACGAAATCTGGCTGCGGAACTGGCTAGGGGGCCGGATCATATTTCCTCCCTTATCAAAACCTCCTTTCGGACCAAATGGGTTCGATTCGCTAGACTAGAAAGATGACAGGATATGAGCGAAAAGTATTGCGAGTAAGTTAACTAACGGCTGCATACCATTGTGTGTGTTGTGATTAATGGGCAATCCTGTGTGAGAGCGAGGTCATTGAGTCAACCACAAGGGAGATTTCGAGGTCCATGCAACGAACAGTGGCAAGTGATAATGGTATTAAAGCACAGATCTACAGAATCAACCTGGAATGATATGGGGAAGGTACAAGAGCTTACTGAAGATATCGAGCCGTCCCCACAATGAAGCGAATCACGACGAAGCCGAACCGCGCGTTTATCTCAAACTAGTTAGAGCATGGGTTGTATAATGCGTCCACCATGAGAAAATGCCGCGCGGGCGCCACGCATCGCGATCATCTAGTCTGCCGAACAACAGGGGTCCTAAAGTAAAAATTGGTAAGAAATGACAAAGCACCCGCATTGATACCTTGGGAATTCAGATTACAGCCGCGCGCTGAGTTCTATCGACGTCTCTGTATGTAGAAGGACGGGCCATTACTACTCTCTATTACTGGATAGCCGTTCCATCTCGGTACACTCTCCGTCGAAGTAGCGCAGGATGCTAGTAAGATCCTCTCTCCTCTCCTCTCCGGCTTTTTCCTTGCAGATGCCCGAGCGGACCAGCTTTGCCAGCGGTCCTTCTCTGGCGGAGTATCGGTTGCTAAGGATATGCGGGAGCGGAATTGTATTCTGATTCTTCATTAATATTAATCTTCTCTTTTTTAAGTATATAAATATGTATAATGTGACAGGCGGTTATGGACACGTGGGCTGGCTGGTCTGGCTATTTTTTCCATTAATATAAATACCAACTAAATCTCTAATTTAACCAGCCTCTACTTTACCCCTTCTAATACGTATATATATCTACACACACATGGTCAGAAAGCCTGCCCTCAGACAGCCCTAGCAGCTCTAACCAATGTCAAATTCCCATGTCGCCGGAATAGCCGCGCGTATTGCACGTCATAAAGGCGGATGAATTCGTATCGCCGCAGTGTTGCGAAGGACAACTGCGGTACGCGCCCGTCTGAAAGATTTAAGTTCGTCGGCATGGATCAGGATCGGCCATAAAATGAGGCGCTAAACCACGTATCGACAGGAATGGATCCCAAAGTTCTACGGTGTGTGCGAGAATCTCCGAACCGCGCGGGAGGTTTGTCAGCGGAAGCATGGCCAGGTCTAGCTTATGCGCTCACGGCCAATTGTAATCTATTGACGATAGCCTCGCATCCCGTTTCGTCCTTGTTGATATATAAGCCTTAGATCGATGCGACACTCTTTCTCTGCATATCTTGATCATTGAACTTATCCAATTTATTTGGCACACTCTTCGGCCCTTTCAGCCCTGGTCTCCTAGAACCGAACTTTTGTCCGTGTCGAATAATCTCCGATACCTACAACTCTACCTCTATCCAGTAACTCTATCTTTGCTCCGTACCTATCGGCCTCATCAAATGACAAAGGAAGTCGTTATTCTCGGGGGTGGCTTTGCCGGCATCGGCATAGCGCACAAGCTACTTAAACATACTGTTCCGAAGGTCAAGGGCTTGAAGGTCACCCTAATTAGCGCCTCCAGCCACTTCTATTGGAACCTAGCTGCCGTCCGTGGTGTCATCCCTGGTGAGATTTCGGATGAAACTCTTTTTACCCCCATCGCAGAAGGTTTCAAGAGGTTCCCGGCGTCGCAATTCGAGTTTCTTGTTGGTACCGCTTCCACTCTCGATACTACCCAGAACCTAGTCCACATCACCACAGAACACGGCGCAAGAGCTGTCGGATACGATCACCTTATCGTCGCGACAGGCTCTTCAACGGGAACTGGCCTGCCCTTCAAAAATCTCAGCTCCTACAATGACACGATCGATTCCTTGCACGGCCTACAGTCTCAAATCAAGGCTGCGAAGTCGATCACAGTCGCCGGGGGAGGAGCAACAGGTGTCGAGACTGCCGCCGAGCTTGGCTTCGCGTATGGACGAAAGAAGGAGATCACATTGGTGATCGAAGGGCCACGGGCGCTCTCAACCCTTCGGCCTGAGGTCGGAAAGGCAGCCGAGAATTATCTCCGGGGATTGAACGTCAACCTAGTACACAACGTCAAGGTGACGAAATCAGAAGCCTCTGGCTCCAAGCAGACTATGACGCTGTCAAATGGAAAGACGTTGACCGCCGACGTGTACCTCCCACTTTTCGGTGTCAAAGCCAACACACATTTTCTACCGGAGCATCTCTTAGATGTCCGAGGCAATCTACAACTACAGAAGACACTACGCGTGGTTGGACTGAGTAACGTCTGGGGTGTCGGCGATGTGGGAAATTTGGAGAACAAGCAGGCCATGAAAGCCGAGACGCAAGTTATCCACCTTGCCAAGAACCTTGATGCCGTCCTGACAGGCCGTGAGAACCTGGTGAAGGAATACAAGGTAGACGATAAGACGATGATATTTGTGACTGCTGGGAAGAAAAAGGGCACAGGGCAGATGGGGACGATGAAGGCACCGAGTTTCCTAGTTTCGTACGCCAAAGGACGGACACTTTTTGTTGAAAAGGCACCTGGGCTTGTGGCAGGGAAGAACCTTGTTTCTTCATCCGTGTAAAGACATTGTCGACTTATTAGACTTCAGCTTAATTTTCATAAGGGTAATTGTTGTATTTAGCAGTCTGTGGTTGGCCGATCATAAATGACACGGTGATTCAACTTATCTTTCCTCAAATTTATGGCCCCCGTCCCGCCCCCGCTCCGCTTGGTTATCAGTCATAACGAAAGCCTTGAGCCTTTGAATTGTCAAAGACGTCAGCTGGCATAAGCGAGCCGGTGACACAACTTCATATTAGCGAGTTGCGTGTTGAATTTGTAATGAAGCCAAATCTCCTGATGGAGCAAAAGACGCGCTGAGCCAACTAGGTACGGGAACCTGTTGCAACTACCATCCGAGGATCTTGTTTGCTTTTTTTGTGTCGTCATAACAGGCCACACGCTCAGCTCCTAAAAAGCCCCTGACTGTTTGGATCCCCGACGTAGGTCACGAGACCGACTCTTCCTTGATATACGTAAGGGCTACTTCAGGCCCTTCAAATAGCTAGAAATCAAGAGCTTCTATTCACATCACAATGCACCTTTCCTATCCCACATGGAGGATTAGTTTAGATGTAAGGATGAGGCGGGGTTGATGGCTGGCTATGTATATTGGTGGGGATCTGACTGTTGCTATCTAACAATTTTAATCAAACAGTATATGCCTTCAATTCGTTTTCTGTCCAATCCCAGAGCCTCTTTGCAAGATCGTTATCTTTCGCGCAAGCACTCGCCTTGCCCGTTACGCCAACTGGTTCATAATTATTCTCCGCTTACAACATCCATTGAAGTCGCAGCCCATAGCTGATTCTTGGCTCCGTTCTCGACGCTCGCAAGGAAGGGGCTTGCAAGGCTCCGGACTCCTCGTAGCACCATATTCCCTCCTATCATAACCGAGCTAAGGCTTGTGTCCACAATTCCCGGATGCACCGAAGCCACTATAATTTGCGGATATTGCTTCGCCAACTCCCGCGCAAACAGCCCGTTGGCTAGCTTGCTTTGCCCGTAGCGCATCATGGTCGTCATAGCTTCTGCCTTTGTTCTCAAGCTATCAAACTGGATCCCACCGGGTGGCGCCGACTTGTGTACGTCTGACGAGAGGCAGATGACTCGAGCGCCCGAATGGTTCCCAGCGCTCTTCAGGAGGGCCGGCATCAGGAGCTTTGTCAACAATGCATGCCCCATGTGGTTTGTACCGAATTGGATTTCGTATCCTTCCTCACTAAGACCAGGTGCATAACCCATGATGCCAGCATTGAGGAGGAGAATGTCAAGGCGGTCAGAGTGTGCAAGGAACGTCTTGGCGGCGTTGCCGATGGACTCGAAAGAAGACAAGTCGAGTTGTAGGACCTTGATTGATGCATCCGGCACCAGTTTTGTGATATCATCGACAGCGATCTTAGCCTTATCCAGACTGCGCGCTGCAAGCCAAATTTCCGAAGGACGGTGCCGTGACAACTCGAAGACGGACTGTTTCCCAAGCCCCGTGTTGCCCCCTGTGATGAGAATTACTTTTCCTGTGAGAGAGGGGATGTCCTTCTCAGGAGTGAAAGAGACGCCGCTAGGGCCGAATGGGAAATGCATTGCGGTCAACAGAGGGTGCATGCAAGTTCATATGAGAAGTGAGGGTTTGCCAGATGAACACAATGAATGTCGGTCACAGCCTTGATATTTATCAACGAGTCTCGCCAAATAGAATCAGAAAGTTCATCTGCATCGCTCGGATGTACAGCACTCGGATATACATCACTCGGATCTGCATCACTCGGACTTAATGTATTTCCTACGAAATTGCACATTAATCCCACCTCTTGTTGCGGAAAAGCTCGGTCACATCGATCCCTTGCACTGTCCTGTGACACAACTGACTCTAGTAGAATAACATGTCCTGCCCTAGCGCCTGGTTACTACTCTCCGACTGCATGCAAAGTTGTCGGTGTTAGGGAAGTCTCCTCTTATCTCCGCGGTTACCTGCTAAGCTGATTTCTAGGAAGTCTAAACTAAGCCGCTTCGTATACACAATACACAGTGACAAAAGGGGGTTAGCAACCTGCATTAGCGCGTATGACTCCAATTAGGGGCCAATTTCCACTTCCGGAGAGCAAGATGCTGTTAAGTACTAGGCATAATCTCTAGGGTGGAAGGCAACGTCACGATGGGGAGTGATATTCTCTCACCATAAGCCAGCAAATATTATTGCCGACTACAACTTTGACAACTCGGAGATGACAACAGTTGTGAATGTTTTTGCTACAGATTTCTCTTGGAGTGGAAATTTCGGAACACAGGGAATCTCAGCTGACCCCATGGCCAATTTTCGTAAGTTTATTCCTTATACAAACCGACCTATCCAAGCCCACCACCTCCTTCTCTGATACCTTCTATAGCCAACTGCTAACGGGAGGATGCCATAGAACGAGACTCGGCTAGCAAGTCTGCATGCCGAGGTAGTATGTTGGCATCAATTAGTGTGGTAAGAACTTGAATCTATCTGAACGCAACACAACCTTATAAGTTACACTTCATACTCCTTCAATTCATTCTCCGTCCACTCCCACAGCCGCTTCGCAAGCTCATGATCCTTAGTGTACTTGCTTCCTTTCCCAGCCACTCCAACAGGTTCATAATACTCTCCAGACTCCACGCCACTTGCTGTAGCCGCCCAAAGCTGATTTCTAGCTCCTTCCTTGGCATTCGATCCGGCTATTGGTATCACCGCTTTCGACACGATTCCCAACAAGAGGTTCTCTCTCTCCATTTTGTTGGCCAGGTTTGTGTTGACAAGGCCCGGATGTACCGACACCGCCGTGAACTGAGGATATCGTCGGGCCAGCTCCTGTGCAAATAAGATGCCTGCCAATTTGCTCTGGCCATACCGAGTGAGCCCAGCCATGTTCTCTGCTTTAGACTTCAGCGTATCAAATTGGATGCCACCGACCGGGGCGTAAGCGTGACCCCCAGAGCTGAGCACCACCACACGGACGTCAGAATCTGGCTGTTCCTGAGCCGTACGTAGTAAGACTGGCATGAGTAATTTGGTGAGCAGCGCGTGCCCGACGTGATTTGTACCAAATTGAATCTCGTAGCCGTCTTCAGTAAGAGCCGCGGGGTGAGCCATAATGCCAGCATTCAAGAGAAGGATATCGAGACGACCCGACTCTTGACAAAATACATTGGCCGCATTCCGTACAGAGCTCAATGACGCTAGATCGAGCTGTAGAGCCTTAATTGAGACATCCACGACTTCCTTCTTTATCTCGGCAACCGCTTCATTTGCTTTATCCGCGCTTCGTGCTGCAAGCCATATCTGAGACGGTCCGTGTTTTGACAGCTCCAGGATGGATTGCTTCCCGAGACCGCTGTTGCCACCCGTGACGAGAATGACCTTTCCGGTCAGAGTAGGTATGTCCCTGGTGGGATTGAACGACACCCTACCACAAGAGGAGGAAAATATCATTATGATCAAAATGATGGTATTAAAAATCCGTAAGAGGAGTAAGAGTCTCGCTAGGAGAGTTGATGACGATGGCTCAAATGGTTTCATTCGTGACCTTTATGGGAACCGACATCATTAAGTCACACATTACGTAGTCGTTAGAGCCTTGCCTAGTATCACATTGGAACGGAGATATTGTTACGGCCGAATACACACAGGATCGTGTTGCACATACATTTCCTAGAGTACCTATTCGGATCAATGCGTTGATACAAGGGCGTGCAGTAGGTAACCCTGAGTCTAACTGGTGTGGTAGACTTTAAAAGCCGGACCAGGCTGCCCTATCCCCAATCCATACGTTACTTCCTTGCATCGAGCGTAAGCCCTGCTGTCCGGATCAAATACGAACGAACCAGCAGATTGCACAAGGCGGGATAGCTCGGGGGACTAGGTTCTGCAGTTGCGTAGTGCGCTTGGCTAATGCAGCCCACCGGCTTTACCGGGGATACGCTTGCTGGCATGATGTCTACACTGGTGCAAACTCCAATCTAGACAGGACCTGGGACCCTTTACTCTTGAGAAATAAGACGTCGACCCCGTTGCTCCTACTATACTCTACCATGCATCCGCCATTACCATACGAATGCTTTCATAACATTCAAGGATCAGTTTACTTCATCCAAATATTTAACTGAACTCTTCTTGACTAAATAACGGACCACGCTCGTTTCATAGGGCTTCAACCACGCTGTTAACCCTTGCTCCGTTGGGGTCAAGTGCCGCGTGAGGCTAATTGTTGGGATAGGACCCCAGCATCATCGATGGCAGGAGCCCCTAGCCGAAGAGTAGGGTGATGTGCGTGTCTGCATGGATGCTTTATCTCCGTTTCGGGCGCTTCCTGTTTCTCGATATGCATACAGTGTGTAATGTCCGTCTATTATCTCCGGATGCTTGAGCGCTTGCAGCATCGATTAAACCTTTACTCTGGCGGGCTGGAGTATCTAGAGTACGTGCCTGGCGGTACTCAGGCAAGCGTTGTCACCGTCAATACGTACGATGCGGTCGCACTGACGTGGACTATACTGTCGAGCCTGCCAGCCCCTCACGACCACGTCGGCGGCGCCATCGTGGCTGATAAGCTGTACGTGATTAGTGGGAGACAGAACTTTACCGTTGCCGACCCCGTATATGCGATGGACTTAGCCGCTAGCCAGCTAGCGTGGACGAGCAAGGTGCAGATGCCAACTGCGCGAGGAGGCCTGTCGTTTGGGGTGATTGGAAAGCGGATCTTCTCGTTTGGTGGGGAGGGGAACCCGGATCCTGGGTCGAAAGGGGTGTTGAACGAGCCGGAGATGTATGATGTTCGCAGCAATATGTGGATCAAATTGGAGCCCATGCAGTATCCAAGGCATGGTACTTGTGCTGCATCTGGAATCATGCTTCAGAACGAGAAAGACCTATCACTTCGGCATTCCCTGCGTAGTATGGATGTATTCTGCCACGGACTGGCTTTGCAACGGGTTACTGCTGACGACGGCTTTCCCTTCCTACAAGCTGTATGCGATAACGGGCTGCTTGTGATAATGGACTACGGACTATTGCTAATAACAAGCTTTCTCCCTCGACGAGCTGATCCGGGCCACGGGTATGACTTTTACCCGCCACAGACTTCTCATGATCGTTGACTTACAGTTAATTGTTCACTGAAATAAAAATATTTATAAACTTAAAAGGGATGTTGAAAGATAAAAAATAAACAACTACTTAAACCTCCTCTAACTTGAGTATGTATACTAAAGTTACTTCTGCTTGTTTATAACCTTGACAGCAATATTAATTAATCCATCCTTTGCGATGCTGCTTGGAAAACCATCAATAGCAGATATTGCCTTCTCAATATACCCCTGTGCCAGAACATACGTCTTTTCAATACCATCACTTTTAAGTATTAATTCCCAAGCCTTTTTATGTATTAGTACGCAACATTGGAATGACCATCGGCTTAGAACTTACTCTTGGAACATCACCATCTTCTTCAAAATTCCTCTCTACAAAGGCGCCTAGCTCGGGCGTTGTCTTCCAAGCAAGTAAAAACGGTGCCGTAGGTAGACGTAACTTGAGGCCTGCGCCCGTCAGCTTGACCAACTTTGTGTCTGCGCTTTTGTAAGCTAAAACGTCATCCATCAACTGGACCGCAAGTCCTATATTCTTGCCGTAATAATATGAAGCATCCACTGAGGCACCACCTACCCCACTCAAGAGAGCTGAAGCACGACAAGACTTGGAGATCAAGCTGGCGGTCCTAAGGTACGCTTCCTGAAGGTAGTAACTTAGTAAAGCTTCAGACCACTTGGGGCTCCTCTCGGCCAGGGCCCTATCCTCGAGATGCATAAACTCGCCCTCCACGATATTTGCGATAACGGTAGCTAGGAGTTCGACGGCCTCTGCATTTCCTAGACTTGCGAGCGCAACAGAGGCGCGTCCAAGAAGTAAGTTGCCCGCTAGAACGCTCATTGTGTTGGTACTCTCAAAGTTTGCAGAGGGAGATCTTCAACCGGATACTGAATAGTCAATAACATCGTTGTGGAGAAGAAATGCGGCGTGGATCAACTCGGTAATCTCAGCGAGGCGGCGGTGGGAAGGGAGGATTTCGTCGTCGGCTTTGGGAGGGTCGGTGGTATGGGTGCCCGCGAGGGGGCAGTCCGAATTGACATTTTCAAGGATACCAAAGGAAGAAGAATCTGAGTTAACTCCTTGAGAAGTCTGTGTAGGAGGTGGCCGTGGCTCCTTGGGACACAGCGACGCGGCTCTCGTTATTAACAGCACGATGAGTGGTCTAATGTGTTTGCTCTCGTCCCCCGTGTAGTATTTGGCGACTCGGCCTAGTGAAGGATGCCCCGAATCCAGCAACTTTGTCATACTTCCGATCAAGAGCTTCATCTCTTTGGCCACTGGCCGCAGCGGGTCAATGAGCATCTCGCGGTTGCTGACGCGATTGAACCCTTTGGCGGCGATCTTTGAAGCTATGGTGCTCCAAGCTGAATATCCTCGGGAGGGGTTGTGGAATAGTCTGATGGCCATGTGGATTTTAGGATTCAATGCTGCTCTTGACTGACATGGTGCACAAGGTGAGGGCAGCATTGGCACCTGATGGATGTTGCGTGATACCAGAATTCTCGTTCGGAGCTGCATAGCGTTGGATGGCTTTTTACAGGCCATAAAAGATCAAAGATAAAATGCTCTGGGGCTACTTCAACATTTGGTGCGCAAAGCTCGTCTCGGTATTCATCGCTGGTGCATCCATGCTGCTGGAAGGATCCGGGGGTTAATTCGGGGTTTTGTTCTTCTCGCCAAGGAATTAAAACCCAGCGAATGCGCCCTGTGGGAACCCGTTTACCAGGCACCTTCGCACACCGCTTGATTTCAGCTCGGTTCCAGCTTCGGGTCAACGGGGCTCATTCCAACCCGATGCGATCCCTGCGTGACAGCACGACAAGGTCTCGGGATGCAAAAGAACCACAATTGAGTAGGAATCAAGCCTTCACGGCATTAAACAAACAACAGATGATTGTTGACTTAAAGCTGTGACGGAAGGCATTGAGTGTTACGCTTGGTGGATGCAACATTTATCAACGTAGACTGGTTGCAGAGACAAATAAATTAAGCATTCATCTCCCATCATCACAATACGGCCCGGCTTGCACAATCTGCATCGGGATACAGAGTAGCAACGCGACTCTCGTCATGCGCTGCAAAGACTCCGAGCTTGCCGAATACGACAATCCGAGGGGTTTCAGCTCCAGCCCTGCTAGTGTCACTCCTTGAACAGGACTAACACATTAGTGCCGGCACTTGTCCTATTCTGCTCTCCGGTCATTATGATTCATTTTGTATACAAGCTATTTGTACATATGTATTGATATGGTAATCCACGTAATAATTGGAAATCCCATACGAAACCCAAGTTCTCTCTTTACTCAGTTGCTCAAAGCCATGAAAGCCTTTCAGTTTGAAACCGTCGCCGCAGGGCTTGAACTCCGAGACGTGCCGGTCCCTGAGCCGGGCTACGAGCAGGTTCTGATTGCGGTTAAGGCTGCAGGCCTCTGCCACTCTGACATCCACGTCTTGAATGGCGGCGGAGAAGCTTGGATGCGGGCGCAGTCGCTCACGCTTGGCCATGAAGTCGCGGGCACCGTTGTCAAACTTGGGCCCGGCGCATCCGAATTCCCCTTCAAGACAGGGGATCGTGTGACGGTTGCTCTCTTGGGCCAACCTGTCATAGACCGGGACTTTCAAGAGGCCATTGGGGTTGGATACGATGGAGGCTATGCCGAATTTGCCGTCGCCTACTGCAAACAACTTGTCAAAATCCCTGCCGGAGTGAGCTTCGCACAGGCTGCAGTTGCCACTGACTCGGTCGCTACCGCATACCACGCCATCATGTGCGAAGCCAGAGTCGCCAAATCGACTCGAGTAGCTGTCATTGGCCTGGGAGGCCTCGGCCTTGTAAGTACCATCCAGTCGAGCCCGGCATGCTTCGTTCCCCTTCTTCTAGATCAATCCTCATCGATCCCAGTAATGACAATGAGTATATTGCTGACACTTAAATCGCGATATCCAGAACGGCGTTGCTATTGCAGCGATCCAAGGGGCTGAGGTCTATGGCGTCGATATCAACACCACCAAGTTCGACCAGGCTCTGAAAGCTGGTGCAATCAAGTGCGCATCCAGCCTGGATCAATTTTCGAACATAGTTTTTGATGTCATTTTTGACTTTGCTGGAATGCAGTCGACAATTGCTGCAGCTGTATCTACGGTCAAGCTTGGAGGGTGTGTCGTTCTGGTGGGCTTAGGCTCGCCCACTATACAGCTTGAGACAACCTCGATCGTTACTAGGAATATTCAGCTGAGAGGGTCGGTGAGTGCAAGCATAGATGACCTTCACAAGGTCTTGGCTTTGATTGCTGCGGGCTCTCTCTCGCCGACGGTGCAGGAAATTCCCTTCCTCGATGTTCCGAAGGGGCTCGAGATGCTTCACAAAAAAGATGTGAACGGGCGACTCTTCACCATACCCATTAGATAGGTACTCACTTTATTTCAATTTCCGCCATCCAATACGACTCTTAGGCTGCAATGCAAAACCACACTCGGACCGCTACGTAGCCTGTCCACAAAGGCCGAAACCTCTTTTAGTAGCCCGCTATCTAAATCTATCACTTTCACTTAGACAGTCACTATGCAGCTTCCGAATGCACTTCTATATGAAATTCATCATATAGGAGAATTAAGGGATGCCATATCCAATGCAAATCCTCTGTTTGAGTGATAAACTTTCCATTTGAGCACTATATTCGAACGGGCGAATAAAACATTATCCAGTGTAGTTAAGACCAGCCTTGAGAAGTCAGATTGTGAGCCCGTAACTTTATTCGTTGGTTGATACCCCTTCATCGTCGTTGGCCAAAATCTTCTTATCCAGAGCTTCAAGAGAATCCAAAGCCATCTTGAAGAAGTTGGTTGGCCTCGCCCTCTCTACTTCCTTTGCAAACTCGGTTTGGCTCGATCCTTTCCCATCAACACCAAAGCGAGTTCCGAAATCGCCCACGAAATTATCGTAGGTAGTACTTGGCTTCGCGTTGCACAGTCCACACATCGTCCGCTTGAGACCTTCAAATGTGAATCCGCTGCGTGGAAAGAGTTTCATCACGGTGCGGTATTCCTCCACTGAAATCAGGTTTGGTCCAGACCCTAGGTCAAGATGGGGACCGAGGAAGTCTGCTGTGATCCCCGAGCTGGTGAGGGCCACCTCAGCTGCGGCGTGTTGGGCGATAGATGGTGTCGCGTGCAGTGCGATTGCGTCCCAAGCACGTTGAAGTCTCGCCTCGCTCCACAATCCAGTTTGATTGTCGCCCTGGGACTTCTCTCCCTGCTCGTTGAGAAACGCTTTGGCGATATTTGCTCCGTCGACTTCAAACCGCTTGTCTTGGGATAGAAGCTCTGCGGATGTAGCCCATCCCATGTCATGGAGGATACAGCTGACCACGACCAGACCCAGGTCTACATCAACAAAACGAGGGTCCTTTTGGGCTATGATCAGGGCCCAGTAGGCCGAGCGAACGGCATGATTGTAGGTCGTTGTGTCGCAGTGTTTCTTGACGAAGGAGAAGGCCTTGATAGCTAGGGGTGCTAATGGTATTTTAATACCCAATTCGGGTATGTCTGGAAGTGTCGAGTCTCTATGTTGGGTGGACATTATGGGTGATGACAATGATGATGGGTAAAGAAGAGGTATCTGGCAGATTGAAGATATTTTTCATCATGACTAGACCGAGGACCTAGGAATATTTATACACAAGGCACAGCGGGCATTCTCACCCGGCCAGTATATTACTGCCCCCATCGTTGTCATTGGTTGCGCTTTCATTTACTTGATAATTTCGGACTTGCGGCCTGCAGGTAATCTCATTGCTCGTTCCAGGCGAACTTGGAATGCCCTTGTGGTATATCCGATGGCTCTCGGGTCTTAGAATCGAACTTTGGGCAGACGGAGATTAATTGTGTCTCTGTTCAAGTAGCACAAATGGCTGGATGCGAATGTTCATCGCCACATGCTGTTCAATTAGATCCGAGAGGCGTCGGATCTTAAATCTTGAAATTCGTCCGTCCCGTGCCGCTAATGCTTAATGTTGCCAGCGCTAAGAGCATATGAACTGTTGGCATGTGGAATCAATGAGATTTCTGCGCTAAAAATACGGCTCAGCTGAGATAAAAGCATGAGGAATCATGACTGCGTCGGCGCCATAATTACGAGCAGTGGAGCTGAAGCATGAGGAATCATTAAAGCTCCTACGCCAGGATTCCGCATCAGCGGAGAAAAAGCATGAGGAATCATGGACACTTCCAGGCTAGGATTACGGGCCAGCATGGGGGATGATTTAACACTTCTCCGCGAATTCCGGGTGAACGGGGATAAGCATGGGGATCATTAACCCTTCAACACTGATCCAGATCAGCGGATCAGAGGAGATAAGGCAGGAGGCCAAGTTCAACACCGCGAACCAGAATTTGGCCATCCTCGAATTTCCCGGCTGGTTCCGAGAGAATAAGCGAGAGCCAGGAAGAAGGGTCGCGTTTAGTGCATCGGACGCCTACAACTTCACTGATCCTCTGTTCGACACTGGAATTCTGGGACCAGTTCGGATTGTCGGAACCCGTGCTCAAAACCTCATTGATAAGCACATGGATTCTAGGATTCTACAATCCTCCAGTTGTTACCTCGTCGCACTGCAGAAAACCAGAACATCTTCTTGAGTCTAGCTTAGAAACTGCGTGAAGAGAGTAAGTGAGAGACTTTCTATTAGGCTGTTGAGGTTTTCGAAAGACCACGCTCCTATTTCCTTGTGGTGCGTATCTTTCGGCCACTCGTTGAGCGGCCACTTGGACTGCCTCTCGACGACATCGATGAAGCCGGCCTTTTGAGGAAGCTATTGTGACAGGACGCAAAATTGATTGGACGGTCTGCTTTCTTGCTAGCTTTGACACGGGGTTCTAGAGTGACTGAGTTCTTGGTTGTCGGGAATTGTGCCGTCGTCGCAACTAAACGGGCGAGTCAAGTCTTTCATTTTTGGATATCGCACTGCTTCGAGGTTTCTTTACCCATAAATTAGCTAGGAGCTGTGTGGCGGGCATATGGTTTTGAAGAATTTTTAGGTAGAGATAGAATGTGTTGCTCTAGTAGGTTCTCACGGATCAAGGTTATAGGAAAGGAAATTTTTAATCGGAAGAAAATCAGATTTCCAGTAAAACCATCTTACCTATGTTGTGAGGGGAACTGAGGCGTCGGGAATATTACACTCTCTCAATATTGGGGCAGAAGAAGTCCTCTCTACCTTGTCTCCTGATGCCTAAATGCCAACCCAGAGGGACAGTCTATACCCTGAGTCATGGTTCTAACCGTCAAGTCCATCATTAGCGAGCGTTTGTAGTAGAACTTTACCCGGCAGATACTTGAGATGGAAAGCGGGGTGATGGCATCAGCTTGCCAAGAAGCTGCACTTTCGAACGCCAACCCAATAAGATTCGGCTTTGCTGATGCACTGCCAGCGAATATGCGTGATATCTACTGGCATGCGGCAATGTAATTGGCGCATGAGGTGGACGATCACGTCATCAATATTGTAACTGTGAGACATATATCGGTGATACCGTTTATCTATTCTAGTTTTCTCCTTGTCAAATATCATTTCTTCCTCCAGTAAGCCCAAGTCGTATCTGTTCAACAAAATCCAAGCACGCTCTTCATCAATCGACAGCTTACTTGGCACCGACCGATATCACTCAACCCGATCACGCAATGAGTCTCAGCGACACACCTGTCGGCTTCGTTGGGCAATGGATCCACCAACAATCCAAATTACACCTTCCACCCACCTGGAAAGGTGGCTGGGAACGCTGGGCCCAGGGCCAAATCGCATTGTTCATGGAGGGACAAAACGGCTACCAGGTCTGGACGGAAGAACACATCTATAGAGACAACCCAACTGATGCTGTTGATCTCGAGTTTCGAAAGCCCGCTGGAATAAATGGGGTTCGGACATTCCTCGAGCTCAAATGCTACAGCGCAACCAACGAAGATTCGGCTCAGACGTTTATTACCCGGGTGTTGCAGGACTACGACAAGGTGCAGAGGCGGCTGACCTCTGGCGTGCCTGGCGAGCCCAATGCAAGAGGCTCGACTTTGTGGGTTATTGGCATCTCTCAACGGCAGTTCAAAAACTGGATTGAGGACACCGGCAGTGGTAATGTGAAATGGCAGCAGTTCCAATCCGTGGATGTTACAGGTGAAGGAATTGGTGGTTCACAAGGCACCTTTGATCTCTGGTATTGGCATTACACCAATAATAACTAGGATGCCCGTGATTAATACACGATTGCTTCCCTCTATGCTGTCAGGTTTGTCAACCCTGTGTCGGCGTATGCACCTAACACTCCGCTTGATCATGTGACCGGCGTGCCTGCTAAGCGCTTACCTTCTCCTTTTACTTTTCTCATGTTCGCTACTTCAGCTTCCACTCTTCACCTCGCCGTTCAGGAACCAAAATCTCAACATGTCGTCTTTCAAACCCCGTCGTGATTATCTCTATCTAGCGGTAGTTGTCTTGCACCTAACCGCGATGTTAGGTCAGTGATACCACTTGTCCGCCAAAGACCTGTGTGCAATGTGTTCGAGCTGATGGCCATCAGGTGTCGACTTCGTCCCCTTCTATCCCCAGTCTCTCTGCCAACCTGCTGGTTCTCCTCTGCACTTCCTAGTTGCGTATCGCAACTGGTATATCACCACCATGGCCGACCCGTATTACCATCACAACACCCCCGGGCACTTTTTCGACTTCCTCGTCTGGGTTGAGCTGCTCGTTCAGTTCCCCCTGGCCCTGAGCCTCACCCGCGCCCTGGTTGCCAAGGGGCCGCTTAATGGTGCTGATGAGCTCATGGCCAACGTTTACGGTCTCGTAACCGGCCTCTGCACGGCTGTGGTGTGTCACGATATGTGGTACCTGGGGCCAGAGATCATCAGCGCTCAGGCCAAGCAGACTCTTTTATTTGGGGCGTACTTGCCGTATGCTGTACTTCGTAAGTGCTGTCTAGCCTGCATGCCATAAGGTAAACTAACGAGACCATAGCTATCGTCATGGCTGCAGATATGCAATCACGTCTTCTGGCCCGGATACGGGGGCAATCTCAGATAAAACTTGACTGATTGCCGTTTGGGTACTGTCTGTGTCTTATTTGGAGAAGCATACGAAGTGGTCTCATATGCAAAGCGGCTATTCTACCCGGTCTAGGTACAGAATCCCATTTCCGCGCCAGGATAAGATCAAAGGCAAGGCATTACAATACATCGTATCGTTACACCCTTGCTCAGTTTTAGGTATCTAGCCGGCTTATTTTCCCGGTTGGTATACCCCTTTGACGGTACCGTTAAGAGCCGCCTTGACGTAATCCTCAAACTTGACGTATTCAAAATCGGGGTATAGTTCCTTGCCATCCAGATAACCCAAATACCCAGCATACTCGGGTGTATTATCTCCACGAATGGCCCAAGACAGAAGAAGTTGCTGAGTAGCAAGGGCACCAAAAGCTTCCAGGCTCTTTGGATTAGCTTGGAGGCTTGCCTGAGCTTTTTCGATACGGGCTGTGACCTCTTCTGCCGTAATCTGTAGGGGAAAAAGTCAGCCTCGAGGCCTAATTAGGAAATTTCGACGAGAGACAAACATATTTGCGCTCTAGCCTTTCGCCGCTGATCTTCTCTACCAAATCGTAGACCTGGTTTCGCGTGAGGACCTCACTATAGACGTGAACCCTTTTGTTGAGGGTGCGCGGATCTGTGATGACTCTAGCAACGTATCTTCCGACATCTTTGATATCGGCGAGGGCACTTGGAACATTCCCATCCCCTCCGAGCCTTGGCTCCGAGGCGTATGTGGGCAGGGCATAATCCCAACGGCCAGATGGGAGCCGGGGCAAGGTAAGCTGGTACCACCAGCCGGCGTCAATATAGGTGTACGGGAGACGAAGCTTTTGGACGTAGTTGAGAATCTCCTCTTTCTATAAAAAGTATTAGAGTAAGCCATATATAGGGGAGGAAGGGGTGCAGCTGAAGCACCCCTTCTGTAACTCTAACCTTGTCTCGGAAATCGACAGCTCCCCTTGGAGGAAGAACGACCATGAATGCGGACTGGACAAACCGTTTAACACCTGCGCGTTTCGCAGCTTCGGCAAGAGGGATTTCATCCATTAGGCTTCCAACAAAGATTGCAGAGATGACAATATCAATGCCGGATAGGGCACTGACTAGTGCATCTTGGGGGCCCTTTAAGTCGCAGGGCACTACTTGGACACCACGGTTCTTGAGCTCTACATACTCCGGTTTGTCAAGAGACTCGGGGCGAGCTAGTGCTGTAATTTCCTAGCGGCAGCTATAGTTAGCAATCCAACACAAGTGCCTAGGCGTGAGTTAGTAAAGGGATATGTACGTACAAATTTTGTTGTCAAAGACGCTAGGAGTCCGTTCACGATGGAAGTTCCAGTTTCTCCCGTGGCACCCACTAGGGCGACTTTGATGGACGACATTGTGTAAGATGCAGCAAAGGGGAGTTGCTTCACAGATCGATTCAGGACTTCTTGAAAGCAATTAAGAGGCTTATATAATGGTGATGAACATTACATAATGACATGTTCGGGCACGCAGCCTATATTTTCTCTTGGGCGGAATGTAAATTCCGCCTCTAGCTTACAAATGGAGGAATCTGACGACTTACTTGTAAACGCGGGATAGTTTTTTGGCTTATGAATTGGTGGATCCCCAGAACCCATTGGAACGCACTACGACAGGGACAGCAGGTCAAACTAGCGGTGAGCGATTTTAAAGTGGTTGAAACTGGACCGAGAGCCATAAATAACTAGGGACAGCACCAGTTAGCAAAGCAAGCAGCAGATGCTCCTCGTCTTGTCTACTTAATTCCCAAGATGAATCCGGCTCAACTACCTGTTCATCTTCAGCTCGTCCATCTCCGCGATGTTCTTTCCACAAATGGGACACTCCTCGAGGTGCTCAATCGCGCAGCGATTCTGAATTTGCCGAACTGGTACCTCGCTGCAGGAGCCCTGTCTCAGACCATTTGGAACAAGTTATCGTCTCTGCCTCCCGATACTGGGATCAGTGACTACGATCTTGTCTACTTTGACGATTCGGACCTCTCCTACGAGGCCGAAGATGTACACATCCAAGCCGGTAAGAAACTCTTCGCTGGCTTATCCGTGGATGTTGAGATCCGCAATCAGGCGCGCGTTCATATGTGGTATGAAAAGAAGCGCGGAGTCCCATGCCCAATTTATCGAAGCGTGGAAGCGGGGATTGACTCTTGGATCTCCTCCAGCGCCATGCTTGGTGTGAGACTGGAGAAAGATGGAGAATGGAGTGTGTATGCGCCTCGGGGGCTGTCGGATTTCTTCAATATGGTTGTGAAGCCTAACACGGCTGTGGGGACCAGGGAAGTGTATGAGAAAAAGGCAAAACGTTGGAAGAATATTTGGCCGCAGCTTCAGATTGAAGCTTGGCCAGTGAAACCGTCAGAATAGACCCTGAAGCAGTAGCATTAAGGTCTCCTGTATGTACCAGGCACCTGTTGAACATCACGAGAATGCCAGAGAGTTATTTTGGGGTTGCTTCAGATGGTCACGCAGAACTTAGCCATTTGTATTTCGTCATTATCTGGTGAGTGTACATGCAGTCGCTCCGTTTACTAGATAACCCAGACCGGCTAGATCTATCTAGATCACGCCCAACCTCGCCAGCTACCACCTGTGATTTGATCCTTCTCAAGTCAAAGGGATACTCCGGTGGTTACCTTATTTTCTTTCGCCCGCAAAACAGACCTATAGAGACGAATGCGATCACCGGACGCAAGATCCACGGAAACTATGCTTTGCACCTACATTGCCAAGGGTTTTGTGGGGGAACAGAACAGCACTTAACAACCTCGTCGTTCCTTGCCTTCCCTGGCGTACCAGTCTATGTATTTCAAGACTTGGTGCATTGGCTGCCGCAGGTCAAGTACTGGAATGTGAGACATTTGAGCATGCCACAATCCATTCAGAACTTCAGATGAAAGATCAACAGGATCTAGGGAATTTGCTGGTACAGTCTGGGTACTGCTGACAGTAGCGAGCTGGTTGTGTTATCATGAGCAACGAATTAGAAGCGGGAGAAAAATGTGATTCAAGCATGTAATCTGGCGAGCTATTGGAAATAGAGAGCGAATATCCAAGGTTTTATGTCGATATGAGAGTGATATTATCAAGAGGTTAGGGGGCCCTAGTTCACACATACGTAGGTATACGTAGAGGACTAGAAGCTGAACAACAAAAAGAAAAAGAAAAAAAAAAAACTCACCGACAATAGGATCAACAATGCAGACTATATATCCAGTACGCTCAAACGTTAAAGGTTTACTCAGACAGACTAAGGTTTTTAGCCCAACTGGTTACCTTTTGTTATGCCTCAATAAGCTGCAGTAGTAGCTGCATCTTGGAAAAGCTAGATCTGCTGGGAAAGCAAGATCTGCTGGGAAAGCTAGATCTTGGAAAAGGTACAATCATCATGGGTATGAAAGCTCTGCAAGGGCTCTTGTATTCCAGTCGAGAGTACTATTATAGATATCCGGTTGTCAAAAATCTCCCAAGAATGCCGAGTTTCCTTGGTAACCTACCCACTAGTGCTCCGTAAGCCCGCTTATCCTGTTCCGTCAGCAGTGGATTGCTTTCATGAGTCTTACCTTAGCCACCATCTTTAGACTTCGCCGAGCTCATGCTTAGGTAGTAAGCTCGTGTTAGGTGTTGACAGCATCATTCGACGATGACAGCGATGATGCGCCGTACTCGCATTGGCTTTTTTTAAATATGGAAGCACGAATACTCAATTTGGCCCGAACATTGTGAACCAACCCCATTCGCCCAGGCCCACGCCGGTCTCAAGGTGCACAACTAGACCAACTGACCATTAGCCACGAGATTTACTACGAGGTAACACCATTTCTATGGGAGAAATGATCGTCTTTGTGAGGTCAATTATCCGGGCACACCGGATCTCGGCCGGTCGGGCGGTGAGCGCGCTACACGCAGACGAGCCGGGATACGAGCTGTGCTAAGGATTGAGCCTATCGGACTCTGGACATCGCTGCTAGGCTAAGCCTGAAGGAGGAGGGGAAACTTCCAAGATGGGTCAACGACATCATTCGACGGTGGCGGGATACAGCCAGGAATACGAGCTGGCTACCCTAAGGCTAACCGCATGCATGGACGATGATCAGGTGGGCGCTGAATACGATATGGCACTTAAGGTGGCGAATGAGGCGGGTGATATGGACGCTACACGAAAGTAAGGCCCCAAAGGACCCATCGGAGCCGTCCTAAGACGGATGAGAAAACGTGGGAATGCAACGCAAATATATGTCCGTCCATCTATTTTCTCGCGCGGGCCGACCCAACGCTTGTACTACTACGTAGTATGTACGGTATTCAACCGAGCCATCTGATGTCATGTGGGGTAATTGCCGAGCCTTGGGCTCGTGATGGATGAGGAGGAATGCTTGCGGTTGAGTTTACGAGAAGCCATCGGCCTGTTGAGTCCGTCATCACTTGAGGTATAAAGGGCACCATCGAGTCGCTGTCGTATCCAGTCTCCTCACTCGCTTCACTTCACATTACATTGCACAATCAAGCATCCCGACAAATATCACGTCCTTTACCCCAGTCAATCAATCTCAACCGCAATCATGCAGCTGTCCAACATCCTCTCTATCTTCACCCTCGCCACTGCCGTCTCGGCTGTCTCTGGTTAGTACTCGGCTCCCAATTCGCCATGCACGCTGGTCATTTTGCTAATATTTAAATAATAGTCTCTTATGATACTGGCTACGATGACCCCAACCGCTCCCTTACTGCTGTAGCTTGCTCCGACGGTGCTAACGGTCTCATGACCAAGCACCCCACATGGAAGAAGCAGAGTGATATTCCTCGGTTCCCCTATATCGGCGGAGCTGCCTCAATTGCTGGCTGGAACTCTCCTAACTGTGGTCTCTGCAAGAAGGCCACCTATAAGGGCAAGACTATCTATGTCCTTGCTATTGATCATACTGCTCTCGGCCTTAACGTCGGCCTTACAGCCATGAACGCTCTTACCAATAATCAGGCCACTCAGCTTGGTCGTATTGAAGCGACTGTTGTTAATGTCGACAAGAGGTTCTGTGGCCTGTAAATGACCACTTCGATTATGATTTCACGATGGGTAATATGGGTTGCATAAGGAATGAATGCATGAGGAATGGTTGCATGAGGAAGGAATGCATTGAGGAATATTACAGCATACATGGCTCTTTAGACTACGACCGTGCCGGGTCATTATAGTAATTTATTATTTGAACATTTGTCTCAGTTTGACTGGCCATATTTCAAGATATATGAGATTCTAACTTAACGCCATTCTTAGCTGAGTGAAGACTTAACCCTTACCAAAAGACATCAAGTGGAGGGTGCCAAGAAATGGCGACATCGCTTCCGTGAGAAGGACTGTAAGGGCAACGGACGACCCAACCAAGCGAGATTTTGATAGACTAAGAGAAATCTTAACTCAGTACGTCCGTCGAATCTCTTGCTTTGTAGAGGAATCTAATCGCTGCCATCGTATTGTCCAAGTTGGGCTACATTCGCATCGTCATTAACCATGCCTTTGTAAGTCGTGGGGGCACGTACATGGAAGGACCGAGAAGACACAGCATTACCCGCATGTGTACTTGAAATGACACGTTTGTGGAAGCAAAATACCAGTGCTTTCACTCGTGCGCAATATCACAAGCACTGTGGCCCTCATTAACGAGCGTTGGCTCGCGTTGTCTGTTCACTGCGTCCAACACACTTGTAGAGGTCTCATCTACCCGACCGCTTAGGTGTCAACTCAACGCCAAGTCGAATCCACGTTGGTGCTGCAATACGTCCTGAATTTTCGTTTCACGCTTTTTATCTACATCATTGATCTCAGCACCAGGCTTCAGAATTTTTCGTCTGAGTACAACCTCCATATTTGCATCAACTTCGCCAGTGAGTAGTCAAATTATATAAATAACATGATCTACTAAATGCAAAATAATACGCACGCAGTGAGTGAGATTCTCAATAAGGCTTCCTGTATGTCGAATGCCTTGCCAAGAGCTTAGCTGATAAAAGATCAAATATCCGGCGTTAATTGGACGTTATGAAGAGATGCAAACTAATCTAACTAAAAATATTACTGCTTTGGGCAGAAACCTTCCAGCTGGATGCATCTTATTTTACTAACAGACTCTTTATTTATTTCAGTATTATTCTGTTAAATTACTTTGAACTGTGACTTATTTTATTAATAGCTTAACTACCTTAGTAAATAATATTACTTGCAGCTTATTAAGGTTTTGCCGAAAGTAAGCATCTGGACTAGAAACCTTAAACTATCTGAATAAACTGTTAACATTTAAATAGACTGGGTAAATAATCTGTATTGTTGATACTATTATTGGTGTTTTTTCTTTTACTGTTAAGCTTCTAGTCCCCCCTTGGGTATATGTGTACTAGGGCACCCTAATCTCTTGATTATTTCGAATATACCTTTTCACTGCTTACTGCTTAACTATTCTTATTGAATCCCTTGTGAGTCGTAGCACCCTACACCAGCATGACAGAGATTTTACAGTAATTCCTCTAATCCTCACGCTAGTCGCTCTCCATCTGGCTAGGTCGTCCTGAGCTTCCAAATTTTCCTAGATAGTGGGGAAGCCCAGGACGACGGTGGAAGTCGAGGACGAGCGGGGGAAGATCGAGACCATACTCCCCACTTGGGTTCTTCCTGACGATGGGGGAGGCGGCGGGGTATTGTGCGCCGGCTTGATAATATGACAAGTAAATATATTTGGAGGTCGAAGAATACATGGATCATACACGGATCTAATTGACCTGTTGGGTTTCCCCGCATCCTCGCCCGCTTCTTAAAAACCGAACCTCCGCGCCTCCACTCTGATGGAATGACAAGGGCCCTGTTGAGACCATCCCTTGAAGGTCCGCAGATCGTATTCCATTCCCAAATAATCGCTGATTATAGCGAGCAAATCCAGCGTTGTCTTCAGCCGCTCACATCACCAAAATGACAAGCATTGATACTCCTGAGAGCAACGCAAAGCTCGACAACCTCTCAAGGGCGCTGGGGACTGTGATCGCCAGACCTTTACCGACAATCCAACGACTATCAACTGAAGTGAGACAATGAGACATTCTGCACATTGCATTGTTTTATTGGGCTGACCTGACTGGTAGATCTGCCATCTGCAAGGCAACAATTGGCATTGCCCTATACAGATATGCCATGAAACATTCGCTGAGAAATTGCCATCATTTCAACCGCGATCTTTTAATTCTATCAGGTAGCATGCGTGTCTTTTGGGCAAGTTTCCAATAGGCTCCTACCAGCTAACAATGATATATTCAGGCCATGCCACCAGGTGGCAATCCTTATTCGCGCACTTGACTCAAGTGAATGAGTCAACTGCTGAGCAAGCAAGATCATCTCCCTTCGTTCAAAACAATTCGACCTGTTTCGGCGACTCAAATCAGGCCATTGCGAGCGCTATCAGCTTAGCGATCGCGGGAAGGAGTCTCGCAGCCATTTACAATAAGCCAGGCTTCAACTGGGTGAATTACATGACGTGGTGCCTAGTCGATGATGTCCGTCTTGATCAGGGCACTGGACTAGTGGCATTGTCCCTAGCTGGGAATTGGAAGCTGAACAATCTTTGCATTATCTACGATAGTAGTTCTACACCCTGCAACCAACAGAATGCCACTGACATCAATGCCAAGTTGAAGGCAATGGGCTGGGATGTCATACATGTTCTGGATGGGATCAATGTCGCAGGTATGTCAAGCTGAGTCTGAAACTCTCCATAGCTTCTACAAGGCAGTATGCACCAGGCCCCCTGCTTACAAGTCAATTTCAGCTCTCGCAAGAGTCCTCGGCAACTCTAGAGAAACCGACAAGCCGACGTTCATTAATATTCAAAAATCGAAGAGCTTTCCATTTAAACATCAGCCTCCGACTCTCAGCCATAACGACCATTTCTGCATTCCAAAAGAGGTTTACGACTTCTTCATGGACGTCCCAGGCCCCAGCGATGGGTATGAGGACGACTGGGAGGCTAGCCTCAAACGATACGAGGAGCTGTATCCAGCACTGGCCATCGAGTTTCGACGACGCGTTTCTAGCACGAAACCTTGCGGTTTGAAGGAGAACGTTACCTCACAGAAGTTGGTGCAGACGAGCGATACAACGTCGCCAAATTCAACGACTTCACATCCGCCTCCCGAAAAGCTTACGCATGAAAACCACTCACAGTCCCGCTCCCCAAACGGCAAGAGAAAATATAACGAGGTGGGCGAGGCAGCGCGACAAATAGCCTGTCTCCCAAGTCGCAGACCGGCAGACCCAAACACCTTCTACATTCGCCCTTGTGACCCTGAAGAAGTCGCTGGGGCCTTTCTTATCGCCATGAAGCCATCTCGGATGACCACCATGATATCACTACCCCAGCATGTCATGGCTAGCTACCCTCAGAACGCATCTCGCGAAGGTGTGACCTTGGGCACATATGTCTTTGCTGAAGTTGAAGGCGAGGATTTTGATGTCACGCTTATCGGTGTTGGTTCTGAAATGCCCTATACCCTGGGAACGCGGAGCTTTCTCGATCAAACGTATGGTATCAAGGCTCGGGTGGTATCCTGTCCCTGCCTTGGGCTATTTGTCCGGCAGCCACAAGACTATCAACTTTCGGTACTCAAAAAAGGCCGTGGGAAGCCAGTAGTGGTAATCGACGTGGCCGACAGCAACATCAACTGGGAGCAGTATGCTGATGTATTGGTCGCATTGAAACAAGTCTGGAGGAGTCGATTAAATAAGTCTAAGCAGACATTGTTATGCAATCAGCCTTCTGAGATTGGACCAAAGATTAAGGGATTTATTGATGAGTTCAGAGGGCGTAGGAATTAAATCTGCAATGTATTTCAATATACTGACAGAATGCGATTTTATACTTCTAGAGTTGAATAACATAATAGCATAAACCCCAGAGCCCGCCGCTGACCAGACTTCTCAAAAAGCAATGCCGATTGAGTAGCTTATCAGTAAGTGCTGAAGGATGCTGCGGTTTGAATAAACAGCACACCACCATCGCGTCCACGACTTGGAACCGCTAGCATATCTCAGTGGCACGTTGGAAGATTCACCAATTGCACACCACTCGTCGGACACGTCGAGTCGCGTAGTACTTGAATTTTGGACTCTGCAGCAGGCAGCCATGCCACAAGCTCAAGCCTAACATACTAGGAGAAGCGAGCCCACCCTGGAGAAGCTCACCCGGATCCGCCGGGTCGCGCAATTAGCTGGAGTGCTAGAGCAAAATGCACATCTTGATGCTAATCCCTCGCTGGTCAAGGTCATCTACAATACAGCCAATCAATCAGTTATAGCGACGTTGTTATTGTCGTCATTACCATCAATTCAAGAAACCTATTTTGGCATTATCTGATCGTATATTTCGACATTTCGCTGAGCCATAGACACCCAACTCAGACTATCAGACCCCTCTTAGGAAGTCACAACATCTGACACGACGCGCTAGTTCCCATTACGGCTCAATTAAAAACGCGATTTTGAGTTTAATGAGTTAATTGAAGGAAGAGGGATTTCGTCGCGTTATATGAAACGAGGCTGCGGATCGGATAATCTATGTTCCGTCCCCCCTGGTTTCGAGCATTCTCTTTGCCCCGTACCAAACGGAACCAACGTCTACGAATGTATCATGGCCCCGTTTGCCTGACTCGCTTACAAGTTACAACACCAGCTATTGTAGGTGTCAGTATCACCATACCCTGTATTTGGACACTTGTGCCTCGGTATCCAATGGGCCGCGTCCATCCAACACCATCATCACCATCTTCGCCTCCTATGGCCATGCTGGAATCTAGTCCGAACGACACCTCGGTACATCCCGCCGACGATGTCGATGGCGTCCAAGTCCAATTGCCACCGCCGCCGGTACCGATTCTGTTTGCCAATACTCCACGCCCGGCAACTCCACCCTCGGAGTCTCGCCAAAACATGGGTGGTGGTGGTATCAAGAGGAAGCGAGGAGACAGCGCCCACTCGCCGCCACAATCGTCCATTATTAACATCTCTTCCGACTCCGAGGGTGGCCCAGAACCTCACACAATCCAATCTAGCTTGCCCGGAGACTATTCAGCTTGGCTTCGGCGAGCCTGGGACTCAGACAATAACCCCCCTGAGCCGAGCAATAAGGAACCAACACCATCACTGGCCCTGGACCAATCCTCATGGGATGTCGAGGTGAAGCCGGGTGCCGAGGCGCAACTGCATGACGGACCAAAGCAATGCAAGGAACAGAAAGATGTTGTCGATCTCACCTTGGTGGACGACGATGTGAAGCTGGAGATGGAACCCTATGACGAACCAAAGCTATCCAAGGAGCAACGAGATCTTGTCGACCTTATCGCAAGCGGTCGCAATGTCTTCTACACGGGCTCAGCAGGTTGCGGCAAATCCACCGTCTTGAAAGCCGCTGTCGAGCTACTGCGGGCCTTGGGACTCGTCGTTGAAGTTGTCGCGCCAACCGGTCGGGCAGCGCTTCAAGTGAACGGCACATCAACATGGTCCTATATGGGCTGGACGCCTGATGCAAACAAAAAGACCCTTGAAGAGCTCAAGCAACAACTGCCTGGCAAGCATGTTCGCAAACGTATAAGGAAAACTGATGTGCTCGTCATCGATGAGATCAGCATGGTGGAGAATCATCATCTGGAGCGCATGAACGCTTGCATGAAACATATCAGGTCGTTTGGCAATAGAGGAAATGTGCCTGCTTTTGGAGGAGTTCAGGTAATCCTGACCGGCGACTTTTGCCAGTTGCCCCCGGTGAAGCCGTTCCAACACTGTATGATATGCGGGCAGAAGATGATACACGACGACGACGAAATGGAGTTGAACTGCCCTGACAACCACGGCCCGTTCCTAGAGACGGATAAATGGGCCTTCAAGAGTACCGCCTGGGAAGAGGCCAACTTTGTTCACGTACACTTGAAAGAGATCCATCGCCAGAACGACGAGTACTTCATTAAGATGCTCCAGAAATGTCGACTTGGAATCCCGTTTTCACTAGGTGAGATGACAACCCTGAAGGACCATCCCTGCAGAGTCAACAAGGCCACGCGACTGCTCTGCACAAGACGAGAGGTCTCTGCGACCAACTCGGAGTATTTCAACAAATTAAAGACACAGATCCATCCGTTCAAGTGTCTGGACGACTTCATATGGAAGGATAAAACGAACCCATCGCTCAAATTCAACAGCCAACGTTCAAGCGATGGAACATTGGCAGCCTGCAAGGATCACCGGTTAGAGCCTGAGGTCGAACTACGAATAGGTATGCTTGTCATCCTTCAGGTGAATCTTGACCTACGGAAACAATTGTGCAACGGAAGCCAGGGTATCATCTGTGGTTTTGAGGAGTTCGATCCTGCAAAGCTCCCCAAGGCCAAAAGCAAAAACGACGACTTGCCACCAAATCAAACCATAAATGGCGAACATGCGGAGCTCCGGGAGAGCCAGATAGCCAGATTTATCCAAAAACAGAAGATAAAAGTCTGGCCACGGGTGCTCTTCCACAATGGTCAGAAGCGGACCATCTACGCGACTTGCATCGTCAACACTGTTGGGTCCCGAGAGCCCTATTCCCTTTTGCATCGAACGCAGATTCCTCTTACGGCCGGATGGGCTATGAGCGTTCACAAGAGCCAGGGCATGACATTGGACCGCGTCATTGTTAACTTGTCGAATGCGTTTGAAGAAGGACAAGTCTATGTCGCGTTGTCTCGGGCGACAAGCCTTGACGGCCTCAAGATTGAGGGTAGCTCGGAAGCGTTGTCATTTGCAACTGGTGGGAACGAAGAGGTGCGAGCTTTTTTGAAGGACAAGTTTGGTGATGAACTATTTCCGGATCATTGCGGATCTGAATCATCTGATAGCGACACGGAGGAATGCCTCATTAGAGATGAAGACCTCATCGAGGAGGAGATGGAGAGTTGGGCTCAGGCATCGTCTCAGTCACAACTCACAAGCCGGCCATGATTGTAGCGATTAATTCTAAGTACTTCGCGCTCGAGTGGCACAACTGGAAACAAACCCTTGGATGAGTGTATCGGATATTGATACTGGAAAGTTCAGTCTTGATGTGATGGGTTTAGTGCAAGGCTTCGGCAATGACTGACTTGTTGAGGCCGGTATCTTCGGATCCCAAATTGTTCGCAATGTTAGATGTGCTCGAATAGATCATCGCCATCAACGTTTTGAAGATGCCAGACCTCGCCTCGGCCCTGATCCTGTTCCACCAACCACATCGCGTGAACCTCGATGGTGAGCATACTCGGAGTGTATTCTTGGAAATCCTCTGTTGCATTCGGGGTCAATCATGCTTTTCGGGATCATCCTGAACATCAGGATCATCAAGAGGGTCAGCTAGAGCATGCTAAGGATCAGGATCATCAGGACGGTCAGCTAGATCCCTGGATCTGCGGGGATATTATACAAAGGGTGAAAGACGACAAGACAATGATCAAGCAGGGACCTACCGGCCGTCCTTTTGTCTTCTCCCAAGAAGCTTACTCAACCTGCCTGAAATCGGACTGGGCTAGATCTCCTTCACATAGCCCACCTCAACAACCCTCTCCATCGCCAACCTCAGGTTCGCAATCTTCGCGCGCGTATTATCCCTGAACCAAAGAAACGTCCCTAGCACAATCTTCCTCGGGATACTCGTGCCCTTCCGGATCCGCATTTGCCCCTTTCCCACAACATACAGCACCTTCTGGGCATACGCACGATCCAGCCTCGCCAGCTCCGCCGCGACCCTCTCATCCCTGAGCTCCGGTGGCCCCTGTGTCTCTCCCATGGAATCCGATGCCGTGGTGGTCGCTGGCTCGCTCGCGGCCACGGCCTTGGCAGCGGCCTGGCGCACGACGAACTTGCGCACCTCCTGGTAGATCAGCACGCCCAAATCCGGGCTGACGACCTCGTCCATGAACCCTTGGCGAACAACGAGGCGGTAGCAACCGGGGATGCTCGGAAAGCGGGAGATGTGGTAGCGCTCTTCGTCGGGAACGGATGGAGTCTCGACGTGGTGGAGGTGAAAGAATACCGAGATACAGGGAAGAGCGGTGAGTTTGGATGCAAATTGGGTGAAGACGCTCGGCGTAAGAACGCCCGTTTTATCGAAGAAGATACCGAAGCCATTGACGGGAGCGAGTACATCGCCCCCGAAACGACGCGTCAGCGCCAAATTGCCCTCGTCGTTCTTCATAACAAGAGTGCTGGGCTTGAAACGGTCCTCGGCTTCAGCACGCCACTGGTTCTCCTTGCCAAACCTCCACAGCAAGAACATGGCCGCCATGAGTGCCGAAACGAGCAGCGTGAACCACGCGCCATCGGGCACTTTGTTGAGGGCCGAAGTGAGATACAAACCGTCGAGGGTGGCAAAGAACAGGGCCGGAAAGACCACGACCCATATCGGAAGTCGCCAGACGAGGATCGCAACCAGCGTGACCATGAGTGTGTCGAAGAAGGTGACAAAGATGACGCATACGCCATAAGCATGGCCCAAGCTGGTAGTGTTGTTGTACACGGCTGTGACGAGGATGGTTCCGAGCATGAGCAGCCAGTTGAGGAAGGGAACGTAGACCTGGCCATGGAACTTGTCTGAGGTGTGGACCACATTCATTTGGGGACAATACGAAAGCTTCATGATTTGGCTGGACAGCTGAGGGGTCGTTAGCATGCCATTGCAATAATTCCAAGACAAATGCCAAGTTAGGCTCTCACCTGGAACGTTGCTGTAATAATGGCCTGTGAAGCAACAATGGCGGCCAAGATAGCAAGAATCAAGCTCGGGTAGAGCATTCCGGGAGGAACTGTGTTGTAGAAGGGGTTAGAATACTTCTCTGGCATAACGGCAATGTGGGCAGCCTGTCCACTATAGGCAAGCAGTAGGCACGGGTATGTCCACATGAGCCAGCTCAGTTGCACTGCGCGCATGCTGAATGCGCCCAGATCGGCGAAGAGGGCCTCGACACCAGTAAAGGCGAGCAGGACGCCGCCCAGCATCTTCCATCCCTCAGTCTTGTGCTCAGCGAAGAAGTGGATGGCAAAGGACGGGCTGAAGGCCTTGAGGACGGTCCAGTCGTATTTGACGAGATTATAAACGCCAAAGGCGCCGTTGAAGCCAAGCCAGAGGATAATGATAGGCGCAAAAAAAGAGGCGAGCATAGTCGTCCCTAGGGGTTGGATGAAGAAGAGCAGAACGAGAATGCCGCAGGTGGTGCCGACGATGGTCGATGTGTTGATATCGGGCTTGACGACCGCCAGGCCTTGGATTGCACCGAGTACCGATTGGGCCGGGGTGAGAACGCCGTCGGCTATGACCATGGAGACGGCCAAAACGCCAATGGTTTTCAAGAAACCACGAGTGAACTTGCTGTTCTCTATAACGGTACGGACGCCGCGAGTAGAAGGGCGGACATCCTGGGTGTCGTGGCGCTCCATCCGAATCGTGGCTTCCTCACGAGGGTCTCTGTTGGTGATGTTTGCCTTGAAGATTGTTATTTGGGAATTGTTCGTGCTCGGTAGGGGGACGTACGTATCTGGTGAGGAGAGAGTAACAGCTGAATGTGCCACCCTCGCCCTCGTTGTCGGCGCGAAGGACGATGAAGATGTATTTGGCGGTGACCATGAGCGTAAGCGACCAAATAATGAGCGAGAGCACTTGGATGATGTCATGCTTCGCCGGAGGGGCCGAGAATGTCGACGAGTACACGTAGAGAGGGCTACCGGACTGTGAGTATGGTCTCTCGGCGTCGCAGAATGCAGGCCAACGGTTGAGGTGCGCACCTTGTTCCAATGTCGCCATAAATGACACCAATAGACTGATATGCTAGCCTGCAGGGCATAAGTCAGAGACCTAGTAGCGCAGCACAGCAATGGTATCGGTACAGACCAGAGCAGCGTCTTGCCGCCGAAGACCTGCTTCTTCCTTCCATCGTCTCGACGCCAATCGTCGCCCTCCTCAACATCCGCGTTGGATTCGTGGGTGCGAGAGCGCGAGATGCTGCGGCGATCGGTGACAACGCGGGATAGGTTGCGGCCATAGTAGATGCCACCAGCAATACCGGTGCTGGGGCCTATATCAGGTCGCTGCCATGCCGATTGCTCGTCCAAGGTAGAACCGGACCTGATCTTTTCGAGGTTATCTTCGATCGTAATCTGGGGGGCGGCCATGCCAGGCGGGGAAAGATGGGAGATAAAGACAACCGGCACAAACTTCGCCGTCGCGAGAAGCTTCCAAGACTGACAATGGAAGGGGCGGAACCGGAGGAGATCAGCAGGAGAGGGAGGTATCAGAGTGAAGGAATGGCTCAGACGGGAGAGGTGGCCGAGGAGGGGCACACTCTTATGTTCCAGACTCGGACGGGGTGGCGATGCCCCGCCCCAAACTTCACAACGCTTTTGGAGCGGATAGATGGGAGATGGAAAGTGGCTAGTGGGAGTCCGAGAGAATTGAGCGGTCAAGGTAGCGTAGCATGGAAGCAAGCTGTAGCCTCTACCGGCTATGACTTACAGTAGTCTAGAGCTTATCTAGGACCAGACCAGCCCCAGTAGACCTCGAGAGATGGCCCCCGTGCGGCAAGCCGGCACGTCCATTCGAACTTGCGTCATGCGAAGGAGGGAACATTGCGGCTAGCCATTCGTGGTGACGACAGCCGCAGCCATCTTGTCCCTTGCATGCCGCTCCGCTCGGGGCAAAGGCAGCTTGAGGCAGAGAGAGGAGGGTGGCTGGCTGAAGAGAGAAGAGAGAGGAGAGAAGAGAATAGTAGATTAGGGGGCATGGATGACAGGATTGGAAGGCGTCGGCCGCTGAGGGATGGGAGCTGCGGGCGTCGGGATGCAGGAGGAGAGGAGTCAGGATGCGCCTTTTCCCCATGGAATTTGGCGCATCTTAGCGGGTGTCATCCAGACCCTCGGGTGGAGGCTGGAGGACTGTTAGGCATCTATCTGCTAGCGCTTCTAATTATACGAAGAGGCGACATCCCTCCAGCAGCCCTTCAGCTCAATGAGAAGGCCATTCTCCACAGCCTCAGACTCTAACGCGACGTATGAAGAAGAAAATGTCGAGACGTTTGCACATGTTTAAATGCAAGCAATATGGCAAGGGTTCTGGCCCAGGGAAATGCCATGCCATGGGTATAGAGTGTGACGGTACAAGGGGACGGACGAATACGACTTGGGAAAAATGATTATCCAAATGGGGAGAAATAGATTCCTAAAGACAAGAAATCAACGAGGAAGTGGAGGGAAAATATTGACACAATCACATATACAGGGTTTGCTACATAGTGTCAGATGATGGAGGAATAGCCACGACAATCATTTGCATTTCCATTTGCACGTTGATACTTGGACTTTTAGACTGGGATGGTACAATAAAAAGATTCCTTCGAAGCCTTTAGGCTGCTGATGCCCCTTTAATGTAACACTTGGCTAACCTAAGTCGTTTGAATACTCCGCGTATTCTTCTATATCCAAGTTGTTGTCATGTGTGCGTCTCTGGACCATCACACCGTCGGATGGTCGTCGATATGGACAGCTCTCTGTACATCGGTGACATACTTGCGCATCTTTCGGGCGGGTACGCGCTTCTCATACATTTCGTCCATTTCAGCGGAATTACGCTGCGCAGGCTCGGGCACATAGAAATAAACGATAACGATGGTCACTAATCCAGTGCCAAAGAAAAGCCATGCTGTTTTATAACTCCAGTTGGCGCCATCGGTGTCCACTAGTTCAATAAATCAGTTCTTATCCATCTCTTCAGACCAGTGACGCTAGCTTACACATGAGAGGGACTGTGGTATTGAAGGTGAGACCAAAAATAACCGAAGTGGCTGCTGCGACGCCGGCGGTACGAGCACGGAGCTTTTGCGATGCTACTTCACCGACGAAAGCCCATCCGATGCTGCCAACTGGACGGGTAATTGTCAATTATGGTAAGACGAAAAAAGGATATCATCAGTGAATGACGTACGAGCTTTGTTGAAGAAGGCCCAAACACAGGCAGTGAAGATGAGAAGGTTCAGAATCGGCGTCGTCTTGTTCACAAACCCGAGGATACCAACCACCATCATGGCCAACGAGCAACCAATGGCGGAGGTAAATGTAGCCAGCCTGCGCCCAGCTTTGTCCGAGACGAGAATTAATGCCAATGCGGCAACAAGTTGAATGATACCTGCAAGAGTATCAGGTCAGCCATGCCCAAGGATGGTTGGGGGGAGCAGATGCTTACTTAAGATAGTGGTAATGAGGAACGCATTTTTGAAACCGCTTTGCTTGAAGAACAAGCTGGCGTAGGTGTTCAAGAAAGCAAGACCGGTCAGTTGTTGAGTGCAGGCCGGGAGAGCGGCGCCGAGAGTCCTCCGCGCGTTGGACCCCTTAAAGCAAGCCACATAGGTTCGGGCGATATCGGCGAAAGTCTTGCTATCCGGTCCATATTCCTCTCGCATGCGTCGTTCCTCCAGGATCGTGTTTTTGACGATAGCATACTCTGCCTCGACGTCATAATCCAGCACTCCGCCGTTGACACGCCTCAGTGTCTTCCTTCCCGGCTCGTCTTGATCCCTCTCCGCGTAGTATGCTGTGGAGCACAGTCAATCTCGCGGTAAATAACGAATGGAAGGAATTCAGTGTCATTCTTACCAGGGGTCTCTGGAAGCCAGATGAATATTGGTAGCATTATACCCAGGAAGCCCCACTGAGTCAGGATGGGAGTTTTATAGTCCAGAGGGTCGGTGGCTTGCATGATGGTGAGAATCATGGGAGCCAAGAAGTTCCCGATTGTGTTCCAGAACCCGTAGGCAAGTACCATTGCGCCTCGGATATTGACAGGGGACCATTCGGTGATGTAGACGGGCAATGTTGCCTGTAGTGCTCCTATCCCGGCCCCAGCCAACAGCTTGGCTCCAGCCCAGTCCTTCCAGTCACGAACGGCGGTCTCGATGGCGACAGACTAGATAGGATGTTAGCATCCCAGTTTCCTGGGAATTTATGTCCTCTCGGAAAACTTACTGCAGCGAGGAGCACCCAGAGGAAATACAGTGTCTGCTTGCGCCCGATTCTGTCCGAAACGGGATTCAGCGAGAGCATGCCGATGATCTGGCCCAGGGATTGCAGGGCACCCCAGAGAGCAGTGTATTGAGCTTTGAGCGCATAGACTCCTTCGACATTCTGGAAGCCGACATGGTTGATAAAACCTTGGTTGGCGATGATATTCCCTAACAAATTGTTATCCCTGTTCAGGCCGCTCGTTCAAGTCTGTCAGTCTGCTAAGAGCTCACCATTGAGGCTGATTTGGAATCCATCGCAAGCAGCGGCGATACATAGGAGATTGCAAACAAGGACAGCCTGCAACAGCGTAAGCTCTTGTAACCCACGGGGAACCCCGGCAGAGGTATTCATTTCATTACCTTTCGGAATCTCCATGCCGAAGCTCGCAGGCCGAGTTTGTCGTGACCCGACTTGAGGGCAATGTGCTCGTGGTTCTCGACGCAGCCCAGGGAATTGTTGGCCTTGACGTCTATGTCATCGTTCAGTTTGGGGTCCGACATTGTGACAGCTAGGGTGCTGGAAGCAATGAGGGGGCTGCTGGGAGAAGTTGAAGTCTTTCAGATAGATGATAAGCAAAGCAAAGCTGGGTTGCGCTTTTGGATTGGACGCAAACGCTGCCTCAAGACGATGTCTCGGATGGAGGAAGCCATCAAGTCTTTAAATCGTTCTTCCGGAGACTGGGAGCAGCTGAGGTTCCAGACCATTAGGATACATGCCCCACACAATTTCCCGCGTCTCCAGACATTTGCATTACCCCGACTTTGCCCCAGGAAGTGGCTGTGACTTGTGGCACGTCGTCCACCCTGTTCTGAGCTGTCTAGTCTGTGGTAGAGGGAATTACGAACCTGTTCATGACTCTTAGCTGAACGTGTGGCGTGGGTAGCGTGATCCACATCTCCAGGCCAGCGAATTGTTTAGACCAAACCACTTTGACGTAGACCCCGCAAAGTCCCCGGAGCTACCATTCCCCTAACTTACCTAGTAGATACTACAAGCTTGCATCGGGAAAACTGTGGGTTTGTTGGCCCCGCAGTTGTCCCGTTTGCTGGGTGTTGTGATTCACAGGTCAGGAGATTCCAGCTTCGCCACCTTGATTCAACCCACAGTTTCTCCATCATCAGTTCATCCACACCCTCCTCCGAATATTCTGTAAGGCATCTTCCCTCGCTAGGGGTGGCATAGACAATGCCCGGCAGTCATGCATGCGATCACTGCAAGAGACGCAAAGTAAAATGCAACGGGGCGGATCCCTGTTCCCAATGCAGCCGCTCCGGCATTCCTTGCGAGCGTCGAACTATCCTTCGAAGACGCGGTCCACGGGTAGCAAAGCGACCCGCGAATGCTGAGAGCCTTCCGCAAGGGCCCCGCTGTATTGACAACCCAGAGCATAGCGTGTCTCGCGATGATCCTTTGCTGTCTGTGTCCGTGTCGGACCATGGGCTCGAGGGGCAAGTTGCCGCCGTCCACGGCTCTCCAAGGATGAGCATGAGCTCCACTGATTCGTTCATTCATTCCCTCGCCCATTCACCTTGCTCCGTTGAAGTCACATCGGAGAGCCTCGTCCGGAGCGAGTTTCTCCATGTCAGAAGACGCCTTGTCTCCCAATTCAACTCATTACAGGCTCTTTCAGGGAATATTGAGGAAACGGCACATGAATGTGTCGACTTGTTCATGCAATTCCTATTTCCCAACACCCCGATCGCCCACGAACCGACACTCAGAGCCAGCATCCCTCTTCTCTCTGTAGACACAACCCCTGAACCAGCGCCTACAGAGAACCTCAATCCCAACGAGCCTCCGCTCATACCATCTTTGAGGCGCTTCACGCTCATAACGGCACTCTGCGCTCATATCATTTCGGTCGTTCCCGAGAGCCTCTCCCGGAAACCAAAATCGGTATCCGGTATATTCTTTGAGGCTTCCAAGTCAATGTTGAGGGCTTATGAAGCTTGTGACCTCGAGCATCCCGATTCAACTTCTCTTACCATTCGAATGTGGCATTCCTCCTACGCGCAGAACACCACTGGCAAGGTCGGCGCGTCGTGGCACTACCACACAGAGGCCTGCTGCCTTGCACAAAGACTGCGATTATTCGACGAGGCTTCTATTGCCCACCCTTCCCTGCTCGAGTCGCAGCTTCTTCGAGTCAACTTCTGGCATCTGTACCTAGCCGAAAAAACTCAAGTGGCCTTTCGGAGTCGACCGCCCATCATTGATGAGAGAATATGTGATGGCGGCATCACCCTTCTCGATAAAGGAAATGAGCTGGTCCCATTTCTCGATCCATCCCGAAAAGTGAACCAAGCCGACCTCGAATCTCGCATCTTCTTCGGATTCCACCTCCGACGGAGGATGTCGGCAACGGCGGCCCGCCTTATAGACGATATTGCCAGTTTTCCACGACACATCGAGACCAACTCACTACGTGCGAAACAGCTGGATGGGGGCGGTCAGGAGATGAGTACCCTGATTGAAAGATACCTGAAGTTTACAGCCCTGGTAAATGAAGTGCCATCTTGGGTACGGCACCCAGACAGAGACGAAGATCCGAAGGTCGACGAGCAAGGTCGACGAGCAAGTTCGGACATACCAAGCGACCTGCTTCTGGGCGCAGCGGATCAATATAATAACAATATTTTACTGTATGAGGCTGCTAATCTTACAATCGTGTATTGACCACGGCCTCCCAGCGGTTGTTGGACTCAGTGAGAGCCCGCTTTCTTGGGCGAGTCGAAAACTTGAGATCATTCGGGACTTCCTAGACGACCTACAGGGCACGCCATTCATCTGCTTAGAGGCTCAAGGAGAGACAGCGGTTGGTGGTAGTCGTCTCCTAACGATTGTCCAGTAAAGCTAATACATCTTGGCAGGTGGATAAAGTTAGACGCGTCGGCGCAATATTGCTCGAACTTCTTCACAACTCAGATAACGCGACCATTAAGACCCAGGCGGACGTTCTCTTCAAAGGTTTACTAGATATTCTCTCCAGACTGGATTCCAAAGCTAGTGATGGGCTGTAACTTTTCTGGTCTCTAGTCCGCAGAGATCTTTGGGCAGAAGAATCTTACCACGCTTGACTCCAGAGGACCAGTTCGAACGTTCTCCAACTTCTTTGTATTGTTTTGTCCTGGATAGCCCGAATCACCGTCGACAAGGACTTATGTGTTGGGGCTCAAATTCATGGGGAGAGATTTCGAGCACTATGTGGAGCAAAAGGTAGAGGGCGAAAGGTGTAAAATTCGGCACCCAGTGGGGCGTTATAGGTGCCCACAGGTACCTAAAGATAAGCTCACTAGGTACCTAGTGATTAGCAAAATTACCCTATAGCTCAATTTAAATCACTCGAGACTATCCATAAGTAATAAAATATTGTTTGTATTTTAAAAAGATAGATATATAAACAATCGAAAATTATAAACAATCGAAAATTATAAACAATCGAAAATTATAAACAATCGAAAATTATAAACAATCGAAAATTATAAACAATCGAAAATTATAAACAATCGAAAATTATAAATAAAAAAATTAAATTAAATTATATTGTCTACTAGTTTTTCTCTTAAGCAAGAGAGCTCTTTAATGCCCGGATGAGGTCCCCCAACATAGATTTCACGGGGTTATATCCGTAGCAAAAACATCCCTTGAACTCGGAAGATAATTTCTAACCAGGCGAAAAGTGCCAATTCAAAGCGGATCTGGGGTCCGCAGTCATCGAATTACTTGGCAAGCTTCGCGGACCACCTGCTCACAAGCAAGGATCATCCATCCTCCGTCCAGTAGGTATGGTCAGCAGGTTCCATGCACATGGAAGGCTGGAACTGGTTCCGCGAATACGCGATTTCAATGTCCAAGCCCTCGCCGTCGGTCTCGGTTTGAAGGTCCCACAGTTTTCCCGTGTGACGACCTGAACCATCGGACTGACTCGCTCTCAACTTTCCCGAGGAACCGAGTCGGGGTTTCTGTGGAGCACCCGGCGGTAGATTGATTCCAGGTACGATGGGCCGGCCGCGACCACCTAAGAACCAGACTCATTCATCATTGTGTCCCTAGAGACGTATTTAAAGAAATGCCTTGCACAGCGCCAACCATGCGGCAGCCTACGCTCGAAAGCAGAGGTTCATACCAACCATACCTCGGTCCTTCATTAGTGGCCTTGTGACCAGACACTATCAAGTCCCCTGTTTTCTTATTTTCCAGTCATTGTCTTGACGGCCGCACTCATCATGGGAGAACATCTTCCACCATGTACGGAAGGCATCTCAATTGCTGAGCTCAAAGCTGAACACTATCAAGAGGGGTTCGGGATATTCCACCCTACGCCTAGGCTTTCATGGCGCTTTTCCGCGACAACCGTTCCGGACTGGAAGCAATCAGCTTACGAGATTGTCATCAAACGGCCCGGAAGAAAGGAGTCTTACCAAGTCGAGTCAGGCGAGTCTTCACTTGTGCCGTGGCCATCATCGGCGTTGGCTTCAAGAGAAGCCGTACACGTCAGTGTGCGAGCTACTGGTACGAACGGAGTGAAGAGCGACTGGGTCGAGCTTACGCTGGAGGCTGCGCTGCTGAACCGAGACGACTGGAAGGCGGAGTTGGTAGGCGGCCCACCTCAAGAAGTCGACAAGCCTAAGCCACCATTTCGCATGAGGAAGACCTTCATATACAACACGGGTTCTGCCCGTTTATATGCCACTGCTCATGGTATCTACCAAGTGGAAATAAACGGCCAGGTGGTTGGCGACCAAGTGCTTTCTCCCGGGTGGCAGTCATATCGACATCGTCTACACTACCAGACGTATGACGTGACTGGTTTATTGCATCCGGGACGCAATACAATCGGGGTGTATCTGGGCGAAGGCTGGTTTGCCGGCAGGCTCGGACGACCAGGAGTCTCCAACATCTGGGGAGACCGGTTAGGATTCCTCGGCCAGCTTGAGGTGAACCGCCAAGTTATTTGCCGAACTGACCACAGCTGGGAACTTCTTGCCGACGGACCTGTCCTGAGCTCCGAGATTTACAACGGCGAAGTGTATGACAGCAGGCAACATGATCCATCTTGGTCTACCCCCGAGGCAATCTCTGGTGAATCTTATATCGCCTCCACGGTGGAGGTCCTGCCGTTTCCAGAGGCTGAATTGATAGCACCCCAAACGCCCCCTGTCCGGCGCATCATGGAGCTCAAGCCGCAAGAAATCATCATCACGCCAAGCGGAAAGAGAGTCCTGGATTTTGGGCAAAACTTGGCTGGCTGGCTGAGAGTAAATGTCGACATTCCTGGAGCGGGAACCGTCATTATTCGACATGCGGAGGTCATGGAACATGGCGAGCTAGGAACAAGGCCACTGAGAACGGCCAAGGCACACGCTGTAATACATCTAGGTGGCCAAACTCGTGGATATGAACCAAAGTTCACATTCTACGGTTTCAGGTGAGTTTATCCCGTGTTGCTTTTTGGCCTCTCTTATAGTTATCTACAGATATGCGGAGGTAACAGGGTACGATGCCTGCAGTCTCTCCGACTTCACTGCAGTTGTGGTTTCTTCAGACCTTCGTAGGACTGGAACATTCGAATGTTCCCATGATCTGCTTAACAAGCTTCATGCGAACACGATATGGTCAATGCGAGGGAATTTTGTTTCTGTTCCTACTGATTGCCCACAGCGCGACGAGCGGCTGGGGTGGACAGGGGACATTCAGGTTTTCACACCCACCGCGAGTTTTCTGTATGATACCGCGGCATTCATCGGAGGCTGGCTCCAAGACGTCCAGGTCGACCAGAAAGACTTGGGAGGCGTCGTGCCAAACATTGTTCCCTGCATTCCTATGCCCCCAAAGCACAATGAAAAGCAGGCCATGGCCGCTTGGGGTGACACTGTGATCCTCACGCCATGGGATGTCTACCAGTTTTTCGGAGACGAACAGCATTTACGGAGGCAATGGGACAGCATGAGACAGTGGCTCGACAATGGGATCCCTCGGGACGAAAGGGGATTCTACTCGACTGAAACCCCTCAATTCGGCGACTGGCTTGATCCCCGATCTCCGCCTGCTCTGCCTGGACACGCATCCACTGACCCGTACTTGGTCGCCAACGCCTACTTGGTTCACGTCACCAAAATTGCTTCTGAGGTCGCTGATCGGCTAGGTGAGGTGGAAGATGCGCGGCGTTACCGAGACGACGCCCAGAGACTACGCAAGCTGTTCCGGGACGAGTATATTTCGCCTAGGGGCCGACTTTCATCAGACACGCAGACGGGGTACGTTCTGGCTCTCCAATTCAACCTTCTGGACAGCAATGTAGAGATACAGACTGCGCAGTCTAGGCTTGATTGGTTGACCAGGTGGGAAGCCTTCAAGATCAACACCGGGTTTGTGGGCACACCGTATATCCTGCCTGCCTTGGCCAAGATCGACAAGATGAGCACAGCGTATAGGATGCTCCAAGAGCGCGACTGTCCTAGCTGGCTGTATCCCGTCACGATGGGCGCAACCACGATTGCAAGTGCCCCTTTTGAGGCACTCCGCCCATGATCGTTTGCTGACCATGTTATGCAGTGGGAACGATGGAACTCAATGCTCCCCGACGGGTCCATTAATCCTGGCCAAATGACGTCTTTCAACCACTATGCGCTGGGCGCTGTGTGTCATTTCCTTCACGCCTACGTCGCTGGCTTGTCTTCGGCCTCACCTGGTTGGAAGTCTGCCATCATCCACCCGCGGCCCGGTGGTACAATTCGCTGGGCTCGGGCCACGTACGACTCGCCCATGGGGCCGTACAGCGTGTCTTGGAAGTGTGAAGCCAATGCCATGAAGACGATTGTATCAGTTCCGCCGAACGCTGAAGCACGCGTAGTCCTTCCCGGAATCGACGTTGTTGTTGGCAGCGGGGAGTATTCCTATGAAACGGAGTGGCACGACGATCCGACATGGCCACCACAGATAATTCAGGGTGTGCAGGGAGTCCCTGTAGAGGCAACGTATGTTCCTTGAGAGATGACACCAGAAATACAGGATCTCGTTCGAGTTGTGTACTAAAAAACTTTGCCAGCGCTTCCATAAGGGGCGGCGTACCAGACACAGCTGTGAGACGTGGATGGTGAATAATAAATCGAAAGTGAAGACACCCTACCTATCCTAAAAATTGTGTGCCGTTTTTGAAGACGAAAGAGTGTGATGGTGGTTGAGGGTAGCGATGCATGGGCGGTGAGTTTACTTCCCCTAGAGTTGCAAAACCATACTTACGCATCTGATTGAGAACACATTCAACATCAAATTTAAGTTTTATTACCCCAAAAGTCTCAAATTGCATTAGACATGGGCCCAGCCATTCTCGATGAGGACCTGCATCTCGTTGATCACGCATATCGATCCTTCCTCCTTGTGGCCAGGATTCTGCTTCTCCCACGCGGACTGAAGACTTCGGACCCTCCACTCCTTGAACCACGGTGTCGTAAACCACCTCGCTAGCCTATTATTCCACTGGCCAGTGAAGATCTGGGTGTAAGTGAGCCACGATCCGGTAGGATTGACTTGGTCGTAAGCGAGGCGGTTATACCCAACCCGGACATTGGGGTTCAAGTATACCCCACGTATCGCCGATGAAGGGTTGTCGGTATGGACCAGGCAACATTCAGAGCCTTCGAGGTGTTGAGCAGCGAGTTTGTCATCAAGACCTCTGAAGGCAATCGCATTCTCGCCTACGAATGATGTTGCGGGCATAAAGACTTTAAGCCACGGTCGTTAGCTTTTGAGTGAAGCACAAGAAATAAAAAACGGAAAACGTACCCATACCGTTCCAGCAGCTAGTAACAGGAACAGGCTCGCTGCGTTTCATAGCCGCTCGGGACGTAGAGGACCGAAAGTACGGCCACATCTGCGATGCATATTCATTTCCACTGGCGTCTCTAAGCGCAAACGTATCATAGAACGAGGGCGGCTTGCTAAAATCCAGTGAACACGCCGCAGCATATTCACCTTTGTTTGTGTTAAGTAGCGTCAGCACATCGGCGACCTAGAGACCATCAGCTCTGCTCAGCGAGTTCGCAAGACAATGCGGACCTCGTAGAGCAAGGTACGGATTGATGAGGGAATCGAAACAGGCAGGAGAATTACATACCGTGAAAACGACGTCATTAAGAAACAAGACGTAGTCAAAAGTAGTCCCGTGCTGTGCCATGTCTCTCAGAGGTTGTAGTGAAATATTTCGTAACCGGGCAAGATATGGAATCCTGCGAAGTTCTATTTGTCCTCGCGGAGTTTTGATCCAACCATTTCCTGGTTCAAGAGGCGGCGATGCAATATCATCAGCGTGTGTTGTCTTGTCCAGTGTGATGTTGCGTGATGCTCCCACGGCATTCAGTGCGTTATCGAGTTCCCGAAGGGCAGCCTTAGAACCATCCCTGCTGCCATTTTCATAAACGCTCACAAATACATTGCTAGGGCCAAGAGCCAGCACCAGATCCAGAAGGGCCTTGTTCCAGGAGTCACGGAAAATCCCCTCGTTGTTCCAGTGCAGACTTGCAATATAGACCCGAACGGGGCTCGAGGGCTTCACCTGCACTCGGTGGTCCTTATCAGCAACATAGAGACGATGATGAATAAAAAGAATATCGCAAAAGTTCCAAACGACGAAGGCGATGATGAGGAATCGCCATGCAGAGAGACATCGCAAAGCGGCTGATCGGAGGGGGAGAACAAGACGACTAGGCAATCGCCACAACATGTCGAACGCTACCCAGCTGGAAGATACGGTCGGTCAGGAAACTTGTCGTACGAAAGGTATATCGATATTCAAGCTGAGTTTAGGTCAAACCTGGGTGGTGGAAGGAAAGAAAGTGCGGCTGAGATGGCAATCCGGACAGATGTCGGCTGCATATTGGGCTGAGGAAATAGATGCTTGGCAACGCCATGTTACGTCGGCCTGAAACAAGCCAATGGGTGCTGGGTGCCCAGGGCTTAAGGCACCTTCAATGTAAATTACGTATCATAGAATCGACCTGGACAGGAAGTGAAGCTGATTACTCTTTGATCGATGAATTCTTGGACTTGGATGGCGGTATACCCAAAGACTCGATGAAATCCCCAAGGTCTCAATCGTCAGGCTGAAGGATAATTGTGGATTACTCAAAGACATCAGTTCTGGGAGAACGCCACTGTAATTTCAATTACCCTGACTCTGTATGTCAGCTGCGCACGCCACTTGCACATTCATTGCATAGCCATTGGTGGCCGACATCTCAAGCCCCAGGGGTGTGTTACATTTTGCTTTTGGGAGAAACGAGTGCGGGTTGTCTTTAACAAGAAGTTCCGCGGACAGCAGGCGCCTGTTGATGACTCGGAATACAGCAAGGAAAGGCGCAGCAATTACTGGCAAGGGAAGGGTTGAAATGGACCCAGACTCTAATGACGACAGAGGATTTTAAGTGTTATAGTCAATGGATATGTATATGACCTGAACTCGCAGTCCTCTCCACTCGCAGTTCCTCACAAGAGCAGCCTATTCGAGGGCACTGTCTTGAAAGAGTAAGTCATTTGTTATTTAAATTACTGACTACTTTGTCATAGAAATTCGATACCACTGCCATAGTGAGCTTTGAGTCTCACAAGACGAACCCAGTGCATTTGGGTGGTTGTCAGCTTTCTGCGCCCCAAGCCACAACACTCCGTATTTGCGCCATCACCTATGCAGCTTTGCTTTGTCGAGGCTTGGCTGAAACTCCGGCAGTACCTAAAGAGTAAAGCCGCTCATCCTACTCACCTGAGCTGAACGGTGTCCCCCACGCGCTGAACACACTATCCACTTGGGCGCTACTTAAAAATAGCAAAAGGCAGCAAATCCCAACGAGACAGCGCGTGAAACCGGCAAATCAAGGCCATCTCTCATAGCCTGGCCAACCCGTGAGGCCTAGTTATGGCCTCGAGGCATGCAATAGGAGCTCGTAGATGAGTTTCTGGTGGCTGAACATGTGCATTTTCAATTTCCTTCCTCCCCAAGCTATTGTCGGCGGTAGAGGTGAGCGGTTTAACTCGGCTGAGAGAAGTTCTACTTTCCAAGCAGCGCATAAAAAGGCAGAGCCTCCCCGTGTTTGAAATGAAGCTCACTAACCATTCACTCCATACCACATCTAACTTGTTTCCAATTTCATCATGGTCCCAGGGGCTGCTCGCTATACCTCTCTACCTGCTGGGGAAGCACCCATGGTGCCTCTTCAAGCTGTTCCTCCCTCAGAGCAGCTGTACGGTGCCACTCCTACATCTGATGAGGGAGTGCGACTCGAACCAGCGTCTCCAGATGATAGGCGTACTCATCGAGAACGTGACGAGGCTTCTAGCTCCACATCCCCTCCGGAGGAGGGTGTTTTGTATGTTGCACCTAATCTTCTTGCAGCTGAGAACCGTCTCCTATCACCTAAGACCTCAGACTAACGGCTCGCAGGGATTCATCCTCGGATTCCACCGCTGCTTCGGACGATGCTACGTCCAATACAAAAGCAGGCATCCGCCATAAGCTTAAATGCACCTTCTGGGCAGCCTGCAGCGGCCTCAAGATCCCACTGTTTTACCACATCTGTTCCAGAAAGCTCAATTGGTCCGCCATCGACATAAAGACAGACATCGCCATCCAGGAAAAAAGTCAGCTGAAGGTCAGCGCGTTTTTACCCAACATAGTACACGTCGTGGCCTTCCTTACAGCCTTCGCCCTGATCCTTCTCAACGCCTCATCCCTCTATCTCGGGGGTGACATGCCAGGCACGATTGATAGAGACTCGGAGAAATTGTTCGGCTTGCTGTTTGCGGCCAAGATACATGAGCTGTTGATGCTCGCCTCCGTAGGATCTATTCTCGGCGCGTACATCCGTATGGAGCTGAGCCGCGACAACTCTACTGGACTTCCTTTTGGTGCTCTCTTCTCCCCCTTTCAGTTCCAAAACCTCTCCTTTCTCTTCTCTTCGGAAATGGCCGGTGTCTACTTCCACGATTGGAAAAAGACTCGGCGCCAGGCTCTCTTCATCGGTCTGGTCGTCGCATGCTGTATTCTCGGCGTGTCTGTTGGGCCCTCCTCAGCAACGCTGATGCGCCCGCGTCTTGACACTTGGGCCGCTGGAGGCACAACATTCTGGGTGAATATCACAGAGGACGAACTCTACCCTAAGGCCATTGCCAACTCTGCAGGCCTTTCAAGTTGCCTCGTCGACTCTGGGGACTTGTCGTGCCCTGTGGGGAACTGGCAAATCTTGGACCAGGCCTTCTTTTCGTATTGGCCACAGCTGAAGATGCAAAGCCCTGAGCATGGCCCCGAGAGTATGCCAGGCTACATGATAGTTCAGAGTCGATATTCTGGGCGGGATTTCCGGATCAAATCCAGTGGCCGCATGATTTGGGCTGCTAAGAATACTCTTGCGTCCGTTCCTCTGTCCCCGCTTGCCGACGCTGTTGCCGAGTTGGGCCGCCTCTGGTCCATTGCCGCTGCATCGGCTTCCGACATAAAGTACAAGTATCGTCAGGAAGCCTACTTCACGCTCGAAGCTCTCCAACCAGTCGTGATGACCAGATGCCAATCAAACGGGTTTCCTGTCCTCGATAGCATGTCAGACTCAGAGCCGTACAACCAGACTATCTCTGAGGATTCTGCGGGGATTGACCCTATACCCGCCATCGCTTGGCTCGATGACAAACCGCTCATGGACAGATTGAATAGTTCGGTAGCTGCAGTAGTTACCATCCCTGGGAGTGGAGAATTGTCGCCATCTACCCAATTCTGCAGCATTAAGGCTGTCTTCGCCCCTTCGAGTTACCAGGCGAAGTGGAGCAGGCAGAAGGTTGTCACCGGTTGGCCCAGCGGTATTGAGGATGAGGATTTCTTAGACTCCAGCTTTCAAGCAATTACAGTCGACGCGTCATGGGCTCGCTATCTCAACCCGAGAATCTCAGGAACAAACAACACCGTCTTGGCCAGCATATTGAGATCCGCGGGACTTTGGAGCGCAGGGACTCCGTCTCAGGGGTGGGACGGAGAAATTGTAGAAAGCGTCCTAGCCGCACTCATAGCCAACGGTATATCCCGGGCGCAATACAACGCAACATTCGGCCTGGAGCTACTCAAAGCGAAGTGGACAGAGGAGATGGTATCTCAGAAGTCAAGAATCTGGGCCGCCAATGATACCAACCTGGGCCATGTATTCAACAATCCGGAAGACCCGGGCAGACGAACGAAGCTCAAGTTCTATGCCACTGTCCACGGATATTCTTACAACTTGGTTGGAAAGGCGCAGCTGTTGACAGTGGTGATACTCATCCTGTACATGTGTCTTGTTATCAGCCACCTTGGGGTATTTATGGCCACAGGCCGGTCATGGGCTGGCTGGAACTCGCTACCTGAGGCAATTGCAGTCATTGCGTATAGAATGCCAGGCAACACACTAGGACAAGTTCTTAGGCAGGTTGGAGGTAAGGATGGATTACTTGAGGGGTATTGTGAGTTGGTAAAGTGGTAGTAGCTATTATTAAAGAAGGATATATAAGTAATAGTAAGCTTTAAATAGTGCTCAATTTTTGAATCTATTGAATTTTCGTTGTGCATGTCACAGTTGCCAACATGGTTCTGACGATCAGTCTACAGAAGAGCCAAAAGAAAAAAGCTGATACTCACCGAGGATAGATTGCGGCTCGAAGAAGTTGAAACCCTTGAGGGCAGTAATTCAAGAGACGTTTGGTATGCCCCTGACTCTTAGCCAGCTGTGCTGGACAAGTACTCTTGGAGAGATGGCAGAAATGAGCCCAGTGTTGACAAGAGCCACTGTTTTGCTATCTCAGCTGACGAGAGCAAGCTACTTCTCAAATCGACCAAGGTTGTCAGCTCCCAGGGCTCTCGCGAGACTTTGTCTGAGCCTTTCAAGTTTCAACATTTAACAAGTTCTGCTCCAAGGTCTTGTCGACTTGATCATCCACGCTGGATCAAACGGACACTGCCTGAGCAGCCATCACTCCGTCCCTGTGCCCAACACACAATCGACTGCCTCATGTGCAGATGACCGCCGTGTCGTCTAATCGCGTTACACTTTTGCCCGGGAAGAATGAGTACACAGAAAGTCCATAGCCGGGCTTATATCGAGTGGACAGCACTGGGGGCTCCGTAAGCATGAAGTGGTTGAGTCAAGCGATTCTAGAGGTTGGGATGGAAATAATAGGTTTGAACGTTCATGTTCGTCGCCCATGTGCAAGCGTAGGGGATATGGCACTAAGGTGCGATAGGCTCAACGCCCTGATCTGGTACTCTGTTCTTTTAAAAGCAGTCCCGCGCATCCCCAACCTCGAGGGTTGCTTTGACTTTAAGCACGTGGACGAGATTGCAGCGGTAATTGTCACTGAAACTGGTCATCAACCGAGAGGCCACTGATCAAACCGTATCCGCCATCACTCTAGCAGACCCAAGGTTCCCGTAGAAGCGTTGAGAGGATATCTACAAAAACCTCATGGGGACTTATGAGAGTACCGGTGTTGTTGCTCCATCATAATGGCCCCGTCTGCGTCATGCCGTTCCATGATATCGGCCCATCATCTGTTCCAGACCCAAGAATCATCTCCGTTACATCCCAATCCCGCGCCAAATCAGGCGTGAAAAACATATCAAGTTTCTGACTCAACCCTTCCATCCCCGCAGCACCTACGATCAGGTCTTCAATTACCTGCAACACGTCACTCGTTGAAGAGGAATTTGCTTTCGATGGCTCTACAGGTACGTGTCCCTCTGGAATCTCCTTTCTTGCCATGCGAAAAATCGAGAGAGGGTGGAGGTCAGAGTCCGCGGCTCTTTGGGGGGTTTCGGCATCTCTGTTCGGGAACGCTAGGTACGGATCGTCCAAGATGACGTTGGGCAGCGGAAGAATGTGGTTGGAGTCGACCCCAAGCTTCTGGAGCATGCTTTCCGCTCCGCGAGACTGTCGCCATCGTGGTTAGTACGTTGTAGGCCACATAGCAGGAAACTTACTAGACCCTCAGCCATGGCATTGGTAGCCCGCATGGTCTTTAACGCTTTCAGGTTGCTCTGCAGATAAGCGATGCTACTCAGCACGAGATCCCGCTTGTTCACGGCGACAGGATCGGTGACTTGAGTCAAGTAAAAGAGCATAACGCGATTGCTCTCGTACGCCATGGTAGGAAACCAGGGGTCCCCGATCATCCTAGGACTATGCTGCTCCGCCTCGGCAATAATAGCGCCCAGCGTGCGCGCCTCCTTGAACAAGGCGTATTGCAAATGTCTCTGGAAGTCCGACATTTCCGGAGGGAAGTGAAAGGCAGACCGGAGCTTGAACAGTTCAGGCGTCCCGATGCGGTAGAAGTCTAGCATGGTCTGGTGGTAAGTGCAGTGAAAGAGGCACAGGGCGCCCAGCTGCGATGACTCTTTTCGCAAGTAGATTGTTGAAGCCGTATACTGAAGATTGGCCGGGAGAGTAGCGTACCAGGCTTGCAGCTCTCGGTCCAGCTGTGCAAACTCGGAGTCTAGTAGCCACGGCAGCTTGGCTTGGTCCAGGTGCTTGATGTACCATAGCACTCGCCTTCGTATTTCCAACAGCTGGATGAGATAACCTAGCATGCCCATATTGCTATTGAGATCGGCAGGGATCTTGTCGGGAGGCGCAAAATCCAAAGGCAAACCAGTGAGGGTTCTCGTGATGGATGGCTGCCGATGGAGGAAATTCCGGTTGTTGCAAGGCAGCTGAATCTTGATGTCCTTCTCAAATATCAGCGTCAGCTGCTCGACGCCATTGCTGCACAAGACATCTGTGACATAGCAACTCCACATGAGCCGTCGTCTGCACTCGCGAGCCGTTACAGACAACGAAGCAGTGGCGGCCTCGTCGAACAGGTCAGACGAATACTCGAGGTTGATTTGTAGCGCCTGAGTCATCCGGGCCATGAGCGCACTCAACACAAAGGCCTGCGTGAAGTTGCCCATGCGGAGAGCATAGTCATGAAGGAGTTGGGTCGTCTACATTGGTAAGCGAGCTGCCACAAAGGGAGTAGTCATAGTCACCATCAAGCCATCGATGGAAATCTGATTGGTATTTCCAAGAATCAAGCGCTCTGCTATGGCGGCCCATTGAGAGCCAGCCTTAAGGATAAAGGATGCGGGAAGTTGCTGGACCGTATCGCTGTACTCGAGGGCAAAGAATCTAGACATTGTCAATGGCTTCACCAGCACCAATGGGGCATATCATACTGGGCTCCTAGTGTACACATGATATGTAACAGTGCATCGCTTCGTACGTCAGAGCCCACCTCAGCGAGTTTCTGTAGAAAAGACGGCTTGTGGATGAAGGAGAAACATCGAAGTGGATGTATGTTTTGAAAGTAGCTATCAACCAATATTCTGGTATGCTTCCCATCCGGTAAGTCAGGTGAGCTGAGCCTTGTAGGTTGTCAGTAGTGGACGTTATGTAACAACGTAGGTACAATACCAGTGGAGCTGTGTAATCGCCGGTTCAGGCGCAGGAGTCAGACAAGCCTCTTCATCTATATCAGTCGTCTGCATTGGCGCTGCTGCGACAACGCCTTGCCCTCTCGGATCACTCGGTAGAAGTTGTCTCGGTGAGTTCCCAGGTCCGTCTTGGTAAGAACAAAGCAGGCTCTTCTCGCGACATCGATCGCAGGAGGATTGGCCGACGACCTTTCGAGAGCATTTACACCTTGCAATCCGACAGCCGCTGCATGATTTGGGATTCCTCCTCCCAACCGCTACCCTCCTTTGGCCGGCACTTGGATATGCACACTCCAGGTGCAGGCCTTCACAGTTGTTGCAGACAGGTTGACCCTCGTCACATTTAACCTATAGAACCCTGAGCTAATGTTACCTATATTTGTGATTAGACAGTCATCGTAGTACCTTTCGCGCTTTGCAGGTGTTGCAACCTCGATGGATTCACGGTTAGGCGGGTCATGAAATGAAGTCGCGATTGTCAGTCGACTTACCAAGCCGCGAACGCTTCTTCGGCTGCCAATCGGGGTTTTGCTGAGCTAAAGACATTCCGTTCCAATTCTGAGGTTGTGTGTGAAGCAACGTTGTTTGTGGAAGAAGTTGCCCATGTTAGGTTTTACGTCAATTGTTTGACTTAGATTGCGGGGTCAGTTCACATTAGCTAAGCACGAATGACGCGTTTGGCATGGAGCGGGAGTTCGGAGATGTCAACGGGTTGGGCAAATACTCGTTGCATAGAACCGAGAAGAACCAAGAGCTAGTTCTAGGAAGGACAAATGCCGACACCCAATATGACATGGAAACGGCTTAAAAAGGTAGTTATACTAGATCGTGTCTGACAACTAACTGGAGGAACAGTAGAAAAGCTAGTCTCAAATACCAACACAGTTTACATCCGAATCGGAGCTGAGAAGAGTGATAGAGTTACAATAGATCATCACTCGGCATCAAGCGGGCATTTCGGCGGCGTGTCATCGACCTGGATACCACCGCGCTTCTTCTCCAGCATATCTGGAAACGGCAACTTCCAGCCTCCTTCGTCCATGGGCACCGACAGCCAAAGCCTCATCAAATGCCTCTGCGGTCTCAGTTCCCCCTTTTCGTCTTTGCTGCCCGGCGCATAATCCCTGTACGCTGTGCGGGCGTGGAAGACATGCTGGTTGCTGACAAACTGAATGTCTCCGGGGTCCAGGATCATGTGCAACGCTTCTCGCTTGCACGTCTCCTCGAGGACCTTCATGGCGTGCAGCTGTGCTTCGGAGAGAGGCGGGAGCTGCGCGTCGGGGCCCGTGTTGAACCGCCAGAGAGACGTCACGTTGTTCGGATCAAACTTACCGTACAGCCTCGGCGTTCCCTCGGGGTCATTCTCGAGGTAGAAGACAGCCGTCTTCATCCAAGGCTTCTGGCCTGCCGACATCTCGCCCTTGCGATCCGCATACCAGACAGGCTCGCAGAACAGCCTGGCCACTTCGGGATGCTCTCGCTGCAGGCAGTTGAAGACGCGATGCTGCGAGCAGATATCCGACTCGCCGCCCTCCATCGACTTGGCCATGCAGAGCAGCCCGACGATGTCGCCAGAGTCGGTGTGGAAGAACTGCCTCGCGTTGGTCCGATAAATGCGGACGCGGTCTGTCTGCGTAGGGTCCTCGCCGAGGTCCTTGACGTGGCCCAGGACGTGTCCGCGGCTGTTCTGGCTCACAAAGTAGCCCAGGTGCGTGCCCAGACCCATGTATGCGGTGGCCGACTTTTGCAGGCCCCATTGCTGGACGGGCAGGTTCTTGAAGAGCCAGAAGCCTTGGCCGTCGACGAGCTTTTTGCGGAGGTCTTGCAATAGAGCTGCCAGCTTCGGTAATTTGAAGCGATCCTGAATGGTTAGTGGAATGTGTCAGGCATTTCCTGCGTGAACTTACTTTTGTGATGGCCGTCAGAGGCAGCCCAGACTTGGTAAAGGCATCCGCCGCCGCTTCAATCTCGGTGACCTCATATTCTGTAAAAGCATGCGTCCACTTCTCCGGGTTGTTGACGTATTCATGTGGCTGCCATGCCGTAGGTCCGGTGATGTTTTTGGGGAACTTGTCGTAGGGTTGGATAGCAGAGTAGACGGGCTCATGTTGGCCAGACGTCTTGTAGCCGTCCGGAAAGATGTTCTTGTTCACCCGACCGGTCTCGGAAGACAGGTGCTGGATTTCAACAAGCCCTGGAGCCATAACAGCGGTTGTGAGATACGACTCGAGGATAATTGACGAGATTGTTATGAACACTAGAGGAAGCTTTGGGTCTGCCGGGACAGACACTCGCAACCTGGCTGCGCGACATGGTCATATTTATGGTCCTCACATCCTCCATCACAGTCTTCCACCCTCTCCGCCATTGCCGATGGCGTGATTGAAAAGCATCATCTTCGTGCGACATCATTGTTGATTCATCCCAGTATCTAGCTATAAGAGTCGCTGTCGGTTGGATCGGCTGGATCGGCCGGCAGATGAACCAACAGGACTGCAGGCTCGGCTGGATCGGCTGGATGCTGGATGCCAGACTCATTCCGTCATCATGAGCCAATCGGCATATTGGATTTATCTTGTAGGGGTGTGTGTGCACGGGCGACTGCGTGATGTGCACGGGCCAGAAAAGTGGTAATTCGATGAATTACGTGCACGACTGCGTACAGTAGATTCATCGAGCTCGAACTCCGTTTGTCGAAGGGGGAAAACTTTTTGGCTTCCTGGCTGGCGGGGCGTTTGCGGCGATGATCCCCGGCGGTGCTGTTGTTACTGCTGTTGCCACCGGATTGGCCCCTGTCGCTGGTGCTCAATTTGGCGCCAATTCTGCAGAGTCAGCTGCGAATGCCATCGAGGAAGATAGAGTGGACAACTCGGAAGCTCTAAAGCTTGCCCGCGATATTTGGGATAATTGGTAGCAAAGCTTCGCTAAGCTCGAACCGCGATCAATCGCCGACGTCATCAATCTGCTAGATCGACTGCATACACACTCGGAGATTACAGCAACCGGAGACAGCAAAGAGCAGTACACAGAGAAGCAGCGCGCCGAAGAAGAGTCCGTCACTATAATGCTCAATATGCTGCGCCAGTATATATATAGCCGCACACCATTGCGCAAGGCGCTGCGTCAGGCAATTAAAGCGTTTGGGGAGTCTCGTCCGCAAAAGACCATTTAGCAACGCGTCCTTATATTAGTATCGGACGGGCATTCTACAGATGGCAACCCGGTTGAGCTTGCTAAAGAACTGACACAAGTAGATGATAGAAAAGAGAATATCACCTTAGCCGTTATACATCTTACTGCTAACTTAACGATACCTCGCCGTCGTCTTTACGATTGCGAAGCTAAAGACTGGGATAAAGGTCAGCGTATGCTCTTTAAAATAGCCAGCAGGGTGGCAGGCGATATACATCCAGTCCCAGTGTTAGCTTCGATAGGCTGGAAAATTCCTTTATCTGGCGAGTTCGCGCTGCGGCGCTGGACGAGTTCTATTCGCTGCTACTGTCTGCTCGCTTCGGATCGGCCGATACTCTGTTAGACCTCGTCGGCCGCACCAATCTCGACGCCTATATTAACAATAAGCAAGTACTCATACACAATAACCCCACTAACCAAAAGAACTCGGCGACTTGCTATGCCCATACCACTGCTGCGGTACTACACATAGCGCTTCTCCGTGTAGCCGGCCGTAGTAGTAGCCATCCTAGTATTAAAGATTTCCAAGATATAATCGAGAAGAAGTTTCCACCGAGACGTAGTAGGTAGGCTATTAAAGAGATACTAAAGAATATAACCAGTCCACTCAGGTACCGCCTACTCCGCTTTTATGAGGTTAATATAAGAGGTGCGCAGCAGGCAGTACTGCGCCGGCGCCCTATACTAATAACATTCCACCTCTCAAAATTAGATTAGAAGTGCTTTGGTCAATACTTCGGGACTGAAGCTACCGCTAGGTCAGTGCTTATACGCCAGGATATGGCGGCGCATCGCTCGGCGGCCCCGGGCGGTAGTCATGCCGTTGTCTTGATCGGCTGCAGTCCCTGTTCGCTCACTTTCCTTAACTCGTGGGGCCACGGCTGGGGTAACGGAGGCAAGTTTAGCGTTAAGGACGACAGAACACTAGAGTCAGATGGCGCGCCTAGTAGATGTAGCGAGAATGATATATAAGTTTCTGCGGGATGAGGGATCAGGGGTGAGTGCGTGAGCCGGGGGCTTCACCGGGCAATAAGGACGGTCCGAGACCGGTGGGTAGACGGCGAGGATGCCGGACGCGGAAAGTCAGCGCTGTCTAGACCGGAAAGAGACGCTAAATTGAAACACGGGTCGAAGCCGCCGCTGCCGCTCTGGGTTCCTTGTGTTCACTTTGGGGTTGATATTGAAGTTATATAAATAATGCTTGCCTTCTCAGTTCTGCACGTGCTAGTTCTGGTCTAAAGCCATATTGCGCTTCGGGTCTGAAGGCATTCCTTCGTGATCTGACCTCATCCTGTCTTTCACCGAGTAAGCTTCTTCGCCTTTCCACGATACACCTGCCGCTCCTTTACCTTCCTTCTTGACTTCGTCTGAATTCGCTCCACGCCGTGGCTTTTCGACTGCGATGTAACGAACAGTGGTGCTATCATTGAAGGCGTTGAAGTTCCCAGACGTCTCCGTGAACTTCACTTGGATAATCAACAGCACTTTAGACGTCTTGAGAAGCACAACAAGCCTTGTGGGTGAATTGGCACTCAACCAACAGAGCGGCGATGAAGCGCTAGCGACTGGGGAGACTGAGAGTGATATGGATGGAGAAGGTGGCGGTAGGTTTACTGGGGACGATGGCCACGAGGATTATGCCGAGACGAGGGAAGCATGAAAACTCGACGTTGTCCGTGGGATGAGGATGTTGAGGAAGTTCTGAGGAAGCTGAAGAATGTGGATGGGTTGTCAGATTTCCAGATCGCCAAGCAGTTAGATCGAACACAATCGGCTATTAAACAACACTGGTGCATTATGTGCAAGGAGGAGAGAAAAACGAGACAGTAGTAGGAGAAAACATCGAGGGAGAACAGGTGAGTCGTGTCTCTTAACGCAGTTCATAGGCGAGTAAAACACCTAACCACACCTTCCCCCCCCCCAAATATTAAGATAAAACAACAACACATAAAACCAATTAAAATCAATCACTACCCTCTTTTTGGGACATTTCTACATCAGCTTGGCAAGTGCGCGCATTATGGCCTCGTCCCCTGCATGTGCCACATCGCCGTTCCCTCGTCTCCGTCCGCCTCCGCCGACCACCACTTTGCTGTATTTCCTGATGTACCTGCTCAGCTATTTCCCTCTGATCTTGCAGCTCTTCTCCCTCAGCTACTGTTATGCTCCTTGAAAGCCGGAGACGAGTTTTCTTTGCCCTACACCTCTTGCTAAGTGTCCCATTTGCCGCTCGAAGATCCTTGTTCTCAGCCTTCAATGATGCCATCTGGTGCATTATTCCTCGCGCTCCCTTTGCGAATTGATCCATAGCAGCTAAAATTGATGTCAGAGAGCTACCTTGATGACGTCTGATCCGAGTTTTAATTGAATCAGTCTACGAAGTTCCTTCGATTGGGCTGTTTGGGGTCTTCTGAACCCAGATGTTGGGCCGCTCCCAAATCACCTTCAACGATGGCTTGCGCGCCATAACACCGCTCAACCGCAACCGATGGAGCCTCAACATGGAAGCCGTGGCAGACTGGGCCCGGTCTAACAAGAGACATATCTCTATCTTCGTCTCGACCCACACCTGGCGGAGTGGAACCCTATCTCGGAATGAGATTGCCCAGACTATCGAACAAGGAGACGATTCCAACTGCAAGGTCCCTGGTATCTTTTCCATGCCCAGGGGATACCTGTGGTTATCAACCAAAATATATATACCGGCTTGAAGATAGTGAATGGGGCTGAGTTCACCGCTGCAGACGTCATCCCCGATCCGAAATCCCCAGGCTACCATCTTGCAGGTGACGTCACCATCCCCTTTGGCCCGCCACTGGGTATATTATTACAGTCACGAGAGACAAAGGATTTAGCCGTCCCAGCCCTCCCAACGGGGACAGTGCTCGTCCGGCCTGTCTCACACACCCTCAATCCAGCCAACTCCCACTTTAGGACGCCAATCCTACAGACAAGTCAAGATTGATAATCTTGGAAATAAGAAGGACGCCGTTTAAGTTATCTATCGAGTACCAGCTGGTTTAGCTATTTTACCTGATAACTTTTTATTACATAAATTCGGCAATATATATATTACTTTCCACCCCAATCTATTATATAAGATTACTCCAGATAGAAAATAAGTTATTTTTATTAATAGTATATTTACCGGGCCGACTAATACAGTCTTCTATAAGAATAGTTAAAGCCTATATATTATTACTAGCAGGCAGGGAGTAGAGGGAGATATAGGTAGATAGGTTATTAAAGTTACTCTATAAGAGGAAGTTATTTACTTAAGAATTTAAGTAATTTATTTTAATTTACTAGTTAGTATTTTATACTACTATAAAATAAGAATTAGAAAATAAGAAACTTAATATAGTAGTTAATTTATAATTAGTTTAGTATTTATTAACTTATAATATATTTAGTTTTTTTATAATCTTACTTAATATTATTAAATAAATTAAAGTTATATAATAATTTTAAATAGTAGAAATAAATAATAAAAACTATATTTAATATTAAAAGAAATAGTAGCTAAATAATAAGATTATTACCTATTAATTTCTATTTAAAACTTTTATTTAATCTCTTTAATTTTAATTTTATTATTTATAATTAATAACCTTAAAATAATAATCTTATTTTAAATAAAAAATATAAAAAAGATATCTTTTATTATTAAAAAGCTAATTTCTTTTTTAATATTTATTTTTTATTTTATAATAACTAACTTTAAATATAATAAATTTTATTTAAAAAGCTCTTACTACTAATAACCTATTATATTTATATTATATAAATAATATTTAATATAATCTTAAATTTTTAAAAAAATTAAAAAAATTAATTAAAAAAATAAAAATTAAATTTTTTTTTAAATTTTTTTAAAAAATAAATCTATTTAAATTATTATTATACTATTTATAATATTTAAATAAAAAATAATAAATTATATTAGCTATTTTTAAATATTATTTACTTTTTTATAATAAAAATAAAAATAATAAATAAAAAAATAAAAATTTTAATAGTAATTTTATTTTATATATTTAAATAAAAATAGCTATATTTTATAACTTAGTAAAAAATATTAATAATACCAATTTAAGAAGTTAAGTCTTCCTCTAGAATATCGCCGGAGCCCAATATAACCCCTGGTTTCAAGAGCTATTATATTATATTGGGTTGGTATAGATACTAGCTACATAGGGTGCTAGAGAGGGGGGATTTGAATAAAAACAGGTTATTATCGGCGTTGGGGATCTCGGGGCGTTAGGTCGGGTTGTGGGAGTTTTTAGTGTATTTATTAAGGTTAGACTGGGTTGAAAAAGTTAGATAGGATTCTAGTAGAGAAGAAAAAAGCAGCTTGAAATCTAAAATTTGGGCCTTGGCAACTATAATATGTGCGTAATGAAAATACAGTAAATTCAAATACTAGGTTCCCTTATTAAGGGTAACTTATAGTATATATTTACTAACTTAACTAAAATATATAATAGTAAATATCTAGATACTATAATCTAATATTTTACTTTTTCTTATATTATACTCTTGTAACTATAAGCTACCTAGCTATTAGAATAATAAATAAGAATACCTATACTAACTATAAGTAAAGCTTAGCTTGAATATACTTTGCGGATAATTCTACTAGAAGACTGAACTTTTTTTTCTACTTTACTATATCTTATAAATATAACTTTTAAATAGTTAAAGTTAATAATATATTTACTTTAAGCCTTAACTATATCAGAAGGGGTAATATTATAGACAAGGACGCCCGATTAGCTTTACAAATACTGCAATAATAAGTAGTCTGCCCAGGCGTATTAGTAGACGGCAACAAAAGCCCCTGAGACTTCAGTTAGATTTGCTTATTTTTTTCTTCCTCTTTCTTCTTCTTGGCCGCCTCAGGTTTCTTCGTCTTATTAGTCGTGCTTGGGGCTGCACTCGCTGCTCTAGTCGCGGCAGTCTCCGTCGATTCTTTGCGACTTATCTTTCCTAGCGACTCTTTTGCGGCAGTCATCCCCTCCGAGAGTGCCGTTTTGCCCCGCTTCTTCGAGTCCTTGGTGAGGCTTTGCATTTGGGAGGATGAGATTCTTCTGACCAATCCCTCTTGAGTCCCCATAGCCATTGGGACTCCCATACATGAACCTGAGTCACCCGACCTTTCCAACGCTGCCCAATCTGGCCGCAGAACCAAGCCCTATTGCCGAGATTCCAAGCCACCCAGCGACCAAACTCGTCTGCAGAAACCAAAGCCGCCGCTGACATTGACGAAGCGCGCAGTTGGAACACGGGATGGTCTTCTTGCGGCACATTGGCAGTCCGCAAAGCAGCTGTCGCCGGTCATTGAAACCAGCGAGGCCGCTCGTCAAAATCGGGTGAACGACGACTCATCGTCCCCTCGCAAACTTGAAATGAATGAAAATGCTGAGGTGACTGGTGGTACCCTTGCGGGTCTGGTGGAATACCTCACTTCTCGGCGATGCGCTTCTGACACAGCGTTTCAGTACGCCTTCTATCTCACGTTCCGGCAGTTTTGCAAGCCTCGAGAACTAGCCCAACAGTTGATTGAGCGTTTCGAAGGTGCAAAAGACTCTGATTCGGCCAAAGGAATCCAGTTGAGGGTGTCGGATGCGTTCCAGCACTGGCTCGAAGCGCATTGGCGCCGCGAAACCGGCCAAGAAGCCCTGCCCATGATAAAATCCTTCATCCTAAAACGCTTGTGGTCAACCGACTTAGCAGCGTGTCGAAATTTGACGCAGCTGACCGAACACCTCCCGGATCGGGCTTCGAGGGAGCCGTGGCCAAGCCCTGCCAAGCTTGCCTCGGCCGATGAGGGCTCGTCAAAGATGATGGGACACCGGGCTCAGCTGAGTGACGCCATCAAGAACCAGTGGGGCATGTTGAGAACACTGAGAAGCAGTAGGGACTCGTCCAGTCGCCTCAGCTTTGGGTGCATTGCCTTTGCTCAACAGTTGAACCTCCAACAGGCTGCTCTCTTCCGCCGTATCCCCCCGCAAGAACTTGTAGGCTGTGCGTGGATGCGTGAACATGGCGATGCGGCGCCAAACACCAGGGCCATGGTGTCTTTCACCAACCAACTTGCGAATCTTGTCGTGGGAACCATCCTCGACCACCAGACAGCCAGAAAACGAGCAGCTGCCATCGAGCACTGGATCAGCATTGCCCAGGAATCCTCCAACCTTCGCAACTACGATGGACTGACGGCTCTTCTCTCGGGCATAGGCCACAGTGCTATTGTTCGACTGCGCCGGACGTGGAGTCTCGTGTCGCCAAAGCGGGAGAGCACTCTGCGAACCTTGCAGATGCTCATCAATCCTTCCCATAATCACAAATCGCTCCGCACATTGTTGAATACCCATGACGCTCCTTGCCTACCGTTTCTGGGCTTGTATCTCACTGACCTAGCCTTTGTGGACATGGCCTCCTATCCTTTGATGAAAAAGCCCTTGGATCTCGGTAGCAAAGCTGCGCCTGAGCACCGCTTCATCAACTTTACCAAATATTCTCGGACAGCAAAGATCGTGAGGCAACTGCAGCGTTTCCAAATGCCGTGCGAGTTGACAATGTACCCTCGCTTGCAGCAGTGGCTAGCTCTAAAAATATCGCAACTCAGTAGTGAGGACGACCATAAACTATACAATAACTTTTTCAATAAGAGCCTATTGCTAGAGCCGCGGAACACAACGGGATAGTTGCGGCTCACGCACAACTTTCAGAGCACCGAGACGCCAGACTACTTTCCGCCTGAATCACGTACTAGAAGTAATTGATGTGATGATTGTTTCCTAAATTTTTCCTTGCTAAATATATACACCACCTTCGACGGAACACTGGTGACCAGCCTTAACGTCGACTATACTACCTCCAGGTGTCTCAGCATCACTCTTTTTCAGCTGACTAGATTCCAACTCACTGGCCTTATCAACAGCTGCTTTGGCTTGTCCAACTGTTGCAGTGTAACTTATCCCTCGTTTGAATCCGGGATAGATTGAAAAGTTAGACCATCAGCCTTTTGCAGCCCAAAGGTTCACGCCGAGAGCTTTCGTTCCCTCGGAGGCATCAAATGCCAGAACTTGAAGTGGCACTAGGATGGATTCGAAGTCAAGATAGGCCTCTTGAAGAAACGTTGGTGTATGTTCCCCTCTTTTCATACACAGGCGAGTCGAACTTTTGGGCGGTGGTAATAGTATTTCTCTTTCTTTACATTTTTTTATCAAATTAGATAAATATCTAATATTTCATTAGCAAGTACTTTAATATATCTAGTATCTAAAACTTACCTTGATAATTTTCTTTTTGAAAAGCTCTATAAATAATCATATTCACAACTCTCTGTGTCTCAAAGATATATCTAACTCTTATCCAAGACTCCACTCTCCTCAAGCATCCCAACATACTCTCGCGCACACAAAAGTTTGTAATTGATATCAAATTCGAGCACCCATTTCAACAGTTATTCTCTGCTATGTCCCCCCAGCCCGCAACCCTCCAAAGGCATTGGACACCAATCATTCTCACCCCCTTCAAATATGTAGTCCGTAAATTCCCACCATACGGCCGCTATGGCATCAAAGTCGGTGCCTGGTTTCCAACTATTCTTCGCGTGCCAAAGCCATACCATTACGTAGGTTTTATATCGAGGCAGCGGACGTATTGCAGGCGATGTAAAAGTCGGGTGCCGCGACCTTTCAGTGTTAAGGAAGGGGTTTAATTCTACCGCATGCAAGGCTATGTTATGGATTTCACAATCTACATTTTGAGCTTCAACGGCTGGCATCTCATGTGAAACAGTGGAATGTACGGATATTCCCATCTTGTTTAAACCCGTCGCGTCGAACACAGTTGGCCCCAGTGTTAGGAACGATAACTGTTGCAAGCGTGGCAGCCTATCAATTTCGAAGCTGAGAAGAGCCAGGTTGATGTCGCCGGGGATCTCGCACAAGGAAACACGGCAAATGTGCCTGCGGTCGAAGCCGAGGAAGACATCCATATACCCCCTGGTGGCGCCATTCGGATCTGGATTGCGGTCCGACTCGTCGACAAAGACGTCCGGGGCCCAGGGTTCAAAAACAGTGAAGATGTTTGCATCATAGTTGAAGAAGGGCGTGTCGAACTGGAAAGTGCAGTAGGCAAGATAATCGGAATCAACTCTGGAAAAGGCTTGGATTCGGATGTAGCGACGGGGTTGGAAGAAGCGCGGAAACCACACTCCCCGCGCCTCATGGCTGGCGTGGAGAGGCGGAAAGACGGCTTGTTCGCGCGGCTGAACGACATAGCGGAAATTGTAGGCGGGACGGCGTTTTGGTTTAGGCAAACGCTGGAATCGATAGTACCACTCGTCGGCCGAAGGAAGCAGGCCGACGATGCGAGTTGGCAGGGGCACAGACTCCCATACTTTGAGTCTCAACTCTACCCGTAAATACGCAAAGAGAGCGAAGTCGGTTGCAAGAGCCATGGGTGCTATATTCGAGGGAGTGAGTTCCGTCGAATTCAGGTGTTGACAGGTCTGTGTCTGGTGAAGAGGGCGTGTCATATGGTAATCAGCGCGGGCGTATGTACTTCGTACTGACTCCCCGACATGTTCTGGGCTGTCAGGCTGCGTTATTTACGTTTGTTGGTTGTCTGGTTGTTGTGTTGGTCGTGAGCTTCGCGTATCAAAAGTCCCCTACAGCGCATGCCCCCACATCAGGACTGCTTCTGGTATTGAATCTGCATTAACAGCGACATGTCCTTCCAATGACGCACAATTCCACTCCGATTGATTATCTATCGCTGCCATGCCAGACAAGACGCGATTAACTAGGAAGGAGCTGAACTGCCTGTGCCGCATTTCCCGGTGTCAATCTTGTTCGATATCGACCTTGGACGCAACCGGTAGTACACTTGCTGCTCGACAACTCGCTTGGAGGCTGTTAGCTCGCATCTAGAGAAGTGCATAGTGCGTCAGTGTGGAACCGAGGTTTCTCGGCCCCTGGCGAGGTTTCAATGTAAGCGGTAAATAATCCAAGATTCATTGCACGCTAGTTGGCCCAAACTTGGTATTTCATTATTCTTAAACTGGCCTACAGATTTATTAGGGAGTGCCGTCTCCTCTCATTCGTAGGATTTCAGTATTCTCGAATGCTATGAAACCGCAATGCATCAACCAACCTCTCCCGATCCTCGACCTAGAATAACCCGACGCCGCGGTTCCTGTGACTTCTGCCGACAGAAAAAAATACGATGTAGGTTTGTGACACACAAGTGACTAGGGATGCCAAGACTCAATAAAATAGACAATGGAGAACGCCCATGTGGCCAGTGCAAGGTACCTATGTTCGTCCATAGAGAAGGAATTCCACGAAATAATCACCATGGATCTGATACCTAACATGTGTTTGCTCCTTTGTCACAGAGACTCGGGGAATGTTGCGCTTACAGCGGCCCTGGGTCCGAGGCGACGACTCGACATTCGCGATCTGCATCACAACCAGTGTCATTAGCCTCAAGTCGCTACCCACTTTCCATACAGGAGCGTAGCGACGTTGCCAATTCAAATACTAGCGAGTTAGAGCAGATTGATTGGTGCTTTAGTCTCCCGTCAACTCCCGCTGACCTTCTCCTGCCCGACTTTATCCTTTATCCTCCAGGGATTCGACCTGGCGACCAAGGGCGTTGCCCTTGGCTCAGGGGATGATAGCCAGCATGGCTGGTCTGGGGATAATTATCATGTTATTTCCAGGTCTTCTTGGCATTATCCATGACTTAGTAAGCTAACAGTGGCAGGTAACGATTTCATGTTGGAGGCGCTCGTCGATAACACAGCCGAACTCTCTTTCCCATTGGATCCTAACCTCGGTGAGTCGCCGAAAACTCTCATGGCGCCAGTCAGCGCGTCACATGATAAGACTGACCAGCGGCAGAAGGTAAGTCATATCTTGTGAACTGCACATCTACCACGGGACTGAGAATTGATGGTTCACTTTAGAAGACTACTAGCTGGAGGACCAGGTGTTGGCAGGTCCTTTTTCCTGGTGGTCAGACGAATGCGTGGTTAGCTGTAGAGAAATGGCATTATAACCCCAGCGCTACCTATCTCACTGCCCAGCTATCGGAATCTTGCCTGCTCGTATCAGCGCTTCCCCTGCTCCCCAATAGAGACGGGGGCAGGAGATATCGCTTAGGTTGTTACGCCAAAGAGCAGGAGCAGTGGTTAGATTCACGGAGGGAAGAGGAAGAGGGTCAAATTTTGATAAGGCATTGGTTATGGTTTTATGTTTGCTTGCTTACACTTTGATTGCTCAGACAGTGAAATGAATCCGGGAGTATAAAGTGCCAGAGACCCTTGAAGCTAGTTGCTAAGTTGCTTCGTGTGAGTTTTCGACGGCGGGTTGCTTGTCGACTAGAGAATAGAGTGGACCACAGATGATGAGATAAGGCATGTGTAGGGATTATGAGCCTCAGCTAGTTGATTAATGACGGTGGGAAATAAGCAGAGCAGATGAGTAGATCGCGATAAAATGAGACGACAATCGTATTGATGAGGAACTTGAGATAACCTGAGTAAAAGACTAGTTTTTGACGTGTTGTGACTTATTCGTACCGAGAACAGTTTTCAAAGCATAGCATGGATTATGATTTACGACAATGGTTCAAACTCACGCTTAAAATATAAATCAAATAGGAGAATAAGTTATGACACACAATTGAGTTTTATCGTTTAGAAAACCCATCCGTCTCTGCAATACAGCTGAAGTAACCAGTGGTGTAGGGTAAGCGGAGGTGTTGCCGGCCGCGAGAGCATCAAGCTCCGAAGTCGGGTTGGCAAATAGAGCCTGTTAGAGCTGTCAAGAGTGCCACTACTGTTTTTAGTCGTGATAATACTGCTACTATTGCTGAATACCACCCCTGCATATCTTTGAGTCCAGCAGTAAGATACCTCCAGTAACAAGGGAGTGGCGTCAGGTCACATGAGGGGTGTGAGATATTAGCATTGGTGTTAGGGGCAGCTGGTAGGAGCTGGCCTTTCTTACTGCAAAAATCTGGAATGTGTCTGGACTTGACCGTCTTACCCTAAATAACTGCCTGATAGAGGACAGATAGATAATTGATTATTGCAGGGATATGCTTGAGGTAGTTTCCATCACTATTCACTCCTACTCAGGTGACTTCACCCTGGATGATGTAGATTGTAAAGGCCATGTTACCTCTTCTACATAAAGAAGTTTCCGATTGGAACGTCTATAGGGTAGCTCGCTGAATCAGGATGTCACATTTCGGGATCATCCTGAGACACATAATAACCTCATCTCCGGCTTTCCTAGACAACACGATTTTCTTTTCTTTCTCAGACCACATCGCCGGCCTTGTGCGGTGCGGCGGCGACGGACTGCTGCCCCCGGCAGCAGCCGTCTTCATCATGTATAAATGACGGGCTCTGGGCCCGTCCCTCAGCTAGAAATCAAGAACTTTCATCATCATCGTCGTGATCCGATCCATTCGGTGTGACATATGATTGCGGGTTATCCTGTAAGGATGCGGTTGCTATTAAAACCCCCCTTGAATTGATCTCATATGCTGATAGGGATAGTGTAGCTATTAAATTATAGCACTGGTTTACGGATTCCGACAATAATGCTGTCGCTGCTATAGGTGCCAACGAGATTGCATAAGTATTATTACAGTATACAGTCTCTATTCTCACTTTCGACGTGAATTTGCGACTCTGATGAAATATAAAGTGCACACTAATATTTAAAGATAATTAAATTTGTGAGGTTGGTTAGGTACAGTTTTATCTATTATATAATACTATTTTACTACTGTTATTGTTGTGGTTGACTGTTGCTGTGCCGAAATGTCTATTTGGAACCGCACTTGAAATTTCACCCAGTCCCACGCGACCTAGCTATAACCCACCCCTCATTTTCTGAGCTGATCTAGGTATTCTAAATGGCACGTATTCAACCAAGTTTGATAGCTCCTGAACTACACCCGCACGCTGTAAAATACCAACCAAGTGACCGCTCAATATTTCTCATCTTTTGTGGTATCTCGTCTCCTTGTTTCCTATCCATCATACTCAACAGAGCGGCCGCCATCCGCGAACTCTTGTCACACCCCACCAGAATATCCTTCACATCCTGACGTACATCCGCATCGCGGCATTTCCACAGCACGAAAGTCAATGGCCGCATGATTGCGTTGTCCAGAAAAGAGGCCTTCGTGGGTCCCTGGTAATCCTGCTGCAGCTCTCCCGCAGTGTATATTATCTCACGATAGACTTGCCTCACGTCTGGTAGGAGGTTGACATCCCGACGATGATGCACATAGAGATTTGTTAGAGTCTCGAGATAGACTGACTCCAAAATGCAGGCCTGGAGGAGTGAGGAGGGCTCATCTGCTTTCCTCTGCCTTGCGGATTGGAGGAGAGGTGCGAAGTTCTTGTGCCACCTTTGAAGGGATCCGAATGATTCATCCCATGCTGTATTTTCAGGCGCCGTCTTTCTCTGAGCATCAGTGGTGATGCTCTCTTTTGACGAAACATCATGTTGTGAATCCGGCAATGGCGTCGATGAGAATGACTGAACATTGTTGGCTTGCATGCGGTGGAGCACAAAGTTTTGCGTCACGTCTAACCACTTGAGGGCCTTCGCCAGGTCGTGGAAGGACTCCGGCATGTCTAGCATAGAGTGTTGATTTTTGAGGTTATAAGAGGGCCATTCTATGCTATGTTCGACCCGGGATCCAGAAAAGCCCAAGTCGAGAGTCCATGGTTGGGTGGTGAGTCGTTGCAGCATCTCAACCGCAGCTGCCTCGAAGGAGGAGAGAGGTAGCTTGGAAAATGGCAATTTGGTCTCTCTGCATCTCTGTTCGAAGTAGGCATCGAAAATCCGATAAGCATAGTTGAAATGGATAAAGGCGGTGGGCATGTCTCCGCGCAACATGTCGTAGGTGACAAACAGAATAGATACAACAACCACAGTGAGGAGTGCGCTAGTTGACGATTCCGTTTCCCTTACCGCTCGAAGGGCTCGGTTGTAATGCATAAGCGACATTTGATACAGCATCTCATCGGCAGCTGGGTCTGATTCGGGGATGGTAAAGGAGCTGGTGGCAGCGCCAATAGCACAGCAGACCTCACGGACGGCCACATTTTGGTGGGCGATCTGTGGAGTCATGGCCGATAATGTACTGACCGGGATGGTACCGGCTTGTTCGTTGGAGAAGATGAAGACGGAGAACGTGTCCCACTGTTGCTGGTCCTTGAAGAGGTTAAGGACGTAGTTGGGCTCCAGCAAGATGCGGCAATCAGATACAGTGCCGGGAACTAATACAGATGGCAGTGAAATGCCACACGATAACCCTGCCTTGACACATCGTCGACATGAGGGCTTGTCCTCGTCGCATTTGATACGCCGACGTCTGTTTATCGAGGCGTCGCCATGTCAGTCCATGGAGCCGAGACCTTCACACATGGCAGAAGCAACTTGAGTGGGGGTAACCAACCTGCATTGCTTGCAACCTGTCTTCGTCTTCGGAGCCTTGGCCTTTTTATGGCGGACTGGATTCAGGATTAAGAGACCTGCACCTGGAAGCTTGACCTACAATCGGGTGACGCATTGCAGTCAGCGAGAGCCCGCCTCATCCGAGACTCGAGCAGCAAACGTACCTTGGCTCTCAAGCGAGAGACGCCGTCCTGATCCGATGTCATTCTGCAGTTTCTCCGCGGCCACCTCAGTTTGCATCTACAGGCGGGTGTTCAGGGGCTTGTTACTAGATTTGTGTGTCTCGTCAAACCATGGAAGCTTGGGAGTGCGTTATTATGCCATGCACGCACGTCCTTGCGATAAGCAAACCTACAAAAGTCCGAGGACCGTTAGTGGGGTGAGTCCGATCCGACCAATCGCAGCAAGGGCTGTGCGAATTACCTCTTTGGGTCAAATCTGGTGGAGAATCCTAAGTAAGCACTGGTCCAAAAAGAGGCTGATGATCCTTGTGCAATTAGAGTACTCTAATGCATAATGACGAAGGTTGAGATGCCAAACAAGCCGAGATTCGTACAAGATGCACCATTTTCCTGATTTTATTTTGATTCCATGTTCTCAAACTACTCATAATCTACAAGCTCGCTTACATTGCCCCAAATGGCTTCCAAAAACGAAAAGCCAATGGCCTCTGCCTATTGCACCGTCGTCAGACCCAGCAGTTTGTATCCCAAAAACATACTATTTCCCTCGTCTCACACACTAACACACGGCAGACTATCTTGACCGCATGTTCTACATCCAGCACCGCGTAGGTGCCCAGTCGAACATCCTGCTCTCAGCCCACTACGCGCCTACATCTGCGGCCGGCCAGAAGTCTCTACCAAGAGAAGCTGTCTACTCTGCAGTTCGCTCCGCCGTCACAGAATACCCCGAGCTGAGTCTGATCGGGTTGGTGGAACCATTGGACAGCAAGGGCCGCTGTGAACTCCGTCTCGCAGCACTACACGAGATTGATCTGGAAACTTGTGTTGAGTTCCGAGACGGCGACGAGCCCAAAATCACATCGGAAGCTCTTGAACGCCTACACAACGAGTGGGATTGGACCGATAAACAATTCAACCCCCGGCAACCCTGGTGGAAAGTTGTTGTTCTCGGTGGCCAACAGGTCGTCTTTGTCTACCACCACCTCGTCTGCGACGGCCGTTTCAGCCAGATATTCCAACAACAGCTTCTTGTCGGCCTCAACTCATTTGACGAGCATCAGGAGCCACCTTCGAAAATCATCAAGATTGACCCAGACGCTGTGAGATTGGAACCGGAAATGGAGAAATTCTGGATCAGCACCGTATCAGTGTTTCTTGTTCTCCACGTCTTCCTCTCTTCCATCTTGATCCGACTCTTCTTGGGAAGCAGACTTCTCTTCGCCGACGTGCCGCGAGCAAAGCCTCATGGCAAGTCTGTCTTGATTGAGGCTCTCCCTCAGGAACTCACCAAGACGCGCATCGCTACTCTGCGTATATCACCGGCCAAGATGGAGCGCATCATTGCAGCCTGCCGTGAGCGCAAGGCAACATTTGCACCCCTCCTGCTCAGCATGATGCTTTGTACTCTGGCCTGTGACTACTACCCTAAGGCTAAGGTAGGCATTTCGAACTGCGCCCTCGACCTGAGGTCGGTATATCCTCGCGGGGCCGAATCACCGAGATCGGCTCAGTTCCTCCAGCAAGCTGGGGGTCACCGCAAATTCACCTGGCTGGAGCGGTGTCGTCGAATCTTTCATCATCAGGCATTGAGTGAGAACAAAGATGGCAAAGCTGCTGCGCCCAAGGTAGATGTTGATGCAGCCTGGCTTTTGGTTCGAGAGTACCGCGCCGCCTTGGCCAAAGGCTTCGAGACGGACCCATCACCACATGTTCAAACGCTCAAGGCTGGAAACAACGTCTCGACTGACCTCGCGGAAATGAAGAAGTCCTACTTTCCAGTGTTGGGTAGCCATTTGAACAACTCCATTCAGCTCTCCAATCTCGGCGTGTTTACGACAGAGGCCAACAGCGGCCCATGGAAGATAGATGACATGAGCTTCTCAGCTGCTACTGTGAACGGAAACCTTAGTTACAATATCAGTCTAAACGTAGTAGGAGTGGAAGGAGGCGATACGGTGATTAATGCGTCTTATGAGGACGGGATCCTCACTGAAGACAAAGTGTATGGGATATTAGAGGCGACTTTTGAACGGATAGAGGTCATTCTATAGTTATGTTTTTTCCTCAATTAGAAAGATGTAAGGAATAAGGACTGATTATTATATCTTCGATAGAAATAGGGCTATGGAGAGGAGCGAACCTATTAGTGGGGGGTTATACTTTTCGTTTATTATAAGGTAACTGATAATAGCAGCAATGTTATCTCTAGTTAAAGTTCCTTCTATAATAAATTCTATCTTCTAGAGGGGTTCGCTTTAAGTAATACAGTATTATTTAAAATCCTTTTTAGGTAATAATATCTTAAAAGAATTAAGAAAAGTAGTATTATTAGCTAGAGATACTAATTTATTTAATAGTAGCTTAAAATTTATTAATTACAATTAGAAATTTAATTTTAAGTATTAATTTATATTTAATATTTAAAGTAATAAAATTATATAATTTTATTATTTAAATATTAAATAAAAGCTTTTATTTTTAAAATAATTAAATATAAAAAACTTTTATAAAAAAAGAATTTAATAAATTAAGATATTTAAATAAAGTTTATATAAAAATATTAAAGTAATATAATTTTTTTAATTAAAATATAAATTTCTTTATATATTATATTATTTAAAATATTTAAATTAACTTTTAAAAATAGCTTTTTTAAAGTATATTTTTTAATTAAATTTAATATTAAAAATAATAATATTTTTTAGTTTATTAAAATATAAATATAAATTAACTTTTTAATAAAAAAACTCTTTAATAAAAATATCTAGTATTTAAATTTACTATATTTTTATTATATATTTAGTTTTTTTTAGCTTTACTTAATATTATTAAATAAATTAAAGTTATATAGTAATCTTAAATAGTAAAAATAAATAATAAATATTTTATTTAATACTAAAAAATTTTTTTAAATAATTTTATTATTACCTATTAATTTTTATTTAAAGCTTTTATTTAATTTCTTTAACTTAAATTTTATTATTTAGTTTTTTTAGCTTTATTTAATATTATTAAATAAATTAAAGCTATATAATAATTTTAAATAGTAAAAATAAATAATAAGTAGTATATTTAATACTAAAAGAAATAATAGCTAAATAATAAGATTATTACCTATTAATTTCTACTTAAAGCTTTTATTTAATTTTTTTAACTTTAATTTTACTATTTATAGTTAATAACCTTAAAATAATAACCTTATTTTAAGCTATAAAATATAAAAAAACTAATATTTTCTATTATTAAAAAACTAACTTTTTTTTAATATTTATTTTATTATAATTAATTTTTAATATAGTAAATTTTATTTAAATAGCTTTTTTTAAAAATAATTTATTATATCTATATTATAAATTCCAACTTTAATATAATTTTAAATTCTCTTAAAATTTAAAAAATATATTAAAAAATTAAAAATTAAATTTCCTCTTAAATTTCCTTAAAAAAGAAAATTTATTTAAGCTATTACTATAATAAGGTTAACAAAGAGGTACGAAGTAGCCAGGCGAGAGTAAGGTAGTAGTCAATTGAGACAGAGACTAAAGCTTGCCTTGCTTCAGTCTCTAGTCGGCAGGCCGAGATTATATAGATACTACGGCGAAACCCTGAGGGCTGGCCCCGGGCTCGTTGAGGTAGGCCGCGCGGTTGGGTTTTGCAGAGGGCCGCGTGTCTAGGTTAGCATTCTAGTGTACTAAGGCAAGGCAGGGCTAACCCCTTCTTGTACCGGATATGGGTGTGTGACAGGGTGTCGGCTGTGAGGCTCGGTATTCTTGTTATAATTACTATACTATTTATAATATCTAAATAAAAGCTAATAAATTATATTAGCTATTTTTAAATACTATTTACTTTTTAATAATAAAATTAAAATTAATAAATAAGAAAATTAAACTTTTATTTATAATTTTATTTTATATATCTAAATAGAAATAGGTATATTTTATAATTTAGCTAAAATTATTAATAATTTTAATCTAAGAAGTTAAGTTTTTCTTTAGAATATTATTAGAGCTTAATATAACTTTTAGTTTTAAAAGCTATTATATTATATTAAGTTAGTATAAATACTAGCTATATAAAGTGCTAGCTAAAGGGGGGATTTAAATAACTTAAATCTCAGGGTATTAAATTAGGTTATAAGAGTTTTTAGTATAATTATTAAGGTTAGACTAAGTTAAAAAAGTTAGATAGAATTTTAGTAGAGAAGAAAAAAGTAGCTTAAAACTTAAAACTTAAATCTTAGTAATTATAATATATATATAATAAAAATATAGTAAATTTAAATACTAAGTTTCTTTATTAAGAGTTATAATATAAATATAATAAGTTATTTTTAAAAAAAGCTACTTAAGTAAAATTTACTATATTAAAAATTAGTTATAATAAAATAAATATTAAAAAAAAAGTTAATTTCTTAATAATAAAAGATATTAATCTTTTTTATATTTTATTACTTAAAATAAAATTACTATCTTAAAGTTATTAATTATAAATAGTAAGATTATTAATTATAAATAATAAAATTAAAATTAAAAAAGTTAAATAAAAGCTTTAAGTAGTAATTAATAGGTAATAATTTTATTATTTAGCTATTATTTTTTTTAATATTAAGTAAAGTATTTATTATTTATTTTTACTATTTAAAATTATTATATAACTTTAATTTATTTAATAATATTAAGTAAAGCTAAAAAAACCAAATATAAATATTATAAAAAATCTCCTTAATATTATTATATATTAATAAATATATTATAAACTTTTTATTTATTTTAATAATAAAAATATTATTAAAATTAACTTCTATTTTTTTATTAAATTCTATTTTATATAATTATTATTATAATTTTAATTTAAATAAAAACTTTATTAAATTTAACTTTAATTTATATTTCTATTAAGTTAGAATATTTATTAACACTATATTTATAATTACTTAAATAATATTATATTTTTTACTAAATAACTATATTACAAAGTAAGTTAAAGTAAAGCTTTTTATAATTAATTTTATAAGCTAGCTTTTATTAAACTCTATCTATTATAAAACTCTTTACCTATATATAGCTAGTATAATTAACTAGAAGTCCTCAGTTAGAATCCACGCTCCCGGAGGCTGGGAGTTTAAGGCAAACATCCAATCTTATTTTCTTCCTAGCTTAGTAGCTTAGACGACTCGTTCTGGAATACAGGCCGTGCCTTGCCTGGGGGTGGGTCACAGCATCCTGTGGACACTTTCTGGGCAACGGGCGGCAGGCCCTACACCGCGCGTTCTTCCGGAATCACTTCGCCTGGCTAGCCGGAACGACGGTCTACCTCGTCGTCGTCCTGACCGCGATGCAAGTCGGGTTAGCCACCGAGAGTCTTAGAGACAACGACGCTTTCCAGTCTGCATCGTACGGGTTCACCATCTTCTCCATTCTAGGCCCCCTCGTCTGCGCCGGGCTTATCGTCCTGGCATACTTTTATATTTTTGTTCACAACTGGATCGCCACCGTAGCCTATAAAAACATGCGAATTCGACACATTGGCCAACCGGCGGAATGACCTCACGTTGTGGATAGGATTGGACGTGGAAACAGGTCGGCACTCCAGCACGTATCATCGTAATGGCTGTCCCCGGACCGCTTATATCAATACGATGCCCTTTGCTACAATATCAAGTAACTCGAGATCTTCTTGCCTGGCATCTGTTAGACAATTATTACGAGCGTTAGCCGAGTGCGTCTCAAGATACTCGGGCATCCCTTGATGCTCGCCCTCTTCCGCCGGCAAGAGCAATTTCTTGCCTATTTCAAAGTCCTAGCTCTAACCTTCGCTCCGCAAACTGCTTAATCCGCTGGCGACTCATGGTCGTTTCCTTCTCCCAAGAACACTCAGAGTCAGGACGGCCCTTCCATCTTACAAGATACTCAGCCCTTCCCTGGCGAATCCGTTGGTCAAGCAGTTCCACTCCCGCATGGTTTCCTCCGCGGTCCGAGTAGTCGTGGCTTCGGGCATCACTGTGTCCGATTTTTGACGAAATAAAATGCCCACGTCCATTGCCCTCATCAAGTCCACCAAGTCCCCACAGACTCAGGTCTGACGCGAGCTCGATTTGCATGTCCTATATGGCTAGAGATTTCAGACAGGCTTTCGTGGTCTCTGATTGGGACTGGTAGACGTCTATGCAATAGAATCAGATAATATTGGCAGAATGGCGAAAAGCTATATACTATGCTCGGCAAATCGTTTGGCGACCTCTAGCCTCGCCTCATCGACAAGTCTTCTTAGTCGTTCTCTGACGATGGTATAGTCGCCCTGGCTCCTGGAATCATACTTGACAAGCCCAGAATGATCCGTGTTAAGCGCGATGTTGTCCTCCTCGGCTACGGCGACCAAGTCCGTGCTGGTAGTCGATTTTTCTGTCACCACCAAAGAAAGGGGGCCAGTCATGCGCCACTTCCCATCTTGGCCACGCTGTGGGATAAGTCAGCATTAACTTAAGTATTTCTGGTAATATATCTAACCTCTGCAGTTGGGCTGAGCATACGCTCGAAGAAGGTCACGACCCTATAGTGGCCCTTACAGCTCTCTGAAAACTGGTCCGCAAGTCTCTTCAGAAAGGTTGGTGGCTCAGAGTTATTATCGACGAGGAGATCGTGAATAAAGGCCTCATTGGGCTGGCCTCGGAGAAGAGTCCTTAGTTGGTCGTTTCGTAGGCCGAGGTTGGGCACGCCGAAGAAAAGAAATCCATATGAGGCTTTGGATAGGTTAGAGTTCGCATTACTATCTCTCCTGCGCGCACGAACAAGCACCTGCAGCAGTCAGTTAGAGACTACACCATAACAGCAGGACACCTCACCTCTTTGATAAGTAGGCCGCCGAGGCTATGGCCGATAAAGATGATCGGGCGGTGAGAGGTCTTCGGGCATTAGTTTAAGCCAGACAGCATGGTGAGTCACATACCCCGTCACTCGCGCGATAGGCAATAATTTGTTCCAGCAAGGCACCACCCAAGTCCTCGATAGACTGCTTCGAGAGGCTGCCTGGCAGCGTAGTATCATAGCCGTAGAGCAGCACCCGGATATTGGGCACGTCCTTGGGCAGGAAGTCGCGTAGCCAGACGTCGTCGCTATTTGGGGATTTCCAGGAGCCGAGTGCGTGGCCACCGAAGCCGGGTACTGCAATAATGCTGGAGGAGTTAGCACGGGAAAGAAAGGTTGGCGACAGCCAGGCTTACTCGACATCTGCACCGTTCTTATCCTCGTAGAGCGGCGTAATTCCCTCGAATCTACAAGTATAGCTATACGGGTAACCATTCCCAGCTCGGCGCAGCTGAGCGGACAGGTCGTCTGCGGAGAGCGATGTGATGATCGAGATAGTAGCACAAAGGGAGTCGTTCCCATGTGACACCAAAGAGCGACGGACCATGGTATCGGCGTCCCCCCGCAGGTCCGGAACCTCCTCAAGAATAGACTTCAGGTTGCGGTCCAGGTTATCAGTGTGATGGGCTGGGATGTCATCGATGCGCAGTGTCAGGCTCCTCTTGCTCAACCATGCCGTCCGATCGGGATGGTCGTTGTGAGTGGCCCCGACGAGGTCGTCTTTGAACTTTGACTCCACGATAGTATCGGACGGCTGTGCCTGTTCATCGGACTCTGTTCTGTCTTCAAAATCGGGGTTTTCTTGCCCCGAGGACGTCGGCCAAGTAACCGTACTCAGGTCGCCTAAGCCCTGGCTCTGTGAACCGGCTGCGTTGTCACTGACGTCATGCAGCTCGGTTGCGTCTTCGGCCAGATCTTCCCGGGTGGGAGGCAGAAAGAGAGCAATTTCTTGCATGTGTTGCTTTATATGTTTCCGCATCTCAGCCTGGGCGCCCGGGTTTCCTGCGTCGGGAAATTGTTTCTCAACCACATCCGGATACCCCCCACAGAAGGGACAGCTCTTGAAGAGGAAGGGCATTCTTTTACGACTCAGGTCTGGCAGAGCGGGCCATTGCGACTTGGATATTTGCAACTCCTCCCGGAGAAAACCTTCGAACTGCTGCTCATTACTGAACTCTCGGTGGGATCCGTCTGGTATCTCGAAATGCCAGCGCTCGGGAACGTGTGACATCTGCAAGTGACTTAGGAGACCTTCAAAGTTGTTCGGCACATCAAAGGGCGCTGAGCAGTCTTCACAGATGCAGAAGTAAGGCTCAAAATCCCTCATGACATGCTGGCTGTAGTCGAGTCAGCGCCAGAGTCTGATTGAACGCACCAATCCCTGTGATATCTTGTTATGAGTGTGGGTTAACAAGTGCCTACCTCCAGGATTTTCCTTCCGCTTCCCTTGCGAGGAACTCGAGGCGACAGTAGGGACACTGAAAACTGTCGGATCCATGCAGTCTCGGTCGCTGGGGAAAGCCGCCGTGCCTTAACGTGACTGAAGCAACGCTCTCCGCTACCTCGAAGTCCTGAAGCAAAGACTGGGAGGTCATGTCGAGGTGAGTATGCTCAGTGGCCGTAAGTATGGCACTCTGCTCCGGGAAGTCTTTCATTGTATTTTGGAATTTGGGAAGATCCGCCTGGGTATTGGATTCAGTGAAGGGACTTGTAGGTCTCCCGCTATGCTGATCCCTCATCTTGGTTGAGGAAGCGTCCCTAGATGTGACATTCATACCAATAGCCAGCTTCTTCTGATGTTCCTTCAAGTATTCAAACCGGATTCTCCGCCTGGCGAAAGACTCGGCGATTCTTTCCTTCATCCAGGGGCTTGACCGCGTGAACTGGTGCTCGACTTTTTGCGCAGCGATCCATTTGAACAGCTCGTAGACTTGCTTCTGACCCGGCTTCTTCTTGAACCGTTCAATTCTGGCTTGTCTGTGCTTGAGTCCAGCCAACTCAATTCGCCGTGCGTGCCCATGGAGTCTATCAATCGTATCTTCCACACGCGTCCATGTGTGTCCGTTCGGCGAGGTGTCCGTGTCCGATTCATCCGAGGATGAAAGAGCATCTGGGGACCATGAAGAGCTGTCGGAGTCTTCGTCATCGTGAACATCTGGGCCATCGCTCTCAACCTTGGCGTGCTGATGAAGAATCTCAGGTTCCCGGAGCCCTAATCATACCGAATGTCAGCTGTTCCTCGTATCTTCCAATATCGAGGTTGGGGACTCTGCAGGTACAACGGTCCCTTCACTCGACTCACTCTGCAAATCTTGTTTCAGCACCTCGAGAAGTCCTCCTATCAGCTTACTCGTGTCAGGGAGGTCTTTGAGGCGATAGTCTAGGGACTGTTGGCCTGGTTTGTTAACGCCGATCTTGGAGCACCATATGTTGAACTCTGCCAATTGACGAGAAACAAGCTGAGACTCTTGGCGCTTTGAGTCTTTTTCAAGACATGCTGAAAGAAGATTTTTCAACACTTCCCGGCACTGCATGGCCAGGATGGCGAGGTCGGTGGCATGTGGGCTGGGCGTTTTCGCCATGAGGGGCGCGGTGTACCAGCTTCCAGAGGCCAGCCGCCAGCTCCAATCTAGCTTTTTGCGTCGGGTCTGAGCTGGGAAAGACATGTCATTCTTGACGCCTTGAGGAACGAAGAGACGGAAGGTCTTCTGCCCCGGGGGGAGCCTTCCTGCTTCTTATTGGTCAAAAACATGCCATTTCCCCATTGGTTGCCTGTGCCTTTGCCTCACGCCGTTATGGCTATTGTACTTTGGCCATTCACCCTCCCTCACTCCCGGTTTCGGGTGCGGAGGTTCGCACCGTTCTCTGACCCCCCCCACGTCTTTTCCCTCCAAACTCCCGCTCTCTCAATTTGGACCTCGATGAGCCGAACTGTGCAAGACTGCCTGTTTACTCTCCCGCCTCACGAGACGCTTCAACGCGACGGGCTGCGCGATGACCAAGGATAGATGTTGGGGGAATGCGTGCCGGCAACTGCGCGGCGAACTGGTCTATGCACCATAACCCACACCATCACCCGTTGACGTCTCACCAATGAAAAGCTGTGGACGAACGCGCGTCCACAGTTGACAAGTGTTCCTGTCCCATTGGCTGGTACGTCCGCTGTGAGCGTTATCGCGCCAGGCGATCCTTCGGCTCGTCAACGGTGCCAAAAAGCCATCATGTTGCATGTGGTGAACACGTCATGCAGAATCGGATGTCTCTACCCGAACTCTTCTAGCACCCTGCGGCTGTCTGCAATCGCCGCCGAAACGCAAGGCTAGCACTAACTCGGGATCCAAGGGTCGCGGGCCGCGGGCAGCTCCAACTCCAGCTGTGTGAAGTTTGCGGACCGAGCCGAGCGCACGGGGCTCGATGCAACTGCTATTCACCGGAAATATCTGGTCTCCCTCCGCCTACCATCCCATGTAACATGCCATGATCGGCACACCGGCTCTGCAGAGTTGCTGGCTATCGTACGCCTTCGCTGCCTAGCCAGGAGTGATGGCGCTGCGGGAGGCAAGAACAAATCCAGAACTCTGTCCGAGCTTCTGAAATGTGTCTGCACGGAACTAATCATGCAAGCGCACGTATTGCTGACGGGCAGGATGACTTTCTTGCGTTGCTGTTCCTCCTGACATGCTGGGCCAAGTCCGCGCCGCCCGGACATTGGCGCCCGACAAACTTGCAGATAAGTCAGCCATGTCTTCCGTAGGATAAGCACTAGTACCCTTCGTAGACCTAGCTGCGTCGTTCCGGCGCACATATCAGCCATCCTGGTCAGAGTCGGTACATGTATGGGACTCGCCTGGGCAGATATCTCCGCGGCCTGAGGGAGCGGGTTTGCGGGGATGATTGCAATTTGCTCCGATGAGAGAGACATTAGTGGAGGCAAACAACCATTGTTGGCTGCGGCTTTGGCATGGTATGCATGCATCACTTCGAATGCCACTTTCCCCTTAGCAGTCGACCCTTGCTGTCAGGATTATCGGGACCGCCACTGTGGTTCGGCTTCTATGCGGCATTTGTCTCGTTGGTTTTTCAAGAGGTCGCTGCAGTGGGGGTCAGAGATGCCCGACACTGCGTGCTGACAATGCGGAGTCCCATATCAATGGAACTAATGGATTGCTTTGTCTTATGCGCCACCCTCCGACTTTTGATTCGTTCAGGTACAGATTCATCCGGCCAGATCAAGCCCCGTTCCCCAAGGCCCCCTCGCGTAAACCGCGACCAGTTTGCCTCTCCTGTATATTTTTATGCGCGTCGTCTAGCCGCCTCAGCCGCGGCTTCGCTGGCGCAGTCGTGGCACTGCCTTATTGGGGGAAAATGCTCGGCGCTTGGCTTGAGCACCCATGGATTGTCATTTGCCACGGACGTGATCGTCCTATACCGAAGCGCCCGCAGACCGCCAGGACAAGCCCTAACAACTTCAGCTTATTGGCTGTCTCTCTGAATAGTATAGGGGGATTCTGAAAATCAAATTACGCAAGCGGACTTTTATGACCTGCCGGGCCAACCTCGCGCTCTAGATAGCTTCTTTCCGTCGAGGAGGAATCGCTCCCCCCCATCGGCATTATCACACCCTTTATCGTCTTTCCCAGTCGTGGCGGTGGTCAGACTGGACTGCCCCATACATTTCTTTGCCCACAGTCCGCCAACGCCTCGAACTGAACGCTGAATGTGGCAGCTCAGCCTGCTCGGTGACGTTCTACCGGCCTTCAGGGCCTTCGCCCGTCAGCGAAAGCAGGAATGCGATGCGCTACGGGACACAAGCCCACATGCCGAGGATCTGTATTTTCAGGCGCTCGGGTGCTTCAACGACTTGGACGCAATTCGCACAGCCGTGGCTAAGTCACGAGGAGAATGGACCCCGGGACTCGACGAGGAGATCATCGACCGACTACTGGAGGCGCTGAATTCACGGGTAGAATCACGCTCGATATTAGTCCGTTACCCCCGATCTCGGGACTCATCACGCTGCTGCCGAGCCAAGCTAATTGCACTCCAGCCACCGATCCGATTTTTTGGTTCCGCCAAGCCAGTTGAAAAGTATTCGAAGCTACGAGCGCTCAGCCTTTGTATCGAGTCCCTGGACGAGGAGTCGGGCGACGAGGAAGATTTGGAGGGTAACCTCTGCGAGTCTTATAGGCGGTGCCTAGACCAGTCCAATCTACGGATACGTCTGTTGCATCGAAAGGAGAGCTTTGGCGAGAGGAACAAGTTTCTCAGTCGTCTTCAACGAGCATCTCGCCATTTACTCAACCAGTACTACAAAGAATACCGTTCTGATAACGATGTCATCGAGCTGTCTCAACACCCAAGCTTCGGCATCAAAACCCTGGCGAATACAGCTTACGGTCTGCTGGAAAAGCACTCACGGTGCAAATGCCGACAGCCCGTCGCGAGAAGGGAGGTTAGACTGAGTCTCACGGAGCACCGAAAATTTCAACTGCGAAAACGTCAACAAGAGACCGGAAACTGGCGTCCATCCAGCGCAGAATTTGAGATGCTTCTGCCCGTTTGTCAGGACGATGATCACTGGAAGATTACGAATGTCCAGGTCAAACCGTTGTGAGTTAGCTCGTCAACCTCATGAGCATTCCCGCATTAGCAGCTAATCTAACGGAAGGATCGTGGAAACTTCCAGGCTAGATCCGCGCATTGGACCCGACAAGGAACTCATCGAGAAGGATATTTGCCCAGTTATACGGAGAAGCAGAACCACATGCGTCCATCTTCTTGCTGCCAAAGAGCATTTGTGGGTTCTGAGACCGCCTCCTCCTGTCGGCATGAGCTATCACACGACGATGCAGTCTCTTCGCGAACTCTTGGATAGCAGTCCGGCGCTTTCTTCTCCTGACATTCCGAGATACGATGATAGGGAAAAGCTGCTCCTCTCCTACATCCTAGCGACGTCGCTCCTTTATCTGTATCCGGGGGACTGGATCCCGACGGATTGGAGCAGTGACAAGATCTTTTTCCCGCGGTACTCAGGGAGCAGACGATCGCCCATCTTTACATTGCCTTATCTATCCGTCAACCTTCAGCAGGGTGGTGCCCCTCCAAAGGCTCCACCGGTGAGTCAATATCACAAACATCCTGCTATTCTGGCGCTGGGCATCATGCTCCTCGAGATTGCAAGAGGCGTCCGATTCGACCTAGCAAATGGACACGGCACAGCCGAGCTTGATCGAGCAGGCCGGTACAATGAATACGGCAGTGAAGCTCTAAGGATCCTCAATGACTTGGAGAGACAAGGCGAACGGCGTCTTTCCAGACGTATACCTCCGGTCCTGTCCAATGTCGTCAGGTCTTGCCTGATTCTAAACCAACCCCCGAGCATGGCAGCTGAGCAGATGTCCGAGGAGGGCCCAATACGGCATTACATCCTTGCTTGTATTGTCACGCCTTTGGCTATCGCCCTCACTGAGGGATACCATGTTTCACTGGACAAGCTACAGGATAGTTCGGGCCTGGACCCTACGCCAGAGAGCCCTCTGCGGGTGACTGAACACTCTAGCTTCCAGATCTCGATGAATACTGTCAAATCCGGAATATCCAACCCAAACGCACTTGGTACATCATCCATCCCACATTTAAGGCTCTGCAGAGCGCTGACATATCATCAAACCCAGACCCCTTGACGTCCCCCTTACCCGAGAGAACTGAGTTCTGCCTCTACGGGGAGGAAGAAGAGGCTGTAAATAACGTAAAGTAGGCCGGGCAGCTCTGTGTTTTCCGTGCATTTAGGTAAAGCTTCTGACAATGCTCAGGCTACGTTTAGAAAACGAATGGTTCGCCTGGCTAGGTAACGTACAGCACCGGATCAACGATCTACAGTGCGAGCCGCACGGGGAGAGAGTAAGAATCGCAATTCTAGACTCCGGTCTAGACCTGTCAGAAGATCAAATGAACATATACAACGAGCGACGCGACCTCGTGTATAAGAGCTGGATTGAAGGAGACGACGATGCCTGTAAAAAGGATGAAGTCGGTCATGGCACCCACCTGGCGACTCTCCTTGCCCGCATCGCACCGCAAGCTCAGATCCACGTCGCGAGGGTCTTCCGGAAGGCGAAACCCGACATGAAAACTGAGCCCAAGAACGTAGCTCGGGTAATTGTCATCCTGTCCACTAAGATTCCACTGGTCATTAGGACGTCAAAAGCTAATAGCGCATCCTGCAGGCGATCCGGCATGCCGTGGACACGTGGAGGGTTGACATGATCGTCATGGCTTTCGGATTCGACGAGGAACAAACGTCATCGGTGGGAAGAGACTCTCTCTACAATTCAATTCAGCATGCCGCAGCAAATGGCATCACCATGTTCGCGGCGGCATCGAACGACGGCAAGAATCGCCGAGACGGGGTCGCGTGGCCGGCACGCGCGTTGGAGGTCATCTGCGTCCACTCGGCGGACGGACATGGAACGCCGTCGGGCTTCACGCCCGGGCCGAGCGATAATCAGCGCATCATGCTCCTCGGCGAATGCGTCAAGTCAGCGTGGCCGACCAAGCTGCGGCAGCCGCGGGGTTCCAAGTTGATGAGCGGCACATCGTGTGCGACTTCTATCGCGGCGGGTATCGCGGCTTTGCTACTTCACTATGCGAGAGGTTTCTTGCCTGTGGATCAATGGAGGCAGCTCCGGCGAGTTGACTCGATGCGGACGATGTTCGGGCGACTGAGAGACGATAGGGGCAATGGCTATCACTGGATACGTCCATGGGCGCTCTTTGACAGGAAGAACGACGAGGGTTGGATCCAAGGGGAGATTAAAGCAGCCTTACCATGAATAGCCACCGTTCTCATTGCTGAGACGCAGAGATATGACCTTTTTTGAAGAGATAGTGGGTGACTCGGCTTTTGTTGTCGTTCCCTGGTCGACTTGGAGTCTGACCAGCTCCCCGAATGCTAAAATCGACCTCGCCGGAGCTTTTGAGGACCGTTCATTAATTCCGCAGCCTTGTTGGAGGCCTCTTCACGGAGCTCATGCAGGTATGTCAATGATTGGCTACGAGACCTTGTAGGACTACATGGGGGTAGCTGCATGACACACAGATCAACCGTTTATATCAAGGCTGCTCCCTCCTTAATCGTCCCGACCAGAACTGGCAGAGAGCTACAGAACCGTAGCCCGTACCTTGAAGCTTTGGTACCTTGATTGGTCCGTAAACTTCAGAACATTGCCCCCATCCGTTCACCATCAGTTGAGATCTGGCAATCAGCTGCAACGCCCAACCATGCCCGGGTCATCGCGTCGATATTACTTCCGAGCCCCGACTTTCGACATTAACCCGGAAAGTACAACATCCGCTCGGCTAGGCAGCATTTTCTCACGCTTCGGAAAGTTGGCCTATCCCCTGAACCAAGATGAGCACATTCCGATCCCACCGAACTCTATCAACAGAATCGGCGTACCAGATTTCCAAGACCTCGTCACCAAGGGCGTCTCTTGGTCAGCAGGCGTCACGGCGAGTCTCTCTCAGATACTCGCCGGTGCTGTCGACAGCGAGATGCTCTACACGTTCTCAAGGGACAAGAGCGCCGTCTACCGCTGCACCTTTCTCGAGACGGAGGAATTCGAGCCCAGCGTGCAGTACGTGGCCGATAGCATCGCCGCCTCTCTGCGCGTCCAGGACTTCATCGCCGATAGTTTTACGGGGAACAAGAAGGTATACATGATTACGGGGCTAAAGATTGCTGCGGGGTTCAGCATGTCAACTACGGAGGCGGGTTCTCATGGTCCGGTCTGCAAGGTCGGCGTGGATGCAAGCGGCCTTGGGTTTCCGGTCCAAGCTGGACCTCAACTGGAGCTGCTTCGGACTGGTGGCAGGGAAGTCTCTCACAGTCCAGCCGTGTCCAAGATTCTCTTTGCGTATCGGGCTATCAAGATTGCGCCGAAAAGGGATGGAGAGCTCAGCTATAAGGACATCAGTGGTGGGCAGTATGGCTACGGGGAGGATGAGAGCGAAGACGAGGAGGAAGCCTGGGTCATCGAGCCGGTCGAGGAGAATCAGATATCGACGGTATTTCCAGACGCGTTGCCTGTGACGATAGATGTACAGCGAGGAGACGCCAGCTCTGCTCAATGACTTTGTCTACTATCTCGAATTTTTAGTTCATCAGGTGCTTGTCGTATCGCCACACAGTGAGGGGAATTATTGGCTGCAGTACAGATGATCTTGCCTCAGTTGTGAGGTGACACGCATACCCCCGCACACACGCCCCGCGCAGATCGCTTAGACCCAACAAAGATAATCTGTGTTATCTATTCGCCCTCAAGAAAAAAAAACATGCAGCTGCATTGCAGTTGTTAGCTGTGACCGAGCTTCCTGTCTTGCCTCACACACAATACGAAGACCCATGAGTTGCTTGTCTACCAGCAGTGGATAAAACCGGCAGGGATGCGGTGTTTTCTCGGCCAACGTTGACGGAAACGCATTGGCCCATTGCTGCCTGATGCCCAACCTGCAGCCACACCAAGAGAGTTATACACTTTGCCTGCCGAATTGCACATTGCCTTTGTCGAGCTGAGGTGGTTAACTGAAGGTTGCAGGGGCATGTCATCAGCCGCAGTATGTTCGAAGGTGACCAAATGACCCTCTTTGTGTTGCTCAAGACACGCACCCTGCCGTGAAATTGGGTCCAGGAGGGACGTCATTCTGAGGTTGCAGTCTGATGGATCTCGGCTCTGTGGATCACCGTTGTGGACGATTCTCGCAAGTGGTCTCTGATCGCAACAGCGCATCTGCGATTACTTATAAAATAAATATTATATCTAGTAATAATTAAATATAATAATATATAGTAAGTTAAAATAATTAAGATAACTAAGTTATATTAATAGTTAAGTAACTACTTATAATAAATATATATTTCTTAATAAGGAAATTTAATATTTAAATTTACTATATTTTTATTATATATATATTATAGTTATTAAAGCTTAAATTTTAAGTTTTAAGCTACTTTTTTCTTTTTTATTAAAATTCTATTTAATTTTTTTAACTTAGTTTAACCTTAATAAATATATTAAAAACTTCTATAACTTAACCTTTAAAATACTCTAAAATTTCTAATACTTATAATAACTTATTTAAGTTATTTAAATTCTCTTTTTAACTAATATTTTATATAATTAGTATTTATATTTTAATAGCAGGAAGAGACAGAAAATAACACCCAACTTATTAACTTACTCTAGGGGAAATATATAGAGAGTCGTTGCATAGATATCTTAGCCGGTTAGCCTGAAGCTATACTAGATTATGCATATAAGGTCGGATTAACTTGAGGCTTATATCTCCTAATAGGGAAGTATCTTATAAGAAAGAATATCGGGTTGGTTGTAGGAAAGTTTGCTGGTAAGGTATTAATAGGGCCTGCAACAGCCCGATATCTAAGGGAGGTTGAAGATAGAGGTTGGACGGGGAATGAAGTAATAGTAAGAAGGTTTAAATAAATCTCTTAAAAATAAAGGTAATTAATTAATTAACTTTTTAGTAATCTTAAGCTCTTTTAGCTTTTTTAACTTTTAAAAAGAATCTCTAATAAAAGAAAAAGTAATAATTTCTTTTAGAGATAATATTAATCTCTTTTTTTAATTTTATTTAGTTACTTTAGAGATATTTCTACTAGTAACTAGCTAGCTTAAGTATCTCTAACTACTTATTATAATATTAACTTAATATAATATAATATCTTTTTTTAATAAGAAAACTTAGTATTTAAATTTACTATATTTTTATTATATATATATTATAATTACTAAAGCTTAAATTTTAAGTTTTAAGCTGCTTTTTTCTTTTTTATTAAAATTCTATTTAACTTTTTTAACTTTAATCTTAATAATTATATTAAAAACTCCTATAACTTAACTTAATATTCTAAGATTTTTAATACCTATAATATCTTAAGTTATTTAAATTCCCTCTTTTTAATACTCTAAATAGCTAGTATCTATACTAGCTTAATATAATATAATAACTTTTAAAACTAAAGGTTATATTTTTTACAGCTAATTTCTATAAGGAACTTTTAGCCCCTATTATTATTAGTATTTTTAATATTATTAGCTAGGTTATATAATATACTTATTTCTATTTAAATAAATATAATATTAATACTAATAGTCTAATTTTCTATAAATTAGCTCTATTTCTATTATTAAGAAATAAATTATATTTGAAAATAACTAATATAATTTTTAGTTTCTATCTAGATATTTTAAGTAGTATAATAAGAGGTCTAGAAGGTTTCTTTTTTTAAGGAATTTTAAATAGTTATTTAACTTATATCTTTTTTTTTATCTTAAAGATTCTAATAGAATTTTATATTATATTAGAATTTAGATTTATATTCTTAATATATAGGGATATATAAATAAGAGCTTTATAATTAATAGTTAATATAGTAATAAATTATTTAAATAAAATTTATTAAAATAGAATAAATATTAAAAGAGAAGTTAATTTCTTAATAATAAAAGATATTAGTCTTTTTTATATTTTATTATTTAAAATAAGATTACTATCTTAAGGTTATTAATTATAAATAGTAAGATTATTAATTATAGATAGTAAGATTATTAATTATAAATAATAAAGTTAAAGTTAAAAGAGTTAAATAGAAGTTTAAGTAGAAATTAATAGGTAATAATTTTATTATTTAGCTATTATTTCTTCTAGTACTAGATATAGCTTTTATTATTTATTCTACTATTTAAGATTATTATATAGCTTTAATCTATTTAATAATATTAAGTAAAGCTAAAAAAAAAAAAAACTAAATAATATAATACCTTTTAAAATTAGAAGTTATATTAAGTTTTAGTAATATTTTAAAAAAAAACTTAACTTTTTAAATTAATATTAAATAAAAAAGTAAGTAGAGAATACTAAAAATATATAACCTACTTAAAAATAAAGCTATAATAACTATAATAATATTATATTAAAAGAATTAAAATAAGCCTAACTTAGAATTTAAATAAATTAAATAGCTAGATAAAGTAAATAGCTTTTTTAGCTAATATTATTTAATTAAATAGATTTTTAATAAATTCCTAAAAATAAGTTAAAAAACTATTAATTAAAAAAGATAAGATATTAAAAGAATAATACTTATATTATTATTTAAAAGATTTTATTTAAGATCTTTTTAATTTATAGCTTTAATAAGTCTAGCTACTAATTTTACTTAATATAGTATTTTCTATTAAAGAAACTTACTAATTTTAATTTTAATAGCTATAAATATCTAATTAAATAACTTTTATTTTTAAGAATTAAAAAGCTTTAATTTAATATTATTAATATTTTTTACTAAGTTATAAAATATAGCTATTAAGTTAAAGCTTTTTAATTTTTAAGAATAAAAATTATTTAATTAGATACTTATAGCTATTAAAATTAAAATTAATAAGTTTCTTTAATAGAAAATACTATATTAAGTAGAATTAGTAGCTAGATTTATTAAAGCTATAAATTAAAAAGGTTTTAAATAGAATATTTTATAAAAAGATAAGTATTATTTTTTTAGTATTTTATTTTTTTTAATTAATAGTTTTTTAATTTATTTTTTAAGAATTTATTAAAAGTTTATTTAATTAAATAATATTAGCTAAAAAGCTATTTATTTTACCTAGCTATTTAATTTATTTAAATCTTAAATTTAATTTTTTTTAATTTTTTTAATATAATATTATTATAGTTATTATAGTTTTATTTTTAAATAGATTATATATTTTTAGTATTCTTTATTTACTTTCTTATTTATTATTTTTATTTAAATATATAAAATAAAATTACTATTAAAAAATTTATTTTTTTATTTATTATTTTTATTTTTATTATAAAAAAGAAAATAGTATTTAAAAATAGCTAATATAATTTATTATTTTTTATTTAAATATTATAAATAATATAATAATAGCTTAAATAGATTTTTTTTAAGAAAGCTTAAAAGAAAATTTAACTTTTATTTTTTAATTTATTTTTTAAATTTTAAGAAAATTTAAGATTATATTAAATATTATTTATATAATATAAATATAATATATTACTAATAATAAGAACTTTTTAAATAAAATTTATTATATTTAAAGTTAGTTATTATAAAATAAAAAATAAGTATTAAAAGAAAAGTTAGCTTTTTAATAATAAAAATATTTTCTTTTATATTTTTTTACTTAAAATAAAATTACTATTTTAAAGTTATTAATTATAAATAATAAAATTAAAAATAAAAAAGTTAAATAAAAGTTTTAAATAAAAATTAATAAATAATAATTTAATTATTTAATTATAATAATTAAATTTAATTTAAAAATATAAAATAAATTTAAAATATATAGTATATAATTAAATAAATCCCTTAATAAGGAAACCTAATATTTAAATTTACTGTATTTTTATTATATATATATTACAGTTACTAAAGCTTAAGTTTTAAGTTTTAAGCTACTTTTTTCTTCTCTACTAGAATCTATCTAACTTTTTTAACTCAGTCTAATCTTAATAAATACACTAAAAACTCCTATAACCTAACTTAATACCTCGAGATTCCTAATATCTATAATATCCCTTATTTAAATCCCCCTCCCACCCTAGATAGCTAGTATCTATACCAGCCCGACGCAGTATAATAACTTCTAAAACCAGAAGTTATATTTTTTACAGCTAATTTCTATAAGAAACTTTTAGCTTCTATTATTATTAGTATTTTTAATATTATTAGCTAGGTTATATAATATACTATTTCTATCCAGATAAATATAATATTAATACTAATAGCCTAACTTTCTATAGGTTAGCTTTATTTTTATTATTAAGAAATAAACTATATCTAAAAATAGCTAATACAATTCTTTAATTTCTATCTAGATATTCTAGGTAGTATAGTAAGAGGTCTAAAGATTTCTTTTTTAAGGAATTTTAAATAGTTATCTAGCTTATATCTTTTCCTTTTATCTTAAAAATTCTAATAGAATCCTATACTATATTAGAATCCAGATTTATATTCCTGATATATAGGGATATATATAATAAGGGCCTTATAATTAATAGTTAATATAGTAATAAGTTATTTAAAT